CACGAGCACGTCTCCAGTCTCCAAGAAGGCTCAAGACAAAGATGCTGGGAAGGTGAAAGGTTCGGTGACCACGGCCAAGAAGGACATGCGTCCTAGCGGCAGCAGCAACAAGAAGCGCGACACCGAAGACTCTGACGGTACGGAAAGCGGTGAAGACGATGATGGAAGCAACGGCGACGATGAGGACGAGGAAGAGGGAGAGGAAGATGACGAGGACGAGGACGAGGACGAGGACGAGGACGAGGACGAGGACGAGGACGGGGACGAGGACAAGGATGGTGACGAGTTTGTTGATGACGGAGTAGAGGTACGTGGTTTATCCTTTCGAACGCTGTCCCCACTGACTGTGTAGACCGTGGCGGAGTCGAAGAGCACTGGGAAGCAACGGGTGAAGAGGCGTAGGCGCCAGACACGCGCCAAGGTGACACAGCTCCCCAGGGACATCAAGGCCCTCGTCTCTGCGGCGCAGAACTGCCTCCGTCTGCGCATTGCTCTCAAGAACGCTTGGACGTCTGAGCCATCAGTCAGCAGCGGCCGTCTTCCTGAGAGGGACGACCTCATCAAGAGTAGTCTGCAGGATGCCTATGAACTGGGCAGGGCAGGGGCTCGTGACAAGTCCATAAGGACCGCCTTCCAAGTGCTGAAGGGGAACAAGGGGAACAAGGACACTAAGGAGACTGACAAGCTGCGCAAGAATGTCTACACAGTGGTGAGCGTTTGTTTCTGTCTGTCATGAAGAGTCGCGAGTGCCTGACTTCCATTAGGTCTGGGCGGCTGCAGCGCAGTTCCGAAACGAGCTGAAGAGGAAGGCCAAAACTGTTACCTCTCAGATGTACGAGCTCGACAGCCTGTCTTCTCAGCAGAAGAGGAACCTGGCGACATGGTTGATCACCACTCACCCGACGACCGTCGTTGGTGGCTTGCGTAACATCCCTAACTTTGTCTTCGGTGGCATGACGATTGCCTTAGATGCGCGCAAGCATTTTGATGCCGAGGTGAGAGTGCGAGTTCATTGCAGAGTACACCTTAATGATCTGGGTGACAGAAGAGCGACTTTAAGCGCGGGGAGGTGTTCCTCCACCCGGCTATTTCAGAGCTGATTTACCAGCACTGGGGCCTTGGAGCTCGAGCGGACGCGAACCTGCATGCGGCCACGGAAGAGTTCAGCGAGGTGCCGAACAACCTGATCGCTGTGGTGTGCAACGCTGTGAGTCCAGACCGTCATTCGCATGGCTATCAGAGCTCAATCCACAATGGGGTCTCACGGATTCGTGACGCACAGATCGAGTCCGCCCTCATGGAGTTTGCCAAGCCAGGTGCAAAGAACTTCTTCACGAACAAGCAGTATGCTGCCAAGTACGTTCATCACATATGTCAGAACATCGAGGCTTATCTTTCTTCTTACAGATGGGACGGCGTCATGGCAATCTTGGAGTTCATGGAGGCTCAGCACAATCCGTCCTACGTGAATATGAAGCGTATTGTGTGGAAGTCCATCATGTAAGCTGTGTGCAGTTGCTTTGCAATCAATCCCTCAATGCACTGACTATCTCAGATCGCGGCTCGAAGACACGGACGATGTGGACGAGGTGGGCGTGCATACCGGTTTCCTCGATGTGGCCCTTGAGGAGCAAGATATCGTGGTTTTGGGAGGGAGCAATGCAACGCCGCATGGCTCGCCTGCTGGAAAGCCTTCGAGCACAAGGAAGGCTCCTACTGTCTCGGCAACCAAGCCATCCAGTTCGTCGAGCCCTGAGAAAGGCGGTCAGGAGGGCGACGACAACGTCATCAGTAGAGAGGGCCCTTCTGTGCGCAGCAGCCACAATGCCCAGGCAGATGATGACGTGGCTGCAGAGGACGTCAGCGAGAAGGACGGAAGTGGGGAAGATGAGATCGAGCACGACGAGGTAGACGAGAGGGAGGACAGAGCCGGGGATGCTAAGGAACGTGAAGGTACGCATGTCCGTCATCTCATCACAGAGGATGATCCATAATCTAGTGTCAAATTTCATCCTGACAAGGCGCGGCTCGTGAGGACCAAACAGGGACAGTCTGATAGAGGACTCCTGGCTACGTTGTCATGGTCTATGCTTCAAGGTAAGTTGAGCAAGGACTTGATTGTAACCGGAGGTCTGAGCTCAGTTATGGTCTGCCCCATCTAGATACCCATACTGGCCATGACGTTGCTGAGTCGCTGAACTCTGGGGAAGAATCGTGTGTTGCGCATGTTCGATGTACGATAGTGTGCCGTCTCTCGCTCTCCATCTCGCTCTGTCTCCTGCTCTCCTTCGCCATTGTCTCTGAAGTCACGTCACACATATTAACATCGTCTACGGTTGTCGGTCTACGGTTGTCGGGCGGCAGAGCTGCTTCATTGCTATGCGTTTCCAGTCGTGTATTATCAATAGTATGAATGGACGGCAGTTTATTGTGCATGATGCTGAAGAGCACCAAGGAAGCCAAAGACACCACGCATTGAAGTGCAATTAAGAGAAAAAAGAACACAATGTTTGAGTGCTTAATTAGAAGGAACGAAGTAGCAATAGTGAAAGGGGGCAGAACAATAAGGGTACTTTTTTGTTCTCATTTAAGTAAACGTGTACTTAAGTAAGACAAAATAAGAAATTGACTTACCTTAAGGCTCTTGTGGCACATAGTGACACATAATGTCACTTTTGGCTCTCCACAAGACCACTGAAGACACGAACGTTTTTCCTGATGCAGAGGGATAGCCCACATTCCCAAGCCCAGAACAGGTCCCAAAATGGGAAGGACCACCCTTGAGACCATGGCCATGTCCCAGATGTCTGGTAGGACCAGCCCAATAAGGCTTGTAAGCCACATCCTAGCGGTCAAAAGGATGGGGCTAAGTAGGTCCCAGAAGGGGGTGCCTGAAGTGCAATACGATGCAATCAAGGAATGTGCTGGAACATGCTGGAAAGCGGTGGAATGTTCCATCAGGGTCTAGATCTAATCATGTGCTACAGGTCTGGATCAAATCCGAAAAGAATGTACGTAATATGTAGCATAGTAGAACATAAGTCCATAACGGGTAAGGATAAGTCCTATCCCGTGTGATAACACCCAAAACAGTTGAAGTTCAACAGTTGCCTGAGGTGACGACGACAGAGGATGAGAGGTAGGTTTGTCGACCAGCCATGTGTGGCCATACACAACACGTTATGCAGTGTGGACAATGGCGCTTACGCGAGGCTTGTCGGGGCAGGAGAGGCACGTGCAAAGTGTTGGGGAGGACGAGAAAGGTAGCGTTCGGTATAAAACTCAGGCAATGTTTCAAACGGTATGTTAAAAGCTCGGGCCAGCGGGCTACTCCCCGACATCCCGCCACGAACAGGCGCCCGATACGCCACAGCTGCCGCCAATGTTCAACTGCGATGGTGTGCGTGTAGACATGCAGTGCGGTGTCTGAAACTAGAGCAGCGTGCTATTATAAGATTTATAATTTGTATTCTGTTGTGCTTGTTCCTTAGAATATTATGCCCCACTCACAGGAAGCCGTACAAGTTGGTTTGGCACGGTGGCGCGACGGGCGCTAATGGCGATTACTATACATGGACGGTATTATGGACTATCGCCACTCGGCTGGAATCACAAGCTGTAAGTCGGCCAGCCGTGTACTTCATTTCCGAAGCCAATGTTGATATTCGTTTCCGAATGCTGCAATATGGAACTCATGCAATCCGTCCTGCAGCAGATCGAGGGAACTCATGCCAGGGCCGTACGATCTCTGCACGTGATGATACTTTCTGACATTATATACATGGTCATTATGGGGCCTGGTTTCAAACACGTTTCAAACACGTTTAAAACATGTCAAAAACTACCATGTTTTAAACATTGGGGTTTTACACGGAACGCTAGAGAAAGGCAGGTGGCGAAGAAGCGCCGGCGGGGGCGGGAGGGGCACGTGCAAGGCACTGGGGAGGACGAGAAAGGCAGGTGGCGAGGAAGCGCCGGCGGGGGCGGGAGGGGCACGTGCAAGGCACTGGGGAGGACGAGAAAGGCAGGTGGCGAGGAAGCGCCGGCGGGGGCGGCAGGGGCTGCAAGGAAAGCGCCGGCGAGGACGCAAATGGAAGGAGGCGGGTGGCGCACGACGGCGAGAAGCCTATCATGTGACTGGCGGGGGCGGGAGCCCGGGCCACAGCCAGAAGCGCCCACAGAGCAGGTCCAGAGGGGACCAGCACGAGACCAAGCCATATTGGGAAGGAACTCACGTGCACCAGACAGCGAGGATAGTCTCTAAGTCGACGAACTCTGAGGAAATCCTCCGGGGGGGCTCTGTCGTCATGACGAGCCCTGCGTAGACCTCCTCGTGGTCCCGGGGGGTGAGTAACCCGCAAGGGTGAAACGAACATACGCTTAAGAAGGGCAGCAGTTGTAAAGCCGACGCTGAGAGGATCATCACATCCCACCCGAAGGACATCGATCCACCCAATATAAAGTACTAAGAGTACAATAACAGGTAGCCACGAGCTACAAGAAGAAACAAGAAGTGACAACCTGTCCACAATGCAAAGAGATAGAACGAAAACTTGACCCCACTGCCGAGCACGATGCCTAAGGCCCAAAACCCAGTGAGCAAAAGGCGCTAAAAGACCTAGCCCAAAATGAAAATAGATTGGCGCTAGGGCAAATCAGGTGACAGGAACCGCAAGCCTCTCACCAACCAGAACAGGGATTAGATCCGGTGACGATCGGAGCAAGACCCAACCCAACTCAACCTCATGAAAGACGGAAGCATATGAACTAAAGAACATACACCATACGAGACGAATTAAGAATGAGGGCAACAACCAAGAACACAGCAACGAGAAAACGTTAAAACGACCCAATAAGGGAAGCCAAGAACGCCCAAAAACATGTGAAAACGTAGGGCAAACCTAGACCGAAGATGACAGCCCAGAACGGTTGAACAAGACCCGAATCCGAGACTAACCCATCCGAGCAAAAACCACGTGATATAGATCTAACCGCGTATCATACGCGAGAGACATATAAACGAGAGTGAAGATCAGATAGTAATCACCAACACGCCCCGCATGGTAACCCGGCCAGGAAACCACCACATAGAGCATAGGATCATAGACGTCTCCCTAAAAGAGTGGATCACATTCCCTGAATGAATAAATAAGTTAATCACGTCAAGTAAGCATACGAATACGGGCGTACGCGAAATAGCTGACAGCAAACAGGCCAAAAGAACCACAATAAACGCTCGTTTCAGCCTTAAAACAATGGATGAGTTCTACGAATACGACAAGAGGAAAACACCCCACCTCCTCGACGACACACCACGATGAAAACGAACGACGATCCCGAGACGATCAGACATGCCGAAGCCCTAAAAAGCCAACAATATACCTTCAGAGCTGAACCACAGCTCATACCACTCCCAGAATTGGACGCACCATACGACTCACGCGAGGCCATCGAGGTCCGCATCCTGGACATCCCAGCCATAGGAGAGGGAGTAGGACTCACATGGGTAGTGGACGAGAGGCCAACATGCCGGATCGGGAAAAACAGCCTTATCGTGTTAATCACAGGCAAAGCCCAATCCGGGGTAGGACGCCTGATACGCATCACAGATATCCGACAACATTGGGTCACATGGCTTGTAGATGGAGGAAAGAAGAGATGTAGTCTCCGAGTCCCGACACCATGGACAAAGATGGACGGGATAGAAGGAGTCGCATACGCACGATACTACACATCCCTCCCACATCTACCAATCGCTCACCAAACCATCCGCAACGACAGAACATATCGAAACACAAAAGGAAACCCATACGAGATCGACATCGACGGTACAGAGACCGAGACGCTGGATGGAGCGCTGGATGTGATCACGAGATCATAGTTATGGGGCATATTTACGGAGAACAGATATGGAACGAAAGACACGGGCTCAGACACGAGACTGTAGTCACGAGACAATAGACACGGGATCCAAGGTCACAAGACTCCTAACGCGAGACCGGCAACTGCCACCATCACGAGACCCAAGTCACACGAACCTTAAACATGAGACATCCCCCGTGGAGACCGGAGCCCGAGGAGCACCGACAGAGAAGCACAAACAACCCGATACGTAAAGAGGATCCGCATAGGACACAGACAAGAGAGGGAACCACCATGTTAACCTCGCACACACAAGACAGGCAGTAACCGATCCATAGGAAGAATGTACAAAGAAGGTGTCTACTGACACCGAGGAGGCAAAGACGCACGGACCTGACACCTTAAGGGCCGAAGAAGGGCGCGCCGACGCTGCCGGTCGGAAAGAGAAGCAACATGACAACCCGGCGGAATGGGAAGATGGGAAGCAGCCAGATCCCCCATCAGATCGGATCCGAGATAGGAGTACACCACAACGAAAGAAGAATAGCCAGTCCGGGATGACACCCGACGAACCGAAGAAGGGCGCGCCGGAGGTGCCGACGTCAAACAACCACAACGCCACCTTGCAGACCGATATACCGGAAGAAAAATCGCAACCAAAGCAATCCAATCGAAGACGCAGCACGTCGCACGTAGGGAGGAGCGAACACCGCGTCAGAACAAGTAAAATCGAGATGGAAAACAGCCCAATAAGGTATGAAAGAACGGCTAAAGAAGCAAAAGATCAAAGTAATGCACCGACAACACCGAGAACGACAGAAAGAAGAAACTACACGGCCCCGGAGGTCAATAAGAATGAACGATGGACGCGCCACGATCCCACAGAACACCTAGTGCGACAGAAGAATGCGAAAAGGCGGATAGAGCGACGAACCGAGAAGTTGAAGTGGAACAACGAGACGAGCCACAACACACGATGGCGGACACCATATAAAGAGTTACACATAGAGAGTCCCAAGCCGAGAGAGAACCCAGCTCCCTCACCCACCGCTACACCACACTTCTGAAATCTAAGCTTGTTAGGATGAGCCCGTCTAACGCTAAGGCTACCAGCGACGACAAAGGCCCGACGACGAACAGCAGACCCCCATCCCCGACGCCGCTCGAACGGCTGCGCGCCGCATCGCTTGTCCGACACCCTGGCCACCGCATCAACGCTGAGCCAAACGTTCCGTCCCCAAGCACGAACCCCTGGTCGGCCTCACGACCGATCTCGCCAGTCGAACGATCAGGCATCAGTGAGTACACACACAAAGACGCAACCAGTTAAACTAATGAGATAGGCTTCGCTCAAATGGCTGCACGGCCCCCGTCCCCCCCGGCCGGAGCCACAAACATGCCGGTAAACATGCCGCAGGTGACAGAGCAGAACGAAGATGAAGCGCAACAGGTCGTAGAACAGAGCCCACAAGGTGAAACGGCAGACGTAGGGGGTCACGAAGGAGAGGAGACGGACCAAGGTATGAAGAGGCAATTATGGATAAGCAAACAGATGGTGACCAACATAGCAGCGAACACAGAACCAACCAACGTACCCGCGACGGCCGCCACGTCACGCGCAGGTCGCTCGAAGAAGAACAAAGGAAAGGGACGAGCAAAGAAGGCTAAGACAGCGCTAGTAGTGGAGCGTACCGCCGCGAACGAAGCAACGCCCTCGGCGACCACGAACGAAACTACACCCACCGTCGAGTCCACGGATGGAACGCCCACGAAGGAAGCAACGCCCGTCACGAACGAAGCTACGCCAAAGTCCATCACGGACAAGGTCACACAGAACTCGAACACGAAGACCGCCGCGCGCGCGCCCCAGCCAGGAGGGACAGAGAACATCCTAAGGCGGAACGCAAGACTCATAAGCGAGGCACGTAAGAGGAGACGGATCTTGACGGATGTAGGAGGGCAGGAGGACTCGCCCGGCACTGCGAACAGAGAACAAGAGCAAGCCTCTCCCCCACCGCGTATGTACATCGAACAACTAGCCTGCACACCTCCTAACTACCCCGAACATCACTGGCCGGGCACACCGCCAGATCGACGAGGGATGACAGACCCCCCCGCTCAAACCTCGTCCGACAAAGACCAAGACGGAGACGTCCGAATGTACGACATGGAGCTAGACCCGGACTACGACTCGGAGTACGAGTACGCGAACGAGACGGAGAGGAGACAGCGCATAGCGGGTATGAACCCAGCCACCATCGCTAGAACACTCCGAGCGAGGCCGGTTGCACAATCTGAACCGTCACACACCCAATACGGACTTGTGACCCCCTCGTCGTCCGCTTCACGCGTAGGCAACACGAACCACAATGCGACCGCGGGCCCCAGTCGTCAACAAGAGGTGAACGCCCAAGAGGACGAGTGGTACGAAGAGGACGATCATGACATCGAAGGTAGATGAACGCTATAGACAGAGTAGTCCAGAAACTTACCAGCGGAAAGATATGTATTACGAAGGTACCCCAACGCCCTCCTACCACCGAACAACGCGGCAAGATGACCCGAGTCGATCCGCACCAGCGATTCGCGCGAGACAGAACGCGGTACCAAGACAGTCCACCAGCGAAACAGCAGGGCAGGCAAACCCTACGCGGGCAACAGGGAACGAGTACCAACGTGCACAACGAGACGACGAGAGGAACAACACACAAACCCACCAGAACAACGTTGATACGACCCCCCACATCGATACTGAAGGACGAAACGCACCACGTACGAGGTATCAGATACCAAGAAGACAGCCTCCAGCTGGCATGACCATACCCGCCCCAGGCCATACCGGAAACGCGTACGCCAACCCACCACAGCAAATGGGCGGCCAAGCCGCACCCGGCCAGGGATCGCACGGACATACGAACGGACACCATGCACTGCCCAACGGTCCGATAGCACCCATGCACGTGCCTCATGTGCACGCTCCACAGACCCAGGAGCCAGCGGACGGATGGAGACGAGTACAAGGAAGAGACTTCTACTCGCGCTTCGTCAATACCAGACGCACGCAGGTCATCGACTGGTCATCAGACAACCAACCGCACGTCCACGCACACGTAGCAGGACATGGCACGAACGATGAGGGGCATGTAGGCAGAACGCTTGCAATTCAAGAGGTCCTCCGAGAGCGAGGAATGCCACACGCGCGTATCACTCCTGCTGTACCCGCTATACCGCAAAGACAACATAACGTGGCACCGTACTACTATCACATAGGCAACATCACACAGGCACAGGCGGACGAGCTCGTCAGGGAGCACTGGGTCTCAACGGCCAATATCACTGTCGGTTTCGAACTACCCAACCACGAGCCGCCAACACTGATCGGGTTCTTCAGACACCCGGAACGCGTAGCCGAGCTCACGGACGAGGCGCTAGCGGATGGCTTCCGTACAGGCTTTAACGACCAGGACCTCCTCCGTTTCACGCTCGAGACCATCGACCGCGACATCCGAGCGGGCGGAAGATGGCGACACGTCCCCGTTGACGAGGCCTTCCAACAGATCCGTCGTTCCGTCCGTGTACGTCTACTCCGTCGAATTCACCAAGGCCACCCCGATCCTATCGCTGCACTGTATATTGAATCACCCACTGCTGACCCCGGGGATTGGAATGCGTTCAGGGAACGTGTTCGCCAACACATCTTCGGCTCAAGCCGCTCCGGCCCACCTGAAATCCTATGGGAGACCTTCCTCTGCGGCATATGCCATTCCGCTGACCACCCTACCGGACTATGCTACCTACCGAACGTACCTGGTTGGCACGGACCAACACCGGACTCTGTCAGAGCAGCCGCGCAAGAATACGCTAGGCGTAACCCAGCTCCTCCAACTCATGGACGCGGTGGCCGAGGAGGCGGCCAAGGACGTGGGGGACGCGGTAGAGGACGTGGCCGTGGAAATGATGCCTAGTAGCTTATTGCAGCTTAAGGACTACGAGTAGAGAGATCACAAAGAGCACGAGTATGTAACCGAGTACCGTATGTCAAGCAAGTCTCTTTGAAGCATAACCGAACCATACGGGAATAACATAAGAAAACGCCTAGTAAGAGAAACATCTAAGATACAAACAAACAACTAACACCTCGTCGATGATGACTGAGCCCAAATACACTGACCGAAACCGGGACAGGAAAGCCAGGAACAACGACGAGGATAACACACAGATTAAGGGCACTTCTAGACCTTGTCCTGCCGAGAGGCTTAAGCAACTAAGCATGTCACCTGAGTGGTCCAGGAGCGACCACCGCCTCCCGTGGATCGTTGTAGCGGGAACGTGTAGAGCAACGGCTACAAATATAAGAGAACACACACCAACGGTTGAACGTAACGGCAACGGACACACTCTCCTCCGCCTCAGAGCGGCAAACCAGTCCCCCGCCCTCGCGAACCGTAATGACGAGGCAGAGGAACACGGCGACGGGGCGACCCCGTTCACTAGCCTGAGTGAACGGGGCCGGGATCAGAACACAGAGCACAGCGAAGCGCAAGAAGCTAGAACAGAACAGCCCGTACAGAGGAACACGCTACCGCAAATAGGACAGACAGGCAGTCCGCGAAAGAAGGGTAGGAAGACACGCGCAAACATTAAGATAGGAAGTCTTAACATAAGCGGAAGAGGAAACATGGCGGGCATGGTAAACGATAAATGGAATTGTCTGAACCAGCTATGTAAGGAAGAACATCTTGGAATAGTATGCATACAGGAGACGCACCTAGATGACGAAAAAGTAACAACAATACATAGACTATACGGAAGAAGACTACGAGTATGGAACTCTGCGTCGATACTAAACGGAACCTCAACTGGAGGAGTAGCGATAGTACTTAATAGAGAGATGGTAGACACCGAGAGTGCACGCTTCACAGAGATTATACCAGGGCGAGCCGCGTATATGAAGCTCAGATGGCATCATGATATAAACATATCTATCCTGAATGTCTACGCACCCAATGCCCCAGCGGAGAATGCAGCATTCTGGGTAGCAATACGAACGCTAATAGAAGAAGGAAAGATGCCAAAACCAGACCTAGTCGTAGGAGACTTCAACGTAGTGGAGGAAGCAATAGACAGAATACCAGCGAAAGAAGATATGAACCAGGCGGTACAGAACCTGAAAGACTTAATGAGACTACTCCAATTATATGATGGTTGGAGACTATCCGAACCAACGAAGAAGGACTTCTCCTTCCCACAACGAGGAAGCATGTCAAGATCTCGAATCGACCGCATCTACGCGAAAGACACAATAATACAATCATCGATGACATGGGAGATAAAGACAACGATCGTACCAACGGACCACAGACTTGTATGTGCACACATCAGTACAGCGCAAGCACCATATGTGGGGAAAGGCAGATGGACGATGCCGGTTCAACTCTTAGACGATAACGCCTTCATAGAAGAAGTAAGACAACTAGGAACTAGAGCGATGAAGGAGATTAATAGGTTAGAACAGGAAAGGACAGACCAGATGAATCCACAATTGATATACAAACGCTTCAAAGAACAAATAAGAGATACAGCAAAGAAACGTCTCAAGCAGAAAGTACCTAAAATCAAGGCCGCTATACGGAGGCTCCAAGACCGACTGAACCAGATTGAGAATAGCGAGGAGTATGCGAAGAATAAAGAGGATCAGAGGGAATCCGCCCTGATACACGACCGGATAGTGGAACTGGAAAGGAAAAGACAACACTCAACAAGACTAACAATGACGGCAAGATACGCACTGAATGCGGAGAAACCGACAAAGTACTGGTCGAAAATCAACAAAGAAAAGAAACCGCGTGATATAATATACAACCTAAGGATACACGACCGAGATGAGACACAATATGAGACAAGGTCTGACAAGATGGCGGAGTTAGCAAGGATATACCACGAGAAGCTACAGGAGGATGACGCACCGGAAAAACAAGGTCAAGTAAGAGAGGAAGCAATGAAGGAGGCCCTCCAGGCAACTGAAACAAGGATGAAAGCTGAATACACTACAATGCTAACGGACGAGATAAGCAATGAGGAAATTGAACGCGCATTGAACAAAGCACAAACCGGGAAAGCAACCGGACTGGACGGCATACCATACGAATTTTGGAAGAAATTCGCCACACACATTGAATCGCAAGAAAGAGATAACGATGAGGAGAGCTTCAATAGCCTGAAGCTCCTATCAATAATCTTCAAAGATATCGACAAGTATGGATGCCAGAAAGAACTCAACTTCGCCGAGGGATGGATGTGCCCCCTATATAAGAAAGGCGACAGGAGAGAAATAGCCAACTATAGGCCAATAACCCTACTGAACACGGATTATAAGACGTATACGAGAATAATGACCGAGCGACTGAGTCAAATCGCGCCAAGCCTCATACACCCAAATCAAGCCGGGTTCGTGCCGGGAAGGCACATCGAGGATCAAACACAGACCTGCAGAGCCCTCATTGACTACGCCGAAGCCCTGGAAGAAGACGGGGCAATAATTGCGTTAGACCAGGAGAAGGCATATGACAAGATAGACCATGAGTACCTATGGAAAGTACTAGACGTCCTTAAAATCCCCCAGAACTTCATCAAGAAGATCAAGAACCTATACGACAAAGCAGAAACGGTGGTAATACTAAACGGAGAGATAAGCAAACCGTACACCGTGAAACGAGGAGTGAGACAAGGGGACCCACTATCGTGTCTCGTCTTCGACCTAGCAATAGAACCGCTAGCATGCATGCTGAGAGCATCCCACCTAAGAGGTTTCGAGATCCCAGGTGTGGTAGACCGCTTGATAACAACCCTTTTTGCAGACGACACATCAGCGTTCATATCTAAGCAAGATAAGTGGTCCGAACTGTGGTCAATACTCGCGAAATGGTGTATTGCATCAAGAGCAAAATTCAATAACGGGAAAACCGAAGTTATCCCAGTCGGAAGCGAGGAGTACAGAAAGCAAGTGATATCAACAAGGAAACTGAACCCAGACTACGATGAAGAAATACCAGCGAACGTACACATAGCACAGGAAGGCGAACCAGTCAGAATCCTAGGAGCTTGGATAGGCAATAACGTGAATAACGTTGCAGTATGGGCACCGACTCTAAAGAAGATCAGGACGATGCTAGAAAGATGGAGTAGATGTCACCCAACACTCACTGGAAAACGGAATATCGTACAGATGGGCCCTGGAGGTATGACGCAGTACCTAACCCTAGTCCAAGGAATGCCGAAGACAGTAGAAAAAGAGCTCACAAAGATAATACGAGAGTTTATATGGGGCGACAATGTTAAACCACCAATCAGCTTAGATATACTTCAACGACCGACAGACGAAGGAGGAATAGGACTCCTAGATATCAAAGCCAGGAATGAAGCAATAGACATGATGTGGTTACGAAAGTACTTACAGATAGGCGAGGACCGGCCCACATGGGCATACATAGTCGATGTCATCATGGCAATCAATGTAACAAGAGACGCGGGTAAAATAAGAAGAGACGCACAATTGAACACGTATCTCCAATCATGGGGACCAGCAACCAAAGGGAAGACGCGACTTCCAAAGTATCTACAAACAATGATGGCGACGGGGAAAAAATATAATGTCAGCTTCGCAGCAATCAAACTCGATAGGAGATTGAAAGAAGAACTACCAGTGTGGTACCACCTCGGAGCAACAAAACAACTACGAAGATTAAACAACACCAAAGTCAGCGACTGCCTGAGACAGAAGCATGGTGTACATGTGATAGCGAACCTACTGAAGGTAACAGAAACGCATATACCGATAATAAACGGGCAAATGGGAAGCGAGGCACAGATAGAGAATGAATGTGAATGCGATAAATGTGAAGACTTAAGAAACAAAGGGTGTAAACACCCAGAAACATGCCGACAAGCAGCAGCTAGAATACTAGGCCTTATAAGGCCGAAGTGGCACCCAGAGAACGAAAACAACGACGGACTCTCCCTCACACACAGAAGAAAGGAGAAGAACCAACAAGCCGTTGAGAACGAAGAGGCAACAACGTTTGACCCGTCAGTAACGTCCAGAGATGGCATAGCACAAGCCTTCAGGGCTTTTGTCAACCCCACAACACACGACAAGCCGCCGGCCATAAGACGAGGAAGAGCTAGGAACGTCCCAGAGGAAGAGACGACGGCATACATACTGGAGGTCACAGAGAAGAAAGAAGGAAGAAGGAGACCGAGACAAGAGAAGGAACTAGTGCGGAAGATCGCAGTCTACTTCGCAGACGGAGATGTAAGAAACGCCATACTAGAGGAGCAACACACGAAGGACGGAAGCAAGGTTCCAGGGGAGATTACCGGAGCGTTATACGCCGCCATAGTAACACCCAAAGACGCCACACTGAATTACGTGTGCACGAAAACACAACTATTAAGCATAATCACCGAGAGACTACCAAAATGGGAAGATAGGGGCTGGATAGGCGTGAAGATAGCAACGCACGTCAAAGCACTGGTAAACGGAATACGACAGAGATGTGCACCGACGACAATCAAGCAAGCGACGTCGGAACAAGATAGGAATACAATCAGAGTAGCCGAGACCGAGGCTGTAAGGGAGAGGACGACACAGTTCCACATAACCCAGACCCCGTCACTGGAGATGAACGAGCAGTTCGACCTATCAGGTGCGAAACTGAGTACTCTGAAGCAATCGACCGCGTACAAAGGCATAAGAGAACAAACACACAAACTGAGCAGAAGGACAACGGAGAACAATGTCGAAACAATACGAGACCGAAGACAAACACTCACCGGAAGCAGACCGACTGATGCAGAGATATGGAAAGGAACGAGACACAAAGACTTTAGACGAGTAACGTCAGACTTTATCTGGAAAATAATGCATGGAGCGATAAGGGTCGGAGAGTACTGGGAGAACATACCTGGCTATGAGCAACGAGCAACATGTAACGTCTGCGGGACAACCGAGACAGTACAGCACATCCTATTCGAATGCCAAGCAAACGGACAGAAGGAGATATGGGAACACGTCAGATACATATGGCAAAGGAGGAACACACCGTGGAAGGACTTACATGTGGACGACATACGAGCATTAGGCATGGACCAAGAGAAACAGGCAAGCAACATGAAGGTCGTGGGTGAAAGACGACTAAGAAGGATCATGATATCCGAGGCCGTTTTCATGATATGGAAGCTGAGATGCACACGGGTGATCGGACACGCAGAAGAGAACTGGCAGCACAGCAATACAGCGGTCAAACGACAATGGATCAGTGCAATCAATAAGCGACTAGAGATCGATAAAGAGATGACGAAGAAGAAATATGGAAGGAGCGCAATAGCCAAGAACACGATCCTAGCCACCTGGACGAACACTCTACACGAAGAGACCGACCTGCCCGAAGATTGGGTGAATATTAATGGGTTTTTAGTGGGTATTAAGCCGAACCTTAGGATTCAAATAGACCCCGGCTAAGAGTCCCACACTGGTTGAAGAACCGTGCGTAAATGCATTTTTGTCCCGGAGAGCATACGCGGGGAGACCCGCCTGCAGGCTGGAGGATCAAGATCAACCAATTGTGGATTGTTGACCTCCATTAACTTAGCCCTCCAAAAAAAAAAAAAAGAACTCTGAGGAAATGCTCACGGGTAAGGAGATCGGCGGATCTGAATACTGATTAGAATCTGTCAACAACACGCGTCAACATAACTAGTAAGTAAGTAAGTGTGGGAACGGCAGGTGGCGTTGCGCTGCTAGATCTTGGGAACGGGTATCAACTCTTCTGGTTCTCTGGCACCCGTGAACGCACCAGTTGCTTCGGCTCAGCAAGATGCCATGCTGCGTGCCTTTGCGCAGGCACAACGATCGCCAAAGGAGGTCGACTTCATCGAGTTGCACGCGACAGGTATGTTGAGTATTAAGTAGAGGTGTCTGTTCCATGATAGTGACATTGTCGTTCAGGCACGTCATCGGGAGACCCGACTGAGGCTAACTGGGTAGGCGTGCAGTTCAGACGCGATGCAGAAGTTCTTGTCGGGAGTGTCAAGGGCAATGTCGGGTATGTCGCAAGTACTGAGCTCCTGTTCATTGTCCTTACCTTATCCGCAGACATACCGAGATCACCTCTTTTCTCTCGTCTCTATGCAAAGTCTGCCATATAATCAAGCATGGTGTCATCCCACCCACCGTCAATTGCACCATCCCGAACCCGGCCATTCGATGGGCAGAACACAACATGCGCGTCCCCGTCGCACCGGAAGAACTACGAATTCGCTCGCCTTCCGGTCGTGCCCTCATAGCAATGTCCAGCTCAGGAATCGGAGGCGCAAACGGCCACTGCGTTATAGAAGCCCATCCCACCAACACCAATGGCATACCAAGTATATGGACGTGCAACAGGTCGATGATCCCGTCGCTCCTCATCGCAGGCGGCTTGTCACCGCGATCTGCGTCGGCTGTTGGTGAGACGCTCAAAAACATCCCGGCCGACCGCGACTGCACTCGGGTCGTCCGTGCACTCGGTCGACGCGCACGCTCCATGCTGTGGAAGGCATACTCTGTCTTCTCAGAGGGACAGACTCCCCGCTTCTCGGAGCCTGTTCTCGTTCCCAAGGTCGCGCCGCATATCGTGTTCGTCTTCTCCGGACAAGGCCCTCAACACTGGAACAGTCAGTAGGCTCTTCGCGCATGTACGATATGTAATCTTTCTGACTGGCTTCGCAGCGGGCCGCGAGATGTTCAGGACGTGCGCCCCCTTCCACGACACTGTTGTGGATCTCGACCGAGTCTATGCTCGTATGACTGGCAAGTCGCTCATCACAGATATCGGCCTTCTCGACGGGTCCGACGCGCGCGATAGCCTGGGAGATCTCTGGCCGATCTCTGCCACCTTGCCTGCACTGACAATCCTGCAAATCGCACTTGTCGATACCCTCCGTGCGATCGGCGTGAAGCCGGATGTCGTCGTCGATCATTCTGCGGGCGAGACGGGCCGGGCACGGTGTTGTTCCGAGGAAGACGGGAGCGGCCCTCGATCTCCATGAGATGCAAGGTAAGATTTATACGCGTCCTAGACATACATGACCGTGCCGGACCCATACATAGAGCGTGTCATATAACTGAGGTGGTTTGGCCGATGAACAACTTCCCCGAGAGGCACAGGCTGTTTGTTGGACTGGTGGTGGCGCATAAATAGCCACACCACATTATCAGGTAACATCGTCACCGGCCGGTGTACATTCTCTCAGACACTGAGCAACCGGTCATGCGAATCCAAACTACTGAAGGTTTTGAAGTGCAGATACACACACGTTCGCGTCTCAGGCCGAAATTATTGTCGAATCTCAACTACGTGAGTTGCTTTCGAGATTTGTGCCAGGTGTCATCCGGTCTGATTTGCGAAACACAGTCGTGCACTTCATCAATCGGTAAACTCCAAGTATCTAGGTCAACCCAGACCATTTCGACAGGAACGTAGAGACGCTATGTGCCAGGATGCTGCGCAGAAGTATGTAAACGATAGTCAAAGTAGACGGCTATTTGACACTTACTCGTGAACTCCCCAAGTTGGATGAAAGCTGCGGAAGTGACAGGTCGTCAGTTCACGCACCAGCAAGTCGAAGAATCAACCTACTTGTTCCACCAGAAGTACGTGGCCGCGGAGTACTGATCCTGGTCCGCCAACCCCGTCCACCACCCCGCTGTCACGCATCAGCCCATCATCCAACTGCCATCACCGGACGCAACTCACCTGTGACGTTCGTGAACCCCAGCACCTCCGCATTATCCAGCGCAAAATCAAAGAGCTGGTGCGTCGGATAGATGTTGACGTCCACCGCGATCCCGAGCGTGCTCGAGTTGCGCTTGAAGACCTCGACGTTCGCCGCGAGTTGTGCGTTGTAGTCGAGCGCGGCGAGCGACTGCAGCGTCGCGTTGTTCGGCTGGTATGGCAGGGTGTGTGCGGATTGGTTGAGGAGGTTCGGCGTGCGGCCGACGTCGGGGACCTGTAGATGATTCCTTAGCGTGTGCCGTGAAGTGGAGCGGGAGACGGGCTTGCCTGGAGGAGCAGGAAGTTGCGTGCACCGGCGGAGCGCAGGAGGGCGAGGCGCTCGAAGTAGGAGGCTTGGACGCGCGCATTCGTTCTGTGTTGGGTTTCGTTGGTCCAATAATAGGACTTGCCGATGTCGTTGATCCCTGCAGGACATGGTTATGGCTCGTCAAGAACTGAAATCCACAGGCAAGCATCGCGACATACCGAAGAAGACCGTGAAGAGCGAGTCGTCCGCTGTCCAGGGGGTTGCGCTGTTGTTCGCGTAGCCGGACAGGAAGTTGTTGACCTGGTCGCGGAAGCTTTGTGTCGAGGAGGAGGTCTGTGCGACGATCGTCTCGTCTGTCACTGCGCCGCCATAGCTGCATTGACCAATGTCCCTAGATTAGAGACGTACGCTTGGACTGGAAAAGAAACTGACGCGAAGTTGTAAAGTGCGATTTCGCTGACGTTGTACGTGTCCGTCACCCACTCGACCCACATCTTGCCTCCAGACGTTGACTGACAAGTCCCTCTCAGCACTGTCACGAGCCAACAGACAGACGTACCCACTCACCTTCGAATCTTGGCTCGCAGTCAAGGTGCCGTTCACGAACCGCGCGTATGTGTCCGTATAGGAGTCTCCGAACGAGAACACATGCTTGACATTGGGCCAGTAGAACTTCGTGCTCGCGACCGCGGCCCGAGCACCAGCGACCAGCAGAAAGAATGACAGTTTCGAGGCGAGCATCCCGGTTGTCGATCCTTAGCTTGAAGAGGCTATGGTGCTGTACCGAGGAAGACGGGAGCGGCCCTCGATATCCCTGAGACGCAAGGTACGCCTTATACGCGTCCTGGACATACATGACCGTGCCGGACCGCGGGTCGGGCCCCGGATGCACGTCGGGTGATCAGACGCGTCCATCTCACACTCGCACTTCGCACGCGGATGTAGTAGGACTGGACATCCGCGTGCGAAGTGCGAGTGTGAGATGGACGGCTTTCGTCCCCATGTTCCTGGTCTTGACTCTCTGTAGTCTTGGCACGCACTGGTAGCCTTGCCCTGGTAGCAGCTTCTCTTCAGGTTGAGGATCCGTTTCGTCAAGTCAACGAGCCTAACTTTGAGTTACAGAATGAAAGCATCATATATGATACGTCGTGAGAGGGTCAGACGCACTCGCGGCGACGCGTCTCCTGTCGCGGTCCGGGGGATGGTCGCGACACAGTCAGATGAGACAGACCCGTGACCGTGTTTGCCTCGACATAACAGCACATACTTACATACTAAGCCCGCGCCGATTATGAACGTCTACTTTGCATTGGTGTACCGCATGGGAAGGTGTGTCTACGAAAACATACCCCACCTACGTACGTAGGTCGACTCACCCACCTGCCCGAACTGCGACACAGCACGCGAATCAGTTTACCACTACCTGCTTGAGTGCCCGGCGCACGACGACCAACGCGCGAGGCTAGCGCACGACCTTGGACCCGCCGTTGCGGGGTCGGTCCGCCACCTTCTGACCGAGCCGAAGGCGTTGAGCCCACTGTTCCGCTACATCCACGCTACAGGCCGCTTCGCGGCCACGTACGGCGAGCTCACGCTACGAGACAGCGAACGGAAATGATCGCCTACGGCGATCGACTACTACGACGCACACACCACCTACTATACCCTGTCTCATACTGTACTAATATCCCCTATCTCGACGGTGTTCGAGCATACTCAGTGATTCATTAGTCAACCAACGGACTCTACACTACGTACATCTTATGTCTACATAGGGCTACGCCCTCAGTGACAATAAAGGGAACAAACAAACAAACAAACCTACGTACGTAGGGAGGTCGACAGCGGTGTTACGCGCGGTGTCCAGGTTTAGAGTAAGTACGGGCGCCTACTCTGAGTGACGTCGATACCCACGTGGCGCAGGAGACTCGATCGTCAGATCTGAATCGGCTCAAAGTCTAAATGGTGTTTCCCCCGAACGACGATCTCTGCTTGTCCTCGACGTTCAGACACGTCTGCCCACCCACACAGGAGACCTCTCGCTCATCTCTACTGCTAGTAACAGAGTCCCGCAAAACATCTGCGCAACAGCGGGGGCAGGAATGGGCGGCGGACGAGGGATGACGCAAGGGTATGTCACTGAGGACGGTGGAGCACCCAGCCGCTTGTGATGCTCCTGCGCTCGAAATACGATTCCTGCGCGGTGCGTGTATCCAGACTGCTACAGAGGGCTCTTGCTCCATGCCGTCCCTGCCGCCCACTCTCCTGACGCTATGCGTATGCCGCCATGTCGCCGCCTAGCGTCAGCCTCCTCAGTCGGACATATAATCCTACTCCCCGCGCCCCCCACAGCGACTTCCTTCCGCTTGTGCTTCCTGCCAAGTCCGCCGCGACATGCCTCTCATCCACCGCAAGAAGGCCAAGCCTCAGGACGAGGAGTCTGCCACCAACGGTACTGCTAACGGCACTCCCACCAATGACAAGGACGAACACCGTACGTGCTGGTGCCCGTATGCCGTGTCGCCCAACTCACACCACCCGCTTCTAGGTTACGACGAGGGCGACGAGTACGACATCCTGCTACGATATGCCCAAGACGAGGCCGCAAAGCTCGAACGCGGCGAGGATGACGAAGACGAGGAGGATGAAGGCGAGGAACGACGACTCTGGTACATGCCCTGGAAGAAGGTCCGCACAGGCAGCCACAAGGAGAAGAAAGTCCCTGCGGACTGGCTGCGCACCGACATGCAGCAGGGTCTCCCGAGCTCAGAGATCGAGAAGCGCAGAAAGAGCTTTGGCTGGAACGAGCTGCAGAGCCAGGAGGAGAACCAATTCCTCAAGTTCATTTCCTACTTTCGCGGGCCCATCCTGTACGTCATGGAACTCGCCGTCATTCTATCGGCTGGTCTGCGCGACTGGATCGATTTCGGTGTCATCGTGCGTCTCTGCGCGTTTTCGACGTCATGGCGCGGGTACTCACGCCTTTGACAGATTGGTATCCTATTCCTAAACGCCGGAGTGGGTTGGTACCAGGAGAAGTGAGTGTACAGTCCCAGACGCCGCAGTACCCTCTAACGCCCGGTACAGACAGGCTGGTGATATCGTGGCACAACTCAAAGCTGGTATGGCACTCAGGGCATTGGTTGTACGTGATGGGCGCGAGCAGGAAATCGAAGCTCGAGATATTGTTCCTGGAGATATTGTGAGTCCCGGTGCTGTCAGCTCACGCATATCGCGGGAATGCTCACTGGTTCCAACAGATCGTCCTGGAAGAAGGCAGGACTATCCCCGCAGACGCGACGGTGAGAATCCGCTCTCATTGCTGTTAGAACTCATGCTGATCCCCCTCTAGATCCTCGCCGATTACAGCGACAAGTCGGGAGCGAAATCAAAGCCGATTATGGAGAAGCGCGGCCGCTCCAACAGCGCGTCGTCTGGTTCATCCAGCCAATCGCACAAGGGCCCGTCCGTGCTCTCCGTCGACCAGTCCGCGATCACGGGCGAGTCGCTCGCAGTGGAAAAATACCTCGGCGACGTCGCGTACTACACGTGCGGCGTGAAGCGCGGCAAGGTGTACGGCATGGCGGCGTGCACCGCGCAGCAGAGCTTCGTAGGCAGGACGGCGAACCTGGTCATGTCGAGCAACGAGCGCGGCCATTTCCAGATTGTGCTCGATGGCATTGGGAACGTGCTGCTGGTTGTTGTGATTGCGTTCATTTTCATTGTGTGGGTCGGTGGGTTCTTCAGGCATGTGGGCATTGCGACGCCGGCCCAGAACAACTTGTTGGTGTATGCGCTGATCTTCTTCGTGAGTCGTCTGTCCTTCCGTGTGTCCTCAATGGCTGTGTTCATGTCGCGCCTCGTAGATCATCGGTGTGCCCGTCGGTCTTCCTTGCGTGACTACTACGACGATGGCCGTCGGCGCAGCGTACTTGGCAAAGCAGAAGGCGATCGTGCAGAAGCTGACGGCGATCGAGTCCCTTGCTGGCGTCGACATGCTCTGCTCGGACAAGACTGGCACGCTGACCGCGAACAAGCTCTCCCTGAACGAGCCGTACATCGCGCCGAACGTCGATCCGGACTGGTTCATGGCCGTCGCGGCCCTGGCGTCGTCGCACAACGTCAAGTCGCTCGACCCGATCGACAAGGTGACCGTCGTCGGGCTGAAGGACTACCCGGGCGCACAGGAGATCCTGCGGGGCGGGTGGAAGACATCGAAGTTCACGCCGTTCGACCCCGTCTCGAAGCGGATCACGGCGGAGGTGGAGCGCGAGGGCAAGAAGTACACCTGCGCGAAGGGCGCGCCGAACGCGATTCTGCGCCTCAGCGAGTTTGATCCGGACACGATCAAGGCGTACCGGGCGAAGAGCCAGGAGTTCGCGCAGCGCGGGTTCCGCTCGCTGGGTGTGGCGGTGCGGGAGGGCGACCAGCCGTGGCAGCTGCTCGGCATGCTCGCTTTGTTCGACCCGCCCCGGACGGACACGGCTGCGACGATCCACGAGGCCATCGACCTCGGCATACACATCAAGATGCTCACGGGCGACGCGATCGCGATCGCTATCGAGACGTGCAAGCAGCTTGGGCTCGGCACGAATGTGTACGACTCGCAGAGGCTGATTGGCGGAGGCATGGCTGGCTCGGAGGTGCGCGACTTCATTGAGGCGGCGGATGGGTTTGCGGAGGTGTTCCCGGAGCATAAGTACCAGGTGGTGGCGATGCTTCAGGAGCGTGGGCATCTTACGGCGATGACGGGTGACGGTGTCAGTGAGTATCGTTTTGGCATCTGGTATGGTTTTGAGTGCTAGGCTGATTCCGCATACAGACGATGCTCCCTCGTTGAAGAAAGCGGACTGTGGTATTGCTGTTGAGGGCGCGTCCGATGCAGCGCGGACGGCAGCGGATGTCGTGTTCCTGGACGAGGGTCTCAGCACGATCATTACCTCGATCAAGGTCGCTCGCCAGATCTTCCACCGGATGAAAGCCTACATCGTCTACCGTATCGCGCTTTGTATCCACCTTGAGCTCTATTTGGTATGTCCGCCTCTTCCTCTGAATTCGGGCTTGAGCTCATGCCAATCATGTAGTGCCTTTCAATGCTCATCCTCAACGAGACCATTCGGGTGGACCTCATCGTCTTCTTGGCCATCTTCGCTGAGTACGTTTCCTGAAATCCGCTGTGGTGTCACGCTTCTGACATCTTTCCGTCAGTGTCGCGACTATCGCCATTGCCTACGATAACGCCCCGTACGAACGCAAACCTGTAGACTGGCAGCTCCCGAAGGTCTGGATCATGTCAACCCTCATGGGCGTGTTGCTCGCCGGCGGCACTTGGATCATTCGTGGCACGCTCTTCCTCTCCGACGGCGGTATCATTCAGAATTTCGGAAGCGTCCAGGAGATCCTGTTCCTCGAAGTCGCGCTGACGGAGTCTTGGGTCATCCTGATCACGCGTATGTCGACGGGTCCGGACTCGGGACCGTTCGCCTGGCCGTCGTGGCAGTTGCTCGGCGCGATCCTCGGTGTGGATGTCCTCGCCACGATCTTCGCGCTTTTTGGATGGATCTCGGGGCCGGGCGAACATGCTGGATGGATTGACATCGTCACCGTCGTCAAGATCTGGGCGTATTCCTTTGGTGTCACCGTTGCCGTCGGCTTCCTCTGTAAGTCACTTGGGTCGACATGCACAATGTCCGCTGACCCTCTGCTACAGACTTCATTCTGAGCAGGATGCGCTGGCTCGACAACATCGGGCGGCGCAACCGGAGCAAGAAGGACGTCAAGCTCGAGAACTTCATCACGGAGATGCAGCGGCTCACGTTTGTGCACGAGAAGGACGCGCAAGGCGAGTCGTACTACCGCCTGTCGTCCGGGCCATCGGGCCAGGAAGAGAAGAAGGCCTCCGAGAAGCCGCAAGCGGCCAAGGCGGGGAGCACGCGCAATGCCGCGGAGGAGGCACAGAAGTCGGAGAAGGGCGAGAAGGACGACGCACAGGAGAAGGGCAACCAAGTTGAGCCGACGGAGGCGAAAGAGGGTGGGGACAGTGCGGACAACGCCCAGGGCAATGAGGAGAATCACGAAACCCGCGATGCGAGTGGTGACGGCCAAGCGTCCAGCTAGGCGTAGACGTACGTGCAGGGTTAACCACGCACGGTTGGTTATGCTAGAAACGCGGACTGCTAATTGACTTGGACACATGACATATGTACATATAGCTTGTATTCTTGCACCATTTATCCCGTCCTACCACGGATCTCTTGTACTAGGCTTTGACGAGTAATTGCCATAAAATAGCATGCAACGTAGTGTAATTGAACCGACCATGCACCTCCAGGCCTTCAGCTTCAGGAGGGATAGTGATCTACATGAATATCGTGAATACATAGCCCGACTCAGCAGCCTGAGTAGGGTTCAGCCTTTCAGATCTAGAGAGATTATGGTCGCGTACGTTAAGCCCGCGCCGGTCTGGAGTCATGTTCAGTTGAAGCCCCAAAGCACCAGACGGCGTGTGATATGCAGCGGAGCTGTTCAAGTCCTAGACTATTAACATCGTGGTTGAACGTTGATACTCAAATCAACAGGGACTCGCTACTGTGGACTTCAGGCGTCTCGTCTGGCACCGTGTTTGGCTGTGGCTGTGGGCTAATCTCGCAAAGGAAGTCATGATCAGTAGTAGCAGATGAACCACATTGCGGCGACATAATGCGTCCGGTAAGCGAGACATCTCGAGACTCATAGAAGGTCGCGCATGTGTGGCAATGCTCTTGAACTCTTTCTACCATCATCTCTTTGTCAGGCTGACAATTGCTGACAATCGAGTCTTTCGTACAAAACAAGTCCTTCTCGGTTGCGCATGTATTCTCTGACCCAGAGAGCTGGCAGCTTGAACATGCATGAAGAGGGCCCTAGAGAGTCAGACTCTAAGCAATATGTACGTTATATTCTGGTTCATCCGAACCGGTGGGAAAACGACTCGGAGACTGATATAGAACTCCTGCCGCAGACCCAATCGGAACACCTCTCTTCGAAGGGCATTAGATCACTGACAGGCGACTCGGAGAAGGTGACGATAAGTGAAGTATGTCCAAATAGTCAATGTATAGTGTGTCACCGAGTATGCTAACGTTCTCTCTCACTGCAAAGGTTACTCCACAAGTGTCCGACCCGGCTCCTCCTGAACAAGCCGAGACAGTGCCCGCAGCTGTGAGTACAATCCTACGATCGCACCGGGGTATGGGACAAAAAGTCGCCACTTCATTTACTCATTATCCTTTCAGTCCACTCTCAGTCCCGAGGCTTGGGCCTTCTACGTGGGTCATGCGTCAAAGAGCCGCACCAACTTTGTGGAGTCTTGGAATATGCAAATGGATAGCCTCCTTCTATTTGTGCGTGCTCACTCTTAAATGCTTGGGCGCTCGAGCCTTCGATGATGTGGCAGACAGTTCACACAAGACTTACATCACAGGCTGCTTTATTCTCTGCAGTTGTGTCGGCCCTCGTTTCCACAACATATCCCCTACTGTCTCCCGACTCGGGAGATCAGAGTGTTCGCCTGCTGCAGGAGATACTTCTGGCTCTCCAATCGAACGGCAGTACAGGGAACCTCACAACAGGAGCGATTTCAAGTCCCAACGCCGGAGCATTCGCTCCACAACCTTACGCCGTGCGCGTGAACGCCGTCTGGTTTGCAAGTCTCGTGGTCAGTGTTTCTGTCTCATTCCTTGCCATCCTCGCCAAGCAATGGCTCTTCAACATCAGCGAGCGATTGGATCCATCTCCAGAAACCTGCGGTCGGCAACACCAATATCGTTTCCACAACATCCGAACATGGAGGTTGACAGCTATCTTGGCGTCTCTCCCTGTTCTCCTGCACATATCGCTTCTACTCTTCTTCACCGGGCTCATCGATATGCTGTGGGCTGTCAACGAAACAGTGGGTGCGGCAGTAACGAGCCTGGTGGGTGTCACAGTGGTCATCTATGTTGGCACCCACATGCTCTCTCTTCTCTTCCGAACGTGTCCCTACAAGTCGTCGGTGACCACTGCAATCCTCAGCGGCACAAAAGCACTTGTCTCGGAGCTCCTCGCTGACATGATCTTCATTCTCCTCTATTTCGTGGGTACTGTGGCAGTGGCACTGTTGCGACTCACTCGCTGGTTCAGGATATACGACCAAAGCGGGACATATTTCGCGTGGTTGTCGACCTACACGTCCCAAGCATCATTTTGGCGCAGGGATCTCAAGCTTGATTACGACAGGCAACTGATTTCCTACGTTGATCCACGGGCACGGGAACATGCATACATCATGAAGCATACTGAACTCATGGATGCCTCTATACTGGCCCAGATGGTCGAAACATTCCCTCGTACCGAAGAGACCACGGAGCTCATCATGGGCGAACTCATTCGCTCGCTCTTTCTCCCCCGGTACAGACGGCTCTTTCTCGCTGCTGGGGTGGTTCCCTTCGTGGCGCAACGGCTCCGCTCTATATACACAGGCCGATTCAAGGAGCTTCCATCTGCCACACAACCCGAAATCTTGCACCACACCAGAGTCCTTACCCAAATCCTCACCGAATGCGATGAAGACAACCGGCTCACAGATCTATCAGACAAACGCATGCCCATCTACTTCAGGGGGTTACTTGAGGAATACTCGGATGATGCGGGGAAATCGCTCATAACACTGTCGCTCTGCATCGCTGATGCTGCCCTCACCGACACCGACCACATCGTCTTCTTCTCGTACATGCTCCGACTGCAGCTCGCCGCCTCATCTACCAGCTGGTATGTCCGCGACATCTGCAAGTCTGTCCGAGACTTCTATAGCCGCCTCGCCAACTTCCGTGGATTGCGCGAGCTGAGCAGTGATGATCAGCTGTCGCTCGTGAATACAGCGATCTACATTGGGACCCGGCCTGTCCAGCTTGAAGCCCACGCGTCGAGCGACGAGGTGGAGAAGGCACGCAACGAGAATAGGATCGTGGCACTCGATACGTTATCTGCTCTCACGACGAACAATCCAACGATGGAGCACGCCGCGCTCCAACAGATCTCCTGGGGTATGTGGATGATGTGCGACCCAGACTCTGACACGGTCTTCTTCGATCGCGATCTGCTCGTCCCCCGCGTGCGGAGAACTATGAAGCTATCGACAAACCTCGCCCGATACCTCTCTCCGAACTACGACTTCTCCGCGTACCCTCACGCAGTCCTCACTCTCTTGGAACCACTCCTCTATCACAAAGGCCACCCAGGCCACCCGGCTGACGAATCGACACAGACCGACCGTCTGCAGCTGTTGAAGACACTGGTCACCAAATACCCGCTTTTCTTGGATGAATTCCGCGCGCAACTCCACTCTGCCCTCGATGAAATGGACACCCTCACGAACCCGTTGTTCCAGCTCTCACCGCCTAATCTACTTCGCCTCATCCGAATGATAGTCAGAGTGTCACTCTGCCTGGCTTACTTCGACTGGCCCGATCTGGATGTGACTCTCCCGGACCGCGAACAACTCATACGCCAGACGCTGGACATACTCTTGCAGGTCTGCGATCATAATCACAGGACAGAGTCTGATGCCTGGGAAGGCATCTACTCGCTTGCGTACAGTGCTGCTTCTCAATTTGCGATGCTGCAGATCGAGAAGTCCTCTACGGGACCGACACTCCGGCAGTACACCAACCCAGACGATCTGGAGTTCGACATCGGTTCCCCGGAGAGCGTCGCCTCGTCAATGACATCCGTTTTGGAGAAGGGATCCGAGATACAGGAGTTACAGGAACCACCGGACGTACTGAGGACCATCCTCTCCATGATCGCCTTGCAGTCCGGCCGACTCTCCGTCCAAAGCGCGACGAAATACCCCCTTGGCGTATTCCGTCATTTCTTTGACCAGTCTCCACGTCTCACCGACGCCTTACAAATCCTACAGCGGAGCAAGCAATGTCATGCGGAGGCAACGCGGGCTATCGAAGCTCTGCAGCAGGACGCACTGATCTGGCAGACCTCCAACGCTCCTCCACGGGACGAATCGCTGTACCACGACAGCCTAATATCGCGTGAAGAGAGCCCCGGTAACCAGCAGACGTTGGGTGTAGCGGTAGGTGACTTGACGTCGCAGACAGCGGATTGAGCTCTCAGCGAGACGTACCGGTAGAATACGGCGCACTTATACCCGGGTACCTAGCGAAGGGAGACTGACCGCATACATACATAGCGATACGGAGCCATCCGGTGCATAATACCTTCAGCAGCAAACCATAGAAGGAGGACGTCAACTCGGTGATCGGAACTTGCCTGATAATTGGATCCTAACATCGACAACACAAAGCGATGAGTGGCTAGCAATGCAACGTTCATAGCAAACAGTCCCAAAGACACCTTCAAGCCACCGTTGTCGCGGCAGTGCAACAGCGAATATATATCGACGACACATCGCGCTGAGACGTGCTTGTCATCCGCTCCCAGCCTCCTATGTAAGAACTCTCTCGCCAACAGGCAGCTCTTCTGTGCCCGGGCAGGTCGAGTGATTGACCACGGAAGCGTTAGTGATGTGCTGACTTCTTGCCTATAGGGAGACCATTACTCATCCAGTTGTGAGCGGACACTATACTATCACGTACCATCGACGAACATATTCCGGGTGGCTGAGGGGAGTGTTGCTGTCATCCCGTCCAGTTCGCGCGTCAGTTGGACTTGACATCCGAGCCGTGAAGTGTCCGTCAGACCGAACGCCATGTCGAGCATGTCATTCTCATCATCCTGGGCAAAGGACCGATTGAGTTGAGTAAACACGCAAATTCAGAATGTCAGCATCACCTCTGGCTCGGGCAGAAGGTCGTAGTGCTCTGGCGTGAGGATTACATGACATGTCGAGCATGCGACGGATCCCTCGCAGGCTCCTAAGAGCAGAGGGGGTCGTAAGTGGGTCGAGTTCAAAAATGTATCGGACTGTGAAGACGACTCACCCTCAAGGTCAATATCATGCTCATGTGCAATACTGAGGATGTCGTCCCCCTCGTTCGCCTCTACAGTCTTGATGAGGTTACCCTTCGAGTCCTTGAAGTGCAGCTTGATCCTGCCACAATACATATCGTTAATTCAGTGCTACAAGAAACGCTAAGGCAGCGACGTACCCTGTGCCGGGCTCTGGACGAGTGAGGTGCCCGTGCCTTAAAACTTGACCCGGGTGTCAGAGTGTTGAGCCAGTAAAGTACAGGATAGACTCACCTGCGCTTGTGTGCAATGCACGCTGTCTGCTAAGGGGTGGGAGTGTCCGACCGACCGAGTGCCACCTACTCGGCGAAGTAGCGAAGAGGGACTCTGAGCGAGGCTCGTGCGAGACTTTGCTCATATTGCGGATGTGTTGAGGTACACATCTCCTCGAAGAAGACGACACCGCATTTGCAGGCGCAGGAATGCGAGCCAGAGCAGCGAGAGTTCGTGCAGACATGGTGGGTAGCAGCGAGGCGAGTTCAAGCGTGCAACAAGCGTTTTGGGTGCAGCTGAGAGCTGTGGGAAGGCTCGACGACGGTGCCTCAGACGAGGGGCGTGCCCTATGGGTAGGCGGGGATTTGGAGGATATGAAAGCAGCGAGCGGGGACTGGTCTGCGGGACCCTTCTCCGGCAGATACTGACGCTTCCTCGCGGCGCTGACACGCATCACGTGCACCATCACGCGTCGCGTCGCGTCGCCCGAATCTTCGCGTCCTTAGTCCGACATGTTCACAGCCTACAAGTCATACGCGTGCGCGCAGCTGTAATGCCTCAAATAATCCGTAGTGCATGAGATGGGTGTACATCTTGACGTGTCGTGTACGAGTGATGGCCCGAAGCATTGCGCACCGCATATTGATGCAAAATACCGTTGCAGGCTAGCAGGACCGGGTATGGTCATGATATGTGACATGTAGATATTCAATGTTCGATGCAGTGAGTACGTGTACGATTCATCTCATGTAACAGCTGCGACAAGCGTCAGTTGGGATGACTAGATGGAGCTGCTATGGAGTACGCACTGTACTTGGGGCCGCCACCACCCTCTGGGACTGTCCATGTAATATCTTGCGTCGGAACCTTGATGTCGCACAGCTTGCAGTGTATGCAGTTCTACAAGGGCGATGCTCAGCATTGTATCACGCGCGTACAGATGGAGACATTACCTGTGAATTGATCACAAGCTTCTTCCCTCCCCATCCTTCGCTATCTTCACTCTGAGCGGCCTCGTCATCCACGTACTCGTATACTTGTGCTGGACATGCCCGCCCAAGCAGCCCGGCGTACTCGCCCACGTTAACCTTCACATGCTCTCTCCTCACCGCCTTGCTCTCCTCATATTGCTCCGTCTCCAGCCCCTCCTTCGTACCCGGCTTCACTTCCAACCCCGCATCCGCCGAGCCCTTCCCATACTTCCGCACACGCAGATGTACCGGCTGGTCCTCGGCATGGTTCGTGCCCGTCAGCGCCAGACTCGTCAGCAGATCCGTGCTCAACGGCGGCTCGAACGGCGGGTACTCAATCGGCGCGCACTCACTCGCGCGCTTCGTGTGCGCCGCGTCGCTCAGCTTCTTCGTATTCCGGAACGTCCACGGGGTGCGGCCCTTCAGGAGGAGCGTGTCGACGCCCGAGTACGCGATCCCGCCCCACATCCCGAGCGGCGTGTTGAACGACGGCCGCACGTTGCGCACCTCGTGCAAGTCCGCGTACGCCCAGCTGTTCCGGAATGTGGTCTCGTACGCGCTCATGTCTGCGGGCTCAGAGGAGCCCTCTTCTTGCGCGGAAATGGCGTCGTAGGCGGCTTCTGCGGCGAGCATCCCGCTCTTCATGGCGTTGTGCGTGCCTTTAATCTTGGCGACGTTCACCATGCCAGCGGAGCACCCGATGAGTGCGCCACCTGGGAAGTACAGCTGGGGCAGGGACTGCAGACCGCCTTCGTTGAGCGTGCGGCCACCGTATGCTATTCGGGTCGAGTTTCCGGAGAGCAGGTCCCTGAAGTATGGGTGGTGCTTCATGCGCTGCATGAATTGCTGTCAGAGGTGCACTCATTCAGGAATGCGGTCACGGTTACCTGGAGTTCCCGGTACGGGCTGATGTATGGGTTGGCATAATCCAGCCCAATAACCAAACCCAAGCTGACAAGGCCGTCCGCCATGTGATATACCCATCCACCGCCGTACGTTTTCCAGTCAACTGGCCAGCCCATCGTATGCACCACCTCTCCCGGCCGGTACTTACTCGGGTCTACGCGCCATACCTCCTTCACGCCCATCCCGTACGTCTGCGGATCGCTGTTCTCCCGCAACCGGAACCTCCGGATGACCTCCTTCGAGAGCGAGCCGTGTGCGCCCTCCGCGAGCAGGGTGACGCGCGCGCGGAACTCCATACCGGGCTCGAAAGTGTCCTTCATACGCCCCTCGCGGTCGAGCCCTACCTCGTTCGTGCGCACCCCGAGCACGCTCTTTCCATCCGGCCCGTAGACCAGTCCGGCACCTGCAAATCCGGGGTAGACTTCTACGCCGAGTTCTTCGGCGATGGTCCCTAACCAGGCGGTGAACTGCGAGAGCGAGAGGATGTAGGTACTCATTTTCTTCATCTGTGGCGGCTGCGGTATGCGTAAGGATGAGGACTTGGTGAAGAAGCGCATGGAGGTGTGTGTAGTGGGTTGGGTAAGGGGGTGACCGGAACGCTCCTGCCAGTCGGGGAGTAGCTCGTTCAACGCGCGAGGCTCGACCACCGCGCCGGAGAGGATATGAGAGCCTATGCGACAGATTAAGCTTCCATATGCACACAGGTAGTGTAGTGAATAATGAAGTCAGCCAATAGTGTAAATCCTTGGACGTCGGACGTGCTCCCTATAGCGCCAATGAGGTCATGGAGAGTAGGGCTTCGTAGTAGTCGCAGAGCAAGGGTCATTGCACAACAAACACTCACCGGCTTCAGCACCCTTCTCCAATACAACCACACGGATCTCCCTGCCCTTCTCCTGCTCGAGCTGCTTCAGCCTAATGGCTGCACTCAGCCCAGCGGGGCCACCGCCGACAATACAGACGTCCACTTCGTCCGAGGCCCTCTCGACATTACTAGGGTCAAAAGGCTCTCGTCGCCGGCGGGGTGTAGAGTGTAGAGAGCGCACGGCGCGCAAGGCGGCGCTCTGCTGCCTGTGCAGACGCAGCATGGCCGAACGGAGTCAGGAGAGGATGGACGGGGCGAAGAGGTTATGAGCAGGCACCGGCTAAGTCGGGCAGACCAATCACAGGGAAAGCATATGATGACCCCGCAGTGACCAGGGTCTCCAGATCCAGCAACGATCGAGATGCGCGGATCGCCGGACAGGAGTCCGTCCTCCTGACACTGCTGTGTCATGACGGCGCGTTTGCTGCGCGCGCCCATCACATCCATGCTCATGACCACCGTGACCCCTCGCGTCCACACAGCTTCATAGCTTCTGCTTTTCAGACATACACTGTAGCACTTCGGAACCTTGCTTGAGACTGGAGGACAGACTCTGCGCACGAAGAATAGGGTCGGTGGCGGGCCATGACCGGGTTCGCGTCTATACCTCTCGCTGAGCAAGGAGGCGGTGGGCATAGCGATACTCAGCTAGCGGGAGTCGCGCGAGTACTGGGGCCAAGATGGCTGCAGCTACCTGCGCTCACGGTGGGACTGCTTGGCGTGCAAGTCTTCTGGTCTATAGAGATGTCGTACGGTGAGTCTCCTGTAATTACCTACACTTGTGCGGGGCGAGTTGACTCTGTGCACAAGGTACACCGTACCTTTTATCTCTCGGCCTCTCCAAGTCTGCCGTTGCGACAGTGTTTCTTGCTGGCCCAATCTCAGGGCTGCTTGTACAGCCTCTCATTGGTACACTCACTTAATTCGCGTGACCTACATCTGCTAGAGCGTAGCAATTAGGTGTCCTCGCTGATAACTCAAAGTCACGCTTCGGACGTCGGAGACCGTACATGTTCGCAGGCACCTGTATATGCGTGGTCGCGATGCTGCTTCTTGGCTTCACGCGGCCATTCGCTAGCATATTTACGCCGTCCGAGTCTATAGCAGTAAGCAAACATACCTCTCCGTATCCACCATAGCTAACGCGTCATGTTAACCCATAGAATAATGTCCTGACAATATGCTTGGCTATTCTTGCTTTATTTGCAATCGACTTCTCAATAAACGCAGGTCGGTTTGGGTTTCTGTATCATATTTGCTTCGTGGCAACGGTACTAATGCTCGGTCTAGTCCAAGCAGTGGATCGCGCACTTATTGTAGACACATTACCCTCGTCAGAACAAGCAGACGGAAATGCCTGGGCAGCACGTATGCTCGGCGTAGGGAGTGTCGCGGGGTATTTCATGTTCGTACCGTCTACTACGTCTCACGTACTGCAATTGAATGCATTGCTTCTCAGAGGGAACGTCGACCTAACGTCTGTTTTCCCTCTCCTGGGAAATACTGAACTTGAGGTACTTGCAGTCCTCGGCTCCTTCTTACTCATTGCCATGCACACTATCACGGCTGTTTGCACAAAAGAGAGGGTGGTCGTGGCTACCAAGTGCGTGAATGCCTTGTATGTTGCAACATACTTTTTTGAGCTTGTCGACGTTCATAGGGGAGCGAGCAAGGGATTCCTTCAAGAGCTGAAGGATATCTGGGAAAACGTCCGCGACCTGCCTCCTGTGATTCGTCAGATTGTACGTCTCATCTCTCCGGCAACGTATGCCCATGCTGACTATCATTACCAGTGCATCATCCAATTTTTGTAGGTACTATTTTCACTTCAAGCCTCCTTGGCGCGTCTAAAGCGTACCCCTCTAGCGCCTGGGTCGGCTGGTTCCCCGTGCTCTTCTACACGACTGAGTTCATCGCCGAGCTGCACAAATCCGACAACGCCTCCATGCCGCAGGATGACCCGGCCCTCAACGCAGAAGCTACGCGTCTCGGCTCGCGCGCTCTTTTCTATAGCGCCATACTCAGCCTCACGTGCAACGTGCTCCTGCCCTTCTTCGTGTCCGAGGCGACGAAGAGTCGCGCGGCGCTCGAGAGGAAGCTGAGTGGGCATACGAGTCGCTGGGTGATGACATATGAGCGGGTCAAGATTCATTTGGCTACGCTGTGGGCAGTGTCACACATCGTCTTTGCTGTGTGTATGGCGGCGACCTTGTAGGTTGATCCTGGTATCCTTTGGTTCAAAGCTGACCGCTGTGGGATAGCTTCTACTCGACGGTATGGGGAGCCACATTCTTCACTATGATCACCGGCTTCTCCTGGTCAATCACGCAGTGGGCACCATTCTCGCTGGTAAGTCTTCGACTCCCGTCGCACTTCCTGTAATTGTGCAACGTCTAACGCCTTCATAGCTCGCAGAAGCGATCCTTTCAGAAGATGGCACCGACGACCGCGACACCGCCTCCATCATGCTCGCCGACACGCGCACGCGCCACCGCTCGCGCCCCGCCTCGCCTGACGAAGAGCGCCAATTCCTCGTAGCTGATCCGGGAGACGAGGACGAGGGCCTCGAGGCGGAGGTGCGCTCCTTCCGGTCGTCTGCGTCGATGGACGGGCCAGAGGAGGAGCGCGATGCGCTCCGGCTGCAGCAGGAGCGTAGAGGCGAGTTCATGTCGAATGCGTCTGCCAGGATGAGTCGCCTGCAGGTGCATGGGGTAGAGGAGCCGGAATGGGACGGTGACGATGGGAAGAGAGGCGGAGGGTTGGCGGCGAAGGCGGGGATCATCCTTGTACGTACTCCATGGATGGATGGACGGTGTCAACTGACTCCTTCGCAGGGCATCCATAACGTGTTCATCGTCATGCCGCAGTTCGTCATGACTGGCATCGCCTCGATCATATTCGCCATCTTCGACGGCGCAGTTCCGAAGAACCTGGATGCGACGAACCCCAGCAACAGCACCGCGACACCCGGTGAACTAGGAAAAGACGCGACTCATCAGTTGCGGGAGAGCCTCGCCACACCGGCGGCGCCGAACTCGTATGCGATTGTTTTTAGGTGCGTGTTCCGCTGTGATACCCGGCTGCGCTGTGCGGCTGACGTGGATGCACAGGCTGGGCGGCGTCGCCGCGACAATTGCATTTGTGCTTACCGTGCGGCTTGCTCGAGAGCTCCGGCGACGACAATAACGGGTCCACAGCGGTTGGCTGTGTACCGACGTATGTACTTGTGGACGACCGGTGGATGTAATTGTGTACTAGCTTACGGTGTCTTTATTAATCATTGGGTTATCTCAGGCTTTCTGTGCGGTGTGTGCAGGCTAGCTGTCGGCGTGGCCGTTCGATGACAATCACGACGTGCACGTTTTACACGAGCTAATGATGCGGTGGCATCCCGTTGCGAGTGCAATTGTTCTGTACTGAACGTTGAACATCAAGCTGTAGTTTCCTGCCGACTTTGCCATAACACTACTTGAACACTACCCCGCCACATATTTGACGAACAAAAAAAAAGACAAAACGAATGCCAGGACCGTGGATTGAACACGGGACCTTCAGAATTCACTCCCACGGTACCGTGACTTCAGTCTGCTGCTCTCCCAACTGAGCTATCCCGGCATCCTAAGATGCCTTAAAAAGCTAGTGACAAGTTTCATTACGCCTGGTGCCGCACCAATACATCTGGAAAACCTCCATACACTGCGGACAAAGCAGGTTGCACGGAGCGCTTACATCGTCAGAACATTGTCAGAACGTGTATATCATCTCGAAATCCGAATATTATCTATTTTCCTGGACCGAACATTGAAAGGCAGCCAATGAGGAGCCGTGCCTTTCAATGTTCGGTCACCGATAATAATTCATGTTCGGATTTCGAGATGATATACTCATTCTAACGATGATCTGAGACTTATCCGACGCCAAACAAGTGGGTTTGTCCGCAGTGATATGAGAATGGCATGTAATACTCGAAATTTCTAGGTAAAGAATCTAAAGATCGAGAATCAGTGCCGTTACTACATTATTCGAGTTACCTGTCATTTGCTACCCTCCTCTTTTGACCGGAGAAATAGCACCAATTATATACAATGCGTGCACAATACAAGCACCTTTTGTGCATTTGCGACTCGTTCCTAGCCAGATATGCAGTCTGTATCACTTATTTCACAGATCCATGACCCGTCTTCTCGTCATTCTCGGTAATGCAGCAACATTAAATGAATTGAGGCGTAGTGTAGTAGACCGTCCATTCGGTGACAATACGAAGCAGTGCTTCTCGTGACATAAGTCACATAACTAGCGAGCCCATAGACAATCTTAACCAACCTCTCCGCCTCGTACTACCATCAGCGGCGCGCTATCATGATTCATTCGTCAGGCACGTCCTCCCAGTTGATCCCCGTCCCATCCTGTTCGTCTGTAGCAGGAAGGTTCTGTAGATTATGGCCAGCACTAGGGATAGGATGGTCAGTAGATATCACCAGGCATAGGTTGAATCAATCGCACGTCACCGCCTTGAAGATGTTGTGCATGACGTGATGGTACCGCTTCGGCTTTTGCTGGCAGAAATCGGCAATGCGTATCATATGTTCCCGATATACTGGTGCATTGCGCGGCCCAAAGTCTACCGCCGTCTGCAACTTGAGGTTGTGGTCGGAGATGACCGCTTCGACCTAGAGAGATAACATCAGAGGACAACAAGGGAGAATGTGACGGTGTGTATACCGCTGTCATGGTCAACGCAAGCATCGCGGACGGGATTTCAAATTCAGATGCAAACGCGGCAACCGAAGACTTGAACAAGTGACCGTTTATCAAGCCGGCACCATGATTTGGCACGGACGCGAAGAACGCGGCATGCACAGCCGGGATTATGACTGGATTTTCATATGGAGAACTGACTTTGAATCCGTCCTGCACCAGCGACGTTGTATCAGCAATACACTGTACAACGACCTGACTCCGCACCTCTTTCGACCAGGGATAGATGTACTTCATGTCCTTTAGTAGTTCAGTCGTACGAGGGGCGCTCCCGGCTTGCATATCGATGAGTTGGAAAGCATGTTCGACCGCGGAACTGAGCGACTTTTTCATGGTGGACCGGTTCTGGATCAAGCGCTGAGATACCTACAACGACCGGCTAGTGAGCACACAATGAGCATCATAGAGCAGGAATACGCACGTAAGCCATAAGAGGCTTGGCATAGTTGTTGAACGACCCGTGTTCTAGGCGATCTGCGATGACCCCTTCGCCGTCATATCCAAGCTTCTCTGCAGCCTCGACCAACGCCTTGAAAGCGATCTTATCTATGTGCTCTTTCTGCAGCGGCGTCTCCATTGTCTTGAGCTCCGAGAATCGGATCGGCTTGTCCTGGAGGCCTCCGAACACTACGTACCGGTCGCCGATGGGATAGCTATGATGAAGGACTTGCGAGATCGTTGTGAGCTGCGGCTTGGAATCGATCTTCTTGGCTCGACCAGTTCCAGGTTTGAACTTGATCTCCGTGTGCTCCATCCACTCTATGGACCCGTCATCCGCGTCATTGACTTGCCTGCTGTGCGGAGTCTTTGTTACTATCTCACGAATCTCGGGCATCTGGGTGTTGCTTAGTAAAGTTACACTATGTTGGCGCAAAAGCGCACCTCGTCCTTGAGTTTTTTCTTCTGGTTCTTGGTCAACTGTCAAATCACATTCAGCCCAAGTCCACTGTCTCAGCAGGCTGCTTGTATAAGACGTATACGCACCTTGCGCGTCGGCTGAGCTGACACGGTTTCAGCAGCTAGATCATCCATACTCTCATCGGAACTCAGTTCAAGTTCAACGTCAACCCACGGATGGCGTCGAAGATGGCGTCGAAGCAGATGGTAGCCCATCACTCATCCTGCAAATATTAGAAGCATGCCCGGAACTGGAAGTGTTCTCTTACAGACCTCGGTCTTCGGCACAAGATGTGGCGACTTCCGACGATCAGCTACCCCGTCAGGACAAGATAACACTGCCACGCATACAGCGCTTCCATGTAACGGCGATGCCGAGCTGCTTCCACGAGGTCTTGTTGAATCTTGCGCCTCTGCCACGGGATGCAGTCCTGTCATTTCAGCCTCTCCTCTTGCCCTCCCAAGTACACGATGGCAACGAAGTCGATATACTCAAAACGATCTTACCGAAGGAGACTATGGAGACTCTTCGTGATCTATGGCAGGACCTACCATTGCAACCAATACATATCAAAGATCAAGCACAACACGCCATGGTACAGGCCGATGACATGGGCACGCTCACCTTTTCCGCAGCGATTGAGTGCAAGGACTTTTGGGAATCGAAGCCCTGGAAGTCGTCTGAGTTCCTCGAGGTGACACGAGATACACTTGTCGACCGCAACGTGGAATCACCATTGCTTCGCATGTCCTGCGCGCCACTAGACATTATGGTTGAGCAGACTTCTTGGTTTGACCGTGCGATACGCTGTCTTCCCAAGACCTTTCCACCGTCCTTGAAGACTCTGGTCATCCATGCAGTTTCAAAGGGCCCTCAGGAGATGGCACATTCCGAGAGTGAAGACGACTGGCATACACCGTGGCATGCGGTACTGCGCCATTTTTCAGAGCTCGAACATCTCGCGTTCCTCTGCAACCGGTCAATATCCAACTTCAATGCCTTCGACCTCGTCGACGCACTCAGTCCCACTTCACGCACTCTACCCTGTCCGCAGTTGCACGAGCTTGTCCTCTTCTACGATTGTGACATCAAAACGCTGGGTGACGAAGAGCGCAATGACAGCAGGCTGAACACATTGCTCACCAACTTGTACGAAACGCTCACCAAACGCAATGGGCGCAAGTCCCGCTTAAAACTCCTCGTTCTCATTTTGCGAGCTCAGAGAGACGCGGGCAAGTCCTCGGTCGTCGAGGAATTACCGGACCGTAGCCTCGAGGAGAAATTGAAGTCCGTGGTTGATCAATTGGAGGTCAAGGGCAGATTGCACAGCTATGAATAGACCAAATTGCGATAAGAAGTCGGCATCTGTGGGAGAAAAATCTTTGCTTCAGCGCACACACAGCTGTAATGGATGTACAACTTACGGATGACTTGATTTGGATATGGCAGTGATAAACCACCGCTGCGATGAACGTAGACATGGCAGACAACACGGAGCGTACAACAGGTGACCTCGATAACAATATATTCATACAAACAAAGAATCTGAGACAACCAGCGCACAGCAACGACAGCGTACCAACGAAAAGAACATGCACAGCTTGACCTCTGCGGACTATGACTCAACTGCGTACGGGTGTCGCACCAGCTCGTCATATAAGTCTGTAGGCAGGTCACGCACGAGTGTGACGGCGATCCCGATGACAGGGAGAGCCTCGAGGGGAGGGAACGTGCGTAGGAGGCGCATAGGGCTTCGTAAGATGTTAGCAAGACCGTGTTAGACGAGGGTTAAATCGCAAGTCGTACCTAGACGATGTCATGACCTCTTCGCGCATGAGCAGAAGCTGAGCGATGACACAGAGGACATTGAGATGTACGCCGAACGCGAGTAGGAAGTCCCATAGTTGAAGGACTTGGTCGAGCGGCGGTGTGCACGCGCATAATGTGAGTATAGCTACTCGAGATGTCAGTACATACGCATCATGTACGGCGGGAAACACTCACATGGAAATGCGTAAATCTCCGCGGACAGGTTTTTCGACCGAAGATGGGCGAAGAGATCGGGGTCGACAATTTTGAGGCACCTATCGAGTAGCTGTATGCGTGTCAGACAAAGGCTGACGTGCCATTTGCACAGCGAGCGTACCTTCAACCCTCGATGTACGCCTTCTAGTGTGGGTTGGACGTATAATGGACAGCTCTCTTCGATGAATTTTGCGAAGCAGAAGAACGCCTCGAGCTCGGAGGGCATGGTATAGAGGAAGGGCGCGGCGAGGACGTTCATACCCTGTACGTAAGTGAACCCGAGATGGTGCGATTCTTGTCGGTCTAGATAACCGTCATGTCTTGGTCGGCCTTCACGTACAGTAGACAGAGCCACGCACCATGGTTTCGCCATACGAACGCGTCAAGCAGCCTCACGAGCATATCCTCCCGCACGCGTTCCTTAAACCCACGGTCTGTAGCTAAGGTCCTGTGAGTCGAACGAGACGTTAGCCCTTGAACAACGCGGAAGAGGGGCTATACGCACCGGAACGTGTCATTACGGATCTTCTCGCGCACCTCACAAGGACCCCGCGCGACATACTCCAAGAACTCCCCCGCAGACACGTCCTGCACGCGCAACAAGATCTTCCATATCCGCGGTCGTATTGTAGGGTCCTACCAAAAGGGATGTCCTCGACGTCAGCATCCAGCCAAAACTGATTTCGGCAGCGAAACGCACGACAGCCGACGGTATCCCATCCAGCAAGATCAACCTCCGGAGCTTCCGTACCGAGTCCTCGACGTCCTGCGATGTCCGAACCTTCGTCGACAGCTTGAACTGGTTCAAAATCTTGTTGAATGAGTGCGCGGCGGAGTGAGCTGCGGATGAACCCGAGGACGATGAGGACGCCGTCGATGAGGGCGCCATGGTCGGTGGTGGTGTTGGTGGCGGGCTCGGAATGGTAGGTGGGAAGAGACGCCCGGAGGTGAGGGAGGCGCATGGCTCGTTGGATCGAGCGGGAGATCTGGCGCATCAATCCCGCCGATCTCGAGATGGTTCGCGGGTTTCCTGACACCACTTAGCTAAAACCACTGCCTACAGTTGGTACTGCACACCTAATTCGCATCTCAACCAAGTTCGTATACCTCACAGGAAGTATCTACACTTTTATGCTCGTAAGGGAGACTTCCCGGACCCGCGTCAGTATGGTAGGTTCGAAACTCGCACTCCTCATGATCTCCGAGTCTCTCAGCATGACCGCTCACGTCGAACCACGTATCGCTTGACCCCCTCGACCACCCGAGCAACCTCCTTCGACATAGCCCAATACGTGATTCGAAGCATTCCTTCCTTATCTCTTGACCTCATACCCTGCTGTATGCAAGCCACAAACCCGAATGGCCTACTACCTGGACCACCGGAACGAATTGCCAGAACCCGAGCGGTACCACCACGGGGCCAAATTCATTTCGCTTCTGCCTAATATAAACACCACGTCACGCAACCCCGCACCAGGGGAGCGTCATGTTTGCTAGGCAGCTACCCTCTGACTAGCTTCATATCGCTTTGCAAGTACTTACTATGATATGCTCCCGAATTCCGATTTCATTGCCAAACTTCTATCCCGAGTCATTGAGCGCAGCTCTACCAAGTCTCCCAGATATCAGTGTCTCTGTGTATCATGTCCTTTACGGTACTGCTGTGGCTGTTTTCTGACCTCTTGTTATGACGATCAGACAGGGGCTCAGTATTGTAGTCGTCTTACGTAAGTATGAGAGGGGCCTAACAATGTAACATTGACATTGATGGTGGAGTGTAGATATCGTCATCGCTAGCTCGATCGCGGCGGAGTACTTAGCCGACCGTGGCGCCAGTCGACTCCGACTCCGAGTCCCGAGTCGTCCCTCGGAATCGGATGATCCTGCGTCGAGTGTACCCCTCCTCATAAGAACTATGTCTCGCAACACTGCTTGAAGTACTGCACTGTCTATATCCTCCTGATTGCGTCTGGTCACAACTGGTGAAGATAACCTGCGACACGTCCAACATGGCATCAAAGGTGGACGAGCTACCTACAGAGCTCATCGTGCACGTCTTCGCTGAACTCAACTGTGCCGACTTGTTGAGATGCAGAGAGGTCAGTCACTATTCGTACCTCTCGGGCTACCACGGAGGTAACCTACCGTATGCGCCTTATGCCTATGACAGGTCTGTCGTCTGTTTGACGCTGTCTGCAAGGAGAGTGCGGTCCTCCAATACAAGGTGGAGCTCGCGAAAGCTGGACTGGAAGACCACCCGACTCCGAGACCGCTCAGCGCAGCGGAACGCACGCAGCTGCTCCGGAAGCACCAGGCCGCCTGGTCGTCGCTCGACATCAGCTATGAGGAGGTCGTGCCTATGCTCGTCGGCCAGACCTGGGAGCTCTACGGCGGGGTGCTCGCACAGGGGCCGGACCAGTCGAGCCTGAGGTTTAGGCAGCTGCCCTCCGCGCTGAGGGGCATCGAGGACAAGGAGTGGACGATCGAGGACCTTGGGTTCGAGATTCGGGATTTCGCTATGGACCCTGCGCAGGAGCTGTTGGTGGCCATCCAGATGCCGGACTCGTGAGTGCCTCTCTTCGCCTGCCGAATGAATATGTCAGCGCCTTATCTCGCTGTGAACAGACCGACGAGTGTGTTCCATGTTCACCTGCGCAACATATACACCGCCGCTCCTCACACCGCCGCGCCCAACCCTGCCGTCCTCACGCACCAGCCCGATGGGATGCAAGTGTCGTACAGCATTCAAATATCCGGTGACCATCTCGGCGTCTTCGTCATGAGTGCGAACGAAATCAGCAACGAGGTCGTGATATGGAACTGGAAGACAGGCGTCTGCAAGCTCGTAAGTTCCCCGTTCCCCGCTTCGCCCATGAAACGCTGATTCCCTCTTCAACGCGGATGTCCACAGCGCTACGTTGGCAGGACATTGGACAGCTTCGCGTTCCTATCTGAGCGGCACGTCCTCCTCGGGCTCGCGAAGCGGCCTCTAAATCAGGCCGAGCTTCAGGCGCTCAGGACGGCGGAGGAGCCCCAGCTCCTGGTCGCCGACTTCCTTGCGGGCACTGGCGAACTGGTGAAAATGGACGAGGCCGACTTTCTCTGCGCGTTCCACTACCCCAGTATGGTGGCCCAAGCTGTGCCGTTGGGCATCACTATCCGCTCAGACCCTGCGCCTGGATGGACACCACACCCGGACTCCCCGGTCCCGTTCTTCACCGCCCGCGAAGACCGACTGTTGGTGATTACCTTTACTGTTTACTCCGTTTTGGAAGGGCACATGCAATCGTTGCTCTTCGTTCGGACGTCGACGCTTCTGTCTTACGTCGACGCTCTCAAAGGCGAGACAAAGCGTCGTTTCAGTTGGGACGAATGGGGCCCGAACCAGACGCGGATGATGCGCGCGCCCCGCCACCACTCTTCCGTGTGGGTGTGCTACGTGTTCGGGATGCGGTTCGTCACCGCCAGGAAACGGCGCGGGAAGCCAAAGTACATCGAGGTGTACGACTTTAGTCGATTTGCGCGCCATCGTCGAGCGGCACCGGAACCAGGACAAGGAGAAGAGGAAGAGGAAGACATTTTTGGTTTGGAAGACCACTGGATGAGCGACGAGACAGAAATGCCAGAGGGCATCTTTGATGACAAGGTTGCGACGTCGCTGCCCTACCACATGCGCACCATGATTCCGCCCAGGGGTGACGGCGAGAAGGACTTCCAGTGCGTCATGCTCAGCGAGGATACTATTATCATCATGTGCAATGTGAGTGCCAGTCGTCTAGTACGTTTGGCTATAACTCTCTGACCGCCCACCAGGACGACAGCCACCATCGCAACATTCGACTATTGACGTTTTGATCCTGGATGGGGATCTCGCTGGATGCGGTCATGAGGCGAATCACCATGGTTCTCCCCGTGATTCTGCTACGCATGAGGACGCCGACAGAGATCGTCAGGTCGTCCTGCGGTCGCAGGCCAATACAGCTGCGGAGACTTTGCGCTGCTCAGGCAGGCGTCCTACCGGATATCAGGCCTCAGGCCTCAGGAGTGAAGTCCGCGCATCATGGCACGGTGACGCTGTTTGCAGAAACCTCCGTCCGTGCAGCAGAACAATGTATCGAAGCCAATGTATCACAGACAGTGCAACGAGTTATAGTGCTATAGACCGAGCAACATGCGCCGTTGGGTGCAGTAGACGAGGGATCAAGGTCATAGGCTGGTGGCCATGAGCAGCTGTTCGCGGACTTCGACTGCCGCCGAACGGGAAGCTGAACGTCGTTGGTGTCCAATCAGGGCAGGCGAGCGCAGTGCCGCACGGGCGCCTCCGAGTCACCGAGCTGAAGACTCTTCAAGTTCCCATTTACATAGTACTCTATACCATGCCCTCCTCATGAGACTCGGACATATAAAACCCGTTCCCGTCGTCAGTCTCCCTGTTCAGCCCCCCTCCCCGGCCTCATCTGAGACTATGATCCCACCCTGCAGGATAGCGCCTGCAGCGAGCAAGCAGCGAGCCAGTCTCCCACTCTACTCGAGTACTCACTGTAGAAACACGCGCAGTCAACTAGTAGCAACTCAAAATCGCTTCCGCTCGCGGCGAGCCAGGAACGCGAAGCACGGGATGGACATGTACAGTGGCGATAACGGTGCAAAGCGGGGGAGAGGCTTGCGCGTGAACAAACGTGCATGAATTCGATGTATGATACACAATGTGGAAGAGCGCACGGTCCTCGGCCGATACGTGGAGTCTACCCATGAAAGCGATACAGAGCGATGCGTCAGCACGGCATGCAGCGTGAAGCGTAAGATGTAAGCGTTTGATACAGGGGGAAAGCGTGCACTGGCAGCAGGGCGCGTGAGCGTAAACGTGAACGATAACGTGGATGGCGAGAACACATTCGGGGAAAGGGGTAGTAAGAAGAGAAAGGGTGCAACGGGCTGGGGAAGCGCACATCGGAGGGGAAACGTCGAGCGAAAGGGTTCGGTGAGTCATGGATGACGATACAGACTTGCGCGCGTGCGGTCCATTGGAAAGCTCTACATCCTCATGCTCGGAAACGTGGCGGGTGCGGGTGGAATACGGTAATGCGCTCCCCAGCCGGGGGCTCGCCCCGGACGGGGATCCTCGGATAGCGTCGCGGACCTTGGATCATGATGTGCGTGATAGACGATGGGCGGTGGACGATGGACAGATAGTGTACATGGAATCTGAGTTTGAAGCTTGACTGAAAGGCTTGTATTGAGGGGATCACCGAGGTATGTCCGATATAGGTGGACTATGTGCTGAGGGCGCGTCCGATGTGAGAGTCGAGTTAATGCAACGCGATGACGATGAGAAACCTGGACGAGGGCGCATGTGAGAGTGGAGAGAAATCGATGAGGGGAGGCCTTGATACAACTGAGAGCGAGACGAAAGTGGATAGCTGAGACAGAGAGGGCAGGAAGAAACCGGACCGACGAGACGTGCTGACGGTGGAGTGGACGGCCAGGATCCCGGATAGAGAACTGCCTATGACCTTGTGTCATACGCTCCGGGCCAGAGTCCGAATGGCGGAAGCCGACGGACGACAAAGCAGGCACTTGCGCGGTGATGAACGAGAGGCGACGGGGTCCGGAAAGCCGACGACCAAGGCGGCGGCGCAGGATAACTTACGACACGTCCGAGGTGGACTGTCTCCTACTCCGGATGCCCAGTCGCCGCCTGGCGTGGAAGAGCCCGAAGCGTATGCGCAGTGAGAACGCTATCCACTGCTGCCGCAGACTCGCTGAGCACGATGGTCTGGAAATGGGTACGACGTCAATGCGCGGTCTGAGAGTGAAAGGTGGGACGACATACACGTCGTCTCCCGGCTCACACGCGATGGTGAATCGCGCCTTGTGTAGTGGCCTGTCTTCCTTGTCCATCGTCATATCGCCGTCCAATTCGGCGTCCTCGCTACCGTCGATGTCTTCAGGCACGACATCTTCCTTCGAGTCGGTAACGCGTCTCTTGCGCAGAACGGAGCTACGCCCGCTGCTCTGCCGCTTCTTCCTCTTGCGCTCAGTGTCTTCAGACGCGTCGAGCTCGTCCTCGTCGAACGGCGAGTCCTCCAGGGGCGACTCGGTGATCGGAGACTCATGCGAGCCGCTGGGGGACGCGGCGAATGGGAGTGGTTGTGGGTCCGCGTAGTAATCAGAGTACGGCGAGTAGCCAGTGTAAGGCTGGGTCGTGTGGATCGTAACGGCGCGCCGAGGGGACGCGCGCGACGCGCTCGCCAGGGGCGAATAATGGCTCTGCGACTCGGCGTCCGTCACCTCGTCCTCCTCATCATCCGTATCAGCACCCGGTTCCGTCGTCCAATCGCGCTCCCACTCCGGGCGCGCGAGCGTGTACGATGGCGCGTAGCGCGGCCGGCTCGCGCTCCGCGAGCGGCGGGCGGCGGCGGTGCTCCCGCTGGGCCGGTGTGAGTTGTGGGAACGCGTGCGACGCGTCGGGGTGGGGAAGACGGGGAAGTCGCGGTAGTCGGGGTCGTGGAGGTCGCCGCGGTGGTCGACGTACGCGCGCGTCTGGGCGTGAGCGTGGGTGTGTTTCGCGTCGAGGGGGAGCGTGGCGCGGTACGCGGGGCTCGCCCAGCCGGAGGCGCGGGTTTGCGTGGAGGAGTCGGAGGACGAGGAGCCGCTCGCGTAGGCGGGGTCGAGGAGGCGCGAGATGTCCGCGGCGCGCGAGCTCGGGGAGTACATCGAGTGGTGGTGGAGATGGTGGGGGAGGTGGGGGTGCGGCGGGTGCGGGAGGAGGGTCGCGATGTGCTGCAGGGGAGGGTGCGCGCGATCGTGGTGGTGATTGTGGCCGGGGGAGGGCGGCGGGGTGTTGGAGGGGGAGGCGGAGACAGCGGGAGGCGGCTCGTGCATGGCAGCAGTGGGCGTGGACGATGTTTATATGTCACGGGAGGTGGCCACTGGACGACAACAAAGCTGTCAAAGCGGTGGCGGCAGGCAGAGGGGTGGCGGGAGTGGCACAGCGATCGATCGTGGCTGCCGCGGGGAGGTGCAGGAGCGAGGGCGCACAAAGCAGGAATAAATATATATCGGACATGATGGGCGGACGATGCGTAATCGGCAAGAGACGCACGTCCTGCGGGATCGACGCCGTTCAGCCTGCGCGTCCGTCGACCGTCCCGGCGTCCCGTACGCGCCCTCGCAGCTGCCACTCGCCGCCACTCGCCGCTCACGGCGCCCTTCCCGCCACTGACTCACCCGCCCCCGTGATCCCCCGCGCCTTCTCCGGCTTTCCGGCCGCCCCGCCGACCCGCCCTCCCCGCTGTCCACCGTGCCCGACGGCCCCGCGCCCGATGCGACTTCTGCCGAGCCAATCACCGCCCTCCTCCGATCGCTACTTTTGGCGCTAGAGGATCTATCTCAGATCCCTTCACGTCCACCAAGAGAAGTGACTCGCAGAGGTGCATCCAACACGAGCCACCGCTTCATCCATGCTTATTAGCAACCTCGCATACTGAGCTGTGTTTGGACGTGCTTTGACTTTCAGCTTTGCTCTCTGGAAGCACCTACTGTAGCCCAAAGAGTACGCTTTCACTCGCTTGCCATCAAGACTCGAGTACGATACCTCGCCGCGGCGGTGTATCCTGAGTGTATCCGTCCGAACTCGTGTCATCTGGGCCATCGACAGATTCCACTGAATATACCTTCGCCATCATCATCGAGACCCCACAGTGCCCGAACTCGCCGACCGATTCATTCTTCACGTTCGTAGACGTTGTTCCACGCTCCCACGTTCTCCGCCCTCACTCTCGTCCGGTCTCCATTTTCGTATTCTCAAAGCGCAGTCGACATCTGCAATGCTCGGGACTGCTTCACATGCGCACGTATCGCGAGGAGGTAGTCCTGGGCTACATCGTGTCATGCGCGTAGTAAGTAGCATATGCTATGAACCGGGCAACCCTCACCTCTTTCCCCCTTCCTCGGCCTTGGCCCTCATGAATAGGGACGGTTTGCCCCCTCGGCGAGTGCATCTTGCAATGGTGCTGGATTACTGGACGACGAGCTCCGAATAATTGAAGCTTGAACTCTGGAAGCTGGAAGCCCGAGCTCTTGCGTAGCACAATCGATATCTACGAAGCGCTTCGAACACGCTCAATCATCCAGCTGCCGGTGACGTCGTTCATCCGTTCTGCACGGAGCTCCCACCATCAGTAGGTAATCTTCATCTGGTAGTTCCGCGACGCACCAGCTTATCTAGCTTACCAGAGCGTCCTGACACAATATGTATGTGCGTCTGTGGGCGGAAGGGGCGCTCTGCGACCCGGTGCATTCCATGAGCTGCGAAGCGCGACGCAGGTATCTCACCACCCAAGGTTTCCCTCCGAATGGTAGAGAGTACACGATCCGGGCACTGTATGGATAGGCGTACCGAGCGATGGCTGGTCGAGTCGCAAAGTGAGTTCAGCACCCCAATGCATTCGGCATGGTTAGTAAGGTTACCGTGCGCAGTGCGCGCACCTTTGACGCGGTCATGCGCTGTCCATGTCAGTACTAGTGTCATGCGTCGAGAAGGCCGCTATCAGGCGCTCAGCTTCGTTCAAATACATTCCTGTCGTGCCTCGAGACGTTCTACATTTCCCTCTGGGCGGGGCGGGCGCGACGTCTTGGCGAGGTCTAATGCTGCAGAGTGCCCCTGCGCCGTCGAGGCGGAAGGTTTATCATACGATCAAGTGTTTCGGTGAGGGTGTCTGTTCACGTATCGGCGCGCGGGCACTCACGAACATTCGCGGCCGTGATACAGAGTGCGATGTAGGACAGAGACTATCGCCACAAACATACTGCTCAGTCCCTGGTGCCTTTGTCGCCTCCCTATAGTCGGCAGTCACACATCGTCCGTACACATCGTTCGCAGGCTGCTCAAGACCTGAAGCTTTGAACAATGAAGCTCGTGGACGGCATGGTATACGCGGGCACGTGACTTCCGTCTGCGTGCGCCGTCGGGGTTGGGCTGCCGGGCATCGGCCCGCGAGACGCAACACAGTGAGCGGGGAGTAACAAGGGCAGCGGTGGCCACCTATGTACGCGGCCTTCAGATCTCTGTGCGTGCTCGAACTTGAGACGAAGCCTAACTTAGCCGCCGCCAACCGAGCTGGCCATGCTCTCGCTCTTGGCCCGCGTGGATTGACAGGGCGCTGTCGCGGCTGCGGGGTTCTTGACGGTGATCGTCATATGTCGATAGGCACCTGCGGATCGCGTATGCGAGGGGGCGGGGCCTGGTATCCAGATGCGGCTCTACGCAATCGCCAGCCCAGGTTGACCGAAGGTCCAGAAAGGTCAGTCGCCATAAGGACATGGCTCCCTCAGAAGCCTTGGCTCCCGCCAATATTGATCACTGGCATGTTACTGAACTCATTCGTACAGTGTGTCGTACCTTCGCCCCACAGGTCGCGCCATTCCAGGGCGGTGGTGGTGCTCGTGCAGTGCTCACTGCACACGAAACGCCAGCCAGGCCAGGTGCAGCCCTGTGCAGCCCAGCAGCCACCAGAACTCGCCCGAGCGAACCGGCCCGTCCGAGGCTGCGGGCCTGTGGTGCCTCATCGCACATCTCGATCACCGGCATCTCGATCGAGTCCGCGTGGTTGCTCGCCGGAAGGTGGCGGAAGGTCGGGATCATCAGTGCGCCCGCGTCCTCCAACGCAGTTTTCAGTCCCATGTGTCCGCCCTGTTGCGCCATACGAAGCTCCATCGAAAAATTGTCGCCATGTTAGGGAATACCCGACATCCCTTTGCAAGCCAGTTCATCATGGAGAAACCGCAGGAAACATCCAGGCACGGTGGGTCGACTTCAGGCTCATCTGCGCATGTGGGGGAGCTCACCGTGCCTTGGCCGCTGTGGCTCGAATGGAGATTAGCTCGTCAGTGGCTCCCTGCCCAAGTCTGCCCAGCGCAAGCCAAGCCCTTCTCTCCATGGATCCACCGGACTAGGCAACGCGGCTGCTGATAAGACCGGTCTGATGCCCAGATCCGCATCGCCAGACGTTCGTTTTATATTGCCCGCCCCCGCGCCCGAGGTTTTCTTCAGCTCTCAAGTCTCACCCCGAAGCCCTCACCATGCCTGGCGACGCTACCGACGCCTACGCGGCTGACAAGCTTGACCCTGCCTTGATCGACGGCAGCGGCGATCCCAAGCGGCTCTCGGTGCATGCTCACACGACCGAGCTGCCGCCGTTGTACAACGGCGAGCCCGTCGCGCAGAGCGAGTACTTTGACCACGACCTTCCTATCCCCACCCAAGAGGACCTTGCGACGCTCCGCCGCGTCAGCGAGAAGATACCCTTCAAGGCGTACACCATTGCCTTCGTTGAGCTGGTCGAGCGCCTTTCATATTACGGCACGACCCAGGTATGCCATATTTGCCCAGGCGTCGGTCCAGAGTCCGTGGAAGCTCAATGTCTTTTCAGGTGTTCGTCAACTTCATCCAGAAGCCCAACCCTGGTACTTCCACCGGTAAAGCGCTTGACCCCGGCGCCGACAATGCCCAGCCCGGTGCGCTCGGTATGGGTCAGCAGGCCTCCACTGGCCTGACCACCTTCAACCAGTTCTGGGTCTTCCTCATCCCGTTGTTCGGCGCGTACGTCGCGGACACGTATTGGGGCCGTTACAAGACCATCTGGATATCCGTGCTCACCGCCATTGTCGGCCACGTTATCCTGACCGCCTCGGCGGCTCCCTCCGTCATCGCCGTCCCGCACCACGCCATCGCGGCCTTCATTATCGGTCTCATCATCATGGGCATCGGAACCGGTGGTTTCAAGCCCAACATCTCGCCGCTGGTCGCCGAGCAGATCCCGCAGAGGATGTACGTGCACACGACCAAGAAGGGTGAGCGCGTCGTCGTCGACCCCGCCATCACGACGGCGCGGGTGTACAACTGGTTCTACCTCTTCATCAATGTCGGCGCCCTCATCGGCCAGCTGAGCATGGCCTACGCCGAGCGCTACGTCGGATTCTACCTCTCCTTCCTCCTTCCCACGGTCCTTTTCTGCGCCACTCTCCCCATCCTGTATGTCTGCAAGGATTGGTACCAGCACACCAAGCCCGAGGGCAGCGTCCTCGGACCCGCCGTCAAGCTCCTGATGCTCGGCACGGGCAAGAGATTCTCCTTCAACCCGGTCGCTTTCTACAAGCGCCTCCACGACGGCACGTTCTGGGACGACCTTAGGCCGTCCACGATGGACCCTGCCACCCGCCCCGCTTGGATGACGTTCGACGACGCCTGGGTTGACGAGGTCCGCCGTGGCTGGAAGGCGTGCAGCGTCTTCCTCTGGCTTCCGCTGTACTGGATCACGTACAACCAGCTCAACAACAACCTGACGTCGCAGGCCTCGACCATGGCTCTGCACGGCATCCCGAACGATGTCCTCGCTAACCTCGATCCATTCGCGCTCATCATCTGCATCCCGCTCTGCGACATCTTCATCTACCCCGCTCTCCGTAAGGCCGGCATCAGGTTCACGCCGATCAAGAAGATCACGGCCGGTTTCTTCTGTGGCAGCGCAGGCATGATCTGGGCGTGCGTGCTCCAGTACTACATCTACAAGAGGAGCGAGTGCGGTAACCACGCGTCGGACTGCCCCAACGTCGACATCAACGTGTGGGCGCAGACGGGAGCGTACGTGCTCATCGCCATCTCGGAGATCTTCGCGTCCATCACGTCGCTCGAGTACGGGTTCTCGAAGGCGCCGAAGAACATGCGTTCGCTCGTCGCGGCCTTCGCGCTCTTCATGTCCGCCATCTCCGCCGCCATCGGCGAGGCCTTCAACCCGCTCTCCGCCGACCCGCTGCTCGTCTGGAACTACGGCTCCATGGCAGTCATCGCCTTCGTCGGCGGTGTGCTGTTCTGGCTGTCCTACCGCACGCTCGACGCGCAGGAGGACGAGCTCAACATGCTGCCGACGGGCCACTTAGGCACCAAGGCGCAGAGCCAGGATATCGAGAACAAGTTGAACGGGTCGTTGGACGAGAAGCACTCAATGTAATCGGGGGTTTATGTACGGGACGATTCATTTCAGCATATTGGGTTGTACGGTTGGGTCGTTAGTATGTTTAATACATGTTCTGCTATACTGTATCTCTTTTCGATGAGTGCGCGCGGTGTGATGCGAAAGTGCGAAGCTCGTCATACCGTGGGTGGTCAAGAACATCCGAAACAGCGGCGCATTTGAACGAAGGCCGCTGCATCAGCCAGTCGCAGAACGAAAACAAACGTTATGGTCAGAGGCGTCCAGCAGGATCCTCAACCATCTTGAGGGATCTCGGGATCTTCAGCGAAACAGGATCGCGGGGCGACATGCACCAATTTGATCTGCTTGGACGCGCGACCACGACGCGTCGCGTCTGCGCGTTTTCCGCCCGAAGCGCGCACGACCTGCGTCCCCTCTTCGACCACACACTCAGCTAGCGCACTGAAGTACTGACCTTGCCACTGCTTTCTTTATTTCTCGCACCCCGGGAGTGTTATTCTGGCCATTTTCTGTGCCGTGACAATCCTGTGATTAGATCAACCGGCCTCAAACCACTATGGACGTACCATTCGTGTCTTCTGGAGCCATCAGCAGGTCCCAGTATGCCCTCGTAAGAAAAGTCGAGACTGCGCAGACTCCTCAGCTCGCGGACCAATACATCCTCGCGGAAGTTGACTCTATACGTTCTCAGCTTTCACGCTCCACACTCACGCTCGTTCGTGCTCCATTCTCGTATCCTCCTGATATCGCGCTCATGCAGCCAGTAGAAGCAATGCAAGGAATCTTTGATTCTACTGCTATACTGTGCTATGAACGTAGCAGTGGAGGGAGCGGTCGATTTGGACTTCGCACTGTATCACGCAGTAAATCTAGCGGAGTCTGGTCCTACGGTGCAAGACAAGCGCATAGGTGAGCCTCGCCTCGTTAAGGAGAGTGTTCCCGACCATAACCTCTGCAGGCTACCTATTCTGTGCGGAGGCCATGCCGCCCGACCATGAGCTCCAGCTTATGCTCGTGAATACCCTCCGAAAGGTGCGTCCCCTCGCCCAACCCAATCTCCAACATATGGGAACTCAGGCTCATCTGCCACAGGACCTCGAGAGCCCGGAGCTCCCGCGTATCTGTCTAGCACTAGATACGCTCATTCGGTTCTCTACCGCCGATGTGATACCCGCCATCCAATCGCGTCTTACGGACCTCTTCTCGTTCACCTCGTCAGTAGGTAGTCTCTACCTGAGCCCGCGCCACACAAGCTGACCGCAGTCTGATGCGTCTGTTCTGACGTATGAATTGTATACGTGAAGACCGCACGTACGCAGGCGTGCTCTGTTCGCGTTCCATAAGTTGTCCAAGCACGATACCGGAATTTTGTCAGATGTCGCTGAGCAGGTTGAGAAGCGGATGACGGACGCGGACTGGGTTGTCGGAAGTGCGGCGCTGACCGTTTGGGCTGATCTGCTCAAGGTGACTGCGTTGCTTGCGTTCTGATCGGTATTGCGTATATTGACCCCACCTTCAGGCAGGCCATCTGTCCTCAGACCGGTACCATCAAGCTTTGTCCGCACTGCTCACATCTGCGTGGCGTGGGCGTCCGGATCCGACGAAGAATGTTCTACTCCCTAAGATGCTAGGATGCCTCCAGTCGGTCACGTCCGTCATTCAGCGTCCTAGCATACGCATATACTCACATTGCTATTCAGCCCAACCGTGGATGACGTCCGTACTATCATCAAGGTCGTCAAAGCCTGTGTCGCTCACGGCCCCACCGCAAGAGGTAAGCACACCTGCCTCCAAAAACAACGCGATTTGAGGCTCATAGTGCACCTCGCCCAGCGGCCCTCCATGCGTGCTACCTCACCATGTCTCACGCAGACACCGCCGTCCTCCTCCCCTCACGCAACGCGTTCATCGATGCGCTCCGCCCGCTCATCGCCTCATCCGCACCCGCGCCAAACGATGTGTACGTGTTCGTATCGTGCCTGAGCACACTCGACCCTGCGCTCTGGGCGGGCACGCGCGCGGACGTACCAGCGGTGTTGGAGGAGTGGGAGGTCGAGCGCGTCGTTGCGCTTCTAGAGGCCGAAGACCATAGTATCCGCGTGAAGGTGAGTCCGCTTCTAGCGCATCTCGTACGTACGGCGGATCTAATGCTCTTCGCGGAACAGACCATGCGTCTCCTCCGACGCGTAGACCCCGCGATCCTCGAGGCGTACTGCACGCGCCTCCTGTCCTCCGTCGCCTCACCGCCGTCCGCGGAAGTCTCGGCGACGGCCCGCAGGCTGCTCGAGCTGGCGGACGTCCTCTCGGACGCGGACGGGGAGGCGTACGCGGGACACGCGATACGTGTTTGTGATGCGCTTGAGAGCCAGACTGGGATGCCCGCGCCGCTGGAGAAGAGGCCAGTCGTGCAGGAGGTCGTGGAGGGGGTGCTTGTCAAGATGCATGATGGTGAGCCGCCGTTGTTGGAGCTGTCGAGGTGACGCTTACTGAAGTATTGGGCGGGATAGCTAGCAGCGAGTTCAAGAGCGGCTGCGTTGGTGCACTCTTCGCGCAGGTACCAGAGAAGGAGGTGGAAATTGGCCCGACGTTAATGGTCATACTCACCGCGCTGATCGTGGAGTACCTACCGCTCTCGCCTCTTTCGCCCACGGCGCTCTTGCGTGGGCTAGGAAGTCGGGTCGGATCATACACTGGTGCGTGCCTCTGTTTGAACCGTCTGAGGGACACATCGTCGCAGGCTGTCAGATTGACGTCCTGGCATTTGGACAGTCTCTATCCAAGATGCATGTCTGCTCTGCATGATCCGGCTCGCGGCGGAATGCGAGAAGGTCCCATCTGAAATTGTGGACGCGGTGGGAAAGCTCAGGGAGACGAGTAGGGCGTATATCCGAAGAGTGCGTGAATGCTTGGGTTCCGTGCTATTCTGATACTGATGCAACAATCGTAGCGTTGTGACCAGTTCCTTGAATTGTCATCTCGACTCACTACGCTCAAGGAGATCATCGTGAATGTCAGGGCGCCATCCGTGCGTACTTCCCTTGTGATACATGCACAGACGTATTCACCCACCCCAGCTCCCCGACTTCGTCGCCGCGCTCGAAACATACAAACCCCAACAAGCCCCTCCCTCGCCCTCGCACTCGCCCCGCTCGCCGCCGCTCCGCCCCATCCACTCGCCCGACAGGCCATCCTCCCGCGCTTCCTCGCAAGGCGGCAGTAGGCTCCGCTACGACGCCTACGAGCCGCCGAGACCTGTGCAGCGCCATTTCGCACGCAGGCTGAGTGCGGGGTCGGATGCGAGCTCGCGGTTCGTGGGCCAGCGTGGGCGTGCGGCGGAGGTGCAGGACCCCCTTGCGCGGACCATGAGCCCGGGTGAGTTGGCGTTGGCTGCTGGGGATGAGTTGGAGACGCTTTCTTCGGTGGTACGTCCATGGCAGATGATAGGCAACCATACATCAGCGCTGAGTTGCATCTAGGGATCGCCAAGGTCGCTACCAGTCGTCAATGTCATAGACGAGGATGACTCGGTGCGTGAACCGTACGCTTTTGGTGTCTGTCCTAATAAACACCTAGGCAACAAGAGCAGACCTCATAGCTCTGGATTCGCCATTCATGTCGGAACCGGTTGCTTCGATCTCGGACGTCTTGGGCAACATGCGTGGCCTGGGAAACGTATCTGAAGACGACTTCAAGCAAGAATGGGACAGCATGTCAGACTCCAATGCAAGAGGCTGGTGTGAAGTGCCAGCGGAGACAGTTGTTGAACGGTTGCGGAATGCAAACGGGCACTGGGATGTGACATTCATTACTGCTGAAGAAGAACCTTTTACCGGTGAGTATCTTGTGACATCTGGACCTCCCTCAGCATTCTCATCATTCACTGGAACACAGGCGACACGAAGATCTTGGTGCACGCGGACCTGGCCGCTCATGCCCTCCTACGCATCAAGGCAAGCGAAGATAACACCTCTCTATGGCACATGCGCTGTCGGGACACGCAACTACGTACCGCGATCAAGGCTATCTTGTCCGACATGTAACGTCCCATGCATGTCTGTCATTGGCTATCAAGATGCTTGGTTGCATTGTTGTATTACAATGAGATATGCATTACACTTCCTACTACTCTTCGGATCATCGAGACTGCACGTAGTCGTCTATCTTGAGCAAGAGGCATACGGTCTCGGTCGCAAGCTCCACAGCGCTCGTCGAGACCAACAGGGGCTGAACGACGTCTTCCTCCAAAATGTTCGAGATGAGGCCCTGAAGTGCCAATCAATCAGCCAAGGACCATAGATTAAGGGGGTGAACAGTACCTTGCGGACATTAATGCCCGCGTTACGCTCGCCCATGGCGTGCCTATTCCTGAGCTCGGTAACGATGGCGATGGGATTCAGGCCAGCGTTCTCGGCCAACGTCGTCGGAATGACCTCGAGCGCGTCCGCATACGCCTGGAAGCAGTACGCCTCCATGCCCTTCAGGGACTGCGCGTACTGCGAGAGCAATCGCGAGACGTGAATCTCCGGCGCACCGCCACCCGCGATCAGCGCACGCTTCTTGACGAGACACCGGACGACGCAAAGCGCATCGTGGAGACTGCGCTCGCACTCCTCGAGAACGAGGTTGTTGCTGCCCATCGCGAGCACGCTGACCGTGCGCCCGCGGTTCTTGACGCCCGACACGCGCACGACCTTTGCGCCGGCATGGTTTGTCTCTTCGACGACGTCCGCGTAGCCGAGCTTATCCTCCGTGAACGCCTCGATGTCTGCGACGGGCTTGCACCCGAGGCTCTTGGAGAGGAACTCGATCTCGTCCCGCTCAACGTCCTTCACGACGAGAATGTTGAGCCGCTTGAGGAAGGTGAGCGAAGTGTCGTCGACGGCGTCACGAAGAATGGACTTTTGGATGAGGAGCACGTTGCAGTTGGCCTTCTTGATCTTTTTGCAGATGTTGAGCAGATATTGCCGGCCCTCCTTGATGACCTTGTCCATTTGCCTGTAGTCATTGATGACAACGGTGTTGTCCATCTAGCGACATATGAGAAACTCAGAAAACCACACTAGACTTTGTGAGCCTACATCCGGTTTGGGAGCACTGAGCTGGAATTGGATGATGCCGATCTTCGCTTTCTCTATCCGTGTCGGGCCTCCAGCCGCAATGATCACATTTTGATTCAGTACAACGCCATCAACCAGCTGCGTATCTTCGATCGTGCCGCCGACCTTCTTGACGATGCGGATATCCCTCAGGTCAACGTTCGACGATGTGGGGGTGACCAGACGTGTCACCGCTTGCACCGCGATGGGCGCAAGGGTAGACGAGTATTGGGACACGATCTATGACAGATCGACGCGCGTCAACTTCGCAGACAATTATTCAGTCAGGGTCACTCGCCTTGGAGTTCAACGACGTGGTCGCAGCACGCAGAAGTGACGACATGTCTGACAGGTCAATAGGCGTGGAGATTTCCGTCAGGTATTCCACAGCCTTCGCAGACGCTTTCAAGAAAGACTCGGCGATGATCGTAGGGTGCATGCCCTTCTGCAACATCTTCTCTGCAGCGCCGAGGAAACTTCCCGCAAGGACCACAACAGACGTTGTGCCATCTCCCGCCTCAACATCTTGCGCTGCCGAGAGGTCTACGAGCTACAGACGGATTCAGGTGCTGCTTCGAAGTCACGAAGGAGGACAAGTACCATTTTTGCCGCAGGGTGCAGAGCTTGAATACTCTTCAAGATAGTTGCGCCGTCGTTGGTGATGATGAGCTCTCCCTTGGGCGTTTGGATCTGCATGCACCCTTAGTATGTCGCCAGACGAGCGATGTTCAGTCGTGCGCACCATCTTGTCCATGCCCCTAGGACCCAGCGATGTCCTGACCGCATCGCTAATAGCTAAGAAGTTGATGTTGGTCAAAGTACAGTGTCCCGAGGACGTGTAAGGGCGCACCTTTTGCGGCGACCATATTCGACAAACGCACTTCCATGGGTTTGCCCTTCGAAGACACAACTCAGCTGCCCGCCTGGACACTTGTGCGACTTGCTTACCTTGTCATTGAAAGCAGTGTTCGCGCCTAAGCGCGCTGCCTGGGGTGCTGGTGCAGCTGCAGAGGCCATGGCGAGGGAGGATGGAGGGAGGAAGGACTTCAAGTTAGCTTGAACAAATGAGCGCGACACGCGAATCGCGATCCTAGTAGATGCACGTGACACCGTATTACGTCGCTTGATTTGGGACGTGCTCGAGCGCGTCCTGGCCGCGTAACGACTCTTTCACCTACATCCACAACCTCATTCCTCGCTACTCATGGATATGGTACGTGGATTGTATCTCTGAAGTACACACTCTGACTCAATGTCTCTGTTGCAGAATCCGTTTGGCACAGGGCCAGCGGGCCTGTTCGCTCAACTTGCGGGGTTTGTGGCTACTTCCATCTGTTGCCTCTTGGTTGCCTAAGATTTGTATGAGCTGACGCGGCGATCTTGCGCAGGGGCTTCGGACCTATTGGACATGGACTCAGGCCTCCTCCGGCACGCTCGTATGATGAATACTACAGAGCATACAGTGTTGCCATGCTTCCCGGTCGGGAACGAGAGAACGTTAGCTATGGAGGCAAGAGTACGTATCTCGACCGTGCTGATCTATCTCGACTACCACTCACGACCCCTGTGTAGTCATTATGCCCCAATCGGCGCTCGCGAGCATCACTCAACTGGATCTCGAGCCCCCTTGGATGTTCCTACTGCGCAATCCAGAGAACCCAGCGGCTTCTACGCATGCTGGTGTACTCGAGTTCATCGCCGAAGAGGGCTGTGTACATCTCCCACACTGGATGATGCAGACTCTGAGGCTGAATGAGGGTGATGCGATCCGCGTGACTGGAGCGGAACTGCCGAAGGGTCAATTCGTCAAGTTACAAGCTCAGAACACTATGTTCCTCGAGATTTCGGACCCCAAAGCAGTGTGAGTGACGCTACGCTCCAAAGTAAGGATAATGTCGCTCACAAACGTATATCCAGTCTGGAACAAGCACTGCGCAACTTCTCCGCATTGACACAGGGCGACATCATTGACATCTCGTACAACTCAATCGTGTTCAGTCTCCTCGTAATGGAAACGAAGCCAGGAGGGGAGGGCATCAGCGTCATAAACACTGATCTCGAGGTCGACTTCGCAGCTCCTGTAGGCTACGTCGAGCCCGAGCGTCCAAAGCCTGCGCCGCCATCCACCATGGCGTCCAAGCTCAACATCGACGTCAACTCCCAGACGCCTGGTTCTTCCCGTCCATCCTCATCACTGGGCGGTAGCTTTGGGACAACGGCACCTCGCAGTGTTGGTGTGAGCAAAGGTGGCGACAAGTGGGAGAGCTTCAAAGGCAAGGGAGAGACCCTGGGTGGCCGAAAGACGAAGGGCAAGGGCATTAGCCAACGGCCCGTTGAGGAGACGGTGACCGACAGCAAGATTATCCGAACAGAGTGTGTCCATTGCATTTGCAGATATCCATGATCCGTTGCTCATCATCTTGACCATGTAGCAAACACCGAATAGTGACCAGTGAACTACTGGACACCGAAGTGTCTGCCCCCGCTCCGTTGAACCTTCCTTTCGGCAAGCTATTCTTCGGCTACCGAATCGTGCCCTACCAACCTCCCGATGCCAAAGTGGACACGGATGAGCAGGTAAGGTTCTATGGCTATGTTATCCGTGAAACCCTACTGATTCTTTCCCCAGCCACCAGCATTCACGGGGTCAGGCGCCATGCTCAATGGGCGGTCAACGGGACAGGCCCCTTCGGGGTCGACATCGTCCAAGGGCAAGGGCAAGGACAAGGAAGAGTCCAGCCCAAGTGCAGCCTGGGGCTCGGGCGGAAATACTCTAGGCGGACGCTCAGCCCCCGTGCCTGTGCCCGATACCAATAGCCGTGGGCCTGCACCGTCGAACAGATCTCCCGAGCAGAGACGGCGCTCTCCAACACCCGATCGGGCGTACGACACAGACGAGATGGAGTCGGATGACGACAGCGTGATATACATTAGCGACGATGATGACTAGCGGATGTCCCCGAGTATGCGAAGAGGAACGTTCCGGTTCTGCAGTTCGAACGATCGAATAGTTTGTATATCAGGTAGGACTCATTGTACATTGCCCATATGTCACGCTTCAGCAATATAGATCACTATACAGAGCGCATGTCTTCTCATGCATATGTGCTACATTGACAAATTAAAGCATTACGACGCCGATGCCCTTTCCGGCTGGTACTCCGCCTACAGGGGTGACTCCTGCCAGAGGAGCAGTCCGCCAGTTGTATAGGTAGTAGTTCAACATGCCGTCTCCCGTGTGGAACTTGAGTCAAACAAATCAGCAACCAGAGTGGAGAGTGAACAAACCGCACGTACTCTGAGGTCCGTTAGGAATTCGACATTGTCCATGTGGGTCAGTGCGTTCAAGACGTCAAACTCGCAGCGGCTTGCGATAACCAGGCAGTCTCCCATGATCTCTTCCAAACGCTTCTTAAGCCTGCCGTCCTCTTCGGCGCCCTCGATGAACGCGACATCCGTGCCGTAGTAGAATACGTACGCGGCGTTAAGGAGATTGTGCTTGTCAGTCGTCATCACTGTCGAGGGCAGCGAGAAGAACGAGAAGTAGTCCGTGATCTTGTGCGTCTCCGGATTCTACGCGTGCATTTTCAGCATCCCACCATCCAGGTGCGCGGCCGGTAGTAGGGGGCACACATACCTCGACGACATACGTCCACACGACCTGCTTCTCCCTCGGGGTCTTCCAGCTATCAGGCGTCGTCGGGCCCTCGCCGCGTCCACTCAGCAGGGAATGGCGGATCTCCTCCTCGTCCATGATGTGCGCCATCCCGAAGCGGTCCATGTACTTGCCGTACAGCTCCGTCACCTGCGGCACGTCGCGCTCCTCCATCTCGCGCAGGCCGTGCCCGAGCAGCTTGGGCGTGTCAGGCAGCTTGTTCAGCCGGATGAGGCGCGCCATCGTCATGCTGGAGGGCACGGAGGTGAAGTTAACCTCGACGAGCTTCTTGACGTTGACCATGCGGTGGTAGTATCTGGCGAGGGCGGGTGAGCGGGTCGGAGAGCCGCTAAGGGGGAGGCGTCCTTACCGACATGTCGCGATCGGGGTGGGCAGCAGTAAGCCGGCCGTGTAGAGTGCTTGAAAGACGCCCTTCAAGTGACATTGCCGGGTGATCTCCTTGATCAGGACGGGCGCGAGCCGCTTGGAACGCAGCTTCTTGTGTACACAGAGGAAGTTGACCTCACTGGCCTTGAAGGTGCTGCGTGGAATGACGTTGACGAACAGGTGACATGTGTACAATGCTAGAGCACTCACTTGTCTCGGACACGGACGGACATGGGCACACCAGAGATGAACGCGACGAGCTTCTTGTTAGATGCTACGCGAACGCCGACGTGCCATTCCTTGTAGTAGCCTGGTGGCTGGAGAGCCCAGTGCAGGAAGTGCGCGGAGTACTGAAATCGGAACGACGCGACGTCGTCCTCCACGTAATGTCCGGAGAGTAGCTCGTACACTTCCCGTAACTGTCCGGCTGTAAGGACGCACGCACGAAAGAAACATCGTACAACTCACTTGTGCGGGATCATTGACGTCGACTGTCGTCCATTCGAAGTCCTTCGGCAGAGGATATGGCTCTTGGCGAACTTCCTCTGGCGGCTTGGATGGCTCGATGTACCCATCAGCGACCGGGGCCTCCTCTCCTGTATTGCAGGTCAGAGAGGTCCGCCACTACAGGCTCATCCGCGCTCACCAAGCTGGGGGACTGGTTGGGTCGCCCAGAACTACCACGCGAGTCGTAAGCGGATCTGACAGCGTCAGGATGAGGTCCTCATGCACACCTTGTGTCCGCCCATATCCTTTTGATTCTTGCCTCCGATCCCCGCCTTGCCCTGTATGACATCCTTGATCTTCATCTGCTCCAGCGCCGCGCGCACACTCGCAGGATCCGCCTTCGCAGCCTCCTCGCCGCCCTCCTGGCGCACCCTCTCCAGAACCGTGTTCACCAGCGCATCCGGGATCCCGTCCTTGCCACCAGAGCGGAGCGCGTTCAGGGCCTTCATCGCCTTGGACCGCTTCTTCTTTTTCTTCTTGCTCGACGTCGACGGCATGCTCGACTCGGGCAGACTGGACCCGGTGGGCTCGGGCTCGTCCTCAGAGCCCTCGGAGCCAGTCTCCTCGCCGTCGCCGGGCTCGGGGCGCTCCTCCTCAGGCTCGGCGACCTCCTTCTCCTTCGCTTTCTGGGATGGGGCCATGGGTATATGCAGCAACTGGTGGTACGGAGAAGAGACGCGTGTGTGTAGCGCGTGTGTGGCGGACTGACGGAGCGCTTCATGACGCAGTGGTGGCAGATTGCCTGCACCGCGATTTGCGCAAGTCGGAAGATCGGGCGCGAGATACAGACATGCAATTGCTAGCGGACGTGGCTAGCGAACAGTCCTGGTACTAGTCACTACAGACACCTCGCTTGTCCTCACACGCCGTCGCCTCTTCACTCGATCAGCCATGCTCAAGCTCTCGTCGAAGACGGGCAGCGTCGATGCAGCTTCGTCGATCTCCGGACTGATCACGCCCTCAGACTGCTCTACCGCTACCACTTTGCGTTTCCGCGGGCTCGCAGACGGCGTCGGAGTAGCTGGCGGCGTGACAAGTGCTACTGCGGCCTTTCCCTGTCGTGCCTTCTTACCCTGAACTGAGGGTGACGGAGACGGGCTTGAAAGCCCATAGGACGCGAACGATTTCAGATCGGAGGTGAACAGGACCTGTCAACAGTCAGACCATGAGCGATGCTTCCTGAGTCTACTGAAGCCGAAAAGACTGACCGAATGTGCCCAGCCCGCATATTCGCCCCAGACGTCAGCGAGCTTACTGCTCACTGCATCATACAGCTTTGTATTCATTGCCGTCTTTCCCTTAGACGAGCCGCTTACACCGTAGTGCTTCATGGCGATCTGGTGGACGTGAGTATCTACGGGTATGACTTCCCTCTGCTACATGTGAGCATTCTGCAGGCGAAGGTACAAGAGGAACATACCTTGTCTAGACTCGCGAGGAGAATACAGTCAGCAACCTTCCGGCCAACGCCCATAAGCTTGAGCAACTCTTCACGCGCCTCCGACGTGCTCATACTCCTCAATGTATGCAGCCATCTCTCGGCAGGTTCGAGGCCATCCTCGCAGTTCTTCTCAGAACCGCGCGTCTCAACCAGCATTTCTGCGGTCTTTTGGATGAATTCCGCGCGGTAGCCAAAACCGAGCGAGCGAAGGGTGGCCGACACCTGCGGGGCCGCCAGAACAGATGGCGGTGGGAATGGATGGTACGTTTCTGATGTATCTGTCGACTCGGGCCCCGGTAGTGATATCAACGCGGGTGAGTAGTGTTGGCAGAGGGATTTGACCATCTTCGTTATTCGAGCGATGTTGTTGTTCGACGAACAAATGAATCTAGAAACACGTTCGGATGAGTGCGCGTGAGCAAATGTCGTCCCACGTACGAAATGAGGTTCTCGAACGGATCTTGTCTTAACATTCTGATGCCGCTGAACCTTTGGCTACAATGTCGTTGAAAGACAGGGTCCCGCTTCGCCCACTGGTCGTACAAGTCCACAAGGTCGATATCCAGCTGAAAGTAGTCTCGGATCCATGCTAACGTCTCTGCTTCCCGTTGTTCTAGCGTCTTCGGCGAGGGAGGACTTGGAGGATAGGCCGAACGGTAGAACAGGGTGTCCGGAGATTGGCGGAGACAAACAACTCGATCGCGCAGACAGAGTCGGTACTCGTGCGTTGGGAGCAAGAGTTCGCCAGACGTAGTATTGGAGACAAGCGGGAAGATGCTCCAGCGAAAGGACTGTCCACACTGCAAGACGGCTGCAAGTGAGAGCTGTGCGAGAGGAAGAGGGAGGGCTCGGAAACCGGCCGGGGCCACAGTCGCACAGGCTGAAGCCATATGTAGTTGCAGATAGCTAGCTACTTGAGTGGGGTGTCGTTACGGCTGAACAGAAGTCGCTGCAAGCCGGGATCGTTCTGCCAGTGACCATGGACGAAGTCGTAGACTTGAGCGTGCGATGCCAAGCAGACAGCCTGCCAGTAGCTCTCAGCTCATACACTGGTATGTACGTCCTCCCGGCGCTTTTCCTGCGTCCTGCGAAGAAAGCGCTAGCCATTTACGGAAGGTGCTCTCATTTGCCTCAGAGTCACCGTGACGTTTTGTTTCTTTGATGTTTCTTTGCCGTAGAACATACTTATTGAAAATCCACAAGAAGGGGGCGCATGGCGTAGTTGGTTATCACATCCGTTAGTACTCAGTACTCAGTGGTCATGGCAATGATGGTCTAGTGCCCTGCGTGATTGGTCAATAAGGCCACATCCGACTCGGAGTCGCGTCTAGTTCATGGGTACATCTGCGGTATACTGTGTAGCATATCGCGTGCTCGGTGTCGCCGATCTGCGACCAAACCCTTTCAGCGCAACACATACGAAAAAAACTAGTTTCCAGCCAAACGCTTAACGCTAGGCTGCGTCTCATCAATACATCGCGGACTTTGACAAGCGCTGACGGCGGCTGGCAGTCAGTTTATCTGCGGTGCGTCACAAATATTGGTGTCAAAATACTTTGGTGAGCGAGTGTATGTATACGTCACATACATTTTAGTCCCGACCTCAGTCGTCGTCATCATCATCTTCCTCCTTGCCATCCACAGCCACCTCGCCCCGGATACCATCCACGCTGTAATACGGTATCCTATCTTTGTTCCAGCGACCGAGCAGCCAGTCGACGCGACAGAGTCCCGAGCCAGTCGACGAGGCGAGGAAGGGCGTCGCGCATAGACCGTTTCCGGAGTTCCACACCGCGCGCTGCACGCCGACCTGCGCAGGCCATGCGCCCGTTCCATCAGGGGCATCTTTGGGCGCGCGTGCGGTGACGTTGTTTGGTCGGACAGGCATTTCCTGGAAGGGAAATGGCGTTTGAACTTGAGCGTACAAGTGATACAGCTGCGGTACCTTGGGCAAGAACCTTTCTAGCATGCGCCACTCCTTGTCCTTCCGGTTGTAATCTAGTTGGTAGATTCTGTGTACAAGGAATGGCTGGGAGTACCCCGTTTAATTTCTAGCCCGCATCAACTGTAAGACACACATACATTGGCTCCCCCGCGTCGTGTCGCTCGCAGCGTGTTGCTGGTCAGCAAGCTGCCATCCGCGACACCAACGGCAAGTTGAGGGTGGTAATCCGATGCCGCCAGGCTCTGTGCGATTGTGAGTCCTACCAAGCGGGGCGCTTCGAGGATCGCAGGTTGCGCTCACCCATGCAGGTCCATCAGGCTCGAGAATAGTTTGCCCTCTTCCCAACATGTTCGGTGACAGTGAATATGCCTTGATGATATTCTCGTGGTCGATGGTGACAGGCCCACCACACCATGTTGAGTACGTCATTGAGTTGACTACGTCTTCGTCCTGCTATCAGACCACGCATTCTAAGCCACTACGCGCCTCTCACCTCTGGTTCGGTTCATGGCGTTCCCTACGGGATCACGGATGTCGGTGACACATTCGAGTCCGTCGTATCCCCCGCTCACAATCACCGTCGGGTTGTCTGCACACCGCCCGCCGGACGCAGACACGCCTGGCGCACGTACCCAGGCAAGCGAACGGATGGCAGATTGATGCACGACAAAGTAGTGTGTTGGTGTTCTCTCGTCGGGCCGCTTGAGTGCATCCGCGATGTTGTATACTGCAATCGATCCTGTGGACGACGCTTCAGGCAGATATGACACGAGTGTAACTCTATGCGTACCGTTAGTGCAGCCTACTGCGATTACTTCACTGTTCGCCCAGTCCATCCCCCAGCACATGGTTTCCTCAAGCTCAAACCTCAGCAAAGGCTCAGATAACCTGACTACATCAACTGAATAATGCGTTCGCTCTGTTATGGCCAACACCGTACCACAAATTGGCTGGGATGGCTGGTTCCCATCCGGATATAGGCTGGCGGGGTCCGGGATGGTGTACAGAGACAAAGAGCCATCTTCAAACGTGCCCGCCAGCACGCCTAGCTTCCTAGGTCGAGTTGGCACGGCGATTTCCTTTGATCGTGCTTTAGTGTGACGCCTGCCGTGTTGAACGCGCATACACTCACCTCTGCGGGGTCGTTCGACGGTAGTGGACACCACTTGAGCTCGAACGCTGGCCCGCTTTCTATGCACACCACCATTTCGCACCGCATCTCGCCCGGATCGTCGCCATTGTCGACGTCAGTGATTTCGTCCACGTCCATGGCGTCGGCAGATCGGCTCAACGACCATATCTGGATGCAGGCGTGCATCGGTCGCTGTGCACGAACGCCGATGACGGGCGAGTGCGTGTTAGACGGGAACAGCGCGACAGCGAGGTACTGCTTGTAACCGAGGCCTGTGTGTCATCCATGAACAACGCTTGAAGACGAAGAATAGAAGGATACACACGTGTACGATCATCTGGATGTATTGGACACCAATCAAGGGCCCACACAGGTGCTCCAGGGTTGAACACATGGGACTTGCTCCCCGGAATGAAATCAGCTGAAGGTTGCGATATATATATGTCGTTTGCATGTCTCACGAGGTAGTAGCCGTACCAATTTTGCGCGTCTCAAACATATTCATCTCGACACGCGTTTGTTTGCCATATGGACCAAAGGAGCATGGGACGGGTGGAGGAGGCTTGGATGCTCCTTGCTCTGGCGCAGAAGCATCATTCGGGAGGTATGCATATGCTTGCCTTTCTCATACATAATTACATCGTCGAGCGTTAAGTAGGAGTTGAGACGAACGCACTGCATGCCAATGACCTCAAAACCATGCACCCTGACACCTTCATGGACCCGCGGCCTCCGGAACCTCTCATCAGCTGTCTCCTCACCACCGCTAGCCAGTGACTCCTTAAACCATGCCCTGTCTTCGAGCAAGTCCCAGAGTGGACCAGGTCCCACGTTGAATCCCCAAGCCTTGCTTATGCGCTCGAGGATGGTTGGGTTGACGGACCAGCTACTCGTAGGCGCTATTCGGGGCGGACCAAAAGGTGCGGGACGCTGCATGAGTCTCTCAACAGGCCCAGGCCTGTCAAACAAAGGCAGTGCTCGGTGCCGATGGTGAACGCTGGGCAGGGCATATGTCCTGGGTTTCGACGAGAGTCCTGGCATGGCTTTTGGCTTTGGGGTGCCCCTTGCAGTAGACGGCTTGCCTGCGTCGGAGGCCAGGACCATAGAAGGTTCGCGCGAGGGTTCTTCTGCTGGTACATCATCATCTTCCTCTGCCTCTGCATCCTCATCTACCAGGTCGTCCTCCTCGACGGCGGCTTGGTCGGGAACTTCGTCTGGCGCGAAGTCGCTGCCACTGTCGCCCTCTTCCTCGACCACAGGACGCGTCGAAGGCCCCGCACCGTCGTCTTCGGCGTCGTCGTACTGGAATAAGGCGGCATAGTTCGGGCGAGAGGCTCGAGAGCGAAGCTGTCTGGCCATGTCGTGTTCAGAGGAAGGCGGGATCGCGCAACGGGCGCTCCACATCGCGCGGGAACCGATGACCCAAAAGGCAGGTCGCCTGCCATAAATGGTAAGTAAGTCTGTTGTCGATAAGCTCGTGATTCGCCTCCGCTACATATGCCACCGCTAATCCCACCGGCCCCGCATTCACAGCGTATTCATCTTGGCTGGGGTCCTAGCCTCACATATATACTGCTGGCCCTTTATCTGCCAGGGTGATTTGCGTTGCACATATACTACCCCTAGGCTTGTCGTCCGTACGCAAGCTTGCAACCATGTCCCAGCTTCCCACGTCCACCAAGGCGATCACCTTGCGCGAGTCACCCGCAGGCCGCGAGCCTCGCTACCACGATGCTGCTCTCGAGCAGAGAGCCATTCCCTCGTTGCAGAAGGGTCAGGTTCTAGTCAAAATCGGGGCAGCAGGCTTCAATCACAGGGAGGTTGGTGTAATGTTCACTGACATCGTGTATGGTAACGCACCATCAGTCCATGTCCGCTAGGTCTGGATACGCAAGGGCCTATATCCTGGACTGGCCTTCGGAGCTGTCTTTGGCGCGGACGGTGCAGGTACGCACTCCACCAATCCTGTTCTCGCTCGAGCTTCACAGCGGGCTAGGGACCGTCGTTGCCGCGGCGGACACGGACGACCCCCTTCTGAACAAGCGAGTATTCCTGGTCCCCATGCGTGGCTGGAAGAGCCACCCCGATGCACCAGAGTCACCGTAGGTGCACAGTATCAGACGTCCAGTGCTGAGCTCAAGCTTGCGACGAGCAGCAAATTCGTCATCCTGGGAGGTGGCAAGGTCGTTCCCCTCGGCACGTTCGCTGAATACGTCGCAGTCGACCGCGACCAAGTTGTTCTTACACCTGATCATCTGAATGATGTGCAGGCGGCCGCATGGCCACTTGGGGGCCTCACAGCGTGGAGGTGAGTCTTAGCCGTTTACACCATGTCTCAGTCGCTGAAATGAAATCACCCGAACCCACGAAGAGCGTCGGTCGTGAACGCACACGTCGAAAAGGGCGATAACGTTCTCATCACTGGCATAGGTGGCGGAGTTGCCCTGCTCGCCATGCAGATTTGCCTTGCGCGTGGCGCGAACGTCTACGTGTCGAGCGGTTCTGAAGATAAAATTAGCCAGGCTGTTTCCCTCGGCGCGAAGGCAGGTGTCAACTACAAGTCAGGTATGCCAGGCTCTGTACTACACACTGAATGAGCTCCTCAGACATACCTGACGCCGACTTATGTGCTCACACAGACGAGTGGCCGACGCAGCTTGAGAAGCAGCTTCAGCAAAACAGCCCAGAGATGCCCATACTGAGCGCTGTCATCGACTCCGGCGGCGGTAATATTATGTCCAACGTTAGTAAGATCCTCAAGCCTGGGGGTTGTGTGGTCATCTACGGCATGTACGTAGTTTCATGAATCATTCGCGCCATCGCTGACCATCATTGACCATAGGACTGGCTCACCGGCAGTGACCTTCACCATGCGAGAGGTGCTGAAGAACCAGAGGGTCATCGGCTCGACGATGGGCTCGCACAAGGACTTGGTCGACGCGACAGCGTTCCTGGCGGAGCATCGCCTTGTACCGATCGTCTCGCACGTGTTGGACGGTCTTGAGAATGCGGAGCAGGGCTTCGAGCTGATCAGCAAGGGGAAACAGTTCGGTAAGGTTGTGATACGAATCAAGCATGAGGACGTTGGGGCGAGCCGCGCTCTACTGTGATTGGAATGACGTGCTAGCAATGTACCTTTGTATCGTGATATATGTTTGTATATGTTCCAGAATCCAAGAAGTGCAGCATATGACAACAAACTATGGAGGGAGGTATAGCGATGGCAACAAGCTTGAAGCAATGTGAGTGGGAAATACAACTGAAGCGGGGTATAACAGTTCGTCATGAATGCTGTCACCAGTCATCATCGGAGGCATCATCCCAGCCGTCGGGATCCATTAAGCTCAGGCTGCTTTTCGTTCCACCCAGCTTCGACACCGCACTGGTAGGCGCGGGTGCAGCTGCGACTGGCTGTAGGATATCGTTTGGATCGACCTCGTCGTCCGACGCCTCAGCAGTTTCGGGGAGTGCTGCAGTTGGTGGCGGTGAGCTGGCCGGGGCGACCGAACTTCCCGTTGCATCAGCGGCTTGGGCAGACGACCACCTCAACACTCGTTGATCGTCAATGTTGGGCCCGCGTGCCATGGAGTACCACATCTTCCCGAGCAGCCTTGGTGCATCAGAAGAGGATCAGTACCGCGTGAGGGAATATTCAGAGAAGTACGTACAAGCTCTCGGTACCCGCGGACCACCATCTGTCCGACTCGGCGATGACGTTGGGTGTCACCGCCTGAGGCTTATCCTTCGGCGGGTCAAGCTTCACACCAAGCCCCCGAGCGTTGATGGGCACACTGTCTGTCGCTGGCGCGACCTGCCTCAGGGCCAGATACAAGCTGCGCACGTCGACGACGTACACAGGAGTACCGGATGGACGGCGGCTACGGTCTGCCTGGCTGGCTGACGTATACTCGCCTCGCCGTTCTGGAGAGCGAGAGCGCGAGGACCTGGACATCGTCTGTACAGGTCCGGGCGCGTCATCGTATAGCAGACCTGCGATGCCTGATGCCCATTCTGTGGTGTCTAGCTTGAGGGCGCGGAGCGTGGCCAACGTCCGCGCTTCGTCGTGAACTAGAAGCACAACAGGATGTCTCCCGCTGAGCGCCGCAGACAGCTGCCAAGCAATGTCGCTTCGGGGCTTGTATATCGTGGTCGCATACTCGCACTCCTGCGTCCCCATGAGGTATGTTCACCGTATCACCGGCATGACTCACGATGCGCTTGGACCCGGGATTGCTCAGGTATCTTTCTTCCTCAATTACTACATGAGTGGTCTCTGAAGGCATGATTTGGGATCCGTTCCATTGGGCCGGTTTGGACCATGTTGTCCAACCGATGTCTAGCACCTTCGGATCGGCTTCGCGTTGTCGCATTGTGCGAGTGTCGGCCTTCCACGTATTGTAGCACAGAGATACGATGGTCAAATTTTCCGGAAGCATCCGTAGGGAAAATTCAGCGGCCTGGGTATAATCAAGCGTTGCCAGCATTGGTCGAGACAGCACGAGAACCCTAGTATGAATTAGTAGAGGGAATTCAGCAGCAACAGACACACACTACCTCTGCATCTCAAACGAGCTACGTATCTTTCCGGCTTCTGACACACCATTACCAGCAACAGTGAAGGACGTGTTCGCCTTCGAACGGTCTCTTATCTGATCCTTTGGGATACCCTTGTTGGACTTGGTCGATGCGTACGTCTTCAGTCTCTTCTCAAGCTCCGCACGATTGGGAAAGTGCGCGGGAGACAATGAGAGGAATCTCTCAGGAGGATCAGGTCGAGCACCTGGTGGTCGCCAGCGCAGTGCACGGAAGCGCGACTCCGGGAGCAAGAGATATGACGCGCCATTTGGTCGGATACCTATGTGAGTCAGGCTGGCCGTTAGAGTTGAGTTGCTAGACAAAGTGCCTGATTCCTCACCAAGTACAAGATTCAGCCCTTGGATGCCAGGAGATCGCAGGAGACGTTCGTCGGGGATCTCTCTGCCGCTCTGAGATTGGTCTTCATTCGAAGAGCTCAGCGAACCCGTGTCTTACCTGAGGTGTCCCTGGAAGCCCCCGACTTGATAGTACCATGTCTTGACTGACATGACGACCTCATGCACAGCTGGTCGATCTCGAGGCTCAAGGGCAGGGAGTGGTGTGGGATTGAACACGCTGCATTACGCTTCTCTGTATGGTGGGAGCCTCTACTGACCCGGGAGGCCTGCCGTTACAGCAGCCGTATACGGAGGGAACAGATCTGAGATCCAGATCTGTCTGATCCCAAGCTGCGCGTCTTATGCGCGTCTATGAATGAACTTCAGCGAACCTCGCTATAACGGCTGTTCGACTGTTCATACGCATCAATACCGGCTGACGATATTCGACGTATCCCCCAACTCATCTAATCCCCCCAGGCAGCCATGACATCCGCGGTAATCGGTGAGAGCGGGTAGCTAGAACCTGCCACGTATACGCCACGCCGGACGCCGGTCACTTCACGTTCTTGAAGTACCAGTATGTAGTGGCCGCCGTCTTAGAGGGACGAACGACACTTACGCAGCGGTATGCTATACACTGTGATATGTAACGTCGACATTGAATTATTCCAACGGGATATTTTTCACTGGCATGTTTTCCAACAGCGGGGCATTGAATGTCGGCCGCCCAAGAGTGCTTCCGAATAATGATCAGGCGGGATCATTGTACTTAACCCCCAAGGAGCTCGTTGGGTAGACTTCTGTGACTGTTGTAGAGATGTAAGAGAGCGATGGTGCATTACGGAAAGAGGTATTTTGCCACATGTTGTGAGTGTAATAACTTCGGTCCGATGTGAAGCACATCGCTGATGACCAGGTATACCCAACGCGTTGGACTGGGCCGTTACCTGTGTACCAAGTTCATTGACCCCGGTCTAGGTATCACCTATTCAATTTTTGTCGGGGGACCGATGATCCGGAGGGTCGTACACCGCAAGTCACTCCGATCTCGTCGCTCTGCACTGCGAGCATCGGGTAAGTCTACGAGAATTTCGCGCTTCGTAGAGCCTGCGATAATAGCATGGATCAATTGACGACCTAAAACCTGTTTTCAGACGTAGCATTCCCCGGTTTCGCCCTGGCCATACTTGTTTCAAATACACGCCGAGGGGTCATTCCGGTGTTGCCCCTTTCAGCACGCCTGAGACTCGCCGTCGCCTCTGTCGCGTTTCTGGCCGCCTCATGGTGGCCATGAGACTTCCTTCGAGCGGTGCTCATCGCGGTATATATGGCCCTTGCCACTGCCCGCGACGCAATCGACTAGATTGCATGTACACTACGCCATCGACCTCGCAACTGCCCTCGCAACTGCCCTCGCAACTGCCCTCGCTCCTTTGTATGATCTAAAGAAATGGGTTCCGTACTACCTGGCTATAATGATCAAGCTACCAACAAGTATACTGTATTTGCATCCAATAGCACGTGGAGGTATGTCGCCTCCGGGAGTCTCTATCGCATTCTAACGACCCGAACCTCGGTAGCCGTCGTCAGAGACAGCGGTGGCTCAGATTGTTGCGCAGCAAGATGGTGAGAATTGGTTACAGTGGTGTCAACTGCATCGACTCACATTGCTTATGTATTTCAGAGACCGTCGACACATCGCCGTGAAAGAGATGAGGAGTCGGACGACTTTCTCTCGAGCTTCGTGCTGGTATGTCTGCCCATTGTGGATCCCAGTCACAATTCGACAATCCTGCTGCGCCGCACGCTCATGCCATTTGGTCCTGTAGCAGTCCGACATATTCGAGGATGAGCAGATCGTGTTCGACATCTCGAATAACTTGCCTTCTGTTCCCCAACACACAAAGTCTCTTCCCAAGTTCAGCACGGGCGTCGGTGCAAGCCACAGCTTAATATGCGTAGGTATGGATGACCCGCATTGATTACAAGAAGCTAACCGGCACGACAGGATGTACTTAATAGATTGAGAAACGGTCATGGACAAAGGGGCGGAAGTGGGGCCTGCATCTGAACTGAGTTATATTGTACAGTTTGTCAAATCGCACCTATAGACGGAGACTTGAGCCAAGTGTCCCAGGAATGAAGCTAGCGTCGAACGTTGTACACAGTCCTACATTACAGCGACGTGCGCATCGGATAGTGAAGAAGGACAAGAAACGTGCGTCGCACATACGACTCGTCTTCAGCTGTGTGTATCACGGCCTTCCACCGTAGTGATTTACATCTGTATCACCTCCGGTCAACATCCTCCGCCTTTCGTCGTCGCGCACTCTCCTGAAGATGCTCAGAAGCCGAGTCACCTCTAGCCAACGTTGCGCATGTTCCGGGGTGTTGTGCTGAGAAATCGTGGTGAGGTTGGGGAATAGACCGGTCAAGAAAGCAGCAGTCGTCGCCGCGTCCGCCACTCGCGAAGAGCCCACGTCGAGTTGCTTGATCTGTGCGTTCCTTGAGCTAGGCAATGGCTGCTCTCCCCCTACTTCGAGATAGCGTAGATCCATATCGAGTGATAATTCGTGCAGATGCGGACAGTCGTGGACGAGGCGTGCCAATCCCTCCGACGTCACACCCCCCAGCTGCCCTCTCGACCGTTGGTCCTGGTGGTACGTAAGGCCCAGTTTACGCAGACCCGGCAAGGTGTGAGCGATATCCTTCACGAGCGTGTCATCGACTCTGGAGGGAACCGATATATCGAGGTGCGTGATTTTGCGGAACGTGCGCCAGAGGGTGCGGAGCTGATCGGCAGGAATGCCTGAACCGGGTACCCTGGATGAACCAATCGATAGCTCGCAGAGATCGAAGGAACACGAGGAGGTGATGGCCTGAATGAGGTTGCAACCTTCGAGCTCGTCCAAATAGCGGCAAGTCATATGTATACCGATGACACTGGCTAATGAGGCGCACGACATGATGTGTGTGCAGTCCGTAACACTGATGTTTTGGAAAGTGAGATGCGTGATTTGCTTGAAGTCGAGTTTACGTTGTGCCTCAAGGTTGGCAACAACTTGAATCGACCCAAGGGAATCTGCAGGTGCTCCAAGTGTCAAGCGAGTGATAGATGGCGCTGCTGAGAGTGCATCCCATAGCTCTACCGGAGGTGCAGCATGTAGCGTAAGCGACAAACTGCGCACCTGGTTGAGCGACTGCAATGCACTGCTGAGCAACGAGAGAGCGTCGGGGGATGGGCCAAGACTGAGTTCCAGCTGCTGTAGGGATGGGGATAGCCGTAATGCATAGGATAGTAGCAGAGGGACGGTGATGAGGTCTGCTTGATCTTCATACAACGATAATGCCAGTGAGCGGATTGATGGCCCTATAAGCGTGGCACAGAAACCGAGCATGTCTGGCGATAGTTCAGGCATCTGGTATGTGAGATGGACGAGATGTGGGAAGTACGGCCGTGAATGGTGGTCACACATGGCCAGAGCACGGTAGACGTCTGGTGCCGCAGGAGTACTCTCGAGATAGGGATGCACTGGTTTGGGCATCCTCAACTTCTTGATTCTCCGCGCGTAAGCATCGAAGTTGCCCCAATCCGTGGGCTTCAGCCTGGGCTTAGTGAGGCACTGCCCTGGGCTAAGTACACGGCCGGTACACGATGTAAAACACAACTCACAATCATCTGCCTCTTTCCTTGTGATGGTCCCAATGAGACCTTCTTCACGATGATCAGGTTTGGATGCATGCACCGCAGGAGGTTCTCGATACCCCACTGGTGACTCCATAAAGCATCCAGCGCATGCGGCTGAAATGATTTGCATGTCCGCGCAAGCATTGCCAGCGATCTGTACGCGGCTCGGAGGGATGGGTCATCTGGCAAGACATCGATGTTGGGCTCATTATCGCCCCATATGTTGTTGACTATAAGGCCAACAACCTCCGAAACCTGAAGGCAAGGATGCATGTTTGCAACGGATGGTTATAGGGCTGGGCGACCGAGCGGTATGATGTGGCGTTGAAAGCGTTTGACCAGGGATGGATACTTCAGTAGAAAATGTCGAGAAATGGTCGTATTTCTCGCTGCACATACGACTCGTCAGGTTGCTTCGCGATGTACGGTCTCAGATAAAGGATTATTACCTTTGGATTGTTCCTGCGATCGGGATCGGGAGTGGGTGTTGGATCAGATGGGCGTCAACACAGCCGCTGCGTACACCTGCTTTGCGTGACCAGGTGTCACGTCACGCCATGTCCTTCCTCCGTCCACTACGCCGAACACCAGCCCTGCAGGCATGGCTTCCAGCCCGGAGGTGCTACACTACTCCGAGTAGCCCCGCGCAAGCGAGCTCAAGCGAGCCCGACGCTACAGCAGCGCAGAAATCGGAGACCCAGTCGCGTAGGTTTGCCGCCTCTACTCGGTCCTCTCTGCTCACTGTCACGTCCGTCGCAGCGAAATCGTCATGTCCGGAGGGCACCGTCTTGACTGGCTTGAACTATCTCAAAGGCCAAGGCGAGGTGGTCGCACAGCCAGATAGCGCGTACCCCGACTGGCTGTGGGAGCTTGTCGGACCAAAACGCGTAACAGACGATGGCCCGGGAGGGAAGGAGGAGAAGATCGCGCTGAGGAAGGAAAACCGGGCACGGATACGTGAACAGAACTTCATGAAAAGTCAATAGTCCTCTGGGTTCACATGTCGGGGGCTTCTAGCGGAAGGCTAGGCGATATATGGATGTTATACAGAAGTGAGTGTTGTGCCGCTCTCACAGTGTACTCCTCTGACTCTGAATGGGTACGTCAGTATATCAGCAGTAATTTTTGTGGCGTTGCACGTAATCCCCCATTTTGCATCCCCGTTCGTCAAGCAATGGCCCGCAGTCTCTCAGCTGAGCAGTCCCCCGGTGTGCATTGTGCCAGCGGCCACCTGCGCACGGATCTCTGCCTCGTAAACGCTACGTATCGCTGTCCTCTATGTAGCTACATCGTGGGGAAACTATGGCTACAACATTCCACTCTCATCTCACTCAAGTCGGGAACGAACCAAGAGTGAACAACGTCTGTTTCTGCTTCCCCTTGCCCTTCTTGCCTTTGTTTGACGTGTGCTCGGACTGCACGGAGCTAGCCTCGGCAGGTGTAGGGTCAGTCGAACCATTTGCGCCGTTCGAGGAGCTACCGCCGTTGGACCACGCAGGTACGGACGGGGCGGCATCACCTATGATGTTCCGCAAAGACTTGTTCCCGCCTATGGCGGCCCTAGGGAGCTGCGCCTTGGACGCCGTTGGTAGTTCAGGGAACACGGCCTTCGAGAGGTTGGGTGCAGGACGATTGATACTGGCACCTGGGCCGGGAACGGACGTCGGTCCTCGAGCAACAGGCTTCGCGGCGGATGATGCTGACGCCCAAGGAGTGCTGCGCTGCGACTGACGGAACGGCGTCGTCTTTGTAGAGTGCGCGGTGGGTAAGCCGGGGAAACGCTCCTGCGACCTCTGTGGTGTAGGTGATCGCGAGATAGACGACGATGCGGCTGCTTGAGCGACGCGGTCCCACACTTGTCTTGAGGACTGCGCGGACGCTCGCGTGGAGGTTGAGTTTTTCGCGTTCAGAACCCGTCCACTTGTGACGCCAGCCCACTGTGTCCCGATCGACGTCGGTACGAGCTCGGGGAACTGCCCGCGTTGCTGAAGTGCGTATGACATGAGACCGAAGTGAATGAACTAGATCCGAGGGCTCTCACCTCTATCTTGAAGCCATTCCACGCCGACAGCAATTCTTGCTTTTTGTCCTCTTCGTCCAACGAGTCTACGACCAAATTGACGACACTCGCTGTACCATCCAGGTTGCGGTCGAGGATGTTCCACACCGTCGAGATCAGATCCCGAGCGCCTGATTCCGAGACACGGTAGGAACGCATGGCGGCCTGAATCGCAGGTACGGCAGAGGCAGGGTTCGTTGCGAGTGAATTGATGCGTGCTACAAGAACAGCTGCTCGCCTGGGCACGAGGTGTCAATACACAGTCAAGTAGACGTAGGTCTAGAACTCACTCAGCTGCCCCAGGTTCTCCTTCCAAGTCGCCCGGAGAGGGTGACGGCCGTCGGCTCTGCTGTCGACTGTGGTTGGGGATTTGTCCATTCGGTGTGACATTGACATTGCTGTGCTGGATGGTCAAGTTCCCGCCAAAGGCTTCCCTCCTGCGACCACCGGCCCCCGTAGGGCGCGACGGACCAGGAGGGGGTGGTGCAGGGGGTGGTTCTCGCTCGCGCTCGCGGTCATGTCTACCTCTCCCGCGCCTGCTGCCGACCTCCTCAAACTCGAACTCCGCTTGAACACGGCTCGCAGCCTTCTTGTCGCGCGCGGACATGTCTGCACCGTGCTCCTCCACCATATGTGCCTTCAGGTCAAGCAGGGTACCGAATACGACGAACTTGCGCTGTAGACATTCTGGGCGATTGCATGGGTAGTGTGCATGCGTAAAGTGTTGCTCCTACAGCGACGTCAGAATGCCGGAGATCGCGGCGGCTACTCTCGAAGCTCACCAGCGCATCGTAATTCCGGAAACTGTAGGAGTAGATAAGGATAGTTCTGAAACTGCTGACTGGATGGCTTACTATTGATCTTTGACTTCATTGCGCTTGCAGATGAAGCATTCCTCGTGCTTCTCTCTCATGTGTGTGTACAGCTCATCGTCACTGAAGTAGCATTCGCGGCAAAACTCGCAAAGTGGGTGAACACCCCCTTCGATTTGATGCGTCGGTACTGCATGGTGCCGACCTCGTTGCATAGACGGTAGGTGAAGGGGGAGTTGGTCGGGGGCGTACAGTGCGTGCTCATGCGCGAAAATCTTCTTGAAACGTATGCATATATCGCTTAGAGGCGCAAGGAATATGAGGACGCAAAATCAGAGTAATTGTGTACATCGATACTCACCACATGAGCTTGCCATGTGCTGCCCGGGTGTGTAGCTTCAGGTCACTCCATCCATTGCCGATGTAATCACAGTCCTTGTCGGGACAATTGAACCGGAGGAGAATGAGAGTATCCTCCATCATCTCCTGGGTCTCGAATGAGACGGATAGCTTCGGGTCCTTGTACGGAACTTGGTCTGGAGTGTAAGAGGGCCATAGCGCGTCCGGAGAGGTCGTGAAGATAACGGACGGCTGGGGCTCCTGGAGGGTCAGGCAGCTCAGTTAGCCCGAACACAAATGGGAGTGGAACGTTCGGGTGATACATGCCTTGCAGAATGTGCATTCGTGTTTCTTATAGAGTGCCCTGAGCCGCAGTGCACAGACATGGCATGTGCGATGGTTGCACTCCGACAAGGACCAATACTTGACGGGCTCAGCGCAGATCCAGCACACCGCGCCGTCGTCGGCTTCCGAGACAGGAGCGACACTTGCATTATTCTGCACTGTTTGCGCAGACTCGGACGCCTTGAGCTTGATCGGGTCCTGGTCAGCCTTCTCTGCAGCCTTCGGACCCGCGTTCTTGCCGTTCTGTCCTTGCAATCCTCCTCGACCACCGCGGCCTCTGCCCCTGCGGCCTCCGCGGGGTGTAGTGTGGGTTTGGGTCATAGTAGCAGAAGACATGTTCGACGACAAGATGGGGGACACAAGCAAGGTTTCGCAAACGCGGATTGCAGACGCTGAAGCAGTGATCGCCACGGGCGCGGAACCGGGATGAAGACTCGATTACTAATTTTAGGAAGTCACCGAGGACATAAGACGAACGCTTGACGAACGCTCCCAGATTCTGATCAGAAAGCCGTTGGCTGTGTTCGTCCATCTAGATTCTAGAAGCGTTCAATAAATTACGTAGATACAACTTCGTACTGCAGACATTGTATAGCATCCTTCACTCAACATCCGATCCCGAATCGTCCTCGTCGGAAACAGCATTCTCTTCTTTCTTTTCAGCTAACGGGCTGGGCGGCGACTTCGTCCCAGGCATCGCGTTCAGACCGAACGTGCTCCGTGCTCCCAGCCCTAGCATGTACGTCGTCGACGAGACGCGAGGTCTCTGCGCCGGTCGCGGAGGCGTCGACGGGTACGCAGGCATAACGTGGGCAGGCATGGCTATCCGCAATTCCAGGTTCGCGAATGGGTCGTGATTAGGACTGGGGGAATCATCAGAGGCCTTCCTGGGATGCGACGAGAAGGACGTTTGCCGGAGACGAGGGGACGTCATCACTGACCCGAAGGTAGGTGCAGGCCCCGGACTGGCAGAATGCGATGGACTGAGGAGGCTCGTCGTCCATGAGGTCCACGAGGGCGATGTCGTAGGCGGGGGTGTCGTCGCTACAGGCGATTCGACCGCAGCAGCAGTCAGCTCGTGGGATGCACGTTTCACAGATGCGATGTCGTGCTGGAGGTCATCCAGCTTTCGGCTGAATCCCTCCGTCGCCTTCTTGACCGCCTTGTCTGTGCCATCTACGAACGCCCGCATCTCCGCCTCCATCGCCACCTCGTCAACCTCATCCGACATCGCGCCAGGGATCGTCAGCAGCGCCTCGTAGCCCGACGTGATCCTCGCCTCGTCCGAAATCCGGATCTCCAGCTCCACCCGAGCGTCCTCGTTGAAGTCGTCCAGCCGCTCAACCGCCTTCTGTAGGATGACGGCAAGTTCTGAGGTAGCCCCCAGAGACGATAGATTAGTCTTCAAGTCTCGCAGAGCTAGATGGCAGTCGCGGAAGCCGCGCTGCAGCGCGTCATACCGTTCTTTGACCCTCATCAACTCGGCCAAGAGCGATGGCTGAGGCGTGTCTGATCGTTCTGGCATGGATGCGGGGAGCGAAATCATGTCCACTACAGGTGGCGACTGCTCTCCCTCACCTGCAGAGGGGAACGCGACACCTGTCGAAATGGGGATCGGTGGAGGTGCTGGTTTGGGGGGTTTCAGTCCATTCTCGACCTTGGTCGTGTTGGTGACTATGACCGCAGGCGCAGATAGCGGTTGGAACAACATGTCCTCTGCGAGCACCGGCTGCGCCTCTGCTCGCACTTCGACGACCGATGCAGTGAAAGGACTAGTTCCAGTGGCGGCACTATCTTCCAGAAGTAGATCGAAGCTAGTTACGGCGGGGGCTGGAGGAGGCTCCAAAGAGGGAGGTTCTGTCGCAGCAGGGGAAGGAGCAGCTTCGTCAGCTGCAGAGCTAGACGGTATCGGAGCTTCAGAGGTAGACTCTGCTGGGAGCTCGACAGGTAATAGTCGCGTTTCCGCGGTTGGCGCGGGCACTCCACGTTCCTCCGAGACGACAATTTGCGGAGCAGGCTTAGGCGTAGTGGACTGGGTATCCTTGGTGGGCTCTTGCCGAGATGGTTCCGGCACGGCATCCTTGGGCGGAACAACTATGGAGGCTCGAAGGGAGGCGCTTCGAATGGGCAGAGGTCTGGCCACACCTGCATCTCCATTCGTAGTCGGTGCCGCTGGTACCTCCAGCATCTCCGCAGGCGTCGAGGATCGCGAGATGCGCCGCTGAGCCAGCCGACGCTCGAGCTGCATTCGCCGGTCCGTCTCCATTTGCAACTCGCGTGCCAAGGCGGAGGCCACGTTCTGCGCCGCGACGATGCGCGCAATAGATCCCATTGAGCCGGGTTCCACAGACGGCTGGCCGTTGAGAGTCTCCAGCAACGCCTCCGCGTCGCGGATGCTCCCGTCAAATAGGGCTTGCGCCCCTGGAGGAAGGCCCTCTTGCGCAGCCTTCAGCCTACCGAATGACTCCCTCTGCCGCCTGATCCATCTTCGCAAACTCTCCGCGAGGCTCTCCTCGCGTCCGAGAAATGCAAGCCTCAGTGAGATCTCTCGCCTACGCCCGTAAGCCTCGCGCGATATGTCTTCGCTGAGATCGTCTAAAGCTTGACGCAGCTTCTCCGACTGCCGCCGTTCGGTCTCGAGGGCCTTCTGGAGGTAGTTGATCTGCGCGCCGAGTGTGGCGGTGCTGGCTGTGTACCGTGCCTTCATGCCCTCCATGGATTTTTGGAGCGAGTCAGTTGCTGATTGAGAGAACTTCCTGGATGGTCCAGAATCAGCATACACGGTAGACATAAACCCTCTTGAACGTACATGTAACGAGAGACCATCTTCGCAGCCGTGTTGTCGTCGATTTTGTAACGCTCCATGTCGGCGAGACACTGAGCCAGCCGAGCACGGTCGTCGAGACCGCGTTTACGTTCAACTTCCAGCTCGCCCGCCAGACTGGTAAAATCTCCATGAAGACGAGTAATTTCCGCACCCAGCTGTTCATGCTCGCCATTGAGTTCGCGTAGTAGCTTCTGCAGGCCGGACTTCCCTTCTGACAGGCTATCGACTAGCGTTGCGCTGGAGTTCTTGCCTGTGCTGCCAAGGGGGAACGATGCCGTCGAGGCTGAAGCGGCCTGTGTTCTGGACCTGCCTTCGAGCGTCCGGACCAGGTCTGCGTACTCTTGCACCACCAGATCGGAGAGTTTGCGCTCCTCCTCGGCCGCTCGTAGCTTGCGTTCCAACTCCCTCTGCTTTGCCTGAGCAACTTGCACCTGGCCCTGTCTCTGTGCTGCGAGCTCATGCGCGGCGTCAATGGAGTCCTGAATCTTGGTGAAGTCACTCTGAGCATTCGCGAGTTCGGTGGTGCGAGCTAGGAGAGCCTCCTCTGTCGCCGTAAGCTTGTCCGAGAGCCGTCGGTGCGCTATGGTGAGCTCTTGCACTTGGAGGGACGCCGGATGCGGAGCGGTATCCGGATGTGCCTTCAGGGTGGCGAGCTCTTCCCGGAGCTTCGCGTTCTCGCTCTCGAGTGCATACGCGCGTTCAATCGCATGCGTAGTGTCAAGGGAGTGTCTCTGGAGCTTGACGGATGCAGCGTGGGCTTCGTGCTGGCAAGGAAGCCTGCATGTCAGTGAATGAGCACTTCATGATGCGGGTGAAGGCAATATCACCACCGAGGGTTCCGAGCTTCACCTGATAGCGGTCTACTGCAGAGCGGAGGCTCGCAAGCTCTAGGGCTAGCGGGTGGTCATCGTTGACGGTGAGCTCTGCGGCGGACATGGCTGGGAGAGCAGTCCATGCGCCTGTGCTCTGCCTGTGCTAACGCGAACGGATTCCGTCGATGTGAGCGCGTCTCCGGCGTCTCCGCAGCGGAACTCGTCGTCGCGCAACCAGGCGCTGACCATGTCGCCGGCGGGCGATGACTACAAAAGGCAACGTCCCGGATTTGGAAGGCGTTGACGTAAATCAGCACAGGGCGCGGCGACTGGGACGGCGCCTGCAAAAGTCGCCTGCCGCGCAGACGCCTGGAGACTGGAGCAGCATCGCCCGTCCACCGTCGTCCACCTCGCGCTGCCCCGCGGTCCTACCCGCATTCGCACCGCCAGAAACACAGGAATACAGGTAGAGTGTGCGGGCTTGTATAAGTACATATCTGTAATGCTGATGCGTTTGCATGACTCAGCGGAACATTGCCTCTAGCTCGAACGACCCACCGTGCACCTTTGCATCTCCACGTCGTCTTTCGGCACCTTCGCATCTCGTTCGCCAGTCTTCGGGACTCAGCATATGCCCTCGAGTCGCTCAGGTTTGCCTCACGGACAAACCACATAACCTTACAACTGTGAGTATATCTATAACTATCTTCGCAAGCGATTACGCGTGCCGTGCTCTCGTAATCTTACATGCAACGTCCTCTCAGGAATGGCAAGCCCACACCCTTCGTATCCCAACCCGGGGCCATCGTCGTATTATCATAATCAGCCGCCTCCGCCTCCGCCTCAGTTCTATCATAATGGACCACCCTACTACAATCCGTACATGCAGCCCGTGAACGGGCACGCGCCGATGCACCAACCTGCATCGCCTCGTATCAACTCGCCCAGCCGAGGGAGGTACCCTGCTCCATCGCAAAGGGGCGGTATACCCAACTACCAGCACTACCCGCCTATGCCTCCGCCGCCGCACAACATGCATCCTGGAGCGAACATGCACTCACCGCCCATCTCCCCGGTCAACCCGTACACCCACCCTCACGCACCGAAGTACCCACCGCACGTCCCTCATGTTCCGTACTCTCCTACCTATCACCCTCAGCCCAACGGAGGCTATCACCCTAGTTGGCAACAGCCACCTCCTGTACCAAAACAGCTCTCGATGCTGTCGCCCGCGATGCGATCACCGGTCCCAATTCCTGCACAACACCTTCAGCAGGAACCCACTCCTGTGCAGATTGCACCTCCACAACAGCTTGTCGTAACAGCTCAGCAAACCTTTTCTGAACAGCCTCTTGCTTCCCAGGAACCTACTCCGCTGCCTCCGCAATTCGCCATTGAACAGTCCCCTGCTCAACAGCCTCCGCCCGAGGTGCTGACTGAACCTACAGCTCCTGCGGTCCCTGAACCTGCCCCCGAATTCGTTACTGAACCTGTATCTGTACCGGAACCTGCTCCCAAACCGGTGGCTGCTATCCCTGAGGCCCAGCCCGCACCAAGAACACCTAAAATCGAATTCCTGTCTGCACAGGAGAATGTCGATGACGAGACTCCACAGCCTGCGCCATCTAGTTTCGCGGACGGATCTGACCCCGCCTCGAGCGAGCCCTATGGATGGGTCATCTGGTCGCGACGGCCTCAGGATCCGTCGCACGCTCCCGGTGTTATCATAGCCACGAAAGCATTCCCGCCCGGTGACGTCCTAGACAAGGCCCTTGACCTTCCGACGCCTCCACCTTCGCCCAAGGTCCCGTCTGTTAAACTTGCACTCACCGAGCCTGTAGTGTATGAGGTTGAGCCTGTCGAAGAGCTCGTCGCCTTGTCGCCCGACGAAGGGGAGGTGCCCTCATCCTCGGTGACGGAGTCGACGCCGGCCTCTTCGACCCCTGGTGAGACGCCTGTTCCAGGTTCACCAGCCACTTCTCGTACTTCTGTCTCTCTCCCTGTCGTGTCTCCTACTCCCGAGAAGGTTGTTGACGCGGTCAAGCCTGAAGAATCCGCTGCGGCACCTTCGTCTGCTGAGGCCAACACTGTCCAACCTCCAGGGACCGCGGCCCCTGCTGTACCTTCGGTTCAGGCGGAAGCACAGCAGGGCCCTGCGCCAGCGCCCGCGAAGCCCGCTGTCAAGAAATCATGGGCATCTCTTCTGCAGTCGGGCGATGCTGCCGCTTCGTCATCGAAGTCGCGTCTTCCAACGTCTTCTGTAGTTGGGTTCTCTATCCCCGCTACTGCCATGGGCGGCTCGTCCGCAGGTTTGAGCGCCGTCTCCGGTGGGAACCCAGCTATTCTCCACCGCAACGATCTCCTCAAGCTCCTGAACAACGGTCCTCCGCCGGCGAACGTGCCGCCCAAGATCCAGCCGCGCGGTCTCATCAACACGGGCAACATGTGCTTCGCGAACGCCGTCCTACAGATCCTCATCTATTGCCAGCCATTCAACCGGCTGTTCAGCGAGCTGAGCAAGCACCTTACGGGTCCAGTGGTGGGCTCGCAGAAGGAGGGCTCGAAGGCGACGCCACTTGTGGATGCGATCATTCAGTTCATGAAGGAGTTCGCACCGGAGCCGCCTGCGGACACGAAGGCGAAGGGGAAGGAGCGCGATGACTTCTACGAGCCGGAGGCGTTCATCCCGTCGTATGTGTATGATGCGATGAAGGAGAAGAAGCGATTCGCGAGCATGATTGTAGGCCTCATTTGTCATCGGGTTCACTTTGAAGTCAAGCTAATATGTGGACTCAGGGCGGACACCAAGAAGATGCGGAAGAATTCTTGGGTTTCTTCTTGGATACACTCGAGGAAGAGCTGTTGTCATTCTCTTCGTCTTCATCGCCGAGCGCACCGAAGCCATTGGAAGAGACTGATGGTGCAGGTGCGCAGGACGATGGATGGTACGAGGTAGGCAAAAAGAACCGGGCTATGATCACCCGCTCGGTAAGGAAGATTGTCGCGACGCTTAGTTCCTCACTGAAAGTGGCTCGGGATATAGGTTAAGTTCACAGAGTCGCCCATTACCCGTATCTTCGGAGGCAAGTTCCGCTCAGTGCTGCGCGCACCTCACCAAAAAGATTCTGTGACCGTTGAGGACTGGCGGTCGCTCCGACTAGACATACAGGTGTGTTGGCTAGGTGCATATGTCTCCCGTCACGCTGAAATGGCAATTGCAGCGCGATACGGTGCACAGCATCAAGGATGCGCTGCAGTCCATCTCGCAACCTCAGCCTGTCCAGATCAGTCAGCCGACGCGCCCAGGCGTAATTATTGAGGCTACCCAGCAGGCCCTGATTGAACTGCTCCCACCCGTGTTGGTGTTGCACCTGAAGCGCTTCCACTACGACACGACCGTAGGGGATGTCGTGAAAATTGGCAAGCAGGTGTCGTACGGACCCGAGTTGGACATCAGCCCAGGTATGATCATTGTTAGATGGATGGCTGTAGCGTTGTCTCAATACTTCGTTACAGATCTCATTGCACCGACCAGGCGAACAGCTCAGTCCGTCAAGTATCAGCTCTTCGGAGGTAAATATGCTTTCCAATCTCACTACGCTCAACGCTCATGTCCGTTTCAGTGTTGTACCACCATGGCCAATCCGCATCCGGAGGTCATTATACTCTGGACGTACTTCATCCCAACCGGGATCTCACTGATCGCCCTCGCGCGGCCTGGATCCGCATCGACGACGAGCTGGTGTCTGACATCCGGCCCGACGACGTCTTCGGCGGGCAGGAGCAAAACGAGCGTTGCGCATATCTGTTGTTCTATAGGAGAATGGCTGCCTGGGGCCCTGTACGGACATAGCTGTTGCATCTGTACTTCATGCTATCGTAGTGGAATACATTGTCTAGTTTTCGTTGCATCTGAAGTGCCGGTGCGTGCTCACACGGCACGGTAGTGGAACAGATTATATTACTGTAATCCTTCGGTAGCCTTAAGTTACGATACGATAGCGACAAGGGAGGTAAGGGTCTGTCCATCTCAGTGCTCACTCCTCGTAGATGTTCCAATCCTGACGAGGGTTGTCAGTAGGTAGGTCGTCACGAACCTGAACATCTGGTGAACTTACCGAACGCCACTTGAGTCCCCAGTGGTCATTGATAGAACCGTCGATACCGAAGGCGACTCCCCTAAACCACCAGAATGTGGCGATGATCGAGAAGACTACCACGCTGAAGACTATCCACTTGGTTCGTTCTGTTAGTCGTCGGGTAGTGAAGACGAAGTGGTCGAGCACATGAGCTGATGTGAGGACTGCGAAGTAGAGAGTAGGCAGCTATTGTCATGCACGTCGTCAGTGGTCTGCGTGGGTTCAAAACGTCGTCTACTCACGTAGTGATGCAAGTAGGTTACACGGCCCATAATCAGGAATGGCACTATGCAAGGCTCAGAACTTTGTGATCAAGTGATACGAACTGAACATACCGAATTGCAGCGCCCATCCTATGACAGCTACCTTACCGACGTAGATCATGTGGTCCCATTCCCCTGCAAGCCAGTTCATCAGTAAGTGGGATAGAATGAACTAGAACAAGCTCACTGGGCTCCATGTCCACGTATTTGCGCTGCTTGCGTAGCAAGTAGATACCCAAAGCTGCGACTGCGACGAAGAGACTCAACGTGCTCCCCCACCATATCACGGGCGTTCCGAGCAGGTAGAACTTCGCTTGGTTCGCACCCCAGCCACACATACGCAGACCCAAGCGCAAGAAGGGCCAGTCGAGCGGTTTCGAGGCGAGGATGTCTTCCTTGTCAGGGTCAGGGATCAGCGCGTTGTTTGTCGTCATCATCGCCACATTGAGGTGCCAGAAATCGCGGACAAACGACGTCTTGTAGAACTGGGCATTACCGGGCGGAACTGTAACGCTAGGCTGAGCGACAATTCTATGAATATCATAGGACACTCACGTCGGTCGTTGATGTGAGTCTCTACGTTCCAATAGGTGTAGATATCACTGGGGTTGTTCTCCTTGTCGCAACTGACTTCGATCTGCTTGAATCCCCACTGAGGCAGGATTTCGTTGCCAGCACGAAGGTAACATCCCGAGGCCTGATGGCGAAGGCGTAAACGAGTGGTGAGCGAGTGGATCTTGTCCACATGAGTCTTGCTGCCGCGGCGCAGGTCATCCACGACTTCGACTACCCAATAATCCTGGTAATCACCGATTTTGTCATCTCCATATCCAGACACCTCGGTATTTAACTTCGAGACAGGAGCAGGGATTGGATGCGAGTGCAGGTTCCGTTTGGTCGCAACATGCTGGAACCGAACAACGTCGCCGTCTGCGAGAAACCGGATGGGGCCATCTGGATCGTACGGTGCCTCGTCCCATCTTGGGACGAGTACCCAATCGTTGTTCTCGTCCTTATAGTGGTAGCACGTTACTTGCTGTTGCGAGGAGCCTACCGGGTAGGTCTGTACATGAGAGTGAAGTAGGCCACCGGCCCATCCCATGTTCTTCAACGTGATTTTTGAGCCGATAGCAATTTCTAACGTGATTGTTAGCGCATGTAGACATAATGTACCTTTGTGAGAGCTCACCAAGAGGGTTCTGCGAGAACGTGTTGCCGACGAGATTGGCTTGAAACAGGGAGCTCATCTTCGCGTCGTCCGGGCCAGAGTGGTTCAAGATCATGAAGTGAATCTTGAAGAAGGCCATGTAGAGAAGGAGTGGTAGGGTGATGAGGCATGTGATGCGAGCTCCCCAATGTCTCAGTTGTTCGCGCTACAATGACGCGTCTCGGTCAAAACATCTTCACGAGCTGCGTTGATACATACCTTTGTCATCCGGAGGTCACCGAACTTCTCCCATAGGTCCTCGATGGTGTAGAGACCGACTAGTGCTGTTACAAACATGCCAACCCATTTGACACTGCATAATCGTCAGCTTCTCGGTATCATGAACAGGCAGAGTCGAACCTTGTTACACAGCCTATTGATACACCTGTCATTGCGAGCCACAACCACCAGTCGAATGAGAAGGATCTGCGTCAGGAGTCAGATATCTCCATCCAGCACTAGAGTCGAGAGGACGCACTGATATTGCTGGTTATGGAATTTTGCCAGACAGAAAACCGTAGTGAACGTGAAGAAGAGAAGCATAGAGTCCAAGAGGATGAACCGCGAGATACAGAGCCAGCCAACGTCTGACTCGCACATTAGAAAGCTACGCGTATAGCCTTGAGCGATACGCACCGAGCAACACCATGATCGCCGCCAAGTGGCACGCCCTCCAACTCATCCCAAGCTCCACAGCCGTGTACCATGCCAGTGGTACTAAAGCAACACCGAAAGTCGCCAACATCACCCGCATAGCCACGTACGGAACATTGTCCGGATACGCCGCCCCGCTGGTGAAGTCGAAGTGTCCGTCATAGCCCGAGAGAAGGCCCGCCAGCGCAACGAGCATCTTCCCCAGTGGAGGATGCACATCGAAGTAGAATTGGCGTTTCAAGTAGAAGGATCCAAACTTGCCGAAGTGAGCCTCATCCCAGATGACAAGCGGTGCGTGGCCTATTCTGTGAAAGCGCGTCCAACATGACAAGAGAGTATACACAATTGGGGGAATATGTTCGAGGTTTTGCTGGATGAACTCGCTCTACTGAAATTGTCAAGAACAGTGAAGGCAGCAAGGACAGTGGGACACGCACCACTGTAGTAGGAGGAGGCGGTGGTGGGCGTCGTAGACGTCCGCTACCCAGAGGACTTCGCATGTCCTTCATTTTTGCGTAGACATCCTTCCCTTCGTCGTCGTATATCTCGTACTCCTTCTCCGAGGTCTGGCTGGGTTCCTGGTGTACCCCGTTGCCGCTGGGGCCGCGGAGCACCCTGCGCCGTGCCGTCTCCTCGCTCATGTAGTGCAGCGGCAGTTCCTCCTCGCGAGCGGAACGAGTCGCCCAGCTTGGAGACTGGTTGATAGGGTATTGGATCTCCTCGAAGTCGGATGAAGAGCGCGGCGAACGTTCGGGAGGTGTACCGACGTGAATGACAACCTGCGAAGGCCTCATGCGCTGTACGGATTGTGGCTGAACCGGAAGTAGTTAAGCGAGGTTGACGATGTCCGTCGGCGACGCTCGACCTAGTGTTGTGTCGGCAGGAGCAAGACAGATGTACAAAGTCAAAGTGGGCGCAGTCAGGTCGGTCTGCTGGACGTGGATGCTGCGCGCATGAGCTTATTCGTCCCGCGCGCTATTGCCGCGCAGTGACACGTCCCCAGCACAGATCACGATCACTCCGAACCACACCGCCACATCAACTCACGGGCACAAGCAGACTTCCGGTGTAAATGATGCAACTGAATCTATACAACAGAGAATAAAGTGCGCGAGAGATACTTTTGGTGTAAGTACAGGATACAGACGACACAGCATGATCGGCAGAATGCAGGGGAAACGGAAATAGAATGAGCCGCCAAGAAGCACTACTTGAAGCGTTGGTACACAGCTATATATACCGAGTAAGCTATCTCGGACACATAGAATTGAGGTATACACATACCAGTCACCATCGCGTGGTCACGCTCGTAAGGCTCCAAAGTGACCTGCTCAAGAGGCTTCAACTTGCTGTTTTTGAGCTGCTCAACCTCGCGAGCGAATACAGCTTCCGCAGGGGCGGTTGAGTCGATACAACTGGCCTTGATGGAGATGACTACATGGCCGCCGTTCTTCAGGAAGTGCTCTGCGTTGTACGCGACAATTCGAGCTTGGTCGGGCTGTGCGACATCTGCGAAAATGACGTCGACCATGTCCACAAGAATGCGATATTTTTGTGGTGTCCGCGCATCCTCGACGATTGCTATATAGAGATTAGCGACACGATAACGAGCATCCAAGAGAGCGACATACGAGTAACATTTGTCCGCTTCTTCGCCATATTTATGAGATCACGCCCTGAACGCAGCGAGAACTCGACAGCGTACACCGTGCCCTCCTGGTCTACAGGTCAGCCAATGCACAAGTTAATGCAAGCAGCCCATACTCACAGGACCAACAATGTCCGCTACATGACTGACACTTGTGCCGCTTGCGGCACCAAGGTAGAGCACCTTCTTCCCAGGTGCGATGTAGATGTCGTCAAGACCGTTCAAAACACCCGCCGCGAGCTTGCTACGGAAAGGGTTCCACACACGGTATTCCACCTTCGTCCCGTCAATACCCCCGTCGATGGATATCCGCTTCTCGCCGTAGACTGCCTCGCCTGGCACGAGGTTCTTGGTGACGAGCATTTGCTCCTTCCCCTTCGCAATGAAGACACCAGCATGCCTGTGAGGCTCCAGGACGACATTCGCACCGCCCCTCGCGCCGCCCCTGCCGCCGCCACGACCGCGACTGGACATACCGCCTCGCCCACCACCACCACGTCCCGGAGGTCCTCCGCGCTTGAAAACACCGCCCCGTCCGCCGCCTTGAAGGAAAACGAGATCAGACAAGAAATCAACAAAGTCATGATACTTACCTCGTCCACCACCTCGCCCGCCTCGTGGAGCACCTCCGCCGCGAGCACCCCCTCGTCCTCCGCCTCCGCCTCTACCACCGAAACCACCGCCGAAACCGCCGCGACCACCTGGAGCTCCTTCATGCATAGGGTTTGTCAGCGAGGAAATGCATGCTCGCAAACGGTCAGAACATACCGAATGCCATTTTGTTGAGCTGTTGGAAGTGAATGAGGTCTGTGTGATTAGTCGCCGGCGGTGGACGCGGAAAAAGTAGAGACGAAAGTTTGCGCGATCGGTCAGCTGCCAATTCCGGTAATCGAGCGCTCGGGTAAATAGTCGCAAATAGGCGCCGCCTATACCGTGCCAGGCCCACGAAAGCAGACATGGCCGCACGCATCGTCGCGCTTTCTCGTAGTGTCAGAATGCGAAGCATATAGTGGATTACCTTGGATTGGAGTGCTTAGGGAACCAAGCAATTCAATTTTCCAAAATATTGTGAGAGGTCGTCTTCTGTCCAGAAATGGAAATCTTGTAGAGGCCGTTGGACAACAAGGACAAATACGCACCACGAGATCTGGACGCGTACGCGTCCTACCGTGCTTGCGGAAGCCACACCCAACTCTATCTTTGCATTCACCCTCATCCCGCCGCCATGGTCGCAACAACATCAGAACAGGTCCGTAGCGTTGGTTCTACCTTAGCGGACTAGCTGACGATATTCCCCAATAAGCTAGCAGCACTGTCTGGTACTACCGTCGGTGCGTACTATGCACTTGGCGGTAGACGCGACGCTGACCTTCACAATTAGTTGTTCATCCCCTTGTGCTTCTTTCCGTTACGGACCATCACGCGCGGACGGTCCAACGGAGCTCTAGCAAGCGCGTCATTGGCATCCTTCTAGGGCAGGACAACGGCAAGACTGTCAACGTCGCGAACTCCTTCGGTATTCCATTCGAGGAGGACGAGAAGGACAGCAAGACATGGTTCCTCGACCATAATTACATAGAGGGGATGTGGGAGATGTTCAAGAAGGTCAACGGTTCGTGCAGTCCGTCTTTATGTTCCAGTCCGTCTGCTTACCGACGTGTGTAGCACGAGAGCGGATGATCGGCTGGTACCACACTGGCCCGAAGCTCCGAGCATCAGACCAGGAGATCAACGACCTGCTGAAGAGATACATTGCACGACCGGTCATGGTGATTGTCGATGTACGACCAAACACAGTAGGCATCCCAACGGACGCGTACTTCGCGGTGGAAGAGATCAAGGATGTGAGTGGTCTCCTAGGTCTGCATCTATGTATGTACTAAACCCTGGACTAGGATGGGACAGAGACACGGAAGACGTTCCTTCATGTGCCATCAGCAATAGAAGCGGAAGAAGCAGAAGAGATCGGTGTCGAGCACCTGCTCCGGGACATCAAAGACTCAACTACGACAACCCTCGCGACGCGCGTCTCCGAACAGCTCAGCTCCTTGCGTGGCCTCCAATCCCGCATACAGGACATCCGGAGCTATCTTTCCGACGTCGCAGCGGGGAAGATGCCCGTGAATCACCAGATCGTCTACCATATACAAGACGCGCTGAACCTCCTCCCGAACCTCAACGACCCCGAGACGACACAGAGCTTTGCGACAAGTACGAATGACCAGCTGCTCGTCGTGTATCTCAGCAGTCTGCTCCGGGCCGTCATTGCCCTCCACGGGTTGGTCGACAACAAGGCTACCATTGGTCGGGCGGAGTTCGAGGAGACTAAGGGGGTGGACGAGAAAGACAAGAAGGTGGACGAGAAGGATGAGAAAGACGCAGCAGGGAAGGGGGCAGCGACGGACTCGAGTAAAACGACATCCGCTGACAAGGGCCTGTAATTGTGCGCTCGTCCGGGGCCGTACACAACTCGCTGTCGCTAGCTATATATTCATTCGTGAAGATCATCACATATGACTGCAAGAAGCCTCTGCCTTGCCTCTCCGCCGTCAATACGCAGGACGGCTCAGGGCTGAAACGGCGCCCTAGTGACGTCGTATGTAGTGACGACATCTCTTGACAACGGACGAGACATGACGTGCATCCACGCAAGGTCCAGGCGGAGAGGAAGAGCGCAGGGACTGTTCACACACTGAGGTATATGCGGGCGGAGTCGGTTTATCGAGGCGCGCGCCGGGTTGGGCAGACCAGGAGAGGACTTCGGTTGCTGGCATGCTGCAGCGATAGTAAATGTGATTGTTCTTGGCTGGCTGAGGTGTTTCAGCAATGCAAATACTCTATTCGACCACGCCATTGTTAACACATCGTCCCGAATGAAAGCACTGGCACTGGTACGGCTCGGTGGTGCGTGAGGCCCACGCCCGGCGGCAGCAGTGAAAGGCATGGTTACTTGTGCGTGACGAAACCCTTGCCGCTGTATCCCTCGGAAGAGATACCTGACGACGAACACTTAGCACTGATGTTTAGGGGCGAAAGGAAGAGCGACGAACCGGTGATGGGGTTCGCTTTTTGCTCCAGAGCACGCTGGTTCGAAGCCTCCTCCCACTCCTTGCTGATCGTCTTCGGCGGAGGCGGGGCTAGGGCAGTCGTAAATACACAAAAGCGGCGCGCGTTGAGCAACGAGAAACCTACCCTGGGACCTGATGGCGGCGAAAAGAACGCCAGCAACGGCTATACCAGCAACCGTGGCGAGAAAGATCTTCGGGCCAGTACCAGGGGGGTTATCCGGGCGACGCGGTCCATGGGGGCCAAAGGCGACGTAGTAAGCTAGCACAGTGCAGAGAAACCAGGAGTCAGCAACGACCGGAGGGCATGGTTGCCGAGGCATTGAGCGCAGATAGCGCCGCGAAGAGGGCTTAACGTACCCGCCTTCTTCTCGTCGACCGAGAGGCTGTTCCAGTCCTTCTTCTGAACCTCCTCGAGCTGCTGGTGGACGGCGAGCTGCTCGTCGGGCGAGAGCTGCTCCCACTGGGCCTCTACGTTGGAAAGCGGAATGACAGCTGATGACGAGGACGACGCGGATGCGGCCGCCGACGCGTGCCCGCTGGCCGTCGCCGTGAGGGAGCGAGCGTACGGGCGGAGGGGGGCTCGGGGACGCGCCAGGCGCAGTGCTTGCATTACGACGACGAGGTAGACACGACGGAGGGAACGAAGGGATGAGGAAGGGATGCGCACAGGCGACGACACGAAAACGAAGGAGGCACTCGAGCGACGTTGACCGCCCGCATAACTCCGGCGCGGAGCGGCACGGGATTGGCCGTACCACTCACATCAGGCCCATTTTCCGCCCAGGTTAAGCCCGACGCACTCCAGTCCGCTCGAGCCTTTCTGCGCTCAGCTCTGAGCCAACGTCGCGCGCCCGACGCGGCGCCACGGACCGTCACACGACACTCCAGTCGAGGTCAGACCGCAGTATATCATTCAATGGACAGACAACAAGAAACGAGTCGCAGCGAGACTACAGAGACAGATCGAGTGCGATACAGTATGATAGACGATATTAAGCAGTACTCTCCTCAGCCGCCGGCGTAGTGGTTGGACAGTCGCGCGAAATGTGGCTGAACCAGTGTCAGGTAAGACCATAAGTGGGCAGACAAAGATGGACTCACCCTTCAGAGCCGCAGGTGTAGCACGCGCGCTTCTGCGGCTGAGGGCAGTCCTTCGACATGTGGCCCTAGAACGACGCCGTGAATGAGTGACTTAAGCGCAGATGAGACTAGGACTTACTATGCCGGAGCAGTTGTAACACCTGGATCCTTGGACGCAGTCTCTCGACAAGTGACCTACGCCTCCGCAAGTGTAACAAGTCTTGTTACTGCCTCCACTGCCAAACGTCGCGCCGCCGGTGGTGGCCTGAGGGCACGCACGCGCGATGTGACCGACCTGGCCGCAGCGGTAGCACTCCTGGCTACCGCTGTACGCTGCGCCGGCAGTGGCAGTCCCGTTTTCGGGGCACTCGCGCGACTGAAATAGAATGTGAGCAGGGCTAAAGGATATCTGCTTCGGACTTACCAGGTGGCCCTCCTGCCCGCACTTGTAGCAGGCCTTAGGTTTCGGTTCTCCCGTACACTCGCGGGAGACATGGCCCTCGCCGCCGCCTGGACAGGGGTGGTTAACAACAAGTATATGTGAAACAACCTCCACCTACAGTTGTAGCTGCGAGAGAATTCCGTCAGGAGAGTCAATGATATGAAATGATACCGATACTCACCAAGTGGGCGTGCCCGCCTTTGGGCAGTTGGCAGCCTGATGGCCGACTGAGGTGCGCAGAGGTCTGTAAGTTGACGTACAGCCGTACGCAGATGTCACTCACTACCGCCGCAGTTGAAGCATCCTCGTGCGCCAGCCATGATTATTGTAGAGAAGTTGAGGGAGGTAGCGACGAAGTGAGCCCAGAGGCGATGTATAAACGGGGAGAGCGGTGCGGCGGGGAGGCCTGCGCGGAGGGTTTTTGATCGAGGATGAGGAGAAAAGAAGATGGCGTATGTAAGCGATCTGGCGGCGCCGCCGACAGATGCACGTGGGCATCCGCGCCCGGGCGCCTCGCTGGTGCGCCGCGCGGCGAGTGCGCAGCCACAACGAGGAGCACTGCCGTACACCGTCGGCCAGTGAGGGGGCTCAGACACCCAGCCTCCAAGGGCCCTAGAGGCCCGCGGGCTTCTCGCAAGCCACCTGACGGTAGCCGGGCATACAATGAGGCATCGCTTTGGGATTCGTGGGATGCGCGGGAAGGTGCAGGTTGGGGCCGCAGTGTCGGGTTGTTCTCTCGTCGAGTCAACACCGATAAAATCGGTATCCATGGCCGCGAGGAAAATACCGGCGGCCCCTAGAATCGCGCCTCGAGGCGCCGCTACGATCGCGCGACCATCTTCGGATGGGGATCTACGACGTTGGTACTAACGACGGACTACTGTGGTCCGTACGTAATTTTTGGTGCGCGCAATCCGTACGCCAGCGGCGTTGTCTCAATATAGTACTTTGAGCATTGTTGCGATCACACAAGGGGTCAGGGTAGACGAATCAAAGTTTAGCATTCATGACTCTCGGGCAGGGACAGACGGCACAGTTATGTATTGGGAACGGCCTCCGCCGTTACACCACACCCTGCTTTATCTCCTTCTCCACAGGGGGTACAAGGTGCGTCTGAGCGTAACGGGAGACTGAGTGAACGAGCCTAGAAAACATGAGTCGTAACGACGCACCTGGGGACCACCGACACCGTTCTCCCAGTTCTGGTACCTCAGGATGGTGAGGCCGCGCTTCTCGGCCTGGACACGCTCGCTTTCATTGAGCGACTGCCTCAAGGCGCGAGCCGCAATCTGCGTGTACTTGTTGTACCTAGTCATCGCGAACAGCACGGAGTCAGGGTTGAAATCGACACGATGAGAGCAGGGTCAGGACAAGAGAGAAGACGTACGTGAAGACGTTCCTCCAGGTAGCGCTGCTCATGGTGGTGGTCGGTCGGTGGACTGGAGAACTTCTGGCGACGATGAGTTGTTGGCCGCGAGGGACGAGTGCCCGGCGAGCTCCGGTGGGTCACGTGGGGCGTGTTACCGCGTCGCCGTCACTGCGGGTGTCGCGGCGCGATGGTCGCTCGCGGCCCCGACCCTCTTCTCCTCGACTAAGTACGACGCGCGCGCTCCGAATATCTTGCTATCCGCGTGCGGCGCCTTCATCTTCTCGATCTACTGCCGTATCTTGTACTTCGACCCTCCGGCGTAGACCATGGCTGGAGTAGCATGGCACTACGTACTGAAGTTCATCATCACGGGTTCGTACGCTGTACATAACTTATCTGTTCAGGGTCGTACTAATCCCAATCCTCTATACGCCGTCTAGGTGACTCTGCTGTCGGTAAATCGTCCCTGCTCGTGCGCCTCACCGACCAGCGCTTTCTCGCAAACCCGGACCCGACAGTGCGTGTCTTCTGCCTTGGATATCGAACGGACCTTGGCACTTACGAAAACCCGGGCTACACCCTTTCCGATCATTGCGCATCTGCGTGGATTATCGGTATTCCACTTGGCAGCTAGGCGTCGAATTCGGTTCGAAATTGATTACTATCCCTGAGGAAAACAAGGTTGTGAAATTACAATGTATGTATGCATGCTCCGTTGAACACCGCCCACTTGCGTGGGACTTCGTGCAGGTCACTGACGGAACGTTGCACAGGCTGGGACACCGCAGGCACGGAATCCTTCCGGTCTATCACGCGGTCATATTACCGCGGTGCGGCAGGCTGCCTGCTCGTGTACGACGTGACGCAACGACAAAGTGAGTGAACACCTTGCCATCGATGCTCGCCCTCGCCATCCCGCTGTGCCGTGGCCAGAATGCACGATCCGCTGACGGCTTCTCCTTCCCAGCATTCGTAAACGCGCGCTCCTGGCTGGCAGATGTCCGAGAACACGCCGACCCACACCTCACCTGCATCCTCGTAGGGAACAAGATCGACCTGTGCTCCGAGGCCGCGCACGGCACGGGGCAGGGCAGGCGCGCGCGCGAGGTGAGCACGGAGGAGGCGGAGCTCTGGGCGAAGGAGGAGGACCTGCTGTTCGTGGAGGCGAGTGCGAGGAGCGGGGAGAACGTGGACGCCGCGTTTGAGCAGGCCACGAGAGATATCTTGGACAAGATCCGCAGAGGTGTATTTGATGATGACAGGGTGAGTGAGTGAGTGCGAGCGACGACATGCGTTGGTTGACTCGGATGCACGCGGACCGGTCTTACTCACAGTCTCCGATACAGAGTCCGGGTGTCAAGCTGTCCAAGCCCTCGACCTCGAATGTTGCCTTGGACGACAGTCGGGGCAGTGCAAGCCGTTGCTGCACGTAGATACCCTCGATCTTTGTATCCGTTCTGGACACTTTACATGACTCCGGATGTTGTGGATGTATCGGTATGTATGTTTAATGTGTATTGCTCCGTTGTTCCACCTATACAGATGTTCTTAAACAAAATGCTGATACTGGCCTGTGAGTACACATGGTACAGTAAAATATCTACAGGGACGTGTGCTGTATTATGGTATGCCTAGACTACAACCTCTGTGGATCCATGTGAGACGCGTGCGATGTTTTGGGATGCGGTGGTGATCAATGCATGACAACGACCTACGGGGTGACTAATAATGTAAGGAGCCGTGCGACGTCCATAAGTAACAATGTAAGACAATCCTGCTACCGGGTCCTCTCCAGAGATCGAGCGTATTCACCGAGTTGCATAACGAAGCCGGGGTTCGGGTCGGCGAGCGCGTACTTTGACTTCACGAAGCGCAGAGCCTGTTCGGGCGACCAGCCGTACTTGGCTATCAGGTACGCGCACACGACGCTCGAGCTGCGGCTGATGCCCTGCGCACAATGCACGAGGACACGCGCTTTTGGGTCCCGGAGCGCGTCCGAGAGGAAGAGGGTGGACGCGGGGAGGTAGTCCGCAAGCTCCGCGAAGGGGCTATCTTGGAGCGGCAGCTGGAGCTGCGCGAGAGGCATGTTCGCGGGGAGCAAGACGCGGCCGCACATCGCGCTGAGGACATGCGTGATGCCGAGTTGGATGAGCACCTTGGGGTTCTCTGCTGCGCCAAGATCCGCTATGAAGAGATGGGGCAGGATCTCGGTGGGTGGTTGTGCGGAGGACGCGACGGACAAGGCGCCGGGGTGCGACCCGCGCCAGGACGGGGACGCCGGGGACGGCGCGGCGAGGGTGTTGAAGGACGGCGGCATGGAGAGGGAAATCTTTTGTTTGGGAGGCATGGCGGACGAGGATGAGCGGGACGGGCATGAAGGCAGGATGAAAGGGACGGACCATATGAGATAACTTATATCAACTGGACTGAAATGGCCACCGGACTAAGATCCAAGTAAAGAAATCGATGTGGTGAGACGGGTGCCGAGTGCTGGCGCGACAGCATGGGCCCTTTTGAAGGCGAGAGACAGGGGGCGGGCATGGCGGCTGCGGTGATATATGTCGACGGACAGGAGGCGGTGAGCTGCGTGGTAGAGCCGACGCGAGGGCTGCCCTCCTGGCTAGCCTGGCCTGATCGACGCACCTCGACATGTCTGCCCCCGCCAGCGTCTGCCCGCGGACCGCCCTCCCCCGCCAGCCAATCACAGCCGACCCCCTGGCGTGCGCGACGGCCACCGACAGCCAGGGCCACAGCACACCGCCCCCGCATCAATTGCCCCATCATCCCGACGCTGCCGACCGAGACACGACCGCATCGCACGGCGCAGGGAAAGCAGCAATATATATGGCGACAACCGCTCGAGAAATACATGGCTTCAGACGTAGACTACGAAGACGCAGGACCCAGCTTATACAGTACAGTCAACACGGCGCGTGGATCGTTTGCGGTTCTTCGTGCAGCAGGCGGTGGTATGTACGGATGCAGCAGCGGGTGTGGCGGGACTAGGCGAACAGTACGAGAAAATATTCTGATATTCAGGATCAGCCGACGTCTGTTCCTATTGATGACCGTTGGATGATATAGAGCGTGACGTAGAGAGTCCATCTAGATGAGGTCGCTAGACATGAAACGTTAACAGTCCGTCTCGACGGGGATCTCAACAATCAAATACTCACGCGACGTTCAGGGGCATTTCGTCAATTTGAGTGTTGTAAAACTCTGCGGCGCCCATTAGTGGCGCCCACATACCAACGTTCGTCTGACACTTACGTTCAATGTCTCTCAGCATCCGCACGTCCTCCGTCGTAACAAAGTTGATGGCGACACCCTTCCGTCCGAAACGACCGCCACGACCGATACGGTGGATGTAGTTCTCCCTGTTCGTGGGGAGATCATAGTTGATGACGAGCGACACCTGCTGCACGTCAATTCCACGAGCGAGCAGATCGGTCGTGATCAACACGCGGGAGGAACCCGACCGGAACTCCTTCATCAGCACCTCGCGCTGCTTCTGCTCCATGTCACCGTGCTGTCAAAATCGCACAGTTAATATCACACTTCATGTACTCTCTTGATCGTCGCAAGCGCTTACCATGGCAGAAACGGTGAATTCCCGCGAGTGCATCTTCTCCGTCAACCAGTCGACCTTCCGCCTCGTGTTGCAGAAGATGACAGCCTGCGTGATGGTGACCGTCTCGTACAAGTCGCACAGCGTGTCAAGTTTCCACTCTTCCTTCTCCACAGCAATGTAGAACTGCTTGATACCTTCGAGCGTAAGCTCGTCACGCTTGACGAGGATACGGACGGGGTCGCGCATGAATTTCTTCGTGACTTCCAGCACATCCGCGGGCATGGTAGCGGAGAGAAGGACGACCTGGGTGTCCTGCGGCAGGAGCTGGAAGACCTCGTAGATCTGGTCCTTGAAACCACGAGACAACATCTCATCGGCCTCATCCAGACAGAAGATTTTGATAGTGTCGGTCCTCAGCGCGCGACGGTTGATCATATCGTAGACACGGCCGGGGGTGCCGACGACGACCTGTGCGCCCTCCTGGAGCTTGGCCATGTCCTCGCGAACGTTGGTACCACCGACGCAGGCATGGCACTCAATGCTCATGTAGTCGCCGAGGGCGACCACGACCTTTTGGATCTGCTGAGCAAGCTCACGCGTCGGCGCCAGGATGAGCGCCTGGGTGCCCTTGATTGTGGGATCAAGCTTTTGGAGGATGGAAATGGAGAAGGTCGCGGTCTTGCCAGTACCGGACTGGGCCTGGGCAATAACATCGTGGCCCTTGATGACAGGGACAATGGCGCGCTGCTGGATGGCCGACGGCCGCTCGAAACTGCATCGCCTTAGCAGGAGGGTATATGCGTGCCCGAGGAGACTTACCCATAGGCGTAGATACCACGGAGAAGCTCGGCCTTCAACTCCATGTTATCGAAGCTGCACAGCCGCGCGATTAGAGGCTCGCTCGATACTTTGTAGTGCATTCACTCACTTGTCGACGATCTGGTCCCAGTTGGACTCAATCTCGCCCTCCTGAATGTCCTGGAGCTGTTCATTGCTGTACAGCCCTCCAATCAGTCTGTGTACGTCCAAGATACACAGGATGGCACTCACGACGCCATGATTGCTTCTTGTTCTTTTCTGCTGTTTTGGGACCGACTCTACAGTCGATCGGGATGCGTGCGGTGGTGGTGGTAGCTGGGAGAAAGAGCTTGTCTTGTCTTGAGCGGGCCGCAAGACTTCGTCGAAAGCAAATTTCTATCCCTCTGCGATGTCAGCGAATCGGAGCCTGCCGGAGTATTCGCCCTCCGCTGCCTTCATCCGGAAGGTCATGGCTTACGTCAGCGAGCCTCGACGCTCACTCGTCCGTGCCGACCTCGACCCTGTCCTCCGTCCGCTCGTGCCGTCTGCATCTCTGCGCATCACTCCTCGGCCGGCCAATTATCAGCTACGAGAACTATTAAGATGGCTACACAAATAGAGACGTCCAACGGTATCAAGGCGAATGGCAAAATCAAGTCAAAGAACCAGTTGAGGAGGCTGAAGGCGAAGCAGAAGAAAGCGGAGAAGCAGGTGCGTTCTTGCGGGATATGCGCGCGTATGCAGGTGCTGAAGGGTATCGCGTCCGAACAGACGAATGGCAATGGCGACTTGAATGCAGAGTCGGACACGGACGTGAAGATGGAGGGTCCAGATACACCCATGGATGTTGAGTACGTACCTGAGCAGTTGGATGTCAAAGGCCCTGCTCTCGACGAATTCTCCGACGTATTTGCTCGCTTCCAGCTGCCCCCTGAGGCCTCATCAGTGCGTACAGCTAAGCATGTATCATGAAAACCGCACTTACGCGTATGCATCTGCAGGGTCGCGACCAGGAGCCCTCGAAAGGGGAGGTCATCTACTCGGATGACGACATGGCGTCTGAGGGGGACTCCGAGGCTGAAGAGAAGAAACCTCTATCCAAGAAGAAGGCACGCAAAATGAACCGGCTGACGGTCGCAGAGCTCAAGCAGCTCGTCAAGAAACCCGAAGTCGTCGAATGGACAGACGTCACCGCCGCCGACCCCCGTCTCCTCCTCCATCTCAAAAGCTACCGCAACACGGTGCCTATCCCAAGCCATTGGAGCGCAAAGCGTGATTACCTTCAGGGCAAGCGTGGTATCGAGAAGCCCCCGTTCCAGCTGCCGTCGTACATCGCTGATACCGGTATCGCAACTATGCGTGATGCGGTCAAGGAGAAGGAGGCGGGCATGTCACTCAAGGCGAAGACGCGTGAGCGTGTCCAGCCAAAGATGGGCAAGGTCGACATCGACTACCAGAAGCTGCACGACGCGTTCTTCAAGTTCATGACAAAGCCAAACGTCACTGGCTTTGGGGAGATGTGAGCAGTCCAGGTTGGTTTCGGTTTGTGTGCAGCTGACGGCGTCTGATGCGCGTAGGTACTATGAAGGCAAAGAGTTTGAGACACAACTCAAGCACAAGCGGCCAGGAGATTTGTCTCCTGAGCTTGTCGAGGCCCTTTCAATACCGCCACTCGCGCCGCCACCATGGCTAATCAGCATGCAGCGGTTCGGCCCACCTCCCAGTTACCCAACATTGCGAACCCCTGGTCTGAATGCTCCTATCCCCGAAGGGTGAGTGATCTGGTACGTCTCAAAATGTCTTGTCTCATATTTGTTGTTCAGTGCACAGTGGGGCTTCCATCCAGGTGGCTGGGGTAAGCCGCCGCTTGACGAGTACAATCGACCTCTCTATGGTGACGTCTTCGGTGTCATGCCGAAGAACACCGATGCAGATGTAAGTCGACGGCTTGTTCCTCATTCATTTAGCTAAACGACGTTTCCGCTAGATGGGTGAACCGGTCGATCGTAATCTATGGGGTGAGCTTGAACCCGAGGAAGGTTCGTGGCTCAAGTTGTGCGCCTGTGTCCATTCACATGCTGACTCTGCACACAGAGGAAGAGGAAGAGGAGAGCGAGGAGGAGAGCGAGGAAGAGGAGCAGCCGGAGCCAATAGCGCAGGATGGCATGCAGACGCCATCTGGTTTGGAGACACCGTCCGGCATGACGAGCGTCGTGTCGACAGTTGCAGGTGGTCTGGAGACGCCAGATTTCCTGGAGCTCCGGAAGAATGCAGGACGGGCACCCTCGGAAGCCACAGACACGGGCCCACGGTCGCTCTACCAGGTCGTGCCCGAGAAACAGACGTCTGTGCGCGGCCTCATGGGCAGCGAGCGTGGGTACGATGTCAGTGCGGTTTCAGGAGGTGGTGCCATTCCTGTACTCGGCGACGAGCGAGGCTCGAAGGCAAGTCTCACCGTCATCTCCCACATCCTTTCTGGAAGGTATTGACTCACTTTATGTGCTGCAGCGGCGCAATGGGGTGGACGTCTCGATCGATGCTGCGGAACTAGAGGGCATGTCCGAGGAGGAGCTGCGCCGAAAGTACGACCAGCACTCGCGCGGGTCTGCGGGTGTGCCGGGGGCGCACGGCCGCGAAGACTTCTCGGACATGATAGGCAAGGAGATGTCGAAGCGGAAACAGAAGGCGGAAAGCGACAGGGAGCGAAGACGGGAGAAGGAGTACAAGTTCTAGCTTCCCGTCCCTTGTGCCTAATCTGTTTGTGTGGGAGTGGGTTGGAGTGTGCGCTGTACATCGATTGTTTCGTAATGCTGTTTTCCTGCATCGTAAGTTCTATCTTGGTCCGATCTTGACGTGCTTCGGATGCGTGTTCTTCGTCCATTTCGCTACCTGACAGGTGCGTGCGTTCAGTGTGCCCTCCGATACCCAGCGCGAGCTGAGTGGACCTGGATGACTCTGTGTGAGCTTATCCTGCCATGAGGTAGATGGCCGTGGTGCCTCGTTCTTCGCGGAAGGGGCGTGTCGCACTTCGCCGTTGATCGGTGTGCATTGACTAGGATGGACACAACAAGAGCCATGCAATTGTTGAACAGCCGGACAGTTATGTACACAAGGCAGTGCGCGGAACAGACCACAATGTCAATGCTGCTTCTCTCGATGCTCCGGGTTGGAACTACAGTGACTAGATATCATCATCATGCCCTCCTCCACGCTGTGCATGTGGAAACCGAAGCCAAACCCGAAGGCGGCAGCGACCTCGACGGCGACCTCGTCGCAGTCATATTGGTCGTACTGAGGACTATAGTTGTCTTCGCTGTTACAGCGGCAAGGATGCTGTAAAGCCAACGGTGCGCGATTATGTCTCTGCGCGGCGTTTGCATTCTCCTCTTGCTATCGTGAGGGTGAGTTAGCGGCACACTCCGAGGATTCATGGCTGGTACGTGCTTCGTTACTCTGCGTCTCTGCCTCCCCAGGCGCGTTTCCTTCGTTTGTTTGAAGAAGCTTGTTCAGGGTTCGCATTATTCTGGAAATGCCCCAGAACGTGTCGCGGAGGTATTCGAACCACCGTGACATCGGTGCAATGCTGACGTTGGTAAGTGCGATGTTGCCGAGACCGGAGCGGCTCCACTGCATTTATATGCTACGAATCATTACCCTGTCAATGCCTCGTGTATAGTGTTCCAGTCATGCTCGAGCGATCCAATTTGTGCGGCGCCCGCCGCACCAGTTGCTCGAGGCTAGCGACAGGAGTGTGTTGCGAGCATGTCTACAGCATACTCGGGCATATGCTTTACCGCTACTCAAGAAACCTTCGCGCGCAATGTATTGATCTTCGTCCCTCTAAGGTTCATTGTGGCGGCCCGTTTGGTAGTAGCGGTCGAGAGGCGCGAAGGGCGCGACGAACTACGACGGTTGCCAAAAAGGGCCTGATGCGCCATCGGTTGAACGATCGTGGATCATCCCAACTCTACATTTGCATCGGACCTGCATCTCGGGTTGAATTATGCCCGCCTCACCGCTGCAGCTGGCGTATTATTGTGTGTGTGAGTCGGCGATGCACTCTGCCTAGCAACCCAGGTCCCACTGACAAGAACAGCCACCTCACAATAACCGCCGTGACGATCTGACAGTTTGGCGCTGATCGGACAGTCTCGTATATACTGAGAGTGCAATACGGACTCGGACATCTATCGTCACTCACCTTTGCCCTACCTCTCTCCGTCATCCGACTCATCGCATCATCTGGACCCTTCCGAGTACAGTTCGTGATCTGCGGTAACGCGCACTAATGTCAGACGATCATGTTCCGCGTGGTTTTGGTGGGAGGTTTCATGGACTGGTGGCGCGTGCGAAAGCAGCTCTTCGAGGAAAGGACAGTTTAAACGAAGGTAGCTAACGGGCCAACATTAGTTGTCAGGACACTCACTGCAGACATCGTACAGATGAACTGCGATTCCTCATTGCCGAAGATGGAGACGTCGGGCCTATAGCATTGCCCCATAGCCCCAATGCATCGGAGTCTGATGAAGATCTGGACGTGCTATTGGAGCCTCCTGATAGAAGCCGCACCCAAGAGGTATTCGGAGCCTGCCAGTCCGCCATTCGGTGGGTCAACGCAAGCCACTTTCGCTGCAATAACTTACACCTAATGACCTATGCACAGAGTCAGTCGCAGGCGATTGTGGGTCGTTTTTGGCATCTTGTGCCTATCCCTCGTTACCTATGCAACCGTGAAAACTTTGTTCTGGAATGACATACAGGTCAGGTCAGTTTGCACTGCGTGTGTCTCAGTTACTGACAAGCGGTGTACACACCGCATCCCAGCCCATATGGAATGGGCCTACAACGTTCCCAGAATACAGCACTGCCCTGGGCTGCCTGAACGCTTCCTACGTCTCTGAGCCGTCTGTCTTCGAGATCCCCGTGCCCTCGGATGGCACGCACTTAATGGAGGTCACTGGAAGTATAGTCGGGACGCTCGTCATCGTACAAGGAGACGAAAACGCTACGCAGGTCCAATACGAGATGAAGGTAATGGCCGCCGAAGAACGTACGTTCAACGTCATTCGTCGCGAGGAGGCTCAGGGCCCCAAGGGCGTGATGCGTATGAACTCGATCGGGCTCTCAGACCCGGACTCGCACCCGTGCCAACGCTTCGACATCACCGTCCACATCCCGCCCAACCTTCGTCATCTCACCCTGAAGACAGAGGGGACGACGCACCTCCTGTTCGACAGAAAGAGCACCGTCTCGCTCTCCTCGCTCACCGTCGACCTCAAATCCCACACGTCCTCGCAAAACCTCATCCTCTCCCACATGGGTGTCCAGGCCGACAGTCTCTCCTTCAGCATAGGTGGCGGGTGGATCTCCGGGAACATGCTCCTCGTAAAGGACATGTCCCTTATTCAATCCGGATCGTCGGCGATGCTCGTCGACGTCGTACCCTCCAATTCTCCCGCTCTCACGTCAATTCCCGCTGTACTGCGCACGCAGTGCGGGGGTGGTCGCTCACATATTACGCACCGGCACTTCTCTGGTGCAACCCACAGGCGGATCGACAGCGTGCATAGTGCCACGGGTGGATGGCTGGAGATTGCCTACCAGAATTCTGCTTTCGAGGGTTCGGTGGAGGTCACTGCACGCCAATTGCGTGCGAGCGGAAGGCTGTCTGGGGCAGTCAAAGACGGAAACAGAGTCAGGAACAAGGTGTTCCAGGTAGGCATTCAAGGCGAGGATCGAGTGCGGGTGGAGAGTCAGGGATACGTGTCGTTCAATGTATGATATGCTGTCTGGCGAACCACCTTCAACATATCAAACTGCAGCCTTTGGCGTCGAGGTAAAAGTGTATGCTTTTACAATGGTGGGTGTATAGCCCATCGAAGATGCCGGCGATAGGAACGCCAGTGAGATATGTTCTCGGTTATAATATACGATGCAAGCATCAACATCTGCTACCACCGCCAGACATGTCACACGCAGGGAGTGACTATGGGACGTTGGACGTACTACAGAACCCGGCTAGTGGTTACCAAATCCGGCGTGGGGCCGCTAGGTTGATCAATCAGTGGCGACTCGAGGACAGCCATTCGTACTGCGGCCAGTGAACCGACTAGTCTGTCCTCTCTCATCCGCGTTGTGCATACTGTAACCTATCTGAGGGTGCCATTTGCGACACAAGCATCATACATGTACACGTACACTACTCGTGATACTGCTATATATTCGCGGACTCATCCGAATCCAGACCCTACGGCTCGTACACATTCTTCACCTTGTACATCTTCGTATCCGCAGGTGTCTCCAGCTCGCCTTGCCCATAAATCGGGTCGACCTTGTACATCTTCGTGTCCACCGGGATTGCAAACGCTGCCTCCCCACTCACACCCGCACCTGCGCCACGGCCGCCCTTCTCCGCGATCTCCTTCTCCTCCTTCGCCGCCTTCCCGGGCGCGTTCGCCACGGGCGCCGCCTTGCTCGCGATGCTCGCCGCGCGCCCGTCAGGGATGCATATAAACTCCCTGCTGCCCGTCTCCTTCGATACGCCGTCATATATGTAGTACCCCTTGCGCTCGAACTGGATGATATCCCCCTTGCTGAGGGAGAGCACGTTCGCGTCCGCCCACGCCTCCTGGCGGAACTCGCTCAGCGGCGTGACGAAGTCCTTCACGTCGTCCTCGTCCTCGAGCTTCTTCTTCGTGATCAGGTAGTCGTAGTCGAGCAGCGTCGCGTCCACGAGCGCGTGCGCCGGGTGTGCTACGGGGTCGGAGAGCCAGGTGATCTTCTTCTTGGTCTTGCGGAAGTCGCCGGAGAGGTGGAGGTCCATCGTCAGTGCGGTGATCACGCCGTTGGCATCAATCGTTTTGGAGCGCACGATGGCATTGCCCCAGTCCATGAGAGTGATCTGCGGCACACTAAGCTTAAGCATTTGAAAGTGGGAGAGGCGAACAAACCTCCTCGTTGTCGTCGAAGGTCACTGCATCCTCCTGCTCGACAAGGACGTTGCTCGAGAAGACCGTGTTCTTCTCTCCCACCTCGGGGTTCTTTTTGTGCTTCGGCAGCGTCTTCACCTCAGGCTCAGACGGCCCGCCGTTGATGGTGACCTTCACCCTGCAATAGGAAGTAATCTCAGCTTCTCCGAAACTTTTACGAAGGTTCCGCCAGAGCATACGCACATGCCGGTCTTGTTAATGGCCCAGAACCGCGGTGCAACCTGATCGATGATCTTCTTGTTCAGCGTCCAGAGCGAGTCCCACTCGAGCGAGACGATCGCCTGCGAGGGGCCCTGTGCGAGCATGAACTGCCGAAGAGCCTCAACAGTCAAGCCACGCCGGCGGATACCTGCAGACGCAATGACTGTCAGGGAGGGTATGTGCGAGAAGACATAGATGAACGCACCCCGAACGGTCGGGAACCGCGGGTCGTCCCATCCGTGGACGAAGCCCTGGTCGACGAACCAGTGGAGCTTGCGCTTGGAAAGGAGAGTGTAGATGAAGTTGAGACGGCTAACGAAGTATGAGCGACCTATTCTAATTGTGTCGGTACAAAGGATCTATCTCACCTAAAGTCCCAGATACGCACAGGACGCAAGCCGAGGGCTTCGATCATCCAGAAGTACTGCGGGTTGCGGTCACGATACTCATTGGTACGGAGGGCATGCGTTACTCCCTCAAGCGAATCAACGATAGGGCACGCGAAGTCGTATGTCGGGTAGATCTTCCATTTATCACTGATGCGAATATGTTGAGTTCAGCGAACATACGCGTATAGATCGATAGCTTACCCTGTGCGATGATGAGGAAGGAGATTGCACCGGTAAATGACAGGGTCCCTGAGAGCCTTGTTCGGGTTGTCAACGCTCATTTTTGCGCGGATGCACCAGCGCACGCCCTCCGGAGAGCCTGTCTTCATCTCAGCGAAGTGTGCGAGGTTGTCCTCGACACTATCGTCCCGATGCCTAGATGCGATACCATCGAAGCGCTGCTGACGCATCTATTATGTATTTCCATGAGCACCTGAAGTTGTGAAACGAAACAGAGAAGCGCAAAGACACACCTCCACCTGTTCAGTGTCGTCGGCATATGCCTTGCCCGACTTGATTATCTTGATGGCAAGTTCATATAGCTGGTCGAAGTAATCGGACGTATGCGAGACAGCATCTCCCTTGATATCCAGCAACGCCAGATCCTCCAAGATCGTCTCCTCGAACTCCGTGCGCTCCTTCGTCGGGTTTGTGTCATCGAAGCGGATGAGCAGCTTCCCCTTGTACATCTGCGCAAAGTACTGGTTGAGCATCGCCGCCTTCGCATGGCCGATGTGCAGGTAGCCGCTCGGCTCGGGCGGGAAGCGCGTCACGACCTTGCCCATCTCCGCGCCCTCGAGCCCGAGAGCGAAGGATGCGGCGGTCTTGTTAGAGCGCGCCTTGTTTGACTTGGCCTCGGCGAGGCTGGCGAGGACGAGCTGTGTAGACTCGAGGGACTCCAGTTGCGTGTACCACCGGAGGAGGTGGACGTGCTTGTTATTCTTGAGGAGTCCAACGACCTTCACACTTCCTAGCGGTATTCGATCAATACACTTCATGCAAGATGGTAGGTTCCGGGCTTGCCTTTCAGTGCACCCCATACGATCCAGTCTGCCGCGGAGACATCATGACCGACCAGGTATGTACGGAAAGCAAGATGGTCATCAAGAGAATCGAGTGCCGCGACGATTTGTGGGAACGCGGTCACGGTGGGCAGGGACTTCGCCAAAGCGAAGTACGCTTGCGTCTGCGCGTGGTTGGTCAGTACACATCGGCCAGCAAAGATCACTAGTACATACTTTCGAACTATCATCAGAGAGACCACTCTCCTTCGCAAGAGCTTGCACGATCTCGCCCTCTACGGAGATCGTTGATCCATTGAGCTCGAGCGAAAGACTTGCGCCCTCGTCGAAGGCGAGTTCGGCCTTGCCAGTGTAAGTTGCAATCGATGCCGCTGCATACGGGAACGGCGACAGAGTCGCGGAAAGCTTGAGTATGCCAGCCATCGCGGTGAGGATGGGAGGGAGGCAGAGAAATCGGGCGGGCAGACTGGGTGACTCGCCACAACCGCGATCTACACCAGATCTGATCGGGGTTGCCCCGGTAGGTCCCCGAAGATCCATCGTCATATATTGCAACGCACTGACACTGAGCATTCACAAGTCGTGCGGAACGCCTGAAATACTAGCCCTCCATAGGTACTGTACATCTTTTATCACAACCTTTGCATGTTAAGGAGATACATACAGACAAGAATCCGATTTATGATGCGGTAATGCATCCCCGCAATCCATATCGAACGGCGCCCGACTTCGCGTCCCTTACGGACGTGTATCCTGCGTTGAAGCCGCAGTGAGTCCTTAGCTCGGTATTGGAACGGAGATAGGACCCGCTGATGTGCTTGTGCGCCCGATTAGTCTCCTCACTACACCGAGCGGCGTGTCGATCGACTTCCAAAACGAGACTTCACAACGGTCTGTCTTGCACTTCAGCAATAGACGACGACAAATCCCGATGAATTTTGAATTAGGATAGACGACTCACAGAGGCCCTGTTACAGCGAGATTTCAATTTGTCAATAAACCTACCAGAGGACCGGTTATGTCCTCCGGTACGTCTGCCCTGTCGATGTCTCTGAGTTACGTACTGATGGGCGAAGGCTAGGTGCCAAATCGGTGCGTGTTGTAACGTTTTTCGACATGTAGTGAACTGACAATCGTTGCGTAGGCTGAACTATGTCTTGTGGATTCAAGACATAGTCCATGCCACGTATCTCACTGAACCTTCGAATCCTCTCAGAACCATCACAGGCGTCGATATGTTGGCCGCTTTCATATGTCGAAACACATCTGTTGACAGATACCTCCAGAGGAACGGGGGCTTCGGCAATCTATCCTCTTCTTGGATGTCAATCTAACGTTCATTGGAGGTTTGTTGCTACGGGTCTGTTGATAAACTGCTGTACGGCGCGGCGGTGCCTGATGTTTTTATAGACATCGATGGGAAGTCACTTCACTACGCTCAGCTCAATATACATGGCAACAATCTCCAGAGCCGGATGAAGCTCGTGAAGTCCGAACCGGGCGGGCCTATCCTTCGTCATGTCCTCACCACTACCCTCCAGTCCCCAAGCCTGTCAACCACAGAGTAAGTGGGCGTCGTCAGCTTCAGCGACGAACGGTGTTCATCCATGCATAGGATGTCCTTCGACTTCACGATGTGCAATCCACCATTTTACAGCAGCAAAGACGACGTACAACGTTCCGCCGAAGCCAAGGAGTACCAACCCAATGCAGTAAGTTCCACTACACGTCAAGCATGAGTCTCTCTCACTGACGTGCCCTTGGTTCGAACGTAGGTGTGTACAGGCGCAGATGTAGAGATGATCACCCCCGGTGGAGAAGCAGCCTTCGTCTGCAAGATGGTCTCAGAAAGCCTTGAGCTTCGGACTCGTTGCCGGTCCGTCTTCCAGTCCTCCCTCCACCCCGCTGCATCTAATTGACCCGACCAGCTGGTACACGTCCATGCTAGGCAAGCTCTCATCGCTCACAGAAGTCGTCAACGTGCTACACGGGAACAAGGTAGGGAACGCGAACTATGGGGTACGTCACAACTAATGGGTGTCCGCACAGATCGACAATTACGCCGTCACAGAGTTCGTGCAGGGGCAGACACGGCGGTGGGCTATCGCCTGGTCATTTGGCGATGTGCACCTCCCAGACGTGCGTATCCCTCTTTTCTCATCCTGCGCGCCCCTCCGGCTGATTCTCCTCTACAGTCGATCGCGCGGATATCCAGTCCGTCGGTCCATTCGCTCATGCCTGCACACAACACCGTACAACAAACATATCCACAGTCAACATCATCACTAGATCACCTCTCATCCGTCGTCGCATCCATCTTATCCTCCGTCGAAAGCGTCTCGACACGGCCACTGATCCCACGCGATGATGAAACCGCATCATCAGCGCTGACAGGCGCAGACGTGCTAGTGACGGCAGCACGCGATACGTGGTCCAGGGCGGCACGAAGACGCAAGATGCGTGAGGCCGTAATGCAAGTGGACGAGGAACTGAGTGTAGCCCTCGTATGTCGGGTCGCCTGCGCCGCCCTAGAAGAAGACGACCCCGCTGCCAGAGCGAGGGGCGTGGCTGAATCCCTGGTGTTGCAGTGTCATTGGGTAAAAGGCAGCGACAGAGGCTTGTTCGAGAGCTTCGCAAGTCATTTAAGTCGAAAAGTGTCCGCCGCATTGTAGAATACATCGGATAGACCCAAGTGCCAGTGGATTACACATATGCGGGAATAGTCGTACAACGGGAGCGACCATGAGACATGAGTATACTCGACCTGTCTTGGCGTCGGGATTCACGGGGTAATTTTTGGTAATGGGCTTCAGTCCAACTGCATAGAACGTCCGCCGAGAGGCCATGGGGCAAGTAGGCGGGCCGGCGAATGCCGACAATAATAGTATGTACGCGTTGAGCCTTAGCCACACACGCGTAAGCGCCGATCAGACAACAAGTGCGCAGGGGCTAAACTCACCCTGAAACCCCTCCCCCATCCGCCACAGCATCACCCCTCATATTCCGTCACTGAACCTTGGCACACAAAAGTAAATCAGCAGATCCACAGTTGAAATCGAGAATACGTACGTGCATTTGCCTTCCGCCTGAACCTACATGAATCGTCGTGTTGACTTCATGTTGTGGCGCTAGTATCGCAATGATGAAGGACACACCCGAGACGCGTCCTTACCGGTGCAACAACATGCATACCACCGCAGAAGACTTGTTGAACGAGATTCGGATGCAATGTCGTTTGAAGCTTTGTCAACCGCTCTTCTCTGCCGCACCGATGCCATCGAAGGGCAGGGACAGCTTCACAGCCATCCTGGACCATGATTGGGAATTGTGGCGAGGTGGAGTGCGTCTTGTAAGCACAAAACAGAACACGGTCGACAAAGGATGTTTGGTGAGCGAACATGCAATGAACCGTCAACTGTTGTGTGCTTACTTAGGTCGTGTGGCAACGCCACAACCAGGACGAGGATAGCCAGTGGGCAACTTGGCCACCTCCTCATACGCTCCCCGGACAACACACTCCCTTGACAAGCACCAGGACCGCGCCGAGCCCTGGTCAGTGGCCGGAATGCACCCCAGAGAGCGACCTGACCACGGCAATCATGAACCATCAGGCTTCGCTCTGGGCAACGGTGAGAGGAGCCTCCTTGTATCCATTGCACCGCATATCGAGCCTAACGTTCTCGTTCATCACCAGGGTCTCGAGAATGATGCGGTCTATCACCCGATTCTCCCAGAGGATGTTGGCCAAGGGTACAACTATTTTGACGCTGTGGGGACTGGTGTCTATGCCTGCTGGCCGAACCAAACAAGTCATTATCTGTACCCTGGCGTGAGTAAATATATGGTGAAAAAATTCTGGGCACCCAAGGCTTACATCGATTGTCAGCTCTCGACCAGTTATTATGTGACGAGCGCAAGGCCGAGGTCAACTGGCGCATCCGATGGTGGCAACTACGGGCTACCCAAGGCCGCACCATACGCATCTATGTGCGAAGCACTGGGAGACGCGGTGAGTATCGACATGGATATGTGCCTGTAACTCTCACTTACATGGGCCGTCAGATCGCACCATCGTACGGAGAACTCGTGGAGATCGAAACGACAAACGAGGTCCTGCTGGTGATGCTCGAAGAACACAGGACAAGGCGGGTCAGGGAAAGGCAGCAGCGTGAGCGCCATTGGATACAACAAACAAACATCTTGCCCGTTAGCGAGCCGATGGTCGAAAATGCGACACTACCGGAGGAGACGCAGGCAGATGGCTTCACTATCACCCTCGACCTGGCAAAGCTATCAGGAAGCCTGTTTCCGCGGGTGGGATCCTCCGCCACATCGACTACCGCTGTCTCTGGCCCGCAAGACATGTCTGCATCTTGCGGGTGCGAGGGCAGCATAGAGACCGACGCGACCAAAGCGGAACTAGCCTCAATCCATCGGACGGACAGCCGTGCATCACATAAGGCGCAAACCCTTGGACCCGACGTACGCGATGGACGCTCGCATGACCAGGCAAGTACTGGCCGCCCATCGCCGTCGTTGTTCCCGCCGGAGAGTCTAGAGGTGGTACTCTCAGTGCTCCGACCTGCCGTTCAGCGAGGGAGAAACGAGCGCAAAGGTGATGAGCGAAGGCGAGAGCGGCGCTCAGACGCCTCCCAGAGGATGACGGAGATAGGGGCGGCACAATGGAAGCCAAACGGTGTTCCCGTTATCTTGAGGAGGCCAATTCTACTCAACGAGAGGGTGACGGATCAGTGACATGGGGACGTTGGCTGCATAGGAGAAAGGCAGACGTACTGGCGAAGACACCATCACTGTGACTATATACTTAGACGACTTTGCTTGGAATTACTCGGTGCAATTGGATGGCTAAATTTCAGTGGGGGCATTGCCAGTGATCAGTGTCGATTATGCCACAGGCTTCAGCGTCGACACCAGGAGGGTATCATTGAGTGTAGTGCGACAGGATCGGCACACGCGATTGTATTTTACTGCTCGACAGAGAGCGAGGACGGTCTCAGTGCCAACTTCAAGACTGCCAGCGTAGCATCGATGTCAAGTGTAGATTCCTAAAAGGGCGGCGCTGTGCCCGTCCGCCAGAGCCCGTGACTGACACGACGCGCCTGTGGCTGAGCTCAGAGCTGCCACCCGCAGCTCAGAATCCAGATTTACTAGTCAGTCAACAATCAGTCAACTCGAAGCATGGTCAATGTGCATCAATGCACGCCCACGGCTTCTCCGATTTGATGTGAGTTGTATCGCTGTTCACAATCTAGCCTCAGAGCGAATGAGGTAGATGAAGCCCCCGTAGTTGCGGTGCTGGTAGTGAGGCTTTCTCACGGCGGAGTATGTGCTAGGCATGTGTTATCTCAATGCGCAAGCAACCTTCGTCGTCGCTTGCTGACGAGAGCCTGTAGCTGTCTTGTAGCCTTCTTTGAAGCGAGGACAATATCTTCGAGTCCTGTACCGCCAAGGAGTTCATGTCAGCGAGGACGGGGCTAGGTACGTGATTTGTGAACTTCTCCAGCGTGTTTTTGCCTCCGGGCGGCGCCTCTCCGTCCCATCATTCACTTTGCTGCACGTCCATTGGATGCTACCTAGGACCACTGTAAAGAAGGCGCATGCGCACCGCCCGAACTCCCGGAGTATGCGTACGCGTACTATCGGCACACAGATACTAGTACTTGCCGGTGTGGCAAGAGCATATGGTAGCTACTACTACGAGTCAGGGCTCGGATCTCCTAAATACGCCGTGAATTCGAGATCCTGCGCTGCTCACACTGGCAGGTGAACACTTCGGTCTCCACAAATCTCAGCAATGCCTTCTTACGTGATTGTTGGTGGCTCTCGTGGGGTCGGACTCGAGTTGGTGCGGCAGCTAGTGCGTCTTATCCCGTCTACGTCTCGTATACATTTGATTGATCAGTGAGGACTGTCTAGGCAGTGGATGCAGAGAACGCAGTATTCGTGGTAGCTCGAAACGAGGCGGGATCCAAATACCTCAACGAACTGGTGGAAAAATCGACCACTGGTAACATCCACATCGTACAGGCCGACGTCGTCGAGGCCAGCTCGATGAAGGTGACATGTGACCGACGTTCATTATGTGCATGATCGCTGAATGGATGAATAGGCTGCTGCTGCGAGCGTTGCGAAGGCGACTGGCGGCTCGCTGGACGTCCTCATTCACAATGCTGCGCGTACTGAGCTGACACATGCATTCCGCGGCCTGACTGACTAGTATGTCTGGTGTCTACTTGAAAAGAAGGCCAGAGCAGTGCTGATGTGCTACGTCGTTTCAGTGAAGACGACGACACGCTTGACACGGAGTTCATCCAATCGGTAAGCCATGCCCTTTGCTTCATCTTTACTCGCCCCCTACCGATCACGTTGCTCTCCACTACGCCGTTATAGTTCAAGGTCAATGTCCTCGGTGCAATTCACGCCGTCAACGCCTTCCTGCCTCTTCTTCGCAAAGGTTCTGCGAAAAAGATAGCTATCATCGGCTCGGAGGGCGGGACATCAGAGTACGCTTGGGGCATACGTATCCCAGGCATGGCCGCGTATGCCACGACAAAAGCCGCCGAGCACCTGGTAGCGACCAAGTACGCGGTGCTGCTTGAGCCGGAGGGCTTCACCGTCGTGACCATCAGCCCTGGGCTCGTCGACACACGGGCAACCGCCGTGGAGAAAGGTGAGGAATTTAGGTTATGACGTGCCGCATCATACTAACGGCCGTACTTTTCGTACTAGCCGATCCTGCCGATACAACAGAGATGGCAGGCCAGATCGCGCGGTTCCAGGAGGCATTCACAAACTTCAAAGCATTCACCCCGGAAGAGGCTGTCAGCCGCATCTTGTCTATCGTCGCCGAGATCAGCCCCAAGGACAACGCGTCGTTCTGGTCGTACTACGAGTGGAGGAAGAAGGACTAGGGTCCTCAATTCGAACTTCGGAAGACGACTGGTGATAGTCATAGTGTCCCCATGTCCCTGTATAAGATCAAATGCAACAACGAAGGCAACGCATTAGCGTGGCCCTGTTCGAAACGTGACTGCTAGAAGGGACGGAAAGTGAAGTGTTTAGAAGCAATACACTGATACGTTGTGCCAATTTAGATATATTCCATGTATCTATGTCAAAGGACAATATCCACGTATCAAAACGGAGTCGAGCCCCAATAGAGTATGCAGAGCCATCTGCGCCGGGGGAACAGCCTGACCAGAGGTAAGAGGATCATACGCGAAACTGATCCAACGAGATGACGGTGGGCAAGCCGACTGCGTCGTAAAGGCCACACGAACCCGAAAGTTTTCAGGATCTCGCGTTGGTCCAGCTCGAAGCTCGTAGAGCGTGTTCATGACGGCGCAGTCGATGGGAGTACGCGCACCCTAACCACCGGAGAGATAAACTGGACCGGAAATGAGTCGAGGTGACCGCGACCTAGACAAGACCTTTGTGAGCGATACAGAAAACAAGTGGTGAAGTAGATTAAGCCCCAAATCGCCAGCTACCCCCAATTTCCGTGTTCTTTCTGTGGTATCCTTCGTTATCGCATCAGTATTCATGCAAAGCGGCACCGTTGACAACTCGCTACTTACCTTCTTTGATTATACGTCAATTGGCCCGTGCGCTTGCATCGACAGCATTGCCCGCGCAGACGGCCGGTCCGCTGGTTTGTCGTTCTTCATGGTCGGCAACGGAGATTGGATCCGCTGAGTGACCAGTATGAGCCAGGATAGCCACTCGCGCGTAGACGCCCACTACACGAGGCGGCGCCTATGCTTGCCTTTGTCTCTCCGAGTAGCTCCGAGTCTGCATCGCCGTCAGTTGCTCTTTCATCTCAAGCTGCCACTCTATTCTAGTCGCAGGACATCGGGCGGTCGTCATCGACTCGTCGACGAGATCCACGAGTGTCAAGACCATCACCGTATCATCCCATACCTCTGCCATTATCATCGATGTTCTCGTTGCGTCTATTCAAGGCCGATCATCCCAACGGCACCCTCGCTGAAGATCTGGTCAGAGAACTGGCCAGGAAACCTCACCCCCGCTACTTAGAATGTACACCTGAACTCTTTGCCCAACCGACGCCGTACCAACCTCACCTTGATGGGCGGGTCAAGTTCGCAACCATCCTCGACGGGGAATGGGGAGTAGGTGGCGCAGAGGCTCGTGCTGCAAACACAAAACAGAAAGCGGTCGATGAAGGCCATCACGTAAGAAAACTTTGACAGACTGCTTTATGTTTTGTGCTCACCTGAAGTGCCGGTACCAAGAATGTTGCCTATACAACATGGCCTCCGGTACTGTCGTTCCAGACCGACCAACGCCCAGTAGATGTGCCACATCCACACAATTTAGCCGTGGGTCGAGTGAGTTGTTGAATGCTGTTCTTGTCAGATCATGTTAGTGACTGTGGATCTTTACAGGTGAAACCTTCGTGCGTGACAGGGTTGGCAACTGCTCAACCACCGATTGGACACGAGCGCGCTCAGCTGATACAGCAGCGGCTTAACTATCGCAAGCACTTTTTCCGTGAATTCGAAAGACTAGTCACGGCGCGCATGCTTGCGCAGGAAGAGGGAGATGAGGGTTTGCTCCTCCGTGAGATCATGGATCTGACGCTTGCTGTCGCCATGGAGGATGTCAGTCTGGAGAGGACGACCGAGCCAGAGAGGGCCTTAACACCATGGGAGCAATGGGAACCACAGGCAACCTCTACCCCGCATCCAAGTCCTGCGTCTTCGACTACGTTGCTAAGTCCTATGGAGGCTTGCGGTGCACTTGCGACGTCGACGGTTCATCACGAGTACCTGCGCAGCTCGGGGAAGAGTGAGACAGCATGATCGAAGGTACGTACATCAGCCGCCCACATACGAATCTGGAAGTTAATGACGACTTGCGTATTGTCAGATGTAGAGATGAAAACGGGTGCACACGTACGATAATGCAAACTGGGGTGGGGTTATATCTCATTGTAAATCTCGTTGTTTCTTGTATGAATCGAACACTGGAAGACAACCGTCAATCTGTAAATGTAGATGCGAGCGGAGAGCAATAGCGTCACCGAAGCGAGCCGCCGCTTTGTGACACCATCCGGTGTTGCGCAAAGCTGATCGCATGGCCAGTCGTCACAGAGGGGTGGCACACATGGCGTAGCCTGCTGCTACAATGGGTCTCAGACCAGTGAAGCCACTTGCGCCAGGACTTTGCAGAAGGACAGACGGGGCAGTTCTTTCGGGATTGTGGTATTCACGGTGGATCCTGCAGCCACTGCGACTGGATTGCCTGGCTGCGGTGATCAAGTCATCTGGTATACGTGGTCCCAAACGATCGTACAGAATGCAAGCCGATAACGGTTGGTCTGTGTATCGAAGTCAGCCATCATTCAATCTTGTCCTCAGACCGCGGTTGTTACATACCATGAAGTTTATACTCGCGACGATCCATGCGCATAATGAAGGACAGCTTACTCAGTCATAACCTCCGCTGTATAAGCAAAAACCTCCTGATTATCACCGCCAACGAGTGCATGTCCATCGCAGGATGACCGCACACTTGGGAAATTTCACTGCTCGCGTAGAGCGTATCCACGCCATATGCAGGGCGGGCCATCGCTGTCTCTCCGCCCGTCCGGTATTTCGGAGGTGCAAGGCGCGTGCGTAATGCCATGGATTATCCTGTTTTCATAGCTTTCTCCCAGTCGCCCACTCGCAGACCATCCGTGCTTGCAGTCCGCCGATGTAAGGTTCGGAGCGTGCCGGGATCGCGCTTCGCGAGTTATACAGCAGCTATACAGCCACAGACGCACGGGCGCTATTTGAGGGGAGAAAGCGCTCGTCGTTGCACTTTGCCCCCGACTACACTCATCTCCTCTGCGCACTGCTCATAGAGCATCAGAACGCATCCAGAGACCTGCAATACACCTATCAGCATCATGCAGACAAGCAAACCGAGCGTGAGTGTCTACCCTTTGGCTTCTGGGAGAGGCGATTGTTGAATCGCGACGACGTACCTAGTACGCGGCGGTCGTCAAGTACCGCAAGCCTGCCATCCAACATCGAAGGGCTGCGATCCCCATAGCTGCGCCGACGCCCGAGAGAGAGGCAGACACCGATTTCGCCGCGATCCTGGGACAAGACTGGGAGTTGCACGAAGGGCAGGTTCGCCTTGCAAGCAAGAAGCATTCAGCAGCAAGTGAAGGGCGTCAGGTGAGAAGACGTTCAATGACAGCTGAATACTGCATGCTTACCTTGATATGTATTGGAGTCTGAGATATAGTATACGACGTGGCCCCCTAGGCTATCGGCGCGGGCAGCCGTGTTGACGGGGAGTTCATTCAAGCCAGGGCACCAGCCCTCGACGCTAGTCAGTACTTCTAATGCCGACATTGGTGATAAGAATTGATCCGTTGGGCACAGGACAAGACGATCACTGGTGGCCACCACCATGCACAAGCGGGGTACGTGTCGGCCCTGTCACCCAGAAATGTCCCGCAAGCCCAGGATGAAGGGCCGTGCTGGTCGCCCCAGGCGACGTTCATATCCATGGGCCCAGTATTCTTGGATACGCTCCTGCCCTCTCCTGATGATTGGGAGCCCCTGGAGACGTCGACGCCCCTCCCAAGGTGGACCTGGGAAACCACAAAAGCCAGCTGAGGTACGTCGTGCCCAGTTACGCGCACGATGACTCGCTGACGGTAGCGTAAGGCTAGATGCTCAGAACCGACGCCTGGGCTCGCGAATCGATGGCCGTATGGTGGAGTGTCGGGTTGTGCTGGTGGCAGGAGGTACGGCGGATTGACGATGGAGGGATTGTGGATGCGCGGGGATTGAGAGCCGATCTTGGACAATGCAAGCAAATTGATGCTTTGAATGTATACGTAGGCGAAGACCCGGTGTTGACTTGAATTGGCTGCCCACGATGCGCTCGTCTTGAAATCCAGTGCCTTCGCAGCGAGTGATGAAGGGATCCACTCGCCCCCGGTCAGACATCCGTGGATCCCTGACAGAGGTATCTTCGCTGTCTCGCGATTCGCTTCCTGGCAACGGAAAAAACGTGCGCGACCGTATACAATTCCACATGTCGTCCATGATGCATCCCCTACCATTGTGCGACCCACAGATCTGCTGGACCTGCATCCAGCGCTTAAGGGTCCGAGGCGCGTGCCGGCAACCCGCGCCGCCATTTCCGCGGGCCACAAACGCATAGGCGCTCAATTGAACAAAGAGAGCGCCTGTCCGTACACTTGTCTTCCGACTGTCTTGCCCTCATCGCCAGCGCACGCGCCCTCCACAGAGCGCTATTCTCGTGTAAACAGACCTAAAGAAGACTGGTCAGCAAGATGCAACACTACAGACTCGATGTGAGTGCTTCAGTACCCGACTAACCGAGGGAGGCGATCGTTCATGTGTGATGAGCTAGTACACGACGGTGCACGGCAATGCGCATGTCCCGACGCAAGGCTCGAAACCCGGTGTACGAAGCGGTGATGATGTTCGATGCGAGCCGGATCCTCAGAACCAGCCGTTGCAGAAAGGCAAAGCAGAGACGAGGTAGGTCGTCTGGCACGAGCGCGAAGCCCGCTGATAGAGGTCACAATTCGCGACATAGCAACCCAGCTGCAAACACGAGTCACGTAACGACAAACGATGGTCTACTGGTAAGCGAACTAGCGCCGTTCGTTACTTGGTTCGTGCTTACCTGGGGTGTGGCCACTGTGGCGCAGGCCTGCAATGGCTTTATCCCGACCCGTATACCTCGCCGGGGAGACGGTGTGGCCTTATGTACCGGTACATCGGATGACAGGGGTCTGGGCACGCCTGCCCCTGTGAAATCCACAAGAGCAAGTCAGATTGTCAGTCTTTGTATCGTGACATGCATGACCACTTACTAACCGAGATATAGGGTGCCCTATCAGCCTCTGACTGCAGGCTGCTCAGGCTCCTGGGAACGAGGCGCAACGCCGCGCATGAGCTCGTCAAGGTGAGTGTCTTGCGATACCGGTACTGGATGTTTGCTCAGCTACCCGTCTGTTGTGCGTCGTTCAGAGCGACGCGCGGCTGGACGAAGGCTTCCTGCGCTATGCAACGGATCGGGCCTTGGTGGGTGTTCACTGGGACGCACTCGTCGAAGAGGCTATGGCGAGCGCGTGCAAGCGCTCGAGCCAACCGTCCCCGACCAGTCCAGCGGGTGACGGCTGGATTTCTGGATAAATGCCCGAGCATCGCGACCGCCAATTTGACAAGGAGGAGGAGAATTTGAGGAGAGGCCAGGTTCGAGGCGGTATTCGCAGCAAAAGTGGACGAGCGGTCAGTGGGACCGAAGGAACGCCTGTAGAGGATGCAGTACGTCTATCGTGCGCAAGCTGTCATCGTAAATCTTTTAGCATGGATGTGGGCACTCACTGGTCACGAAGTACTGGGTAGGTCGCCATAGCCGCCAGGAAGTCGGTGTCGCATCTTCGACCATCCGCGGTGTATTTTCACGTATTTTCGGCTTGCATAGATCATACGATCATCGCAACGCCCGCTGGCACCTAGCGATGTCTGAACGGACGCTCGGTCGTGGATGTTCTCGCGGGCCACAATTCAGGAGACGGGTGGCCACAGCTTGCTGGCAGTTATTGAGGGCGTAGAGGGCGTAAGAGACTATCTTCTTTGCGGAAATCTGACCAAGCGAGTCGACCAAAGCGTCCGCAGGGGGTATGAGAAAACTTCAGCATCGCGACGGGCATCGTAGTCGTGGCCACATATGTACGGCCACATCCAAATGGGGCCACCAATTGTGTTGATTCGGCGGTGTGGCTGAGCCGGACGATCCCGGCCACTCGTGCGACGCGTCACGACTGTACAGTGTACACAGTACAGCACCCTCTATCTGCGTCTCTACCAACGCGTCGCGGAGACCGAAAGCCGAGCGCAGTAAGGGACACAATATTGGCTTTCGAACATGAGACAATGCAGATACTTCTTTCGAACCGCTTCCGTGTCACTTCGCTGTCCATTCCAGGTCCATTCCACCCTGCCCGACGCAGCTTTCAAGTCCGACGGAGTTGTGTTCGTCTACTTCGTGGCAAAGCCCCAAGCATTCAGCAAGATCACCTCACTCTCTGCCGCATATGAAGCTCAGCATACCACGCACGTGCGTCGGTAACTTCGCCAACTACTGGCTCCTAGTAGTTCAGGCTGCTCAGCACGCCCTTGGACGGAGCCAAGGTGACGAATTCGCCTCACTGCTCCACTGAATGGGTAAGAACGCCCCGGGGAAACACTTGCTCACTAGTCGACTCAATAAGGTCAAACATCGCGACGTACGTCTCGCATCCGTTCCACCATTCTACGTTCGACTCGCTTACGCTAACTCATCGATTTTTCAAGACGTCTTATTGCTCTACGAGTAGTCCTCGAGTCATGAGTAATCTTGCGAAGAAGGCGCAAATACCGTGACATCATGAGAATATTTGACTTGCGCAACTAGCCATGTGCGTCGCGCACCATGTTTTCATGGTGTCTTTAGGAGTCTTTGTCGTGCCCCCAACGGTCACGATCAATGACAACTGTCCAGACAAAACATGCTGAAGGTGCAGTCTCGCTCGAGTCAGTCTCTCTGTCCCATCTTACGTGAACGTTCTCATGAATCATTACGGTCCGTGCCCGTGTTCAATAGCCACATGACGAAGCCGCACTCGCCCGCTCGAACCTCCAAGTAGGCGAGTCACGGATTGACGGGGCTTGAACACTCTAGGATAGGCTGACAGTCATGGCAGATTGGACGTTCAAGAACGGTGAAAGCGCGAGAAGACCGCTCGGGCTCCGGAGGTGCTATGCGCTTAGCATCCGCAGATTGTGTCGGGGCGGGGAAGAAAACACGACAGCTGCCACTGGGAGTAGAGCTTTTTGCGGGGCGAGATGTCTGCACTGGCATCATAGCTTACGGTAGCCAAAGACTCAACTGCACTCGTGCCTCCTACGTCGTAGTCGTTGGCTCTCGAGGCGTCGGACTCCGTACGGCAGTTGGTATGTCAGTCGTCCTACAGAGTATCCCAGTGCCTGTGCTCAGTAATAAAGGGATATGTAGGTTGAGAACACGGATAAAGTCGTGTACATAACAGTCCGAACCAAGGCAAGGTCCACGCAGCTCAACGAAGTGAGAACGACCTCCGGCAACAATCATGTCTACGAGGCGTAGTCGAGTCTAGTTCGATGAAGCCAAGTCCATGGCCAGTCCTCCTCGTGTACGGGCAATGTGCTGAGTGGATCACCTGCTGTCTCATTCAGGCTGCCGCTGCGGACATCGCAAAGGTTACTGGCGGCTCATTGGACGTCCTCGCTTATAAAGATGCGCGAACGGAGCTCAAGAACATTTTTATGCTCAGACAGTGGTTCGCCGTACATTGATCATACTGAGTACATTCGCGATCTGCGCTGACACCCATGTTCGATGCAGCGAGGATTGCGATAAACTTGGCACGGAATTCCTGGAATCCATACATCCATTCTACCAAGCCAAAGGCTCATGTCCATGCTGCAATAGTTCAAGGTCGACGTCCTCGGTGTTGCTCACATCGTGAACACCTTCCTGCCTCTTCTCCGCAGGGGTACAGTATCACAGAGATTGCTATCATCGGCACGGAGGGCGGCCTACCAGAGGTCGTAAAGAGGCTGCATCTCCACAGTATTGCCGTGTACTGAACCACGAAGGCTGCTGAGCATACAAAGTACGCCACACTGTTCGTGCCAGAAGGATTTACTGTCGCGGCCGTTATCCCCGGGCTCGCCGATGTCTCTGCGACTTTCTGGAGAAACGTGAGCATAAGTTCTGCTAGCGACATGTCTCTTGTGATGACGGTGTTTTAATGCCACTAGCAGATCCTGCAGCCATCGCGGATGTGGATAGCCAGATCACTCGAATCCAGGAGGTCTTCACGAACTACAAGCTCTTCACTCCTGAGAAAGCAGTTGGTCACATCCTATCCATGGTTTGAACTATGATATCCAATGACATATTCATCATTCTGGCCATGTCTTGACTGGAACTCAAGAAGAAGGATACAAGATGTGTTCAGTTGACTCGAGATTGGAGACGGAGGATATCTGGGGTTGTGCCGCGTGTGTATACAGACGGAATGAAAGTTCCTGGACCACTCTCCTCGTACGATGTTGTCTTCAATAACTGTTGGCTGTCCAGTATCGTTGCTACCGAGGGTCCTAAGACCTGGAGCTGAGATGCGGGCGTGCCATACTTCCGAGAGCACAGTTGAGTGCTAAGCTAAATAACCAAACGAGTCGGAAGCGCCCGGTCCGGTGTGCGATGACTTCATGTGAGGCGTTGCAGCGCTGTCCCCGCACTCGCCTCTCGCCACCAACCTGCATACCTTATAGCATCACATCCTCCGGCACATCTACCGACTCACTGGTCTTTGCTCTGCTGGTCAAGGGCCTCTATACTGGTGCAGTTACCTGTGTCACCTACGATGACCCAATCAACGCTGGTTTCAGCAACGACGGCTGTCTACGTCAAGTATGACCCCCAGGATCCGCCTCCGCATCCCGGGCTGTCGTGGACTCGCTTCGTATGTATTTCCGACACCCACTCGCATGCCTATAGAGTACCGCCTGGCGACATTCTCTTGCATGCGGGTGACCTCAGCGCTGGGGGTGCGTTCAAGCGACTCCGAGTTACTCTGAACTGGCTCAAAACCCTTCCCCATCCCGTCAAGATGTAAGGTCAGTTCCGTAATAGATAGGACATATGAATATGACGTAGGAACGTAGTTTGATTGCAGGAAACCATGATGTGAGTGAAGCCCCATGGATTCTGTTCCCTAAAGGCTGAACATCCGCTCAGCTGTGCTTAGACGACGACTGGCAAGAAGGCGGGCATTGGGCGAACGTAGCGGGTGAGACTGTCGGGACAAAGGTATGTCTCATTATAAGTACGAACATCGGATCGCGCTGACAATGGATACTCAGGACGCAGTTGCTGCTCGACAGCTCATACGCAGTGAAACCTTGCGTAAGGCAGGGATGCACTACCTAGAGTTTGAGTCAATAGACATAACCACCCCGGCCGGACGGACATGGAAAGTGTACGGGTCACCGGTGAGTTTGCTTTACCTACCTGCACCGTCCCTATTTTCACCCACCACAGGCTGCGCCACGCTACTCATGGGGCGCATTCCAGTACGAATACAATGAGGGCGGAGATATCTATGCCCGGATACCGGAGGGGACAGAAATACTGCTGACGCACACACCCCCGTACGGCACCCTGAACAAAACGAGGAAAGGCACTGCGGCCGGCTGCAAAGACCTTGCTAAGCGACTCGCAAGTGATGATCTACAGCGGTGCCGACTGCATGTCTTTGGACACATACACGAGTCGCATGGTGCCGTCCTCCATGAGGGGAGTGCGGAACATTCGTGCGAGAGGGTCAGCGTGAATGCCGCGCTCGCCTACGGCGGTCAGGCGATCATCGTCGACCTGAAGAACTAGAGGAATCATCAGTTCCATTATGTCTCTTGTGCATCCCATCTGTACTGTGTCAAACACCATGTAGACGATATACAAACGGAGCGTGGAAATGAGCGACTTGTGTGTGACCGTAGATAACTTCGAAACCAGCAATCTCACCGTCAGATCCGATGCCCAATTTTGCGCGCCTACGAGTCAGTCGCCATTCTTGCCTTTGTGTTCTGGACTTCGCGATGACTCGTGTCTGCCTGCTTTTATATGGACGTCTGCGCCCGTCCTAGCCATACGCGTCACTTCAGTTAATACCCTTCAAAACGAGCCATCATGCCGATGCTGTAAGTCGGCTTCAGCGACATCTCCAGCTCCTCCAGGCTGACTGTCCACCCCGCAGGGCTGATCCGTCCCAAAAGTACAAGCCGTACACCCCGCTCAACCTTTCGGACCGCCAATGGCCCTCAGCAGTCGCGACGAAGCCACCTATCTGGCTGTCGACAGACCTACGCGATGGCAACCAGGCCCTCGCGAACCCAATGACGATCCCGCAGAAGACGCTCTTCTTCCAGACCTTGCTCAAGTGCGGCTTCAAGGAGATCGAGATCGCGTACCCCGCCGCTAGCGACACGGACTTCAACTTTGTGAGGGGGCTGATTGAGGGCGGGCAGGTGCCGGACGATGTGTGGATCCAAGTGAGTCGTACATCCACAACTGTAGACGGAGAGGACGCCTATGTTTTGGTGGGGAGTCCGGACAAGATCAGGCCTCACGCGGCTGGAGGAGCCATGTCCGGACATAAACACAGGCCTTCGTCCGCATGAACGACGATTTTGTCCGGATTAGGACTGGACCTCTCCCCCAATTCCATAAATGATGTAGACGGAAGCGACGAGGAAGCTTACTCGAGGTTTTAGGTTCTGACACCGGCTCGTGAAGACCTCATCCGCCGGACAATTGACTCTGTTGCAGGCTCGAAGCGTGCGATCATCCACATGTACAATGCGACCTCATGTCTGTTCCGGGAGGTCGTCTTCCGGAACAACAAGGAGGAGACCCTCGCCTTGGCCGTCAAGCACACCGAGATCATCCGCAAGCTCACCGATGAGTGCACGCAGAAGCACGGGACGATCTTCAGGTATGAGTACAGCCCAGAGACCTTCACGCAGACGGAGCCGGAGTTTGCGGTGGAGATTTGCGAGGCGGTCAAGAAGGCATGGGGGAGAGCGGGGACTGCGTTTGAGGACAGGATTATCTTCAACCTACCTGCGACGGTCGAGATCGGTCCTCCGAACCACTACGCAGACCAGGTGGAGTATTTCTGCCGTCACATATCTGAACGGGAGAATATCTATGTCAGTCTGCACCCACACAATGACCGAGGTACAGTCGTGTCTTGTTGCTGCTATTTAACCTGACCTGACAAACCATCACAGGTCAGGGCATCGCGGCTGCCGAGCTGGCCATGCTTGCGGGCGCGGACCGTGTGGAGGGCTGCCTCTTCGGCAACGGCGAGCGCACCGGTAACGTCGATCTCGTGAACCTCGCATTGAACCAGTACACACAAGGGATCAACCCCGGACTCGACTTCAGCGACATCCAAACCGTCATCGACGTCGTCACACAATGCAACGATCTGCCGGTGCACCCTCGCCACCCATATGCGGGCGAACTCGTCTTCACCGCCTTCTCCGGTTCGCACCAAGACGCGGTCAAGAAGGGTTTCGAGCACCAGCGGGCACGGTGGGCCGAGGCGGAGCGCAAGGGCGAGCCGACGATTTGGCACATGCCCTACCTCCCCATCGACCCCGCGGACCTTGGTTGCAACTACGAGGCCGTCATCCGAGTCAATGCGCAGAGCGGCAAGGGCGGCATCGCGTACCTCGTGCAGCAGCACCTCGGGCTCGACATGCCGCGCAAGATGCAGATCACGTTCTACAGCGTAGTCCAGGAGATCGCGGATCGCGAGGCGCGCGAGATGACCGTGGAGGATATCACGACGGCATTTAGGAAGACGTACCACTACGGCGGGTCGACATACGAGGGCAGGCTGGTGCTCAAGTCGTTCAGGATTTCAGCGGAGTCGTCGCCGGACCTCCCGAGCGGAGACGAGGCAGCGGATGAGCGACGCCAGTTCGATGGCACGGTGTCAGTGGATGGTGTCCTTCGAGTCATTCGTGGAGACGGCAACGGCCCGTTGTCCGCACTGCTGGATGCTCTCCGCACGCACTTGGAGATCGACCTCTCTCTGCGCGAGTACTCCGAACACGCTATCGGACAGGGCCAGGATACCAAGGCCGCGTCGTACGTCGAGCTCGTTCCCCTCGCTCGTGATGTGAAGGAGATTCGCAAATCGACGGAGTCGTGGTGGGGCGTTGGCGTCGACCCGGACATTGCGGGATCCGGTTTACGCGCGCTGCTAAGCGCGGTCAACAGCGCAATTGGCGACCGGCCGCTACCTGAACTCAAGCTGAGCGTTGGTTACAGCGCGAAGACGAGCCAGGCAGACATCGCGTCAGTGATCCTCAATGAATTGTCCTTGGAGCTCCCTCGCCGTCTGCAGGCATCCTTCTTTGAGGTCGTCCAGCGAGCCGCGCGCGAGACGGGCGGGCAGATGTCTTACTCCGACCTCATACAGCTGTTCAAAGAGACGTACGCGTTCGACATCCCCGACAAGGACGGCCGCTTCGCCCTGCAGAGCTTCAATATGGAGAATCTGGGCGAGAGCGGGCGGAAGGAGCTCACGGGCGAGTTCATCATCAACGCGAAGCTCACGAAGGTCGCAGGTCAGGGCAATGGTCTGTTAACCGCGGCCATCGCGGCGCTGAACGAGCATATCGACGGACAGCTGTCGATCCGCGAGTACGCGGAACACTCGATCGGCGAGGGTTCGGACGTGAAGGCTGCGTCGTACGTTGAGCTTGCGTATGAGGTGGATGGCGGCGCGATCAAGTTGAATGCCTGGGGCATTGCGAAGGACACGGATATCACCGCGTCGGGTTTGAAGGCCCTGTTGAACGCGTCGAGCAGGGTGGACCACCTGCACAGGGAGCTGACGCAGTCTAAGAACCAGTGAGCAGTCGAATGCAACTATTAGTGTATGTAATGTAGTGTATCATCAATGTCAAAATGGCTGTAGCCTGTCCAATTCTCGGGTGTGTAAGTACCCGCGGGCTCGAGGTGAGTCTGACGACCACCGCGAGGGTGCGATTGCGACGAGCATGAGAACAGTAGAAACGCGGATGGAGGGTGTTGTACACTGCTGTACAGGCGTGACGCGGCGCACGAATGGCCGGGATCGTCCGGCTCAGCCACACCGCCGAATCAACACAATTGGTGGCCCCATTTGGATGTGGCCTACGATGCCCGTCGCCATGCTGAAGTTTTCTCGTGCCCCCTGCGGACGCTCTGGTCGACTCGCCTGGTCAGATCTCCGCAAACGAAATTGTCTCTTACGCCCTCTACGCCCTCGATAACAGTCGGCAAGCTGTGGCCGCCCGTCTCCTGAATTGTGGCCCGCAAGGACATCCGTGGCCGACGCGTCCGTTCAGGGTGTTCAGATATCGCTGGATGCAGGTGGATGCTGCGATGAACATCCAAAATATCCAAGCTGAAAAGACGTGAAAATGTAACGCGGATGGTCGAAGATGCGCCGACGAGTTCCTGGCGACTATGGCGACCTACCAGTACTTGGTGACCAGTGAGTGCCCACATCCATACAAAAAGGTTTACGATGACAGCTTGCGCACGATAGACGTACTGCATCCTCTACAGGTGTTCCTCCGGGCCCGCCTCACGATCCGCCCATTCGCTCCTCCTGGCCACGATATCGTCTTGAACCTTGTGGCTTCCCCCCGATTTCTCCTCCTGAACGTTGGTAGTCACGATGCTCGGGCATCTATCCAGAAATCCAGCCGTCACCCGCTGGACTGGTCGGGGACGGTTGGCCCGAGCGCTTGCACGCGCTCGCCATAGCCTCTTCGACGAGTACCTCCCAATTGATACCCGCCAAGGCCCGATCCGTGGCATAGCACAAGAAGCCGTTGTTCAGACGCGCCTCGTTCTGAACGACGCACAACAGACGGGTAGCTGAGCAAACATACAGTACCGGTATCACAAGACACTCACCTTGACGAGCTCATGCGCGGCGTTGCGCCTCGTTCCCAGGAGCCTGAGCAGCCTGCAGTCAGAGGCTGATAGGGCACCCTATATCTCGATTAGTAAGTGGTCATGCATGTCACAATACAAAGACTGACGATTTGACTTGCTCTTGTGGATCCCACAGGGGCAGGCGTGCCCAGGCCCCTTTCATCCGATGTACCGGTACATACGGCCACACCGTCTCCCCGTCGATGTATACGGGTCGGGATAAAGCCATTGCAGGCCTGCGCCACAGTGGCCACAACCCAGGTAAGCACGAACCAAGTAACGAACGGCGCTCGTTCGCTCACCAGTAGACCTTCGTTGGTCGTTTCATGGTTTGTGTTTGCAGCTGGGTTCCTACGTCGCGAATTGTCACCTCGATCAGCGGACTTCGCGCTCGTGCCAGACGACCTACCTCGTCTCTACTTTGCCTTTCTGCAACGGCTGGTTCTGAGGATCCGGCTTGCATTGAACATCATCACCGCTTCGTACACCGGGTTTCGAGCCTTGCGTCGGGACATCCGCCTTGCCGTGCACCGTCGCGTACTAGCTCATCGTACATGAACGATCGCGTCCCTCGGTTAGTCGGGTACTGAAGCACTCACACCGAGTCTGTAGTGTTGCATCTTGCTAATCAGTCTTCTTTAGGTCTGTTTACACGAGAATAGCGCTCTGTGGAGTGCGCGTGTGCTGGCGATGAGGGCAAGACAGTCGGAAGACGAGCATACGGACAGGCGCTCTCTTTGTTCGATTGAGCGCCTATGCGTTTGTGGCCTGCGGAATGGCGGCGCGTGTTGCCGGCACTCGGACCTCTTAGCGCCGGACGCAAAGCGGGACGCACGTCCAGCTGGCTTGCGGCAGGCTTGCGGGTCGTGCGTGCAATGCAAAGGGAATGCGAGGGTAGCGAATTTCGATGTGAGGGACTAATCTTCGTCCCTGGGCTACCGGGCAAAGGGCGAGGCAGCCATAGCACCCCGTTCGCTCCAAGAATGCTCCGTGGCGAGTTCGCTCGCTCGTGCGGAGGCATAGCTTCGAGACGAGCACATCGTAGACGGATACCAATAATTTCGACTCTGCTGCCCATACATCTGGAAGCATACGACTTGCATTGTCCCCGCCCAACTCTCGCTCCTGACGTTTCCTCCATTCTCCTCCCTCCTACGCTTATACAAGCCCCACCGTCGGCCACCTCCCCCCCATCAACGCGACGTCCAAGCGATTTAAACGACATCACGGCCAGTAGTTCGTCCCGATCCTTGCCCCGCGGTGTGGCCTCGATCCGACGGACCGCTGACTATGGCATTGTCAGTGCTGCTGTCACTAACGTGAGTCGTTATGTGTACCTCAGTCGACTCTCGTGGTTCTCCAAGCCCATCGGGGCAGTGGCGTCGACGTCTCGAGCGGCTCCCAAACATCTGGAGGGCTCAAAAGTGTGTCTAGGGATGTTGTACTGTCTGCCAGCAGGTGTGCGAGGGCCAGTCTCTCATGTTGGGAGAACACCGACTCCTGGCTTTGTGTATGGTCGAGGTAACCCTTGTCCTTCGTCAAGATCGATGTTGACTCAAAAGGACACCATCACTCACTGCCATGGATGAGCTCATCGGCGACATTGTCGCCTGCGCAGACAACGTAGGCGGCCATGTGGTGTACTCTATGCCGTCCCCCGTCTACGATTGAGGTGAGCATATACCATTCAGCGGTTTCTGACTGCCTTCTCACCTGATGGCCTTTACTCTCCGCTGAATTGTGTGTGTTTGCAAGACGAAGTTCACCTTGGTGCAGCTCCCAGTTATTCTCGAGGATGGCCACAAAGCTCCCACGTCTCTCTCTCTTGGGCGTCGGTGCGGTAATCGGCTTCGGAGGTCTTTGCTGTAGCATTGCTACCTTGCCGTACTTGAGTACCATTGCGTACTGAGTACGTCGTCGCATTTCAATCGCTGCTCCGGGTAAGTCGAACAAACAGAGACTCACGCTTGGTTTGCTTGTGTGCATCATGCTCACTGATTTGAGTTAGGTTTTTGAGAACACGTAGTGGGTGCTTTGCTAGTGGCGCGCGGACAGGCAATGAGAGCAAGATCGTCGAAAGACGAGCGCACGGACGAGCGCCCTTTTGTTGAACCGGCGCCTAGGCGACTGTGGCTTGCGAAGGGACACGGCGCGATGCCGGCATATCCCGCCCTCGGACCCTTTAGTGCTGCAGGCCAGTTACGCTGGTCTGCGAAACAAGGAGAAGGGAACGCGAGGAGGAGATGTTACAAATTCATTCACGCCGGCTTCGTCCCTGACCTATGGTACGGACCGCGAAGACACGTCCGCCAGGAATCTACGGAGATCCCGTCCACGACGAATGGGCCGCCCTTGTCGCCTCGCTGGGAACGCATATACTTCTCAAACGGACGCGGCGTGAAGGAGAAAAAGGATGATTTCCGGCGTTGTCTACGATTACATTGCAAGACTGCTTGCTCTCGTTCCCCGTGCATCTACAATCCTCCATCTTCGACAAGCGCCATGTGCGGCGAGCCGCCTTCCTCCTGTCCACCGACGATATCCCTACGATCCGACTTGCGAACGACACAAGAGTACCGTTCCGATCAACACCCCAACCTCCCGACGGAATACTGGGTACTGTCAGCACGTCTGCTCTGCCCGTAACATGCCGCGACATACCTTAATCTTCCCTCGTCGCCACCCAGGTCCACTTCGGGAGCGGAGTCGATGTTGCAATGGGCTCCCACCTGTCCAATGGACTCGACAGTGTATTCGACGACGCCGGGCTACCCGTGTCTGTCGACGGGCCCTGTCCAGGCAAGCCCGTGGTCGCCACATCTAGCGGCGGCCTCGCAACCCCAGCGGTGATGATGGGTATGATCATCGACCGCGCATCGTAGACTGTCGTAGCCAGATCTCCGTGCTCATGGATTGGCGACTGTGGTAGTCTTTCAGAATCAACCCGCAAGCAATGGTCGAAGATACGCACCAACATCGAGGACTGATAAGCTGCGTCGAGCGGTAGTCCCGATGCAGTCGCCTGTGCCGACAACACAGGCGGCCACGACGTATACTCTACGTTGGACTCCAACCGAAGGACACCATGCTCTTGGTTCGGGGGCTGTGGCGGTGTCTTAGGATCAACCCGAACGTATCGCTCGAAGATACGCACCAACATCGAGGAGTCATAGGCAACGTCGAGCGGAAGCCCCGACGACACAGTCGACTGTGCCGACAACACAGGCGGCCACGTCGTGTATTCTACATCGGTCTGCAATACATATCAAGGTAAGCATGCACTGTTCAGCTGATCTTGAACGTCTTCTCACCTGACGCTCACTCTCTGCTGAATTTTGCTTGTTTGCAAGGCGAACCTGCCCTTCGTACAACTCCCAGTCTTGTCCCAGGATCGCGGCGAAATCGGTGTCTGCCTCTCTCTCGGGCGTCGGCGCAGCTATAGGGATCGCAGCCCTTCGACGTTGGATGGCAGGCTTGCGGTACTTGACGACCGTCGCGTACTAGGTACGTCGTCGCGATTCAACAATCGCCTCTCCCAGAAGCCAAAGGGTAGACACTCACGCTCGGTTTGCTTGTCTGCATGATGCTGATAGGTGTATTGCAGGTCTTTGGATGCGTTCTGATGCTCTACGAGCAGTGCGCAGAGGAGATGAGTGTAGTCGGGGGCAAAGTGCAACGACGAGCGCTTTCTCCCCTCAAATAGCGCCCGTACGTCTGTGGCTGTATAGCTGCTGTATATCTCGCGAAGCGCGATCCCGGCACGCTCCGAACCTTACATCGTCGGACTGCAAGCACGGATGGTCTGCGAGTGGGAGACTAGGAGAAAGCAGTGAAGATAGGATAATTCATGGCATCACGCACGCGCCTTGCACCTCCGAAATACCGGACGGGCGGAGAGACAGCGATGGCCCGCCCTGCATCTGCCGTGGATACGCTCTACGTGAGCAGTGACACTTCCGAAGTGTGCGGTCATTCTGCGATGGACGCGCACTCGTTGGCGGTGATAATCAGGAGGTTTTTACATATACAGCGGAGTTTATGACTGAGTAAGCTGTCCTTCATTATGCGCATGGATCGTCGCGAGTATAAACTTCATGGTATGTAACAACCGCGGTCTGAGGACAAGACTGAACGATTGCTGACTTCGATACACAGACGAACCGTTATCGACTTGCATTCTCTACGATCGTTTCGGACCATGTATACCAGATGGCTTGATCGCCGCAGCCAGGCAATTCAGCCGCAGATCCTCTGTGCAGCAATCCCGACAAAACCGCCTCGTTCGTCCTTCTGCGATGTCCTGGCGCGAGTGACTTCACTGGTCTGGAGCGCATGGTGACTGCAGGCTACGCCATATGTGTCACCCCTTCGTTATGACTGGCCATGCGATCAACTGTACGTGGAGCCAGATGTTGTCACAAAGCGGCGGATCGCTTCGGTAACGCCCTTACTCTTAGCTTGCATCTACGTGTACGGGCTGGCGGTTATTTTCCAGTGTCCAATTCATACAAGAAACGAAATACACAATGAGATACAATCCCACCCCACTGGTACACCAGGTATGCTACCCATTCTCCGTTCATTTTCTCCTCAGCGATGGGTCGCAACTTGGCCTTGTTCTGCAGGCCGTTTGAGGATAACCGGGATGCCCCTGGGCTTCCATTGTGCACGCGGGGATTGTTCCTGCTGTGCCTGCCCCACGGGGTTTCGCCTACGCCTCTCCTCCTTTCGTACGGGCCTGAATTTCCTCAAACGATAGGACACGGAGCGGAGCGCCGACAAAACCGCGTCGACGCTCTCCGGAGGAAAGAGTGACGGTTCTAGGTCATCGCTGGACATGGCCTTTGGTCGGGAATCTGACAGGTCAGATCCTGGGCATTCTTGTCTCGTGTGTGTCCATTTCTCTTCGTCATTGAAACGCTCCTTAATGTCCTCTTCAGCGCCCTGGCACGCCACGTCGACAACTGTGGTGATCGAAGAGCTTGCGCATTGGGAGGAGATCGATGACGTCCGCGTTCGGGCCGTTGAAGCGCTGCATTTGGTCTGTGAGAGACCTGTCTGCGCAGCAATCGAAGGCCCAGATGTTTTCATCATCTTCGGCAAAGCCATCTCTTCCTCGGCCCAGTGCGCCCGTGTTTGTGGGATAACTGTGTGTTGCACTCGACCGAGTGATTGTTGCGTTTGTGTCTCGCCACGCCTCTTTCGTTGCTCTTCGAGCAAGTCTTCGAGTGCCTGCTCGGCGATCAACGTCTCTCTGGACTTCCTGTATGCCACCGCGGCCTGGACATCGTGTAAGTATTGGTCGCGTAGATATTGACATCTGAACTCACCGCCACCCTTATGATCCAGTCGCACACGTACCACGGAAGCTCTGGTTTACTCCCATATGCAGTGCCCGCCGGTGGCAAAGCGGCGAGTCCGTCGTCAGCATAGGCACCAGGCGCCTCGATCAACCATGGTACGGGTGCCCAAGCCTCGCCCTTAAGGCACTGGGAAGTCGGGTGAGTACTTCCACAGGTGCAAATCTTCGTATGATTCTCACATTGTGGTGTATAGGCATGTCTGCGTACGGGTGGCCACACTCGCCCACGGGATCGACCTCTGGCTCCAGTGGACCTATATCGAAAGCGTCCACTGTTGTACCCGACTTGAAAGGACTGGGCTGCCTTGGGAGGGTGTGAGGGGGTGGCCATGTAGCCCACGGGCTTTGCTCGTCCTGGTATTAGTGACGCCACACGCCACAGGTAAGCACGAAACAGTCTACGGTTCACTGCCTGCTCACTTACGGGGCGACCCATGTCTACCGTATTTTGTTTTGTGCTTGCAAGACGCACACCACCTCGCCATAGCTCCCAATCATAGTCCAGTATTGCCGCGAAGCTCTCACGACTCATGCATGGCATTGGCATGGCGAAGAACAGCGGAAGGCAGTGTTTGACGCGGTGTACACCGCTCCTCACTTCATCTAATAGATCCTCCGCGGTGGTTCCGCGGCCGTTGTGCGGGTAAGGGTGTGCGTTGGGTAGTCCGAACATCATGCTGAGGCTTTCGCCACAAGTCAACAGGAACGTTCGCGCGAATCAAACAGAGATGACTGCACGTACGTGTGAATAATCCACTATCTATTCCTTGTACTTGCTTATAGGTGCTGTTGATTGACCCAGTGATACAGGAGAAGGAGGATTGCAGTGGGACGTGAAACAGGGAGTTCAAGGTGAGTTCAAGGGGGAGGCGCCCTCTTTGTACGGTCGGCGCTTACGCCTGTGTGGCTAAGGCTCAAGCGCTCAACGCGCTCTTTTGTCGGCGAATGCCGGCCTGCTCCTCTGGCGTCCTGTGCGCGAGTCTAATTGCGCAGGGGAGGTAATATGCCAATAAATATCGGGACGAGCATGTCATTATTGACTGAGTCATAGTTGGCGCAGAGCATTCGAGGGACAACGCTATCATGTCGGTAATCGTGCGTCGGGTTTCGACAAAGGATGTGACCCGTGCGCTCTCCGGAATGCGTGCCCACAGAGGACGGACGGAGCCCTCGCTTAACAAGTACGGTACGTTCCTTGGTTATACTCACAATTCTTCACTTAGACAGACACTGACGTGCTATGTACATATGATGTATAGGTTTGGACAAAGCTCGTAGCCGCTTGCGCGTGCGCGACATGCTGACGCTTTTGTAGGCGTACGCTGGCAAATCTGTTCGCGATGTCCGGCCAGGGTCCAGGGAATAGGCAATCGGGCGGCACCTTCAAGTTCCTCGCAGTGTTCGGCAATGGGCCTATAGCGCGACCCATGGATCCTGCCAAGGCATTGCTTCGCCGATGTAACTCTCCTTGGTCAGGTCGTCGGGGTCGTATGATATCCCTCGCATCATGGCCTCCGTCAGATCGCCGTCGATATTCTCCAGTACCGTCGAGTTGCTTCCGTCCGAGATTGGTGAAGAAGGCTCAATTGGGGAACCTGGCACACCGAGCCAGTCATTGTAGGGTGTGTAGTCTTCGACTGTTTCCCTGAGTGCGCTGACCGGCTCATATTCGAGGTCTCGTTGTTCGACTGAAAGCCGGGCCATGGCTTCGTTGAGTACGAACTCCGGTGCGTCGGCCTCCGCGTCCTCGATCGAGGCTTGAAGACTGAAGTAGGTGGCCAGTGCGGGGCTCCAGTCTAGGTCGGTCTCGATACCGCTCTCGAATGACGGCTGGATTGTGTCATGGGAAATTGGCAGCCCGTCGTGCGTTGGTTCAGCGCCTGCTAGACGCGCCCCATTTTCCGGAGGCAAGAGTATGCCATCGACTGATGCGGTGACTCCGTTGACAAAGGACCTCGAAGGCGCGTCGAGGGGCGGGACAGGCCGGTTCAAGTTCGCAAAGCGCTCCATGTCCCACTCGCCCATCGTCCACACATGGCCGTGAATGATGGGATCTGCCCCGAGACCTATGCCCACGCGTGGGTGATCGATCCATATAGGACTGAGGATGGCCCCGAAGTTGTTTTTCTGGACACCAGGTGAGCTACCTCAGATAATAGTCATTGTCAATCACTGACCTTGAATCTCTCTGGTTGGGAGGCTACCTCTCGGGCGCTGAGATTCCATGCTGGTTCTGCAACGCGGTCGATGCTCCTGACAGACCTGCGGGGCTGCGGCGGCCCAATTGGAGTGGTGGACTCGATGACGGTGGCCGTCATATCTTGGGCGTTGAACTAACACAAGGTAGGCAACGAAGCAGATATGGATGAGACAATTGACTCACGAGGGTTGATCGTCCGGCCGTATGTGGTTCGTTTCTTACAGAGCCACTCGGTGTAGCCCAGTGCGAGTGCGAGGCCCAGGTATGGGCGTTCACGAGGTCCCACGAATAAGCTCGTGGTCCCGGAGAGGCGGTCGTGAGCGGCGTCGCGCCGTTGTGCGCGGTCGGGGATGGCAGGTGGGCAGGGTGAGGTGTGTTCATTGTGACGATGACTGATTTGTTGTTGACAGTGAATCGGGAAACGGATTGCGCCACACACGATGCGTAGAGTCGCGGGTCGTACGTCGAAGTCGATTGACGGTGGAAGGCAGCCTAAGATCTGTACGTCGGATAGCCTTCGAAGCCTTTGTGCTGAATTTAGTCAGACAGTGTGTATCGAAAGCAAAAGGAGAATATTGCACGTACAGCGTATGTGTGCGATGGGTTGAAAGCAAACGTAGTTGGGATTGTGGCACAAGCCCTTGTATATGGGCGCCTGTGTGGCCACGGGCCTAGCGCCCGTCCTTTGTTCACAGCCTATGTAATTGCTACTATTGGTAGACGGCCCTGGTTCAGTGCCACAGGATGCTTGCGCTGTTCAGTGCGATTTTACTCACCAGAGATGCACCTCTTCTGTGCGTGTCGCAAAGATTCATTGCTTGACGCATCCCCGGTCGATTTATTCGTACTCACAGGCTACCAGTAGGTCTAACGAATGCCGGACACCTGCGTGGCCTTTGGTCTAGAGCAGGACCGTAGCTTCGATTGAACAAGCTGCATCGCAGTACGTGCTGGCTGAGCTTGCCCTTGTGTCGAACGCTACAACTGACGAGGTTAATCACTAGGAGGATGTGCCGGACAACTGCAGCACAATCCCATCCGACAAGTTATGGTCGATGTAAGCCAAACAAGCACCCCTCGAGCGTCACGTCTGGGAGTGCGCGGGTTGATTGACTGGCGCGAAGATGACCGCGTCACCGTACGCATGCGTCCTTCATGGCATCGATCTTCACGGCGCGAGTCGCGGCGAACCACGAAGTCTCGAGCGGAAATCGCTAGGAACTCCAGGACGAGCCTCCGCACGAGCCCCAGATAGATGGGGCACCCCTCTTCCTGCGACCCGTGCCGAGACTGGTCTTGTCCAATACATGCGACGGTCCGATCGTTCACGGCCGGCGGTGAAGTGGGTCTTTTGCTGTGATGCCCAGGTTCAATTATGAAAAATGCAAAGGCCATGGTTCCGTGGCGTAGGTATGCCCGCATCGCGACTACAAGATCTGGTATCGCACCTCGACTCGGACAACCGTCGGTATGTCTCGGAGGGAGACTCGCACTCCGTTGCGGCGGTGCTGTTCGCCCGTCAGCAAGGTTCAGGCGTTCCCCCGTGTTGTGTTGCCCACTGGCAAGCCGATGTCATTATTCGATCGCTGCTCGCTCTCTCTGGGAGCAATACCCTGCCGAAACATCGTCCGTGCACCTGTGAAGAGGCGATGAACGCGATTCCCCCAGGCTTGGTCACGCCGGATGTTGTTGAAGTAAGTCGCCAGGACGCCCGCGCACCTTGCTGCAGTGCGGTCACTCGTGTAGCTGATGCCTTCTATACAGTGTGTTGTTGGCCATCTATCGGGTTTCGACGAAGGATGTGTTATGTGCGCCTCTGGAAGTGGTGTGTCTCTGGGGACGAATCGTGTCGCGTCCGAGGAGGGTCTTGGAATTGAGCATTGAGCATGCGCATCAGGTATGGTCCGTCGTCGACTCCGTGAGGACAGAGGCTGACGTGTTACGTATTCGTACATATGTGGCTCTAGAGCAGTGCTCGCACTTTTGCCGCTTCTGACCGCAGGAATGCCACATTGTTGACTGCGCAACCTCACAGAAGACATCGATAGAGACGCGGAGATAGCCAATCATACAACACCTGTAGGCCTTAAGTAGGCCCCGCTTTTGTATCGATCTGCTTCCGCCATTGATTCATAGCACCACAAGACACTACATTGTTCACCGTTGGGGGGTTCTGCACTCGCACCCCGACGATCACCGCCGAGTGTTCGCATTCCAGCCGAATATGACCGCATTTCTGCGGTACATGCAGCCCTGACATGCCCGTGTGCGGTTGCAGTTGTCGCGACAATGGCGCGGTGAATTCGTCCTGAGCAGGTTCGTTCCCGAACAGGCGACACGGTCCTCACCGATGTAGTCCCAGTCTAGAAGGGGGCTCGGTGCGACTGTAGGGGAGGCCAGTGATGGGGATCCTTGGAGACGGATCGCCCGCTGCACGTTCCCGCCCGAGATGGGCGTCTGCACGCCGTGGGATCTTTCGCGACGAACCGGGAGTCCGGAAAGGGAAGGAGGCGCTGGGGTGGGATCACGGGACCGCGTCAGGCGTGATGCAATGGAGGGCGGCAGGGGGAAGCCGGGGACGGCGCGTGAGGTCATGGCCGTCCTCCTTCGCTCCGTCTAATCCTGGCCGGCTTCTGCACAAACCATGCGAACGCCTCGACCCCGTATAAAATGGGCCGCTCCGTGGAGCACCTCTGCCACAACGCCCTCCCTCCTCCGCCCACTTCCCCCACCAAATCTCATAGCTACTCGTCCAAGCCATGCTCAGCAGACTCGCCACCCGCTCGCTCGCGTCTTCGCGTCCGCTGGCTCGCTCCTTCGCGACGCCGCAGCAGTCATGGAGTCGGGGCATGAAGGTGAGATGTCCTACGTTGATGGCGCATATACGCGCTTGCTGACACGCTTCCAAGATCCTCGCTATCTTCTACAGCGGTGGTGAAGCTGCTAAGCAGGAGCCCCGTCTCCTGGGCACCACCGAGAACCAGCTGGGTATCCGCGACTGGCTCGAGTCTCAAGGTCACGAATACATCGTAAGTTTCTGTTGGCACCCGCGTACGCTCGCCGTCCCTGAACGCTACTCTCCGTAGGTCTCCGAGAGCAAGGAGGGCCCCAACAGCGACCTCGCTAAGCACATCGTCGATGTGAGTATACTCGCCTTCATCACCCTGCCTGATCCGACCCGCTGATCTGGTGGTGTATCTCCAGGCTGAAGTTGTGATCACGACGCCCTTCCATCCCGGCTACCTCACCCGTGACCTCCTGAACACGGTGAGTACAGCTTCTGCCGATATTATGCCGCATTTGCCTCCCTCCTCTGTCGAACGCATCGCCATTGCGAGTGCCCTGGCGCCGGCGAGGCTCGTGCAGATAGCGGATGCGGCATTTGCGCGACCGATGCATTGGCGGCTCTCCGCAATGCTAAAGCGTCTGCGACCTGGGGCCACCCATTTGGTCAAGATCGACGCTGCCCCAGAATGGAGCCGACGCGGCGGCCGGGGTACTTGAGGCTTGGGGCTTCTGGCAGGCCATCTGCGCTTCGAAGGACTTATACTGATGAGTTTGTCCCCTTTAGGCGAAGAACCTCAAGCTCTGTCTCACCGCCGGTGTCGGGTCTGACCACGTCGACCTCATTGCCGCCTCCGAGAAGAACATCGACGTCCTCGAGGTGACGGGCTCGAACGTGACCTCGGTCGCGGAGCACGTCGTGATGAACATCCTGCTCCTCGTGCGCAACTTCGTCCCCGCCCACGAGATGATCGAGCGCGGCGACTGGCAGGTGTCCGACATCGCGCGGGCCGCGTTCGACCTCGAGGGCAAGACGGTGGGCACGATCGGCGCAGGCCGCATCGGCTACCGCGTGCTCGAGCGTCTCACGCCGTTCGACACCAAGGAGCACCTGTACTACGACTTTGCGTCGCTCCCGGCGGAGGCGGAGAAGAAGGTGCGCGCGCGCCGCGTCGCGGACCTCAAGGATATGGTGTCGCAATGTGACGTCGTCACCGTCAATGCCCCGCTCCACGAGGGCACGCGCGGCCTCGTGAACGCCGACCTGCTCAAGCACTTCAAGAAGGTACGCCCCACGCCCACATCTATACGGTCATAACTGACCTACTTTCTTGCAGGGTGCGTACCTCGTCAACACCGCGCGTGGCGCGATCTGCGACCGTGATGCGGTGGCGGCCGCGCTGAAGAGCGGGCATCTCTCCGGGTACGCGGGCGACGTGTGGAACGTGCAGCCGGCGCCGAAGGACCACCCGTGGCGGACGATGAAGAACCCGCTCGGCGGCGGCAACGGCATGACGCCGCACTACTCGGGCACGACGCTCGACGCGCAGGCGCGCTACGCCGCGGGCACGAAGGCGATCCTCGAGAACTACTTCAAGGGCAAGGCGCAGAAGCCGGAGGACACGATCGTCAAGGACGGAAAGATCTTCAGCAAGGCGTACGGCGCGAAGTAGAGGGTGCCTGCGGGTTGCGAATGTGCAGGCCTCTAGAAGCAAGAGAGCCTGAGCCTGCGGACAAACATTCATACAGTGTATCATTATTTTAGCATGTTTCGCATAGCACTTGTATCAACTTTGTGAAACTCATTTGCCTTCGAACCACCGTCGCGAGAAACGGTCACGACTATCATGATATTCACGAACATATTGCCGACATACTTGGGAGCATATACCGAAGTCAGCTACGCCTAACGACCTGGTGAAAGGCTATGAAAGCGCATGTCTGTTCCTAGCTTTAGACGAACAAGCGCTTGACATCCAGGAATGGAAGGTTTTACTACGGGTGAGCCGAGTCCTTACACCGTTCAGTACATTCGAACCATATCCAAGTACTACCATCACCCAAACCACACCCTTCAACTTTTCTTGGCGATCGCACGCGCTAACTCGCTGAGCTCGCTAGATTGCAGAGACGCGATGTGCACTGCCACTAGTACTTAAGGCTGCCTTGGATCATGGGCGCGACAAAACTGGTGGTTGGAACTGAGGACGTTCGAGTCAGCCTGAGGACGCTTGCAGGCTGATGCGAGGCGCTAGCCAGCGGACGAGGCTGCCCAAGGATTGTGTGCGCGAGCTTACAGTGATCTGAACGTCCATTGTGCTCGGGACCAGATCTTCATGTCACGTCAAGGAACCGATGTTGTTGGGATTTCGGAGCATACAGTGAGTCTTGAGCCGCGTGTTTCCTGAGTCCTTGCCTGTGGACACAATGTAATGGATGTGTACTTACCATGATCCATGGTAGGTCGACGAGAAGTCATCAGGCCTCGAGCAGGGCGATAGGCCAACGGAGCCTCTGCATACACCAGAGGTCCAAGAGCAGGTAAGTGAACTACGTCTCCAGCTCCTACGAGTCACTGAGACCGTATTCATGTCACCTAGCCAGGGTCCACCCCATCCTATTAGCAGTTCCGAGCCTCTTTCAGTGAGTTGGCTCCCATTACATCTTTGCATGAGCGCAGTGTACTCATTGTCAAAAAGTCTGGTTTAAGCAAGGAAGCATGGAAAATATACGTCGATCGAGCGTCACAAGCGGACGAACATTCCTTCAAGGCATGGAATCTGCAGATGCACAATCGCATACTCTTCGTACGCTGCACTAGTGGTTATATTCGGTCGCCTGGATCCTGAACTGTTATGTTCTCATGTACAGGCGGCTCTGTTTTCAGCCGTGCTCGCTGCTTTCGTTCTCGAGTCATACCAGAATTTGCAGCCCGACCCCAATTCTGCCTCCGTGGATCTTCTCCAACAGATCCTTCCGACCCTACAGTCTAACGGCCGCCTCTCGCATGCAACTCTAAACACTTCCAGTGCCCCGGGCAATTTCCAACCCAGCAGCACCGACGTCTGCATCAATGCCTTGTGGTACGCAAGCTTGGTCATCAGCATTTCGACCGCCTTCCTAGCCATCCTGGCGAAGCAGTGGATATTCAATCTCAGCGAGGATTGGGAGCCGACACTCGTGATGAAGGGCCGCCAACGCTACTTCCTTCGCGAGAGTCGCGAGAGGTGGAAGCTCTCCTCCGTGTTATCTTGGCTGCCCGCCTTGCTGCACGTCTCGCTGTTGTTGTTCTTCGCGGGCCTTGCCATCTTCCTACAGTCTATCAACACAACCATCGCCATTGTGGGAGGATGCCTCATGGCCATCACCGTCTCGATCTACGTCGCCACGCACACAATATCGATGCTTGACTGCCGTAGCCCCTACAAGACATCGGTGACGACAGCACTGGTGACCGCTGTCCTCTCTGCGCTGATCGAGCTCCATTCCGTGATCTACACGTTTCACGCCAGGATCGTAACGGGTGTGGGCCTGTTTCACGAATGCTGCTGCAGACGGCGGCGCCATCGCAGTCAGAGCGATCTCGACCTCCCGCGGTCGGAGACTGACGACGCGGACACCGATATATTGATATTTATACGATCGGTCTCTGAGCATGCCCCACCGCAACCCATGGGCGACTTCTCGGACGTCCGTAGGGAGATGAAGGCAGCGTTCAAACAGCTCTTGGGCCGGTCCGCGAATCCACGCATCTGGGAGACTGACTATCTCCATCGAAAATGCGACGATATAAATGCCCATGTCCTTACTGACCTCATAAGACAAGGGGGCGACGGCCGACTGCTCACTAAGGAGCGGTGCCACTTCCCTTCTCTCCCCCGATACAGACGCCTTTTCATCGATGCTGGCGCGCTTTCCCTACTCTCCCATCCCCTCAGCTATTTGCCCGCCCACAACAGGGACAGGTCCCTTCCTCTGCGTCCAGCGGACAAGGCGGCGATGCTGAAACTCACGCAACTCTTGACGGAGGCTGATGGAGCTAGCCTCGCTCAGGTCGAAGGTGTGCCAGTTGGAACTCACGTAGATCCGCGGCCGCTCCCGTCGTCGGTAGTTGAGCTCATCGCTAATCTGCGGCTGTTGGCGACGAAGACGCGGTGCTCGTCGCTTGCATCTTGCGACTCATACTTCATGCCGGTCATTTCAAGCTATCCCCCGCGATCAGTATTGGGGCGCATGTCATTCCCTTCCTTCGTCGCCTACTCCACTGGCACAAAGAACCACCCAATATCCGACATGATTGGTTAGCATCTATCGTCAGTACGGTGATACTCTTCGGGATGCTCAGGCGCATGCCGACGGCTCCTGGCACGCTGGAGGCACGGAGGCAGCAGAGGACAGACTGCCCAGGTCCAACTACAGGCTTGGTATACGCTGGAGCTTCTGGCAGAGACGACGCTCGCGAGTCCGTCCCTAGACTCCCAAACGCAGTGGCAGCTTTGCTGGGGAATGTGGCTCATGTCACAACCTACCCTACTATCATTTGTTCCCCCCACTGCTCTTATCCCCCATGTTGGGAAACGAAGATGGCTCTCACAAAGGCGCTCCCCCAGTTGCTCGTCATACGTGCTGGTCATTGCGCTTCCCTGTGTGCGACGCTCGCCCTGATGGAGAACCTGCTGTCGGATGAACAAGTCAATCCGTATGCTCCCGCTCAATGGGATGGTAGCAAGCAACTCAAGAAGGGGTTGATCGACAAATATTCAGCCTTCTTGCACGATTTTCTCTCCGAGTTGCCCGTACTCGCGAACCTCGTCCTGGCTGGTCCGTAACCTCAAAGCACTAGTTCGCATATCCGCATGGCTCAGTTCCCACCATCTTTGCACCGACCAGAACGACATAGTCCACACAACTCTGGAGATCGTGTTGCGGGCCTGGGAGCACATGCGAGGCAGCACGACCAGCCGCGAACTTGATAAATTGTGCTGAATTGCGTGTGTCACTGCATGCCAATTCGCCGTGCTTCACGTGAAGGCAAGACATGCACCTCGCCCTTTGGAAATCCGCTTTGCTTTCTTCGACGACCGGCCGCCTCAGACCTTGGCAACTGAGCTCAGTCTTTCTCTGCTGGATGTACTTGCATGGGGTGATCAGACGCAGCTTGTTCGTACCTTCGCTACACTATCACACCTCCACGCGGATGATGTGAATGAAGCAGGAGAGACAGAGGCAACCAGTGCGCGCAAGACCCTGTTCGAGTGTCTGCAGGACTCGGCACTTCCTCTTGAAAGGTTATCCATATCATTTCGACAACATGTGTGCCACGACGCCGCTCTGACAGCACTGGGCCTTCTTAGGCCAGACGGTGGCCAAGGTTCCGACGTGTAACGACCTAGAAGTATATATCATCTTCGCGTCTATACACGTATATTCTGTACTCATACAGAATGTTATAGAATTAACAAGAATGTTCTACGTCTACCTAGCAGTCGCTAGCACCGCAGTATCAAGGCTGTGATGAGCGCCAAAGCGATCTACCTAACAGTATATAAGGGAGAGACGAGCAAGAGGAACGCTACGCTTTGCTGGGCAAAGGTCTCTCCCCTCTCTTCTCTCTTTCTCTCAAACTCTCTCTCTCGTCTCTCTTCCTCCCTTCGCGCGCTCCTCTCGTGTTACCACTCGTTATGCTAACGTAGTTGGTAATACATCCCTTGTTCAACCGAACCTAACCCTACGGCCCGATCAGCCGTCCTGTCGAGTGTAACCTGAGTGATTGAACCTTACCAACGTACAAGGCCTAACCCAGTCTTGTTACACGATGGATCATGTCGTTGACTTCTCTGCGATGTACGAAATACGCAAAATGTACAGGTTATTGATTGCAATGACGAGATGTGTATGCTAGCTACATTACAATGATGATGCATGACAAAGTACTGCGGATAGTGCGACATAACGTATGAGTAGGATGAGCAAGACTTTTATACATCGCGGATTGACGTCCGCCCGACGTGCATGAAAGCATACATAGACAGGAACGAAGACATGCACGCAGCACCACAATTGAATCCAATGGTCCATGAGAAGATCGAGTAAGATGGAGGCTCGCGGAGGCGCAGTCCTGGAAATGACAGCAGCAAGAAGCAGCATCGCTAGCGGTGATTGCGAACGAGTTCTTCCAGCTCCTCAACAACTTGCGTCATCGTCGGACGCTCGTTGGGTTCGTGAGCCCACATCCGCTCCATAAGATCGACAATCTCAGGGCACCAATGTTTTCGCAAACCGCTGATAGAAGGCCTGCGTCGAAACGATGTAAGTACATTGTCACTTTCAGAACTAACCACACTCGTACCTTTGTCGCTTATGGCCTACGATATCATAGATGGCATGTTCATTCATACCCTACGCGGAAAATTTAATCTCAACATCTGAAAGTTGTATAGCACGAACGTACCTCCCAAGGGAACTTCTTGTTCGGTACATGCCACTGGAGCATCTCCCAGTACACCATCGCGCAAGAGAAGACGTCAACCTTGTGGTTGTACTTCGGATGCGGGTGCCAGAGCTCGGGGGCTTGCCAATTGACTGTCCCGACTAGACTGCGAACCATTGACCGGGTGGACTGCTTGACCTTGGCCAACCCGAAGTCCGTGATCTTGGCGATACCCTTGGAGGTGATAAGGATGTTCGACGATTTGCAGTCTCTATGGATGATCGACGGCTTCCTGGTATGTAGATACTCCAGCCCTTGAGCGATATCGAGCATGATAGAGAGCTAAACCAGCGCGTTCGTATCAGTGTACACGTCCAGAGAGGGGTGTACTTACTACTCTATACAATGAAGGAGGATTGACGTTGCGGACGTAGTCGAACAGATCACCATTGGAGCAAAGCTCGCTGACGATCATGACAGGAGTTTCCTTCGTGTTCTCCGGAATGCTCACACCGAGCTGTCCGACGCATCAGCCGACAGTCAGAAGACAAAACGTGCATCACGTACGAATTTGACGATGTTCGGATGGTCAAAATCGCCCAGTAGCTTCAGCTCCTTGATGTCCACTACACGATGGTCAGAATGCAGCTTGCTTGCGACGCTGGAGGCAATACTCACTCTCACTCAGTTGCCCACGGAATTCAGCGATGGCGACCCTGCGGCCCTTGAACTTGCCGATGAAAACATCCTTGAAACCACCGCTACCGATCTTCTCGAGCTTCGTCAACTTGTCTGGAGGGATCTCCCTATCCTCCAACCCCAAGCTTTCGAGATCGAGCTCCAACTCTGGCTCGTTGGCCTTCGTCCGCTCAGAAACAGGCGGCGTCCGAGGCTCATCGAGGTGGACACGGTCCGAGCGATCAAGCACGGGCGGCGTCTGGCTTGCGCTCTTGCTTTTGCGTTTGCCATTTGCACGAGGTCTCGTGGTGGAGGGTGGTCGTACAGTGCGCGTCGATGATGGCGAGCTATAGTGCCTCTCTCGCCATTGCAGAAGCGCCTCGGCAAGCTGTGGCTTGGTACCAGTCGCCTCGATATCGCGAGTCTCGCACAGCCGTACGAGGTCATCGCGTCGAAGGCGAACGAGCGTCTTCGTGGTCGCGATAGTGAGATCAACTGAGACTGGTCAGATCAACATACCTTCGCACACAGAAGAAATACGCACTGTCATCATCTATCGGCTCTGCGTTCTCCTCACCCTCTTCAACTTCGCCCTCTGCATCGATGTCGATTTCCGCGGATGAGTCATGATAGTCCTCATCCTCTTCGTCGTCTTCGTCGTCCTCATCTTCATCACCGATAGACTCCTCGTCTTCCTCGCCGACCACCTTGCCGCTGCGCAGGACACGGGCTTCGACAGGAGGCTCCTCCTCAACCGACTGGTCACCCGCAACGGTACTCTCGTCGTCCTCACTGCCCTCTTGCTCGCCGTCGATACTCTCCTCTACATCCTCATCCGCGCTCTGCTCGTCATCACCATCGCTAGGTGGTGTATGCGTCTGGATCCGCCGTGGTCGTAGGCGCCGCTTTACAGGAGTCCGCTTAACGTTAGCTTGAGGTGTTGATAACGGTGATGGCGACGCTAGTTGGTCTTCCTCCTCCTGTTCAACATCACTCTCTAGCTGGTCCTGATCCTCCTCATCTTCGTCGTCACGCTCGGCCAACGAACCAACGTTTTGTTTTGCCCTCCGCATAGGCGTGACCCTTTTGCTGGCATCGGGAGCATCGTCGTCCGCCCTCTCCTTTCCCTTGCGGCTCACCACTTTTGTCCTCTCCCCCTTGCTTCGCAAGCGCCGTGGGCTCGGCGACGTAGCAGCGATAGACTCCTCGATCTCGGTCAAGTCGGTCAGATCGCTCTCGTCCTCAAGTGCAGTCGTCCCGCTGACTTGCACATCCTCGCTGAACCCCACCTGCTTGCCCTTGCCCTTGCCTTTGCCATGGCTAGACGAAGATGAAGGCGTGGGCGACTTCTCCTCGTTCGACGACTTGCGACTACGCAACCGCGTAACGGGTGGTGATGGAAGGGATGCAGCGGCCGACGAAGTAGGAGAAGATCGGATTGAGCTAGCATTGCTCATCCCTCGCCTTTCGACAGAAGACTCAGACGACAAGTCACAAGGATGGATAATACACTTACCTCCGAGTCGAAGGGCCTCCAGTACGTATGGTGCCAACGATACCACTGTACTTGGAGCGTTTCGCAGCGTAAGCGTCGGGGTCAATCTGACCCAATGAAAGACATCTATCCGAGGGCCGTGCTCGCGAGCTGTGGCTGAGGTCGGCCATGGTCGCCCGCCTCCTGAGTCCATGTCGTGTACGACCAGTAAAATCTGTCTCCTCCCCTCCGGCAACGTTCCCACCATCGGAAGAATAATCGCTAGAACCACTGTCGATAGCGGTGGGAGGTGAGGAAGGTGGTAGCTCCGCAACGTCATCACGGGCGGCAATGATACAGTCGACAATTTCAGGCTTCGTTAGGAGCTCCGCATCGTCCGAGAGGCCAGCAGCAGTGTAGAGACGAACAAGTTCATCTTTACGCAGACGCAGAAGTTGCCGAGGGTGGGCCTCGTTGATAAGAAAATTGTCGGCTGAAAAGGGGTTAGAACCGACAATGCACGATAAACACATTTGCTCACATGAATCCGCGTCCTGTTCATCCTCGGAGTTGTCCGAAGCTTCCCAACGAGACTGATCGTCCACGTCCATACCGCTGGTGACTTCATCGTCGCTTGAGTCGTGTGTAGCTTTACGCCGTTTAACCCTACTGCCGCGCAAAATTCGTCCGCTGGCTGTGTTCTCAGCCCCGCTCACGGCGCGTTTCCGCTTCGTCCCGACAAGAGTACGGTGATAAGTGTCAATCTCATGGCGCATACTGTCCTTCTCGCCGAACGAGCGCGAAGGCAACCTGCGCAGATTGAACTGTAACGGGATCAACACTTGGCGCTGAGATTGGGGAGGCGAGCTGGATGGGCCTCGACTGTGAGAACTGGAGCTGGGGGAGATATAAGGGTTGGCGTAGGTGATGCGTCTGCGAGAAGTAATAGCGCGTCGCGTCTTGAGGTTCTTGCGAACAAGATGAGCGGCCTCTGGCACGGAAGTCACTCTGTGATGTACGCGCTGCCGTTGGGCCATACCCGCGGGTTACGACGAGTCGAACTTGACTTGGAATTAGGGTTGCCCGAGAGCCACGTTGAGAGCCAGACTAACACCAGGAATGAGTCGCGCGTGGCAGCAGGTGGCCAGGAGCAAGGGTTCGTCGTCGTGTCGAATGTCGTCGTCGTCGTCGCTGACGCCGGGATGGTTTGGAACAAGAAACAGCAGCCAAAGACGTATAAACAGGGCGCCACACTCCGGCGCTTCCGGTCACGCGTAGCCACGGTCACGCTCTCGGCACGTGCGCGTTACTCGGCGCGAAACTTCAAACCGTCGCCGGACTTGCCACACCAACATTTGCGATTAAACTGCGCTGACGCTCCAGCTTGTGGGTCTCTCATACATCTCTTGCAATTTTTAATGAGACGAGTATAATGCACGACACATGTTTGGTATATCGTCCGTCAACTTACTCAGAGCTTTGCCACTGTCTTGCGCAGAGCCACCTTCTGAATCTTCCCGGTCGAGGTTTTCTAGGCGCATCCTCTGCGTCAGGACCTCTTTCTCGCGTCGTAAGCATAAGAGAGACTCACGGGCAAATCGTCAACGACAGAGACCCACTCAGGACACGCGAAGCCAGGTAGACGAGTACGCGCGTGCTTCCTCAATGCCTCCTCGAAGTCTTTGTGCCGACCTTTCCACTTTGATGCGCGTTGAGGATGTAGTATCACGAACGCCATTGGGCGCTCACTCCATCGCGGATGAGGCCGAGCGACCACAGCCACTTCCAAGACGTCGGGGTGACTTGCAAGCTCTGCAAGTTCAATGATCGGTGAGACTCTCGTTCAATGAATGGTGTTCGACTCACCTTGCTCTATCGCGAGGCTCGACGCGTTCTTCATCCAGGTTACACCTCAGACATACGCATGAGAAGCACTCAGCTCACCTCGCCACCGGAAATGATGATGTCCTTGCTCCTATCTTGAATAGAGATGTAACCGTCAGGGTACCACACTGCCAAGTCACCGGTGCCGAAGTGCCCGCCACGGAATGCCTTCTTTGTTGCATCTGGATCTCTAAAGTACTGTGCCACACGGATCTGCCTGTTAGCTCTGCTCATGCGAAGTCCACCAGGCCATACCTCCTTCATCACGATGTTTCCGCGCACGACGATTTCTCCTACAGTCTTCCCGTCCTTCGGTACGTCGACGAGCTCCGTGTCCGCATACGGGTCTTCGCCTTCCTTGAGGGTGTAAACGACACGAACTTCGTCCGAAGTCGCGAACGCGAGCCCCTGCCGCGCCATCTGTCGTGCGCGGTCGTCCGCGGAGATGGATCCCCATGATGGCTGGTCATAACAACGAGTAAAGGGGCCATATGTCTAGCCAGGTTCGTTGAGGGCATGAAAATCACGACACTCATGTTCCATACCTCACTGTCAATTTCATGGACATACTGTGAGTAGGGTGGTTTTGCGAACGAAGTCGATGATGACTTACGTCAATCCATAGACATGCACCGGTCGGAAGTTCCTCCTCTCCATCTCGCCTAGCAGATGCGCTGTCGGCGCCGACCCTGCTATGATCGCTACCACGGGCTTGTCGAGGACTCTGGCTTGCGGTGCGTTCACCAGTCCGATCTGAGCCGTGGAGGGCGCGACTAAACACTTTGTAGAAGGCCCCGAGACGGACCGGAACACATACCTGAACAGTCGGGGCTCCGCAATAGTGCGTAACTCCCGAGTGCAGGAGATGGTTCCAGATGAGGGGGTACGATACCGTTCGTAGCGTGATCTGCATTGCATCTTAGTTTCAGTTGACCCTGGCGTATGCCGTGTTGTGGACTTGAGCTGACCTGCAACGCAGAAGCGAAAGTTATCGCCCAGGGATACGTCCAGCCGCTAGCATGGAACATGGGTAAGATCCTTCGGAACACGTTAGATCATGATAAGCCCGTTTGTGAGGAGCAAATGACGCGTACCAGAGGTACGTCGAGTCGCGATTCATCCTGCGAAAGTGTTAGGCATACATTTGATAGCAGTATTGATGCTCGGCTTACCCCGTCTCATAAGCGTTCGCGATTGCCGCCAGATACGATCCTGAGCGGTAATTATCTCAGCGGGATACTGCGTTATTACAAGGATTGAGATACCTCGCGGAGTCGTGATGACGCCTTTGGGCTGTTTACGGGACGGTGAGTCACTGCAGGAGCTTACAAGGTTCACAGTATATAACTACTCACTCGACCCGTTGTCCCTGAGCTGTACAAACGCATAAGTTCTCTGCTCTTCATGAATTCAAGCATACTCACGTGTAACAGAGCACAGCCGGGGCGTCCTCATCCACCTCCCACTCCAAGCCAGACCAGCCTCTCTCTCCGCTGAACCTCCTCCCGGCACTCAGGAAGTCCTCGTATGGGTCTCCAGGTTTGCCCGTATCGTTCGCTACGATCACTCGTGCTTTCGTCCCCTCCACCAGGTGGACGCACTCATGGTCCACCAGGATCACCTTGGCACCGCTGTGCTCGAGTATGTATGCAACTTCTTGCTGCGTCAGACGCGTGTTAATGGGGCATATTACAGCTCGAGCAGCAAGCACGCCCTGGTGCGCGTCTGCGGGTGCATGCTCAGGGGTAAGTAGCGAGGCTTAAGCTCGATCTACGCACCGGCTATGAGCGGTCTGTACGCTCGTCAGAAATTTGCCTGTCTGGCGGTGAACGCAGCGGACTTACGAATTCGGAGCGATGACCGCGACGCGATCGCCAGGCTGTATGCCAGCTTGAATGAGAGCATAGGCCAGGTTCTGCACGCGCTGCGCCCTGCGTGGCAGTCTCAGGAAATGAACTAACCTCGGACCCGCCTATGAGGGCTCACCAGACTTCGTAAGAATAGAATACAGGGTGTGAGACGTCCGGATGCGCTATTGCAAGTTTGCGCGGGTACTTCTGTGCGGCTTTCAGTAGGAAGATTAGAGGGTTCTGCCGCGGCTCGCAAATAAGCTTCTGACATCTGGGACACTGACATATGCATACCAATGGTTGCCTATGAACGGGGACACCTGGAGGAAGCACGGGCCTGTAATTCACTCCTGGTGGTGGGATGCTTTCTGGCGTAGGATGGAACGACTTCATGTCCTCTACATAGCCGGTGCTTTGAGTTCCAAGAGGCAGCCTTCTCGAAGTACAAACACACCTTTGAGCCCCATCTCGACGACTTCCGCTGCCTGAATTGTTCGTAGTACAGAGCAGTGCGGCTGGGCTTGGGCGCTATTCAATGCGGGGCCCCGCACCTGAGCAATGGAGGTGCGGGGTCATCATCCGACTAATAAAGGGTGAAAGAGGGCGCCGGACTTGTCCATTTCAGGCACCGGATGTCCCTGAAGCCCTCGGACGTGAGTTTGAAGCTTGACTATTCGGTGTACCGGTATCCTCAGCTCCCGACATACGACGCCGACGCCTGCTTCCTCTTGCGATGTGTCCGAAATGCCCTCGTACGACGGTGGCAATGCATGTGCTTGCGGGCGAGTGGGGTTGTGTATACCCGCGCTAACGCCGGCGCGGGGACCGCGTTTGGTGCCGTACGTACCACATGATCCTGATGGTGTTCAGTATCGTGTCACGATCAGTGAGCAGTACTTATGTATTTTGGCTTCCGAAGACTCGTCGCGCAGTGCTTGCGTCTTATAGAACCTCAAAGCGGGCCTGGAGCAGACGTTGACCGAGCGTTCTGAGGGAAATCACAACCTGCGCCTCTGATTACGGCCTAGAAGAGAGCTGGTCACGAGCATGCTCGTCTGAAAGAGTGAACAAAGGACGTACCCGAATAGGAAGGTCTATAAAAGGCCATGAGCGCCCGGCCAGCTGTCTGTTACTCACGTTCCCGATGCTTATTGTTTCGCGCTGCGACATATATACCTGCCCATAGTCCGTCGTTTTGGGCTCCTGAATACGCGAACATCCCCATTGTCCTCGCCACCGACCCCGAAAACCCGCCCGCAACCCGTCGGCCCAGAAAAAGGGCAGAAAATGTTCTATTCGCTGAATGATTATCGAGGACAAAGAAGTCTGTATGGAACTGATTAATTATCGGATCGGCCATTCTATCCATTGTAAGCACTGTGTTTGTGCTTCAATAAGGCAACTCCGTATGGTCGACCCTCGCTTACCCTTACGCAGAAAGGTCCCGGGTCCATGCTCGGATACAGCTCTGTTCGCATGGGTCCCCTTCATTATCTCAGTATATAGGGCCTGGTCGGCACGTTATGCAACTCTGAGCGAACCCGCACGCTGTTCACTACTTTGCACGCACCCTGCCCCCATCGTCCACCGTCACCCCGTACCCTGCGCTTGGCATCGACATGCTATTCCACTTCGCGTCTTCGGACGTGTACGAAACCACGATCATCGACAGTGCCACCGGGGTGGTAGCGTTTCGGACCACCACTTGCCGCCCTCAGCGCCAGCGTTCCGGGACATGGTCCAGTGAGAGTACGGCGAGCTCGAGCAGCAGTTCACGTGTCGACGTCGCTAGCGACCAGCATATCACGTTTATCGAAGATGGCGAGGGCCGCATAGTCGCGGAGATCACTTGGAAGGGGGCGACCGCCTCCCACATCCGTATAGGGGACAATGAGATCAACGGGACGATTGAGCTCTTCGACTCTGCGTTCGTGAAGATACTGTGAGTCTCCATCACTGCGAATCCCCTTCGAAGCCCGGTCTGTAGTTGTTCTGACCTGTACGTCGACTCGACAGTCCCGACGAAACTTTGCTGCCGACTCGCTACGAGCACACATGGCGCATGACTCCAGACAGCCTTTCGGTACGTCAATCTGCCACGCCATATGTTGTGACCTTAGATGCTCACGCGCGTGTAGCTGCTGGACGACGATGATGAGGTCATTGGCGGCCTATATCAAAATCACGTATACCTGCCTGATGAGCAGAAGTTGGCGCCTGCGATTTCATCGCGCGCGGGCCGGGACTACTTGGATCTGGGGAACCTCCCCGACAATGAAATGCTGGAGATGCTCAGTAAGTCGCGCTTGGTTAGGATCGTAATCATGCCTTGACCTGTCGGTATCACAGTATGCTACTTGCTTCTAAGCAGCCTCCGTGAACGCATGTACAGCATCACGAAGTATGTCTACGGATCCGGGCAAAAGAAGAGCTCGCTGTCTCGCATCGGTCGCCGCGCAAAGCGAAGCTTCGTCAACCTACGCAACACCCTCCGCCGCACCTCAGCCCCGTCATGAACCGTCTCCATTCGAGATTCGCATCCCGCTGTTGGACACATGACTACCTTCGTTCTCCGTCCGACCGCGTTGACTTTGGCCTTTGGTTGCTATCATTATTTCTATTTTCTTTGTTGCATATTACGACTCGCAGGCGTTGTGCGCTTTAGAGCCTCGCCCGTCACGCTCCCTCACGAATCATGTCGTCGAATTCGCTTTCTCGTCGCTCTCACATCGCATGCTATCAGATGCTAACCACACGCTCTCTTGCTCATGGTGTACAATGCAATCAATGTACAATACGTGACACATTGGCTTCAATTGAATGGAACTGCGGACGACAGTCCCAGTACTTGGTCACTCCATGTGCATGGCTCTGAGATGCCAGGCGTTTCCGACAGTCGTGAGCAACATAGTCATTCTACAGACCAATAAGAGATAATACTGTTGATGAGCCCTGCAATATCCTCGAACGAGCAGGGTCACTACGTGTCTCAAATGATTGAGCTAGGGCAGTGACAATACCAGCAAAAGAGCGACGACAATGTGAGGTGGTAGTCTGACATGCATGAGCTACGCGATGCGTGGACACCGCAGCAACCGTGTCTATAGCGTGTATCTAGCCCTCCAGACCTCGATACGACGGGCAGGCCCCAGTCTGCACAGGACGGAGGCCGCCAGGGACGTCCACCGGACGTGCCTAGGGGCGATCCGCGACCTTGGGGTACTCGTCATACTGAGACTGGCCTTCGCTCTGTGCACGAGACCGATGAGTGTACAGCAGCGCTTGAGGGAGAGGGCGCACTTTGTCTGAGGACATGTCGACCACCGCCATGTTCCCATCAGCGTACGTCTCCTGGTTGACGTTGATTTGGATCGCGCGCGCGGTCTGCAACTGCGGCAGGCTCAGGCTCGTGGCGCCTATCGTCGCGTCGCGCTGCTTGCGCATCGTGTTGCGGTTGTTAAGCAGCACGAGCAGCGAGTTGCTGTAGGCCTTGGAGAGCGCGCCGGCGGGCGTCATGAAGTATTCGGTTTCCTTGAAGGAGTTGTACAACGAGAGCTGGATAATCGCCAAGGCAGCTGCGAAGGGAAGGAAGGTGGTTATGAGGCATACATCGCAGACAGAGGTGGATCATGAAACCTACCCGTCATGAAGCCAGTCTCGACGACGAGCTGGATCAGCTTGTTGACCATCGTATCCGTCTTCTGGACACCACTGCGCTTGCGCCATAGCTGACGCACGGGGACTATGAATCCACCAGACATAGATATTTCAAGGAAGCTCACGTACGAGGTAAACCATGGAGATGGTGATGACAATATCACATGCCGCGCTTCCTCCGATCCATAGCTACGCAGGTGTGAGGCTATGGGCGCACACCTACGACGACGCACTCACCGCGACGGACGTGGCCTCAATAGGGATCTTCTCCGACGTACTGTTATAGACAAAGCACGCTATGCCTTCCGAGAAACCGCCCGCGCATTGCAACAGTGAGATCTAGGTAAGCAGGTGGTGTGAACTCTCGAGGGTTTCATGACACGAGGTTGACTTACGCAGACGATGCACCCCGCAAGAATCTTCGAATTGCTCAGAATGTATATCCGCCACGCGTAGAAACATTGGGTCACAGTTGCAACTGTATGGGCGGCATTAGGCGGAGACGTGAGAGTAGACTGGGACTGGACGTACTGAGAGCCGACTGAATGACCAACTCAAATCCAGTCAGATACGCCGCGGTCAAGCCCTCGAAGCTGCCAAAGCTGTAGGCCAGTTGGTGGAACGTATCGTGGGTCAAGAGGATAGTTTGGATGGCTTCGAAGAGGTACATCCAGTAAACAACGACCTTCACGAAGAAGTGATCCTTGTAGTTCGCCTGATTGTACATATCTTCGATCGAAGCGCGTGAGGTCAACAAGTGCACAAAACGAGTACTGACTTACACAGTTGGACCGTGAGGACACCAAACAGGCCCCAGTTCAACTGAGAGCCTAGCAGCTACATCCGGGACATCACAAAGCCTCCTGTTCAACGCCCGTTGCAAGATGCAACACTAATTCGCACTTACAACCGGCCCTGCACTGAATACAGAGATCAGCCAATGCTGGAGAATACGAACAGGCAGTGACATGAGACTCACATCTTTGCAACATCTGCAGGTATGTCTGGGCACTCCGGCATGAGGGTCTTTGGGAGTTACGACCACGGTCTGGCTTCCGTTGTCCCAATCGACGTCCCCTCTTAAGAGTCATCGAGCGCAGGTTGCGCTCTGAGATGTGAATTCGGAAGAAGCTACAATCGGTTGACGGCCCTGATAAGTTATGTAAAGCGATTCACCGTGACGATCCGGGCAGATGATGCAACTATGCGAGACCGCTGCCAGTGCTACTTAGCGTGGTTACCGGCGACCCCGGTCAAAAGGCCTCAAAACCCTTACGCAGGACTCCGAGTCGAAACGCACGCCGCTTGTTGTGCCACAGATAAAATGGAGTTAGGTACTCAGCCTTTTTGCAAGACGGTCCTTGCCATTCTATCATTCTCTCTCCCTCAATGCCCGTCCACTTTCGCCTCTGACACAAACTGGGGATTGCTGGTTGGTCTCGTAGCGGAAAACTTCGATGGCTTCGCTTATGTAACCGCTGGAGACACCCGCTCGTACGTACTTATTTGATGGTTCCTACCATTCTTGAATTCCGGTGCTCGCCGAGATCTGTTATTCGCTGCATGCGCGCGCTGTGGGTTTCCCCATATGTACACCTCCATCCGCGCGCTGAGCCTGCTGAATCACTCGATTAGGTACCGTAGCTGTAGATTTCCTCAGGCTGCGCGCTACCAGGCGCTACCCCGAGTCGACGGCAATCCCGTCGACGACCTCCCGCGGCGCTACAGTGAAACGTATCATAGTTTGGCGACCTGAGTTAGAATGTCGGCGTGGAGGTTGCAGCGAGGTGGACTGGCGTCCTGAGCGAGCCGCCCTGTCGTATGGAAGATCGAATCTCTGAATCTGCCGGCGCGTTTCCAAGGTCGCTCAAATGGTCAACGACCTCCAATGAATGCCTTTCTTAAAGTTAGTAGGAACCTCCTAGTGGCGCTGCGACAGTATTTGCTTCCGCAATGTACACCAACAGATAACTGATATGACTGTAGACCAGAACAGTGGTGGCCCCAGGCCCCGGAAACGACCTGTTCCTGGCGGGTCGCCTGTCCTGAGGAACGTTTCCCGGAGTCCTGCGGTGCGGTGGCAGGCGGTCCCGACATCGTCGGGATGTCTACATGACATCATACATCACTGCAAGCGGCCGTATCGTCAGATCTGAGCGGCAGCATTCATGCATCCAATTGTTGGAGGAAGCGTCAGCACATCCAGATCTGAGAGCAGGCGAGATGGATGGACGGACGGCCTGTGGCTTCAACTGCACAGTGTGGCCCGATGCGGCTACAGGTTCAGTACAGTTCTGCGGCCGAAGGTCTTCTACTGCGTCGGTCTAGGCAGATTGGGGGCTACAGCAGCAACGTCAACGGCCTTCGAGAGTAATGCTATGTGATTCATACCAGCGGGAACTCGCTAGTATCGTCAACTTGCCAGCCTAGTTTCTCGTCTATACTCACTCACACTAGCCTCACCTTCTCCCGACCTTGACTTACCGAGTGCGACGTTCTGTGATAGGCTGCTGTCCTGCTGCCCCGCTACCCTGGCGATTCACTGTGCTACAGTTTCCATTGTTGCGTCGCTTGGAGAAACCTATGGCGATACAGCCAGAAGGCGTTCACGATCGTGCAACCACCCGAGCTCAGCACTGGCAGCGGTCGGTGCTTCACGAACAGCGATGGACGAACCTGAATTGACAACGAACCTGAATTGACTCAACGAGACAATGATGCTCCCGACCCTGGCTCCCTACAATTCCAGCAGGAGCGGCATTCGCCGCGGTCAGGTCGTCCTAGTGGTCTGCCTACGGGAGACAGCCGTGATCAGCATGTTCAAGGTGGCAGCGATGAGAGCACTAGCCAGGCAGCCGGGTAGCGGACTCAGAGCGTGGCGCTCGCCCTGCGCTGTATTTGTATCGGACAATACTGTACTGGCGACCACTGGCAACCCTGAAGCCTGATGTATGAGAGACGATCGCGACTCTGGCAGTACAGCGTGCGTGTCCTCGATGTGATGATATACAACCTTGTCCGACATACTTACTGCTGGTAGCCTGAGTCGATGTGACATCAGCATGCGGTTGCATTCTTATGGTGTTGGTGGCGCGGCCAAGCCAAATCATGGCCATGAGAACTTGTGCCATGCCTGGTTGAGACGTCAATGATAAGACGAGTAAGTCTGCTAGCATGCCCGACGATCTCGCGACTGTCATAACGATTGAATATCGATACCTTGTAAGTATGTCAACGTGCATGAGGTCGAGTTCAAGGCAGAGGATCGCCATCGCAAGCGATCGGCGCGGCGTGACAGTGCGCACCACGCCTTCAAGCTTCAAGCTTACAGGCCTCGTCGAGCGAAGCTTGCTGGAGATAAGTAAGTGCACGTTCGCCGGCGATACTTAGTCAACACCCACTGGACGACACGCCGCGACAGCTGTGACATAGTAGATGCAGTAGATACGGGCTGCCTTCTCTTCGTAGAACATACGTGCTATCGATCTTCAAATGGATGCGAAGGAGAATTGTCGCGACAGCTGAGCGGCCTGTGTGATAAAATAGAAGGCACACCCAGCGCTGCGTCGAGCATCTTCCAAACTCGATATGATTCTGTGTACACGGAGGCCGGGTGCACTAACGCGTTGACCCAGGGCGCGGTAGGCTAGACGTTTGGAAGACGCGCTATACTGTTCGAAGACAGCGAGGAGCGGGCGACACCGTGTTGGATGGGGATATTCACTGCATCATTGAAATTCGTCGACGCTCAGAGGCGCTTCTACAACGCGCTCGGTCGAGGTTTGAAGCCTTGAGGCTCGAAGGTGTATGTGCTTTGCATATTGTGGATGCAGGCGCTGCGAATGGAGTAGACGGCCTTAGTCACCGTTCCGTTATATTGCGTCAAAGCCTTGGGTAATGAGCAGCAATGAATAGCCGATTTCCATGGAGGTGTGGTTAAATGGAGGAGGATCTGCCGGGGAACGAAGGGAAGCGGAATCGGAACCCTGGACGTCGTGTGTACGACAGCAGCCGCCAGACGTAACCAGTGCGCGCTCAGAGACGCGACCGAGGAAAGGCTCCTCAGCGGGGGAGAGGACATGTCGTACGTGAGGTGGTAAAAGCAATGCTTTGTCCGCATATACCAAGAAGTGGCAACAACAGCCTGTGGATGAGGGGACACGGGTTCTACCTCACCAGCGCCATTGGGCTGACATAGCAAGCCAAAGGACGAGAAACTGTGAAATGAACAGCGGTGTCGCAGGTATTGAATAAGAACCGCAACATACCGACGGCCCCTAATGCAAACAGGACGTGCCGTACTAAATGCGACGTCGCCCGCATCTGGTAGAGGAAAATACGAAATTGTCAGCTACGAATGAAGGGCACGAGTACTTGGCCCACGACTGATAGACATATGCGAATCCGCCAAGGGGCCGTCGCATCGGCGACCCGTGTCCGCGGGTACAGGCTATCAGACACGAAGGGTATCCTCGAGCTCGATGTATCGCGCGATGACGAATGCGCGCATTGAGAGTGACCGTGACATGGCCCAAGGACGCCAAGGATAACCCCAGGGGGCATCCCACTTCTAAGTAGTGCAAAGAAGCCTTTTGAAGAGAGGTGGAGGAACGCACCTCGGGCCCTCGAGGAGTACCAGTCTCGCCTCACATCAACTCTGCAGTTCAGACGGATGACGAGACAGATGATGAATGTGGATACCTCGACCGCGGGCACGTCAAATACCAGAATACGGCCCCATACGAGGCGCTCCCGGATCGCAGGATGCTATAACTCATCGATACCAGATGGATAACATCCCCGCGGGCGGTACGCTGGCACATAGACTACATACGAGGCCGATGTACCGCACGGGATCGGAGGTGGCCCTGGTGAAGCGGAGAAGAAGGACAGGGATAGACCGTGTGCCATGGCCCTGGCGGCCTATGGGTGTCTGCCGCGGGGGCTGGCTAGGATATATTCAGGTATTTGTCGCGAAGGCCAGAGGGACGACGAGCGGACGACTTGAAGCAGGCGGAAGCGCGTGTCGAGCGTGGTGGGATTGCCATACAGGGAAACGATGGGTCTCAACCGCTCGGTGGCTGTGCAGCTCATCTCTTCTGGCAATACATCCACGACATCGAACTCCGGTTTCCCCCTTCTTACTGCTCATCAGACGCGTCGGCGGCCAATTGACATGCAGACCGTATGCTCCAATACCCCACCAGTCCGCGCGTCGCCATGCGTCGACGTGCGCCGCTCCCACCTCTGTCAGGCCAATCAGTCGGCGGTCACCGCTTCTGTCGCGGTGCGACGCGTAGAGCTCACCACCAACATTTCCTACCATTTCTGGGAGCGAGAAATAACGTCAGTGAGCTCTGGCCACGGCGGTCCCCCATGCCGCGGTACGTCGGGCGGATGTTTTGCCTTGCAGTGTCTGCCCCTGTTATGACTCACCGTCCGGAATGGAATCTTGAGACGCCTCCGCGCCTCCTCTGCTGCTTCTAATGCGGCATTTGCCAACCAACTCTCGCAGGGCCTCTGCGATGTCAGAAAGGATATCTGATGCGGAGTGCACGTAAACCTAAGTTTCGCTCCGTTGACTTCTCCGGTCTCAACAGGTGTAACCGGCCCTGACCACTGCCCACGGACGGATCATGCCAGGAGTCATATCTCAGTGTCCTGACAGAAAATTGGTAGCTTCATCGCTGATCCGGCGTCTTGGTATATAACACCAACTACCTGGACTGCATCGTCGTTATTCCCTTGACAGCCCGCTACTCCAGGCCACCCTCGCACTCTCCTTCCCGCTGACCCGAGTCGCTGCCCTACCATGACTGGCACTCCCGTCGATCTCTCCCACCACCTCTCCCAGGAGGCGCGTCTTCGGAAGCCCAATTCCATGAAGGAGATCTGGCGACTGGCTCGTAGGAAGCCGAACATGATCTCTCTGGCAAACGGTGCGTCCTCACGTCCCTTGTGTACGACTCCTGCTGACCCTTATCCTAGGCGATCCTCACTCGTCGCTCTACCCTATCAAAAGCCTGACTTTCGATGTCGCCTCCGTCACTGAGAAAGACCCGGTGGCGACCTGGCGCGCTGGATCCTCTAGTGCGCCCTCGCATTCGATTACCTCCTCGCGCGACGAAGCACCAGTCTTGCCTGTGCGCACCGCATTCCAGTACACGACGGGCGCGGGCCTCACAGAGACACAACAAGCGGTCACCGAGCTTACGCGTTTCTACCACAACCCTCCTGATCACGTCGCGACACTGTCCCTCGGGAACGGCGACGGTGTCACGAAATGCTTCCGGCTGCTGGGCTCGCCTGGTGATCACTTCCTGGCCGATGAATTCACATTCAGTGCGCTCGCGAACGCCGCTGTCCCTCATGGAGTCAAGTGGGTATCTGTCAAGATTGACGAGGGCGGTCTGATTCCGGAAGACCTTGAGAACGTCATGGAGAACTGGTCGGAGGAGCGTGGGCCGAAGCCTCACGTGCTCTACACTGTACCGTATGTAACATCCTCCAGTGTCAGACGCCAGCAGCGTAGCTTATCTGACTCGGCCTCTACTCTAGATGCGGACAAAACCCGACTGGCTCTACATTAACTGTGGAGCGTCGGAAGAAGATCTATGAGCTTGCCCGCCGATTCGACCTTCTCATCATCGAAGACGGTACGTAGAATTCGACTTGTCCTCCAGCGGCTCGCTCATCTATGCCCTTCTAGATCCCTACTACTTCCTCCAATACACCTCCAAGCCGTCCACGCCGGAGGCACAGCCCGCCCCGGCCGGATCGGATTCGCAGTCCGCCCTCTCGCCGCGCGGGCTAGCGCCGTCCTTCCTCTCGCTCGACACAGACGGGCGCGTGCTGCGCGTCGACTCCTTCAGCAAGGTGTTCGCGCCGGGCATGCGGCTCGGGTTCATCACGTCGTCGCCCTTCTTCCACGCGCACCTCGTCGCGCTCACAGACTCGTCGACGCAGCACCCGCACGCGTTCGGCCAGCTCTTCCTCACGGAGCTCCTCGGCCCGGCAGGCTGGACGCTCGCTGGCTTCGATGCGTGGGTGCGCAGTTTGCGCGATGAGTACCAGCGCCGGCGAGACTTCTTCCTCGGTCTTTTCGAGAAGGAGGTGGCGCCCCTCGGGCTGGTCGACGCGAGCGTGCCCGACGCGGGCATGTTCGTGTGGACGAAGATCAATGTCGAGAGGCACCCGCGGTTCAGAAGGGAAGCGGGCAAGACGAAGGGCGCCACGACGAACTGCAGGCAGCTCATGGAGGAGCTGTTCGAGACGTGCTTGGACAACGGGCTCGTCGTCATGCCTGCGTGGGTGTTCGCGCTCCCGGCGGATCCCAAGTACGATGAGAACCCCATCGCGGATGTAAGTGTCCAGCGCTGTGATATTTTGGGCGACAAACGTGCTGATACGTCCGATAGCGCATGAACTACTTCCGCCTTACCTTCGCTGGGACGGAGGAAGCCATGGAAGAGGGCCTGAAGATCTTCGGCCAATCGCTGAAGGAGTTCTATGCTGACCAGCCCAAGTGCATTGAAAACTAAGATATCGCACCGCATACTATAGATGCTGAACACGGATAGATCTCTCGCCATCCCACGGACATCATCGATGCAACACCTAATTATTGTACTTCACTTATGATATCTTGGCTATGTACATCCTGTAGAATTGGTCACACAACATGATAGATGGTCCGGGATCGCGCAATGTACCAATCTGCTTCTGCTCTTGGAGTCAAATGATGCCATCGAGTGTATCGCTTTCTGAAACGTTTGGGAGAGACGCTAATAGACTACATATGCATATGGGCGAGGCGATGCTGGCGGCCTCGACGCTCATTCAAGCACTTTGGACAAATACGTCGGGCGCGAATGCTGCGCGTCCGTGATGTGCCGTTGAATACTAGAATACGCGCAACTCGCAGTCTGTCAAGAACATTCCAATTCATTGCGAATACCTACATTATACAGTACGACAAGTAACTAGTCATAGGCACGTTCAAATAACGTGCTCTCTCCAAGCAGATATGATACATGCCTCCCGAGATCCTCCATAGATAGCCCTCTCGTCACAGTACGTACCGGAAGTCACGGTTCTGCATGTCCGTGAGATCCAGGAATGCCTGCACCACGGCCAAGTCAACGACCCATCCAAACAGAAGTCAACGCAGACAAACGTACCTTGTCGACCTTCTTCTCCTCGCCCTTCTCGTCCGCAACATACACATCGTCGTACGTCGTGTCGCGTGCCTCCCTGTCCCTCCTCTTGTTCTCCCGCGCGAGGTAGAAGCGCGTCGCGAGTAGGATGAACATCGACGCCGCCCAGCACGCCGCGAGGATCGCCCACGGCACGCGGTTGCGCGGCTGGTACTTCGCCTGCCAGTACTGCGGCCCGACGGCGTTCCCGACGGCGTAGCCGACCATGACGATTGCGTTGGTCGTCACGCGCTTCGTGTGGCCCGCGGTGACGCTTCCGACCCAGGCGAGGAAGATAACGAAAGGCACGATTTCATTGACTGGAGAGGAGTTGTCAGCATTAGACGTCGAACGTAAGGGAGGGGGTAGCGGAGAGGATCAAAAGGTTGAGCAGTCACTTTGAGTGTGGCAGTAGAAGATAGGATAGATATGGGACGAGGTAAAAGCGATTTCGAGCAACAGAAGGCGGAACGAGGTAGCAGATGAAATAAGCAAATACATACTTGCAATCCAATATGAGAACAAGAGGCCGACTTTGTCAGACCACGGCAGCGTCGTAACGAGGATCGCGCCAAGGATTGCGACGAGGTAGTGCAGCGAGCACATGTACGCGCGTCCGTGGGGCCAGTACGACGCACCCATCGTGCCGATGAAGATCCATATGACTATATGCGCGCATCGTCAGCACCGGAAGGGAAGGAACGAGCAAACAGTGGACCCACTCTCAGCGAGGCCGTCCACACAGCCAAGCAGCGTCGTGTCGATCTCCGAGAACCCGAACTCCGCGACGATGATCTGGCGCTGGTTGCTCAGCTGCGGCGCAGTCTCCCCGTCAGCAACCGCGCATCTGCAGATTCAAAAGTCCAGCGGCCACTCACAGAGTTGGTGACGTTCGAGATCGCTGCGAAAAAGAAGAAGAGGTATGTTTTCGGGTCCTTGAAGACTTCGACGATCTGCTCGCGCTTGAGGTGCTTGTTTTCGACGCCTGCCTGGTTCACCTTGATGCGCTCAATGGCGACGACGCGCTCCTCCTGCGTCAGGAAGTTTGCTGTCGTGGGCGAGTCGGGGAAGAAAACCCAGAACAGGATAGCGGTGATGAAGGTAATTATCCCCGTGATGATCATAAGCCTATGGGCCACACACCAGTTAGTTCGACGGAGGCTCGGACGGCGGGACGACGGACCATTGCCAGGGGGCAAGTGCGCTGTTCGTGATGTGCAGTGTACCATACGCGACGAGTCCGAGGAAGATGATCGCCGTCCCATTCATCAAGACTATGCACCACTCATCAGCACCATTCCACAGGATCCCTCACAGTGAAGACTGCTCACACCAATAGCCAACTCTCCTCGTCTGCTCCGCTCTCGTGTAGAACATTGACGTGACAAGCATGAAGCCTGGCGTGATCGCACCCTCCGCGATGCCGAGGAAGAACCGGCACACCAGCAGTGTGCCGAAGCTCTTCGCTGCGGCGTGGCAGAGGAGTGCGATGGACCACACGAAGATATTTAGGCTGACCCACTTGCCGACGGGAAACCTTTGGAGGGCGTAGTTCTGCGGGAGCTGAAAGCCGAGGAAGGCCAGGTAGAACACCGTGCTCAGCCAGTCGAACTGGTTCTGCCCGAGGTGAGCATCTTTGCTGCGAGGTGGGTTAGTTGGTTGTGGCCATCGAAGAAGAGTCCCTGGAACAGCCAGAGGAAGCGGAGTGGACGTACAGGATTCCTAGGACCGCAGACTGGCCGAGCGTGGTCTTGTCAGCAAACTGCATTCTGACGCTGTGTCAGGCGCGCAGTTATTCCTGCCTTGTGTGATACGTACAAATACAGGACTTTAGGGTGGAGGCATGAGCATCCGAGAACAGCAGAAGCTACGACAGTACTCACTGCACATGAGGGGGAGGATGCGGAGGTCGATCTTCCGCCTAGTTGAAGTGTCACATCCAAGTCAGTCAATAAGTGTTCAGTCATGGCACTGCATGTACGCACTTTACTCTGTTTGCCTCAGCAGGATCCACCGCCATGTCGCTCCCAGCGACCAGTTGGGCGGCCACATCGACGTCGTGGGACTCAACGACGTCGTGGTCGGCACCGCGCTTCTCGATGGACGCGTCAGAGCTGCTCATGGCTGCTGCAGAGCGAGGGGGCGCCCGGGGGAGAGGGGAGAGAGGGGGTGTTCCGCTGGAGAGGGATGTGTCTCAGACGGTATGTATATGGACACGCCGGTGTTGGGTCCATTTTCCGAGCGCCAGAGGAAAGATCGCGTAGATGATGATCACGGACGGATGCTGAGAACGCTGTGGTTTCAGAAGCAGTCCGAGCCTGTCCGAGCATGCTCTCCGTCATCCGAGTCGTGCTCCCTGGCCGGCGGACTTCGTTCTCCTCAGGGTCTAGTGTCGAAGGGGTCAACACGCTGCATTACCCAAGCCTCCGAGCCTCATCGGAGGCGGTATGAGGCGGCGCGGAGCTCCGAGTCAGTGCGATGCAGTACTTCTGGACGGGATCGACGGGGCATGATGGGCAGACACCAAGGCGAGTGAGTATCTCGTGGTTCGGGCAACAGCGGGCGCAGGGTGCACGTCCGAGTCGCTGCAGCCAGCCACCAGCGCGGAGTTTGCGTCCGGAGCACTCGCGGCTAGTGTCAGCGGGCGGGTGCCTGAACATCTCCGATCTCGATCGATGCAATCTTGCTTGCCCATACACTCGCCAGCACGCTTGTCCGCCTCAGTCTGCCATCCTCTGCGCAAGGCATCGTACAAAGTAGGATACGTCCAACTCGGGGTAGGCTGTACATGCCGTCCAACTACGGGAACAAGTACTGGCATCTGTCACTCGACACAGATGTGCCTGAGCGCCAACACCAACTTACGGTATCGCCAATGCTACTCCCGACTGCTCTTGAATCACCGTCGATCTGAGTCAGAACTGCGGTGGCCGTCTGCGCATCTTGGAAAACGGCGAGGTGAGTACAACGGCAGAAATTCCTGTACTGACAGTGTGTTTCTCCTCGCTCGAAGGTTTCGTGCTCGCCTCCGTCGCCACCGGCTGCAGGCGCATCGGATAACATAAATACCGAGCTGAAGAAGTCGAACTTATGCGAGTTGTCGCGAAGTCTCACCGTATAGGAAGACAAGTACGCATTTTGGTCCATCGCTTGAGGTACGAATGGTCCAGCTTGCTGCATCTAGAGCCATGAACACGGTCATGGATATATGCGAGGCAACTAGATTGGTTACCCGGGGAAATCGCTGACGAGACCAATATACTGCTCGATTGTGCCGGGGCTAAGAAAATACCCAAGGCGGAATGCGTGAGTGACATAAGCCTTCCCATTGGTGGGTAGTAACATAGACAGCCTACAGGAAAATTCGAGTGATTATCCAACAGTTGCTGACCCATCACTTTCGAGGACACTTGCAGGGCGGCTCTGAGGCTCGGAGTGAGGCGTAGACCACCTTATCCTTCACCATGCTAAACATACAGAAGTCGAAATATCATTATACCCTCCCAGGCTTGTACGGTATCAGTAGTCCGATTTTCTGGTCCACGAAGATCATCGTATAGGTTCGTCTAGAAGGCACTGGTAGCAACCATATGAGGACGTTGTACGCGCGCTACCCACAAACAGGATGCCTCACCGACGTTGCAAACATCCTATTCCAGACATCATGCAAAGGCAGGTTTGTTGCTTCCGCAGTTGTAGCCATCGCATGGGATCGCGCTCGATGATATGTAGTCCACTTGCTCTGGCTTGTCTGTGTGCCATCCGCGGTAGCATTCGCCGGTAGCCTCCACGACGCCAAACATCGCGCTCATGCCTTGACACAGACACGGATACAGGCCAGTGTTCCCCAAGTCGTGCGTATCGTCCGAGGATTGATGATAGATGACGCAAGCATTTGGCCCGTTCTCCCGGTCGCGATAGGTCCTGTGGCACCGCACACAGTGGCGCGCCACCGCACTTGCCAGTGCCGCTCGCGCGCCGGAGAAGTCGATGCCCACCCGCTCGAGTGACGCGATGACTTGCGCGATGCCTTGCACGGATGTGTTCGGGTCGTATGCGGCGCGGGCCAGGATTGTGGACAGTCCGTCTAGAGCACCTTGGGAGAGGGCAAGTGCCAGGATGTCTCGAGGAGAGTAGGAGGGAGGAATGGCCTGTTGGTCATTGATAGACGATCGGAAGGCTTGTAGGAACGACGAATGAGACATGTCGTCGGCGAATATGGAGAACTGCAGGTACACACAACAGACGGGTTTGAAGAGGTGCAGCAGCGAGAAACGGTACTTATAGGGTGCTCATCTGTTGGAACGTGGCCACTTGGACCATACGCGCTTTGTTTCGTTTTGAAGGACAAAGAACATGGAAAGCGTGGCTCAAGCGTGCCAAAGTGCCTATACTAAGCAACCGCAGTGGCGGTCAGCGCGTGGAATGTTTGATGCTTCTTCGGCCTCTTCAGATATACAATGAACGTACCTCAAGCAAGTCGAGTCATGAAGCAGACTTCTGAAATCAGTGCTCCCGAACTCGACATACGTTAGCGGCCAATTGTATCAGCAGCTGCGTACGGTGTCAGCAACTCTACCACCTTAACATTAACAACGAGGCCAGAACGCCCCAATACCAGGGTGTATGCCGCCCGAAGCCAACGACACGACATCGAGAGCGGTCTCAAGTCTGGGAGCCCTTGCAGGATGTGGCCAAAGTATGACGGTCGTTATCGCGGAAAAATACTTACAGTGAAAACTTAGTTGTCGCGTAAGACTTACTACTTAGTTGACACGTGAACCGTACACTTTGGACATAGATTCATGCCGTTTCGTGCACTTGGCCTCTACAATCATGCATATTTCTTGTCTAATCACTACTACTGTATATATTTTGCAGTACTTGAGACACCCATTGTTTGCTTTGTGTTTGCTCACCTAGAATGCCCAAGTCCGCTTCGGCGGCTGATCAATTGCCTAATGCGGAATCATTAACCAACAGTTGTGACAACTACTCTGTCTACGCGCACTGCGGCTGTCCATTGCATGGCATGGATAGCGGCACGAACCTCGGAAGCCCGATTATACACTCGGAGCTATGAAATGCCTTTTAACACTCCATAGCCCCCATTATTGACGAGACGAATGGCCCGGGATGCTTCAGTAGGAGAGCCATGGCCTTGAGCCCGCGGTTCTCATAGTGTCGAAAGGGAAGGATATTTTGATATGCATCAAAAGTATATAAAGTCAATACAGAAATGTCATGCATCACAGAGAATAAAGGGGAAGCCATCTGGCGCAGTGGTCCTGGCAAATGCGATGTTCATCCCGATTTGGCAAGGCCGCCTCGGGCACGTCGGGCGGGCGCCAATCGCACTAAGTCTAAGTCGCGCGAAAGTAAGTAAGTCATCAGAGTAAGTCAATCGCCGCGGAATTACGACCTGCCAGTAAATATTTTACCGCGAAACCGTCACTCATACCAAAGTCGCCCTCATTGAGTTATTCTAATCTGATTCCAATTCAGAGCAGCCAACGCATCCTGAGTGAGTGACTTACGAGCTAGTGCGTTCTGGCGCGGTGTTCAGTTGGTGTACTGTTCACAATGTCGATAGTGTCGAACGCCACTCAAGTTTGGTTGCAGAGAGCTGTAAGACTTAAGTCAAGGAAGATGGCCCAGTAAGCGCCCCGACCTGACTCTCAACCGGCGCTCCCGGCACTGGGCGGCCTTATTGGGCGCGGGCTGTTCAGCGACCTCCCTCCATCTTGCCGGACATGGACTCGATTCGCGTGACGAAGGTAGGGCATATCAAACCAATGATCTCGACGCACCAGCAACAATGACTATGTCCAGGTCGAGGGCGTGCTCTGCACCAAGGGGGGTAGTACCGCACCAGGGACCGTGCATCTGACCGCTCACCATCTCATATTTCACTACGATGACACTGGACGGGAGGAGATGTGGGTCAGTCTATAAGCTCCGCTCCGGCTTGACGTTGAGTGACTTCCTCGTTCCAGGTTCCATACCCCCTCATATCTCTCGTAACGCGTCTACCATTGAACCTGCAAGGACAATGTACGCTCATGATCCGCACACGAACGTTCGAGACCATCACTCTGCTGTTTGTGCTGGAAGCTAGTGCGATCGATGTCTTTGACACGGTGAAAGAGCTTACCGTCGCGAGTGCGTATTCCCGAGTGTTCACCGTTGCTTCCTGACGCCTGCCGCAGCGTCGGTAACGCAGCTGTACGCTTTCTACTATGTGCCGAATCCTCCTTACGCGGTCGACAACGGGTGGTCGATCTATTCTCCAAGAGAAGAGTTTGTACGGATGGGGGTTGGTTCGCGCACGAAGGCATGGAGATTCACGGATATCAACAAGGACTATTCGGTACGTCGCTATGCTGCCAATAATCTCACTTATTCATACATAACGGTCAGTAATTAGTTCTCCCCAACGTATCCCGCACGTCTTGTTGTTCCAACCCGTATCAGCGATACGACATTGCAATACGCGGTTAAGTACCGCAGCAAGGGTCGGCTCCCTGTATTGACCTATCTTCATTGGGCGAACTACGTGAGTCCACTGCGCATATCTTCTGCGTCCGCGTGCATGTCTCATGAACATGCTAGGGAAGCATCACGAGGTCTAGCCAGCCTATGGTCGGCCTAACGCAGAATCGTTCTATACAGGACGAGAAGCTCATAGAGGCAATCTTCCAAACGCACTGGTCGCCGGAAACCCGAGCCACTGCTAGCCCTGTTTATGGCGCTACGTGCACCAATCTCATCATCGATGCTCGCCCGACAACAAACGCAATGGCGAACACCGCGAAAGGAGCTGGTACCGAGAACATGGACCACTACAAGGAGGCCAAGAAGGCGTATCTGGGGATCGACCACATTCACGTTATGCGCGAATCGCTCAACAAAGTGGTAGAAGCCCTGAGAGAGGCCGACGTTGTCTCAGCAGTCGGACAGACCGACACGGAGCCTGGCGAGGAGCTCGGCGTACCCGTGCTAGACAGACAAGCGCTGCGACGTTCTGGTTGGCTGAAGCACATCTCTGCCATCATGGAGGGCTCGCTGCTCATCGTGCGAAACGTACATGTGAACTCGTCACACGTCCTCATTCATTGTTCTGATGGGTGGGACCGCACGGCACAACTCTCTGCGTTCTCTCAGCTCTGCCTCGACCCCTTCTATCGGACCGTGCGTGGGTTCCAAATCCTCGTCGAGAAGGAATGGTTATCGTATGGTCACAAATTCTTGGACCGATGCGGGCATCTCTCGTCGGAGAAGTTCTTCCTGACACCAGTGGAGAACACGGGCAACGCGAGCGGTGCGGAAGCCGCCCAAGCATTCCTGGCGTCCGTGCAGAACAGATTCGCGTCGCAGGGCCACCTCAAGGAGACGAGTCCCGTGTTCCACCAGTGGCTGGAGTGCGTCCGTCAGGTGCAGCGGCAGTTCCCGGAGCGGTTCGAGTTCAACGAGCGGTTCCTTCGGCAACTACACTGTCACCTTTACTCATGCCAGTTCGGCACGTTCCTGTTCAACACCGAGCGGGAGCGACGCGTCGGCGAGGCTGGCAATCCGCCGCCGTGCGATAGGACGGTCAGCGTCTGGGACTTCTTCAACTCGCCGCCGGAGAAGGAACTGAATATCAATCCTGATTACGACCCATCCGTCGATGATCCCTCTCGGCGTGGACCCGGCGCTGACATGGGCGTGCTTATGCCCAACCCGAAGGACGTGCGCTTCTGGCACGAGCTGTACGGTCGCACAGACGAGGAGATGAACGGAAGATTCGTTACGCGACAGCTTGCTCAAGATCCCGAGTATCACGGCGCCATAGACACTGCTTCAGATGATCCTGTCAATGCTGGTGCGGTGCCTTCCTCCGTCCCGCTTCCGCCGTCTCCTGGAACCACCCCGTCCCCTAGCATCGCGATCCCACAGCCGGAGGCTCGTCAAACGGTTGACAGAATCCCTTCACCGTCGGGTCACGCGTCGTCCTCGTTGAACCCGGGATCGCCTCGAACGCGGCATGAAAGCATGCGACGGTTTGATCGCACTCTCTCGCCGTCCGCGCAAGCTTCGCCCGTTCCCCCTCGAACCCCATCGCCTCTGTCCGCCCGGACATACTCGTCTGGACGCCCACAGGCCGGCATGCCATCTGCGGACCTCTTCTCGAGCAGCGGCGTGCGATCGATGTGGGGCCGCTTCTCTACAAACGCCACCGCTGCCCTGTCTGCCGTCCAGGACGCGTACGGTGGGATGGCGAAGGATTTCAAGACGCTCTCACTGAGCGCAGCCAATCCTGGGGACGGTCAAGGAGGCGAGCTGAAGTCGCGGGATGAGATTGGTGCCTGGGGCGAGTCGGAAGCGGCGCGACGGCCGTCGTCGCCCCGCTCTGCAGCGATGGCGCAAACATTAGGCGCGAGCACGAATCCATGGGCGACGTCGCGGCCGACTGTGCCATCTGTCCTGCTGCACAACCCTTGGACAGCAGCAGAGTCTAGCGCGCCCAAGCCGCCAGCGAAAGATGTCAGCGTCTCACACACACAAGGATCATCACCAAGTGATGTGTCTGGCTTGCCGCTCGACCCCACAATCGCTCTTCCCAGCTCGCCAGCCCCGCGTATACGTAGTACCGAGAACGTCCCCCCGCATCCTGCGCCGATAATCTCGGACGCGCACCGGTCAAAGCCACCGTCTCCCAAACCGCCCTCCCCGCCCCCGTCTGCACCGACCACATCCGCTTCGGACCCTCTGGGAGTCGGAGTATGGTAGGCCGGGCTGAGGATGGATATTTTGGGCTGCAGCGCTATAGACACGACCTGATTCCCATGTACAGTGTATTTCTCACTCGTGCTCGTTTATGTGAATGATGTAGCGATACTGGTCCCATGCCGCCGCCGTGCTTCTGAGAACGCTCTGCGTGTACGAAGAGTGGCCCGAGACGTCCTGCGAACGTAAACCGAGATGCGAAAATGGCCGCATCGAACGATACACCGCAGGCGAGATGGCGTGCTGGGCGGTGCACGGGGTCCCTGGCAGCCAAAATATAGAGGCTGGTGTAAATTCTCCCAGCTGCACTCGCTCGCTGCCTCTCGTCTATCGCCCTCGCTATCTCCTCCTCCCGCACCCATGTCCAACGGTACAGCGCGCGCCGCGGCTCTTGCCCCAGGCCATTTCCTCTTCACCTCCGAGTCCGTCGGCGAGGGTCATCCCGGTGAGTAGACGCGCATACATGACGCGCGGGGATCGAGTCTAATAGCGCGGGGAACAGACAAGATCTGTGACCAGGTCTCGGATGCCATCGTACGTTGTACACACTTGAGCGCGCAGGATGGCTGCTTACAGTCGTGTATAGCTCGATGCCTGCTTGGCTCAGGACCCGTTCTCGAAGGTCGCTTGCGAGACCGCGGCCAAGACCGGTATGATCATGGTCTTCGGTGAAATCACCACCAAGGGGCAGATCGACTACCAGAAGGTCATCCGGGAGACGATCAAGGAGATCGGCTACGACGACTCGTCCAAGGGCTTCGACTACAAGACCTGCAACATCCTCGTTGCGATCGAGCAGCAGTCGCCGGATATCGCGCAGGGTCTCGACCACGGCTCCCTCGAGAACATCGGTGCTGGTGACCAGGGTATTATGTTCGGCTATGCAACGGACGAGACGCCCGAGTACATGCCCCTCACGCTCGTTCTTGCCCATCGCCTCAACGCTGCGATGTCGAAGGCCCGCCGCGCTGGCGTCCTTCCCTGGCTCCGCCCCGACTCGAAGACCCAAGTCACGGTCGAGTACAAGAAGGAGGGTGGTGCTACGATCCCGCTCCGTGTCGACACCATCGTCGTTTCCACTCAGCACGCGGAGGAGATCTCCACGCCCGACCTCCGTAAGGCTATTCTGGAGAAGATCATCCCGGAGGTTATCCCGAAGGAGCTCCTCGACGAGCGCACCATCTACCACGTCAGTCTATTTATTTCCTTGTGTCTATGCAACCCTGACACTGTAAACAGATCCAACCTTCTGGCCGTTTCGTCATCGGCGGTCCCCAGGGTGATGCTGGTCTCACTGGTCGGAAGATCATTGTCGACACCTACGGTGGCTGGGGTGCTCACGGTGGAGGTGCCTTCTCCGGCAAGGACTGGTCGAAGGTCGATCGTTCGGCGGCGTACACCGCGCGTTGGATCGGTAAGCTCTTTCGCCGAGTGACCATCCTCCACTACTTACGTTGGTTCTACAGCCAAGTCCCTCGTTGCGGGTGGTCTTGCGCGTCGTGCGCTCGTGCAGCTGTCGTACGCTATCGGTGTTGCGGAGCCGCTGTCGGTCTTCGTCGATACCTACGGTACCGGCAAGAAGTCGGACGAGGAGCTCGTCGAGGTCATTCGCAACAACTTCAACCTCAAGCCCGGTGTCATTGTGCAGGAGCTCAACCTCCAAAAGCCTCAGTACCGCAAGACCGCGTCTTACGGTCATTTCGGTATGTAGATATCCAGCCGTACCAGGGCCATAGGCTGACACTTGTCACAGGCAACGACGAGTACTCTTGGGAGAAGCCGAAGAAGCTCCGTCTGTGAGCTGGCTGTTGTCCCGCCGACAACGTCTGTCTCTGTCTCCGCGCTATTCAGCGCAATCTGCATCTGAAGTCTATCTTCGCCGCACCGGAAGTTCATCCTTCCGCCTATTTATCATCAATATTGGTTGCATAGACGATACCGGACCCGCCGCGCATTCGCACCTCCTACCCGCCGTCCCCCGCACACCGCCCCCTGTGCTCCTTCCTACCCGCCCCCACTCTTCGTTGGTCGTGCAGACCGCGCAAGCCGCATCTGCAGACTGCTTACGATGACGCCGAGTGCGTTCACGACGACTCATTAGTACCGTTCGGCCTAGAGCAGGTCGGGCGCGTTCCTGCTTACATTACACGCTGGGTACACAGAAGACGACCGATAATGTTGTATGTAATAGTGGGATAAAATACAACCGCGTTCAACCGCGAGACGATGATCACAGCTGGCGTCGAGAGGATGTGAAGTAGCGTGTGCGTATGGTGGACGGGTAGGTCTTGGTTATTGGTTGCACGGTGAGAACTGAACAAAGTCGTCTACATGGCCCTTCCCTGTTGATATGTTTGAACTTCCAAGCTCGCTGGAGGCTACGCATGCTCAATGATCCCGCAGTTCATCAATGTGTCCAGAGTCCCGGCGGAGGTTGCGACTTGTGATTCGTACATCCAGCTTCGTTCCGACATGGGGACCCATTGTCAGTGCCAACCTCAGGAGCCTCCTACCGGTGATCGTGCTTATGTTGGACCGAAGGTGAAGTGCCTGCCGAACGTTGTACCCCGCAATACCTGCGACACGTGCTAAGAGTACTACAGTGACGGCACCAACTTCTACGCGCAGACGTGAGAGACATGTCTCGGAACGGCACAGGCTTGTGTGAATGGGCATCCCATGAATGATAGTACGTAACAGCGGTCTTCACGCGCTTCGAGTGATCTGAATAGTGACCACATTCAACTTTGGTAGTGAACTACGTTGCACGACTCGCACTGAGATGCTCACTGGAGATGCATGTCACTAGTCAGCACTAATCCCGTGTGGAACCAGACTTCATGGCATATGGAACCGCATGTGTGATATCATACATATTAATAGTATGCGCGGAGTGGATGGTAACAACGGAATGCCCAGGTGCAGATCGTGGGTGACATAGCATTGCATACATATGAACCATGTTCATTTCCTACTTCGAAATCTTACAGCCTATCAATTTACAAAGAGAAACGGACACCTCGTTGTAGCTCCGCGTTGCGGCGGCGATCTGCATGCATGGTGAGTGATTCAGTCAAATGTGATCTCGACTCGGACCTGCATATGTACTACTCACGCATCCCTGAGTTTTCTGGTCTTCCCCTGTGACCTTTACCCAGCCCATTGGTAGCATGATGACTGAGGAGAAGTTCTCCGGGAAGAACAGGGTCTCCGGGCGGATTTTCTTGCCGGGTACGTATCCGAGCTTCTCGCACGTAGACAAGACTTTGGATCTTACCAAGTCTGCAGCGACGTTAACCTCGCCCCTTCGCCTGACATCTAGCCCCTCATGGATCGCGACCAAGACCAAAGGCACCTTGGTGAAGACAAGTCCGGACGGCTGCTCGACCAACCACTCGCTCTCGCTGCCTATCATGGGCTGACCGGTGCCCGCCAGCTTGAAAAGCCCGAGCTATAGTGGATATCAGCTGAAGTGAACCGTACATGCGGGCCCTGCTGCGGCCAGGACGAACGGACGTACCGACTTGCTCGCCTCCACGTCCACAGGTGTCACGCCGCCTCGGGCGTATTTTCCAACAAGTTCTGGTACAGCCTGATTGCTACCGGCAATGGATGCGCCTCCAACGTACCAAACCTTGCTGCCTTTTTCCGGCCCAATGGCCGGGTACAGCGACAGCAAAACATTTGATGAGCGTCCATGCACGTCCGTCGCCCGTTCCATCTTCAATATCGCTGGTGACAGGTGGGCCCCCGTACGTCGCGCTAGTAGAGTCGCGAATCAGCATGCAGGTAGTACATGGAATCTACGGACTTACAAAGGGCGGGGGCAGACAGCGTCGCGGTGCTCTCTGGCGAGTCGAGTGCGTCACGCTGTGACGAGAATGAGTCAGTTGATAATGAGAATTGCTGTCGCCGAGGCTTACTGCGTAGGGACTGCCGGTATACAACAAGACGGGGGCGGCAATTGCGAGGGAGGTCAGAAAGCCAATCGCGAGTGGGGCAAGGTATATAGAGCGCATCGCGTAGTAATGATTTCGTCAATGGATCGTAATGAAGTCAGAATAAGAGAGGGAAAGGAAGAATTGAACGTGAGGGATCATTTGGTGTCGTGAATGAAGGGGGTTGCTCGGAGTGAAGGAGGATGCTCGGACCAGCCAAGGTTGGTCTGCTGCTATCACCTATCTCGCCTTATATACAACGAAATCTGAGGGGACCGAGGTTCGAGGCGCTCGTGATGGGCCTGGGAGAGACAGGTGTTAGTTCAAGTTTTGAGATATGCAAAGTTCAGCGACTCATCGAGACTTGTGAGACCGAGACCATTCACCCTGAATCAAAGTTTCGGAATTTACGGCGATGACTGGCATGAACTCCGAGGATCGCTTGTGAACAAGTGACCCCGAGAAAGAATTACGCTCTTTGCAGAGAACATCTCAATGAACGGTCAAGGGATACATAGCCCTGCTAAGCCACTTTAATTAGCGTCAACTAGAATCACATTCAAGTCAGTAGAATTAGGGTGACGCACGAAGCACTCACTGGAGATGCGCATACTGTCATTTCCTACACCGAATTCTGGTCGCGGTTCAGCTGATTCGCCTCAACGCTGGCCGTCGTGCTGGCGGTAATGACGATGAAGACTTGAAGAACTTGGACTTGAAGGCGAGCCTGAGAGTGATCGCGCCTAGTAGTACAGTACGGCGATTCGAAGCTCCTTTTCTTCTGTATCGTCGGTGTTTCGACAGTTATCATACAAACATAGGGCGGTAACCAAGGAGTGCAAGTATTTGGCCGCGGACGCACGAACGGCCTGCGTAGCTACTGGGTCAGAAGTGCAGCCCGCCGGTGCGAGCCTACTACTAGTGTGCCGGCCTCGCAGTGATTCAGGCCAAGCCTCGATGAGCCGCATTTCGACGCATACCGCAGTCATCGGTATCTCTTCGAAAAGCAACTCAAGGGAGGCAGAATGGAATGGTAACCGTGACCCTGCACGTAAGTAGTTCAATGACACCGACGCGTGACGTCACGCGACTTCATGTCACGGGGTCCGCGTCAGTACTGAAGTCTGACGGCGATACGCGGTCTCTTGTGGTGACTGCGAATGGGACGGGATGCCCATTAAATTTGTCTCTGTACGCTGAGAATATGTGCCCGTGTACCCGGGCCTCGACTCCGAGTCAGTTGTGACTGGGTTGAGCCGTTGACGGTGAGTACTTAGGTCCAAAACAAACCCCTCGCGTGTGCCATTGACTGGACGCCGTGGACTCTGAGGGTCTTGGTACGAGACTATCTGAGTACCTGAGTACTCGACGAAGTTCGTATATGTGAGTCGATCTCGCGGTACGCAGTCCTTCAGGTTCACCGTCTGAAACAGCCTCATAGTCGTCAAGACGCTCCCCAAGATCTAGTTGGACACTAGCACGAATGTGAACTCGTCTCTACTGAACAAATTATCTGCTAGTGAGTCCGTTTCAACCATCGGTCTCAGGGCTCCGCCGATTCCGTCCGTTCCAGTAGTGCACCTTGTCTCTGCTTATTCTGTGACTGTGGCCAGTTACCGCAGTGACGGCGCTCTATTGACTGGTGGCTCTCCCCTCCGTGTCGAACGCAGCCCGTTCGCTCACTCGAGGTCCGTGCCCGCTTCTGCAGTTGCAACTGCTCATTCATTGCTTGTCTTCTGGCTGCTACTCTCCCTGGGAGTGACAAGTCCCTAGACGTTTCGAGACACAGGTCACACCCGCTGAACTCATCAATCAGACAGTAAGTACCGTCCGACGCGAATTGCAGAGCGCTATGCGTCAAGCAGATGTGCAAGTGAGCAAGCGACCATACCCAATGTCAGTCTCGTAGCAGAGGCGATAATCGATACAGATGCTCCTTCAAGTGAACGATTTCAAGTGGGCTGTTGTTATGGCCCATAAATCACTCCTTCCAAAACACGATATGTGCGCCAAGAGGGGTAGTCCCTGCTACATATCACAATCTCGCGCAAAGAACCGAGAATCTGCGTAATCCGCGTTGCCGCATCCCGTAGCACATTCGTATGCGGAATCTGCTGTGGTATGACCGCAACGTCCACGTAGAGTTTGAGACGGCAAAGATTGATGAGAGGGGCAAGCAGATGAGCGATGTGTACCTAGAGGTGGCGGGTAAGTTGAATGATGGACGGTATAATGAACCAGAAAGACGTTTACAGCAGATAAGGGTTGCCCTTCGCCTGACTGATACCGATGAATTTTCAAAGATGTAAGACCCGGGAACGTTGTCGCCACATAGCGGAGGAGCGTGTCGTCCTCCTTGCCAGTATGGTACTCGACTTCGAGGTGGACAAGATCCAGCGTTCTGCACCGATGCAAGATCGAGAGCATCGCAGAAGAATCTAGCGTAGCATTCTCTCGTTGACGCCATGGATACCAGAACCCCTGCCATCGGCGTTGAACATGAAGATGAGGCCAGGATCGCAGCGACAGTGCGTGAAGTGTAGATGGAAGATGGTCGTATATCTCGTCCTGAGGGTCGGGAAATGTAATGACAAGACGTTCAAGGTCTGGCCATGGGAACGAATAGGAGTGGCCAGAAGGCCAGAGTGCCTGAGGTGCTACGTCTGACGTCGCGTAGAGTTTCAGGGAGAGAGATCGCAGGGCCTGCATTCGAGGAAATAGGGATACGAAAGGGCCGGGAAGGGTCGTCCATGGCATTCCGTAGAACGCGAGAGTGCGCAGACGAGGCCAGTGTAGTTGGGGAAAGGTAGGCAGCGGAGCGGGCTCACTACTGAGGATCAGTACCTCGAGCGTCCCGCAGAGTTTGCTCAATGCGGCAGCTAGTGCAGCTGTTTCTGTCGGAAAATTGAACGGTTCTCGTGGGTGATACATCCGGTAGTTGAACGACGTGATCGGAGCCGGAGATCCGAGGTTCAACTCTTCGGCGGGGCGCAAATCAGGGCAGAAATAGAGCCACCTGAGCGTGAACTCGCGCAGATGGGGGACAGACAGGATCGCGCTCAGCGTTTCCCATGAGAGGCCGTGCGTTGAGCTATTATCCTTGTGCATTGTCAGCGAGCGAAGGTGCGGGAACTCTCGCAGACGTTCAGCCAGTGCAGAACCGGGGAAAGCACCACATCGCATGTAGTTGTCCGTTCTGCCTCCTTGATCCAGGCATTTGTCGTGTATGACGAGGGTGCTACAGCGGTTGGTAGTGGTCAGCAACAGCAATGGCCGACGTTAGCCTTAATCAACGGGCATACCGAACATAGGGCCTGAGCCATGCAGGTGAGAACACTCCGGATCGTTGAACTTGCCGCGGTCCATAGACAGTGATATAGACACAGCGGAATAAGAAGGGCATGCATTCCCATCGGAGCGGACGACATGTAGTGGACAGCGACATCAAGTCTCCCATCGGAAGCTTGGAGAGGATGTGGTGGCAGACGTCCTCGTTGAGCCGTCCTAAACTGCATACAAGTTGGACATAGTGTCGATGGATAGCTAATGACATACTCACGAGCCAACTGGGTCTCCAGCCATGTTGTTCCTGCCACGGTCCTACACTACTAGTGAGGAAGAATCCTGCGATCTAGCCGATATTGCAACTTGGTCTACCAAGTCGATGAGGAGGTGGCAAGGCGCCCAAGGAAGTACTGGCTCAGCCACAGGTCGTCACTAGTCACTGTGCGCACTGCGCAACATATCATAAGTACGTGTGACATCACGTGCTCATATCATGTTGATGTGGCGTAGCAGGGCGGCCAGCCGCCGACTCCAAGCGGCGCCGTAAGCCTTAAAGCTTAATACGATAGCCTGAGACATAGATGTCGACACCCCACGACCGCGACAATACTCTACTCACACAGTCTCCTAGAGATACGGACCGAAACGGACACCTCCAATACGATACACGCCACAAATCTTCTATTTACCTACTGTAGATAGTTACACTGTGCTTTGGCGCGCTATGTTCGCCTGTCGCGCAAACACAAAGAACTTCTCTCTCTCTCTCTCCAAGCGGCGCCGACTCTCAGGCTTTATTGTTTCCCCCCATTACTCAACCATTATTACAGTCGAAATGCCGCCAGCGATAGCATGCCAGCCTTGCTCGGATGTTTTGCGTGAAAGTCTCAATTTCGTTCTTCGGTTTTTGTAATCAAGTTGAGTGAGTTCACGCGTACTAGGCTTGTGTGAAGTAGATTGGCCATGCATCATATGGAGCCGAGACTCTTGCCCGTGCGCGTTCACACTCAGCTGTCAGTGCCCTGCGGCAGATCAACGTCCTTGAAGGCGGTCGCGGCGCGCCAGTTCTCGCGGTTCGGACGTACGGAATATACGTTCACTTGTAACTGACTCTCCACTGCTGAGGCGGACCACAAATATTCAGTCAAGCGAGTCAGAGCACACTTACTTACGAGCAGGATACGCAGGTTGTGTGAGGTGTCAGGCCTTCAGGTTGGACAACGATGACGACACAAGGCACGCTAAGACTGGTATGGCGAGGAAGATACACAACAATCGACAACGGTCGAAAGGGTTAGCGTCCATTTCGGACTGCGAGAGCCTTGCTCTCCGAGCAAGGGATACACATACTACACTACCTCGTACCTAGAGTCGACCGAGCCCGCCGCATCTTAGCACCATTATTGTTTTCTTGTTGCGGACTATACAATCAAGAGTTCATCATCATCAACATCATCAGCCACCGACTCTACCTAGTATACCGGTCCCGCCGTTCGTAAGGACAACCGGCCGCAATGTCATACACACGCCAATAGGGGCCATCCTCCGAAACACTGTACATAACAGCCTCACGTAAGGACGAGCTGAGAACTCGCGCCAGAACCCCAACGGCGGCACGTACAGTGCCCTCGAAAGCACAGATGGCACCTTCATCATATGTCCAGACCTCTGACATCTGGCGCCCCATCATACTAGTTTGGAGCCTTGGTGTCCCGGCAAATTCCAGATATATCTTCAGACGATAGAGGTGACTAAGAGGGGCAAGCATCTCGGCGATGTGTTCCTGGAACAAACAGATGATTGAGTATGACAGATTGTGACGCAACAACGACAGCTTACCACAGACACATCTACCTTCCCTTGTCTTTCTTGTGCAGACCGGTAGCGGTGGAACTTCAGCGACGTCAGACGCGGGAACATCGCCGCAATCCGTCGCAAAAGGGCATCTTCTTCGCCATCAGCGCGATATTCAATCTCGAGATGGTCAAGATCCAGCATGTTGCATCGACGCAAGATTGAGAGAATTGAAGCTGCACTCGAGAGGGCAGGGTGGTCGGGATAATCATCCGCGGGATTGGCGCCATAAGCAGAGGGCCGTCGCTGGACGTGAAGATGTGGATAACAACGCAAGGACAACGCGCGCAGCGACGACGGCAGATGATCGTAGACCTCATCGCGAGGGTCAGGGAAGGACACGAGCAGATGTTCGAGCATCGGCCACGGGAATGGACCCGCATAGTCGGCAGGCCACAGCATCTGGGAGATACCTCCTGGCGTCAAGTCGAGTTTCAAGGAGAGCGACCGCAGATGATCCATGCCAGGATGGAGTGAGATCCACGGCGCGGACAACGTACTCCATGGTACTCCGCAATAGACCAACTTGCGCAGACGAGGCCAACGAAGTTGAGACAGATCGGCTAGCGGGGCGCGCTCACTGACGAGATCAAGCGTCTCCAGCGTCTCGCATAGCTTGCCTAGGACAGCATACAGAGCAGCCATCTCGGAGGAGGAGGAGGCAAGCGGTTCTAATGCACGGCGTAACCGATATTGGAACGACGTGAGCGGGGCCAACGCCTCGAAGTTGAGCTCATCTCCCGGCTGCAAGACAGGGCAGAGATATAGATCTCTCAGTTTGAACTCGCGCAGATGCGGCACCGATAAGACTGCACGTAGAGTATCCCATGGCAGGCCGTGTGCGACCCAATCCTTCTTGTATATCGTGAGCGATCGTAGAGCAGGGAGCTCTCGTAGCCGCTCCGCGACGGGACCACCTGGCCAAGCGCCACAGACCGTACGGTCCTTGGTGTAGTAGAGCGGCCTGCTATAAGGGCGCGCCATCTCCTCTTCCGTGCGCTGATCCGGACAGTTGTCATGGAGGATCAGCGTTCTATGGAGTCTGATGAGTACAGAGGGTAGTTGTGTTTAGGTCGACCACATACTGGACGTAAGGTTTGCACGATGTAAGCAAGAACCTCTCGTGCATTGTAAAGGCCCAAGTGCCGTGGATTGTGTGTGAGACGGTCCGGAAGAGAAGGGGCATGCATGCCTCTCGGAGCCATCGGCAGGTATGTAGAATCGACCACAAGTCTTTCTCAGAGAGCTCACGCAGGATGTGGTGGCAAACATCCGCATCGAGTCCTCCTAGCGACCTGCAATCGATTAGACATGCTAGATCGTGACATCGTAGTAGCTTACATGTTGTCAGTGCTTCGAATGAGTATTGTGTCGAGGGTTGTCTTCTAGCGAGCGTACGGCACGAGCAGTGACAGTCGAGTTCAACTTGAGTTCAACAGCGCTGCAGCAAGCTGAGTCACAGTACGGCGCACACACGAGGCGCCCGGAATTCGGAAACCTCCGCATTCGAATGGTCAAACCCGCATTTCTCACCGTAACACCGTTGTCAGAGGCATGTAGTAGTACAGCAGCTTTCGTATAAAGCTCAAGCTCAAGACTGGCTCTTCGAACGATACAAGGTCGAGCGATCATTCCGGCGGAACAATGGGATAATACTAAGTACTTGGAAGACATGGTTCGTTGCTATCGTGTCATGGCTTCAACATGATGCATACAAATCAGACCTGGTGCCTTTGCGTTGTAGCGACCCATGCCATACCAGGGAACGGGCCCTACGACAGATTCATGCCTAGCGTCGGAGGCTCTTAAGCTTCCGCCTCCAGCAAAGTCCAGGCCACGCAAACACGGTCATGGAATCGTCGCATTACAAATCATTGCCGTCATGTAAGCAAGATGCATCGTACTTACATCTAGCGCACTCCATCTGAATGTCAACTGTCAATTGGCGATGAGAAGGCGTATTAGAGCAGATTTTGGCACTTCGATCCCTGGACCCAGCGTCTCACAGCTTAGACAAATTCCTTCCCCACACACCACTACAACCACGCATCAGCACCGCGCTCACACACACACCAACAGCAATGCAGAACACTCACCGCATAATCCAGACAATCATCAACGGTGCCCTCGTCCACGAGCTCACCTGCTCGCTCCAATACATGCTCCGCCACGCATACATCGCGACGAGGCCGCCCATGCAGTTCATCTTCCCTAGATCGAACACCGCTGCGTTCCCGATGTACGCGAGTGAGCCGACCGTCGTGGCCGTTTAATGCATATTTCTGCGTTATAACTCTCGCTAACCTGCTCCCACGAGGTGACAGTGGGCAAGTGAAGCCGATCGCGTCGTAAAGGCCACACAAACCCGGGTATTCTCGAGATTTCGCGTTTGTCCAGCTCAAGCTCGCATAGCGCGTTCGTGACGGCAACGTTGATGCGAGTGCGCTCATCCTGGCCACTGGAGGGATGAAATGGGCTGGAAATGTGCCGAGATGACCGCGACCCAGACAAGACCTTTGTGAGTCCTACGGAAAACGTGAGGTGAAGTAGATTAGGCACCAAATCACCAGCTATACCTAGTTTCTGCGCTCTTTCTGTGGTGTCTTTCGCGATCCGCACTCATGCAGAAGTGGGACGAATCTCAACTCCCTACTTACCTATCTTTGAGTATATGCCAAGTCTGCTTGCGTTGTCAGGTTTTGTCCGTCTGCACGGCCCGCTGAAATAAGCCAGAATAGCCACACTCGAGCGTAGACGCCGACTACACGAGGCAGCGCCTATGCTTGTCTTTGTCTCTCCCAGTCTTGCGTCGTCAACTGCTCCTTCATCTGCCACTCAATTCTTGTCGCAGAACATCGGGCGGTCGTCATCGACTCATCGACTAAATCCACGAGTGTCAAGACCAACACCATCTGGATCGTTGTCATCACACACCTCTGTCATCGATGTTTTCGTTGCGTCTATTCAAGGCCGACCATCCTGGCGGTACTCTGGCTGAGGACCTTGTCAGAGAGCTGGCAAGGAAACCGCATCCCCGCTACTTGGAATGTAAACCGGCAGTCTTCGTCCAACCGACGCCTTACCGCCCTCATCTTGATGGGAGGGTAAAGTTCGCTGCAATCCTCGGCGGGGAATGGGGAGTGTGTGGCGCAGAGGCTCGTGCTGAGAATACAAACAATATAGCGGTCGATGAAGGCCATCATGTAAGAAGACATTGACAAACTGCTATATGATTTGTACTCACCTGGAGCCCGTGTCTCAAGGACTTGGTCTATACATGGCCACCTGTACTGTCGTCACAAACCAAACAACCGACAAATATGCTGCAGTCACAAGACTTGCTCAGGGACCAAGTGAGTACTCCAAAGCTGTTGTCGATCACGCCGTGTTGGTGACCGAATGCCTGCCAAGGTGAACAATCATTCGGGCCCTGCATGTATGACAGGACGGGCAACTACTCCGCGACCCATCGGACATGAGCGCGAGGTTGCTCGGCGGATGCGGTTTGAGTATCGGAAGTACGTTTTCCGCGCGTTCGAAAGACTTGTGACGGCGCATATGCTTGCGCAAGAAGAAGGAGAGGAGGACCTGCTCCTCCACGAGGCCATGGATCTGACGCTTCGTGCTGCGGCGGAGGATGCCAAGGATGCCGACTTCGAGAGGTCTGCAACATCGACTGCCGGTCAGAAGGAGAGGGGACCCGTCGCGGCGTCTTCGCAGAGGATGGAGCTAGAGCGAACCATAACACCGTGGGAGGAATGGACGCCGCAGGCAACCTCAACGCCACACCCGGGCCCTACGTCTTCGACCTCGCTGCTCAGTCCTGTAGCTTGGGGTGCACTAGCGACGTCGACGGTCCATTGCATGGCACGAAGGGGCAGCACACATGGCGTAGCCTGCTGCCACCATGCGCTTCAGACCAGTGAAGTCCCTCGCGCCAGGACATTGCAAAAGAACGAACGGGGCGATTCTTCCGGAATTGCGGTATTCACGGAGGATCGGGCAGCCACTGCGACTGCATTGCCTGGCTGGGGCGATCAAGCCGTCTGGTATACGTGGTCCCAAACGATCGTACAAAATGCAAGTCGATAGCCATTGGTCTGTGTATCGAAGTCAGCCATTGTTCAGTCTTGTCCACAGACCGCGGTCGTTACGTACCATGAAGTTTATACTCGCGACGATCCATGTGCATAATGAAGAACAGCTTACTCAGTCAAAACCTCCTGATTATCACTGCCAACGAGTGCGTTTCCATCGCAGGATGCCCGCACACTTGAGAGATATTTCACTGCTCGCGTATATGCAGGGCAGGTTATCGCTGTCTCTGCGCCCGTCCGGTATTTCGTAGGTGCAACGCGCGTGCGTAATGCCATTTATTATCCTGTGTTCACAGCTTTCTCCCAGTCTCCCACTCGCAGACCATCCGTGCTTGCATTGTAAGGTTCGGAGCGTGCCGGGATCGCGCTTCGCGAGATATACAGCAGCTATACAGCCACAGACGCACGGGCGCTATTTGAGGGGAGAAAGCGCTCGTGTTGCACTTTGCCCCCGACTACACTCATCCCCTCTGCACACTGCTCGTAGGGCATCAGGACGCATCCAAAGATCTGCAATCCACTTATCAACATTATGCAAGCACAAGTAAGCAAACCAAGCGTGAGTGACCCTTTGACTTCCGGGAGAGGCGATTGTTGAATCGCGACGACGTACCTAGTACGCGACGGTCGTGAAGTACCGCAAGCCTGTCATCCGACGTCGAAGGGTTGCAATCCCAATAGTTGCGCCGACGCCTGAGAGAGAGGCAGACACGGATTTCGCCGCGATCCTGGGACAAGATTGGGAGTTGTATGAGGGGGAGGTTCGCCTTGTAACCAAGCAAAAGTCAGCAGAGATTGAGCGTCGTCAGGTGAGAAAACGTTCAAGATCAGCTGAACAGTGCATGCTTACCTTGATCTGGATAGGAGTCTGACATACAGTATACGACGTGGCCACCTGTGTTGTCGGCACAGGCCACTATGTCGTCGGGGCTTCCACTCGACACAGCCTGTCAGGCCTCGATGTTGGTGCGTATCTTCGACCGTTACGTCCAAGTCGATCCTAAGAGACCACCGCAGCCACTGAACCAAGAGCATAACGTCCTTCCGTTTGACTCCGACATAGAGTATACGTCGTGGCCGCCTGTGTTGTCGGGACTTCCGATTGGCGTAGCCTATCAGTCTTCAATGTTGGTGCGTATCTTCGACCATTACGTCCGGGTTGATTCTAAGAGACCACCACAGTCGCCAATCCAAGAGCACGGTAATCTGGATGCGCGGTCGATAATCATGCCGATCACCACCGCTGGATATGCGAGGCCGCCGCTAGTTGTGGTGACCGCGGGCTTGCCTGAACAGGGCCCGTCGACAGACACGGATAGTCCGGCATCGTCAGCTACCCTGTCGAGTCCATTGGACAGTTGGGAGCCCGTTGCGACGTCGACCCCACTCCCGAAGTGGACCTGGGTGGAGACGAGGGTGGATTGAGGTATGTCGCGGCATGTTACGGTCAGAGCAGACGTGCTGACAGCACCCAGTATTCCGGTGGGAGATCGGAGGGTTTCTCGCAACGGTACTCTTATGTCGTACGCAAGTCGGATCGTCGGGGCACCTTAGGTGGACAGGAGGAAGGCGGCTCGCCGCACATGGCGCTTGTCGAAGATGGAGGATGGTAGATGCACGGGGAACGAGAGCAAGCAGTCTTGCAATGTAATCGTAGACAACGTCGGAAATCATCTTTTTGCTCCTTCACGCCGCGTCTGCTTGAGAACTATATGCGTTCCCAGCGAGGCGACGAGGGCGGCTCATTCGTCTTGGACAGGATATCCGTGATTCCTGCTTTGTCTTCGCGGTCCGTCCCGTAGCTCAGTGACCAAGCCCGCGTCAGTGATTTTTTGATAGTATCTCCTCCTCGCGCTCCCTTCTCGTGATGCGATCCGCAGACCAGCGCGACTTGCGTCCAGCACTAAGTTAAAGGGTCCGAGGGCGGGGTATGCCGGCGTCCCGCTACAAGCCACAGTCGCCTAGGCGCCGGTTTAACGAAGAGGGCGCTCGTCCATGCGCTCGTCTTCCAACATCCTTGCTCTTATCGCCCGTCCGCGCCCTTTGACAAGCCACCAGCCACCAGTTCAGAGACCTAAATCACGTCAATTAGCACGATGCAAGCGTGCAAACCGAGCGTGAGCCTCTCATTGTTTGACTTACACGCAGATGGGATTGTTGAATTGTGACGGCCTCTTCAGTACGCAACGGTACTCAAGTACGGCAAGGTAGCGATGCCACCTCAAAGACCTCCGAAGCCGATTATCGCACCGACGCCCGAGAGAGAGAGGCGGGAGCGCTTTGCAGCCATCTTTGATAATAACTGGGAGCTGCACAAAGGCGAGGTTCATCTAGTGAACGTACAACAACACACAGCAGAGAGTAAAGGCCATCAGGTGAGAAGGCAATCAGAAACCGCTGAATGGTGTATGCTCACCTCGATCGTAGGAGGACGGTATAGAGTACACAACGTGGCCACCTGCGTTGTCGACGCAGGCGACGGTGTCGTCGGTGAGCTCGTCGAGCCTGGGGCATCAGCCTTCAATGAAAGTGAGTACTAGCGATCTTGAGAGTTGTCATCAATCATGACGAAGGACAAGGGCTGTTACTACCATAAAGACGGCGAGGAATGTGTTCACTGCCAATTTGATAGACTGGCCCTTGCAGACTTGCTGGCAGAGGCAGCTTTCAACGTGGTGGAGAGCACCGCGTCTTCAAACGCGATTCAGAGCCCTCCAGACGTTTGGGAGCCGCTCGAGACGTCGACGCCACTGCCCCGATGGGCTTGGAGAACCACGAGAGTCGACTGAGGTACGCATAACGACTCACGTTAGCGACAGCAGCACTGACAATGCCATGGTCAGCGGTCCGTCGAATGAGACCACACCGCGGGGCAAGGATCGGGACGAACTACTGGCCGTGAAGTTGTTTGAATCGCTTGGACGTCGCGTTGAGGGGGGGGAGGAGGTGGCCGACGGTGGGGCTTGTATAAGCGCAGGAGGACCAGAGGAAACATCGGTGGCCACAGTTAGGCGGGGAAAATACAAGCCGTATGCTTCCAGATGTATTAGCAGCATAGTCCGAATTTTTGGTGTCCGTCTACGATGTGCTCGTCTCGAAGCTATGCCTCCGCACGAGTGAGCGGGCTCGCCACAGAGCATTCTTGGATCGAACGGAGGTGCTGTGGCTGCCTCGCCCTTTGCCCGGTAGCCCAGGGACGAAGATTACTCCCTCGCATCGAGTTTCACTATCCTCGCATTCCCTTTGCATTGCACGCACGACCCCGCAAGCCAGCCGGACGTGCGTCCCGCTTTGCGTCCGGCGCTAAGAGGTCCGAGTGCACGCGCCGCCATTCCGCAGGCCACAAACGCTTAGGCGCTCAATCGAACAAAGAGAGCGCCTGTCCGTTCACTTGTCTTCCGACCGTCTTGCCCTCATCGCCAGCGCACGCGCCCTCCACGGAGCATTATTCTCGCGTAAACAGACCTAAAGAAGACAAATTAGCAAGATGCAACACTGCAGACTCGGTGTGAGTGCTTCATTACCCGACTAACCGAGGGACGCGATCGCTCATGTGTGATGAGCTCGTACACGACGGTGCATGGCAATGCGGATGTCCCGACGCAAGGCTCAAAGCCTGATGTAGGAAGTCACGATGATGATGTTGAATGCGAGCCGAACTCTCAGAACCAGCCATTGCAGAAAGGCAAAGTAGAGACGAGGTAGGTCGTCTGGCACGAGCGCGAAGTCCGCTGATCGAGGTGACAATTCGCGACGTAGGAACCCAGCTACAAACACGAACCAAATGACGACCAACGAAAGTCAACTGGTAAGCGAACTAGGGCCGTTCGTTACTTGATTCGTGCTTACCTGGGGTGTGGCCACTGCGGCGCAGGCCTGCAATGGCTTTATCCCGACCCGTATACCTCGTCGGGGAGACGGTGTGGACTTCTGTACCGGTACATCGGATGGCAGAGGTCTAGGCACGCTTGCCCCTGTGGGATCCGCGAGAGCAAGTCAGATCGTCAGTCTTTGTATTGTGACATGCATGACCACTTACCAACCGAGATATAGGGTGCCCTATCAGCCTCTGACTGCAGGCTGCTCAGGCTCCTGGGGACGAGGTACGACGCCGCGCATGAGCTCGTCAAGGTGTGTGTGTTATGATACCGGTACTGGATGTTTGCTCAGCTACCCGTCTGTTGTGCGTCGTCAGAGCGAGGCGTGTCCGGACGAAGGCTTCCTGCGCTATGCAACGGATCGGGCCTTGGTGGGTATCAACTGGGAGGTACTCGTCGAAGAGGCTATGGCGAGCGCGTGCAAGCGCTCGAGCCAACCGTCTTCGACCAGTCCGGCGAGTGAGGGCTCGATTTCTGGATAGATGCCCGAGTATCGCGACCGCCATTTGACGAGGAGGAGGAGAATTCGAGGAGACGCCAGGTTCGAGGCGGCAATCGCGGCAAAAGTGGACGACGAACGGTCAGTGGGGCCCGAAGGAACACCTGTAAAGGATGCAGTACGTCTATCGTGCACAAGCTGTAATCGTAAACCTTTTAGTACGGATGTGGGCACTCACTGGTCACGAAGTACTGGTCGCCATAGCCGCCAGGAAGTCGTCGTCGCATCTTCGACCATCCGTGGTGTATTTTCACGTATTTTTAGCTTGTATAGATCGGATGCTCATCGCAACACCCGCTTGCATCCAGCAATGTCTGGACACCGTGAGCGGACGCGTCGGTCACGGATGTTCTTGCGGGCCACAATACAGAAGACGAGTGGCCACAGCTTGCTGACTGTTATCGACGGCGTGAAGGGCGTAAGAGACGATCTTTTTTGCGGAAACCTGACCAGGCGAGTCGACCAGAGCGTCCGCAGGGGGCACGAGAAAACTTCAGCATGGCGACGGGCATCGTAGTCGTGGCCACATACGGCCACATCCAAATGCGGCCACCAATTGTGTTGATTCGGCGGTGTGGCTGAGCCGGACAATCCCGGCCACTCGTGCGACGCGTCACGACTGTACAGCAGTGTACATTGAGAACAGCCTGAGCTGATATACTGTCTTCTCATCGATATCATTGCGTGCTTGGTTCATACTGTTGTAAAATGGAGAAAATACGCAAAGAGTCCACATACAAGTACACATACAAGATTCTCGTGAGTCTACCCGTCCTGCCGTTCGTAAGGACAACCTTCCGTAATGTCATACACATGCCAATAAGGACCATCCTTCGAAACACTATACATAACAGCCTCACGTAAGGACGAACTGAGGACCCGCGCTAGAACTCCAACGGCGGCACGTACAGTGCCCCTAAATGCACAGACGGCGCGTTCATTATATGTCCAGACCTCTGTCATCTGGCGCCACATCATACTAGTTTGGAGCCTTGGTGTCCCTGCAAATTCTAGATATATCTTCAGACGATAGAGTTGAGTAAGAGGGGCAAGCATCTCGGCGATGTGGTCCTGGACAAAACAGATGATTAAGTATGACAGACCGTGACGCAACAACGACAGCTTACCACAGATACATCTATATTTCCCTGTCTTTCTTGCGCAGACCGATAGCGATGAAGTTTCAGCGACTTCAGATGCGGGAACATCACCGCAATCTGTCGCAAGAGGGCATCTTCTTCACCATCAGCACGGTATTCAATCTCGAATTGGGTAAGATCCAGCATGTTGCATCGACGCAAGATCGAGAGAATCGAAGCTGAACTGGAGAGGGCAGGGTGGTCGGGGTAACTGTCCGCGGGATTGGCACCATAAGCAGAGGGCCGTCGCTGGACGTGAAGATGTGGATAGCAACGCAAGGACAGCGCACACAGCGACGACGGGAGGTGATCGTAGACCTTGTCGCGAGGGTCAGGGAAGGACACGAGCAGATGTTCGAGCATCGGCCACGGGAATGGACCCGCATAGTCGGCAGGCCACAGCATCTGGGGGATACCTCCTGGCGTCAAATCGAGTTTGAGGGAGAGCGACCGCAAATTGACCATGCCATGATGGAATGAGATCCACGGCGCGGACAACGTACTCCATGGTACTCCGCAATAGACCAACTTGCGCAGACGAGGCCAACGAAGTTGAGACAGATCGGCTAGCGGGGCGCGCTCACTGACGAGATCAAGCGTCTCGAGCGTCTCGCAGAGTTTGCCTAGGACAGCCTGCAGAGCAGCCGTCTCGGAGGAGGAAGCAAGCGGTTCTGATGCAAGGCGTAACCGGTATTGGAACGACGTGAGCGGGGCCAACGACTCGAAGTTGAGCTCCTCCCCCGGCTGCAAGACAGGGCAGAGATACAGATCTCTGAGTTTAAACTCGCGCAAATGCGGCACCGACAAAACTGCACGTAGAGTTTCCCATGGCAGGCCGTGCGCGACCCATTCCTTTTTGTTGCGAGCGAAGCGAGCATACATCAGCTAGGGGGTGCAGCCAGCGGACAAACAAGTACAAATTGTCGATTCGCAGATTATTTCCGCCCGCGATGTCAAGAAACACGATACATTGTGTTCAGAACTGCACATATATCTTCGTAAAAATCATCATAAATCGCGGCTCGGGCTCTTCTACATGATAGTGCACTCTAGTGAATGTACTCGTTGATGTGCGTGGACGCTGACCCTCAACAGTGCCAGGACGCGCGAAGTCGAACCTAAGCGCCCGAGCGCCGGTGTGGCCACCCTCGCGTCGCGTTGCCTCCCGTAGTTAGCCCAGACAATGTGTCGTGGCCGTGATGTGTGGCCCAATGACATGTGGCCTAAGTGACCTTTGTTCACCGTGTTTGTTGAATCACTGCTTCAATCGGACTGTCCACTCACCCTCTCCTTCAACATCCAATGCCTCCCGTCCTCAGCACACACCGCCTCGGAAACCGTTCGGATCGTCGATGTACGCGCTGCAAGCAAGACGTTCCATCTACTGAGTCCCAGTGGAACCATGAGAGGCGAATGTGCGTCCGTTGCACGCAAAGACACCCACTCACCATCCGACTTCCCGCCTGTCAACGATGCACCCTGTGTGCGGAGATGTTCCCAGTCACGGCGTTCCAACACGGCCCTGACGAGCGCCATCCTACGCGCTGCCCGCGATGCAGAAAGCGAGAGAAATGTACCAAGTGTCGCAAGATCAAGCGCCGCCGCCAATTCGAACGACCTTCTCGCAATCCCAACGCTGATGCTGACGGCCGAGCTCTTCTGCTCACATGCAATAGTTGCAGAAAGAGGTCCACTGCTGCCGCAGTGAGAGGACGGCAGAGTGCTGAAGCTGCAGGTATGGATAGCCGTGAACTTCACTTGAAGCATCTCGGGATTAACTGCACTTTCTCAGGCTTGAAGTGGTGTACGAGCTGCCGTTCGGCAGTTCGCGTTCAAGACTGCCTCGGTGACGATGGTGTAATGCTGGCAACCTGCAGAAATTGTCGTCAACGGCGGCGCACTCGATACGATGCTCACCGACTCGCGAATCAGCCTGCACAGGCTCTCAACGACGACGATATCGACCCCATTGATGATCGCCTCGCTGCCGCAGATGGAGTGGACGTGGTCGAACCAGATGAATATGCTCAGTTCTTCGGTGATGATAGCGACTTCATGGATATTGACGTACCGGAGGAGAATGCACTGCCCGCGCAAGAAGCCGAACTTCTAACAAAATTTTACACGAAGCTTTCGGAGCTGTCTCTTGAGACGTGTGTTGTTTGTCACGAGCAAGGCTTTGACATGAAGTTAAAAGACGGCGTATGCTCACGCTGCCACCGCGATCGTGCCGAACCTGTCAAGAAGTTTGCCCCCGCAAATAATGTCAGCCCATCGCTGGAACGGCCCGCATGCCTCAAGTACCTCACAGACATGGAGGAGATGCTCATCTCGCGGGTTCTTCCCATGATGCAAGTGCGCTATACCCGGGGCCGACAACTGTGTTACAAGGAGCATATCGTCAACCTACCTCAAGACATCTCAACGGTTGCTTCCCACCTACCCAGACTACCCGAACACACCGACACTGTTGTCATTCGTCGTGACAGCGTTGACATGTCCCGTCATGTTGATTTTGTTGTGCGGAGGGACAAAGTCCGTGAAGCCCTGTTATACAAAATTGCACATGACCCGAACTACGCCGATTTGCAAATAGATGAAGACGCACTTTCCCAGTTGCCTCACAACGGTTCTGTTGCTCATCGAATTCCAACTTGTCGAGCCGGGCGTCAAGATGGTGGAGCTACCGTCTCGGATGATCTTCAGGCTGCTGAGGCTCCCGGTCCTGCTCAAGCTGCTCAAGACCCGCAGGCACGTGTCGAGGATAACGATAATGAGCAAGTCTTCGGTGGAGTGTTGAATTTGGGACAGAATGGGAACACTGAGGTGGAAGAAGTGCGGCAGCAAGTGAACCACGCACTCGCTGGCCGACCAGCATCACGGTATGAGCAAAATCATATCATTGTGAGTAAATGTCACTGTTATGTTGATTATCATTGGACTTACCTATGGCGGGGTAGCTGAGCGCACCGCGTCTCGAACAAAATCCTATCAATGAGCGAACACCAGGGTACATTGTGAAGGCTTTCCCAACACTCTTTCCTGACGGGTCTGGTGATTACCACCAGCCCCGTCTGCGAAAGATTGAGTTGGGAGAGTATTTTGCTCACCTGCTCCGCTTTCATGATTCCCGCTTTGCGCGTCATCGCCGGTTCCCATGGTTTGCATTCAACACTCTCCAACGGCATCGTGCACATACCCAAGCCCGTGTCTTTGTCCGACAGCAACATGACGCTGCTGGTCTCACAGCCGAAGAGATCCGTGCGATGCTTCAGGAAGGCGATCAAGTTCTGGCCAACCGCATGATACGTTACGGTGCACATCTACGCGGGACTCGGGCCTACTGGCTGGCAAGACGATCAGAGCTCATTGACATGATCAGAGTCAAGGGCTCACCGCACGTCTTCTTCACGCTCAGTGCCGCCGACCTACAATGGCCCGATCTCCATGATCACATGCCTCAAGAAGTGCCTGTCGAGCAAGGCGACCTCAACTCGGAACGGCGTCAGCGGCGACAAGCATTGAACAACAATCCTCACCTGGCTGCACAATACCTAGACCATCGTGTCCAACTCTTCTTGAAGCATGTTCTTGGGCCTCTACTTGGTGTCGAACATTTTTGGTACCGATATGAATGGCAGGAACGCGGTAGTGGGCATGTACACGGCTTCTTCTGGCTCAAGGATGCACCGCAACCAGACGACATCGATTGGGACCTGCTCAAGGATGCGGACAAAGTCATTCCCAATGACGAGAAACAGAAGATGGATGAATTTGTCACGTACTGGGATCGACTCATCACTGCATGGAACCCATGTCCACGCGACAACAATGTGCCGCTCATTGGTGCTCATCCATGCAACATCCGACATCAAGAGCTACGCAACACAAAGCAAGAATTATCCGACCTGCTTTCCTGGGTCGAACGACATATGAAATGTATGCCGGGCTACTGTCAAGTGTACCGCAAGAATGCTGTCACTGGCAAGAAGGAGGCAACCTGTCGGTTTGACTTCCCCATGCCTTGTCGGGATCATGCCGGAATGGGACTTGACAGCAAAGGCCGTGTACGGTTTGAGCCTCGACGGAATGACTCCCTGTTAAATGGTCATAATCGGGCGATGATCATGGCATGGCGTGCTAACATCGACATCAAACCTGTCTTAAGTGAAGAGGCTGCCCTCAGCTACATTGCAAAATATGCATCAAAAGCCGAGTCCAGCGCTGCATCTTTCCCGGACCTTCTGGCGAATGTGGTCGAACGTATGGAACCTGGGCACACAGCACAGTCAGCGTGCCAGAAGCTGCTCAACAAGATGCTTGGTGAACGAACTTACTCGGCGCAAGAGACTGCCCACCTTTTACTGGGCATTCCCCTTGTTCGGACCTCTGCATCGTTCCAGACATTGAACCTGTCAAAGGATGGCGCTCTCCGTGCACTAGCAGACGAAAATGGCGAAGGAGACGATGTTCGCACAATGACGGGTGATTCTTGGCTTCAGCGGTAGGTGTACATTGAATCCGCAACTCCACTTACTGACCTCTGACGCAAGGTACATGATGCGATCGGGTGACCTCGAGAATCTGTCTTTGCATGAGCTGCTCCGACTGTACACATGGAATTCTGGCGAATGGAAAAGGCGTCGGGCATCAACAACGGTCATCCTGCGTGTCTTCCCCAGAATCTCACCGAATCCAAACGAAGATACCTACGAAGACTATAGCCGTGTCAAGATCCTCCTGCACCATTCGTTCCGCAATCTCGATTCTCTGCGCAACCTGCCAGGCGGTGGTGAAGGAATGTTATGCTCTTGGAGAGATGCTTGGGCTGCATGTGTGGCCAGCAATCATCAGCATCCACGAGACACTCTACGGTCCTGGGACCGTGAAAACAACATACCCGAAGAAGAAGAAGATGACGATGAAGAGATCAACGCTGATCTTGCGGAACTTGATGAGGCAGACTGGCAGATCTATGCACGGCTCTTCCCCAATGCTGCTTTGCCCACTTTCAGTCTCGAAGACCTTGGGAGGCGTCCTATTGACGAAGGATGGGACATTGAGGCCGCTCGAAACCGCTGGGCAGATGTCGACAAGATGGCTGGGTACATCGCAGAGCAGCGGCGTACTGTTGACCCAGACGAAGGTGCAAACAGCGAAGATCACGTCGTTGAAATTGCCACACTAGAGGCAGAGCAACGGCGGATATATGAACGCTGTGTTGGTGCTTACTCTAGACTTCTGGACGGTATACGTGATGTCGCTCCTCTGCGACTGAATATCGATGGGACCGCCGGATGTGGGAAGACATACCTCATCAGGGCTATTTGTCAGCAGCTTCGACGCATGGCAGCTGAACATGGAAAGCCCGACCCTCTCCGAGTACTGGCGCCATCTGGCGTTGCAGCCTGGAACATCGACGGGCAGACCATTCACTCCGCGCTGGGCATCCCTGCATCAAACGGGAACTTTGCACCCTTGACTGGCTCACGACTGGCAACACTACAGCAACAGTGGAAAAATACCCATCTCATGATTATCGACGAGAAATCCATGCTCGGTCAACGTCTTCTTGCCAAGGTCGACTCTCGTCTCCGACAGCTGAAGCCGCTGCACTCGGATTTGCCGTTTGGTGGTCTGCATGTTGCTCTCATTGGTGACTTTGCACAGCTTCCTCCTGTCGGCGATCGAGCGCTCTACGCCCAGCCACCTGCAGCGGACGATCAGTCCGAGAATGCCCAGCTCAGCCGTGACGGCAGCACGATTTATCGTATGTTCACGGAAAGCTATCGCTTACAAATCGTCCATAGGCAACATGGAGATTCGCCTGAGCAACAGAAGTTCCGGGACCTCTTGCGAAATGCGAGCAATGGAGGGCTAGCCATAGACGACTGGAAACTTCTGCTCACGCGTCAACGTGATCGCCTTACTCGTGCACAGCAAGAATCATTTGAAGACACCATCTGCTTGTTCACCAAGACTGAAGCTGTACACGAGGCTAATCTACGGCAGCTCGTGGTTCTGGACTGTCCATGTGCACGAATCAAGGCAAAACATGACGGTGGACCTGAAGCGTCAAAGGCGACTCCAGATGAAGCTGCCGGTCTGGAACCCGACCTAGTGTTAGCTCGCGGAGCAAGGGTGATGATCACACGTAACATATGGCAAAGCAGAGGTGCGTCTTCGCGGACCATGGAAGACGTACTAGTCACTAACTTCGCCGAGACAGGGCTCGTCAATGGTACAACTGGCACTGTGGAAGACATCATCTGGCTGCCGGGCGCTGAACGTTCGGACCTCCCTCTTGCTGTCCTTGTTTCGTGTGCTACTTATAGCGGCCCGACGCTTTGGCGGACAGAGCCCCGAAGGGGCTTCCCGAATGGACTGCCCATCATCCCAATAACCGCAATGAAGGCGACTTTTGAACTGAAGAATAAAGTCCTCGCACGCACTCAGCTCCCTTTGCGTCTGGCATGGGCTGTCACGGTGCACAAGTCGCAAGGGTTAACACTCGACAGAGCATGTATTGGACTCGGAAGCAGAGAATTCTGCTCTGGTCTCACTTTCGTGGCGCTGTCGCGGGTGAGGTCACTTGACTCGTTCATGCTCGTAGATAACGTAGATTATACGCGCGTCCGGAATCTTGGCGGAAAGGTGTTGGAGCAGAGATTAGAAGATGTACGGCGTCGATACTCTAATGTATAATGAACACATGCTCTTGTGGACCGCATGTCGCTCTGTGATACAGCAGATGTATCTAGATTGCCGCCGTTGCATTGTAGCGAGCCCCCTCTGTATCACAGAAAGATGTTATATCGTGAGCGATCGTAGAGCAGGTAGCTCTCGTAGCCGCTCCGCGACGGGACCACCTGGCCAAGCGCCACAGACCGTACGGTCCTTCGTGTAGTAGAGTGGCATGCCATAAGGGTGCGTCATCTCCTCTTCCGTGCGCTGATCCGGACACTTGTCATGAAGGATCAGTGTTCTATAGTCTGATGAGTACAGAGGGTAGTCGTGTTGAGGTCGATCACATACTGGACGTAAGGTTTGCACGATGCAACCAAGAACCTCTCATGCATTGTAAAGGCCCAAGGGCCGCGGATCGTGTGTGAGACGGTCCGGAAGAGAAGGGGCATGCATGCCTCTCGGAGCCATCGACAGGTATGTAGAATCGACCACAAGTCTTTCTCAGAGAGCTCACGCAGGATGTGGTGGCAAACATCCGCATCGAGTCCTCCTAGCGACCTGCAATCGATTAGACGTGCTAAGTCGTGACATTGTAGTAGCTTACATGTTGTCAGTGCTTCGAGTCAGTACCGTGTCGAGCGTTGTTTCTATGGTAGCGAACGTACGGCACGAGCAACAGTCCGGGTCGAGTTCAACAGCAAGCTGAGTCACGGCACGGCGTGCACACGAGTGGCGCCCGGACTTCGGAAACCTCCGCATTCAAATGGTCAAACGCATTTTTCACCGTAACACTGTTGGCAGAGGCATGTAGTAGTACAACAGCTTTCGTATAAAGCTCAAGCTCAAGCGCTCAAAGACTGGCTCTCCGAACGAGTAAGATCCAGGTCACGCATACGCAGTCATGGATTCGTCGCATTGCAGATCATTGCCGTCATCTAAACAAAATGTAGCGTACATCTAGAACAGTCCATCCAAATGTCAATTGTCAATTGGCGACGAGAGGGTGTATTACTGTAGCACAGATTTTGGCACTTCGAACCCTGGACCCAGCGAGGTCTCACAGCTTAGACAAATCCCTTCCCCACACCCCACTACAACCACGCATCAGCACCGCACTCACACACACCAACGGCACTGCAAACCACTCACCGCACGATCCAATCAATCATCAACAGCGCCCTCGTCCGCGAGCTCACCTGCTCGCTCCAATACACGCTCCGCCACGCATACATCGCGACGAGGCCGCCCATGAAGCTCATCTTCCCCAGGTCGAACACCGCCGCGTTCCCGATGTACGCGAGCGAGCCGAGGTGGAGGTACCGGAACGGCCCCGCGACCGCCTCGTCCGCGCCCGGGCCCCAGAGCAGCCCGTTCTCCGCGAGCGTGTCGCGCTGCTTCGCGTACTTACTGAACTTGCGCCCGAGGTACTTGCCCTGCTGCGCGGCGACCTGGGCCGTCTGCGGGGATAAGGCGGGGCGTGAGCGAGCGGTGGGAGGAGAGGGGGTGAAGCGCTTACTGCGGGGAGCGAGGTGATCTTGTTCCCGAGCTCTTGAAGGAGCACCGCGAGCTCGTTCAGCGTGAGCGCGTCATCCGAGTCCTTGTCGTATGCCTTGAACAGCTCTCGGACCTACATCCTTGTCAGTGAGCTCATTCACGTGCACTTTTCGAACATTGACGTACATGTCCGAGGGCACTCTCGGCCATGGGCACTCGGGCCTTGATCCGGTTGACTAAGTATATAAGGTGAGATCTGCGGTTCTGTGTGAGCAGCACAAATAACGCACCCATAATCTCCCATTCATCGAAGTCAATCTTCCCGTCCTTGTTCCTGTCCGCCTCGTCAACAAGCTCGAGCAGGTAGCTCACAACGGACGTCTCAATCTGACATCGAAGATCGTCGGACATCAACGACAGGTCATACATCATGCGAATGTGCGTGACGCACCGTAGACGCGTCGCCGATCGCATACACCTCGCCGACCGGGGCACCCTTGACTCTCAAATGCGCATCGACCTCGATTGCCTTCTTATGCACCTGGTTTGGCCTACGCAAACCCATCCACATCAGCTTAGTCCACTCCATCCCACAAAGCGCACTCACAGCAAGTTCGACACGCGCTCCGTGAATGGGTTCATTGCAATGCCCGTACTCCAGAGCACGAAGTTTGTCGGGATCGCATGCGTCTCCGTCTTACCGTCCTTGCTCCGCGTCGTGTACTCCACGCGGTCATCATACACTGCCGCGACGCGGGCGGGCTTGATCAGGTCGATCTGGTCGTGGACGAACTTGTCCTCCGCGTAGCTCTGGATCGCCTCCGAGTACTGCCCCAAAGCGTCACTTCCCCTGCATACTGGTGAGCGAGCGGGAGACGACGCACCGTGTTCAGGATGTGCTCCCGGCTCTGGATGACGTGGATCGAGACCTCTTCGCGGCAGATCTTGGGGTAGTACCGCATCACGTCTTCCTGGCAGAGGTCGTAGATCTCCGCGGCCGCTTCAACACCTGTGGGCCCGCCTCCGCAGACGACGAAGCTCAGCAGCCGTCGGCGCTCCTCGGGCGAGGTCGTCGGGAGGGCGGCGGCTTCGAAGTTGTCTGAAAAAGCGCGTTAGGCGGCGAGACGAAGGTATGTTAACGGGGATGTAACACGTACCGAGAACACGTTGACGGATTAGGCGTGCGTCGGAGACAGTCTTGAGCTGGAAGCAGTGCTGGAGACCTTTGACACCGTGCGTGCTGCTGGTTGAACCGACCGCGATGACGAGCTTGTCGTATCTGGGTATTCGGTGAGCAAAGGGCGACGTAGGGGCGTATCTCGTGCGGAGGTCGCGCATATACCCAGGAAAGTGGGCACGTACGGGACATAAATGCGCTGTGGATGACCGTCCCTGCACGCAGTCTCTACTTCAAGCAGCCGTTCGCTCATAACCAGGTCCACGGCCCTTGCGTTCAGGAGATGACCATGTAGCCTGGCGATGATCTTGCGCAAGGGCTCCACGAGGGAGCGGACCTGGACAGTACCGACGGCAGCAGCTGCACACACCCATCAGCTCTCGGGGCACACTCATGACAATGGGGACATCACGCACAGGGCAGGAGCGGGGTAAACGTGGTGTACGTTTCCGGGGAGATGACCGTTACATGATAATCACCGGGACGGAGCGAGTTGAGGACACCGACGGCGCCCCAGCCGCCGCCGACGATGACGAGGTGGGGCTTGTCGACGAGCTGGGTGTTGGTGAGGTCTTCGAAGTCTCCGAGGTAGCGCTGGAGGATGGGCAGGTTCTTGGGCCCGCCGCGCTCGGGCTTGAGCGCGAGTGGGGAGACGGGTACACCCTCTATGTGCTGAGCCACGGGGCGGTGAGCCATTGGACGCGATGGGGTCCAGTGATACGCACCTGTTCGCCGTAGGTGAATGCATCGTGTAGGAAGATGGCGGTTATGAGCACAGCTGTGCCCACCGCTGTAGAGCCTGCGAGGTAGAAGGTGTATTTGAAGACGGTGCGGAGGCGTCGTGTGAGGGACCGTTTGGGAGGTGGGGGCGGTGGGGGTGGCGACGAGGAGTCAGGAGAAGGACCGGCTTTGCTATCTAGTCTAGCGGGAGAAGTTGCGAAGGTGCGCTGTCGGAAAGCCGGCCCAAGAGGGACTCGGAGGCCGCTGCGGGTCGCTGGGAGGGCGAGTGGGCGTGTGACGGCTGGAGGACGGGCGACCTTGAGGTTGAGGACGGCACGCCGCGCTGCTGGTGGAAGCATTGCGTGCGGCGGCCTGGACTGGGCGAGAAGGCTGCAGAGATGGGTGCAGCGGGAGGGCTGAGGCAAGAAGGACGAGCACACTCCGAGTCGTTTGCAGCTGCTCGTCGCCCGACCGCACCGACGTCCTCAGCCTGAGCGCCCGTGATGTCATCTCCCACCGCACTCCGGGCGCCTGTCCGACAAACACGGAGCATTAACAGTCTAGCGTACATTCACAACCTTGCCCTGGTCGCGTCGGTCTTTCGACACAGATCCGTGAAGGAAAATCAAGAGGGGAAGACGTTGAAGCGAGAACAGACGAGGGCTTGCAATATTAGCGAGAGGTGGTAGTATAGACCCAGCAGAGTCCACGTGCACCGGTCTAACTTCAGTCACACCAAAATATGGGACATATGTAGCATGCGACTCTCAGTCATGCCATGAGACTTTGAGATTCGCTACTGTCGCTATACCAGCGGGAAACGATTTTTTGCAGTGCATGGAGCTATGGTGGAAAGTGTTGTGTAGAATACACAACGAGACCGCGTACGGATGATTACATGGTCAGAGGCGCAGAGGAATCCCCCCGATCATTCTTGCCACTCGAACGACCCCACGATGGCAGTGCGACCCACTAGCGACCCTTGACTTGGCGACAGAATCGTCATCCTCTTGTTCGGTATATCCAGCGCGGTCCTAGTAACACCAGCAGGTCAGCCCAGCAGCGCGGTTGCCAGAAAGCAGCATTGACGTACACTACGAGAAAGCCAACCACAGGCAAGTCGAGTATTTCCTCGTCGTACCTCTCATGTTCGTCCGGGTTCGGCGGCGCGAGGAGGGCAAGTACCGCGTTGTACAGCCCCGATCCTGGTTGCGCGGGATCGACGAGCAGGGGCTGCATCTCGGAGACGACACGAGTCGCGCCGATGGGCAACGCAGACGTCGGTGCCATGGTCTCTGCGGAACGCACAGCCGTGAGCATATGGGCATGTGGTCGCACAGGGCAACGCTTACCTTCGCCAATCCTGTAAAGCGTCAAGTCGCCGAAAGACACGATGGACGAGACCGGAGCAAGGTTCAGCGTGAGATCTGGTATCTGCTCGCCACCCTGGAGGTACATCTTCGTTGACAGGCCAGGGGGTGGTTGTAATATCTTGCCGTACATGTAATTCTGGAGCTGGTATTTTCGTACCCGTTCGCGATAGCTCGCGTCTAGCTCCACGACCTGTATAAAATGATTTATGAGGAACGATCGAGATCAACACAGGGGATGGTGCTCACCCCGCCGGATTTGGGAATTTTGACAACGGTCATACGGTTTCCGTATGTCCGTTGCATCTCTACGTTGAGTTTTTCGTGGCCAACAACGAGTATGACATTGACTAAGGCTTCGTCAGCTGGTGGTCATATGGTCCACTGGTAGCAGACACTCACTCTTGAATGCATCTACACATGCCTTGATTAATGCATGTCGATGCTCGTTCTGAGCCCCAGAGCTCGCCGCGAACGAGCTCGGTGTATCCACGATCAGTCCTGACACCCTGCTTTCCACGTCGTGGTCCCACCGCTCGGCCACGTTGTCGCCCAGATTGCGGATAAGGCGGTCCATGAGCAACGGATTACGCTTCGTCTCTGCGTGCCCGTACCAATACGCGAGCGGGAGGAGTGCATTGGAAGTGAGGTGGGTCGGAGCGGAGGAAGCGGCGCATCCGAGTGTGGTAGCAGGTGTGGAGGTCTGGATAGGAGACGATATGGGTGCTGCTGCTATCGCACCGGGTACGGCCCATCCACCCTAGCAGAGGTGAAATCGCTTGTCAGACAAGTGTCTAAGCTTACTCGAAATGGGAGGGGAGATCTACCTCGCCCGGATCTGTGTTCAGCAGCATAGGTGTCCAATCCTGTCCCGTGCGCACGGCGTAGTTGACTAGTATTTTCGCCACGGTCGTCTTTCCCGAGTTTTCTGGTCCGAGGACTAGTACTCGCGGAGGTTCTGGGTTCGCATCTGTGTCGGCCTCGTCATCCGACGACGGCGGTGAGCCGTGCACAGTCCGCAGAGCCCTCACACGCATCTGCTCGAGCGCGAGGTGTACGTTCGCATATGCGTGCATTGGGGTTTCATCGGAGACGTATTCGGTGGACGGGAGGCCTATGACGTAACTATAGAAAAGACAGTCAATGTATGCGCATGGGGGAAAGTGAGGAGATGCAAAGCAGGTTGTGGTACTCATCTCAATGGTGCAGCCTTGCCAAGTGTATACGGCGGCTTTGCATTCGAAGCCGAATAGATACACGCTTCCCTCAGCAAGCTCAGCCCCGAAAATCTCCGCTTGACCATGGGCGAGCTGTGCAATAGATCAGAAACAAGGTCTCCCTTTTTAGTGTAGAGTAATATTGCGTTGCGTTGAAAGCAGGTAGAATTGTGCAACTTACCTTAATCGCTACAGTAGTACCTGGATCGAGCTCGAACCTGTACTCAGTCCCAGCCTCTAGGTTCCACTGTCGTGTGTTGACATCAATATTGACCTCAGTCTGGTATGTTTTTCCGTCGGCCATGTCCGCGATTCTTCAGCTTGATTAGGAGGAGTGCTAGTCTGTCAGGGGATTATAATCTAAAAAACGGAGTTGTCGACGGCCTCTTCTACCCAGCAAGTGCTGTGAACGGATTCAAGTCGTGTTTCCAGACTATCAAAGATAGTACTGAAGTGGTATGCCCCAGTGTTTTGGGTTTGGGGCTATAGCCGACCGGGGGATTACGACAGGTAAGCTCGCTCGCACAAGTTTGCGATACTGCTAGTATCGCCTTCTTCCGGTTGACACTCTGAGGTGTTGGTCGTTGTCTCGAACGCGCAGATGCTATGAGCTACGCGTAGATGGGCTCTCACAAGTTGCCGCTTGGAAGCCTTGCAATAGGGTGGCTGGAGGCGAATTGGAGGCACTGGAGCGCCGGTGCGCCGATGCGCTTCGGGTTGTGGCCTTAGGATCTGGGAAATTGCCCAGTATGGTAGGTGTCGTTGTTCGTAGGCGCCCATGATCTCCAGCTGTGCCAGTGCGAACTCGGGATACAAGGGCTTGAGTGCAAAACAAAATAGAGCCGATGTGTCGCTCTCCGTATGTATATATCACTTAACTGGAAAAACGCCGTTATTTCCTGACTGGAAAGAGCAAGACTCTGATTTGCCATGGCGGGCCTGAAAGCGCCTGACGTAGGGGGCAATGCACCACAGACAATCAATAAGGATATAGTGCCAGCGTAATGATACAACGCATGCTATGAGCTACAGAAACGCCGACACTTTGATAGGTTTCCGTACAGCTGCCGAGTTGCCTTCGTTGAACCGATACGCGACGTTGTACTTCGTGACCGTTTTTGTTGAAGCGATCTTTGCCTCCTTCCCCGAGGAAGCTTTCGCAGTGGACGCTATGATAGGTCGGCCAAAGAAGTCAACAGCAACCTAGTCTCGATTAATGCCATGGTGATTGGTCAAGTCAATGAAATCGCGCACCTTTTCAGCCGGGCCAATGTGATCTTGTTTGGAACGCTTTGCTGCAGGAAGCGACGTGTCGTCATCTGCCCCAGCATTGATCCTGCTCAGTGGCTGTCAGTCTCATGGGATGACATGCGTTACACAGATGGGCACATACGCTCGTTGTTTGAAGAAGTTAGAGCGTTTCGGTTTATTCTTCTCCGTAGGCTCCGAACGCATCGCCGCCAGTTTGTCGTCAATCTAGAGGATATGGGAAAATATGCGTCACATCTAGAACGACGACATCTAGATGGCTAAAGCTGTGCTTACTTCCGTAGCCACCAAATGTCTGACGGCATATTTCGATATAGCAATGTCTGATGCTCGCTTCCCGTCGTAAGTCACAAACACGTCTATCGGCCTGTCAACACGGATGAGTATGCACACCGACAGCGAAGTATGCAAGGCAGGCGTACGGATCGAGTCTGTATACAAGTTGCCCGTCGTCGTTCTTGTCGCGTAAGAAGCGGAGCTCCAGGGCCACCATGATATCTACTAATCGAGATAATGTCGCCTTCTCGCATGGTCGGATGATTTGGCGATTCACCTTTGAATATATCAGTACCCGTTGTAACTTCGGCGCAGTAATGTTTCACTCACAGGGTTCAAGGGTGGGGAGATCAGACGGTTGAGGTAGGGCGCAAATTCAAGTTGGAGAATCTGGCCATTGGCAAGGTGTCTGTAATCTCCGTGGTTCCTCGCGGCGGCCGAGCGAAGACACCTGGCAAGAGATGCATATATCTCCTGGTTGGCTGTGGTTGCTACGTGGTGCTACGTGACAAGCCTCGGTAAGCGTTCGCGAGCCACGGACAAGGCACCCGCCACTTACATCCCATGTAGCCTTGGGCCGCTCCAGCTTCGGTCGACCGCGTTCCTGGAAAAGAGGATAGAATCCCACGAACATGAATGGCAAATACTCTGCCAGAGCGAACTCGCGCTCGGTCCACATCTCTCCCGAAAGCACATCATAGCTCGTGAGCCATTCAGCGGCCTTCAGGTACCTTGCAAAGTTTGCGTCATGTCGATGGCAGGTCGCATAGTACTCGAAACACCCTGGAACGTATTCGTCAAGTTGCATGAGCACACAACCCAGACAGACAGTACCTTCAGCAACCCTGTCCATCGCACCGGTGCTTTCGACCTCACGACTAAGCCGGCGTACATACCGGGCTTCATCCTCCTCGGTGAGTCCAAGGTCCTTGGTGCGTTTTCGCGCCATTGGCGAGAAGAGGTCGTTTAAGACAGATGTAGACGTCATATCGACCTGTTTCATCCCCGCAGCCGCTGTCCGCACCACGGGCTCCGTCACTTCCCGTCCTTTGGCTTTGATAAGCTAGAATTACTGGGATGAGATGCTCTCCCTGATGTATACACAACGTAGGCCTCACTTGGAGCATGTTCAGACATCCTCTCAGGTCACCCTGCGCGATGCCAACCAGTGCTGTCAGTGCCCTCGACTCCGCGCGCAGACCCTCAGTATCGCAGATCTCTCGAAGGCGGCGCACGAGATGGATGTCGTTGGGGCGTGAAAAGCGTACCACTCGCGCAGACGTCCGCAAGTCCCTAAGTGCAGTAGCATAGAGGTCATTGCAAATGCAAATGATTGGGCGGAGAAGCGGACGGGAGGCTTTGGGATCAGCTTTGCGACCTATCAAAGACATCATGGTCAGTAAATCTACATCAATATACGCGAAAAGTGCATACCCTTCTTTTTTGGGCGATCATATGTCAATGAGAGAAGCTTTCGGACGAAGCCAGCAGACTGGGGCACGACTGTGAGCCACGACTCCAGGGACGTATCAGTAGCACGTACGTGATCTGAACCGCCAGTTGCACCATCTATTTCGTCAATGACGACTAAGACGGGCTTCGAGCTGCCTACAGCAGAACCTGATTCTAGTGCAGGTCGTAGTCGGTCATCCACGACCTGCGCCGATCGAGCGTCACTGACAACAATGGAGTAAGCAATCAGGTACGCGAGTTCGCACTACATCCTACCTCGCGTTGATCTCGAATACTTCGTAACCTGCATGCCGAGCCACCACATGGGCCAGAGTTGTCTTACCCAGACCCGGTGGCCCCGACAACAGCAAGATCTACCTAATATTCAGCGCCGCCTATACGTCCATGAACTTGGCTGCCACACGCACCTTCTCTTCCGGTCTCTTCCATTCGTCTAAGTTATCTCCGTCTTCTCCTCTGGGACGCTTCCGTCCACGACCAAGACCCTGTCTACGTCCGAACACACAATAATCCCATTCCTTGACCCACGACATGACTTCGCGGTGTACACGATCATCACCTAGAAGGTCAGTAAATCGTTTTGGAGCGTAACGGTCGACCCAGAGCGCATTGTCCTCGCTCCCCTTTGAATTCGCTGTTGTGCCTCTAGAGGACTGTTGAGCAGCAGCAACCGCTTCTGCGTCTCTGGAAATTAATACAATAGGTGAGGTAGTGATACAACCGGCCAAATGGTACTCACGAGCGAGACAAACGAATGGCTTCATCTGTGGAGAGTTGCTCCAAAAGGCGGTGTATCGGCACTTCGAGCAGGTTGCTGAACTTCTGCTGTCCTGGACCAGGCGCTCCCACAGTGACCTATATGTCGCTGAGCGATAGACAATTCTTCGGTGCAGACTTTGAACATACCCCCGTTGTAACCACAGTTCTCCGCGGCCTCCGCTTCAAAAGGACAGACTTGCCGTCGAAATTTGAGGCCCGTACGATGTATGACGTACTAGCAGAACTGAAGCTTGAGCTAGCTGCCGCTAATATACTTGATTCTGTTCGTGCGTAAGGTCTGAGAATTTCGGTAACCTCTGGGAGTTCCGAATCTGTGGAGAATGTTCAGTGTGACTGCTGCAACAGCTCGAAGTCAGATAGCAAGCATTGGTAGCTCACCCTGAGATATAGAATTCGTGGCAGGTGCGCCATCTGGTGGAGCAAGTGATGCTGACAATACACTCGCGTTGACTCGGAGCAGCAGGAGTCAAGAGAAGATATACACGTACTAGAGCCGCTCAGGCCATCGAATAGAAGACCCGTAGATATAAAGGTGTCTTCTGCATCGCGCGACTCTTCCGAGGCGTGGCGTCAATCAATGAGTGCGTCCAGCTAGCATTACACCAAGCTCACCATGTGTCCCAGACCCATCAATCTCCATCGGCTCTGCAGCCTGCGTCTCGCGAGTCTCATAGTCTGCGTCGTCGCGCCCCGTCACACATCCACCAAGCAAGCCATTTAGGACAAAAGGGTCTTCGACGGACGCGTAACCAGGGTCATCAAGGTCGCGGTCAAGCGACTCCGAAGGGACGAGTAGGCTGCTTGGTTGACCGAAAGTATCGACTTCGGCCATGTCTGCTAAGCTACAGAAGCAAGCACAAAAGCAGAGTGGTTGCAGGAGGCTATTCCGTAGAGTGCAGCTGAGCGAGGAGTTATGCGTATGGCTGTTCGAGTCTTGATCGGACTCATGAAAGTCACGGTCGTGTTGCGCGCCGCGGCTGCGTACGCGTCTGTCACAGTCTCACGTGCCTTGTGACGGTCGTGCGTAAGTTATATGATAGGGCCCCGGGGGCCGGGAGTCCGCCGGGTCCCAAGTACTGTAGGACTCAAGTCGACGACTCCTTTTCCCCTCCAGGTCTGAGCACAACAATACAGGTATGCGAAATGCGCAGAGCTGCAGTGCAGTAATGGCTTTGGCCCATGATCTGACACCGGCATGATCTAGTACCACCGGGGCGGATCTGAAGCTCAAGCCTTCAATACACGGTACACCTGCTCTGAACCCGGGACTCCAGTATCAATGGAGAAGAGTTCAACTTGATATATGTTCTTCCCCGTTCACCAACCCCGCTGTTTGCAACACTACATAAGACCAGGCATGGATGACAATAGACCAGCATTGGGTGGTCCAGCATTTCCCTCGGTGCTGCCACTGCTGGAACGCTGATAGCCGGACCTCAGCAGCATGACATCGAATGTATTGCCCGCCACTACGTACATAAGTGCAACAAGTCCAACTGACTGCACACTGACAACTGTTACAATACTGGCACTGAGGATACAGACAGACACTACAATAAATCAAGCAAGCTCAGCGAAACCGACAGCATTCTGATCGACGGAGAAGATAGTGTAGAGGCTCTGCATGACACTGCAAGGACACGACCGCATGAGTATGACAGTTCGCCTGTGGCAAAAGACGCAGATGCTTACGTGTCGCCGAAGAGCCAGACGTTCTCACCAAGACCGAGGTCCTCGCCGGCAAGCGCCGCTTGGCAGAGACCGTTTTCAGCCTGGCCGAGGTTGAAGCTACGGGAATCGCGTGTGAGCACAATGAATTGACACTGGTCAAGGATGGACTTACGCGTTAGAGATGTCGAACGTGTTGCCGCCCCAGGAGACTTCGACTTTCGGGAAGTCCGAGCACGAGAAGCCGAAGTCGCCGTTGCCGAGGGACTCCGCACCAGAGGCCTGGCCGTACATGGTGTTCACGGCACTAGTCGGACCATACATGAGGGTGGTGCCTGCACATCCCATTGAGTACTCGTCTTACTAAGACAACTGTGAGCGACTCACCACTGTCGATGATGGTATCAAAGCCCGAGGCGACGGTCTCGCCGTTGATGGAGATGCTCGCACCGCTGATCTGCCAGAAGCCCGAGTTCGAGCTGACGTCGTGGAACTCGGGGTCTCCTGAGTACAAGGAGCTGTCCGAGCCGCCGATGTAGAGCTCGGAGCCGCTCTCCGCGAGGTAGAAGCTGAACTCGCCAGAGGAGACGACACTCTGCTCGATGGCGGTCCAGAAGTAGGGATCCTAGACAGAGGTCAGTGGGGATTAAGCAGACAGTTGAAGGTGAGGACGTACCGCGTCGAGGTTAGAGAGGGCTGGGAAGGCCATGCCCATGAGACCGTCAGCGGCATCGCCAACCAGGTCCCCACTCTCGCTCGTCACAGCAGAGAGTGTCTGGCCAGTGACGGCAACACCAGCAACACTGACTAAGGGCAGATAAACATATCAGCATCTGTCCACATCCTCACTGCCATCCGCCTACCATCATCAGTGTAGATGGGGCCAGACGCCTCCGAGCCGTCGCCGTACTCGATCTTGAACGTGCCGCTCTGCTCCTCCGACGTCGACGACTCGGACGCCGAGTACGAGTGCTCAGCGTCGCAGCCGCTGCAAGACGACGACGGGACCCAAAGGTCGGACGAGCCCGTGTCGAAGTCGATGATGAACGACTGCGGGGGCGTGCCGATCGTGATGGTGCCCGTCCATTCCGCGCCGCCCTCCTGGTCAGTGAGCGCCTCAGACTGGCGGGCCTCGAGGCGCTTCTGCACGGACGAGGGGACTTTGGCGACGGGCGGGATGTACGCGCCCTTGGCGTAGCTCGCGAGACCGATCTTGTGGTCAATAGTGATCAAGTTACGGCGGTGCTTGCTGCGATGAGGCGTGGCTCGTCAGTACCTCTCCACACAAATTCGACGTATAGACAATACGCGTACTTCTTCACCCGGACCGTCTCGCGGATGAGCGCCTCGCGGTCGACAGTACCATCGGCCTTGGTCAGGAAGCTGCGCTTCCGGATGGGAATGCGGATACCGGTCTCGTGCATGACCGGCGTCGCAGAAGCGAACAGAGCGAGAGCGACGGCGAGCAAAGATGCTTTGCAGAACATGGTTGCTGGGCGGCGACGCTGATGCGGGGAGGTGAACTTGGGCGAGAGGAGCAGGCGACCTTGACCCAGTGTTGGTCTGCACCATGACTGTTGTCGTTTATATATGCCTCCTTGGCGGCCGCACCGTTCCCATCTTCTGCGGGACCCGGATGGCGATCAAGCCCCGGGCAGTGCATGCGCGATGCGAAGCATTCGATTTCCATGCTGAACTCGGTCGCCACCGCACCTGTTCGCGAAGCCTACACACTGAGCGATGAGCTCGTGCCATGGCAGACGCGCCACCGCCCCGCCAGAAATAGCCATGGACAGCATGGCTTTCTTGGGAGACCCTGTTCCCCGCATGTAGATGAACCACTTTGCATACCAATTCCGGAGAAATGCGCGTCAAGCGGGAGATGGAACCTTGTGGGCGCCGCTATGGAATGAACGTCGTCGTGTCCTCGCTGGACGAGGCTTATCGCGATCCGTGGCCACAGGACCATGCGGGTTCATCGACGAATCCACACCTGTCGCTGCACCGAACACCTCACGGAGGGGAAGTGCATCCCGACCATACCATAACATCTCGGTGGAAAGGGTCGACCATGCCATATGCGCTGTACGAGGATGCCAGGGAAAGCCTTATCGTGCCGTTCCCGGAAGCTTCGAGCATGGCGACTCGGTTGATCTGTCAATTGTGTGTGTGGTCTGTATTCGGGGCGAAGTATGTTCGGAGTTCCCGGGCTGTCTCACCTCTGGCAACGAGGGAAAGTACTCGTCCATCCATGGGCCATGATTATCACCGGACACCGTTGGGAGTCCGATGAACTGCTGGAGGCCTGTTGCAAAGATATTTCTGTGCAGTGCGAAATGGAAGGAAGGTGAAACGATGGCACGGATATACAAGGATAGACGGAATGAGTGGAAAGAGGCTGTGGCGCGGACACAGGCAGTTGCGAGCGGAAAGATCGTCAGATCACCTCCGACGCCTCCTCGATTCAGAGCACGTGGCAATATCAATGCGCCTCCCCTTCGGAACCGCCGTACTCACCACGCCTGCATCGCGCGGACAATTCACCGCCACGACAACGAAGCAGGACAACGAAAGCTCCCACTGCAATATGCAAAGGCCCGCATCACACAGCGTGGCCTTTTGTTCACCGGTGAACCCCTCGTATCCGTATTAACGATCGGTAGGAAGTAGCAATACAGGAAAGCCCACGCGACAGCGCGGGGGGAACGTAGCATGCACAGCACTACAGTTTCGTGAAGGTCAATCAAGTCCAGAGGAAAGCGCTCAGTCCGAGTTCATGAAACCAAGGAAGCCTGGCTCTAGAGCAGGCCGGCAACGAGACCCACGATGGACAGGACGAAGGCAGCGCCGCCAACGCGGACAGCACCCGCGCCGCTGGCCGCCGTTGTGGACGAGGCGGAGCCGGCCGTGCCGGACGCGGTGCTCGCCGCACCTCCACCAGCACCAGCACCGGTAGAGCCAGAGCCAGACGACGACCCGGAGCCACCCATCGACGACGAGTTGGAACCGGAGCCGGTCATCTCAGCAGCGGCCTGGAAGGCCGAGAAGCTCTTCGCCGCCGTAGGGTTGATGGCGAAGACCATACCCTTGGCGCAGTGACTGGCGGCGGACAATTGATCAGTTGCGGCGCGCGATGCGATGTGATGAGGGCACTTACCCAGTCTGCTTGCAGTAGAACCAAAGCGGCGCCGACGCGTTCTGGATGGTGAAGCTGAACGTCGGGAAGCTGGTGGAGTTCGCCGCGACGGGCATGAAGCCCGAGTCGACGCCGGTGCTGCCGTTCGCAAGGGTCATGAGCGAGCACGGATCGGCAAACGTCGACTGGGTGACGGTGTGGTTCTTGGCCATGCTGCGCGACGCCCATCAGCGGATCCCCTAAGAATAGCGACAACCGCGAGAAAATACATACAACTCGAACATGATGGTGTCGCCGACGGTGGCGTTCACACTGCAGATCATCTGTCAGCAAATCATCGCGGATGCGGGGTGCAGGCAAGACGCATACCTCGGGGGGCTGTAGGTCAGGGAGTTGTTGCCACCGACTTGAACGGTGATGACCTCGCCCAGGGCGACACCAGCCGACAGGAGAGCAGGGACGATAGCAGAGAAGCGCATCTTGGACTTGACTTAAGAATAAATGGAAAGAAGGTGCACGAGCGAGCTACGTCTAGAGCCGACTGGAACTAATCGAGAACTGGGAGTACCGTCGTGAGTAACGTCGAGCGTAAGAAGGCATGTCGGGGACTTACCCTGCTCGGGGAGCTAAAACCTGACCGACTGGATGCGGGGGAAGAGGGCGGAATGGAGAGGCGACCGGCGCGTACTCATGTTTTATAGCCGCGAGCCAGAAGACGAGTCGGCTTGGCGACAACGCGCAGGTACCATCCATCCCTGATAAGGCAAGACTCCGAACCTTCTTTCGAACAGCTGCCCGCGATCGCGCGAGCAACCGTTGCAGGCTGTTGCAACTTCCGCGCTGAGTCGCACCGTGATTGGACGATTACACGAGAACGACACCCGTGCCTTTCGACAAGCAGGCACTCTTATTGTGCCATATCGTCGTCTGCTCGCATTTGACACCACCAACAGTAGCGCGGCGTACTACTACAGACAGCAGGCTCGGGGGAGGCAGCGTTGAACTATTATTCGACGAACAATGTTGAACTGCATCGTCGCTGGCAGTGTTGAACTGCACAAGAGAGCCTAGACCACACGCTGATTGGGCGTGGCTCGGGGCATCCTTGATCCGTCGATTGCGTTGCCAATCAGCAAATGGCCAATTGAATTCGACTGAGCAACCGCGGGCTCCTCCGCCTCGGTTATGCCTGCTTTGAGTCATGAAAGCCTCACGGACAATTGAATCCCGCTGCTGTTCCCGGAGACTGCCATCAGCTGAACTGTCTATCAGTGGTGAGAAGCTCGTCCACCTAGAGACTGACCAGACATACGCTATTAATACGCCTCGAATCAGTCACTGAGGTGCTATATCAAGAATAGCCCAGTACGTACCGTGTCTCGAGTCTCTCGATGTCGTCGAGGACACTCAAGCGATGTTTGGACGGAAATTACACACGGCACAACACCTCGCCGTGCAGGAATGCAAACCAACCGTCCTCCTGCTCGCCCCACTTGCGCCAGGCCTGAGCCAGCCTCTCCAAGTCCGCTTGAGTAGCGTGCCCGCCGTCAAGGGCGCGCTGGGGAAAGGACGATCCGAGGATACGATCCTGCCACATAACACTCCACCACGCCCTGTCCTCCGGCTCGCTATAGCAATAGCTGGTAGACGTAGCCGTGATGTCCTTGCGCGCGAAACCAGCCTGGATGGCCCACGACACGAGCCTGCGGCCCGCGTTGGGCTCGCCGCCGAGCGCGCGCCCAACGCGCATGTGCAGCTCGCGCCACTCGACGAGCGCATCGTTCTCGGGGAACCACGTCATGGTGCTGAAGTCACCCTCGCGCGTGGCGACGAAGCCGCCGGGCTTCGCGACGCGCTTCATCTCGCGCAGGGCGCCGACGGGGTCGCTGATGTGCTGGAGCACCTGGTGCGCGTGCACGATGTCGAACGTCCCGTCGGGGAAGTCGAGCGCGTGGATGTCGCCGACGACGAACTCGATATTGGAGACGCCGTGCGCTGCGGCAGTCGTGCGTGCGTCGACGAGGACCTCCGGGCTGTACTCGAGGCCGATGACGTGCCCCTGTGGGACGCGCTGGGCGAAGTCAACGCTGATGGTCCCTGGGCCGCACCCGACGTCCAGGATACGCATCCCCGGCTTGATGTGCGGGAGGAGGTACGCCGCGGAATTCTCTGCGGTGCGCCATTTGTGAGAGCGCAGGACGGACTCTTGGTGCCCGTTGATGTAAGTTGCGCTGGGGGCCATGACTGACGGAACAACTAACAGAAAGTACTGCGAACGCTTCAGTTCTTCCGTTGGTAGTAGGACTTTCGGGCATTACTTACCTGGGACTTGTTGGATCGTTGGCCTCTCCCTCGCGATAAAGATAAATGGTGAGAGAGAAGTTAGAACGAGGGGTAATCCAGAGCGCTCATGAGCTCACCCCTCACACCTTATATACGAGCCGCCGTACTTCATCGATTGAGCGAACCTCCATGAATATCAAGGCAGTGCGCGGATGAACTGTCAGCGAGCGCAGAGTCAGCCGGCTTCCGCTCTCGTCCGTTTACGGCAAGCCGGGCTCTGCCCGAGACCTTGCCGCCCGTAGAAATCGGAGCTTCCATATGGAGACGACCTCGCACAAGCTCGGGCAGTGGTTGGGCAGTGGCACTGACGTCGTCCTGCCGCGTTCTTCAACAACCATACACTTATCCTCACTATGTCTGCCACCCGCCTCGCAAGTCGAACAGTGACCGCGGCCCTTCGCCCGTCGAGGACACAGGTTCGCTCATTGCACTCGACGCTCAGGCGCGAGCAGATCTTCCACAACGCCAACGCCGAGGTTTGTCAACTCATACATGTTCTTCCGCGTCTACTACCGTCTGACCCACCGCATCTCCGAACGCCTTCGCACACAGACGTTCAAGAAGGCAGTGTCGAATGAGGACAAAGTCGTTCTCGTAGACTTCTATGCCGAGTGAGCTGCCTTCCTACTCCGCGCGACCACCGCGTTTACACGGCATGTTCTCCGCGGCTGCTCTCGAACAGTTGGTGTAACCCATGCAAGATGCTCTCACCCATCCTCGAGAACATCGCTACGGATCCCGAAGTCCAAACAGCGAGCGGCGCTGGCGTAGACCTTGTCACCGTGGACACCGATACTGAGATGGAACTGGCGGCCGAGCACAACGTCCGTCCCTCTTGCATGCCACCAGCCCGTCGCTAATCGGACAACGTTTCACAGATCCGCGGGTTACCCACTGTCGTGGCCTTCCGAGATGGCAAGCCGGTCAACAAGTTCGTTGGCGCGCTTCCAGAGGCGCAGGTCCGCGCCTTTCTACGGTCCCTCTGAACACCTCGAAACTTGTACGTTTCATTGACGATGTCAGTTCAGCACCACGCCGGCACGTTCGACACATCTCTATTCCGTCATCACACGCTATACGCTTCCGGTGTACTGTAGCTCTACCGATACTGAGTAAGGCGCTGGCAGTGCACACGCTTGTCAAGCATCCGCTATCGGGGCGCGGTGGCAAGCTACCGCGATCGGTGGCCAGCGGCGAGTGCCTGCATCTGCTAGGTGGGGCATGACAGAATCACGATAGCGGGGCTGCGGTCAGACTGACGCAGCCTATGCCAATTTCGTCCCCCAACACATCGAAGACGCTGCCCACCCGTCCGCCTCTTATTCTCCTTCTGGTTCTCTAGGTGCTTGAGCTTACGCTCGCAATGTCATAGTGCACGTCAATCCGACATCAGTCGCCCGGATGACAAATGGCGGGACGCTACTCACCGCCATTGTCCTGCCGTGACGTCTGCGCGCAAGGCAGATGATGTTGCATGCACGTCAACGGCCTTAGGATGGAGGCGACATTATATGCCTACCATGAGATCTCCGCGAATAAACCTGGAGGTTGTCTTCACAATGATCTTCACCCGTTACAGTAGATTATACAGTATAATGATTGTCCCGGCCTCCTGGACCAGTGGGCGACTTGTAAAAGGTGTCCCTCGTTGTCGACCATTACGGCCTATTCATAAGTTGACGTTACCTTTCTGTTATCTCTACAAGATAAATGCGATGGGTGCATACAATGAGATCCTGATGGACCTTCATGTTGATAAGAACCTAAATGCGGCAAAATCCACTTCGGGGCCGGTGCTGCAGTTTGATGGATTTCGTGGAAACACCCTTCAAGGAACTGCGGCACAACATGATGTCAGTATCCCAGAGTCACTGCACAATGGCTGGACGACAGTGGAGCGAACTCGTACTGACTCGGTATCAAGGATCCAACTTGAAGCTTGAAGTTGTACTCCATCGTCAGACATCACATCACTGAGATCATCAGTGCCGATGATGATCCCGTAGCATTCTCTTCAAGTTCGGATAGATCAGAGTCGGCCAAGTAGGAGGATAAAACAATGAATGTATGCGGTACCATGATGCCACGTTGTTTGTCGTCGTACGGGAGCTTGTGCCCGTTAGACCCTCCGAAGTCGAAGTGCGTTACGTTCAGGCTCGGGATGCCCATGGCATCATACAGTGTCTTTGCTGCTGCACGAGGGGCAAGTATACACGGTGCGCCTACGCATGTCAGTGAACAGATGTATGTTGAGACTTTGCATTCACCGCCATGGGACACCACGTTGAGAGGCTGAAGTAGGAGGCCAATGCCAATGATGCAGCCGGATGACCCTTTTTCTTCTGCAGTGATGCCTTCATCGCGTTGTGGGCCGTCATACTCTGGAGCAGGCGAGTTGGGTTTGCACTCGGAGCCAGTGTCATTGGAGTGGCCCGCTGCTCTGTCAGCGCGGTTTTCCTGCCGCCGTTCCTGCTGTGAGAATGACGCAAATGGTCCGATTCAGTACATGATCGCTGGCGAGGCTGTGGTTCGGCAGCGCGACATACATCCGTAATGCTGCACCCGGCTGCGACTGCATCCATGTCGATGGTCTCATTGGCTGTGTTATGAGACCCGCGGGTCCTCGGAGGGACGCACACCGGTCTGAGTTTTTCCCTTCACCGGTGCGGCATAGATCAACAAAGGTAGAGCGAATACTAGTATGTCGAACAACATAGTGCTTGTGGACACAGGAACGATATGAGAATCGCCTAATTGGTGTTGCTTGAAGGGGGAGTTGCAAATGTTGTCTGCCAGTTCATCGACCACGATGGGTATTTCTGCACGAGAGTCCTCAGACAAAAAGCCACTGGACCTGCTCGAGAATGATTTAAGACCCGATGATACACTGTCAACACAGACCATGTTACTTACCTGGCGACCGAAACTCGACGTTCTCATCACCACCATCGCGGAACTTTACATCACAGCCTAACGTATACAGGTCACTAGGTAATATAGCGAGCGCCTTTCATTGAGCGTGGTGTTTGATTCTGTCGCCCGTCACGACCGGTCCACCCGACATATCCACTAAGTTACGACGGACAAGCCGGGATGTGCGCGATAGACTAGAATTTATAGGACGTCAGTGTGCGTTGGTGACAGCATATATAGGGGGCATCATGAGGCATGGGGACCCACCGTGAGCCTGAGGACGAGCGTTGCCAACATTAAGTCTGTTCTGTTAAAAGCCGGCATCGTTTCATTAGCGATCAATTGGGCTGAGTAGCGTGAAGATGGGGAAGACCGCTCCAACAGACGGTCGAGAATTAGCAGAGGGACTTACACTTCGGAGGTTTTTGGTGTCCCCGCGCGCCACTTAGCGTGCCCGTAGTATGGCCCATAGCAACCACATGACACTCTACCCTGAGCGGGGCACCGCGTCGCGTCGACGTCGTGGGAGGCCATGGTCATCTCGAATACTGAATATTCTCTGGGAGTGTATGGCACTGTAACCGCGTTCGAATGTTTCGCTGTAGGTCTAGATTCGCCCGTCTACACTGGACTGCGTCTGCATGAACCGCACGCCATAATCATTCGATTCCTACGGACGTATATGAGAATCTACAGTGAGTGGGGAGACTTACGAAGGAAGACATTGTGAAACGACGCACATCATCATGACCACAGGCACGTCCCATCTTGTGTCACGGTAGCTCAACAGAGACCGGTAACATAGACTTCAGGCCTCAGGCCTCATCACCATGGACACCGATACCGAGTTGGGAGTGGCGGCCGACTACAACGTCCGTCTTCCGTACCGCCTTCCGCGGTGGCAAGCCGGTCAACAAGTTCGTCGGCGCGCTCCCAGACGCGCAGGTCCGCGCCTTGGCTGCCTGCGATCCATCTGCACGCCACGGAACTTGGACGTCATTGAATATATTGACAACTGACCATTCCACCGGCACACCCGACACATCTCCATACCGTCTTGACATCACATCAGACGCTACGTGCTCCTGGTTGACTGTAGCTCTTCCGATACTAAGCAAGGCGCTGGTCACATTTGTCAAGTATCCGCTATCGGAGCGCGTCGGCAAGCCACCATCACCAATGGCCAACGACGGACGCCTCTGTCTAGTAGGCGGGGCAGAAATAACGAATGCGGGGCTGCGGTCAAACAGACGCAGCCTATGACTTTTTCGTCCGCAACATATCGAGGAATGCTTCTTGCGGGAGATCAATGCTCCCAACCCGTTTCATCTGCCTCTTGCTCTCCTTCTGATTCTCCAAGTGCTTGAGCTTGCGCTCGTAATGTCCTAGTGCACGTCAATCCGACATCAGCCGCCAGCACGTCAAATTTATGGGACACTGCCCACCGCCATAGAGTCCTGCCGTGACGTCTGCGCGCAAGGCGGATAGCGTTTCACGCGCGACAATACGTCTCCCTACTGCGGCTTGAATGGGGACTTCAAACAGCTGCCGAGGAATGATCTTGTCTATGAGGTGATAATTCAGCTACTGTATTCGATCACTGAACTATACAGTTGAGCACGACGCACGGAGCTTCTTGACCCATTGCCGACCGACCTCTTGTTCGTTTGACCGATGCACAATAAGCGCGAGAGCGTCCACTGGCTTGTTATTGAGCAGGAAAGTCATCTTGACCATATTGCTCTTCTGGTACCCAGCGTCTTCATAACTGCCGAGGAGACGTTGAGACGCCGTGACAGACGCCAGGTGGTGAAACTACTCACTCAAAACTTGCGAACCCGGAACTACGGCTCTTGAGTTTGTCGTAGAAGTCCGTGACGATTTCAGTCAAGGGCAATGTGCAAGTCATCATGATACGTGAAGACGCGCTTCCGGTGACATCAAGGTAGCGATGGTCGAGGTTTTCTCCTCGGTGGCTGAAACATAGGTCCATCATATCCCCGAGGTACTCTGGGGACGACGTGTGAGCTAGCGGACGAAGCATGTGTGAGTTCGAAGAATCCGACCTTCCGGCACAATGATGGAGGCATTGACAATAGGTTCAAGTATCTCCTTGACTCGAGCCGTTGAATCCGTGATATCTGGGAAATTGGTAGGGTTGCTGACAATTTCTGTACGGTTCCCAGAACGATCCCCATATACGACTGAGTTGCTTGAGTTATGATTGCATGACAACTGACGAGGTATATTCCACACTTACCTTTGTATGGCACAGTCGGCGCGGTGATGATGACGTTAGCGTCATGTTCGTCCTCGAGCCGTTGCCGAAAGACATCCATATGCAATGTACCCAGGAAACCCAGACGGAGGCCTTGTCCTAGAGCAGTGGAAGATTCACGGCTAATTTCGACGCTACGGTCAGTCAGAATTAACTGACAGAGCACTCTGTGAGTTCTCCCTTCATAAAGATGTAACAGATGTTACGGTACCCTCTTAATGGATTCCTCCATCTTCAAGAAGTCGTTGCTGTCCACCGGGTAAACTCCAGCGTAGACCATAGCCTTAGCAAGCTTGAAACCAGGCATGGATTCAACGGGCTCGCCGGCGCGATGAAGCGTGTCCCCAACATGCGCTGTAGAAATTCAGGTCGTGCGTCTCTCAATCAATTGCCACTTACGGACCTTCTGAGGATTCCTTCATGTTGCATGCGATGTACCCCACTTGTCCCGGCCGCAAAGAAGTGGTGGGCACCTCCTCAGGGTGCATGATGCCCACTTCCACGACGTCATACTTCTTACGTGTATGACATGATGCGATCTTGTCTCCCTTCTTCAGAACGCCTCCCTGGATGCTGACGAGCGAGATGACGCCGCGGTACTTGTCATACCTGCACAGCCGTCAGAACTCACGGTGTAACCATGCTGGAGTTATAATACGTACAATGAGTCAAATAGCAAGGCTTTCAGTGGTGCAGACTCGTCGCCAGAGGGTGCGGGAATTCGATCAATGATGGCCTGCAGGACCTTCTCGACGCCCATACCGGTTTTGGCAGATATCTGGATGCATTCGGCAGGATCTATACCGAACGTGGATTGTACTTGGGCGGCGATGATGTCCGGCTGTGCGGCGGGGAGGTCTATCTGCGTCAATATTGTTAGCAGAGAAACGGGGACCTCGGTACTAGGAAACGGGTACCTTGTTCAGCACGGGGATGATCTTAAGGCCCCGCTCCCTGGCATTATGGAAGACGGAGATCGACTGCGCTTGTATGCCCTGTGTCGCATCAACCAGCAGTAAAGCTCCTTGGCAGGCAGCTAGGGAGCGCGAGACCTCCCAGGCGAAATCGACATGTCCCTGGTATCTGTGATTAGCTTCTAGTCCAACGTAGCCTGTCAGCGGAATTGCGCACGGGCGTGTCAATCAAGTTAAGGAGGTAATGATGGCCGGCAAACTTGTGAATCATGCTGGAGAACCTCGTGAGCGGTATAACACCATACAGTGCATGATTGCTTTACCTCGCCGTTTGCGCCTTCACTAGTTAGCACATTCAGCGTGATACATCTCGGTGTTTATACCTGGACACGGACCTGTGATACCGCGTTCCCGCTCAACCTTCAGCTTGTCTAGGACTTGCTTGTTCAGACCCTTCTGCCGCTTGTCGATCGTGCCTGTCAGCTTTGCCCCGACATCAATTCTTAGCTTCCAAACAGAATGAGGCCGGCGGAAGCAACGGACCTCAAGCAATCTACCGATGTGTCAGTAACATTCATTGGCTTGGCGTAGCTCACTTACCTGTCCGCTAACGTCGATTTACCATGATCTAGCGAATGGGGCGACCTGAGTTTCCAGCCCTTCTCTCCGGTCAACGGATGGTATCCAACGTACCGATGTGGGCAATTATCGAAAAATTCCTGATCAGATTCAGAACTCACTTATCACACACCAGTGATTGTAGAACTGTACCGAATGAGATCAGATGGGTATTCCTCCATGCGCATGGGCTCCCTAGAAGCAGCGTAACGAACGACCGACGTGGCGAGGCCTCTCCTGGCAGACACATCCCATGACCGTCCTACACATGCCGCGTATCTCTCGAGAGCTTTCAAGCACGAGTGTCGCCACACAGCGTACATCACCAACGCGTCCGCGTTGTGTCGAAGCTGTGCAGGAGAGGTCTAGACTAATGCAGGAAGCATAGACGTGAAATCGCTAGCAGCGCGTTGGTCAAGAAGTTCTCCGAGCCACCGGAAGCGCCCAATAGATCGACTCTAGGGTGCTTAGTCAGCAGCACCCATACCCCGCGGCACTGCCAAATTAGGTGCCGCTTTAACATGAACCAAGTTTGGGTTTGTGTTCTCTCCCAACCTTGACGCTCCTCCACACCGCGTGTCCGCAAAATGTCACTCGCAGATGCGTCCGAAGCCCGCAAGGCGCGGCTCGTAGCTCTCCGAAAGAGGAAAGCTGGAGATGCCGTGGACGAAGGGTGAGCCAGACCTTCGGCATGGCATACGTTTATCTAACACCCGCTCTTGTCGTCAGTGAATCCGCAGAGGCTGTCATCAAGCACAGAACCTTTGATCCGGAAAGCCGTACACTGAAGAAGCACACCCGTGAAGATGAGGTCCACATGGAGGACACAGTGGAAAAGAGAGTAGAAGGCATGGCAGAGGCCATTATCGCGGAAGACGAGCAACGAAGAGCTCAGGATTTGGTTAGCGTCTCCGGGAGCATATGTGTCCAACGCGTCTGACGTGCTGCGCAGGACTTATTCAACATTGCGCCGAAGCGGCCGAACTGGGACCTGAAACGGGAAATGGAGAAGAAGCTCGCACGATTGGAGCGCAAGACGCAAGAAGCGATACATACGCTCATCCGTTGGTAGTTGTGACACTCCGATCGGATGCTGAACTCACACTGGCTTACAGGGCAGCGATTGTCAGCTCAGAAAGGACAGTCGGATGATCTCGTCGGGGCGATGAGAGCCCAGGAAAGAGCAGAACAAGTGGAGAATGACGCGTCTGACGAGGAGGACTGACAAAGAGTTACCTCCGCGCTTCTGTCATCTGCGTAAGTAATTATGCCACTTCAGTCCGATCCCATGTAAGGCTCAATTACCAAAATGTACAGTAGGGCGACTCGGCTACGTCCAGTATACTTCAAGGCCGTACTTTTCGGTATGAGGATAAAATAATATCCAAGTCTCCATGGGAAAGAGAGGACAGAACTAATCAATATGAACTCGTAACAGTGTCTTCGAGTGTCCGATTGCGCCCTTTAGAAAGGTTGAGAGTTCAGCATACGAATCATCCTCTCATCCTCTGCGCGACGCGGGTGTGCACGACGCGGGCTATGGTCTCCCTGTCCACCAGCGGCATCCGGGTTCGGTGGTGGCAAAATGACAGGTGTACCCGGACGCCCTGGTAACGAGTGAGTCGCCGATTGAAGTGCAGGCAAGGAGTACGGAACGGGACCCGCATCAGGGTTCCTCGTCCTAGACTTTCCACTCCTGTAGACGCCCTGTGGCACCGTGACATTGCGCAATGTCGGATCGTGGTCGACCGTTGGAATGCTGGGCAAATCAGAATAGGTGAAATACGCCGTCAAATGCCATTTGCGCGGGCGGGTATTAGGGGCGGTCAGCACCCATGCAGAGTAAGCCTGTTTCACAAGGCCTGTCGGATGGTGGTCGCTACGCTCGTAGTGCGATTGCGCTGACGAGCTCCACGTCCTCGAAGGTCCTTCCACGAAACGGAATGTTGACCTGTCAACGTGCCATGTCAGCTTCCGTAAGCGCCTCCGGTTCCCTCGCAGTTTACCTGGACGATTGTCCGCTCGGAGGGTCAGGTTCATCTTGAGATAACTTCTCGTCGTAAAATAGGTAGGGCTGGATGCGACCTGGTCAATAATTGACAGAAGACGGTCGGATGACGCAAGAGAGCACTCACTTCGCGCATCCGTGACTGGCTCCAGATCCGGCCGTCTGTCCATCGCTTCAGACCTGTGTCCTCCTCGCTCTCCTCCCAAACGAACACCGCGCCCGACTGGATGAATGTCGAGCGTTCTGTATCGTTCAAACGGCGCTGGGCCCGCTTCAGTAACCCAAGGCGCACGGCCTCGAATACCGTATGCGCGTCCCGGACGTCACGAAGGTGCAAGCGAGGGTGAGTGGGGCGTTGGACGTCGTTGGCGGGGTCGTAGAACATGGGCCAGTCAGACAGTTTTGACGAAGTCACAGTAGGCGGCGATAGCTGCTCCAAGCCGACGAACACTGCGGCCTTATATCATTCACCACCTGCTGCATTTCGGTGGTTAGTGCGACACCATAACATACAGTGCGCCTGACCTTAGCGCTATAGATCCCAAACGTTCGCGCGAATAATGACACCGATTTTGTCATTGCGCCCGACTACCGTGAAAGGTAAGGTTACGGCAGCTCCTGTGCACCCATTGCGTATCCGGGATGCATACGTGACTAAATTTGACACGGCTGGTCTAAGCCTATGAGTTGGGGATAGTTTGAGGCACTGAGCGCTCACCAGGGACGGATCGCTGGCGCGCCGGGCAGCAGTTCCAGCTTTGCCCAGAGGCATCCCAGATCCGATAGAATAGGGCTCATCAGTCGCCCAGACGTTAGCCGGGGTACAGACGTCGGTTCCACGCCGTCGTCCCAACAAAGACATTGCCAACCTTCGTCTATCTAGACACACAGTAATGCGCTAGATATCATTCGATGTCAAATAGCTGCGATGGCATTTGCTGGTCCCCCGTTCAGTCATAGGCATCACGCAAAGCAGCTCTTGACCGGACAAGTCCGTGGTGATGAGAGATTTAATGGATTGTACACAAGACTTTGCACGCAAGGCTTCGGCTTGCGTGTTCGAAGGAGATGGCCAATTGAATTGGGAGCAAATGAATGACCGAAGTAAATCGGGAGATGGTTGCCGTCCGAAGCCCAACGATCGGAAAACTCATGACTGCGCCGTTCGTTTTTTTCGGACAAGTCGCGGGCAGCAGCTGTCGTACTGCCCCTTGGCCTACTCGGGCTACACGCGCCTCGCCCTCTTTTGACACAGGGTTCAGACCGACGGCTGGGCCTCGTTTCAAGGAGCACGCCAGTGCGTCGCCATCGGCACCGAGATATAGTAAAGTTCGATCGCTAGAATATGATGGCCAGTTGGACAAGCCTCGGGACGAATCACCGTCCCTCAATAGGCATGGGCCGAGCTGGTAGGGGAAAACATCAGAATATTCAGTCCCAATATTAAGTAACTTGGTTGTTTCCCGAACAGGAAGTCTCGGCAGACGCAGGGGTGCACGTGGACCGTTTGATACGTACGCCACCGCCGGAATGCATCCGACACGCAGCCACGCGCTGCTACATTGACCACACCACCCATCTGTCGAAGCGAACGACGGTACGGTCGACCAGCCCAGGTCGGGTGGCGCAAGATGCAGTCAGAACGGCCCACTGGGAGAATCCCAACTCTTGTACAACTTTGCCAGCGAGGTGAGCAGATTCCCGATGTAGTCTAGTTCGCATGGATTATCCAGGGACAAACTGACCAGGGTACGGGACAGTGGCATCAAATCATGTTGACTGTAGGTCCTGCACTTGACGACATAGCGAAGAGGTCTAACTCAAAGGTAGCTATATATACTGTGAGCGGTATGCGGTACGACTTGGTTGAGCCCATACTTGAGAATTGCTCCGCCGAAACGTTGCTCCGGTTAGAGCATACAAGCCCAGTACGTCCTTCACAATCTTTACGATCGCTGTGTTGATCGTTTGTTGTCATGTTGTCATCAGGACATTGAGCCGGAGACAGGAGGTGCGCACTCCAGAAAATCTGCTAGCGAATATCGCAGCTTATTGCAGTCCTAGAACTTTGGAAGGGGCTGTGTCTCAGAACCTCTATGAGAGCCGCCCAGAAATCCGACACATACCAAGGTCCAGAACCGGAATCGTGGCGCGACCAATACTTCGTGAGCAGTTCGTTATGTCTCTCCTGCCATGTGCTCATTATTACTGGGTCTTGGCAGGCTCTGCAAGAGATGGAGGCTCAACGATTCGAAGAGCTCAAGTCGCGCTTGCGGACAATCCGCCGGGAAGCTGACGACCGCAAGAAAGAAACACAGATAAAGCTCACTGACAGATTGCCGCCCGCCAAACGCGGCCGACCCTGTATGTGACTGCATTCCGACTTGCCAGCTCGCGTTGTACTGAGACTCCATGTCGGCAGGGGGTGCAGCATATCAACCAAAGACCCTTCTACAAAGGACTCGATCAGAGGCAGTGCGCATGCAGCAGGGTATTTACGGCACGCCTATGATCCCCATGAAAGCCAAGAGTTCTCGTGCGGCTCCATCCGTGCCTATGGTCAAGCGTCCAATGGGCTCGTCGTCATCCGCGATCCAGTCAACCCCTTCAGGCAGTTCTGCGCCTCCAAGTCGCCGCACTGGCAGTCGCGTAACAGTAACGACAGTAGCCGTTCGTCATACCCCAGCTTCTGGCTCGCCGCCCGCGATGAGAGACACTACTCTCCCGTCTACACCGGCGTCTGCTTTCGAGATGCGCTGTAGTCCACCCTCTATGTCACCGCCCGCTGCATGTCACTCCCCGCTGCCGCGTTCTGTCATCGCAAAAACTACCCCGGCAAAGAAAGATCCCACGGCGTCGATATTCATGCCGAAGCATCGTGCTTCTTCGCAACTTCCTTCCTCACGCAATGCCACACGGACTTGAGTATATTACTTGTTCAGCCGCTATACTACCATTGGATCTACACTGCACTCCACATCGCATCATCCATATCATCACCCAGTCGACATGTCCTGTATTCGCAATCACGCTTGGGGTTTTGGAGGATCAACATCTCCAATGGGATTCCTGCATTGTACACACCGTCAGTATCACTAGAGGCGTTTTCCAGTTGTATCCAAAGGTTCCCCTCATGTAACTTAATCGGCGATGGGAACTATCGAATTTCGATCCCGCAGCTAGAGATGTAAGCTGCGAAGCGGGCGCATGAGGCGTTATGAATAGCTGGCGTTGGCTGGCTCAGGCAGCCCTGGGATTCTTGGTTAGTTAGGTAAATTGGCATTGCGGCGCGTACAGGGTTCTGTCACTTCGACACTAAGAAAGAACCAGAGGGAAGGTATCCCTAGGCTGGCCTTGCACACCAGGAGGCGGTGTGGCATACATGATCTAGACCTTACAAGGACGACGTAATACAACACCATTCGCGCCTAGGCCAGGTCTGATTGAGCCGGTGCAGCGATGCCGTGAATATCGCACCTCAGGCTCGTTCCCCAAGGACACCAGGAGACGATCCTTTCCCATTCTGGCCTGTTGTCCGTTAGCGTAGTGTATGGAGCCTGCACAAGTAGCTCATGACAAAGAGACTACTGCCAGTGAAAGTGTCGACCAAACCGTCCCGGGCCTCTACCTTCTGCAATAGTAGCCGTAGACGTATCGCACTGGTGTTCGAGTTAGTTCACCGAGCGCCAAAAGGTCACTGATACGATAAAATTAGCCATGAACAACACCATCTCCGCAGTGGCCAGCTATTACGAATGAGGGCCATGTCGTCAGGATGGTCGCATTCATGCGCTGTCATTCAGCCGAACGGAATTGTGTCATAAACCCTGAACATGTGCGCTGCGACCACATACAGTCGCTGTCGGGCGGGTTGGGTCTCGGCTTCGGTTTAGGAAATGGTGCGGCAATTTTTGGCACGTACGAACCCTGCCAGTGCCGTGTTTCAGAAGGATGGGCTGGGGATAGGCCGGGCCAGGGTAGTAACCGCGATCTGAGTAAAGTATGCCGCAAGTAGAGCATCTGAACCCGAGAACAAGTCGACCGCAATGGGCAGAGATACAAGGATCGCCCGTGAATGGCTGAACCGTAGTAGGGGTAATTTCAGAACGCAGCTTCAGCGGTATGTCGACGGCCGCAAGCCTGTCAAAGAGCAGGCGCACGCTTGATGAAGAGGACTAGATAAAGGAGACATACAGGTGGGACGATTTTCATCGTGCTGTATATCACAATGACCGCATCGTCATGTGGAGTATGAGCCCGCCAGTTCGCAAAACTCTGTCCGCTACTCACAATAAACAGAAGACTCATCTACGGCCCTGAATTCGACTACCACGCAATGGATCCGCAAGCCGACGCTTCTAGCGGACGTAACCGGGAAACCCGCACTATCTACACCAGGAGATGTGTGCATAGGGTATTCATATGTAACATCAAGCCTTCGGAAGAACATTCCATCAGGGTTTGCCACAAGCATAATGCCAAGGACCCACCGAGCATGTTGGGGAATGTCAGCCGCAGTAAGATCATTTCGTACGTCTCTGCGATACTAAACCGCGCTGGGAGGTGGTACAAGGCACTCACTGTATCGGACAACAAGGGCCGATGTCGCACATCGCCCTTGATCATTGCGTCTCGTGCGCACAGTATGTGGAATGTCTGAGAAGTCAGGATGTGCATATTTGCAAAACACGGGAGTACCATTCAATTTATCGGGCCTCGTTCCTGAGCAAAGGATATGATACGAGTCATCGGTGAGCTCGGACAAGAGACTGAATAAGCTTCGCAATTCAGACAGAAGTGGTTAGCGCACCGACACTTGATACACAAGGTGCGTCTCCAGGGTAGCTCGTTTAGGTGGATTGTGTACGCCACTTGGATCAACTGCCCGTACGACCGGGACCGCACCTCAAGCTGTCTAGGGCCGGCTCAAGGCCCAATGCGGGGAACTTGACAAAAAGCTCGCCAGTCTAATGTTTTAATCAGATTTATACCGGGATCAAATAGGGTACCCTATAGCCAGCTGAGTGCGTGGACGTAGGAGGATAAGTAGGATGGCGACGGTGCGGCTCAGCGAACTACAGCGGGCTTCTGCCGATCGTGGGAACTGCGACGCGTCGCACTAATGTCACACGCCACAGACGCGACTTTGCTTAGCGTGTCATTCTGTGTCGGTCTGTCCATATTCTCATTCATTCAGCTTCATCCAGGTATCAGGTCGGTAAATGTACATGTTAGTTCATACGCGTTTACAGTTCTATATGCAAAGGGAGATATCATCATGTGCAAGTGGACGTGAGCGTGGCAATTAAACAGAGCGATATGCAACGAGTATGATGCAAGAAAAGTCGAGTATGATGGCAAATGACTGTCGTGACTTTATGTGCAAGGTAGAAGCGATACTCAACACATGCGACCTACCGTACAAGCGTGAAAGTTGCGATGTCCTCAGAGCAGTGTTGAGCCAGAACTGGACCCAAGTCCGTAGCTGGTGCCTGTAGCTTGGCCGTCCCATCGCTCGCGGCTCTTCCCCTTCCCCTTACCATCCGCTTCATGTGCCTGTCGTGAGTGTTCCTCGGCATCTGGAACGCCCATGATGTTCGTCGGTGGCGCCTCCCATATCCGAATGGTATGATCATCGGAGCACGAGGCGAACATCCGCTCGTTCTGCGGGTTCCAGGCGACCGAGTTAACACTCCCCGGACCGTGGCCAGGCAGTGCCTCCAGCAGGGTCCCTGTATCACGATGCCAAATATACACGATTGCGTCTGTAACACGCAGGGCACACGGCCCGGCGTCAGCATAGCTTCAGGCTGGGTACGGTAGTGACAAACATACCTTCGCTGCCACTAGCGACGAAGGTCCCATCGACACCACCGAAGCAGCTTCTGATGACATGCTTAGATTGTTTATGGCCCAGATATCTCCGCGCTACACGCTCCGATTCGAGATCCCACAGGTGGATCTCCTGTCATGAGAGTTAGACAGGAGGCCGTGACGGGGGATAGACGTGTATATACGTACACATGGAGCGTTGGCCTCGGGAGCACGGTTGATGAGTGCATACCGCGAGTCGTCGGAGACCTCCACGCTCGTCAATTCCCCGTCTACCGGGATGAATCTAAGCGCGGAAACAGTCGAGTTCGGCCGTTAGCGGGTGCTCCCCTGTAGCTTCGGAAGCACTTACAGTTGTGGTTGCTTCGTCAATAGGTCGTACACGATCACCCGGTTCTCAGCGCTTCGCCCTGCTCCGGACTGGTTTCCGTTCTCAGGTGTGGCTGTGACACCCGGCCCACTGGCGGGAACATCGTACATGCCGACAGCAACCAGACGCGTGAAGTCTGGGGTGACGGTGAGGTCAGTGACCCGGATGGGACTCTGCCCCCAGGAGTCTCTTTGCTTGCCATCGGCATCCTGGGATATGATCGAGATTAATGAAGAATGATATGGTAAGGCAGCATAAACCCGAGCGTACCCAGAGTATAATCTTCCTGTCAAGGCCGCCTGAGATAAAGCCGGACCCGTCGGGGAGCCAAGCCAATGCTGTTACGACATCCGTATGTGCTTCCAGGGACCTTACACACAGTCCAGTCTACGGAGACCATTCAGCCATACTGCGTTAGCATAAACGATAAAAGTGCTCACCCTGGTATTCCAGAGCTTGATGAAATGCTCCGCGGAAGTGAGCAGTATCGAATCATCTAGTGACCATGCAACACACCCCACGGGATATGGATGATCGCGTAGGATAAATTGTGGCGAGATGTCTCGTATTGACGGGTCTTTGTCATGCTGAGGAAAGAGTGCCCGGTCATTGATCTTGTCCATACAGACAGAGTTGGTTACTATATTTACCTCGACTCTCCAAATGATCGCTGTCTTGTCTTTGCTCGCTGACGCGAGGAAGTTCCCGCTGTGGCTCCACTCTAAATTCCATACCTCGTCTGTATGAACTTCCAGAATCGCTGTCGTGACTCGAGGGAATGCGTTCTTGTCGCATAGATGATCGGTATATAGGGAGAATGTCCGTGAATTCGATGGCGCATTGTGGTATAAGCACAAGCTTTGCTGGTATGCGCGGGCCTGGTCGAGCAATGTGGCAAATCTTCGTTGAGGGATCATGACAGATGAGGGTATGTAACCTGTGTAGTTAACGGCACGTGAGGACCACACAGTATAGCGGAGGACAGAGAACGAACGTTGCAGGTTGCCGAGTAAGCGTCGTCTGGAATGACCTGATGCGCCATCCCATCCTGCTCGTTGTCGCAGGTCTTCAGGGTCCGAACACATCATGAGACTGCAACACCGTCAGCATGGACGGACGGACAATTGTCATTGGATGAAACAAACCTCGACAACGCGTGTAATTGATCCGGGTCTACGTTCATAGGCGCAAGCTCGTTCCGCAGTACATGCAGTGCAGTGGTGATCTTGTTTGCCTCTAGCAATTCTAGGTATTTCTGTTGGCTGATGAGGAACTTGGCCTCCTGTGAACGGACATGCGCGTCAATGGTAGTGACGACGTCATACGAACGTCTGAGCGTACCCAGAGTCTCTCATCGTCTGCGACGCCGAGGCGCATCAAAGCAGCGTTTGCCCGGGCCCAGTCGGCGTCCAGAATACACCGTCTGAACTCGGCGACTTCGGGGCTCTCCATGGTGTACCCTGACTCAGCCTCCAGCGTGGCAGCAGACTCGCTTAGGAAGCGAACGACATTAGCGGGAATAGAGCAGCTGCATAGTGGCCACTCACATGTAACCCACGTCCCTCAGGCTCTGTATGATCAGCCTGACAAACTCCTCCCGGTCCACATATGAGTCGTCGTATAGTGTCGATCCCGGCAAAGACACCTTTGTGATGGACGTTGTCTGCGTCTCGAGTCTACCTCCTCCGTTCGTGGCGTCCGTGGGGGACGCCTTTGAATGACCATTTGTGTAGGAGTTACTGTAGCCGTTCTGCTTTGCAGTAGAGCCGTTATACCCGTTAGAGCTCCCTGCCACAGACGAGGGTCCTGCTTCGGGTTGTGTATCGAGTTGAACGGACACAGCGGATTCTTGGTCAGGCTCTGTAAGTCTCATGGCGGTGGATTGGGGGATGGAAGACGAAGACGTGTCTTGGGAGAGGAGGGAACGTTCGATGAATGAGGCAGACGAGCCCTGGGTGTCGATCCTCTGCCGCTTACTCGCGCGACGGAAGTCTGGATCGGTTTCTCGGCGAGACTCAGGCGCAGAGGGAGAGCTACGCGCGATACCAGCAGACGGGTGAAGATAAGACAAAGGAGCTGGGCTGGAGGAGAGGACGAGGGAAGTCGAGGACTCGGGGTCGCCTTCCTCAAGTTCAGACCTCGGCCGGATGGATGGGATCAGGCTAGTCCTCCGCGACGGTGTCCTCGACGGTTGGGCAGTGTTCAGAGGCGAGGATACGAGCTGTGGCAGGGAGGTATCACGGGAGTCCAGGGCTGGTGTCTGGTGCGGCGAGGTGACCCGCGATGGACTGCGCTCGCTGTATGAATCAATGGTGACGGTGGTGGTGCGGGTTCAACTGTGTAGAGCGGTGTTATCTGCGAGTGCAGACACTCGAGGAAGTTGCGAATAAAGGCTGTCTCAGCTCAGACGGTCTGCAGCATGTTAGGTCCGTGGTAGATGTGCTTCGGGTGCGCACACCCCTCATTACGGCCACGCGTCTGCGGCCTGGGGAATACCGGACTCCGACACGCTCCTCTCTCTCGAACGTCCACCATCTCCCTGCCTTGCAATTGTTGCGCAGCTCGCAGCGCTCAGCCTGCTCGTCGTGGCCGTCACGCTCGTCGTGCAGCTGAGCGAGCCCATGTTGCTTTATTACGTTGCTTCAGCATTCACCGTGGCCCCGCATCGATAGTAGCAGGCCTTCTGCGGCCCGGGACGCGCGAACATCGTCCAACTGAATTGCTATCGCCAGCTTCGACCTCCGTGCGCTGCTGAGAGGACGACGGTGCAGGCAAAGAGCCCTTCTCCGCGCGCCTGGCGCGAGTCTTGCCTATCGAGCCTCAATCGCATCAATGCCCTTCGTCGCTTGTTGATCAGTTGCTGGCATCGCATCTTGATAACTTTTCATGCATCGCACAATATGTCATGTAGAAGAGTGCCGATATACTTGAGTTTGGTGAGTGTGTTGTCGAACTGGCCTCAGAATCGATCGCTTCTGTACTGATATAGAGCGAAGCAAGGGGAGTTGACCATATTTAACTATGCGATCTGCTACCCTTTCATGCCGGTGTCTTCTACTATTGGATCCTCTATCAGTGAGTTTGATGATTCGTCACGAGTCGCTCCTGCGAGGGGTATACTGATGTCTATGCTGGACCGCACTTGCTCGGTTCGGCATATAACGTTCTCTAGTGTATCCCGCTGGTACGATACGCAAGGAAAACGCTACGTGAGTAGCCTACCTGCCAGCGTGACATATTTTATGCTGCAGTCATGTATGTTTTGAAGCAATCGAACACGTTCCCTGCAACGAACGCTCCTGCCTGACGCGCTTGTCCCGGCTACCAACATTCCTTCGATGCGACAACATGCGAAAGGCGACGGGCTCAGCGTTATTGAACAGCCGGCCTCCAGAACTCGAGATCGGGAAGTCCAGTTGTATCCGAGTCGTACCGTACGGGTGACCGCTCGACGTCTGTCTCATCATGGGAGCTTTGCCCAACCGTTCACTGGTGAACGGGTTGCGACAGGGATGAGCAAGGGACAAGAGACCAGTACCGTAACGCTTGTCCGTAAGCATCGACTCTCAAAGCAGCACAAGTTGAGTTCGCTGCAGCCGTGTACAAGCCGTGTATGTGACTGCGCCTTCCGCTATATTCGAAACATTACAGTATTACGTCGCAGGTTGTCGCCATTTGACATACGACTTGGTCTTAACTTGGTCGTGATGACATCTGTGGGCGCGCAAACCTACGGCAATTCTGCCGGACGCCAGTAGGTGTCACGTCCGATGGCAATGACTGCGAAGCTAGCAGTTTTTACTCTCCTAGGTGACTGTTCCATTTTGCCCACCACGCTAGCAGCGTCTCAATGGTGTCTGGCATAGTGCATTGTACATACGGGGCGGGGTAAATTCGTTGCGTACACTCAAGGTGAGTGACCCGTGCTGTAAACACCGTCACGCGCGCGATGTCTGTCAGCTAACGACTAGGACATGCCGTGGCGCTGACTGATACAGCGCAGCACTGCAGCAAGTCTCAGGCGGTATAAGCCAAGCTTCAAATGGCAAGGGTCGATGACCGTATAAGTAGACTGGTCGACATCCAGTGTCATCCACATCTGACGTGTCCGTTCGGGGCGCGAAGCGCGGAACGCAGACCGATCATGAATGCATAATCCGCGGTCTCCGGCGTGACGTCCCGAGTTCGGGTCTGCTCAGCTGGAAACTTGTCCGAGCTCGGGAGTATGTGTCGCAGGATCGTATGCACTTGACTGTCATAGACGAATGGCATGTCTGATTAATCATCTAACGCGCTGTTTTCCCCGTGGCACGATACAGCAGACTGTTTTGTTCACTGGTTAGGTCCTACTTACCAGCGCCGTCATCGCATGAACACCGGAACGCCCATGACGCTGACCTGTTATCAAAGGATGTCACAAAGACGATTGAGGCCGGTCCGGCCGTGTCTGGGACCAAGGAATCAAGATGTTTTACGGACGCATCAGGAGCTGATCCGTTGTCGCTAAATACAGAACTACAATGTTTATTATATCTCTGACCGTCGAGAACGTTCTACTCGAATGTCGCTGGGCTGGACAGCTGCGTGAGCTTGAGAATGACATGCATTGACAATGTATCACTGCGCAAGAACATGAGTGTCTTGGCATAAAGGGGAGCAACACACTCACCTGTGTTACAAGGGCGATATGATCTACTTGGAAGCTAGCTGGATGGCGTGGACAGCGAGTGCAGTCGTCAAACCTCGATTCCCAATCTTCACGCCAGAGATTCCGTATTTGTACAACCATCCCTCACTCCAGCCTCCATCACAGAGCTGCGCCGCGATCAATTTCTTGAGGTCGACCTCGTCGTTGATCCCAAGTCTGCAACAGACTATCACCCGCATGGCGAGGTCTATCGGCTCTCCGGGAACACCCACGCGTTCCTTCACGCGGTCCACGAATATTGGCATCGCTCGGTCTTGCAGGCTCTCGTCAAAGGGACAAGCGAGGAGGCGGCTCATGAAGTACAGATACGTGTCCGGCGATGTGTAGTACCTCGATCCGTTCATGTAGCCGCGCTGGTCGAGCACTTCGATGACCCAGTCGAGGGCGCGGGCCAGTTCTCTTCCGCGACGGTGTCGGAAGAAAAGCACAAGAATATTGATATTCACGTAGGGGTCAATACGACGCCGAGTCTTGTCGTGATACATCTGCAAAGTACGTCAGGGCTGAGCAGCTGTTGTTCGCAGAAAGATCTCACAAAGAGGAGCCCTCTATCATCGGTCCAATGCAACATTTCATCCATGACTTTTGCGAGCAGGTCAGGGTCCCGTTCAAGCACAGTCAAGGCGAGAGCGGTTGTATCAAAATCGTCAGGAAAGGTGTCGTAGAACAAAGGTTTCCCTATCAAATGAGATATAGATTAGTGGTGTCATATGTCTTGCAGTATAAGCTCACCTCGGAAGAAGTTCCATATAAACGGTGCTTCGGAGTAAGCTATCAATGACCTGTGGCAGCTACGTGAGTGCCTCAAATTGCGAAGCTCGGTGCTCAGCACTTACTCGTCGCCGAGCACTTCCAATATCATCAGCTGTGCGAAGTTCTCCTTGCAGATATGACCGTTGTCTGTCACGGAGTCCAGGGCACCAGCGTTCGCCCGCAAGTAGCGGTACGCCCCTCGCAGTGGACCTAAGAACAGCTCTCGCAAAGTCGTGCTGACCTTGTCGAGGGAGTCGAAGACGACCCCGTGCATCCCAAGGGAACGCGCGGTGGAGACGTTCTCCGGTTTATCGTCGACGAAAACAGCATACCGGGGGTCAATGCCTGTCTTGGCGACGAGGTGCTCGTAGATAGCCTTGTCGGGCTTGCGTTCACCGATGAGCCCAGACGGGAACACCTCGTCGAAGATCGCCCAGTCCAAAGGCATCTGGCGTACGACGTTATAATCGGGGATGGATATGTTGCTCATGGCGTAGACCTGCAAGGCATCGTCGGACGCCTTCAGCTCCCTGATGAGGTCTGCCAGCTGCGTATTGACACGCAGCGATTCCTGAGCTTTCTGGAGAGCCGACGCGATGTCGTCTACGTGAATCGAGAAGTCGGCGGCGAGACGCGAGTAGCAGTCCTCCTGGGATAGGCGGCCGCGCTCATAGGCCTTCCACGTCTCAGAGGACAGCATATCCCTCAGGAGGCGGCGTGCAACGCGAGTCTTCGTGTCTGGAGACCAAGTGAAGAGAACATCTCCGAGATCAAGGATCAAGACCGTGAACAGAGGCAGCGACGACATGGTGCTGGTTGGCGGAAACAAGACGGTACAGTGACAGCTTTATATCGGCAGGGCCTTGACTAGGGCACAACGAATCTAGGTAGTATCCGGTAAGCCGCCACGCATTCTTGATGGTCCCGTCGGTCTGCGCAGGCGGGAGAAACTATGCCAATATATCAGCTCAGGAAAATGTATCAGAATGCGATTCAAACGGAGTTGGTCGCGCCACCTCACCATTCCAGCGGTAGTGCAGAACCGTTGCACCGGTAGCACGTATAGCACATTGGAATGTAGGACCCGACGATGCTGACTCGACAGCGTCTCCTGCCGCTCACACTGACGTCTGTCGGATCGGCCCACTAGAGTGCGATGATATGTTGCATCTAGGTACCTCGTTTGGATAGAGGCTGATGAGAAGAGCTGTATTACAGTGCATGAACGGCAGATGAAGATCGAAGCCCGCCATGTAATCGGAGCAGTTAGTGACCACGGATGATTGATGTGGCGAGTGCCGGGCGCAGCCCTCCGGGCTGCTCGACCCAAAAGCAACCTACGGGACCTGTGGAGCGACAGACGAACTGCCAGTGTGCGGGCGGGCGGGCCCACTGTCACAGTTTCATTCATCACGGGAATCGTGTCGAGCCAAATGGATGTGGGTAAGTATGCTTGCCTGCGGCGTCCGACACGGCTTGACTTAGCAGATACTGGGTGGTTGATAAGCGACCGAAGCTTTGCGAAAGCTGTACAGTGCTTCTGGAGGAGGACAGTGAGCGCGCAACACTACGGTACTTACTCAAGTCTGCGATCGGCTCGTGCCTCGCCTCTCTCAGACACCGTATCGGCAAAGCAAGCATGTGCCCACGGGATCGTTGCAAGAGTTATTCATCTTCTATGCCGCTGACGCTTCGACATGTCAGTCAACTGGGATAGCTAAAATTTGATATAAATCTACTCACCACAGGCATATTCAAGCACACCAGCTTCAAGTTTAAGCAGTCCGTCGCGTCAAGAGGCGTCACGGTTGAGGCACCTAAACCAGCGCCTACTGAAGCACCACCTGCCAAATCTGACATCAGATCGGGCTTGGATCTCAGTTGAATCGCCACCCAACCAATCCCGATTTGGTCACTACGAGCATTAAATGATTCTTAGATCCTCGCTCTCAGGAAGTGTGCGCTTTACAACTGCTTTACATGACTTCAATCTACAAAATGAGTTCGAGAAACTCGTCGGACCGAGTAGCCGTGACAGGAAAACGAGCGCCGCGCAAGCGCCAATGGCCTTCAAGTTACACCCGGCGCTATGTCTTGGCTAAGTTATGTCGGTGAACAATCCGCGCTCTCAGCATTTCTTACTCCAGACTCACAGCCGCATACCAGTTCCCGTCTCCTCTTACTATTGATACGGTTGCGGTACCGAGTGGATGGTAGGCCCAGGCTTTGGACAATTTGGCTGATCGCACTCCGCTCCGGATTATCCTCATGATGCAGGCCTACGGTCAACGCGTGGCGACCCTCGTCACCTATACGACCAGCCTCATGCAGATTCACATGCGTTGCAACGCTGTCGTCGCGACGGATGGCAGTGTAACATGAGACGGTCACGGCTCACACGCCTTGCTGCTGAATGCACGCATTTGCAAGTCACACATCTCGTGCGTTGGCTCTCATTCGCACGTTAGCTGAAGTTTAGGTTTCGAAGGAGACAGAACACAGCGTTTGATCCGGCGGTTGGCCCTCGATGTCATTAGCCTGTCATCCAGGTGCACCTGTGGATACGGACAAACCGTTCCAATTCTCTGGACGACTCAGAGGCTGAGGGGGGCCAAACGTTTTCCCAAAACAAATGTGACGTTGGAGCATGTCTGGCTTTCCGCAGTTGTGCATTGACGAACACTCCGACGGGCCTCCAACGCGTTTTCCAGACTGGGTCGAGCCTCGCCAGGTCCGTACGCGTACAGAGAAACATACAAGGCCGCATGCGCACGGTACACATGCAACTGGGACCCCCGATGCTTTGGCGCCTTCTCCAAGTCCGGCTCCGTCACTTCGTGGCGTCGAACACGCGGCGAGCGGTCACAACCTGTGAGTCCATGAAAATATTATTTATGATTCCGCTGGGTGAGAACACGCGGCCATCCTCGAGGGTGTGATCACTCAGAGATGAAGACACCTGAAGATGTTGCCGAGGGTTCCACGGGTTCACAGACGACGCATCTCGTCCGTCCGTGACCAAGTGAAACATTCGAGCGCAACGGGGACTCGTACGAGACTGGAGCAGCAGAGAGCTCGAGGCAGGCACGTCTAAGGCGCTATCGCTCTTCATAGCTCCTCCATGCGGACCCGCGTTTCCCGGGATGACTTGATTGATCCATAGCACGCCGATACAGTGCACATCGCGCACATACACGCACAGATCGCCAACGTAAGGCCCTCCCACAGGCACACCATCGCCTCACAGAACTCAACACCTCTCGCCGACACGCCGAAAACAAGCTTTACGCGCACGGGCCCAGCATCCACCCCGCCGGCCTCCCCGTGACGCTTCCGTCCGTCTTCGCGAACCCTCCGCTCGTTCTCGTCCACACATCCTGTGCATCCATCTCCGCTCCCGCCGCCCAATCACACCGCACACTCGCAGGCCGGACTTCCAGTCAGAGACGTTCCTTCAGACTCAGCCCGCCAGCGCGAGCGATTCCCGCACTCACCCCGTCACAGAGCTAGAAGTCCATTCAGCTGCCACGATCAGGCCACCCGGTCATCTGCACGCCCAAGACCTTCCAAGCCGCCACATCGCATATGCCGCTGAAACCAAACTAGACTAAAATCCATTAGCACAGGACGTGACATGCATGCTCAAAACGGACGGACAGCGGCAACTATGGCAGTCTGCAGAGGGCCTATGTAAGAGCGCATCACACAGTGAAGATACAAGGGTATTCTGTCCCAACAGGTCGATTACACAGGGCATAGATCGCTACTGTTATTACACGGGGATACATTTCTGCTTCGCTGGTAACTGTGACTGCAACTGTCAAGGAGATGGGGGCGAGTGCGGGAGTGGGCGGTGATGTGGTGTGATATGGGAGAGCAATGCGACGATGCAAGGTGCTTAGATACCGTGAGATATTGTATACGTATGTATGTGAACGTGACGGGTTTTTAACGACGAGTGAGGAGAGAAGGCCGAACAGACATGTGCTACCGGTGAAGTGGAAGAGCAACAAACCCCATTTTGCGATGTGAAATGGAAGTGGTATGGACTGCTTGACACGTACAGCATAGATTCGAAAGAAACGGCATAAGCGAATGAAGAAGACGAATAGGCGCAGATCATTTTGAGCCAGAACGCAAGCGTGAAGCTAGAAAGTGGGGTCAACGCCAACCGAACCCGAACCTAAACGCGACTGCCGCCGCCCTCCCCACCAGATCCCTTCGCGAAGAGGGGAAGCGCTGGGGCAGGCATCGAATGCGTCGAATAGATACATAGATAGGGAACCACCGGCGCCGGCGAGTCTGCACCCCTGCCCAGGCGGAGATAGGGGCGACCAAGGGGCGACGGTGATAACCTCGCGAGCATCGTTCCAGCCAGGCGTCGCTATGCATTCGAAGCAAATAGATGCACGGTCACGACGGTGTGGAAGACAGGCGTTTTGGAGTTGGAGCAGAGAAAAAGTGGGGAGGTGGGCCTGCACAGGATATGTTGAGATACCGACGATAGATGGGCTGCGGATGCGAGGAGCGGGGAGACAATGCGGAGATGAGTGCGGAAGCGGGCAGGCAGGCGGTGCCAGAGATTTTGCGGCGGAGACAAGAAGGCGAACATATTGCGTCTATACAGAGGGATGAGCGGTGCTGGTATCGGTGAGATGAGTCGTGCATAGGTCCAGTCGTGATTTTCCGTCGGCGTTCGTTCGTGATGAGGCGTGAAGAGAGAGCGAGGGACCGGCGACCACTAGTGCCGCACGAAAGTCCGCCCACGTTCTCGCTCGCGCGACATCAAGCCGCTGCGACCACCACCGTACCCTGGTGCACGGTAGTTGTCGACGCCAAGAGGGGCCGAGTCCAACTCATCAGGTCGCCGCCGGCCCCTACGGTCCCGGTTAGCGACATAGACATCGTCGTGTTCAGGGTGGAAGTGGAGACTCCTCGCGAGCACCTCCCGCACGGCCGCGATATCGTCCTCCTCGGTTGCCTCTCCAAGCATGGCGTCCAACCTGGGTTTCACCGGCGGCGAAGAGTTGCGGCGGGTGAGCGCCCGCCCCCGCATGGGCACGGCAGGGCTGCTGGACATCCAGTCCGCGACCTTCTCGATGCTGTCCAAGCGCGCGCGGGCCTGCGGGCCGATGTGTCCACGACGGTGCGCACAGGGGGGCGGTGAACGCGAGTGCGAGGCGCGCGGCCGCGATTGACGCGGAGGAGAGCGCTGTGTCGACCGACGGCTCGATGCCGAGCGCGCCTCCGAGTCACGCTTGCGACCGCGGCCGCGCTGCGGTGCCTCGCTGGGGCTAGGCTGAGGCTTTGCGTGCACCTGGGAGAACGCCGTGACAGGATCAAGGACGGGATGGGCCGCAACACGGGGTGTGGGAGGTGATGATTGGAACGACCGCGTGATTGCTGTGAGAGTCTGCAGCGAGGAGGGCGTCCGCTGTGCGCGTGGCGGCGTCGGCGACGAGGTTGACGTCGTCAGGAGGGAAAAGTACGCAGGCAGACTGGCTCTGTTGCGTTTGGGCTTGGAGGTGATGGTCTCGGGGTCGGCCTCCTGCTCGCTGGAAGGGTCGCTGGCAAAGCTGTTCCTGTTGCGCCTCGGGCGCCCGAGCAAGCCTGCGGAGCGTGTAGACGTCGACGTCTGTGGGACATCAGGGAACTCTTCCTCGGTGGGCGAGTAGGGCGGGGGTGCGCTGCGCGGCGAGCCTGTGCTGCCCGCGAAGGGACTCGAAGTCGCCGATGCATGTCGGTTCAATGTCGGAATGGTCGAGCGCTGGTTGGTACCAGATGGGCGTCGGGCGTAAGAGAGCCCTTGGCCGCGTGGCGGATACGGATAGAGTAGAGGATCTGCAGACTTTGCACCTTCGGCACCGTAGACGGCACTACCCAGCAACTCTTCGTCCGGACCGGCGCTAGCAAGCTCATCCTCCTCCTCCGTGGAGACAGACCAGATAGCGGACGACGTCGAGGACGAAGAGATGGAATGGCGGCTCTTGTGCTTTGACGCGGTGCCGGGATGGAGTGACCGACCGATGGCAGACGACACGAGAGCCGGGACGTCGACAAGGCTGCTTGGGCCATTGTTTGAGCGGAGGTACGGCGAGGCGTAGGCACTGGAGGAGGTGGAGATGGAGGGCGAGGTCGTGTCAAGGCTCTCGCACTCGTCGCTGCAGTATGCGCGTCTGTGGAGGTAACGTAATAGAAGCTGGTCAGTACAGGAGGGCAACAGAGCGCGGGGAACGCACCCGTCGACGGTAACTGGCCGGCCGCAGAGGAGGCAGACTTCCTCGTACATGGGAGCAGGCGTGCAGCGAGGAGGTCGTGGATGGCGGCGGGAAGGAAGACAGGACGGCGCGACGACGGCGGTCTTATACGCGGCTGGGGGGCGTCTTGTGGCAGGGCGCATGCAGACAAAGGAATATAAAGGGATCTTGTGAAGGTGTGAAGGCGATCGAGGCACCAAATTCTCACTTGACTCGCTTTTCGTGACGCTCGCTGTCACAGTCCCCGCCCTCGGCATCTGCCCGTTTGGGATGCCCGTCACGCGCGTCACGCCGGCCGGCGGGAGCCACTCGGAGACGCACGTTTCATTTTGGGTCTGCCATTGTCCGTCCCCGCGTGCGCCGCCTCCGTTCCAGCACGCACGCCGTCCCATTCTTTCCCGGCCAACGTGTATTCCAGACGCCCCGACCCATCTTCGCAGCCGGTGTACCATCCCAGTCGCAGCCAGGCCGTCCCCTGATGCTGCTTGGCGCCCCGGTCACCCGTGCACCCCCTCCCCTGTCGCCAGACATCGGACCGCACGCGTGCTTCGTCCGGCCTCTCGTCGCTCAGGCGGCTCGCCCGTCTCTGCGCACATTGGCCTCACCACTGCCTATTTCGCGCGCGTCTCCTCGCCCGGGGTAGCACCGCGTCGGACGCAATCGCGCGATGGCGTGCGCCAGCCACCTCGCAGGCCCTGCTTGGGAATGTGTGCAGATCCATGCAAGCCGGCGCATGCATACGTCAATTGACACTATTTCGGAATGGGACCGCGCACGTCCCCGCGAGCAACATGGCGCAATTGCCGCATGCGTACGACGCCACCCCGCGTCTTCGCAGCTGATATGGACAACGCACGTACATCGCTCGCCCACTGATGGGCCCATCCTCCGTGCTGCGCTTGTCTTCTCGCGCCGCTTCTCTGATGCGGATGCTGCCCGTACTCGCCAGCGCACCTGCTCCGCTCCTGTCCGTCAGCAGCGGCTGCCACCCAACCCAGCTGTCTCGCACGTCCCGCTCTACCTCCAGACGGTTCTCCCTGGCTGCTCTTGGTGATAATCTTTCTGCTGCATTACTCCCGGAGCGATAAACCGCGCGAATCCTCCATTCTCGGACAATTATGTCACTGCGCTCTATCTCGGCCTGTTCCAGTGCGCTCCTGCGATCCAGGAAGACGGGCCCTCTATCAGCTCGGGGCGATCAGGGATCGCGAAAACTGCATTTGGTGCGACTATGCCTTCATTCCTTCGACGTATGGATGTGAATGAGCAGAGACGACTTCGTCATGATTGGCATTTGGTGCGACCCGTGCTCCTGCCGAGAGTTCGGTGCAATACACAAGTGGCGTGCGTGCTCTTCTCCTAATAATACCATTGTAAATCCCTCCGTACAATCCCAGAGTCACGCATCGTCATTTCCCCTCACAGTCGCCGCGACCGAGCGAGGCACGACCGAGCCAAGCCAGGACCGAGGCGTCCCCAGCTGTCCCCAGACAGGTCCTCGAGCGCGGGGAACGATCAACCGCACCCTTTCTGTCCACCCACGTCCGCGTCGCATGGCGACAGACCCCCGGTGTCCCGATACGGATAGAGTGCGCGCGTCGTTCCGTCCGTCGGGGCTTGGTCGGGGCGCACGCTGCCCGCCGCGTGACGTCGCCCGCGGATGGCGTGATGCGACGCGTTCGCGTCACGCCCGGCGCCTGCCGCCCGTAGGCGCTGTGGCCCGGCGAGACGGACGAGTCAGCTGGGGCGAGCGTGTCGCCCGTCTCAAGCCTTCGAAGCCCGGACGGATGGAGACGCACTCTGCTGATCCGGCAGCGTCACGTCGGGGTCGTCACCGTATCCGTCAGTGACGACGTTTGTAAGTTGGTTGGAAATTTGGAGTCCGCTGCGCATGTCTAAAAGTGGACGGGAATGGGACCGGAGGGCCGGAAACTCGCATCATCGCCCGGCGGCATGACGCGTGCGCTCTGTTTTGAGATTGTGTAACGAGGTGACGCGGTGACGATGGTGACAGATCGCGCGTGGACCGGGAGGGCGGGTCGCGATGCGAATGAGGACGATGATGTGAGCCTGTGTGACTCTGAGTCTGCGACCCCGTCACTGCGCAAACACAGGCGCAGGCCTAGACCGCGTCACGCAGTGGCCGCGAACGCATGCTAAAGCCTATTTCGCGCCAGACGCGATCACGCACGCTCCGCGCGCGAAGTCCAGGCGAAGACTCAAGACCGTCCCCCAGATCCTGCACGCAGGCGCGTTTTGCATCATCCCGAAATTCTAGGATGTTTCTAGTGTCTGAACGTTATTTTTCACCGCTGACTTGGGATGCGCGCCTTAGGCTGATGCGCCGACGCCGACGCCGACCCGACGTGTCCGAGAACCCTGCCAGTCAAGCTTGCGACGGTCAAGGCTGACTGAGAACACCACTTGGCGCTAGACAGAGTTGAGCGATGGTTAGTGAGAACATGACCAATCCACCGCTTTGGGCCGCCTCTTCGCCGGCCACTAGCTCTGATTGCGCTCTTCACAGAATCATCCGCGAATGTCCATACGGTGGGCAAGTGAGGGTCGATTCTTTGACAGCCTGCGGTATACGTGACACATGGGACCAATTACGGTCATGTCGTAGGTGGACGATACGGCACTACCCTTCGGATAAGCATCAATTCGCGCAATGGATCGCATGGATCGCTCGTCGTGTATTCATCATCGCTATAGCTCCCCTATACGTCCAAACTGTCCGAGAGCTACTGTACTTGTCAGTCCACTAGTATAATGATGGCTGACACCGGGCTGTCCAGGCTGTTCGGAATGCGCCCCCCTCCACAGGCGCAGCACTGTCATGCAGGTACTCATTTATCATAGCCGACTGTGAAGCTGTAGTGCTATTGAACTGCCCTCGCTCGTGCAAGTACCTTCACGGTGTACCGTAAATGGACACACATCGCTTCGATCACAGATCACAGAAGCACAGGCAGCCAGGGGCAGCAGATCTCCGAGATCTGTGCCCCGCGCGGGCGCGCCGCTTCCATGCCTGCCACCGTATGGCGCCCGCCGCAGTCGCGACCACCGTCCATGCTTGGAATCTTCGCGCCTTCTCGATCGCACCGAAACTGCCATCTTGGGCGGACAATGGACGGCCTGCCATTGTCCTCCAGCCTTCGCAAGATCTCGGTGATGCATGTATCACGTCGCAATTCGAATTGAATGCGACTTCCCTCGGGGCGTCGAGTCGACATCGCCCGGTATGGGTGTGCCATCGTCTTGGTGGATGTGATTGATCCAGAGTGCGGTGTGGGTGATACGCTCGTTTCGCTTCTGCGGAAGTCTGCAGCCTGATCAAGCTTTTGTTCGACAGACGCGGTGTCGGCTCGACGTCCATCGAGCCCCGCAGACTCGTCCGTCACGCCTGCGACATTTATTCCCGGTGATTATTGGCGTCGTTATGCTGGTGCGTGACATTGACATGGGTTACAAGGCCGGCGGAAACGGTATCCTACCGACAGTGGCATCACCGCCGGGGCGCCTGACCCCGACAAGGGAAGACGGGAACAACATCGAACTTGTGACGGTCCAAGCTTGGTCCAAGCTGCTGTCATTGCTCCGGAGCCTTTCCAGAATTCACGTCTTCACATTCAATGATTATATCATGACGGGAATGACGTGGGCCTGCAGCCCAAAAGCTCTACCATGCGTGAGCATGAAAGTTCGCTCTCACCGTGGAGCGTGCGTGCTTCGGATTTCACTGATATACGTGGACTGGTACGTGCTCTATCCCTTTCCTGCGCGACTATGTCACCATACCGCCACAAGTGCTCACCGCCAGACACGCCGCAGGCCCACGGAAGTGCCGGACTACCACCGGCGTTGCACTGAGCTCGCCGGTGGGAAGGCACGGCGCATGTGCGGCCGTCGGGCGATTGTGCGCATGTGAGAGTCGGTGACGACGCTCGATGGGCCCCGTGATTATGGTGACGTGCGTCGTTTCACAACACCTTCCTCTGTGGGCCCATCCCCACTCACTGTGGCTCCGCAGGTCCGTCCGTAGGCCACTCGTGGTGTGCGAATCATGTGAACACGGTCCAGTGTAGAGGCGTGTCACCCTGTCCGCGCGATCGACCGTAGACCTCAGGCTACAGTGATCTATTCAATCGCGGCCCCATCCACCCCTGGCATTTTGTGTTCATTCTGGCGTAAGGCCGCCAGGACGTAGCACCCGGTGAGCGGTAGCGCGTCGCCCTAACGGGCGTTACAGGTCCACTTGACAGTATTGACCTACGCAAAGTGGTACGTGGCGTAGGACATTGAACTCGACCCTCCTCCGTATGTCCCGGTTGGCAATTGTCGGAACGGTCTTCCCCATGTTCACGATAACTGACTCGCTCCAAGGGACCACCAATAACACGCACACGTACAATATATCCTGTGTTACGTTACATTGGACATAGTCTTCTCCAAGTTTGCCGCATGCCGTGTTACTGGCCATCATCGCAGGTTGGCAACACCGAGCGTGGTGTTCATCATCTTTCTTGACCCGACGCCTCACTGTTAAGCACTGACATCTCAATATCGTTGACATACAGGTCCACGACGTTCTTGAACCGCTGTATTAGTCTCCGCTAATCAGAGACTGCCTACCTTCCTGACCGGTGTCCGACAGTGTTAGACCTGAACACAGCCTGCAACGCCACAGCAGTGAGTGAATTGACGATTCTTCTCTTGTGTGAGTGCAATGCGATGAGATCTGAATGATTTACAGTGATGTTGTCAACCTGCTTCTGCATACGGCGATAAATCGTCGGTTCCTGCGATGTCCCTTTCCAGTGAAGGCTACGACGTTCACGGCGCGGTCCTATTCTGTCTATGGTCTGCCTATCGAACGCGCCGGATCTACACCTTCATGCAGTTTCGACATTTCTGCATTTAGCGTCATCGGAACTTCCGTCGCACGTCGTGGCATTAATGTTGTACCGCCGCAGGGTGGGGACACCGACCGCGATGTCCGACATCCCCCTTTGATAGGCTCGCTGCCTGGCACACCGGAAAGTCGGCTCTGGATTGGTACCACACGGATTTGTGACGTACAAAACCTCGAACAGCGAGGTGTGCGGACCTCGTGTAACTCGGGTGTCAATACACAAGGCGGCAGTGGCAGTGATATGAACACAAAAAGGGTCATTCGCCTGCGATTCTGTTTGGACTCTGTCGCTGCGAATCAAAATTGTCCTCCTATTCTGGCAACCGTGTGAGGCCTTGTGTGGGGCAAATAAATCCGACGGTCGTGAGGCTGGACTACGATCACTTCCCTCATGTGTGAGTGTAATATAATACGGTGAGATATTGCTGATTTACAGCGATGTAGATTGAAGCCGGTCGTACAGGGTAACGCAGACTGCGCATGTTGGGTGTGAGATCGGATCCTGATTTTCGTTCAAGTCTGGCAGTCTGTTGCCGCCCGAGTCTCAACTTGTAGTCACTTCAAATCCTCATCGTGGACAACGAATCCGTAGATGGATTTTGTTACTCCCCAACGTTCAAGCTGCATCGAGATGCTGTTCGACACTGTCGTATTCGCCCTGCAGCGCATTTCTCATCGGTCAAACCTGTTCTTATGACTACCGGTACCGCGGACTTTGCGTTTGAGAATGATCGGCTTCGCTCGCCCAAGACTCTGGTCCTCAAATATCAAAGCAGAGGCAAACTTGTTGAGTAGTACTGTGCGTGTCTATCCAAGAGAATTATCCACCTGTATCTCACGCTTGCGGATGATATATGCGCTAGAGCCTGAGCAGAGCCTGAGCAAACATTGGAATAGAAACTTCCTCTCACGACCCACGTACCGCGTCGAGAGTTGGACCGGGCCACTGCGATGGTCCAGCACATTATCGAGGACCTCGCCCGTTCATCATCCAACGCAACGCAAACCCAGACCTTTTCGCCACCACCCCCATCTGCCACGCCTCGTCACAGATCGAATCCGGATCAGCCTGCCTCGACGGTCTGGGCTCTCGAATTTGGATCGCGGCTTGCGGGGTATGTCCTCGGGCGCCAAGTACTACAACACCCCTCTTCTCAGAGTCCAGATCGCGGGGCGATCATTGACACGACTCGCGGATGACATATCTCGGAGAACGCAAGGTATGAGGGCACACAGACATACACACCGGTTAACCCACCGCCGTCGATCGCCGCTGGTCGGTCGTGCGTGGCCGGAGGCTGGGAGACTCGACTTGCGCAGAACCGCGTAAAGAATTCAAGTCCATTTTGTAAATGGGCGTGACGTTTGAGGTGGTTGGCGGCTATGGGTTCTGCACGTTCGTCGTTAGAGCGCTGGATGGAGGTGGATAACATTGCTAGCTTGCAGTCGCGTGCGTCGAGCTCGAACGTTGCTCCAGCGCAGCAATATTGCTGGCTCACCGACTTGGACCCGGCGAACGTCTTCGGGTAAATTATCACTGCAACGCGCGGCACGCACAGAGCACAGGCAAAACAGGGCCGCGCAAAACAAGGAGTCGTGTCTGTCTGAGGACGTTTATAGCCATTATGACGTCGCGACTATGAATAGCCCTACCTCTACAGGCAGCGCGGCCGCGCGTACAAGTGACACAGCACTCTTACCTTCTGTCTCTCACCATCTCCAAGATCCTACTAGATCCACCGTCCTCTAACCGACACCGCTAGTACCAGGGCACCATGGGCGACTTCGACAACGCCGCAAACTGGAGCGGCCAGCAGGTGCGCGTGCAGCGGCTCCCTGGGCGACACAGAGGGACTCACCGGTGGATGGTGTGCTAGGTCGGGAGTGCCGAGGGCGACGTGCAGCGCTTTGACAACTCGGTCGACAACGCGTTCGACCGGGGCGTCCAGGACGTCGTCGATGCGCCCGATGACGCCGCGCGTTGGTCCGGCGACCAGGTGCGTCTGCGTACTCGTATCAGCTGCCATATTTTCAGACGTGGAGGCTGATGCCGGTGCTTAGGCCGGGGATGCGGTGCATGATGTGAGGGATGTCGGCCAGGATATCGGGGATGGTGTCAGGGACGTCGAGAACTTTGATCGGGGCGTCGACAACTCGTACGACCAGGGTGTGCAGCAGGGCGAGCAGCAGGGTGGGTGGTGAGCGCGTCGCAGCTGAGTCTGGAGGCTGGATTGAGACATCTGGGCGGCCGGGATGCATGTAGTGTGGCTCTACGAAAGTGTGTCGAAGGAAGTGCTTGGAACTCGTGTGTACGATAGTCAAACCGTAAATGATACCTTGGTCGCAGCGCGCCAGCTCCCAAAAGCTAGTCACAGGTCAGACAGACAGGTTGGCGTTGGGCTGGCCACTCGCGGTCAAGGCGCGCTTGTGGCGGACGCGATCGTTACCTACTTGGCGCGTCAACAAAGTCTTGGCGGCGGCGACGTGCAGTGCCCGGTCCCGTCAATCATATACAGTACCCCGCCCTGCACTCCCCATCTCATCTACCCAGCACACACCACACCACCATGGACCGCGACTTCGACAATGCCGCCAACTGGACCGGCCGCCAGGTGCGCCTCTGAGCCCTCCCCAATCCCCCGATCGAGCAGATCTGACCGATCCCGCATCCAGGTCGGCGGCGCCGAGGGCGACGTGCGCCGCTTCGACAACGACGTGCGCGACGAGTACCGCGACACGCGCCAGGACTTCCGGGACGCGCGCGAGGACGCGGACGCCTTCGGGCGGGAGACGCGCCAGGGCTTTGACCAGTTCGGGCGGGAGACGCGCCAGGACGTTGACCAGTTCGGGCGGGAGACGCGTCAGGACTTTGACCAGTTCGGCCGCGACGCGCGCCAGGATGTGGACAACTTTGGGCGCGAGGCCGTCCGGGGCGTCGAGGACGCGCCGTACAACGCCGCGCGCTGGGCGGGCGACGAGGTGCGTTCCGCTCGCGGCCTGTCGGGCCTGGATGTTGCATGTTGGACGCTGATGGGTGCGCGCGGGAAGGTCGGCTCGGCGGAGCGCGACGTGAAGGACGTCGGCGAGGGCGTCGTGGATGCGATCGGCGGTGCGATCGGCTGGGCTGCGAGGAAGGTTCGTGTCTCGTCTGAGCTTCCGCCGCGGGATGGCCGTCTGATGTGCTGTAGGTCGAAGGCGTCGAACGGTTCGGCGACGGCGTCGAGAACTCGTACGACCAGGGCAAGCAGGAGGGTGAGCGCGAGGGCGGGTGGTGATCAGTGAAGTATTTATAATCTTGTTGTACCAAGGCTGGATGCAGAATGTATAATCTTTGTGGTATTGAACTCTGCAAACGGAAGGGCCTACCGCACTGCGGGGAGTCCAAACCAAACTTGGGCTATGACTGCGCAGCCTGAGTATGGTCCATCGTAGGGACTGTACTGTTCGTCCAAGGTGATACATGATGCGCTACCGCTGACCCTGGCGTCTGGGTATACCTCACAGCACGCGATGATTTCAACGCCTTCCTGCCTCTCCTCCACAATGGTTCTGCGAAAAATATAGCTATCATTGGCTCGGGGGGCGCGACATCAGAGTTCGCTTGGGGCATACGTATCCCAGGCATGGCCGCGTACACCACGACAAAAGCCGCCGAGCACCTGGTAGCCACCAAGTACTTGAGCCGGAGGGCTTCACCGTCGTGACCATAAGCCTGAGACTTGGGCTCGTCGACACGCGGGCAACCGCCGTGGAGAAAGGTAAGGAGTTTAGGTTATTACATGCACTATACTGACGGCGGTACCTGTCGTACGAGCCGATCCTGCCGATACAACAGAGATCGCGCGTGTCCACTGGCAGGAGGCGTTCACAAGTCTCAAAGCATTCACGCCGGAAGAGGCTGTCAGCCGCATCTTGTCTATCGTCGCCAAGACCAACCCCAAGGACAACGCGTCGTTCTGGTACTACGAGTGGAGGAAGAAGGACTAGGGTCCTCAGTTCGAACTTCGGAAGACGACTGGCATATGTCCCTGTGTATAAGATCGAATGCAACAACGAAGGCGACGCATTAGCGTGGCCCTGTTCGAAACGCGATTGCTAGAAAGGACGGAAAGTGAAGTGTTCAGAAGCAATGCACTGCGCTGATACGTTGTGCCAATTGAGATATATTCCACGTATCTATGTCAAAGGACAATATCCACGTATCAAACCGGAGTCGAGCCCCAATAGAGTATGCAGAGCCATCTGCGCCGGGGGAACAGCCTGACCAGAGGCGAAAGGATCATACGCGAAACTAATCCCACTAGACGACGGTGGGCAAGCCGACTGCGTCGTAAAGGCCACACGAACCCAAAAGTTTTCAGGATCTCGCGTTGGTCCAGCTCCAAGCTCGCAGAGCGCGTTCATGACAGCGCAGTCGATGGAAGTACGCGTACCCTAACCACCTGAGAGATAAACTGGACCGGAAATGAGCTGAGGTGACCGCTACCTAGACAAGACCTTTGTGAGCGATCCAGAAATCGAGCGGTGAAGTAGATTATGCCCCAAATCGGCAGCTACTCCCAATTCCGGTGCTCTTTCTGCGGTATCCTTCGTTATCGCATCACTATTCTTGCAAAGCGGCACCGTTGACAACTTGCTACTTACCTTCTTTACTTATACGTCAATTGGCCCGTCTGCTTGCATCCACAGCATTGTCCGCGTAGACGGCCGGGCCGCTGGTTTGTCGTTCTTTATGGTGGGCAACGGAGACTGGCTCCGCTGAGTGACTATGAGCCAGGATAGCCACTCGCGCGTAGACGCCGACTACACGAGGCGGCGCCTATGCTTGTCTTTGTCTCTCTGAGTCTGCATCGCCGTCAATTGCTCTTTCATCTCAGGCTGCCACTCCATTCCAGTCGCAGGACATCGGTCGGTCGTCATCGACTCATCGAGTGTCACGACCAACACCATCTGGATTGTTATCATCACATACCTCTGACATCGATGTTTTCGTTGCGTCTATTCAAGGCCGACCATCCCGGCGGCACTCGGGCTGAAGACCTTGTCAGAGAGCTGGCAAGGAAACCGCATCCCCGCTACTTGGAATGTAAACCGGCAGTCTTCGTCCAACCGACGCCGTATCGCCCTCATCTTGATGGGAGGGTAAAGTTTGCTGCAATCCTCGGCGGGGAATGGGGAGTGTGTGGCGCAGAGGCTCGTGCTGAGAATACAAACCACATAGCGGTCGATGAAGGCCATCATGTAAGAAGACATTGACAAACTGCTATATGATTTGTACTCACCTGAAGCCCGTGTCTCAAGGACCTGGTCTATACATGGCCACCGGTCCTGTCGTCACAGACCAGACAACAACCTACAAATATGCTGCAGTCACAAGACTTGCTCAGGGACCAAATGAGTACTCCAAAGCTTTTGTCAATCACGCCGTGTTGGTGACCGAATGCCTGCCAAGGTGAACAATCATTCGGGCCCTGCATGCATGACAGGGCGGGCAACTACTCCGCGACCCATCGGACATGAGCGCGAGCTTGCTCGGCGGATGCGGTCTGAGTATCGCATGTGCGTTTTCCGCGCGTTCGAAATACTTGCAACAGCGCGTATGCTTGCGCAAGAAGGAGAGGAGGACCTGCTCCTCCGCGAGGCCATGGATCTGACGCTTCATGCTGCGGCGGAGGATGCCAAGGATGCCGGCTTCGAGAGGTCTGCGACATCGACTGCCGGTCAAAAGGAGAGGGGAACCGTCGCGGCGTCTTCACAGATGGAGCTAGAGAGAACCATAACACCGTGGGAGGAATGGACGCCGCACGCAACCTCAACGCCACACCCGAGCCCTACGTCTTCGACCTCGCTGCTCAGTCCTGTAGAGGCTTGGGGTGCACTTGCGACATCGACGGTCCATCACGAGTACCCGCGCAGCTCGGGGAAGAATGAGACAACATGATTAGAGGTACGTACGTAAGTCGCCAACCTAGAGATTTGGGACGTTAATAATGCTTACTGTCAGATGTAGAGATGGGAACGGGGTGCACACGGACGACAATCAAAATCGGGGTGGGATGATATTTCATTGTATATCTCGCTGTTTCTTGTATGAATCGAACACTGGAAGACAACCGTCAACCCGGACACGTAGATGCGAGCCGAGAGTAAGGACATTACCGAAGCGAGGCCGCTTTGGTTCCACGTACAGTTCATCGCATGGCCAGTCATCACGAAGGGGCGGCACACATGGCGTAGCCTGCTGTCACTATGCGCTTCAGACCAGTGAAGTCACTCGCGCCAGGACATTGCGAGGACGAACGGGGCGGTTCTTTCAGGATTGCGGTATGGAGGATCCTGCAGCCACTGCGACTATATTGCCTGGCTGCCGCGATCAAGCCATCTGGTATACGTGGTCCCAAGCGATCGTACAGAATGCAAGTCGATAACAGTTGGTCTGTGTATCGAAGTCAGCCATCGTTCAGCCTTGTCCTCAGACTGCGATTGATACATACCAGTTTATACTCCCGACAATCCATGCGCATAATGAAGAGCGGCCCACTCAGTCAAAACCTCCGCTGTATATGCGGAGATTTCCTGATTAAACACTGCCAACGAGTGCGATTCCGTGGTACAGTGACCGCACACTTGGGGTATTTCAGTGCTCGCGTAGAGCGTATCCACAGCATATGCCCAAGGGCAGGCCATCGCTATCTCTCCGCTCATCCGGTATTTCGGGTGCAAGGCGCATGCCTATTGCCATAGATTATCCTGTTTTCATAGCTTTCTCCCCATCTCCCACTCGCAGACCATCCGTGCTTGCATTGTAAGGTTCGGAGCGTGCCGGGATCGCGCTTCGCGAGATATAGAGCAGCTATACAGCCACAGACGCACGAGCGCTATTTGAGGGGAGAAAGCGCTCGTCGTTGCACTTTGCCCCCGACTACACTCATCTCATCTGCGCACTGATGTCCTCTACGCACTGCTCGTAGAGCATCAGACATGCATCCAGAGACCTGCAATACACCTATCAGCAATATGCAAGCAGTCAAACCGAGCGTGAGTGTCTGACCCTTTGACTTCTGGGAGTGGCAATTGTTGAATCGCGACGATGTACCAAGTACGCGACGGTCGTGAAGTACCGCAAGGCTGTCATCCAACGTCGAAGGGCTACGATCCCAATAGCTGCGCCGACGCCTGAGAGAGAGGCAGACACAGACTTCGCGGCGATCCTTGAACAAGTTTGGGAGTTGTACGAAGAGGAGGTTCGCCTGCAAAACAAGCAAAGCACAGCAGAGATTGAACGTCGTCAGGTGAGAAACCGTTCAAGATCAGCTGAACAGTGCATGCTTACCTTGGTATGTACTGGAGACCGACATAGAATATACGACGTGGCCGCCTATGCTGTCGGCACAGGTGACTGTGACGTCGGGGCTTCCACTCAACACAGCCTGCCAGTCCTCGATGTTGGTGCGTATCTTCGACCATTACGTTCGAGTTGATCATAAAAGACCACCACAGCCACTGAACCAAGAGCATGGAGATCTGGCTACGACAGCTCATGACGTGCGGTCGACGTTTATGCTGATTACCACCGCTGGATATGCGAGGCCGCCGCTAACTGTGGTGACCGCGGGCTTGCCTGAACAGGGCCCGTCGACAGACACGGATAGTCCGGCGTCGTCGGCTACACTGTCGAGTCCATTGGACAGTTGGGAGCCCATTGCGACGTCGACTCCGCTCCCAAAGTAAACCTGGGTGGAGACGAGGGTGGATTGAGGTGTGTCGCGGCATGTTACGGGCAGAGTGGACGTGCTGACAGTACCCAGTATTCCGTCGGGAGATCGGGGTGTATACATGCGCCGCATGACTCTTGTCTCTTGTGGTCGTTCGCAAGTCGGTGGTTGCAAGTCGGATCGTTGGGACATCGTAGGCGACTAGGCGGATGGTGCTTGTCGAGAACGGAGGAATCGTGGATGCGCGGAAGGAGACGAGAGCTGATTCTGGACAATGCAAGCCGTATTGACTCAAATGTATTGTAGAGGAATGCCGGGTCTCATGTCGTTATTGTTCCTTTATTCACGACGCGTCCGTTTGGGAGCTCTATGCCTTCGCGAAGAGGGCGGCTCACTCGTCCTGGACAGGACATCCGTAGCTCCATAACGGAGGTGAGACGAGGGCAGCGTGGATGACCCATGAAATGCATCTCCTCCACACATTGCCTTCGCATTGTGCAACCCGCAGGCCTGCCAAACTTGCATACTAAAGGGTCCGAGGAGCGGTATGCCGGCGTCGCGCGCCGTTACTCCGGAAGCCACAGTCGCCTAGGCGCCGACGATTGAAGAAGGCGCTCGTCCATACACTCGTCTTCCAATAATCATGCTCTCGTCGCCCGTCCGCGCGCCACTGGTAAAGCTTCGTTACGAATCTAGAAGCCTAAACCACGTCAATTAGCATCATGCAGATAGGCAAACCGAGCGTGAGTCCCCGGTCGTTTGACTTACCCGGAGAAGCGATTGTTGAAACGCGACGGCGTACCTAGTACGCGACGGTACTGAAGTACGGCAAGGCACCGATGCGAGGGCGAGGACCTCCGAGGCCGACCGCTGCACCAACACCGGAGGGACAAGGACGAGAGCGGTTTGCAGTGATTTTCGATAACAATTGGGATCTGCACGAAGGCAAGGTTCGTCTTGCAAACAAACACCACACAGCGGAAAACGAAGGCCATCAGGTAAGAGGGCTATCAAGACCCGCTGGATGGAGTATGCTCACCTCGATCGCAGACGCCCCCTGTGTTGTCGGCGCAGACAGCCATGTTGACTGAGAGCGCGTTCGACCTAGGGCACCAGCCCTCGACGCTAGTCAGTACTTCTAGGACCAACATTGGTGATGGCAACTGATCCGTTGGGCACAGGACAAGACGATAACTAGTGGCCACCACGCGGGGTACGTGTCGACCCCGTCGCTCGGAAATGTCCTGCAAGCCCAGGATGAAGGGTCGTGCTGGTCGCCCCAGGCGACGTTCATGTCCATGAGCCCAGTGTTCTTGGACACGCTTCTGCCCTCTCCTGATGAATGGGAGCCCCTGGAGACGTCGACGCCCCTCCCAAGGTGGACCTAGGAAACCACAAAAGCCAACTGAGGTACGTCGTGCCCAGTTACGCGCATGATGAATCGCTGACGGTAGCGTAAGGCTAGATGCTCAGGACGGACGCATGGGCTCGCGGATCGGGGGCCGCATGGTGGAGTGTCGGGCTGTGCTGCTAGCAGTAGGTACGACGGATCGACGATGGAGGGTGGTGGATGCACGGAGATTGAGAGCTGATCTCGGACAATGCAAGCCAATTGATGCTTTGGGTGTATACGTAGGCGAAGACCCGATGTTGACTCGACTTGAATTGGCTGCCTACCGTGTGCTCGTCTTGAGATTTAGTGCCTTCGCAGCGAGCGATGAGGGGATCCACTCGCCCCCGGTCAGACATCCGTGGATCCCTGATAGAGGTATCTTCACTGTCTCGCGATTTGCTTCCTGGCTCGGGAACGAAACGTGCGCGACCGTCTCAAATTCCACATGTCGTCCACAATGCATCCCCTACCATTGTGCGACACACAGATCTGCTGGACCTGCATCGAGCGCTTAGAAATCCGAGGCGCGTGCCGGCAACCCGCGCCGCCACTCCGCAGGCCACAAACGCATAGGCGCCCAATTGAACAAAGAGAGCGCATGTCCGTATGCTCGTCTTCCGACTGTCTTGCCCTCATCGCCAGCGTACGCGCCCTCCACAGAGTACTATTGTCGTGTAACAGACCTGAAGAAGACTGATTAGCAAGATGCAGTACTGCAGACTCGGTGTGAGTGCTTCATTACCCGACTAACCGAGGGACGCGATCGTTCATGTGCGATGAGCTAGTACGCGACGGTGCACGGCACGGAGGGTGTCCCGGCGCAAGGCTCGAAGACCAGTGTAGGAAGCCGTGATGATGTTCAATGCAAGCCGGATCCTCAGAACCAGCTGTCGCAGAAAGGCAAAGTAGAGACAAGGTAGGTCGTCTGGCACGAGCGCGAAGTCCGCTGATCGAGGTGACGATTTGCGACACAGGAACCCAGCTGCAAACACGACTCAAGAAACGACCAACGAAGGTCAACTGGTAAGCAAACTAGCGCCGTTCGTTACTTGGTTCGTGCTTACCTGGGGTGTGGCCACTGCGGCGCAGGCCTGCAATGGCTTTATCCCGATCCGTATACCTCGACGGGGAGACGGTGCGGCCTTCTGTACCGGTACATCGGATGGCAGAGGTCTACGCACACCTGCCCCTGTGGGATCCGCGAGAGCAAGTCAGATCGTCAGTCTTTGTATTGTGACATGCATGTCCACTTGCTAACCGAGATATAGGGTGCCCTATCAGCCTCTGACTGCAGGCTGCTCAGGCTCCTGGGAACGAGGCGCAACGCCGCGCATGAGCTCGTCAACGTGAGTGTCTCGTGATACCGGTACTGGATGTTTGCTCAGCCACGCATCTGTTGTGCGTCGTCAGAGCGAGGCGCGTCTGGACGAAGGCTTCCTGCGCTATGCAACGAATCGGGCCTTGGTGGGTATCAACTGGGAGGTACTCGTCGAAGAAGCTGTAGCGAGCGCGTGCAAGCGCTCGAGCCAACCGTCCCCGACCAGTCCAGCGGGTGACGGCTGGATTTCTGGATAGATGCCCGAGCATCGCAACTGCCAACGTTTGGGAGGAGAATTCGGGGGGAAGCCACAAGGCTCGAGACGATATCGCGGCCAGGAGGAGCGACAGTGGGCGGATCGTGAGGCGGGCCCGGAGAAACATCTGTAGAAGATGCAGTACGTCTATCGTGCGCAAGCTGTAATTGTAAACCTTTTTGTATGGATGTGGGCACTCACTGGTCACGAAATCCTGGGTAGGCCGCCACAGCCGCGAGGAAGTCGTCGTCGCATCTTCGACCATCCGCGTTATGTCTTCACGGAATTTCAGCTTGTATATATCAAACGTGCATCGCAACACCCGCTCGCACCCAACGATGTCTGAACACCCTGAACGGTCGCGTCAGTCGCGGATGTCCTTGCGGGCCACAATTCAGGAGACGGGTGGCCACGACTTGCTGACTGTTGTCGAGTGCGTCGAGGGCGTAAGAGACGAGCTTTTTCTGAGGGGACCTGACCAGGCGACTCGACCAGAGCGTCCGCAGAGGACACGAGAAGATTTCAGCATGGCGACGGGCATCGTAGTCGTGGCCACATACGGCCACATCCAAATGGGGCCACCAATTGTGTTGATTGGGCGGTGTGGCTGAGCCGGACGATCCCGGCCACTCGCGCGATCGTGCGACGCGTCCGAACGTGACTGTACAGCACCCTCTACATACTTATCTGCGTCTCTACCAATCGTCGCAGAGACCCAACTTAGGCGAGCGCGGTAAGGGACACGTTGGCTTTTGAACTTGAGACACTACAATGCAGATACATCGCATACTTGCTTTCAACGAGAGCCCGGCCGCTGGCGAGGGCAAGTCTAACGAGATTGATCCTGGTGAAGGTATGGCAGTTGGGGCCAAATTTCGCTATGAATCGCTGTGGTGAAACCGTCAAATGGTCTAGATTGTGTTACGTTGCAATTGGATGACGAACGCCCAAGGACGTGCTGGGCTGGGGCCACTTGCTCTACGTAGAGTCGACAATATTGCAAGGACATGACTGATGGGCCCGTCCGGTGATTGCCAGCCTAATTAATACTCACCAGTAAGAGCGACACGTCGCGGACCCGTGTGATCGCATGCGCGACATGATGTTGGGCTTGCATGATATGTTTCTTACACGAACTCACTGGTGCCACTGGCACACTCAAGTATATGCGCGAACGAAGAAAGTTATCGTATCCGTCCAGAGGATAGGTATAGTAAGTAAAGTGCGGGCAATAGTAGCGAAGTCATCCTATGTCCACCCCAACACATCCACCGCAACGTTACACAGCAGGAGGCTCTTCCATCTCAGCTGTAGCATGCCCGTTCACAGCATCGCCATTTACGCCATTGCCGTTCTGCATTGGCACCTCCGGCTGCGGTTTGTCGATGACGAGGGTAGGCGTGGGCATGGGTGATGACGGAGGTAGGGGCACTGCAGCGGGTGACAACGGTTTTGGTGGCGCCTCTGGCGGAGGCTCTTCAGCATCCGACAACGGCACGTTCGCGCCATTGGTATTTCCATTCGGCGCGGCTAAGTCCACCTGGGAGGCAGATGGAGACTGTGTCATCGCGAGCGCATCCTCCGATCGTGACGCGGGGGTCGGCGCTACTGATAGAGCCCTAGCATCTGGGTCTAGTGTCGGCGCGCTAGGCGGGGGTGTCGGCGTCGGTAGCGGCTTCTCTGGGAGAGGTACGGGTATGGGCGCGGGAACTGGCGAAAGAAGGGACGTCCGCTTGCTGTTCGTCCGTTGGAGAATGCCCTTAATCCGCTGGGTTGCCTGTGTCGCCTGTGTGGGTTGTGGCGCGGCTGCCTCGCGGACAGCGGGTGAGAGAATCCTCACAGGCTTCTCTTGCACGATAATCTCCAGCATGGCGGTGGGTGCGCCCACGTTCTTCAACCCTGTGAGCTTCTGATGAAGATACCGCGCGTCCGCGAGCAACCTACGGGTGCGGTGAGCCGTTGCACCGGGAAGGAGCCGGATCGGAAATGGCGTACCTCTCCTTCGCCTCTTGGGACGGCAGCTCAATCTTGGTATACTCCTCCGAGAGCCGATGATTGATGCCCGCGAACACTTGGGTCATCACGAACTGCACAGTATCCTCAGAAAGGCCACACCTCAAAAACATCTATGTTACCAGTACGCACCTCCACCACGGAACTCGACAGATACCGCGAGAGCACCTTGTGTAGCGTGACCGTGTCCTTAATTATGATCTCCATATAGTCATTCACACCGCCGCCTTCCTTGGGTACATCCCACTTGACGTCCTATATACAGCGATCCAGAACACATGCGGAGGACGTAGTTAGCATGCGGCCTCGACAGAAGGATACAGAAACTGACCTGGAGTGACTTGATATGGGCACTCAGGCGGTCGCCCATGATCGCGATCAGCTTCTGATGGATCTCATTCTGGTGCTCTTGGTAATCCTGCAGATTGATGTACATGAGGACCGAAGTGCGGCCGTAATGGAGGAATGCGTTCTACATACCCTTTTCAGCTTGTCGAACTCCACAAGCATGACGGCCTGTTTCTGGCTGAGGTGGCGCCGGAACGTTTCGCGAACGTATGGAACGAGCGAGATAACAATGGACAGTGACTGTGACGCAAGGGCTAGCAGTTCGAAAGCGAAAGAAGTAATCAATATCGCCCCGGCAGAAGCGCAGGGGATCATTGTCACATACCAAGATGTCTCGCAGTAATGTTCTTGAGCCCTGCGGACCGCATGGCACCTGCGCCTAGCACGACCTGGCACGTTCGCGAATTGAACGCTTTGAGTAGCTCAATGACGCGGCTCATCGTCTCCGTCGTGAGCATCTCGAGGTTAGTGATGATCTTGAGGTAGTCTGCGAGGACGACGAGCACCTCGAGCGTCGCCCCGACGGCGAAGTACGCCCGGTCCTCAATGTGCAGATGTTTGCCTGGCCCGCTCGGACGCCGCGAGCTTGCACGCGAGGCAGACGGGCGGACGGAGGGAAAGTTTGGTGAGGGGAGAGGGGATGCGGGGGCAGGCCGGTGTGGCTGGGATGACATTGCAGGTGGAGAGAGGAGAGGAGATACGGGATGTGGTGTTTCTGGTGGGCGGTTGAGCAGGAACTCCGGGGGATCCGAAATGGAGGCGTCGACGAGGAGATCGACTATGTGCTGGACCGAAGGCGCCACTTCTGCTGCATTCCATTGCTCATCTTCCACCAACTTTGCAGAATGTGAGATCTGCGCTTGATGGAAGGTCTGCAAGAATATCTTTGCCTGCATTCGTCAGACCAATAATGGTGAGCTCTCCTCTGCAATCACAGTGTCCGACATAAACAAACCTGGCTGATCATGGTGCCGCGAAGGCCTACAATCATACGACTGCAGATCTTCTCCGACTCAATGACGAAGTTCCATGAATCATTGAACAAGCTTGCAAAACTAGGGAGATCCAGGGATGCGTGTTGTTCTCCACGCAAGGCGACTACCCTAGATGCCCGAGTATGGGCTAATTCTGCGGCCGAAGACAAGATGCCCGACAGCTCCTCCTGAAGCGCGGCGACGTCGGCTAATACCTTCGGAGACCTCAATTAGTAGTCAGTGAGACAGTGAAACAGCAATTGTGGTAGGAAAGCCATACCGAATGCTTTGGAGTACTTCGACGATGATGCTGCCTTCTCGATGTAATCTCTCAATACACCGGAGTAGGCTCTTGTACATCATACGTGCCAGGTCCATGAAAGCAGAATGGGACATAGCTCGGAGTTCGTTGGCAAGAGACGACCTAAATAGGCCACCTTAAGCCCCTTACGTCCAGATTATCAGAAGGGGCAACTCACGAATTCACGTCTTCTTCCAGATCAGAAGCAGGTATTCGCTGAGAGGACATGTAAGCGCGTTCGTGAATGAGTTCGGATGGGTCACAACACTTACTCGCCTCATCATGCTCCTTACCTCGGCCATCACAACTTCCCTCCAGGACATCGCAGCCTCCTGCACACCCTTGGTCCGCGCCAAAGACTGCAGCAGTGGTCTTAGCCTATCCTTGAGAGATACATCTGGGTCATCCTTCCTCGCCTCCAGGTCGTCGAAACCAATGTGCTCGACGAGATCCAGGCGCAATACGCTGACAAACTCAGAGGTCAGTGCTGATGTGATCTCCATGGTGAGGGCACGGAGGTGTGAAGGCAGAGACGTGAAGGCTTTGAGAGAAGATAGCGGGATATGGACAGCAGGGCGCGGGGGAGGCTTGGGGCTCTCTGGCGGAGACTCGGGGACTGGCGGTAAAGGAGAACGAGTGCCCTCTCGAGAAGGCATCGCCGGTCGAGCAGCTTCTGCAGCAAGCTTGCCTGCGGGTAGCTGCGAGGTGGAATCAGCATCCCATAACCGGTCCAGCTCGTCAACGACATCCAGCGCCTCGCCCCACTGTCCTGCTGCGACCAAGCCCTTCGCGACACCCATCATGTCCACGACGCCTCCTACTACCTTGACACCTTCCTTCACCGAATCCAGGTTCCGTAGCTTACACTCCCTCCGGACAATCTCCAACCCTTTCCGCGCTCCCTTCTCGTCTACGTCCTTCAGCAAGCCACGCAGCTTTCCTATCCGATCCAGACACTGCTCGGATTCGGTTTGGAGGTCTTGAAGGTTGGATAGTGCAGCGAAGAAAGAAGTCGAGCGGATGGAGATCTCGCGCACCAAGTGCTGCTCTATTGTGTCGGCGTGATGCGAAAGCTTCTCCAATAGAGGTAGTGAGTACGAGAGTGCCGAGGGGTCTGTATCTGCTGCACCACCGTTCTCTCCTTGTTCTGTGACCGCATTGAACGTACGAGGTTCTCCGAGGTTGAAATCGGGGTCAAAGAATACCTGAGGTACGCTTTCGAGTGGAGGTGGCGCTCGACTGGATTGTCCCCGAGGTGTACGCGGAAGGTCTGAGTCGTCGAAGGAGCCTGACGGGCGAGGTGTCGTGGGCAGCTGCGCAGTGCCCTCTCGACCGAGCTCTGCGCTGCGCTTAAAGCGTTCCCATTCGGGACCTACTGCGGTCAGATACGCGGCGAAGTCTTTCCGACGTACGCGCGGTAGCTCGGCAGGAGGGACGGAGGGGAGGCTGGAGTGCGCCTTCGGAGGTGCAGAACGCCTATGGGGGCTATTCACGACAGTAGAGATCGCTGTACACAATGAGTCGCACTACGCCAGCAAGGCATTGGAACACGTACCGTGGAACCCATGCTTCGCACTGCTCCATTCAGCTGGTAGGGCACCAAGCTGCAGAGACGCCAATGAGGCATTGCCGTACAAGTCATACGGGGAAGAGTTGCCGAAGTAATCTGCATGGCCCTCTGTAGTGGCTGAGACACTACCCGGGCCTGTATTGCGCGCCGATGTCGGATCCCATGTAAAGCGATATGGGCGAACTTGCGATGATGGGGGGAGCTCTGCGACAGGTGTGGGTGGTCGAGAGGGTATTGAGCTTTGGTCCGACATGGGAGGAGGCCCTCACGGCAAGCCTGCGGGTTATGGGACGCGCGACCGCGACGCGGGTCGCCTGGCAGCTGGCAATTTCGGACGAACGTCGAGGTGCGCGCGCAACCTAAGCAGAGGCTTCGAGCACAAAGTCTCCCCCCGAAATTGTCAAGATACCTCCGATGAAATGGAGTTGCGATGTTGAGTATGCACAAGCGGAATGGGAGACGCGCTGTGACACTGAATTCGGTAGACACGGGCTCACAGCTATTGGCTTACGTCAGCATACATAGCGTTGACTGCCACATATGGTAGTCCGAGTTATTGTGTACTACTACTCAGTCTCTCCTACTACAGCCCCTACTTCCACTACCACCGGACTCCGGAGTACACTCGAGTAGCTTGCACCTGAGCGGGCGTAGGGTGCTGCAATATTGGTGCTTCTGGATGTCGGGTTCATCTGTGCTGCCGTCCCTCTCGTTGCCGAAGCCGCTCCGTCATTTCTTCGCGCTCTTCCCGCTGTACACGCACCCGCCGGTTTGGTCGTCGTATACCGCCCCGGCGGTGACAGCACCCACCCTATGGATCCACCCCTCACGCAACGAGATCTCGGAGCTTGAAGACCTACTCAGTCGCGATGTGGAATGCTTGAAGTGGCAAGCATACCTCGCTTTACGTGGGCTCTCCAAAATACACGTTCGGTGGGATGTCACGGAGGATGGTGCGGTGGACGGCCGTTTCCCCAATCTGCATGTCCCACTACAAGGCGATGACGCGGGCGGAGAGCTGCTCGCCGCACATCTCATTCCCGGTTGGGTAGATGGGCAGGTGGGCGGTGGCCAGGGCGAGCTAGAGGGATATGCAGACGAGGCAGCGCGTGATGAAAGTCGCGCATGGGTGTCGTTAATGGAGGGCAATGTCCATGCAGCATTGGTGCGTAGCACACTAAGTACCATCGCGTCCTAGAAAGGCTGACGACGTCTATGGCATCCCCAGGCAATTTCTCAGCCACCGCCGTCTATATTCGCTGCGCTGGTCTCACCGTTCCCTTCAAAGCATCGCGCCCTGAACACCATGCTCAACCCCCCTCCTGCTCCTTTGACTGGCTTCAGCAGCGTCCTCCCACCGTACGGAACTCACGTGGATCGTAACGCGGTCATGCTCCAGTATCGGGATGCTATCTCATCTCTGTCTGAGCGCCTTGGCACGGACAGATGGTTCCTTGGATCCGTGTATGTCTCATCCAAGCTCAAACGCCCCGGTGACCGTCTGACATAGCGATTTGCCGCAGTACACCGACTGCCTTGGATGCGCTCGTTTTCGCCTATCTACATTGCATATTGCACTCGAAGGACAACGCGGTGCGCATAGAGGTTGCTCGACGCGTCAATCTGGTTGCATGGGAGCGCCGCGTGCAGGGGCAAGTTCGCGCTGCATTTCAGCGCCGTCCGCTTACGTAGCGATCTCTGTAAGCTTATGGTATCTCGGAACCGAGCAACAGGTCTTGTCTTGTGTAGAATCATAACCACAATGTTCCCACACGATCCAGCAATCTCCACTCGGAGACGTCAGATCTGCACAGCTCGCGTGTCTACCATAGTCACATTCGCAATACCGCAGGGCTCGAGGCATCGTTGCCTTTGAGCTTGCTTACGACGTAGCAACATCTTCCAGTTCGGAGCACTGACCCAGCCAGTTCGAGCCAGATTTGACTGCACACATGCCTATGTCCGTCGATCTAGTCAGTCAGCATGCACTCTTGAAAAACCACATTGATCACTTGCGGCCCCGTATGGTTCGTTCGTCTTCGCTGGTTGCTACAAACGACGACTCAGCCTTCAGATAGGAATCGTTGCGACAATTGCTGCAGTTCTGCCAGCCGTACGTCACAGCTCGTCGAGATAACAGTGTCCCTTTCCATTTAGTAGGCTATGTCCTACTCGGAGACAGGTGATGACATCTGCTCCGCATGTTCCGTATCGGCGTATCTCTAGCTAACTCGTACTATCGTGTAGGTGGCTTTGGAGTTTACACCAGGCCATAGAGAGATGGAGGCATTATGACACCACTACTGTGCTCATCAACCTGCTTCGTATCGGAGAAGACTTGGCGAAGTTGTATCATTCATGCCCGAGCATCATATTCGAACTGGTTGGTGATTCGATCTTTTGGTTTGAACTTGCTGTTCTGATTCCCCTCGACGACAAATAGCAAGCGACGTCCTCGATATCTTCGTCGATGGCACTCGCGAGTTCACAAGCCAAGCACGAAATGCGAGACAAGATAGCTTTACTTAAAGAGTGCCTCGACTCCAGCGCCGAGGTTGAGAAGCTCATGACTACGAGTGGCGAAGACGCTGCTGCACTGATAGACGTCCTTGACGACGTAAGTACCGTCAAACGATTCTTCAGATGTTGTGTGCTCAAAGTCGTATCTTCAAAGGTTATGAACTCCATCGAGCCATACGAGAGGCTTTACAGCACGGTGTTCCATACTCTGCGAAAGATCTGCGTCAAGCACGGAATCCTCCCAACATCACTTTCCGCCTCGACTCGAGACTTGTACATCGTGAACGATGGACCGGAGGCTTTCGGTGGCTTCGCAGAAGTCTGGCGAGGCCACCTCAGAGGGCAAGAAGTAGGCGTGAAGGTAATCAAGATCGCCGTAAAGGGGTCCGCTGACTCGGTTCTGAAGGTCAGTCCATGCAAGCGTGTGCTTGATGCTTATTTGACGATTGACCTGGCCGCTAGAGCTTCTGTCGAGAAGCAATCACCTGGAAGCGACTCTCTCACACTCGCATCGTTCCATTCTTTGGTATCGATAAGCGACGCTTTCCACTCAGCATGGTATGCAAGTGGATGGTCGGTGGTGATGTCACATCGTTTTTGAAAGACAACCCTAATGAAAACCGTCCCCACCTGGTCAGCCCAGACGTAATTGGGCTTCTTCTAAACCTGACTGATGTGTCGTCTAGGTCCTCGACATTGCCCACGGATTGGAATATCTTCATTCAAATGCTGTGGGCATAGTACATGGAGATCTGAAGGGTGTATGCGTATTTCTTAACCAGTCTATACATGTCATGCTGACGATCAGCTTTCCAGGCAAACATCTTGATCGATGAGAACAGGCGCGCCTGTCTCTCAGATTTCGGTCTAACGACCATTCTCTACCGGCCGGAGACGATTCACGTAGTGACGAATGTATCCGTGTTTGCATCAACGGCACGGTGGATGGCACCGGAACTCCATGACCCCGACAAGTTCGGTCTTGAACATGGAAACCCAACGAAGGAGAGCGACGTTTACTCTTTTTCAATGGTCATGTGGGAGGTTCGTGTCGCAGCTCGCTCGTTTGGATGACAACTCAACATGTGTTTTCAAGCTCTTCACAGGTCGTTTCCCATACGATGAAAGTCGAATGGATGCACAAGTTCTCCACAAGGTGCTCATGGGAAAGCGACCACTGCGACCAGCAGATGCGACCTCTCTTGGTCTATCGACCGAGGTATGGGAAATCATGGAGAAGTGCTGGAGGGAGGATCGCCGGAAGCGTCCGCGCATACACTTCATACTTCAAGACCTGAAGAAAGCATTCTACTTCCACGACAAAACTATCCCAACTCCACAACACCTCGAGCTTGATCCCGCTACTCCTGCGAAGGATGCCGCGCATGAGGTCCCAGGACTGATTGACAAAAGGCTGAAGATCACTCTTACGCCGATGCAGCTCTCCGGTAGGTGGAATGTCCTTCGACGAAGCTTTTCAACTCAACTAAACATCACTCACTCAGATTTACTACCGGAGAAACAAAACGTCGCGGCCGGCAGGTGGATCATGAACCACACTCTGGCCTGGGAGCGTTGCCGCGTATTCCGCCCGCTTGAGTACTACCGGGGAACCATCAAAACCTCCTGGAGATGCATAGACGAAGCGAACGAATCACCCTGGGATTGTAGAGTGAGCAGACACGATCCGCGAGACATCACGCTGGATCAGTTCTGGCATCACCTCGCTGTCAATAAGTACTCCACAGAGCAGCTGTACGTTGATCCGAGTCATGTTTCGTCTTGTCATTGGCATTTTAATCGTGCACTTTTTACGACTTACAGATTTGTTCGGGAACTGAAGTCGGTGAAACTACTGGTGGAGAGGTCTCGGACAGAGAGCCTATGGTCTGTCCGCTACAAGTACCCTTCTTTCCAGAGAGAGAGGCAGTTCTACATCGTGCGGACATTGTTCCTGGACAAGAAAGCGAAGCGAGGGTTTGTATTGACATCCACTCTAGCGTGCCAGGTTACTCATGGGTCATACCATAGGTTGGTTGTCTCCCGGCCGGTGGATTACGGAGGACGCGTCCCGCGCGACATCATTATCGGACGATATGCCGGTGCGGAGCAATTTGCAGTGCTGGAGAATGGCCAGATTGAATGGCGACTGGCGGAGACGTGGCATTTGGGCGGTAACTGGAAACCGGCTAATCGCTCCAGGGACGGTGCAATAGCACAGGTCCGTCTTGTCCCTACCAGTCACCGCCCTTTTTTCTGCTGACGACTACGTCCGATAGACCGTCGTGGACTTCTTCAAATGGTTTAATGCCACTGCCAGCACGGAGCGGCGGCGGTCATGGCCAAACTATCAAATAGGGACGGCCACACCGAACTCAGGGTTTGTCCTGCCACCGCCGTGACGAATGTTTTTGTTCGGCATATTACTGGTAGCTGGTAGTAGTCGGTGGGCACTATCTTATTACGGGATCGACGAGCAATGCTATACCATACAATATATCCTGTCGAGCACCATACTTTACATTGATAGCAACGGTGATACAGAGATGCCAGTATCCGAACTCGATCAATCGTACAATAATCATACATACATTTTCATTTGAATGCATATCAAACGTCAATCACCCAAAGCCCTCCTCGGGATCCTTACATTTGCACGTCAACCTCATTTTCCTCCGCCTCCGTCATCCTAACCCAGATGCCGCCCTACGCTACAAGTCAACAATCCGCTTCCAGACGAAGATGCATGTGCACATACCGTCGCATAAAGCGTCAAGTGCGACTTGGGCCAGAACTTCTCCTTACCCTTCCGCCCGGGCGCGTTCGCCCACTCCTTCGGAGCCAACGCGCTCGGCGGTGCGGCGTCCGGGGCCAGCTCCATCGTCGCAAAGCATTGCAGGAGCTTGATCAGGAAGAAGGACATCTCGTTATATGCGAACTAGTGTACGAGCGGAGTCAATTCGGTGATCGGTGCACGGGCAGGACGAAGGCGCGGGAGTGAGCGCACCTGTTGCCCGAGGCAGATCCGCGGTCCGGCGTTGAACGGGAGGAAGATGAACGGGTTTGGAGTGAGGTACCTGTTTACGCGCTCGTCTAGGAAGCGGTCCGGATCGTATTCTTGGGCTGTACGGGAGAAACGTTAGTCAGAGCCCAACTCTATGAAGGGGCGGTCAGTACCGTCGGGGCCCCAGTACTCCTCCCTGCGGTGCATGGCCCACACTGAGTATGATACGCTACGGACGGCTCATCTCAGAGATCGAGTGTTACGGGAGAACAGGAGACAACGTACGGGACTTTGGCAGGGACGTAGAATGGCTTGCCGTTAGGGTTCGGGAGAAGGCCCTCGTTGACAGACACCCTATATCGACGCACAGTGAGCGAGACCAAGACTATTTTGGGCATTAAACGCACCGGATGTTGAACGGCCTGTCATCCGCGAATGAGCACGGTCAGCGCGAGTGAATCCTGTCGCACAACAGACAATACGTACACAGCAGGGTACAGACGAAGAGTCTCGTTGATGACAGCCCGCAAGTAGCGCATCTCCTTGATGCCTTCGTATGTCGGCCGCTGCTTTGGACCCACCTTCTCAAGTACCTCTGCGCGCAGGCGCTTGAGAACGTCGGGATGCATGGCCAGAAGATACACCGCGAAGGTCAAGGTTGTTGCCGTCTAAGCAATGTGAAGGCTGAGTTATCAACGTTAACGAGTCCATGTGTCCAGAAACTGACTGTGTCCCGGCCCGCAAGCAGAATATTGAGCACCTCATCATGCAAGACCGTAAGATCTGAAGCGACGCTGTTCAACAACCTCACAATCCCTAGCCAACCCAGGCTACTCACCATTCGTGAACTTCGCCAAATGATCTATCAACGTCTCCCCCTCCTCGATCTCATCCGCATCCACGGCCTTCCCGCCCATCGCCTTCTTCTCCCTCTCACGCTCTGCCTTCTTCCTGAGGGCCTCCTCGAGGATCGGGTGCAGATACTCATCGACCACATGCATATGTTCGCGCGTTTTGTCCTTGCGCATCTCCGCGAACGGCCAGATCTCGCCCATCGTCGCGCGCTCCGCGCAGAGGTGCTCCGCCTTCGAGAACGCCGCGGCGAACGCCTCCGCCTTGTCCACCCCCGCCGTCGCGGGGGAGACTGTGGACGGCAGGGAGGCGGAGGGGAAGGGCGAGGAGGGCGAGGCGGCAGAGACGTTGTGTGGGTAAGGAAGGGTGGACCGGAGGGAGTGGACGCAGGCGCCGAAGAGGAACTCGGTGGCGGAGTCCATGGTGAAGCGGGAGACGAGGTCCTGGAGGATAGGTGGCAGGGTCGGATCATGGGTGAGCGTTACAAACGAGTGGTGAGCGTACCTGGAAGTCAATGGCGTATCCTGCCCGGAAACGCTCCCTCATCTTTTCCAGGGCGACGTCTGCGTACACGAGTGGTCAGCTTCATGAACTTGCCCATACGAGATGAGAGCCGTACCGGCATGTCTATCAAAGAGTTCGAAGTGACTGATCCGGTCTTTGCTGAAGAAGGGACGCGTCATTGAGCGGTGCCATCTGTGGAGGCAGAATGTATGCGTCGGACATCTAAGCCCATCGCCTGACACAAATATATGCGCACTTCCACATGTCCCCTGCAGAGAAGTGTGTATATGCATCGGACATAAAGCGAGCCTTGGCGTAGGTGCTTACCATCGGAATTGAAGACACCAGTTCCCAACACAGAGCTCATCTGTTCCTGGAAGAGTTTCCCTGCAAACCAGTAAGTTGAACATCACTACCCAGGCCGCACAGGCTGATTGGACCAACCTTTCTCGTAATTTTGGAACTCCGTGGCAAGAACGGTCTGCAGCAAGCTCGACACGCGCATATATTACATCCACTGCATGGGTTGCTTACCTTGATGACAGCTGGGTCGCATGTGAAGATACCGAAGCCCCACAGGACGTTGAATCGGTAGGTTGGACCAAACTTGACGAACTGCTGCGCCAAAAGTTCACCTACAAACCAAAGTCCGGTTCGCACGTCGTCCCATTGTCATTCGAATATGGAGTACACACCAGGATACCCGTGTCTGAAGCTGTTCAAGACAGCCTGGAGGATGTCGAGGTTCCCGGGCCACTTACCCGACCACGTAGGCGCGATGATGGCGCCCCTGCGAGCCGCCGCATTGTAGATCCTCCAGTGTCTGATCCGGACTGCCACAAAGATGACAAGAGGAATGGTTCCGAGTGCCGATAGACATACGGCCCACGAAGGAATGGACCAGCCACCGTAGCGGTTGAGGAGGTACGCAGCGAATGCGACGCCGGCGGGGTACTTCACAAGGACGACCAGCGCACGCAGCACCAGACGTTCTCCTGGACCCAGCTCCATAATGCGTGGAGAAGAGGGGGAAAGTGTAGGGCGAGGGCGGTATATAAGCACGATGCTGCGCCGGGGCTGACGCTGGTCCCGGATAGGCCGTCAGCTTTTCATGGGTCGATGTAGGTTATATATCACAATGCAACAAGCACCGCGGCTGTGAGAGCAGGGGTGGCGCTCGGCCGTGAATCAGTAATCAAAGTCGACCGTACTTGTGTATCTGAATGACCAGTACATACCGCGGTGCGGGCGGCGACGCGCAACCAAGTCCACACAAACCCCGGCCTATCGGACGTCGGCGGCGCTCTTACGACAAGATGAGGGCTTTCCGAATCAAAGGACCGCAGCTCGATCCAGCTGTCGACGTTGACGATGGCGGCCACTGCGCCCGAATTATTCACACGTGAACAACCTGTCAATGGTCATGAGAATGCATCACAACGCCACCGGGTACCACCTTGCCAAGCTGGATGAGAGAAAAGTACAATGTCGACGTCACGTAGACCAGATGAATGCTGGAGGGACGCCAAAGACATCGTTGTGGCAGGAAAGCGAGCCGAGAGTCGGGCGAACAACCGTCGTTGACTAGTACTACGGAAGATCGCATAGCCGCACGCGATCGAGCACACCGACTCGCGATCGTTCTCCACCTACGATTACGATGCAATTCTCAGCTTCGAGCGCAGAGTATTGAGCCGCTATGTATACATAGAAGTCGTCTATTCCGAGAAATACTATACATTGCTATCGACAGCTTCGGGTTCATCCATGATCCTTGCTATGTATACAGCGGAGTCCGTGAAAAGGTGAAACGGTGGAGCCGAGGGAAATTCAGACTATGGATACAGTTCGGTCGGGGTATCGCGAGCTTGCACAAGGACATCAAGGCTGAAATCAGCGTCAGTCAGTATGGTAGGACGAAGTAGCAGCATCCACACTCACTCGGCATGAATGGAAGGAGCAGTGAAACGATGTTCGAGCATCACAGCTTCTCTAGAAGACCCTTGAGCATCTTCTGCTTCGAAGCCGCGGACCCGTCCTTGTCTAACTCCTTGCTCTTCTTCTCTAGCGCCGCAATGACCCGCTCGACGTCAGCTGGCAAATTCTCGAGGGCTCCTTTGGCGCGTTCAGCTTTCATGAACGCCGGTGAGCCACCACTATCCGCCATCAATCGGGATTGAACGGCTACTCACCACATTGATCCACATCCTGCTGTAGGTTTACCCATAATCCATCGCGCCGAGCGTACGCCTCTTGCAGTTGCTCGAGGATGTCTTCCATATTGCGCTAGCGATATATTGATCAAGTTCACGAAACGGGTCGGGAAAGGGGATCGTAAGTACCTGACAGTCGGTGTAGGCTGTCTTCAGCTCGTCCTCGTCGCGGATTGCCATATTCTCCACTTTCTTGCAAACCTCATCAAACGTCATGACACCAGCACCGAACGCGAGGTCAACTGCGGGCAGACAGAAACTGGTTATATGCGCGTCATTCGCGAGCTGAGACTGTCCTACTTTTGCCTTCCAGGAGAGCATGTACCTCCTTTACTCGAGCGATGACGGGAAGCAGGGTCTCGCCGAGGTACTGTCTTATCGCCGCGCCTTGTGCGGCCATGGGAACTTTCAGCTTGTTTGCTAGGGCAGCTACCTCCTCCTGCTCGTCAACCGCAGGCCTATTGAGGCAACATTCAGTCAATTGTAGGAAGCGATAGGAGGCGGCACACACGTCTTTTGTAGCATTGCGACGAGCGTAGACTCGTCATCCCAGTCCATGCTGTCGTCCTCATCCCGCCTGTGCTTGCGGTACGCAAGGTCCTCGTCCCTCTCGAGGGCATCAAACTCGCGGTGTAGGTCGTGACGGTGGGTATATGCGGACTGATCTTCCTCCTCTTCCTCGAGGGGTTCTTCCTTGATAGCCGCTAGCTTACTCCGACTTTTCAGGAAGCGGTTCGTGTTCGCGGCTCCAAGCGCCGTTCTCACATTCCTCGCCGAGGGATAGACCGCCGCAAGGGGCGATTTCTGCGGCGCTTTCGCTGGACACCGTTTCAGCGTGGGTGTCGTAGAATGCAATGCGAACGAGAGCCCACCATATCGCGCGCTGGCCACTTTCTGAAACTGCGAAGCATGGGGAGAGAACTTCTGGATGAGCGTAGTCTGTTGGCGGACCATGGCGGAAAGCCCTGGGCCGTTGCGCCACGCGCGGCTCGAGATTCGCGGCGGCACCCAGTCGCGGCGCGGGCACGTGATGGTGATGGCGGGTGCCCAGAAAGGGAAGGGCCAGGGCGGGCGCCTGGGAGATTCCAGCGACTGATCCTGCCTCCACCTCGTCTCGCCCGACCTGAGTCTGCCGCTCCTTTGCGCTCTTTCCTTCCCTCTTTTTGGAGTGTCTCGCAGCAGCGACAGCCACGCGCGCGCCCCAGCCGCCTGCTACGCCAAGTGTACAGAAGGGCAGGGCCTACTTCGTGCTGTCTTTTCTGTCCTTTCCCTACCTGCCGCCGCCCGTCCTTCCCTCACCCTAGCCCCGCCCGACTCGCACAGCTCGCATCATGAGCAGCCGCCAGACCAAGGTATCCACGTCCGAGCTCAAGCTCCGGAGGCTCATGGAGCACAACCAGCGGCTGAGGGAGGACCTCGCGAGACCCCGCATACGGGTTAGCGAAGCCAGTGTAAAGTACGTGGCTCGGTTACGGCGGGCGAAAACTGAGGTGACGCGTGCCCCGTCTGTAGCTTGATCAATTATTGCAAGAACACAACGGACTACCTCGTAAGTGAAGCGTCTTGTGCTGTGTTTCGTCGTGCGGGTCCTGTGCCGCTCGACGTGTCTCGGCGTCGCATTGTCGGTTCGAAAGCGGTGTGTCATGTAGACTGAGGTAGCATTTGCTGGCGGTGGCGGGCGATGATTGACGGACGGGCGCAGTCCAGCTGCGCCCAATTGACGTGTTCGGTCATCGATGAGTTTCGCCTCAGCTGCCGCAGGACGTATACATGCTGGAGACTTGATAGCGGACGCAATGCGTCAAATACTCCGCGGCCGTGACTTGGTGCTGATCACTTGTGTTTGTGCAGGTACCATCAGTGTGGGGCACTATTAGCAAAGCGGAGGATCCGTTTGGTGCACCACAACCTTCGAGTGGCTGCGGATGCGTAGTCATGTAGTCACCTTCATGGTGAGTTCCAATGCTGGCACATCGTTCGCTCTGCAGAATGGCTGATGTGCTGCACGTAGAAACGCGTTGCAAAAGCAGCAGCCGCTTCATTCCCACCTCCCTTGCGCCCGCGACAAGCCGCCACAACCTGCGCACCCCGCACCCCGCGGCTATGCGACCCTCCACCTCTGGCATCTGTCGCGCCATCTCGGACAGTCACCCCTCAGCGTCTCCGCGTTCAGCTTACACTTTGGCATTCGCATTAGTACATATGGATAACCCTATGCATCCTACTTGGTTTTCGCCGTCTCATCTCGTCGTTACTGCTTTGCATTAGTACACTGATTGATCGTTCATTCATCATGTATACCTACGCTGGGTTTGCCCCCTCCTAATGCACCTCGTTCGCGTGGGTGATGGGACTGCTGTATCGCGACGACGAGTGTTCCTGGGCACGGCAGCCGCCGTCCGAGGCAGCGTGCAATGCCGTGCATCCGTCGTCCGACCCCTCGGCCGTGTCACGCGTGTCTGGGAGCAGATCAGACGGAGAGACGCCTGCGCCCAAATGAGGCAACCGCCGACCTGTGCAGTCCTGAGAGAGTTGGTGCGTCCTTCTGACCGTATCGTCGCCCTCCTCGTCCCCTGCCCGCCCCCTTTGTTGTATTTATCCCTTCCCGCCGTCTTTGCGCACTCTCCAGCGCACCCAGCTGCCGCCGCCCACCGCCCGCGGCGCTCTCCCCAGCCCCCGCCTGGCCCAGCACTGTCTGGACCCCAGCTTTGACCGCCGGTGAGCAGGGCAAGGCACATCCCGCTCACCCATATATCTGACTTGGGCCGCGCCCGACCGCTCGTCCGCGACTCCCCTGTGTCCCAGAGCGTCGCGCGACGACCGCCAGTGCATCAAAACCACCCCACACCTCCCATCACACTTTCCCCCGCTCCTCGATCCAAGATGAACGGCCGACCCCACAAGCAGTCAATGTCGGAGCTGAAGCTTCGCAGGCTCGCGGAGCACAACCAACGGCTGAGGGAGGACCTGGCGAGGCCAAGAATCAGGGTCAGCGAAGCTAGCGCAAGGTGCGTCCACCGTCGTCGCGTCCACCGCCCGCATGCACTCACCGTTGTCTCTCTACCCCCCTCACGCACGACAGCCTGATCCGCTACTGCAAAACAACGAAAGACCCCCTTGTGCGTAGCGCAATTCCTCTTTGTCCCCGTTTCAGCGATATGGGCGCCCAGCGCATATATCGGCCCCGCTCGCTGCTTCGCGCTGTTCTTGCTGCTGACTCACGTCCTCGCAGGTACCATCTGTATGGGGTCCAGTAGCAAAGAACGAGGACCCATATGCACAGCAAGGCGGAGGCACGAAGGGATGCTGCGTCGTCCAGTGATACATCTCCGCTCCACACAACGCCTTCTTCTGCTCGTTCTCTGTCCATACATTTATACCATCGCTCTTTTTATTCTCTCCATCAGTCCTCGGGTCTCACTCAATTTCTCCCTTCTCCACGTAACCTTATGGATCGCGGGCGGCGATGCACGCCTGCACGTTGTGGTTTTGCCTGGATGGCTTCAGTATGGCCACGGTTCTGTCTTGCTGCTGGTACAATATCGACTCTCTTTCCCTTTCGCCGACGGATGAGCGTCCAGTACAATAATGTAGTATACATGGTGCTCGCTCTGCCTTAGATCAACGCCGTCAACACCATTCGCTCGCTTCCGTCCTCCTCATCCTCGACGTGCGCTCCCTGCCTTGAGGTCTCTCGCCTGCGTTCTCATGTCACATCCGGTGCTTGTCCGGTGCAGTGGCCCGTATGGACATGGCGCCTGTCCGTATGTCCTGTGGTTCCGCCGGGGGTGTCGGATGACGTCCCGCACGCTGCAGCATCCTGGTCCTGATCAACGCCTGGTAAGATAAGCGTCTGATGTTGACGCAGGTTGATGCGCGTGTTAGAGGTGCTGGTCCTCGTCGTCATAACTCTCCTTCACAAGCCTGGGTAGAATGAAAGCATCAGCAATTGCCTATCAGCCAATATCGCTCGGCGACTGACCTATAGATTGACGAAGGGGGATGATCGCCACTAGAGCGGGATTAGAGCTGCGACGTAGACGTCAACCAAACGCTGACTCACTCGTTCGTAATGAAGACGTCGACAAGCTCCGGTCCGACGTAGTCATAGTATGGATTGATGACATCCACTTTATCAACCAGCAGGCCCTCTTCGTACCCCAGCACGCTGCTCGGGTCGGCGAAGTCGAGCGCCCCGTAGTCGTGGTAGAGGTTCCACGCGGGGGTGAGCTTGAACTGGCCCGTGCACACGACGACGGGCGTGCTGTGCGCGCGGGCGGCGGTCGCGGCGAGGAGGGAGCCTGTGATCGCGAACATGCCGCCGTTGGCGAGGATGGCGTGGGCACCGATGATGACCTTGTTCACGCGCGACATGATCGCGTAGATGGAGGAGTCGGGGACGAGGAAGGTGGAGATGCCCGCGTTGGAGAGGGAGGTCGCCATCTCGTGGCCGCTGTAGCTGTTCGCAGGATGAGGCTAGGTTAGAGATGTATGCTATAGCGGAGGTGGTAACGTACGATGGCCCTGTCTCCGCGACGATGACGGTGTAGTTCCGGTAGTGCCCCGCGGACTTTAAGAAGGCTTCCACCGTCTTGGAATGCCCGATCGTAAGGATGATCTCACTAGAAACAGATCAGACCCGTCCACGTCTATCATACTTGTGAACATACTCTGAATGGATATGATCCTTCGCCGTCTTTGACACATTATCGTAAACGGTCTCCAGCTCGTCGAGCACGTCTTGGATCGCCTCCATGAGCACTGGCTTCAGAGCCTTCGCGAACGAGTCCGGCTCATCAGGGTCATTCTCCCTCAGCGAGATCGTGGCCTCGGACTTGGGTGCGATGACCTGCTTCCGGGGCTGGCCCTGCAGGACGAACTTGGAGATGGAGAACACGTTCCTTGTAGGCGCAGCCGCCGCGCCCTTCGCCGCGGTATTGTACTCTTCGCGGATATTGTGCAGTACCTTGCGGACGACATTGCCCACAGTGTGTTCTGGTGGCGAGTGAGATCAGGACTTTATTGAGCATACTAGCGCATCAGAGGGTACCTTTCGGCTGAGCTTCGGCGAGCCTCTTGCCGACTTCGCGGAGCAGGCTCACAAGCTGGTCGATGTTGGAGAATCGCGCTTTCGCAACGACCTGCCGCAGTACGAGGACGGTCTCGAGGGCTGCTTCCCGCGAGCCTACTATCTGCCTATGAAAGCCATGCCATGAGCAAAGCCGTCCACAACTGCGAGGGTCTTCGATCACTTGCCTTCTGCGCAGCTTTGCTGCAAGATTCTCGACAGCGCGGGCAGCGGGAACGGCGTGTTCTGAGGACATGATTTGGATACGGAGATGTGGTAAAGTTTTGCGGACGTGATAAATGCAGGGAATCGTTGCGAGTAAGCTAGACCTTCCAATAGGCTACCACGGCTCAATACGGTCGAGTCAAGACATTAAGCGCTCGAAGACTACTGTATCGGGCAGAGATCTCAGCCACCCAGTTCATTGCTCACGAAATATCCTGAAATGAGAGTATTCTCCACAAGTTCTCCCCACTAATTTGCAGCCCTCAATTAAGACCTACAATGTGAGCAAACACTATAGGGTGGAGACGAGGACGAGCCTCGGTGCTCCAGTACTTATGTTAGCCCTGCCCCGGACCCCGGTTGGATAAACCATGTAAAGTAATGGTAAGTAAGGGCAAATTTGCCGGTTAAATACATGGCCGCCTGGCGAAATGGCATCGCGTCTGACTACGATGAAGTAGATCCCAAATCAGGAGATTGCAGGTTCGACCCCTGCGGTGGTCATCTTGTTTTTCTTGGTACTTGTTTTGCCTATTCTTCGCCCTACAGGCGTGCTGAAACCCGCTTTTTGATTCGGTACCCCCCAGAACCTTCCTAAATTGGAATACTTGCCATAAATGGAAACTGCGAACATGCAACCTCTGGGATGCCACGTGCGTCAAAACTTGCTGAGGGTAAGTACCCAGTACTGTAACTCAGTAGGTACCCAGTCCCGACTGTACCACCTAATAGTCTCCGTTGCCGACCATAAAAGAACGACAAGCGCTTTTATGACTACCTACGTGCTAGATTACGCCTGTACATGATAACAGTCGAGGAGGTGTGCACTATTCCGAAAACTGAACGCCAATGCGGGAAGACCTTGTGGTAACAGTCGAACACCACAAACATGAAGACGGGGATCAGACTTCCGAGATTCATCAAATGTAGGGATTAGTAGAGGACCCTCGTACGTGCAACACGAAAACAGAACTACAGTCTTCATTCATCTATTGCGTACATACATTGTGCACTTCGACAATCCCCACGCATATGAACATATTAGAGCAGCGATCCCATTCACGACGTTATGTGCCAGTCCAGAACGTCTTCCCACTTTCCGGGGAGTAGCTGTGAGATCTGCTCCACGTCCTTGTCCCCACGACCCGACAAGCACTGGTTGAACATATGAGCGGCGGAGCACCATCATCAGAGAACTGAAAACGTACGATGACGATGTTGGCCTCCTTCGGCAACGTCTTCGCTAACAGCACACCCTCCCACACGGCATGCGACGATTCCAGAGCTGAGGCAAGTAGGACTGCATGAGCCACTGTCAACACAATGCGATGTGCAGGTACGCACCAGGAATGATACCCTCTAGCTGCGTGCACATGCGGAAGCCGCGCAGCGCCTGCTCGTCGGTCGCGACGACGTACTCGGCGCGACCCGAGTCCTTCAGCCAGGCATGCTCGGGACCAACGCCAGGGTAGTCGAGGCCTGCACTAATGGAGTGCGTCTCGACAATCTGGCCTGCGCTCGACTGAAGAATGTATGTTCGGACACCGTGGAGCACGCCTGCAACACCCTTGCTAAGAGTTGCCGAATGCCTGTCACCGTCCAGACCTATAACGCACGATGGATGTAAATCGTCACATACGCATGGAGGCTAGAAGTACTGACCTTCACCGCCGGCCTCGACACCGATGAGCCTGACGCTCTTGTCTGGGATGAAATCATAGAAGGTGCCGATGGCATTGCTGCCACCGCCGACACACGCGACGACGGCCTCAGGCAGCTTGCCAATCTCCGCGTGCAGCTGCTCCTTGATCTCCTTGCCGATGATCCGCTGGAAGTCGCGCACGATCGTCGGGAAGGGGTGCGGGCCGATGGCGGAGCCGATGAGGTAGTGCGTGACGGAGAGGTTGGTCACCCAGTCGCGCATGGCTTCGTTGACCGCGTCTTTGAGTGTGCATGAACCTGAATCGACGGGGATGACCTTGACGGGTGGCATGTAAGACACTGGAAGACGTCGGATGAAGCTGTAAGACCGACCTGAGCACCGAGCATGCGGATGCGGAAGACGTTCAGTGCTTGTCGCCTGACATCCTCTGCACCCATGTAGATGACACACTCCAGCCCGAAACGAGCGCAGACAGTGGCAGTCGCGACACCGTGCTGTCCTGCGCCTGTCTCGGCCACTATACGCGTCTTTCCTAACCGCTTCGCCAACAAAATCTGGAAAGACGTCAATAAGGCAAATGCAAGCCTACTACAGCCACTTACCTGGCCAATGGCATTGTTAATCTTGTGTGAGCCTGTGTGGTTCCTAGTGGGTTCAATGAGGTTGAGCGCACCCTTGTTTCAGGCCGAGTCTGTGTACTCACAGATCCTCTCGCTTCAGCCAGATCGTCGCACCACCAGCATGCTTCGTGAGCTGCTCCGCCTTGTACAAGTTCGACGGTCGGTTCATGTAACCATACAAGCTCTCAAACTCCTTCCAGAACTCGGGGTCCTTCATCGCGCTCTGGTGCACCTCCTCGAGCTCAACCAAACAATCCCACAGCGCCTCGGGCACGTACTGGCCACCGAACTGGCCGAACCGCGGTGGGAGCCCGGACTTCTTGATCTCCTCCGTGACCTTGCTTGCCTTGCTGACGCGAGAGGCGGAACTGCGTGTAGCGTTGAGGTGCGGCCGCCTTGGGGGCTGGCCCTTCAAGCTGATCTCGCGGCAGTACGCCTCCAAAGTCTTCGCGATCTCGCCCTGGGGCGCGTTCTTGATGACGTTGATGACGCGGCTGCCGATGACGACACCATCTGCGCCTGCGTCGGCGACGAGGTCGAAGTGTTCACGGGTTGCGACGCCGAAGCCGACGGCGAGTGGGATGTCGGTGTATTCGCGCACGCGGGAGATGAGGTCTGGAAGGGCGCTGTTCATCGTGCCTGTCACTGAAGAGCCCGTGGTGCCCATCTGCAATCCCAGTGAATGAAATATCAACGAAACATGATGACGGAGACATACCTTGGAAACGACGTAGATAAACGAATCCGCTATAGAGGCGAGGAACTCGATACGACGCTCTGACGTCGAAGGTGCAATAAGTGGGACAAATGACAGACTAAGTATCCGGTCAGTATGATCGCCGAGCGGTCCACAGGCCCTGCTTACTTTGACTTGATACATTTCTCTCGGAACGTGATAGCCTCCTCTGGTGGAAGATCGACCATGATGAAGCCGTTGGCTCCTGCTTCAGCAGCGTCTTGAATAGCCTTGTCTTCACCGTACGCAAGCAGCGGATTGCAGTAGCCTAATATACGTACGATACTCAATGTTGGTGAAAACGATGTAACGAATCGGACTGACCCATGAGCAGTACGGGTACAGTGAGGCCCTTGTTCCGTGCCTCCCGCACTATGCCTAGACAGTGTGGGTATTGCACATCGTGTTGAAGTGCAATCTTCGCGTGATACCTTCAGCATTGAAGTGGGTAACAGAAAAACATGGACGCACGACATTCGTCTCCTGGACAGTCGGGCCGTCTGCCACAGGGTCTGAGAAGGGTACGCCTAGCTCAATGACGTCCGCTCCACCCTCCTGCATTGCAAGCAGTATTGGCACTGTGTCTTCTGGTGTTGGATATCCTGCGGTGACGAAGGTCACCAGCGCAGGGCTAGTCTGACAGAACATCGCACGAGGTCAGTCCTACAGCAATGTATAGCAAGACAGAACTCACGGCGTGGTTTTTGGCCTCGAATACTTTCTTGAGAGCGTCCATTCTGCTTCTGGTCTGATGGGAGAGTTGGGATGCTGCACACGGGCCTGGCAGCTTTTATGTGTGGTGGGAGGAGTGGAGGCGGTTTCGAGTCAGGCGAAGTGTCCAGTCATGGAGGGCAGGCCATCTAATCTTATCCCCGATTCGATCTCACGCGACGCGATCACGCACGCCACGCCTCTCTCGAACGCCTCAACTCACTTGCCGAACACCGCTTCAGCCACGCCCAGCATGGATGTCCTCCAGGCCACCGACGAGTCCAAGGTCCTCATTCTCAACACCGGAGGGACCATCAACATGATTCTGGGCCAGCGCGGCTATGTGCCCGAGCCATACTTCCTCACCGAGTCACTCCGCACGCAGAATCGCTTCCACGACCCGCTCGAAGACTCGCTGTTCTCTCATTCGTCTTCGGTGGAAGGCTACCGAGAATGGACAAGCAATAGCGGAAGAGCAAGCCCTATCTCGAAATCAGGAGGAAGCAGCACCTCAGGTGCTACTCAGCCAAACCACCAGCATCACCCAACGCTGCTCGTGCGATCTACACGGCCCATTGGGATGTCGGTCACAACAAACCTCGCTGCCACCGCAGTCAACACGACTTATCCCAGACCTCCGTTGGGTACAAAACTAGCCGACGATCTGTACGAGGCGCATCTACCTAGTCTCATAACCCCACGAAGCACTGCACCCGGTGGTACACAAAAACGCGTCCGGTACGCTGTCCTTGAGGCGCGTATGTCATAGTTGTGCAACGTGTCTCCTAGTCCTGACAGATAACACAGTGGGATCCGCTGTTAGATAGCAGCAATATTGAGATCACAGGCGAGATATCGGTGGTCTGTGCCCTCGACCTTCACCGCTCATCCGAGGCCGTCGTGACAGCATAGATTGGATCCGGATTGCAACAGAGATCGAACTGAACTATGCTGGATTCGACGCCTTCGTGATCCTGCATGGGACGGACACTATGTCCTACACATCATCAGCTCTCAGCTTTTTGTTAGAAGACCTCGGGAAGACTGTGGTATGTCAGGACATAGTGCAATGGTCTATTTTCATCAACGTCCCGTAGATAGTCACAGGTGCTCAGATCCCCCTGTCACAACTTCGCAATGACGCGGTGGACAACCTGCTCGGAGCATTAGTACTCGCCGGCCACTATATCATCCCAGGTACACCACTACAGCCACTCTGCCTCAATCGCAAAATTGAACCCGATGATCAGAATGTTGTCTTTACTTCAATCATACGCTGTACCGCGGCAACAGAGTATCAAAGTTCTCATCTTATGATCTGAACGCTTTCGCAAGCCCCAACTTCCCTCCACTCGTCAATGGTGCGGACGTTCTACAAGAGCTTGGATGACGCTCACATGGATGCCATCAGTGGGAATTGACATCATCGTCAATTGGCACGATGTAATGAGACAGACGGGTTTGCGACGCTTCAGATCTCACAAACGTCAGTGACCTCACTATCTTAGTACCCAGATGACGCTGAGAGTTGCACCGCAGAGATGAGCCCTCACGTCGGCAAGTAACAGACACCACAGGTCGTCTCGCAGCACAGCTCACCATCACCTAGCCACACTGCGCCTCTTTCCAGGAATCACAGCGGCCACCGTCCGCGCCTTCCTGGCGCCCCCAACCCAGGGTGTCGTCCTCGAGACATACGGCGCAGGCAACGCCCCACAGCGGTCCGACCTCATCGGCGCGCTTAAGGAGGCCTGCGACCGCGGCGTCGTGATCGTATCGATCTCGCAATGCGCGAAGGGCTCCGTGTCCGACGCGTACGAGACCGGAAGGAGCCTCTTGTCCGCGGGCGTGGTGAGCGGCGGGGACATGACACCTGAGGTCAGTTCCCGAACCCAGCCACCTCCATGGCCCGAACACCTTCCCTTGTTCTAGCGTGAGTCTGAGACACGATCGCTGACGCCACTGCACACAGTGTGCCCTCACGAAACTGGGCTACCTCTTGTCCAAGCCAGAACTCTCCCGCTCAGAGGTCCGCGCGCTGATCGGCACGCCCCTCCGCGGCGAGCTTACCCGCCCCGTGAGCACCATCCCGCCCGCGATCAGCGAGCCCAAGGGCATCGAGAGCAACCTCGAGAACATCTCCGGCGTGCTCTCGCAGGTCGTCCGGCTGTCCTCCAGCCAGGCACGCGGGCGTAGGATCGTCGTCTCGTCCGCGGAGGACACGGGCGCGGAGAGCAACCTCGAGGCCGCGGCACCCTGGTCCTGGACAGCGGCGGAGGCGGCGTCCACCGAAGGCGCGCTCTATCCGTTCCTCATCCACCTCGCCGCCGCCCGGAACGATGTGGAGGCGATCCAGTTCTGTTTGAAGGCAGAGGCGGGGCTGAACGCTGATGACGCGACCAGCCCGGGCGCGGAGTTCCCCAGCCAGACGCGGCGGAGCATCGCCATCGGCGGCGGGCTTGTCAACTGCGTCGAGCCGGCGAGCGGGCGGTCGCCGTTGCATTCTGCCGCATTAAATGGAAGCACAGACGCGGTGAACGCACTGCTGGAGGCGGGGGCGTTAGTTCATCTGCGGGATAGCCTTGGGCATACGCCGCTATACTATGCAGCGAGGCAAGGGCACGAGCAAGTGGTAGAGATGCTGGTAAAAGTCGGCGGACTCCTCAGCGGGTCTGACGTCGAGGGCGGGTTTGTGGGGCTCGCTATGCAAAAAGCACGGCTGGCACCGGATGACCGTGGCCTGAGGGTGTGGACCAAGGCGGGGGCAGATCCTCAGCATACGACCTAGTTAGAGTACAACAACACAGCAAGTGTCCCGAATGAAGCAGCAGCATTTACACATCCACGTTTCCCCCTTTTGAGAGCGACTTTAGATGCATACCTTATACACCAGAGAACCTCGGACCATCCGTCAGTCAATATGGATGACCTCCCTCTCCACGGCCCCGCCTTCCTCGTCTTCGAGCTCATCATCCTCACCCTCTTCGTCCTCCGGATTGACTGCCGCGGCCATCCTGTCCGTGAGCGTCTTCAAGAAGACCGTGAGCTGGTCCCATGCGAAGAGGAACGGCTCCTTGAAGAACTCAAGCCGCTGGAAGAACTCCGGGTCCTTGTCGTCCACATTGAGCGGTGTGTACTTGCACTTGCGGACGAGCTCCTTCTTAGACTGCACGGGCTGGCTGGGGTCGCTACCTTCCGGGCGCTCATACAACTCTCGCAGGTTGAAGCTGAGGCCTGCGAGGACACGATGCCGCTTGTTATCAGAATATATGCGAAGCGGACAGGGGCAATGGGCACGTACTCGCGTTTTCCTCGTCTGAGTTCGCTTCACCCTGTGTATGAGTGTAGACGCAGATGAAGACATTCTCGTCAAGGCCGAGATATTGACTCTTCTCGACCTTCGCCGATATGACGAGGAGATTGCTCATGTCCTCATAGAGCTTGATGACTGCTGCATTTCTTGGATCTCCGTCTGGCTTGACTGCTGAGCGAACCAGTGAGGCTCCCTGAGGACGAGCAGCCAGTGTCTTGCCTCTCTCGATTTCCTGGTTAAGCTCGAAACGCATGTCCTTCACTAGTCACACGATGATCTCAGCGCAACCTAGAGACAGTTTCGTGCGACCCACCATCTCGTTCCAGCTCTGCGATTTTTCTGTCTTTGTCGGCGACTTCGGTATCCTTTTGTTTGATGACGTCCTTGAGTCGTCGAACTTCCTTCTCCGTCGTCTCCTTCTCAGCGTCGGCAGCGGCACGCGATAGGAAGTGGGGTATCTGGGACTTTGCGGAGGTAGATGCGGCGTTTGATAGGTCCTGCCATGTTTGTTGGTCTGGCGTGCCATTATTCATTTTCAGGTCCTTTGACACTGTATTCCGCGCTCACTTTTCAGCATATTTTCATACACAGCCATGTGTTCCTGCAAAGCTTGTTCGGGCTCGGTACGCCGTATCTGCAGTGCTTCTTCGAGCTGTTTTGAGTACTGATCCCTCTCATACTTGAGCTATGGTTGGAGCGCATCAATATTATTGACCAAGAGTGGCAGAGACGGGCAGTATTTACGGTGTCGATCTCTTTACGAAGGTCCTCATTGTCCTGCGCTATCTTCGAGTCCTCTCGCGCTACCGCATCCTGCTCCTTCGTCGGTCGACTTGGTCCCGCTGCAGCCCTGGTTGACTTCGCTGGTGGCCCACTACGTACACGTTTCCGAGACGGCTCCTCTCCATTCTCGTCTGGACTGCGAATGCCGTCTACTTCCATTGCATCGTCTTCACGCGTGGCACTTCGACTGGGTTTGGATGGTGGCGGACCATCGGCTCGTGCCTTGCCCTTTGCTAGAGAGGGTTTGGCTTTGTTCGTCGCTGAGGTGTCAGAAGCGCGTCCAGGTCCTCTCTTGGGCGCAACCTTCGCGGGTGCTACTGCGACAACCTCATTACCTTCGACCGCGCCTGCTAGTCGAGGTTCGTCCTCTGACGAGGAGTCTATAATGATCTGCTCCGGCGGCTTCCCTTTGGCCGCGCCGTTCGTACGTTTCGGCGCGTTCTTGGATGCTGCGGCGGCAGGTCTGGAGGACGGTCCCGCAGCGGACTTACTACCTGCGCCTGAGCGCGCTGCAGGCTTTTTGGCAGGCGCGGGGCGTGCGGGTGTCGTGGGGTCGTAGGTGGCTGGCGATCGAGACAGCTTTCATCCATATTCAGAAGTCCTCGGACGCGTGTATGGCGTTTTGGAGTACATACCGAGCTCGTCTCCAGAAGAGTCAGACATGACAGACTGACGACAGACCACGCCGGGTGAGAGGGGTGGTAGTAGAAGACAAAAGGCAGCGGTCAGAACGCGGCGCGGGGACGCGACCTGACGCGCACGTGCAACCTCGACGCGTCCGCCGCCGCGGCGCCGCCACCACTGTTCGACTGGTTCTGCAAGCACCAATCAGCCACTACTGAGATCACACACGACTGATGAGTCTCTTGAATAGGACTTCCCAGAATTGCTCCTGATGACTTCTCTCCTGCGATGCTTGTGGTGTGTCTCGACACCCTGTCGTACGGTGCCGCACCGAATGAGCTTGAGGTTGCCCCGACTTGCTCTAATTTTGGCGCGGCACGCACACTCGGGGACCCTTCCCCCTCCACCGCAGCTTTTCAAGCTCGAGAACGCGTCGGACAGCGCAACAGCGCGAGCATGGATCGACAAGTTCAAGGCTCAGGAGATACCCAAGAGTCTCGTCGAATTTACATTCTCTCGTAGCTCTGGACCAGGGGGACAGGTAAACCGGACGCTATATTGTCTTAACATCTACTGATATAAGATATACTGGTCAGAATGTCAACAAGGTGAACACCAAGGCTACCCTCAGATGTCCTCTGAATTCCTCCTGGATACCTCCATGGGCTCGGGACTACATCAAGAAGACTGTACGTTCCCGGTGTCCGATGACGTTAGTCTGACTGACGAGTGTCCGTATTTATCATCCGGGAAGCCATCCTATGTATCGTCTGCGCAGTGCATCCAAATCACCTCAACCGTCTATCGGTCTCAAGCTCAGAACGTGCAAGACTGTCTCACCAAGGTACGCTCCTACCCTTCATTCATGATTTCACATTGCTGTATCATTGTTCAACAGCTCTGTTCTCTCGTCGTTGACGCAGCCTCTGCCTCAATCGTAAATGAAGCATCAGAAGAGCAGAAAGAGCGCGTGCGCCGTCATCAGCGAGCGGAGAAAGCTAAGCGCAAAATCGACAAAGCAAAGCGTAGTGAAGTCAAGAGAGGTCGGAAAGGCTCTTGGGAATAATCCACTAGAACGTTCCCAAGCTGCGGCTTCTACATACCTTCTACTAATCCCTCGGAGAGATGCTCGGCGGCAGCACACGCAGCCGGAGTGTGTTTGTGCAGGGGAGGACTTGGAAGGAAAGGATCCTCGCAGACACGCGAACATGAACGACCGGATCATCCCTCCAGGATATGCAAGGACGATAGAAGAAATAGCAAGTCGAACCCTACGCAAAGACCTTCGACACAGCAAGCTCGTCCTCGTCCCGTTTACGCGTCTCCATCCGCTCCGCCCTCTCCACCTCCGCCGTCTTCCGCTTGCCGTACTTGTCGCCCTTCTCCCGCTTGAGCGCGGACCGCACGGCAGCCGGGGAGATGAACTCTATAATGACATCAGCATGTGGACAGCATAGAAGGACGCAATGCGGGACGAACCTGGGTTCGAATATACGGTTGCGCCGCTGAAGGCACCCTCGAATATTCGAATCGGCGTAAGCACGAAGCGCGGGCCAACCTCAATCATGGTCGTCTGAGGGGGGCCGTTGGGTTGTAGTGGGTCTTTTTCGATGATCTAGAGGTAGGGTTGGGTGCAAGTCGTGTGCAAGAGCCACTGTGCGTACCTGGAAGTTACGGAACCAGATCTTGTTGTCGAGAATGGTGAAGGTGAGGATATGGTCAATAAACGGCTTCGCTTTCCGCGCTTGCGCTGGCACGCCGAAAATCTGTAGCACCAGGGTCAGAACAACGTCTTCGCGAGACAAGCATCTGAGCACTCACGTGTGTGAACACCTCCTTCGTCAACCTCCCCCACTCGCTTTCGTCAAACGTCTTGTCAAAGCTTACGATTCCCCTGCTTCCCTTCAGACAGTTGCCTGTCATCTTGAGCTCGTCCATCGTGTGCACGTTCTGAACGTGCATCTTGATGCTCGGACCGTTTGGTGTCTTCGCTGCCCAGAGATAGAGGTCCTCGTGCCGCCGCGCCTCAAAATACAGAGTATTGTTGCAGTTGTTTAGGTCCGCGAGCTCGGGTAGGAGGTGTAGGTTGTTCTTGGAGTCGAGTTTTGAATCTGCGAGGACATAAGGATGAGACATTCTGTAACAATTGTGTCAACGTACCTTTCTTAACGTGCGGTAGGAGAGCCTCAATATCATTCATTAGGTGCCGCATGCGATGTGTGATGCCCCGGGATGACAGCAGGAGGACCCGCTGCTTGTTCTTCATCTTCTTCGGCGCAGGAGCTTGCATCTCCTCGTCTGCACCCACAATCTCCTCTGCCTTCCGCTTTCCCTTGCCCTTTGCATCAGCCTTGGCAGCATTTGCTTTTTGCGTTTTCTGGAGCGAAGCCATGAGAATAGCCGTAATCGGGATGAAACAGAGGAGTGCTAAAAGCGATGTAATGAAGAACACTGAGCAGGCGCTCTCCATTGTGGGGCGCTTAACCGGGCGCCTCACGAATTTTCGCCACACATGTGACTGCGTTCATCGCGTCGCGCCTCGTTGCCACCACACTTCTCCCTCACCTCGTCGCCGTGGCTGGAATCTGCAGTATCATGAACGCTGTGTGCAGTATATGTCTCGACGCGCTGAACGAGGAGATCATCCCCGTCGCCACTCGCTGTGGTCACCTCTATTGCAAGGATTGTGCCGATTTCAACTTCGCACGGCAGGGCGCGACGTGCGCGATATGCAGGCAGGCGCAATCGCATGATAGCCTCATCAAGCTGTACCCCGATTACGAGCAGCCAGAAAGCTCGCACAGGGCCGATCAACAGCCAACGAGTGCCACTCCGAGGCAGGAGTCTCCAGACGCGACCCTACATAGCACGGAGCTCTGGGGTGATCGAACGCTCGTAGATGGCATCCTAAAAGGGTATGCAGTTCGTCAACTCGGATACAATTGAGCTGATTGCTGCTGCTTAGGGCAGATGATATCGCACTCATGGAATATATCCCTGAGCACGAGCGACGTGTAGACCTCGGGGTAAGTCCCTTAACCGGCACTGTCGAGCGCGGCACTAACCCTTGCATAACACCGCACAGAATACTCTCAGATCTGTCAGAAAGACACTCCAAACTGTATACTCCGTGAGAATTGTTGATTGAGCCCCGCCTTCAGCTAACTTGACCGTGCAAATCTCGCCGCAGAACGTAGATCGCTCAGACCGTATCGCGCGCATAGAGTCAGAGATACGACGCCTCAAACGGGAACATGCCCGTAGCAATGACGCTAAAAAGGAGCTACCGCGACTATGGCGTCACGGGCGGAAGGCAGCGGCGGCTCAGCTCGAGAGGGAACGCGAGGACTTCCAGACGGTGGTCTATCAGATGCGCGCTAAGCTACAAAGGCTTGAAGACGACCTGAGAACTACCCAAGACGAGCTACGGGGGTGCGAAGAGACCCTCGCAATAGTAGACAAGGAGATGAAGATGTGGCGCAGCAGCGCTACGAGGCACAAGAAGAAGGTGCTGTACGGATATACCCTCGGGCGATGTTGACTCTGACGTGCGCTGCAATCAGTTTCACGCTCTGAAAGCGCAACTAGCGGCACATAGCAAACAATATGATACAGATGACTCGCTTGAGATCGTATGACAATTCTATTTTCAAGTGATCTCGCCATGTATTGTTAAGTCACTAATTCATGGCCTGAACGCAGGACCGCAGTTGGGTACGTCGGTCAAAATAACCCTATTGTGACCGCACAACTTTCAATCCACTTGCCCTGCTGCACACCCTAGCTATGTGAATTGTCAACGCTCCGATCAACGTTCCCGACATCTCTGCGTCTGCGAGCCGCGTCTCAGTTCGCGCCACGCTCTCGACTAGAGTTCGAGGGTGTCATGCTCGGTGCCCGAGGGCATACGGCCACGTACGGTTCTCCAGAGCCTAGGCCATCGAGGCAGGCAGATCCAGACACAACTTATTCTCGTTTGAACATATTTGCAGGCGTTCTCCAGATTCAAGCGCGTATGATCTTTACAGGCATGGAACGCAAACAGACGATCCTCTTCTAGGCTAGACGCAATACCGTTCAGGTTGCCTCTGACTTGGTACCCGAGGAAATGACCTTCGGGGTGGCGAGTTCGATCGTCTTCTTCCTCCTGTCGAAGATGGCATAGACAAGTCGCATGAGAAACTGGAGACGCAGGGCATGAGTATATGTTGGCGACGGACATCGACCAACCTCGTCACGGTCGGTAATGACAGTATCGTAACATATGCCCAGGGACCATGGACTGGGACGTCGGTCCAGGGTAAAGTCATGGTTGGTTTCGATGATCCCGTCGCACAGATGTTCACACTGGCTCGCGGCCGCACATTGGAACGACTGCCACAGAATTAGTCGGTCTCACGGCGGGAACACTGCACCTATCGAAAGGACTTGCATCCCACATTAAACATGTCACGGCCATCGAACAGTCTGCTCGTCAGAGCCATTGCTTCCGACGCCGGGGGACTTCAAAATCCACCGCTATTTTCGGTGAACACTGACTGACTGACTGACCATCATCTGCCAGAGGACAGGACGCGTCCGGGCACATGACCGCACCCAGGCGCGTCGCGTCCGCGCGTCTAAGGGCCTTCCGTTGCAGCATCAGCCACCGCCCGGCACGCTGTATTCGATTAATGCCACCCGCCGCACCGTGTGGCCTCCTTCTGTCCTTACCGTCCCTCTCCCTCTCCTCCTCCTCCCCCTTTCCCTAACCGCCACCATGCACGCACGTTGCAGCATCTGCCAGGACACTCTCGGCGACGCGAACACGCCCATGACCACCCTCTGCGGCCACCTCTACTGCGCGGAGTGCGCCGCGTACCAGTTCGCGAACGGCGACGTCTGCGCGATATGCCGCACGGGCCCCTACGAGCTCGACGCGCTCATCAGGCTCTTCCCCCACTACGAGCGCGAGCCGCCACAACCACCCTCGCCGCGCGCGGGCGGATCGGGGGCGCAGATGGAGGGCGGGAGGGCGGAGGCGATGGTGGCGTTGCATGCGTACTATGATGTTTTGGAGAGCGAGGACGTGCTGCGGTCTCCGGCACTGGATTCTGCGCTGGAGAGGTATGTGGATGCGTTTGTGGCGGTTCCCAGTTGACCTTGCTCAGGACGGACGACCTCGTAGCCGCCTTGGCAGACATTGAGGCTCCGGATCTACGGGTATGCATCCGGGCGTATCTTCTGGACGACTCTCATGGATCCGCACACAGAACCTACTCGCAAATGTCGTGGGGCTCCTTGGAGACATCCGTGCAGTACGTTAACATCCTACTATCGCATTCGCATCCACTGACCCGCAGCAGAAAATCGCAGACGCAGCCCGCCTCTCGGAACTCGAATCGCAACGCGACACGCTCCAGACAATGGCGCGCCGCTTGACTGAGCGCCTCCGCGAACATCAACGCGCACGCGAGACCGAGCGGGAGGCCGCCACCGAGGAGCTCACTCGACTCCGCGAAGAGTGGACGGCACGCATCGCAGCGTTGCAGGAGGAGCTCCAGGGGACGACGGCGCAACTGAACACGGAACGCGCAAAGGTCGAGCAGGCCAAGGTCGTGATGACGGAGCTCGACGCGGACGCGAAGAAGTGGCAGACGCAGGCGTCGCGGTACAAGAAGAAGGTACGCCTCTTCGTCCGCGCTGTGGTGATCATCGTGAGCTTTAGCTGACCGGGTCGAACGCACATAGCATCATAGCCTCAAGAAGAAACATCAGGCCATGGAGACTGGCATCCAAGATGCGTTTTTCGGGGGCGATGACTCGCTCGATCTCATCTGAAGCGTGCATCCTCACAATCGTACTATCATTCTCGTCGTGCCTTACACTCTAACATATACCCACACTCCTTTAACATTTGGCAGTTCTGCATTAGTTGCCTATTGATACTTATGGCTTTAGTGTTCGGATAGATGGATAATGACGTTCAAGACATGGACGGATGGGACCCAGGCATGCCATGCCGACAATTGAACATTTATTTTGATGCTATAGTACCTAGTCACACGGACGACCACGAAAATCGGGGAAACCGAGACGGAGGGGAGGTGAGCGGGCAGCATGAGAACACGACAGAGCAGTAGCACGAGACGAGACGAGACGAAGGCACGACACGACACACGATTCTCGGGGATCATAGTTCGGCACTAAGTAGGAGCGGGGGCATGCATACATACACTGACCTAACACGAAGGACCTGCGTGCATACGGGTCGCAAGCAATAAAGATCAAGAACGGAAGTTGAAGTCGGACGACCCGGCGACCCTGGGTGGGCCGCATTCCTCGTCAGCTGAAGGCGAAGATCAGACCAGAAAGGATTGCATGCGCTTAGGCGCTTGAGCCCTGCGATTGCTGGGCTCGGAGCTGTTTCTGCTTCTCCTGCTCCAGTCGCTGTCGCAGCCATCGAAATTCAGCTTCAGGACGCGCATACATGCAATGAACACGTACGTGGTATAGCAACTGCACCGCCATCTGTATGTTCGCCGGCTGGCCCGTGATGACGACCAACCGCTCGCCCTCTCCGCCCGCAGGCGCAGGTGCGCCGTTCATCCCCACACCAACCGCTCCCGGCTCCATGATTTTGATCTGGCTCGCACTCATATGCCGGATCTCGTTGATTTTCGCGCCGCCCTTGCCAATGATGCACCCGACGAGGTCGTTCGGGATGTAGATCTGCTGCGTCTGCAGCTGCTGTGGCGCGCTGTGCGAGCCGCCCGCGTATGGGTTTGAGTAGCCAGGCACGTATGACGAGCCCTGGTGCGACGGCGGCGGCCGTCGCGAGTAACTCGACGGCCTGTAGGACGAGTTGTTGGACGAGGGCATGCGCTCGTTCGCCTCAATGAGGATGTTGCCTATGTAGTAAGTCGCGATGTGGATGGCGTCGGCGACACCTGAGACACTGAGTACCCGCTAAGCGCAAGCGGATTAGTGTACTTTCGAGTGCTGGAAGAGCTGTGGCGGGCACACCTCTGTTGAACCAGGCAGCATCCCTTCGCTGGCGTTGAGACGTGCTCCACTTGCATCCTGGATCTCCTTGATCTTCGTTCCGCCCTTGCCAATGACTGACCCCATGCGTGAGTTGGGAATCATAAACTTGATGGTGACCGCCCGACTGCCAGGGACAGAGGGTTTGTCAAACGGCTCGTCGTTGATTCTTCGGACAATCAACCCAAACGCCTTGACGCGTTCCGGTGAGACAACGCCCAAAGCGATGCATACGACGCGACTCACCTTTGATACTGCGTCCAGCGCACCGCTGACGTTGAGGATGCGCTCTGGGTTGCCAGGGATGCTCTCCGAGACCATAACCCTTGCCCCGCTCTTCTCTCGGATCTCATTCACGTGCGATCCGGCCTTGCCAATGATGATCGAGGCGTCCTGAGTAACGATCAGGCATCGCATGTGGATGTTGGCCGCGGGCGGGGAGGAAGGCGAGGATGAGTTGTTGGGGCCTGCGGATGTGGTGGCCGAGCTACTGTCCTCGCGCTTGACATCGCCGGAGGCCATCTCGGACGCGGCCCTGTCGGATGGTTGAGTGGGCGAGGGCGTAGAGGCGGCGGTGTCGGCGGGGACATGCTTCATGTCGACATCGCCTGAAAGGGCGGTCGAGCGAGCGGAGCCACGGATGAGCTGTGAGTCATCGGAGGCGGAGGTAGCGCCTGTGTTGGCACGCTTGTACTGCTTCTGCTGGTCATTGAGCACGTCGGAAGGGGAGCGGGAGCGCTTGCGGGTGTTGTCAGCTTCTGGCATGGTGAATGTGGAATTTAGTCTCTTTCAGCGGCCGCACACGGCGGTGGGGAGGCTTGTGGGGGAGGAGCACAGGAAGGGGCTTGGGACAGGAGGTCGGGCGATGGAGGCTCTGAAGGGAAGGCAGTGGGGATGGTGAGGGGAACGTGGGAGGGGAGGAGGCACTGCGCTGGGTGCGGAAGACATACCTTGGACGCTGTGAGCGACGACGACGGGGGGTGCGAGCTCGCTGTGGACGGGAACGGGGACGACGGTGGGAGGTTACGGGCACACTGCGCGGTTGCCGTCTTAATCGAGGATAGACGCCCAGTTGTTTGGGCTTATGAGGCCAAATCGGTCGCGACCGGCCGGGCGCTGCCAGATTCGATGCTAGTTAGCCTTTGGGCTTTGTCCCACGTCGCCCACCGCCCAATGTCCGCCCGCATGGTGGATCTCCACAGGCAAGGTGGGCGACGGTGGGAATTTGGTGGTCGCGCGCATTGTGATAATTACCACCCGGCCACACGCGCATTTCCTCTGCATCGCCGCCCAGAAGCTATTGTGGACCGTTGCACACTTGATATTATTCACGGCAGTACTTCAGCACACCAGCCCAGGACGTCACATAAGAATGGTTCCACAGGATAAAACAGAGGTTGCTGCTCTATTCGCCTAGGTGTTCCCCATCGTCCGCGAGCTCCAAGGTCGGTCTGCCACGTGCACGCGCACGGCAATGGAGGTGCAGACTACCCCGCATACCAATGGCTCTGGCTAGCTTGAAGTACCCAGACGTGTTTTCAGTGCGGTGGTGGGGTGCAACTGTAAAAACCGGATGGGTACGAGACAACCTGAGGGTACTGAGCTCTGCTGGGTGATCAAGCGCCGGAGCCAACGAGCGATGATCATTCGCCAGGAAAAACGACAATTCTCTACAGTGTCCGGGCCAAGAAGGTTCTGCGCATCACACAATTTCCTTCTACTGTTCTTGTACTGTTTGGCTGATCCCTATCCCCTTGCAGTTGCTGTGGACAGTCATATTGGCAGCAATTGTGATCTGTCACCATAACCACTTGGCTATAGTGCCTTGGATGATACCTCACTTTACTCTACTGCATCCAGAGGGCCACCAGATGCATTGCTCAACACTGCAACAGCAACTTCATCGTTTGGGCTGAAAACTATGGTATTGTGTGTGTCTCAACTGTGGCTATTGAATGATGTACTTATCTTGAAAAACGGATGAGAGGTTCTCTCTCAAGACTCAATCTGACTGAGTGCTTATGGTCTTGCAACCTGTGTGAGCATCCTAGACTGTAGTGTGTTGAAGTACTGCTGTAAATTGTACGGTCCACAATAGCTTCGGGGCGGCAACTACATGTACAGTTCACCAATTTGGATGTGGCTTCATTGCAATATTTACGCGCGACCACCAAGCTTACACCGTGGCCCAATCGGCAACTCATCTATAGAAGTAGTGTAGTATCATTCAAGGCGCTATAGCCAAGTGGTTACGGCGACAGATTAGAATCACACGATCTGTTTCCCTTTGGGAGCGCAGGTTCGAGTCCTGCTGGCGTCGTTTTTTGATTCTATTTTACATCTGCAGAGTTCAGAGGCACTCGGAATCGTTTTTTTCGCGAAGTCGCGCTGTGAGGCGAAGATGGGAGGTGTTTGCTAGATTTTCCAAATAAGGCAAGGGCTGTGAAATTAGACGCCCGTCCTTCGACGCGTCGAGGCCGGCTGCTTGCGTGCGCGGCGGAGCTCGCGAGTGCTGCTCCCTGCCTGCAATCCACTCGTCGTCGTCGCTGTTGTAGTCGCCGCGGCATCTACCAACATGTCGGGTGTGCTGCCGACTGTCGAGCAGATCGAGGACTACATGCAGTCGCTCGAGGAGCTGCTCTTCTCTTCTCTGCAGGCAGCGACTCCTGATCTTCCCCGGGTCAGCGAAGCGATCCATCGTCTCTGGGAGGACATCTCTCGTTTCGGTCCCCAGTCGCTACCTCCCCTTCCTGATCTTCATATCCCTGGACTGGGTGCGTTTGAAGTCCCGCCTCCCCCGCCGCCTCCCCCGCCCTCGCCGCCGCAGTCGTTCCTGCGGCACACCGCGGAGTGGGTTGCAGATCATCCTTGGACGACCGCTGGCATCACTTTCGGAGCGGTCGGCGCGGGCTTGCTTGTGGGCTATGGATACTACCATGCAGGTGTGACAACTGTCAGGGTGAGGGCAACCGCGAGCCCGGACCGCAGACAAGTCGTCGGTGAGTACACACGAGGCGGGACATGCATGACATCGCGCTGATCTGCCATCGCAGTGGTCCTCGGTGGAGACGCCCCTTCCGGACTCCCTCTCATCCTCGAGCTCGAGAAGAAAGGCTACGTGGTCATCGTTAGCGTGTCGACTCCCGAGGCGGTCGCGGATATTGAGCGGAACTGCCATGGCTTCGTGCGCGCCCTGGTGTTCGACCCATCCGAGGTGAGTGTCCTCCTAACGCATATCGTCGTTGTCTGACGGTTCCATCCGTCAGCCCGAAACGATTCCTTACTTCCTGCGCTCGCTCTCCTCCACGCTCTCGCGCCGTTTCCCCATCACCGCCGCCGGCGACCCGCACGCCTCGCCCTCCTCTCATCTGCACGTCCACTCCGTCATCTCCCTTCTCACACTCCCTTCACCCTCCGTAACGCCTCCTCCAGCTCCCCTGGAACACCTCTCCCTTCAAGACACCTATTCGTCTTACCTCACCGCGACGCACATCACGCCCCTGCAGATCATCCAGGCGCTGCTGCCTCTCCTTCGGGCGAACCCCGCACGCGCACGCGATGCGCTCGCGAACAACCTCAGCAAGAAGAGCATCGTTGTGTGCCTGCCTGCGATCGACGCGCGTGTCGGCCTCCCGTTCGCGGGCGCGCAGGCAATGAGTGCTGCCGCGACGCTCCGCGCGGTGGAGGTGCTCAGGCGTGAGGTCAAGATGGCGGCGCTGACAGATTCAAGCGCGAGCATGAAGAACATCAAGGTCGTCGTTGTCGACGTGGGTGCTATCGGTGGTGTCGCACCCGCGAGCGAGCAAACCAATCACGTCCACAAGAGTGTCGAGGGGTGGACGCCTAGTGAGAAGGTGGCCTACGGGACGGCGTTCGAGGCCGTTGTTGAGGAGGGCATGCAGTATGGCATGCATCGGAAGCCGACGGACGTCTCGGTGTTCGTCAAGACCATCGTGGATGTTGTGGGTGGCTCAAGGAAGAGCAGCAAGTCTGTGATTGGCACGATGGTCCACCTCGGCTTGGGCCGGATTCGCGACTTCATTCGCGGAGATAGAGTCGTTGTCGGCGCCGGTGGTAAGCGTCGTATGGTCTCGTCTCAAAGTCGTGCTGATTTGTTGGAACAGCGAGGACCTATGCCCTGGCTTCGTACCTCCCGGGCGTGCTGCTGGACACAATTCTTAACATTCCGCACTTCCTCATCTCGATCCGGAACGCGCTTCTGACTATTCAGCCTCACGTCCTCCTGCCTCAGTCTACGCATATGCCGCCGGTTCCTCCCACAGCCCCCGCGCCTGCCCCCGCCGCCCTGCCTGCTGAGCCACAGCCGGCAGCCCAAGAGCAGGCAGTGGACTCCGATCCGGAGCAGCACGATAACGCGTCCGAGACGGGCTCCGAGGCCGACGTCGAGAGTAACGCCGGATCAGGGGTGGGTGAGTCGTGGATCAGTGTCAAGGACGAGTGATTCCGTGTTCCCACCTATCTGCATGACGTTGTGTGCACGATTTGCTTGTATTGCACTAGGTAGAGAGCCTCTGCTGAGCATTGTTTCAGCGATTGAGTCCGGTGTATTCATTAGTCTGTTCCCTGCTCCAGATTCATTCCCTGTTGTACAACAATGTATGTACAGAAGTAATGTATAATCTATATGACGGACTGCCACCTCCCTCCACTCATCCCGGGTATCAAGCCTGTATGCCGCTGTCATACGACGTTTGAGCTTCTGTCTCTGCTCCTGTCTCTGCATTTGCTGTCGCATTTTGCAGCCATATGATCATCTTGCCCACCCTGCGCCAGGCCCGCCGACGCTTCACCGAACCACTCCGCTGTTGCTTCTGAGCAACAACATAGGGCATACGGTTCAACCATACCACACATCGCAGGGTCGCCAGTCCCCTGCGCTGCGCAGCACTCACACGGTTCCTGAACAAACAGCGCATCCCCCGCCAACTCAGCTCCTCCGCCTTCTTCAACGCGAGGAGCTGGCCCGTCAGGATTTTCTTCTCCCAGCTCATCTGGTACTTGGTGAAATACATCTCGGTGCGCCGCTCGGGCTGGAGCTCGAGCCAGTGCAGCCGCGCTTCACGCGCATCGCTCATCGTGGCAGGAGGGAGGGAGCCTGGGCGCGGGTCGCCGCGGCTGGGGTCGTATGTGACGCCTGCGTCTCTGAGCCGCTCAAGTGCCGTTTCGAGCAGACATTGTCTCTTCCATCCAGGAGAGTGCTTGCGGAACTTGATGGGCGGCCCGCCCTCGTTCGCGTGCGCTGTTATCAAGGAGTCGTAGGCTGCGATGGTGGAGGTGTAATGGTCCTCCATGCGATGAAATACCGCGACCGTACGATCGTGTCGTATATGATGGGCTTTCATATATGATTTCATTTCATCGTCATCATAGTCGGAGGGCCTGAAAGGGGTATTCAGACAACTGTCACAACTGTGGCAGGCGACGCGACTCACAGGATGGGTTTGGGCCTGCGCGGCTTGGTCACGGTCTTGATGGACTGAGCGATCTTCGCCCAGTGCGGAAGAGTTGTTCGGCTGGTAGAACTACGAATCCATGCAATCAGACTGTACCTCGTAGCTGCATGGGATGTTGGTACTCACCCGCTGATACACATATCGATCTTCACGTCAGCGCGGAAGTGCAGTTATGTGCAGGTGAATAGAGGATCGAAGACGCGTCTCCCCCTGTTATCAGTGAGTTGGACTATTGTCAGTGCTGTAGTTCAATGCGTTGCCATGGCCCATGCCATGCCGACTATTGACTGAAATGGAGGCAACACCTTGTCCAAGTACCAAGGAGATGGCAGAAGCAAGCAGTGCCCACATGCAAGCCATTCGATGCTCCATGTGGACAGAGTAGCCCAAATCTTGTTGGGAGGCTCCCAGAAGCATTGTTATATGGCGTTTTCAAGAAAACAATACGACCTACATGCATCTGAACACTACTAGAGGTCTTGGCACTTCCGCCGCACACGCCGGGAATGATGGCTTCCAACAATAAACAAGGAGAGTTTGCAGGGATCAGTGTATTTGTGCACATCTGAGGAATTACGATGCACTCATCGCAGCGTTTCTGCAAGTCGACATGGTGGCTAGGATCAACCGCCATGTGCGCGTGTGGGTCCACCGGTACCGATTCGGAACCAAACAGGGACAAGCGCGTGCATACTCACCGTCCCCCTCTTGCTCGCACACACCATGGGTATGCCCCGCCAGAGAATAGACACAGAACACAAACGCACCTAACACCTCACAGGCATCTCCCTATGGCTCGTCCCGACGCCCAAGCAAACCGCACTGCTCAAGCGGGTCATGTCCATCAAGCGAAGCGCGCCCCACTCGCCGTCCTCCTTCGCCGACTTCCACCCACACATCACACTCGCGACCACGCCCACCGCGTCTGGGCTCCGAGAGGCCGTCCCGCTTGACCAGCCCGCGATCCCCGCGAAGTTCCGGTCCGTCGACGTCGGCCAGAAGTACTTCATGTCGGTGTACACGCGGGTCTTCGACACGGACGCGCTCGCGGCGCTGCGTGCGCATCTCCGGGTGCGTCTCGGCGAGAGCGCGGTGCCCCCGATCCCGCATGTGTCGTTGTACTATATCGATGATGCGGATGCGGATGAGCGCGAAAAGGTCAGGGAGGTAAGGGACGCGTGTTGGAGCGCGCGGATGGCGTCGCGCTGAACTGCTCGGACGATCCGGGGAATGCGAGCAATGCGGATGAGGTGCTCGAGGGCATCGATGGCGAGGAGATTTGGATAGTTGAGTGCAACGGGCCCGTTCCAGGGTGGAAAGTATTGGACAGGATACAACTCAGATGAATGTCGTGGTCTAACGGAGGACTCACCTTTGTACGATTATACAGTAGTAGAGGTTATGTCACACGGATAATTGGGTGCACTGGAATGCAAAAGTCATCTCGGTCATGCAATTGGGCAAGTATGGCTACAGGGTACATCAAGGCAGGGAAATGCTACACAGAGTCGGGGGTATGACTGTAATGGAAAGGCAGAGGCGCTAGCGCATCGAAAGCAGTGATGATAATCCGAAAGCGATAGAGGGACGGAACGAGCAACGAGAGGCATGAGGTCGAATGTCGAATTATACAGTCGAGAATGCGGAGAGGGGGAACCAGCCGGAGCATATGATACAGCAGAATCATACCGGGGAATACCCAGGAAGCGCTGCTTCCGGGAGGCCCAGTATATCTTCGCTCGAGGAGCTTGAAGGAAGCAGCATGTCCAAGCTTGTCACAGAAGAAGCCGGTGAGGAGAAGGAGCTCGAAGACGATCGCGGGCTATATGCCGGGAGGGGCACCGAATAGTCAATCTTGCGATCCCCGTTCGCGTCGAACAACTGCGAGTACGCCGGAAGTGTCTGCACGTAGGGAAGGCTCGCCTTCGGGAACAGCGCAGCGGCGAGTGCACCCTGGGGCCTGACCGCGTCCGTCGAGAACGCTTGCGCATGCCCAGAGATATACGCCAGCGCCGTCGGCGACGGCGAGTCGCGCCGCACGCGTGCGAAGCGCAGCGGGATGCTGAACTCGAGCACCTCCGTCGCGCGCTCAGGCTCCGAGCCCTCCTCCGTCAAGTCGTACGTGCACGTCATCTTCACCTGCAGCCGGTGGCTCACGACGAAGAGCGGGCTCATCCCCGTCTCCCGCAGCCGACGCGTGCCGGTCTTCGCGCTCTTGCGCGCGCTGTCGACCGGGATGCACGTGCGGAGGGAGAACCACGTCGCGTTGTTCTCGGGCGCGGCGTCACCCTTGAAGACACAGCCGTCGCCCGCAAGGACGTATTGGCAGATGGAGTTCTTGGGCAGGAGCGACAGGGTGTGGGTAAGGCTGTGGCGCGGCGGGGGGATGACGGCCAGTCCGACGTCGTAGAGCGTTTGGGCGGGGTGAGGGTCGCGGAGAGGTCTGCGTGGAGGCTGTTCGGAGGAAGAAGGGAGAGGAAAGATGGACTTGTAGAGCGAAGACGGCGACGATCTGTGCGCATATAGTCAGCTCTATTCCAAGTCATGAGCGGGGATACGTACCGGCACTGTTCGGTTTGCTCGACATCGACAGTGAAGTCGGTCAGGCGAACGCGTTTGCAATCGGCTTCCGGCAGGTCCTGCATACGGAGACGCATACATAGAGGGAAGGAAGTATCCTCGACGTCGATATGGGTCGGGACTGAGATGACTGCGCGAAGCTTCGACATAACATGAGCAGGAAACTTGGACGTGTGTTCTATGTCGCTCCGAGGCTCAGCTTGGACAGCATAGTCGACAGTAGAACCAGTGTCCTCCGCGGAGACACTGACAAAGCGGTTCACGGTGATGTGGCACCTCGGCGCGGAGATGACACGCGAGCGCGAGCGGAAGGACGAGCAGCATGCAGAGAACCAGGAGCGATTTGCGTCGTCGTCGACAGTGAGGAACGTCGCAGACGCGTAGAGCGCATAGCGCGTGCCGGCCTCGCTCGGGTGGTTGCCGTAGGTTGCGGTTGCCGGAAGCCAGCCAGGGATCACCATGTTGTATGCGACCTTCCAGACACAGGGCTTGTCGTCCTCTTCGTGCCCTTCGTTGCTCAGCTCGATGGTCTGGCCTACGAGGAGCTCATTCGAGAGACTGCAGATGCGGAAGGGGGTGTACCCGGTGTCGTCGGTGATCAGCTCACACTGGCCCTCAAACTCAACGGTGAGAGACTGCAGGACGATCCGGACGGGTTTGCGGCGTTCAAAGAAAGAGAAGGGAGAAGATACGGAGATGACAATGTCTCCGGAAAGCGAATACGCGGTGCTGCAGAGATATGAGTGGGTTAAGCACAGAGCATCGTGACAGAAGGACTCACGACTTGTCCGGCTCGCCGTACATGTCCAGCGAGGCCGAGTGAGGCTGAATCTCTATCGATACAGACATGTCGTTAGTGGCGTGAAATAGGGACGTTGGGACTTGAGGATGGTCGAGCGGCGGCTCAGGCGGTGGGGACTCGGGGCATGAGGTTGCGACGACCGCGTTATATAGGCCTTGGTGGCCGCTTAGCGGATGGGTGGCATGCTTTGGAGGATAATGGGGACGGCAGATCGGGCCTGGCGATAGAAAGGATGGGCCTGCTATGGCCTTCCCTTTTGTCCCGTGGCTTTTGTACTCCCAATCCGGCACAAGGCCTTCATCAAACTTGCCTTATCCGGCGCTTAGTCAGCCGCTTCGACGGCGCTACGCCGTCGATCGCCGGTCGATCGCCTTCGCGAGCTCCTCGCGGTCGGCGCCAGGTCGGCGCAATCACTCGTGCAGTCGAGCACAATGACCACCTGGCCCACACGTTTCCCCTCCACATCATCTGTCGTATAACCGATATGTTGTAGTCGGCAGTGACAGAGTGTCTCACATCTCTACCGACATCAGCAACGACTACAACAACTTCGATTGCCTTGTTGCCACTGATAGCCTGGATTGTGTTCGAAATTTATGTCTTAAAACCGGCGGACAACGTCAAAAAGTATTACCACATCAAGAGCTTGAACATGAGATAGTACACACCTCTCAGTACGCGCATACCGGCCTCGCGTTTGACCGGAATGGCCGTGGCAAGTAGAACGATGGACAAGTCGGACAGCATTGAGTTTGCGCAAGGTGAGTCGGTAATCCAAGGGGGGCCCAACGAAAGGACGTGTGACATTGGTCGGATGCATCCTCCGCTTTTGGGAGGCTCTTACTTGCGACCTGGTATCAATGATATGCTGTTCAGAAACGTGCTCTCGGTAGTCCGGACACCCACCAGGGGATAGAATATGACACTAGGGAACGGAACCACGTATACCGCACTGCGAAGACGAGCGCCGCATACAGTCGTCCTGCTTGCACCAGGATCCCACAACGCTTGATGACGGTCAAAGGCTTGGGCCAGCACACACGTCCCAGCATCGACGTGTTCGCGGCGTGCCGTCACTGCCTCGACGACACGGAATCACCAGCGGTTGGGACCATGGCAAGTACAGCGGAATCAGCAGATCGCATGCTAGACATTGCTGGTCAAACTTCGGCTTGAGATATAAATGGAACTCGACTAAGTCTAACACGACACTCACCGACTCGGAGCAGTGATAGTCTCGTCATGTAAGCTCGCGACAATGTGACTGCAGCTTGACGGATCGGCGCCGCGTCTGACGTTCATACGTGGCACACAACGCTGTCGCCTGTGTCGTAGGGTCCAACGGGAATGAACGTCGGATGCTAGTACTGACAGTACTGGTGAGCAATGCGGAGGCGGCCCGACAACGCATTGAGTTGACCCATGGTGATTCCTCAGACTGTCAGTCCAGCTTGTCCACTTCTGCACGTTAGATGAGCGCCATAATTGATTCTGCCAGGACAAACAGATTATAAAACTTACGCCGAGAGCGGACATACGACACAAGCTACCATCCCATTGATTGACCAGACAAACATTTTGATGCACGTACGCGACTGCACTCGGATGCAAGGCATGAAGTAAGCTCGACATTGCAAAGAGAATATACTTTTTATTGGCACTGCAGCTCTAAACTAAGAAACGACTCCAGTCCACCGAGCCACATCCAAGCACAGTCCACGTCGCGTCGTCGGCTACAACACAGCCGATTATGACTCGCCCATCTCCTTCGCGAGCTGATCGGCCTTGGTCTTGACGTCCTCGATCGTGCCGACCATGTAGAAAGCAGACTCGGGGAGTGTGTCGTGCTGGCCGGAGAGGATCTCCTTGAATGACCGGACGGTGTCCTTGAGCGAGACGAGCTTGCCCTCGAAACCGGTGAAGACCTGCGCGACCGCGAAGGGCTGCGACATGAAACGCTGGATCTTACGAGCACGCTCGACCTGTACGCGTGTTAGGTAATGCATCAACAGAGACAGAAAACCATACTGACAGTCAGCTTGTCCTCCTCAGACAACTCGTCCATACCCAAGATAGCAATGATATCCTGGAGCGACTTGTAGTCCTGAAGGATCTTCTGCACAGCAGTCGCGACCTCATAGTGCTCGTGGCCGACCTGTCGCGGAGCACGCATACGTCAAATCTCATCCAATGACAAGATAAGTAGGCACTTACGATACGGGGGTCGAGCATACGGGATTTCGAGTCGAGAGGGTCGACGGCGGGGTAGATACCAAGCTCAGCAATCTGACGCGACAACACAGTCGTCGCATCCAAGTGAGCGAAGGTGGTAGCCGGAGCAGGATCCGTCAAATCATCGGCGGGCACGTAGACGGCCTGCACAGACGTGATGGACCCCTTCTTGGTGGTGGTAATACGCTCCTGCCTGTGAACCGCAGTCGTCAGCACCATGAATGACGAGGACCGTGAGCAGCACTAACATGCCACCCATGTCCGTCGAGAGCGTGGGCTGGTAACCGACGGCAGACGGGATACGACCGAGCAGAGCAGACACCTCCGAACCGGCCTGGGTGAAACGGAAAATGTTGTCGATGAAAAGGAGCACGTCCTGGCCCTCCTCGTCACGGAAGTACTCCGCAATGGTCAGACCAGTCAGGGCGACACGCGCACGAGCACCTGGGGGCTCGTTCATCTGACCGAACACCAGGGCGACCTTGGAGTCACCCTCGAGGTTGATGACACCGGTCTCAATCATCTCGTGGTACAAGTCGTTACCCTCACGAGTACGCTCGCCGACACCTAAAAAGGAAGTCAGAAAATGTCGGTGTTAGTGCGGGAGAATTCAGACGTACCGCAGAAGATAGAGAAACCACCGTGCGCCTTCGCGACGTTGTTGATGAGCTCCTGAATCAACACGGTCTTGCCGACACCAGCACCGCCGAAGAGACCGATCTTTCCACCACGGGCGTAGGGCGCGAGCAAGTCGACGACCTTGATACCAGTCTCCAGGACCTCAGCAGTTGTGGACTGCTCCACGAAGGCCGGAGGGTCGGCGTGGATGGGAGACAGCTTGACACCATTGATGGGACCCCGCTCATCAATGGGCTCGCCAATGACGTTCATGATGCGACCGAGAGTGGCAGTACCAACGGGAATCTTGATGGGCGCACCCGTGTCGACGACCTTCTGGCCGCGGACAAGACCCTCAGTACCGTCCATAGCAATGGTACGGACCGAGTTCTCGCCCAGGTGGGCGGCGACCTCGAGGACGAGACGGCCACCGTGGAAGTCGACAACCTCAAGCGCGTTCAAGATGGGAGGAAGGTTCTCCGTCTCAAACTGCACGTCGACGACGGCACCGATGACAGTCTTCACATGGCCCGAGATGGCCTTTGCCTCCGTGGCATATGAGCGAGCTGCAGACCCGCAGAAAAAAGGTAGAAAAACAGGCAGGTGAGTTAAGGGCCTCCCAACACGCTCAGAAATGTGCACTGACCGGACTGCGCTGGCGCGCGGGGAGCACGGGCCTGCGCGCGTTGTGACGAGGGCGCATGGGCGACGCGGGCGGCGATGGCGGGCACCGCAGCGGACGAGAAGAACGCGTTGGTCTTCTTTGCGCTGTTCAGCGCCCTGCGGGAGAGACGGTGTACGCCGCGCGAGGTGAGCATGGTCGACGACGTGGACGATGAAGAGGTGGAATGACGAGGCAGGCCGACGCTGCCCCCATAAACTTCATTTCAGGCTCCGCTACCCCCGGTGCCGGCTCCCCCCGAAAGCGACCGCCTCAACTGTCTGCGCGCCGTCCCACGCCCGCCCTGCCCTGCTGGCACGACACGCGGCTGCACTCTGTGCACAGTTCACGCCTCGCAGCACCTCAATGCAGGCTAATTTCGTGGATATTCAGAGTCTACGCAGGAGTGGACGGCGGCCGGTGGTCGAGGCGGAGACGAGCGGAGACTTCGGACACCGGGAGCGCGTCGCGACGCGTCCGGGAGACGGCAGCCGCGCATTGCCGACGGTGGGACGCCGGACCGTGCAGAGACTGGCCAAAAAATTCGGCAGAGTCGAGCAGCAGAGTGCCTGTTTGTAAGGGAGATGTCTTCACCGCGCACGTTCGTTTCCCCGCAAGCCCGTACGACGAGCTCTGTCCTGTAGCATCCCAGCCAGGCATCCACCCAGGTACCGCGAGCCAAAAGTGAGTCTGTATGATCGCTCCTGTGATGCTCATGGATGCGAGCGATCTACCCAGTGTGCGGCATCCTCGGTCTTATTCTGCACGACCCGAGCCAGGACGCAGCGCCAGAAATCTGCGAGGGTCTGTCGCTTCTCCAGCATCGTGGTCAGGATGCATGTGGTATCGTCACTTGCGGGCCCAAGGGACGCTTCTACCAATGCAAGGCAAACGGGATGGTTAGAGATGTCTTCGACACTCACGCGCTCTCCACCCTGTACGGTTGGATGGGAGTCGGACATGGTGCGTGACATTCCAATGTGTGCAACGATGGCCGATTAACTGGTCTTTGCAGTACGATACCCCACTGCAGGCAGCTCGCACCATGCAGAGGCGCAGCCGTTCTATGTAAACTCTCCATACGGCATAGTGTTCGCCCATGTGAGTCCACTTCATAATTGACCGTACATTAGCTCACTATCGATCAGAATGGCAACCTTATCAACACGCAGTCCCTCCTCCAGTTCATGGATGCAACCGCTCACCGGCATATCAACACTTCCTCAGACTCGGAGCTCCTCCTCAATGTCTTCGCCGACAACTTGCAGAAGACAGGAAAGTTCCGTATCAACGAGGAGGATATCTTCACTGCAATCGGCAGCCTCATGGAGCAGTGCAAGGGCGCATACGCCTGTGTAGCAATGCTCGCGGGGTTCGGTATCATCGCATTTAGAGACCCGAACGGCATTCGGCCTGTGGGCATGGCCTCGCGCAAAGCGTTAGGCAGCGCCACGGGCAAAGACTACATGTTCGCGAGCGAGAGCGTAGTCGCGGACGCGAGTGGTTACGGCGACTGGGAGGACGTCAGGCCAGGTGAGCGCCCTACACTCGGACGTAACCCGGGCAGCGCTGACACAGTACGCAGGCGAGGCTGTTATCATCACGCGCAACAGCGTCAGTCGCAGGGTGGTCGGCAAGGCGGAGACGTTCGCACCGGACATCTTCGAGTACGTCTACTTCGCCCGTCCGGATTCGGTGTTAGACGGGATTAGCGTCTACCGGAGCCGGATGGCGATGGGCGACGCGCTTGCCGCGGAGGTGCAGCGGGTACTCACCGAGAAGGGCATCTCGGTCGACGTCGTCATTCCCGTAAGTCTGGCGTGAAATGCGAGAGGGGCAGCGGCTGAGGGCTGTGTTATTAGGTTCCGGACACGTCAAGAGTGGCGGCATTGAACTTGGCGCAGAAACTCAATTTACCCTACAGAGAAGGCTTCATCAAGAACCGCTATGTTGGGCGTACGTTCATCATGCCTGGGCAACAGATGAGGTTGGTCTACTCTGGCTGCGGTTTCCGTGCATATTTGACATCTGCCCTGATAGGCGCAAGAATGTGCGGCGGAAGTTGAACGCGATGGCGCTCGAGTTCGCGAACAAGAACGTACTCATCGTCGACGACTCCATCGTGCGGGGGACGACCTCGAAGGAGATCATCCAGATGGCCAAGGACGTTGGCGCGAAGAAGGTCATCGTCGCATCCTGCGCGCCGCCCATCCGCTACTCGAACGTCTATGGCATCGACATGCCCTCGCGCGTAGAACTCGTCGCCCACAATCGGTCTCTGGACGCCATTGCGGAGACGATCGGCGCAGACCTCGTCATCTTCCAGACGCTGCCCGACCTCATCGAGGCCGTACGGCAGTTCAACCCCTCGATCCAGAAGTTTGACTGCTCTGTGTTCACGGGCGAATATGTCACTGGTGGTGTTGACGAGGAGTACCTGTCGAGATTGGAGAAGATCCGGGCGGACAACGCTAAGGACAAGACTGACAAGGAGAATGGCGTCGCGGGCGATACGGATATGGTCAAGGAGAGCAGGGAGCTCGCTCTGGGCTGCAGCGGCCCCATGAACGGTGCCGATGGTACAATAGGTTTGCATAATAGCTGGAAGTTGGGCTAATGGTGTCTCTTGGCTAGCTCAGGTAACGTAGATAGAACGTTCCGCTGTATCTGTGTTGTATCTGTGCTGTGTGTATCGTATAAAGCTGTGCATCCTTAATCTCGCACCTCACGCACTGCCTTCGTATGCGTGAGCCCTCAAGAGACTTGGTACTTGGCTCTTGGTGGCTTACATTTCTGATGTGCTGCAGAGACATCAGTTATCAAGCCATCGTGGCGCAATGGTAGCGCATCACCTTCCTACGCAATGTAGAATCAGGTGGGGGTTGGGGGTTCGAGCCCCCCCGGTGGTACTTTTTTGAGCTTGTTGACAACGGCGCTGTTTCCGTGCGCTGTTTTTGCGCTTTGTCAATGTGCTGTACATCCGAGGTCCTTGGCAGGAAATGTCTTGGCATCGCAGAAGCGGATTAGATAAGCAGGCTATGATGTCTTGTCCCGCCGACCACGCCTTGCCGGTGCGCAGTGGCCCGATCGTGTGTACGCCGGATCGTATAAAGCAACCACCAGCCTCGGACACTGCCTTTCAACGTTCCGAACCATGTCCGCCAGCTCAGAAACTACGCCCCTGCTCCCGACGCAAAATGGCAACGGTAATCCCCACTCGCCGTCTTTCAACCACCGCGTCGTCACGTTCTTCAAAGCAGAGGGCCAACCTAGTTGGCTTTCTTCGTACCGGTTCTTCTTCTTCGGCTCCTGGCTTAATGTCCTTCTCGTATTTATCCCCCTGAGTTTTCTCGCGGAGCACTTGCAATGGGACGCTGCATTTCGCTTCGGGTTCAGTTTCGTTGCGATTATGCCTCTGGCAGCGGTGAGCGAGCAATGGCGTCCACGTCCACCTGCGTCATGTTGACGCCGCGCCTACAGCTGCTCGGGACAGCTACGGACCAAATGTCGCTGAAACTAGGACAGACGTTGTCCGGCTTGTTGAACGCTTCCTTCGGAAATGCAGTCGAAATCATTGTTGGTGTCGCTGCTTTGTTGCAAAGTAAGTTGTCGCCGTATACACCATGGGCATCTGACTGACGTGAATGCACTCGTCAGATGAATTGAGAATCGTGCAGACCTCGGTGAATAGATTGTGACAGTTCCCGCTTCAAGCTTCCTAACGTTGCCGTAGATGCTGGGTTCAATCTTATCCAACCTTCTCCTTGTCCTGGGATGCTCTTTCTTCGCAGGTTTGTTGTTGCGCGTGGGATCCGCGCCTCAATAAATCTGAACATTCTCCCAGGTGGCTTGAAATATACTGAGAGCAGTTTCGACGAAACGGCCGCCCAAGCGTACGCGTTCCTACCAAACAACCGTACCGTATGCGATGACTGAGTATACACGTCCACAGTTCGAGCTCCTTGATGACTTTGGCATGCATCAGTTCGTCTCTTATCACTGTTAAACGTTGTAGGTCCTGACCTGCTGTTGACAGCCCTCGTAATTCCCGCTGCCTATCACAGCGCACAATCGCACTCTGGCAACACTACAGCTCTGGCGAACTCAATTGCGAACGCCGTTGTGGACGGTACAGACCTTGACTCGGTATCTGAGCGTGGACTGCTTCTCATCTCGCGCGGCACTGCGTTGCTCCTGCTGGTTGTGTACATTGGTTACCTCCTGTTCCAGGTGCGTCACTGTGTCCTACGCATCGCAGCACCTGCTCACGTCTTCATAGCTCAAGACACATGCGCACTTGTTTGCGGACGAGGAAAACGAGGAAGTGGAGGAACAGAAGATGAACATCCCCGCTGCTGCGTCCGCGTGCGTCCACCATTTCCACGCCTTCACAATGCGAAGCGCCGTCGCGACTTGTACTCACTGCTTTTCAGTCTCCTGCTTGTCACTGTGATGACATCATTCTGCGCCGATTACTGTGGGTGCTTCTTGATCGTCCCGAGTTCCTCCCCTGATCGTGTCTTCCAGTGGTTGCCTCGATCGAGGAGGTCGCGACCCGCTACGGCATCTCGAAGCCGTTCATCGGTGTCATCCTCCTGCCCATCGTTGCCAACGCTGCTGAGCATGTCACCTCCGTCTGGATGGCGCGTAAGAACAAGATGGCTCTGACGATTGGGATATGTGTGGGCAGCTCGATCGTGCGTCATTCACAGCGTCTATTCCGTCCATCACAACCGCATAGACTGATCGCCATTCATTCCAGCAAATTTCGGCCTTGGTGGTTCCGCTTCTTGTGATCATAGGCTGGATGTAAGTGCGGGACACGGAGTGAAGGAATAGCGACTTACGTCCCGGTGCAGAACTGGCCACAACCTCACGCTCTTTTTCTCCAACTTCGAGGTACGTGGTGCCAGGTTCGAAGAATCGCAGGAGTCTCATGCACAAGGACTTTTTCAGACAATCGTGCTCTTCGTGTCTGTACTTCTGGTGCAATTCCTCATTCAAGACGGAAAGTCCAATTATATGGAAGGCATGATGTGCGTCTATTATGTTGTCTCGGTTGATCGCGACAGGTTTCGCTGACATTCGCGGTGGTAGGCTCATGACCTTGTACCTCGTCATCGCCATCTCATGTGAGCCCGTCCTCCCTCATTCTGGTCAATGTCTGACATCGCGTCGCAGTCTGGGTCTCAAATTGAAGGCAGCAGAAATAGGTTCGCTGCGATAAAACTAGACGACATGAGTCGGTCCCCATGCAAGTACCATATTATCCTGTACTGTATCATCATCGTACTGCGATACCCTGAGTCCACACGGTCTTTCCGGTGCTTCCATTTCTCGGACAGTCCACTTTATTTATCTCGGTAACACTCGCCTTCCAATGTATCCGTAGCCTTTTCACTTGCGCGGGTAGGCAGTCGACGGCATTGTGTTACACAATCAGTGTCATCAATGTACTCGCCTTGTTACTCTGCGTAATAGAAGATACGGTCTACCTCTACGTTGTGTATACTGACTTGATTTCATCCGAATCCATATGTTCGAAGGTCCTCAGTTGCCTAAACGGGAAGCCGTATAGAGGGCCGCTGCCCCGATGCGACTTGTCCACTGACAGCCACTGCTGATTTCAACGCATGAGGTCTGCGACACCGCGTACCCTACTCGACAACTCGCCAGGTTCTGGACCTCGGTTGTATTCCGCACGCACAGGATCTGCATCTTTACCTTAGAAGACCAGTAGATTGGGCCAAATGCCCGCTCTAGCCGCTATATCCCGGGGTGAATTCTTGCAGTTGTTCCAGCGATGTATGCCTCCTGGAGGATGGCCGCACACAATCGGTAGGTATGTCTATCACTTTTGGCTGAAGTCGGATGTCGTGCTGAAAATTCACAGCGGTGGCAAACTCTGGTGGACCGGACTCTACGTGCCTGCTCTACCATTTGGCTTCGCTACTCAAAGGCGGTCCATCTGGTCTTCCCCAGCGAGTGGTGTCGTTCCATATTAATCACCAACTGCAGACAGCATCCGATGACATGGCAGATGTCGCCGCCGGAACCGCACGAGCCTTGGGTGTCGAGCACTTCTTCTTCACGATTCCATGGTCGAAAAACTCGTATCCGAGTTATCCAGACGCGGCAAGAACTGAGTTGACCGCGCGGGGCGCGCGTGTGCGGGCGTTCTTCGACATGATGACTGGAGAGGGCGCCACCGCACTTGTACTTGGACACCATGCCGACGACCAGGTCGAGACCATGATCATGCGCTCTGCTCGCGGAAGCCGGCTGCAGGGTCTCGGCGGCATGCTGCCTGTGCGGCGATGGGGAATGGGCGATGTCTCAAGGGAAGATCGACTCGGTGTCTTCGGCCTCCCAGGCATGTCTCGATGGATGGTGCGACCGTTGCTCACTGTACCTAAGGTAAGCTTCTTCCGACCTGGAAGTATGAAGCTGGTTCAAGCTCGTAGCAGGACAGGATTCTTGCCACGTGTGACCGAAATGCTCTGCGATATGCCATCGATAAAACAAACTTCCAACCTTCTCTGACTATGCGTAATGCGATCCGACACGCACTTGATTCTCCGAGCAAGCTAGTGAGCCGCTACTGAAAACCCCGTTCGGAGTCAGACTGACATTCGATCATTGCAGCCTTCCATACTATCGGAAACCGCAACACAGCTATCCGTGCACCTAAGTGGGGACTTCATGAGACTTGAAACCCGGGATGAACTCCGAGAGTGCGCGCGGCTCCTCAGACAGCGCGTTGAAATGCACGACACACAAGGCCAGTGCGATCATAGTATCCCGTCTCGCTAAATGACTAATACCACAACCTTGCTTCCAGTGGACAACATCTTGGCCCGCTGTCTAATGCCGACTTTGCCATCCACGTTGGTGCTACCTTCGCAGTGGCTGCAAGGTGTTCCAACTGAAACGCTGGATATCTTAGTGTCACGCGTCCTTCGCTATGCATCCCGACATCCATGGGGCTCAATTGTTGCGCAAGCAAGTGGATCTCGTGCTTCATATCAAGCTATCGCAGACAATGTGACCTGGGATGTGTCTGACACACGTCGGCGGTCGGCGTTCACTCGCGGAGGGGCAGTCTTGTTCGTACCTGGCTTCGTGGACGGGGATGGTACCTTCCGGCAGGGGGATAATCAACCGCAAGACGCACGCCCCGCATGGCGTCTGCAAGCTGCCCCGCCGATGGAAAGCAACTCTTTGATCATAACATCGCTGTTGTCTCAATGGCGACCAGGGCAAGAGAATCCTGCTGTGTTGTACGACAACAGATTCCTCCTTCGCTTCAATATGGGCCACATACCCCGCTACATCCTGCACTCCCTGTCCCAGGATGCAGTAGTTCAAATTACGCATGATGGCCCAGAATATAGTCCGCAGGTCGTCTTGCTCACGCCCAAGTTCAAGATAGTTGTGGCCAACTATCGGCGCGACGTTCTGGGACTTGACCACAAAACATCAAAGAAGTCAAAAAACCCGGTACCGATGCCCGAACAGAAGTGGGTCCATATGGAGCTAGTGCGGACACTGGAGGCTTATTGACGTCCGAACTACATGATGGTCGCCTCCCACTCCCACCAGTATGCCTTGTTTTAGCTCCACGCCTTTATTACCCGTTGAATGTATTCGCATAGCGTCTGGGCGATATTATGCTCGGAGCATGAGTTGAGCTGCATTGTGGGTGGTCAGCGAGGAAGTACGGTGTTTTTACCTGGTATCGAAGGTGGTCTGCTGCTTTTCTACAACTGATCATCCACATAGAGCCACATCAGTGTATCCAGCGGAACATGCCATCGTCGTCGTCAGGGGCGACCGTTACCCAACTTCCAGAGAGTTGCCCCAAAGAGGATGTGTACATCTGTGGGTCCACACGTCGTGCCTTTTGGTGATGCATCGCTGCCTCGAGTCCGCGAGCGATGATCGCACTATCAAAATTTGGGAATGGGACTCATCGATGCATTGCAGCGGACGATCAAGGGGCATCCCAACTCTGTCAACCACCTCGATTTTAGCAGCAACGATACCCTACTACTAGGTGCGTGTTGAGCCTGTCGCACTGCGAGGTGCGTTGCTACACACTCACCATCGCTCGATCAAGATACGGGACGTCGAGATCGGGTGGTCGCATGCGGGGACGCTCAATGGGCACCAGAATTCTATGTCCTCTAGCTTCATGCTCGGAGGCCAACAGATCGTCAGTGGACGCCGCGATGGGACCAGCAGGATTTGGGATGTGGCGTCGGCATACGTTCCGTTCATTTATATACACCCGTTGCGAATCGCTGGTACACCGTACAGACTGTGTGTCGTACTGTCTTGGCAAAATTGCTAGGGTGGACCAGATACGTCCGGTCGTCCTATGACGGTTAAGGCATTCTGAGTGGATCAAACCAGGTGCGGACAAACTTTGCCATACTGTTCGTACTTGTTTGTGGAGCCTAAGTCATCGTTCATCAGGTCGCTGGCTTGAGCGATGCGCACAACAGTCAGAGACTTCGTGGGACACGAGCACGTCGTCGAGGCGGCCGCCTTTGCGCCTATGGCAGCCTATCCCGCTGTACACGAATTGGCAGGCTTGGTAGTTCAATATCTCACATGTACCGGCAGGTGGGCCATTTGCAACTGGGTGCAAGCATCCGTCTTCTATCCCAGCGGCAAGTACCTACTCTCCGCGTCGGACGACTACACCATCCGCGTGTGGGACCTCAAGGCCTCAAAACGGGACAAGCTGTGCGCAGGGTCGACGCGCACACGCACTTCATGACGTGCCTCGCGTTAAACCCTCGGTCGGCCAGTTGCATCGGGTGGTCCCCGACCGTCAAGGTTTGAGATGTGTCTGCTTGGATACAGGAAGCTTCGGCAAGAAAGTAGGAGTGCTATCGAAATACAGCTGAATTGCTGTATGGGATAACCGGTGAGGTGTGCAGTCATGCACGATGTATTAGCAAAGCGAGAGCGTATGGTATATGGCGGGGTCGGCCACAGACACAGATCCAGAAGCACCAGTCCGTCTACGAGATAAGACTATCGCCCTGCAACTCTTCGAACTTACTCCGGGCGAGCCGGATGTTCATCCTCAGGGCCGCAGTCTCTGCGACGGATCGTTAGCACCGTCTGGCCACCACTTACCCAACAACTCACCTATTGTCGGGTCATGCACCACGATCAGCACGTACGTGTTCTTCGTCAGCTCATCCAGCACCGCCGTGAACTCGTCGAGCTCCATCTCCAACGAGTGGAACTCCTCGCGCACGCGCGAGCACGCGTGCTTGAACGCCTTGATCAGCTCGGAAGTGCGCTCGTAGCGCGTCGGCGAGAGCCGGTGCGGGTCCGCGCCCGCGTCGGGGTCGGGCTCCCGCGCGGGGAGGGAGCCCTGCGAGAACGTCGGCGTGCGCAGGCCGTTTGTCGTGGTGTGCGAAGAGGACGGGGTGGAGAGCGCGGGGGAGCCCATGGGCGGTGCGTGAGGTGCGGGCGGAGGAGAGGACGTTGCGATGACGAGGAAGGTGGTGCGCTCGAAGAGGATGACTTCGGTTGCGCTGCAGGCGTGCGCGAGCGTGGTGAGGTGCTTGGAGAGGACGGCGGCGTTGGGGATGAGGGTGTGGACTATCCGGGACCATGCCTGGGAACCTGCGTGAGGAAAGTAGGAGTAGGAGAGAGTGGGAGAGGCGCACCTTGTAGAGGCTCTCGTCGTATATGCTCGTTCCGAACACGGTCACCGGCACGTCCCCGCTCGCCTGCTGGAGCTCCGCCGTCCTCCTCTCGAGGGTCTGCGCCCTCGAGCCCCTTGCCAGATCCATCTTATGCACGAGGAGGAAGACGGCCGCGTCGGGGGAGTACCTCTGGAGCGCGGCGAGGCAGTCGCGGTAGTACTGGAGGTCCTTCTGCATGTTGCGCGACTCGACCTCGAAGACGTAGATGAGGACGCCGACGTGCTGGAAGATGGTGGACGCCTGCAGCGCGAGGTAGGTGTCCATGAAGGCGTCCTGCCCGCCGCAGTCCCAGAGGTTGAGGATGAGGTCGCCAAGGAAGCGGACGTGGTTTTGCTCGACGTCGATCGTCGCGCCGAGGCGGGCGGTGAGCGACGCGGGGTTGTTCGAGCTGAGAGGGGCATTTGTGAAGGAGAGCGAGCAGGCGCAGAAAACGAGTGTGCTCACAAGATCAACGACCGCATCGACGTCTTCCCGCTCCCCGACGCGCCCATGAGGAGAACCTAGCACGATCTACTGTTAGTTATGTTCAGAATGTCTAGGTCTGCGGTACTACCTTCTTCTTCATGATGCCTCGAGCGGGATAGAAGGTAGGCAGACCTGCAGAACCTCGAGTCGAGATGCTCGGGCGTAGTCAAGTGTCGAGCGCGATCAGCGGTCAGCAGCAACCAGTCTAAGTAGCTTTAGAGTTTCCGGAGACTTTTCAGCTATGGCGTCGCAGAGCAAGTGCAGCGAGAGGCGTAACGGAGCTGGATGGGGAAGACGGCAACCATGACTGTAATTGAGTAAAGCTGAGTCGGCGGTGGCTGCCCAGCGGCGACAGTAGCCGGACAATCCAATCGTCATATGGCAACTACGTCTCAGAACGGTCACCGGGTACAGATGGTTTACATTGGCTTTACTGCTACTCTTCTGTTCGTCGTACACACAGCACACACCCGACCTTCGTCTCCATTCCAGAGCACAGTCGCGTCAGAACTTGCCTTCCGACCAGCGTCTCGTGTGAGAGGCCATCTCCACCGCAGCAGCGGCCCAATCCTCGCCATGGTTGTGCCCCTTGTTCTCGCCGCGCCCAATCCCCGCTCGCTCCAACGCCTGGTCGTCACTGAGGGCCGTAAGCACACCGAATATGACCGGAACACCCGTATCCAGCTGCACACGCATAAGCGCGTGCGATACGCTGTCGCAGATGTATTCGAAGTGCATGGTAGAGCCCTTGATGAGGACACCAATGGCAATGACAGCGTCGAAGGGCTGGCTTGGCATGCCAGCGATTGTCGGGGCGGGGGTGGACGCGCGGGAAGACGGGCGAGGGGAGGAGATGGAAGTCCCGAAGGTGAGGCCGCCGAGCAGGTCAGTCGCGGTCGCGCCTGCCTGGACATGCGAGCCAGCAATCACCCTGCAAACGGTAAACGGCCCACACCGGTGACTGCATGTTCGCAACGTACCTCTGGCAAGCGAGAGGCAGCTCGAAGCTGCCAGGGACGGACTGGAGGACGATGTTACTCTCCTTGACCCCCTGCTCCTTCAGCTTGTGGACGGTGCCCTCGATGAGCGCGTCAATGACTGTCTTGTTCCATCGCGAGTGGACGATGGCGATGCGGAGGGAGGAGCCGTCGAATTTGGCGGACGCGGGCGCAGGGCCTTTTATTGAGTGCATCGTTACGCCCGCCGCTGCACTCAAGCGCCCGCTCGAGGATCGCTCTGTGTGCGCGTGTTTGGCCGACCGATCCCAGATTTCAGCTTTCTGCCCGCTCATTGGCTGCCAGCCGTCTTGTCTGCACTCGACCTCTCCTCTCACTGCGGCGAAAGCACTCAAGGAGCCCAGCTCTTGCACGCAAACATCTATGGATAGCAATGTATCGTGTACGTAGAGCGGGCCTCAGTGACATCCGAGACAAGCTAACTTATCCTCGGACAGTAACGTATGCCCTCATCTATGACTTCCTCTCGCGAAGGTCACATACAAAAGCAGCCGCGGCGGTGAAGAAGGCCGCAGACGACACCGTTGATCTGGATGAGGCGAGCACTCCTACCGAGAAGCTGGAGGATGTTGTCGCTGGTTGGAAGGCTGCTCAGCCGAAGGTGGATACTACTCAGTGAGTACTATGCACTGTAATGAATTGATGCTGGTGCTCACACACCGCAGAAAGAAACAGGTTGAGAAGGATGCCGAATGTACGATACAAGCTCACTTCGAAGTGTGCCAGCACTCACGCACCGTCTAGCGTCCGATTCGTCCAGCTCAAGCTCGTCCGACTCAGAGTCTGACAGCGATTCGTCTTCATCAGAATCAAGCTCTTGTATGTCCTCTCTTACACGACCCCGCCCATGCTCCTAACATATGCCTCTACCAGCATCGGAAGCGGAGGACGGTAGCAAGAAGAAGGCCGCCAAGGGTCCTTCATCGGCAAAGGCTGCAGCTACCAAACCAGCGAAGGCCGCGCCGGCCAAACCAGTGAAGGCTGCCGCAGCGACCAAGCCAGCCAGGTCTCCATCCCCGTCAACAAGCAAAACACTGTCCAGCGGCAATGAAGGCAGCAGCAGCAGCGACTCTGACAGCGACTCGGACTCGTCCACCGGCAAGGCGAAGGTCGCGACCAAGAAGACCGTCACCACAACGACCAAAAAGGCTACTAAGGATGCGGAGAGCAGCGACGAGGGCTCCGACTCCGACTCCGACTCGAGTTCGAGTAGCAGTTCGAGCTCGAGCGACTCGGAGGAGGAAGCACCCAGGAAGAAGTCTTCTCCTGCGAAGGCGAAGAAGACGAGCCCCAAGCCTAAGAGTTCCAAAGCCAGTTCGAGCTCTAGCTCGAGCGACTCAGAAGACGACGCACCTAAGAAGAAGTCTCCTCCTGCGAAGACGAAGAAGACGAGCCCCAAGCCCAAGAGTTCCAAAGCCAGTTCGGGCTCTAGCTCTAGCTCGAGTGACTCGGAAGATGACGCACCCAAGAAGAAGTCTCCTCCTGAGAAGACGAAGAAGACGAGCCCCGAGCCTAAGAGTTCCAAAGCCAGTTCGCGCTCGAGTTCGAGCTCGGACTCTTCGGACTCGGACTCGAGCTCCAGCGAGGAATCTGTGAAGAAGACGACCAAGACGACCAGGACGGCTGTGAAGCGCAAGGCTCCCAGCTCCGCAAAGTCTTCGTCTTCGAGCTCGTCAGACTCCGGCTCAGACTCGGACTCGGACTCGGACTCATCATCGTCCTCAACCTCCAATTCGGCGAACTCAACTCCGAGCCCCGCGACCCGCCCCGCGAAGAAGCAGCGCACGGCGGAGGACGGCTCTGCAGCGGTCACCGCGACCGTCAGCAACGCTGACTTCAGCGCTGGAACGCAGCACGCGAATGGGAACGGCAAGGGGGAGAACGGGGATGGCAAAGAGAAGGCCGGAAAGGGCAAGCCGCGGAAGAGCAACACGCCCTTCCAGCGGATCAAGACAGACAACATCCAGTTCGTCGACGACCGGTTGAAGGACAACGCGTTCGACTCCAGGGTACGTGTCTCGCCAGCGTCAGAGCAGCCCTGTCTACATACTGACCGGTCCTCGTGTGCAGGGTGCCGGCGCGAACGACTACGGCGAACGTGCGGCGCGCGATCTGATCGTGACGCGCGGCTCCGGGTTCAGGAAGGAGAAGAACAAGAAGAAGCGGGGGAGCTATCGTGGGGGCGAGATCACGGTGAGTCGCAGGTGCTCGTCTCTGTAACGAAGGCACGTCGACTGAACGACTGGACGCGCCGCAGATGCAAAGCTACAGTATCAAGTTCACGGATTAGAGGTGCTTGTATCTGGTCTTGTCTGGGGAATGCGAAGGCATTGGTTGTGCTGGGTGTTTTCATGATTTGTGGTCGCAGGTGCGAGCCAACGCCGCTTAGCTATTGCTCCGTCACATCGAGAGTATGATGTATCATAACACGCCTGCGAGGCCTAAGAGGCTTATCCTGGCTATAGATATACACCGACGCCATAGGCAACAGTGTTAAGCATTATAACTTATAACGTACATTGGTCACAGCCATCTAGACATCGTCAAATACGGACTACATTGCACGTAGGCATAGAAGCACGTCAGTACCGGGGGGCTTCAGGACAAATACAGTTGACTATCAATGTCCGTTGGTATGTACCGTCCCATTTGTACGTTGCAATTTGAATCAGGAGAGGGAATAAAAAGAGCGGGGAACATCGAACGATGACGTTTGCGTGAAGGCGAATCAACAACGCATTATGATGACCGTAGGCTGCGGAAGAATAGATGGGGAGCAAGCACCTGTGCCGAACCTTCTGGTGATACAAGATGGCGGTCAAAAGACAACAGACACGGATCAGAGGATGGATATCATATGTTGAAGGCGGGAAAATAGACGGAGAGCAAGGAATGGGGCCGACTTTCTGCATCGCGTCGGATTGTTTCGTTTCTTCTATATTCAAAAAGGGCGTAGATTCTTGTTGCGTTGCGAGTAGCACGGCCCTCAGAACCCAGGCATGCCTCCGAGCCCCATGAAGTTCTGGCCGACGGGCATGGGCCCCGGGCTGGGATGGCGCATGACACTCTGCATCGCGTGCGGGTTCGCGAACGTGCCCATGTTGCCCATATTCATCTGCATCTGCATCAGCGGGTTCATGCCCATCATGTTCATGTTCATTTGCTGCATGCCCATATGCTGCGCGGCGTACGCGAGCGCGGTCGGGTTCGACATCGCGAAGGGGTGCTGGCCAGAGGCGCCGGGAGAGGACAGTTGCGACTGGTTGTTCGACTGCATCGGCATCGGAGTTTGAGTTGGCGATGAAGCGCCCTGGGGAAGACCTTGAACTTGGACTTGAGCCTGAACGGCCTGCACCTTTTGCATAGCTTGGAGCTGAGCACGCGATGCGACAATTAGTACGGAGTCATACGCAGTTAGCCGGCATGGTGCGTACCTCGTAGAACGCGAAGTCCTGCAGGAGGCTGGTCCTCGCCGGATGGGTGTGGAAGATACGCAGCATCTCCTGACCTGCATCAGGGAGCAGCTCTTGTGTGTCACGCGAGTTCGTAACCGGCTTGCGCTCCTGCGTGTTGCTGAACGATGAAAAGTGAGTACGTGTCATGGACATTTGTCCCGAAAACTCCTTACTTGAGACGGATGTGCCTTAGGTTGGCATTAGGAATGTCGCGGACGAAGATCCAGCGAACTTTGAAGACACCCTTCCATTTGTCTGATGCCCACACGGTGCTACTTCGTGTGTAGTCCACCTGGAGGTATTCTTTGAATACCGCGGCCAATAATATGAGAGCGACAACCACGACTTACCGGCGTGAGCATCTCCGCCATCCCGCAGAAGTGTCCACTGTGGAAGCAAGCACGTGAGCACCTTTCGAGAACCCAGAAGCCAAGGCACCCGTAGGAAAGCTTACCTGGCGTTCACGCTAAAGAACAGGTAAATTGGACCCCTCCCGGCATTTTCCTTGAAAGCCTTATCAAGCCTCTTGTTTCCGGGATCGGTGGAGCTCCAGATCTCATACTTGAGTGACTTGTGAACGTCATCTTCCGTATACGATTTGATGACGAAGTACCGCGCCTAGTCAAGAGACTGATTAGTACACTCGCTGAGCGACGACTACCAGCCGGATACTTACGAATAAGGGCCGTGTATCGAAGTCGACGGGGTTGTAGCCCTTGGTCGCAATCAAAGTAGGGACGTCAATCGGAGAACTGACGAAGCCTTCCAACGAGCCGCTCTGCGAGCCGCTTTGCGACTGCCCACGGCTGTGGGCTTGGCTGCCAAGGGGCGGCGACGCAACGCCCATCCTCGGCGCTTGCCCTTGATTGAGATACTGCGATGGGATGGAGGGGACATTGGGGATATCACCACCGCCATTCTTCTGGTACAGGTGGTGGAGACTGGGGTTAGATGCTCGGCCCCCCAACATGCGCTCCTTCTGGTCCCAGGGAGTGGTGCCAGAAGCAGTAAATGCGCGCTCACGGCCAGTATGCTGCTGCTGTTGTTGTTGTTGCTGCTGCTGCTGCTGTGGCTGCTGCTGTTCCTCGCGCTCACGAGGTTGGCCGGTTTGGGAAGACGCGGGTAACCCATGGCCGATAGGCGGTACATACGCCGAAGCACTCTGCACCGAGCTCTGCGCATTGCGGGCATCCAAGTCCGTGACAAGCTGGAGCTTGCGGGATGGCCCGCCGTTGTTCCCGCGCATGCCAGGGACTTGCAACGGCGGAGGGTGAGCAGGATTGAAGCGAGGAGGGTGTACGGACTGACCCTGCTGGAAACCCCCAGAAGCACCGCCATACTGCTGGTTGATCTCCAGCGCGGAGAGCGCACGCGACACATCGTCGATCCCCATGTTGCCGCCATTACTTCCATACTGTGACGTCCCGTTGCCACCAACCGGAGTACGCCAGTCGTTGCCCGGGGTGTTCCACGGCGACGATCTGCCGATGGGGCTGCCAGGATACTGGCCTTGACCCTGCTGCGAAGGCAACCCAAAATACGAGTCTTCCTCTGCATGTGTACTATCGTTGTCGTATTCCTCTTCAGCGTTGGTCGGACTGGGGCTCTGAGCTCCAGAATACGAGATACCCTTTGTTTGACTCTTCATAGGACCCGCCTGAATCGTGCCAGCACGTTTGAGACCAGAAGTCAAGTGTCGGACACCAGGAGTAGTGGCGGGATAGTTTAGGCTCTGGTGCCGACGCACGCCGGCAGAACCTCCCGGAGGAGGGGACGGGCCATGAGAGATACCACCGCCGCTGCCGAAATGCGGAGACAGAGGCGAGGCTCCGGACGACGACGAATCCGCGACATGACCATGGTCAGAGGCCGAGAGGCCGTGCTAAGTCAGTGCGATATGTGAAGATAGCGCACGGAAGGAGAGTCTATGACGCGCACCTCCTCTTCGTCACGCAAACCGCGCATCTCCCTCTCCCACTCCTCCTCTTCGCCCTCATGGCCAGCGATGGCGGAGAGACTGTTGAGGGTTCTGGGTGTATGCGAGCCCGGCTGGCGTCCAGTCTGTGTGCCGTATGGAACTTATGCGTGAACAGATAGTGGTCAATCGCCAGGACATGAGTGATAGTGCGCGGGACTGACTCACCACGATGATACCGCGTCGGCAAGGACGCCTGCCTATGCAGCGACGACTTCTCGCCTACCGCGCCAATGCCGCCAACCCAGTCCTGATCAACAAGCTCATCGTCATGCCAGATCTGCTCAGTCTGCGGGTCCTCGAGTTCAGAGATGGCGATTTTGGAGGTCGGTCTGTTCGAACGCGATGCTGCCGAGATGGTGTGGTGACGGCGGACGCCGCTGCCGCCAGAGGCTGCGTTCGACGCGGCGACTGGCGGAGGAGAAATAGTATGGCCCGTCTGCGAAGACATGCGCTTGGATTGGGGAGAAGAAAATCCAAGGCGAGGGGATGATGGAAAGATGGACCATGCGCGCGCAGGCTGGTCGCGGTCCGGGGGTCTCCCGGGTCTCCGTGGTCTCCCAGCCATACGGGGCAGTCAGTGATTTCGATGCAAGTGGTTGCGAGACAGTCGCGTCCTGCCCGCTCCTCGCGTCCGTCCAGCCCGCTGGTAGATGCTGCCCCTCCTTTGACGCGCCGCCGCGATCCCAGAAGCCACCATGTCTCTTCTCTCCGACCGCCAGAAGGAGGAGCTGTAGGTCCTCCGTTTCACCCTCGGCATACCCGCACTCATCGATGCAGTCACAAGGCAATACTCGAATACCTCCACTCGAACAACTTTACGGATGCTTTCAACTCGCTCAAGGCGGACACAGGGATTGAATACACGCCGGACCCAAAGGCCAAGTATGCGGGATTGTTGGAGAAGAAATGGACGAGTGTGATCCGGCTTCAGAAGAAGGTGTGTTATTGTTCAGCAACACTCACATCAACGCTGGCTACATGCCTTTTGTTCAGATTATGGACCTCGAGAACCGAAACGCTCAAATACAAGAGGAACTCTCCCTTTCTCCCGCGAAACGTGCACAAATGCAGACGGACTGGGTGCCGCGAGCACCGGCAGCCTATGTTCTGACCGGGCACCGGGGGCAAGTCCTCAAGGTAGCCTTTCATCCGACGTTCAACCTCATCGCATCCGCAAGCGAAGATGGCACAGTCAAGATTTGGGATTGGGAAACAGGAGAATTCGAACGGACGCTCAAGGGCCATACGCGTGCCGTGAATGATGTTGACTTTGACAGTAAGGGCAATCTATTAGGTACGGCCGATGCATTGTTCCTTTGCGTGCGGTGGGGATGACTGAAGACAACTCTTCCTACAGTCAGCTGCTCTTCCGACCTATTGATCAAGATCTGGGATGCACAGAATGAATGGCGCAACACGAAGACATTTTCCGGACACGACCATACCGTATCCTCAGTTCGTTTCGTGCCCGGCGACCAACAAATAGTCAGTGCGAGCCGAGACAAGACCATCAGGATATTCGATGTCGCGTCAACGTGAGTCTGAACTGACAATATGCGTGTATCCCAGCTGACAGGCATGTAGACACCTGGTCCGTACGATCACCGGCCATTCTGAATGGGTCCGGTGTGTACAACCTTCAGACGACGGACGATTGCTCGCCAGTGCTTCCAATGATCATGTATGTATTGTACACGAAATGTGCCATCGACACTAATACTTGATCATCATAGACTGCGCGACTAAGCGATCCCTTGAACGGGGAGACAAAGATGGAGTTCCGCGGGCACGAGCATGTCTTAGAAGTCGTCGCATTCGCCCCTACTGCCGCGTATACCGCGATCCGTGAGTTGGGCGGTCTTCCAGTAAGTCGGCCGTGGCATTATGCATTATGCTATAATTGACGAATCGCCTCAGGACAAAGACAGAGTGAAGCGGCCGGGCGCATACCTGGCAACTGGATCAAGAGACAAGATGATCAAGATATGGGACTGCCAGAGCGGTCAACTCATTCGGACCTTGGTAAAGTCTGCGACTATCGCGACGTGATGTCCGCTTACGCATTACTAGGCGGGACACGATAACTGGGTGCGGGCACTCGTCTTCCATCCCACGGGCAAGTTCCTCCTCTCCGCATCTGATGACTACACAATACGCGTCTGGGAGCTCACGACCGGGCGTTGCATGAAGACTGTACAAGCCCACGGTCACTTCGTGACCTGCCTCGCGTGGGGTCCCCAATCCAAATCACAAGGCCCCGATGGCGCGAAGGCCAACGGCACTGCAGATGCCAAGGCAGAGCCTGAGAAGTTTGTGAACGTCATCGCGTCGGGGAGCGTCGACCAGACGATCAAGATATGGCTGCCATGATAAATTATCGCTTGGATGGAGGCTGCTGCTCGGAGCTAGGGCTGGAGGACGTGTGCCAGTGATCAACTACTGCGTCGTGTATGATTTCGTTAACGTTAGACATACGGTAATCGTTTCTGTTCTTTCTGCATTTCTCGCTCTGGTGAGTATCGCCTAGATGTGCCAGTGTGCGATAAGATGCTGACTACTAATATCATTAGGTGCACTAGCATTGTACACTGTCATTTCCGTTACTCGCACGGTATATCTCCCAAATCATTGCACTCATTACTGATATCCTCGCAGTCATTGTTGCTCTGGAAGTCTATACTTTGTGGTCCCAGTGATACCCAGCAACTATATCCTGACATGGCCTTGTCGCACTGGTTGCTTCTTGATTGCGCACCTGCCTCTGTGTTCGTTAAGGGCGTATAGCCGGTGCAAACGAGCTAGCAGGTCGTTGGGCAGTGTGCGCGACCCGGATATAGGTCTGCATTGTCTTATTGTCGCCACCGTGCTGGGCTGTGGTAGGCTGTGGCACACAGGCGTCTTTGGCCTCGATCTGAGATTGCATCCATACTGACCGCCACAGACGAGTTTCCTCTAGGTCTTCGGCTGAGCGCAGTTGGCGTCGGTGGTATGCAAATATTACGAGAAGATACCATCGAACACGGCGGGGAATAATTTCTTTGGGCGGTAGCTTTCATTTGATAAACATGGCGAATTCACCTTTTTACAGAATACAAAGACGCGCTTTGACCGGGCGCTTGACTGGGCGCTTGTTGGGCCACTGGTGGCACTGGCAGAGCATAAAAGCAGCGCGTTCGAACATTCCCTGGCCAACCTCAACCTGCTACCACCAACATCTCGCCACAACTCCTTCACCACTTACTCTCTCAAACACCGACAATGCCTGCTGTCCGAACGAAGACGTCGCGCACCAAGGTGCAGAAGCAACGCGAGACCGCCGGCAGTGGCGTTGGAACCTCGAAAGGTTCGAACAGTGCCACTGTGCCACAACAATCAACTCTTGTGAGTACAATATTCTCTGCCGTAGGATGCCTAACGAACAGGCGTTCAGAACGCGAACGTCGGTGCCCAACCATCCGGCTCTCGGCCATCCTCGTCGCAATCAGAACGCGCTCATGGCAAGAAGCCGTACGCGCCTCCCGCTAAGGGGTCGAAACGTCCGACGCCTCTCAGGTTGGGCGACCTAGAGTACGTGAGCATGCTGGGTACGTTGCACTTCTTGTCGGACGTCTACTACTATGTGGCACTAAGACGACTTCAGGCGACGGTAGCTTCGGCTTCGTGTCTACGGTCCGCGTCATGCGGAAGGCTTCAAGGAAGCACAAACTTGATCGCATCGGCGCGCAGTTTGCGCTCAAGGCCATCACCGCGACGCAAACGAGAGAGACTGAGATGGTAGGAAGCTCATCCTCCTAGTACGTCTAGAGCGCCACGCTGACCTGAGACGTAGAATCAATGGATGAAGAATTACGCAACGGATGAGGAGCAGCTGCAAGCAATCAGGGAGACTATGCAGATAAGGGACGCAGAGAGAGAAGCGCTCACGGGGCTGCCGTGGCATCCATTTGTGTCTGGCCTGGTCGACACGTTCCACGACCACCGGAATTACTACCTGCTGATGGAGCTCGCGCCTTGCCAATCGTTCGACGCATTCCTGACGAAGCATGGCCCATTGCGCAGCGAGGACGCCCGCTTCTACTTCGCCAACCTCACTCTCGCGCTTGAGTTCCTGCACACTCATGGGGTCATACACCGCGACCTCAAGCCGCAGAACATCCTCATGGGCGCGGACGGATACCTCATGATCGGCGACTTCGGCGTGTCCGCGCATATAACGGATGGGAACAACTGGAAGAACGTAGGGACGTACCCATACACGGCGCCGGAGTTCTACGGTGAGACGTATGACACGAGGGTAGTCCCTCCGATCCTCCGTATGGCGGGAGACTGGTGGGCGGCAGCGGTGATCCTGTTTCAGATGGTTACCTTGGATTGGGTGAGTCTTGTCAATGCAGTTCGAGTCGAGCGTTGTTCTAACATGTGCATTTGCCAGCCTTTCAATGAGCCATCCGAGGAGCTGTTATACAAGAGGATCATGTGCTCGAAGCCCGGCGAATTCTGGGAACGCGATGAGTTCCAAGACCTCTACATCGACCCCGAGCTAAAGGACCTCGTCAATATGATGCTCATGCGCGATGTCGCGTCGCGGTACGGCACGATCGCCGTGAAGGCGCCGGGGGACAAGCTGGCTCGGAACGACGAAGTCCGAATACATCCCTTCATGCACGGGAAGGTCGACTGGATTAGGATGAATCATAGATTGGTCATTGTAAGCAGCATGCCCCACGTCTCAACTCCATGCATAAACTGAGCGCTCTGCTAGCCTCCATTTGTCCCGGACAGGTACCCCGACCTCTTGCAACAAGTGCAGAAGCACAGTCTGGGCGAGGACCAAAAGATACCCGGTATCGGGGCTGAGTACAAGTGGCCCATCGAGCTCAAGTACAACTTGTGGAACAAGATCCACGAGGAATGATCGCACACGGACTTCTGTATACCTGGTGTCTTCGGGCGACTTTGCACGCGGGCCCTCTTCGTTCGCGTTGTGCGACCTCACTGCCGCGCTCCTCATTCCCATACGGTCCGTGACTGGACCCCTCGACTAATTGTCCCTCTGTAGCGTTAGTTTGTTTCCTTGGTAGCCCAGTGCTTATACCCGTGTCCTTTCAATATACCATTCTGCTTCTGGTGCCCCTCTTAGTGTTGGAAGCCTTGTCGCCTGGCTCAACCCCTAACGCGACCTCTGGGTTGGGTTGAGATAGGTGTGCAGAGTTCGCGACATATCCGCTGGACTTAACCGCAGATGGTCAAGAGTAGTCTTGAGTACTTGAGTCTTCGCGATCGCCGGGCGGTCAACAATTGATTAGCGTCCATGGGCACGATCGTTGGATCGCCCTATGAAGGGCTAACTTGATGCTGGGCACACCGTCCATTAATTAGAGCGGCTCTAATGTTTATTCGGGCGATCGCGCGGTACCTCACTTCGACAGATGTCAACCGCTGCATAGATGCTCCAGAGAAGCACCCCTGGTGAGAGAGGGGTCGATCTGGGTCAATGCGCAATGATGCAGGCCCGCTCACCTGCATCGAGTGATTGCCGACGCCGATACAAGACAATAAAGAGGCTTGAGATTTCAATTAAGCCGACCGTCGCGGAGCTGCAAACCCACACGCTCGTTTCCCAGTTCAATTGTCTTCGGCGCCGGGCCCAGTCCAGACGAAGTTGCTGCCGACGGTAGCTCCTGAACGAGACACGCGGTACGATACCGACGCTCCCGCGGCCGGCATCACGAAGACTGCGCGCATCACCCCGTCCCAGCTTGCTACTAGAAGCACCACAGGAGGGAGGGAAGAAGAGCTCGTTCGAACGGCCTAAGCCCAGGGTATCCGACATCGATATCTCCGAGATACAGTATGAAGACACATACAGACACTGGCACAGGATAATCGTACATTGGGCTTTCACTTCAGTTCGGTGTAACGAGCGACGGGGTTCTCTTCTGGCTGCGGATGCACCTACGACGTACTTACCTACAGTTGCAATATACTATCGCACACGCGTGGCGAGCGCGGGGTGCGCTCCACTACGAGGTCGGGGCGCCGCATTACAGGGCGAGAGAGCCTGGCGCCTCGGTGCTCGGTATTACGGGTACTATTAGGTGGCAGGGGTGGCGGGTGGCGGGACACCCGGAAAGGAGAGTGAATGGGAGCGTCGGTGCAAAGGAGGGTCTAGGTTCGTCAAGTGGTCGTCTGTCAGCGGGGTCGCCGCGAAAGCAATGACAACGGTAGGGAGAAGGTCCTTCATGGATGCGTTCAGCTCAGACGCAGAGAGTGGAAGTAGGAGCGGACTTACGAAGGAGGTCGGCGTGCCTGTGGACAGCAATTAAGATAAGGTTACATGAACGCGCACGGTTCGAAGGCGAATGACGAAGGGATGATCGAATCGTAGCAGGGAAGCGCCGGATCCAGGCGACAGCGCAAATGGGGAAGAGCAGAGGCGGAGCGATCACTTGCTGCGGCAGCGAACAGTGCGCAGCTGCTCCTTGACCGAGGAGTCTAGTCCGGGCTCAGACCACGAGTGCACCAAGCGGCGCGGGGTGCGTTTGCGGCCGCGCGAGGGCTCAGACGACTTCATGATCTCGTCGTCATCCACCTTGCGGTATTCGTCGTCCGGATCGAAGACGGTCGGAGACGTGGCAGCGGACATGTCCTTGGGCGGCAGCTCAAGCTCCTGGTCCGTGTCGCTGTCGTACTCGCGCTCGCGGATCAAGTCGACGTCCGAGTCAGAGTCCGAACCGTACCCGTCGGGCCCGTGTCTGCGCCGCCAGCGCCCGTACCACCGACCGAGGAAGACCTTAATCTCGGCGCCCATGCCGAGGTACTCGACATTGCGCGCGAGGCCCTCCCAGCTGAGGGTGCCATCGTCCAGCGCGTCCTCGATGAAGGACGTGGAGCCGAAGTAGATGTAGTGCACCAGCAGGCGGAACGACGCCGGGTCAGGCACGGGCAGGTAGACGGAGGGGTGCGTGGGCGGAGACGGGAGCATCCATGGGAACTGCGGGGCGGGCAGGCTCAGAGAGGAGCGGCGCGAGTCTGTGAGGCCGGGAGTCGGGGCCCGGGGCTGGAGTGGCAGCGCGGAACTGGCGGTGGTCTCCATCAGCTCGAACGGCGATGCACCACTCATGAACCCCCGGATCAGCGACGAGTGTGCGCATAGGTAGTCCATGTGTAACTGTAGGGTATGGTATCAGTGCATGGTCTTTGTTGAGCAACAATACCATACCTGCATGACCATTCGAGGGCCGGGACGAGGAGCGGGCTCCTCCTCTTGTTGTCGCGAGAAGCCTAAGAGGCTAGGCACGTCATTGGGTGGCGAACAAGTATCCTCGGCAGCATCTCCGGGAGTTGGAGAGGAGGCTGCTTGAGTTTTGGTATCCAAGGGAACGACTGCAAGACAATGAGGTGAGACAATAGTGCACGGCGTGGTGCGATGTTCAGGGACGCGTACCGATGGTGCAGTCAGAAGTTTCGGGCTTTCTCCAGTAATGAGGAGCGAGCTGGCGAAGTTGTGCAATAATATACTCAATAGGGACGTCGGCGAGGGCTGGTGGAGGGAATGGACGAGGGACGAAGGCGACACCGTGCATTGTCCGTCGGGGCGCTCGGATGGAAGGGTCAAAGGGAGGCCCTACGCTTGAGCGAGGCCTCGGTGACGTGAAGCTGGAGAGATAGCCCTGTCTTTTAGCATCAAGGCAAAGGTTATTGTCTACCGGAGACATAGGCCAATTGTGTTCGGATAGCCTGTGCAGGAGGCAGCGCGCTGGGCCTAATATGGAGCACCTGATATGGCAGCCTCGCACCGGAGGTGAGGCAGACTAAAGACAATTGACCAGAACGAGACGTCGTGTGGTCTGTGGCACAGCGGGGTGTGCAAGAATGGTATGGGGCGCAGACGGACGCCGACGGCGCGTCCGGGTCCAGGGGGCGAAGGAAGGAGAGAGCGAAGGCGGCTTGCGCGGACAATAAAGGGGATATATAACTACGGCGTAGATGTAGCAACAGGCGACGCAAGAGGCAACGGACTACCAGACGACGAGGGTACGGCCTCGCAGGAAATAATCAGAGATGCGGGCCATCTGAAGTCTGTGGCAGGTGCAGCCGCGGTGCGCGCGAGCCGACAGACGCGCGCGGAAAGGGGAAGAGATGTCCTGGGCGTTCCCTGCCGACGACCTTATTGTTCTCCATGTCCTGTCTGAGATCCTCGTGCCTGCAGCGTGCTTCCCCCTCGATCCCATCTCCCATCCCCCTTTACGTCAACCCCGCCCAACGTTCTGCCGCATCGACGCCTGCACAATAAGCCACCCCTCCCGCGGTCTTTACCGCGCTGCGCCCGGGCACCCAATGCTCAAACATTTCATTTCTCGTTCATTTCCTCTACGTTCTGATCCCGATTTCCTCGGTTATCCAAGCAAGGCGAACGCACCCGCAGCGTTGGCCTGACTCGATCTGCAACAGCCGTGCTCGGGCGTGCACACCGCGTTCGCACAATGATGGGCCCGTCCAGGCAGGCGGGGTCCGGCATCCTGCGAAGACAGCCTTCCGAAGCGGATCCGACTGATTGGGTCGTACAAGACATCCCATCGTTCCTCCAGCGATCTGCCACACCTCAGAGGAGCAATCCTCCGCCACCACTGACCCGTGCTCGCGAAGCCTGATGTCGATAAGCGGGAACAGCGTTCTTTGACGGAACCTAATACATTGACCCTTGCACTGTGCTCCGAATCGCGGTACTTCGCCACTACCCACGGTGCCCATGCGCCAGCTTCGCGCCAGGGATGGCAGGTGCGCTCGTCCACAGAAGCTGCGGCGTGTGGCGTAATCAGCGCCGGTTTTTGAGCCTGCCTTTCGAGGCGATGCACGGGTTGCTGCCTTGCAAATAGAGCGTATCCGAACGCGCGGACCTGCACGGCCGGAATCAGATCGCACTGACGTACAAGGAGGATGCAGCGCAGCATTCAGAGGGCCCTTCATATCGGCGTTGCAAGACCCTCGAGAAGAGAGTCCCGAGAACGGTAGAGGTTGCCATACGGAGAGAAGAACTGCTACCATGCCTCGGTGCGTGAGTAAATGACGCAGTTGCCCCGGTGGGTTGCAGTCCTTGTGGGAGGCAGGCCACGGACGGAGTTCTTGTCTTCCGTGCGTGGGATCATCCTTGGGACCATCTGGATAATCATTCTGTGCGGTGTAGAAAACCAGAAAATCAAGGCTGTGGTCGCGGACGTTCGATGTTGGTAGCATGCGGTCTTTGAAAGGGGTTAATGCGCATCCGTTGGCATTTGCAATCATGCACGCGATCGCGCTCTAGGACGACTCGTCTGAAAGCGGTAACCTCAAGGTGAGAACCAGCCAGCCAAGCGTGAGTGATTGGGTAGCATCTCGTCTGGCGGAGGTTGAAGACATTGCAGCAAGGCAGCAATCTGACGTACAACCTCACCGAGAACAGACTACGCTGGGAGCGATTGCGGTCGTGGAGGTGATAACATTCAGCACGAGGCCGAGCGCGAGCCATCGTTCCATCGTTCCCTGCCTTTTCCGTCCGCTTCTGCGCGTCCAACTGTCGATGTGTGGTCTGGCAGGGTCACTGAAGCCCGCGCCTTGGCTGATTACGCTGAGAACGTTCACAGCGAGACATTGTATCATACCACTCTCGCACGAAACGCCAACACCTTGGAGCTTAGAAGCGATCCTCCCTGGCCCGGATTGCAACATACCAAATGCACGTATGTGTGGTCAGGGCAGTCCGAGTACGATCTGCGTGGCTCGTTCAATGACTACGCCGCAGTGTCTCCGGAAGTTCACCGGCGTGATTGTCAGCTGCCATTATCGCTGTCATTCGTCCGCACCAAGACTGCGGATCTCCGCGCAGCTCATTCCACGCGATTTCCGGCCGAAATAAACAGAAGTGCATGGGCCATCATCGGGGGCGTGGCGGCCGGAATTGACACCCGCGCAACACGAGGCGGGTCGAGGACGCTTGTGGGTCCACAGTGATGGCCGACGACACGCGGGCCCGAAATCATGAATTGAGCTACTGCAGGCAGCATAGGGCGCGGAACGTGTAGATTATCATAGCCTATCGCCGGGCTAGACAAAGGATAGACTCATCCGTTGTGTCCCGTGCAGCGTGTATCTGAGTAATAACGTTACGTTATGGCGCGCCCAGGATGTGGTTGGAAAGAGGATGATACCGCGTACCTCGGATTCAATTTGGGGGGACGCGTCATTGAGCTTGGTGATTCTGAGGGCGTCAGCAGGGCCGCGGAACGGATCCCAGTTCTCTCGGCGAATTGGCTGCGAGTGCCGCTGTGCACAGCGTTGAGGCACCACTCACTGCCCGGACGATGGAAGCTATGTAAACCTTAATTGCTAGTCCACGTACCGGCTGAACCCACAATCGAGTAGCCGACACTTCAGCCTTTGCAGCCACGCGCGCGTCCTTAGAAATGGAGCCGTCCGCAGGTTCACAACGCCGAGGCTAAGCCCAAAATGTTGGCAGTGAAGCTTGAAGCTCCAAGTGCTCGCTATCGGGGAATGGAGAACTTCTGAGCTCATTTGCGCCGGCGAGGCGTCGCTCGAGGCGTCTGCAAGAGCATTCACGCACTGACAAGTGAAACGCGAAGTGTTATTGTCAACGACGTTGGGGAGCATCCGGGCCACGGCGACCAGCAGCCATGTGCAAACCTGTGGAGTGGGGAATCATGTCCGCGGGCGAGTTAGAACCACGGAACGGCCACGGGAGAACGCCATTACCGTTGTGTGTGTTTGCTCTGCATTTCATGGACGTAAGCGAGGGACTAGTGTTCCCAGTGGTACATACCGCCAATGGGAGAGGGGGTGGATTCGCCTAATAGCTGGTGCAAGCATGATCATGGGTGGATCGGACACGGAGAGCGACGTTCAGCCGTTGTATGCGCATTCTACGAGCATAAGCGAATGATGAACCTTGCTGCAATTAGTAACGCGTCTTGTCGGTCGGAAAATCTCGTCGATTCTCTAGCTGTATTTGTCATTGCAGGGTCGTGGTCGCTGTGCCTCGCACAGAGAGCCTGGTCGTTTCGCCAGGTACCGTGTACCAAGCATGTTGGCCCACTTGCTCATAACTGCTGCACCTGTACAGCCGTTGTCAGTCCCTAGATTTAGCGTGTCATAGAATTATTTCGCGTACAGGTCAGCGGAATATGTTCGCGGGATATTGCAGTGTAGTGTGACGAGGGCTTTACTGGTGCATGCATCGTAGCGATGCCTCCCGAATGACACAATCCGTGGGGACGAATAAAGCGAATCTTCAGCCTTTGAAAACGTGGAATAGAGGGTTCCCAACTATAGCTGACTCGGAGTGAGAAAGCGCAGCATGATTGTTGACGAGTTCAACCAGCCGCACCGTGCAGATGATCTCGTAGCACATGCCGATCGATCTAGACCGATCGGACGAACCGATTCAAACCGATCCGGTGCTGGCACTCACTGCAGCGGTCGATCGCATCGTGCTCAACACCGTCATCGCCTACACACACCTCGCGGCCGTGCAGTAGTAGACTGACAGTCCTCTGCAACAATGGCACCCCCAGAACTCTACTCTCTTGGCCAGAATCAGACTGCTATCAGCTCCCATGCTTTCAACGCTAACCGCACCGGTACGTAGTCCTCCTTGTTGGGAACAAGCCGAGATGTGATGGTTGATTGGTGCTTGCAGAGGTCGCTGTGAGCTTGAACTCGAAGGATGCGACCATCTGGGAGCGTCGTGGACATGAGTGGAAGCAGACAGAGACGCTGTCCGAGGTACGCTGCAGCATCTTCGTAGCCATACCCCATCTCACTCATGTTACCTTGGTACGCGCCGTGTAGCACGACAAGCTGATCACCTCCATCGACTGGGCCCCCAAGTCCAACCGTATCGTTACCTGTGCCCAGGACCGGAACGCATACGTGTGGCAGCAGAGCCCCGACTCGCAGACGGGCCGTATGATCTGGAAGCCGACGTTGGTGTTACTCCGTATCAACAGGGCTGCGACACATGTCCGTTGGAGCCCGAACGAAGACAAGTTCGCCGTCGCGAGCGGTGCCCGGTGAGTGGATCCTTGTAATGTGATGGGTGTCGTCTGACGAGCGGGCGAAGCGCGATTGCGATCTGCTCATTCGACCCCGAGGGCGACTGGTGGGTCTCGAGACTGCTCAAGAAGCCGATCAGGTCGACTGTCCTCTCCGTCGACTGGCACCCGAATAATGTCCTGCTCGCGGCCGGCAGCGCTGACATGAAGGCCCGCGTATTCTCCGCTTACATCAAGGACGTCGACAAGAGGTGTGTAACTCGAATCGCTCTAACTCCCGTCTTCATATCGGTGCAGGCCTGCCCCTACTGTTTGGGGAGAGAAGCTCCCATTCAACACTATCTGCGGCGAATACAGCAGTCACGCGGGAGGCTGGGTGCATGCTGTCGGATTCTCTCCGTCTGGAGACGTTCTAGCCTTTGCCAGTAAGTAGTATCGCTACCCTCTTAGCACTCCCAGCCCTAACCATCGGATCGTCAGGCCATGACAGCTCCATCAGCATTGTCTACCCCGGCGGACCGGCCATATACACGATCAAGCTTTCCAGTCTGCCTCTCCTCACCCTAACTTGGACGACCGAGAATTCCATCATCGCCGCTGGGCACGACTGCCAGCCGCTCGTGTTCTCGGGTAGCGAAGGCGGTTGGGACCTCACCGGCACGCTCGACGACCCCAACGCGAACAAGACCGGCGGCGGCGCAGCGCGCGCAGGCCTCGGTAACGCGTCGCCTGTGGGCCGCCTGAACAGCGCTGCGTTCAACACTTTCCGCAACGCGGACACGCGCGGTATCTCGAGCGGCCCTGGCTCGCCCGGTCCTTCCGCTGAGTCGGAGCTGTTCACGGTGCACCAGAACACGATCACGAGCGTGCGACTGTACGAGGGCATTCCGGGGAACGTTGCGCGCGTCAGCACGTCGGGCGTGGATGGGAAGCTGGTCGTGTGGGACGTCGCGCAGGTGTCGCCGATTGGCGTGACGGGCATCGTGGGCCGCTTGGCGGGTACGCATCTGAAGTAGGGTATCGATACAGGATGTACAAGTAATAAGGATAATGGAAATGAAGCGATCGTGCATGCAGCCATGCGAAACGTGGGGCGGCGAGGCCTTCATTGCTCTCGTGGTTCGTTCATGGTCGTGTCCGTGAAAGATGGTGACTCCTCCAGTGGTTGCTCGTTGATGACGGCCCATACGGAGGCCTTGAACTAGTGCAGTAGTTTGGAGACGTCAGCGGGATAACAAAAAGACACATCGAGGCACTTACAAGCGTTAGCACCAACCCCATCTTTACCTCCAACGCCCGCAACCTCCTTAGCATGGACTCGTCCGGCGCTTCACTCAGTCTACGCGTCTCGACGATGAGCTACGCGTTTCCGGTACCACGACAAGCAGGTGTGATCCGTCAATCAGTATGACACGACCCGGACGCGTCACTGGCACGTACCTCCTTGATGTTCTGGGAGAGCTTCGCGTATTGCCAGAGGACCTCTGCTTCCGTCTCGGAGAGGTTTGAGTGGTCCGCGTAGGGATTCGTCGTGAAGATCTCGTTCCCTGATATCGAGTAGTTCATCCTTGTACTCAAGCTGGGCCTCCGTGCAGTGTAGTTTACGGAGAAACTCTCAGAATAATCCGAGTCGACGCAGAGCGATCGCACTCAAGGTGCGCCACAATGCATGGCGGCAAACGCCGGGCCGTCTGATCTCTCGAGTGGCGTCGCGGCTCTCGCGATCCTCGACTCACTGAGTCACTCATCAACGCGAAGAGCTGCTTACCAGCAGCAGGCATGGTGGCGTATCGTTCTAGCCCGGTGATTATCTGACACACTGTCAAGCTAGGTCCTACGGCTCGCTTGACCTAGGGTGTGTTGAAGTCCTTGAAGCAGACGTCCCGACTCCCCAAATTCTGCTGCCTCGGGGCAACTGAAACTTGCATGTAAGCATGTAATGCGTCTACATATTTCTTGACATGCTCCCAGCGCGTGCTTGCGGAGTAGTCACTTCCGAATCCCCAAGTCTAGATCGGCCTCGTGCCGTTCACCGATTTCAGGACGCTCGTCGTGATTCCACGAATTCCTCGGTACCAATCTATGCCCTGGAATTCAGAAGGTGAGTCAACACTTCCATCTACATCATGCCCTTGCAGGGAGCGGTCTCAAATTTTTTGTTTATCTGAAGACGATCTTATCATCTTCGCAAATTCACAGGACTGAGTGGCGTGGACGAGTGATGAACTTGAACAGCCCGAGGAAGTACTCCTTAAATCGATCATTGCACGCATCTGGCCCTGTATGTCGGTAAGTCAGGTCGGGTTTCCTTCGTATTGCTACCCATGAAGTGGACAGAAACTCGGATAGATAGATTGACATCTTTTAGACCTGTGACCATTCGAGGTCTTCTGAAGGCAATGCGACCTCTCATGACAGTGTAGGGAAAGAGTGTCCTTGGTGCCTAGGCCTTGAATGTGCTTCTGGCTTCGCGCTCGCAGTGATGCTTACACAGGACACATAAGCCAGTACCTCACCGAAGGATTGCATCCACGGTACTCCGCTCTACAACAACAGCGCTGGAGGACCATGCTTTGCATATAAGAGATGGTGTGGCGGCGCTTGGCCACCTCATCCTGTCCGGGCTACTTTTCTTCTCCGTCCTCTTGTCGGTGAGTCTTGTCCTCTCTCATAGTCCGCCTCCTCATCTGACGCAGTCCACTAGCGGTTTGCCGTTCGGAGCCTTCTCGCCCACAACAAGCTATTGTCGTACCTCTCGGGTGGCAAGTAAGGGTGCTAATCGGCATCCATCGTCAGGTGCACTGACAGATAACGACATAGACATGCCATCTCAATCATCACTCTACGTTGCCCTGTATCAGATAGGACTCGGGCGTTATCACTGGGCTCTCGTAGTCACTCCCTACAACGGCCCCGTCAACAATGGTCCCCTCTTCCAGATCACCAACCAAGACATTAGCCAGCCGCGAAGCATCGGCGCATGGAGAAAGTCCCACAAGATGTCGACGGATTTGCTCAAGAGCTCATCCTTCGTAGGGTGCGTCAGGCTTCCTGACTGCACCATCTCCGCGCAGCACATGACTGCTTGGATCGCCGAGCAAGATCCACAGCAGGGGGATACTCAACTGCCAGTGGGGCAAGAGTGGTCATGCTCGCAGTGGGTTATCCGCGTTCTACAACGGCTCATGGAAACGGGGATATACAGAGTGGATCTCAGGCATTTCCGTGCGAAGATCCTGATACATGCCAATAACCTGTCGCAGATGCACAACAGGAACGCGAACCAGCTTCACACCGTAGTTTACGCCTAGGTATTGAATATCCTCCTTTCGTACCATACCATTGCTAGTGTACAATAGTCGATATGCGATACAGATAGATTCGTGATCAGCAAAAACAATCGTTGAAGGCTACCGGAAACTTACTCTGAGCCCAGCCCATATCAACATCAAATCGTCGGTACGAACAGTTCGCGCACGAGCATCTTGTCGGCTCGTGCTTCCGCATCGTATGCGGGGAGAATGCGACGGAGCCAAGGTACCCAGTCGCGATCGTCGTCATCCCATGACAACGTCGCGAAGATAGACTTGCAGTACTCCCAATGAGCCGGAAACCATCCCGCACATTCCCAGTCAAGAATGGCTGTGATCCTAGAACCATCGACCATGATGTTACGAGGAGATAGATCGCCATGAGTGAAGACGATCGGGTGCTTCATCGAATGCGCGTCGGTGACCACTTTAGGCATGCATTCATCGGGGAGATACTCAATGTCGCAGCCAAACCGCGCTCCGCGATGATTGAAGTCATCCTCGTTGTCGAATGGTCCTGTTCGTTCAAAGCGCAGTCGGAAGTCTCGCACGGGTCCGCCGGATATTGAGCAGACGCGAGGACCGTACGGAGTGCGCAGACTCCGTGCGTGGCGGAAGTAGTCGGCTAGCTGCGCACAGACTGCTTCCCTGTAAAGTGGCGTGGCATCGTACCAGACAGAAGATAGCTCGACACCTCGGGCACGATCCATGATGATGTAGCGTGCACCACACCACACGAAGTGGGTCCAAATGCGAGGGACAGGCATACGTGTGCAAGCCGCAACCATCCGCATTGTTTCGACTTCTGTCGTATCGATTCCATGACTACGTTTGATCCAAAGCCATCGACCAATGGTAACTGGATGTCCAAGTAAGTATGACCGACGATCTGACTGAGTGCAATGTTGCTTACGACGCCATATGTAACCGCGCACTTTCCGAAAAACACTGGGGAGAATGACTCTCAACCGACTTGCGGTGAGTCGTACCCATCGTTCAAGGCGTGAACGTCTCGCCTCGCGATCACGCCACGCGTACAAGATATCATCTCCTCTGGGATGCCCGGGGACACTCCTGGGATCACGAAAGCCGTCCGGGTTTGGCGGCACGCCAGAGGCCACGGTGCATTGGTTGACCATACGCGTTATTGCAGGGCGAGAGCTCCGAGCGGTCTAGTAGCCGGAGGCCGCGAGGTCAGGGTGAGTCAAAAACTTCCGATGCAGTCAATGGCGGCAACTGGCGGCAAGTTATCCGACGCTGTGGCAGGTTTGTGGGTGCTTGTTGTGCTCTACTTGGCATAAGCATCACAGAGTTACTAACTGATTGGTCAGCTCAGACAGGCCTCGGCAGCTATCCACATATCGACGTGACTGTAGCCCGGAGCTGAAACTGGTTGAACACTGTGCATACAAAGACTATTACATACTAGTCACTACAAATCCCTCTCTTCAACCAGCGACGAGATATTGCTGGCACAACGGTCACGGTGGCCGACTCGGAGTGGCACGCTGACGAGGAGTCGTCCGAGTCCCTGGTCTTCCAAGTCAGAAACTTCAGTTCTTCATAACTCTGTCTCATGTCGTAAGTACTGCTTGCCTGTGGTCTGACTTCAAGTTATGTTCTCATCCAGGCATCTCCAATATGTGAACTCAAGGCAGCTGTAAGCCTGTACTACTATCTTTGCAACGCATGGATAATCAGGCACAAATACGCAGTGACTACATCTGATTAACTTACCGCGCGACATACCGTTTGGTCTCGGGCAGAATTACACCAGGGGTCTCCAAAGATGTCGCACAAGCATGCTGTCGGCTTCCGCTTCGAGGTAATAGACAGGGAGTGCACGACGCAGCCATGGGTCTCGTTCTTCCCCCCATTCTGCAGCAAAGATCGATTTGCAGTACTCCCAATGCTCCGGGAACCAGCCGGCACATTCCCAGTCGACGATCGCTGTGACTGTGGCGCCGTCGACCATGATATTCCGAAGCGCGAGGTCACCGTGCGTGAACACAATGTCGTGTTTGATAGAATGTGCAGCTGCCACAAGCTCTTGCATGTCGGCGGGCAAAAACTCAATATCATGGTTGAACCGTGCCCCATGATGATTGAAGTCGTCTTCGTCCTCGAACGGTCCGGTATGCCGATATTGCAGACGAAAGTCTCGCACTGGACCTCCCAGTATAGAACAGATGCGCGAACCATATGGAGTACGCAGTGTGCGTAACTCTTTGAAGTGATTGGCTAGTTGCGCAGCAACAGCTTCCTTGAACTGCGTCCCTGCCGTGCGCCATACACTCGACAGCTCCACACCTCTGACGCGGCTCATAACGATATAGCGGCGTTCATCCCAGACGAAATGGGTCCAAATACGAGGAACGGGTATCCGTGTACAAGACGAGACCATGCGCATCGTTTCGACTTCTATCGTGTCTTGTCCATGACCCTCTTTGATCCAGAGCCATCGGCCTAAGGTAACTGTCTGAAGTTTTCAGTGCAGTACAATGGAATGGAAACAAGGGTACCGACGTCGCCACATGAAGTCGCGAGTGTTTCGCAACGCGCTGAGGAGAGCATGACGTGTCCAATTTGTGATGCGTAGCATCCATCGCTCATAGAGTGGACGATCCAACTCGCGCTGACGCGCCACGATGAGAATGTCCACACCTCTGGGTTTCCCTGGGACACTGCGAGGATCACGAAACCCGTAGGGGTTTGGTGGCGCCTCCGGTCGTTCGTCAACCAGTGTCCATGATCGTTGCAGGTCCGGCTCGAGCATGTGGTCGGAAGACAGCAAGATCTATAAGTTTACCAGAGTTTGAGTATGGTATCGACACGAAGGTGCTACACGCACGCGCTGCCGGTATGTACGAGGTCTCTTCGTTACCGCTTGATATGTATGCTGACGGTCTGAATGAAATGCTGATCACGGGCCGTGACCATGTGGCAAGTTCGTGGGCGTGTGTTTTGCTTTGTTTGGGGGCACAATTGGAACTGTGACGCCTAAGATGATATACGCCGGCATCGGCGACTCGTCCAACTGCCAGTGCCAGCCTTTCTACTAGTTCTTGACAGTCCTTACCCGCTGTCAGACCGATCAGCACTTGCCGGTATGTGTGCGCCTATATTTCTCGTGCAGTACTTCATTGACCGAACACATAGGCTGTCGCTATTGTAGATGGCCGAACGAACATCGATACACATAGTCTTGGAAGCCCTGGATCCATCCAGAGGGAAATTTCATTGGTCACTTACCCTCTTCTCCTCCCACCGACCACCCAACTGGTCATGTGTCGATCTCTTCCAGATCGTGGATACCGTCGCGACCACCTCGATCTCGGATGTCTCCAGTACTAGTAGCGCGAAGAGCCTACACTCCAACAGTCTGTCTCTGCCACACAGTGTGACTGTCAAACGCACATGGCACCTCGCACATCGGAGAACTGTCGACCTCTTGTCACCTTCTCGCCCGCAAGCCTGCGTTGGAGCCGTGCGTCTCCCAGACGCGGATCTTCCGTACAACGACCTGAAGGAGTTCATCGAGGAGCAGGAAGCGGAGCAGGGCGACACCGAGACTATGAGGGGCGTGCCATGGAGTTGCGCGCAGTGGCTGATGCGCGTCCTCGCACGCCTGATGGAGTCGGGATTGTATGAGCTCGATATGAATCATTTTTATCCAAAGATACAGAGGCTGGGGATCGAACTAGATAGGTTACGTTTGGCAGATCCCAACGAGGTTCACGTTCTTGATTTTGCATGAATCGGTCATCGCTCAGGCTGTGTTATTCACCGTCACTCGCATGTGTATAGTAGTGTATTTAATGGTTTGTAACCGGAACGGATAAACATGGCTCGAAGCATTAGCGTATTATGACGATGGAGAACTCAGACCCTACTGTACTCGACTACATGAATTTCAGAGAACCCGTCGATATGAACTTGTTGCAGTCTAATCAGACACGCCAATCTTTGCGAATAGATGTCTCATTTCGCAGCCATAGAGATCCTGAGTCGATCAAGCCTTGCAAGAGTACCGCGGAGCCACGTTGCGCAATCCCAGTTCCATCCCGGAACAGACTCGCTCTCCCTGTTTCTGCGATTTGCTCAGCGAGAAACTGGCGGACGGTCTGGACGGGTAGTGCAATATTGGGAAAGTGGATACAGCCCACGAAACGCTCTGGAAATGCAGTGCGGGTGTTGATCCCCTCCGTACGGTGTTGAGTGCGCCAGTGGTCCTTCGAGTTCGGAGGTACGCGATCGTCCTCGACTATTTGAAAGACGCTCATTTGTCCCCAATCAACGGGATCCCTGCAGCAGCGACGGCGATGGCGGAGTGGAAACGGACGAGGCGGGCATCGACTTCGCCGGCCCGTATATGGGCACGAAGAGACAGGTAGAGCAAGGCATGACTACCATAGAGCCTGCGATTGATCGAGTAAGTGGCTTGTCCTCGAACTATGCCGTACCAGCACCGATATCTCACCATGACGCAAGACGCGAAACAGTGGCAAGTACTAGGCTCGGTACGTCTGACAAGTTCAAGTTGGCACTGCGATTCCGGCGCGGTTCATGCGATGGCGCAGAAGCCTGTCCAGAGCAGCAACATCTGTCTTTGTCGCCTCGTCGCCCAGTGTACTAAAGTCAGAGGGCACGCGCACTTTCGCAGAGACTGGCCTTATGTTGGTCTCATCCGAGTCGGGGCGCACGGCCGTTGTGGACCAGGACAAGCTTGCAGGTATCTTCGACCGGCCAATCTGAGATTTGAGATCTGCAGGCGATCGCCACGCCACGTCGGCCCTGTGACTCAACTTTGACTCGGGCGTCCACGTACTCAAAGACTTGCTTGAGATCCTCAGCTGCAATATGGCGTCAGCGGAATCCACTCTATCCATATGGACAGTGGCTGATCTGAGGGGGCGCCTTCAGGAAACCAGCCATGCGTAGGTACGTTTGAGTCTCAGCTGGCGATGGTGAGTGAGGTCCCCTCTGACCGGGTACAGCACTGGCAGGTGAGATTCGAATGTCTCGAGGGGAACTGAACAGATAACTGCCGATACACCTAGCTTCAGCCCTCATCTTCGTCCGCATCACATCCGCGATGACTTCGTCCACTGCAGTCTGCTTCGGCGAGCTGGCCTCTTCGAACTCCTCTATGTCGCCGCCGTCTGCGTCGGCGCCCTCTGAGGTAGTCGACGGGACAATCTGTCCTTCACTGCTGCAGATCGTTGCTCCACAGCCTAGGCGCCCAGTCACATTCTCTGTAGAGAATCTCGCAGACGATGCTTGCCACGAGGCCAATGGACGTCCCCGCTCAGCCGATGCCGGACCGCGCCCAGAGTTGGACGCTGTGCCGTCCTCCGCTGGTCTCTCCAGTCCTCGCCAGTTAGACAGGATCCGTTCCGACTTCACGCCTACTCTGGGTAGCGAAGCACAGAGCGTCGTGGACCGAATCAAGCGCCTTGTACCACCTCCGCTTCCGTCTAGATCTTCAATTACGTCGCTCGTAAGGCCCGGGAGGCGCATAGAGAAAGGAAAGCGCACACCACAGGCATGCGAGAGATGCAGGATTAGGAAAACTAAGGTGAGTGCCAACTACTCGACGCTAGTCTCGTTGTCGTAGGCTGACGACACCGGTCATCAGTGCAATGGGGCCCGACCGAGCTGCGAAAGGTGCACCAAACGGGGGGCTAATTGCGATTATGTGTTGGATCACAAGGCCGTAAGGTTCCAGCTCAGGAAGTTGCAGAAGGAAGGCCTTCTACCGGAGACGATCAATATCTCTCGGAGGACAAAAAGCCACGGAGCAGTGCCTGTGCCGATGACAAGACCTATGCGGATGACGCGGTCTAGATCAAGGCTTGCGTGAGTATAATGGAGTGTTATGGCCCTTCAATGTCGAATCACTTATGTCACAATGCGTATGCAGACTCAATGGCCAGCTCGCCCCGGAGATGTACGCCGATGGGCCTTCGTCAGCTCCTGGTGGCACGTTCACTCAAAGCATGGACCGGAACGTGAGATCGGCACCTACGCTCGGAACTGTGCCTACCGGCTACTATGTCTCTCAATCGGCTGCCCAGTCGCAACTGAGCTGCATGCACTGTCATATCTCGCTGCCTCGCCTCACTGTGCCTTCGCTCTCGAATGGTTCTAGTTCAAGCTCGTCTTCTGGGTACACGCCTCTAGTAACACCGACCGACGAAAGCTCCTATCAGCTGGGCGACAAATCCGACGGCCGCGCCGCGGTGCTCACTAGCTCTGGGACCATTCTCCAACACGGCATGCTTCAGCAACCGGTACACTATCCTAGCTACCCGCCTCCGATTGCTCCCTATCCTGGACGGTCGTTCCCGCCGATGACGATAAACGGGCAGTACTTCGACGAAAAGGCTCTGCTTCCTGAGCTCTGTGGCGCCTTGAATCTACCACCTCCTATGCATGGACGTCTACCTCCGCTTAGGTTCCCCGCCGACCAACGCGCTGGCACAGTTTGGAGAGACCCCTCTGTGCCAGACCTCAGGCCGGCACCGACGACACTCTGGGGCGAACTCTTTGGCAGGGATGAAGTAACCATGTGATGAATATAGGCCTGAATTCGTAGAACATACGCTTCGATCTCTCGTGCTACGTCGTGTGTACATATTGCCGTTAAACATACCCCCATATTCGCCCATCGCGAGTCTTGCTCTGCTGTTATGTACAGGGCGCCACGGGGCAAAGTAGCCTCCTGGTCTCCGTAAATGGAGCTGCGTGACTAGTGTTGTGATCTTGTCAATTCCTGGGTAACGTCGCGAGTCGCGACACCGCTAACTTCCCCGACTCCGACCGGCCGGGAGGGAGGGCTTATTAGCTCGAGTCTCAATACTCAATGTTCCGATGGCAAAATATTTCAGTAACATGTACTAAGGTGTCTTTTTGGCAGGCTGAGCAGCTGTGTATCACCCCCGAGGAGTCGGAGATGGCGCAGTATGCCAGTAGTGCGACAGTGGCACAATGCGCGCGCACTGCACTGAATCACGTGATCGTGTTCACGTTCAATGCGCGGCCGACGCGTCGCGAATCAACCATGCCACCGATTCTAACTTGCATCGCGCATACGTCAACCCCGGAAAGACTTGGTGCTACTACACTTCAGTCAAGAGCTATTCTTCTTTTGAACTGGTACAGACCCAGAGGGAACCGATCACCAATCGCAACGTACCAGTATGTCATTTACTTCATGAGTCGTCCCGGCCCAGGCTCGTCCGGTGCTACGTTCCAGGACGATTGCCTCGCTGAAACGACGGCGGCCTCCCGTATGGCATGGGCCTCAAGCATTTTTATTGAAGCAGACGGGATGAAGACTGACGTTAGGGCTCGCTAGCTGAGCGGAGAAGCGGTGCGATATATGGTCATGGGTAGCAGCCGGCTTTTAAGTTCATGACGGTCTTCGACCACGGAGTGCATCCCGTCCGTCGCCGTCCCTACGCGCATCTCGATCCTTGAGGCTATCGTGACGCCCGAGTCGGCCTGCCGCGTTCTCAGCGATTGAGGGCGTTGCTTGTTGGAACAGAAAATAGCTATCTAGGACGAACATTAGCGGTGAGCCCTCGACTTGGTCCGCTCAATCATGTGCCTGAAACTCAACTATGTGAGTCGCAGTAGCTCAATTCGGAGACGGTCGTCGCTTTACATGCACTTGCGTGGCCCACTGCCAGTGAGGAACGGACAGCACAACACATGAGCACGTATTTGCAAATCCATCGCTTCAGTTATGAGATTCGTGTGCTCGATTGGCTTCGCAAAGAGATAAGACTCCCATATTGAGCTTAGGAGATGAGACCGCTGACCGACCCCCGAGTTGAAAGAATGGCTCCAACCCTGTCCAATCTGACAATTTTAGCAAGACTTCGGTTCGGAGCGCAGCAGGAGAAGTTGCAGCTCGGATTCGAGGAACACAAGGACGTATCTGTGGGCAACCATTGGTTCATCTCCTGCCTTCTTGCTTCTGATATGGCATGCTCCTCCCAGATACTATTTACAGGTGGTGAAGAAGTCGAATCATGGAACGGAGTATGGCTTACATGGTATGCCAATTGTCCTATCACGTTTTCATTGCGTTGTCATAATATAGTGTGCGTCCGAAAATCTCCCGGAACCCTGTTTGACGGTGTCAAATAATCCCGTGAAGGTAGCGAGGCCATTGCGGTTATTCCGATGCTGCTGCTCGATGTCATTGCCGTAAACGGTACGGTATCGCATATAAGACTCGGCCCTCTCACATCATGCAGCAGCATTCACTTGCAGCATGCCTGTTGCACTCGACTCTACGAGTCTTGCCCTAGGCACTGTAGCCTGCTATCTCCTATATTTTGTCTACGTTCGGTGGACGAAACGCCAGGGTCTGCCCCCAGGCCCCCCGCGCTTACCATTTCTAGGAAACATCCATCAACTACCCCAGCTCGATCAGCATACATTCTTAAAGCGATGGGCAGATCAATACGGTAAGTTCAGCGATCACGCAGTCAGCTGCCGAATTGCGGTCAATCAGTTGCATTTCAGGGGACGTTGTCTACGCGGAGTTTTTCACTCAACCTGCCATTGTCGTCAGCTCTGTGAAGGCTGCATGTGAACTCATGGAGAAGCGTGGCGCGTACTACTCGGGCAGACCGCGATTCGTGCGAATCAGAGAGATGTAAGTTACGTATGATCCAACTGAGTGTTACGCTGACGATTCAACCGTCTTTTTAGGATCGGCTGGACCGGACATAGTGCATGGAGACCATACGATGACACGTGGAAGCGCCAGAGGAGGTGGTTTCAGCAGTCGCTGATCAGCGCGTCAGCCGTGAAAAGAAATCATCCACTTCAAGAGCGCGAGGTGCGCCGTCTGCTGTATGCCCTCGTCCAGCATCCGGCGGAATTTATCTCCCACATCAAGCGGTATGTGAAGTGATGCATGTGTCGTAACATTCGTCAAAAGGACTCATCACATTTTGGATAGCTACTCCGCATCGCTGATTTTGGAGATCGGTTATGGACATACCGTGACCTCTGTCGAGGGTGACGAGTTCATTCAATTGGTGGAGGCCGGGATACAGGAAGTTTTTGGCGGCAGTGGAGCCGGGTCCGCGCCGGTTGACTTCTTCCCCGTCTGTAAGCTACTGATCGCATCCCTCGGTCGTTTCAGTGTTGACATCAATTTTGTCACTTAGTGAAGTACATACCTGCCTGGCTGCCTGGCGCGGGCTTCAAGCGAGCTGCTCTGATGGCGAAGGAAGCCATCGCAGCTACAGAAAACATACCCTATGACTCAGTAAAGGATGATATAGTACGTTTATCTAATAGTTTGGGGTGCGGACGGCGAAAGCCCTGACACAAGCACAGGCAGCCGGTGTGGCGAAACCTTCGTTCACGACTGCCATGATGCAAGATTGTCTGAAGAAGGGCGCGCTGACCAGTGAAGATGAGATTGTGATCAAGGGAACGGCTGGAACACTCTACGCAGGCATGTATTTGATCGCGTTGGCGCCCTTTGAACCACTGACGATGACTTCGTTCAGCGGGTACTGACACGGTAACGAGCAAATACACAGTTTCATTGTCTTGATGCTTAGGACTTGCAGACCTTGACGTCGATTATGGTCTTCATCCTTGCGATGGTGCAACATCCTGACATCTTTCAGAAGGCTCAAGAGGAAGTCATCAGAGTTGTCGGAGAGACCAGGCTCCCGGAGTTCAGCGATAGGGAATCACTGCCGTATCTCGAGAACATCATCACAGAGGTGTACAGGTATGACAGAGAGCCATAGTCATACCATGCAGCCGCCTGACGTATTCTTAGATGGCATCCCGCGGTTCCTATAGGTACGAATTTGTACCGTATCGCTCAAATTCTACTCACACCTTCGCTTACCGAATTCAGGGGTCCCACATCTAGCATCGGACGATGATGTGTACCGTGGTTACTACATACCGAAGAATTCCATGATTATCTCCAATATATGGTATGGTAGCCCTCTACTGCGTCTATATCGCGCTCCGCGTCCTGACAGTCACTCTAGGGCAATGTTCCATGACCCAGAAGTATACCCGGAGCCAGAGAGGTTCAAGCCTGAGCGGTGGTCAAACACAAATACCGACCGTGGCGATGATCCCAACCTGGGCGACCCGCGGAAGATAGTATTCGGCTTCGGACGGAGGTATGATCGCATCAACGTCGATCCGTAATTGGCTGAAGTGACCACAAACTTCCAGGATCTGTCCAGGACGATACTTTGCCGACAACAGCGTTTGGATCGTTGCAGCTTGTATCATTTCGATGATGAGCATTCGTAAAGCGCGGGACGCACGTGGGGAGGAAATCACACCGTCGCCGAAGTTTCACAGCGGGATTGTCATGTACGTGAGGTCCTGTGTCCTTTTCATCCTGTGATTTTGACCTTTATATTGCCTGTAGTCACCCAGAACCGTTCGTCTGTGACATTCGCCCTCGATCGGAACAGAGCCGGCAGTTGATTCTCGAAAGCCTGGGCGCCGGAACAGTCTGACAATCCACATAACGGGGCTGGTGTACAAAGCCCAGGCTCCTCGACCGCTACTGTCGATTCATGATTCTGTCGATTCATGAGTCGCCATAACGTTCGAGCTTTGTCGATCGAATGACACACGCTGCGATACTCTTTTGCTCCCAGTTCGCGCTTCGAAAAGGCTCTGGTGTGTTGTTTACATACATTGAAACATTCTGTCTCCGTTCACTGTAACGCACTGGCTGCTACATGGCCCCGGGTGGAGAGGGGAGGGGTACATGTTGATTCAGGATACTTACTTGTATGTACGGCGAGTGAAGGCTCTGACGCCGTAAGTTCTTCTGTGCATACATACTCATAAATGTTGTGGTGCCCACATCGAATTCGCGGAAGCCCCCGTGGCGCCGATATGATAATGTATGATGAGTACAGTGGGTCAATGGCCAATGATTTGAAGGGCGGTCAACAGTTGTCAAGATTGGACGCGACCGTAGCAGAGTTCGCGTCGCGTCGCATCATGTGACCGTTCTTGATACTTGTACCTGGGTCCTGGTCCCGCGGCTCAGACTTTCTACTTCACAGGCTGACTACACCGCCCCCTAGCCTGCCCAGGTGCGATGCCTACTCTGCTACCACAATTGTATACCTGGTCCGCACATCGCACTCGTTGAACCTCGACTTCTTCGCCAACATCCTCCTACCATGACTAGCCATGTGTCTCAAACGGCTACTGAGGACTGGAGGTACATCGCAGAAGGCGGATCAACCATCGTCTTTTCTTATAACGGTCCCGTACATTCGTCGCTCGACAACAAAGTCCTGCGACTGCGCAAGATTTCGATCAGCGTAGGTCCTGTTGGGCGACCGAAAGGCCTCGACGATCCTGCCTTCGCATTTCAGCAGAGGGTCATCCTCCGGCTTGTTCCAGACGAATCCCTGCCTCATCTGGAAGTCGTGAAGGTTGAAAAGAAGTGGCTTCGACTCCTTGCCGACGCGGCCGAGGCGAACCGTCCTGAGGTGAGGCGGGCGGAGGATAGGATTGACTGGGACAGGGAGACAGCTGTGCTCGCCGACAATCTCATCGGGGGTTCGGGTCTAGCGGTCGAAATAAAGGTGAGGCCAACCGTCTCCTCTCCCAGCTCACGCTTATATGCTCCTGTGACTTGCGTCGTCTACAGCCGAAGTGGGGCTTCCTCCCGTGTCCCGACTACCTCTCTCCGACCACTCGCCGTATCAAGACGCGTACCTGCCGCTTCTGTATGCATGCGTACCACAAAGACGCCGCAGAAAAGCATGTGCCATCCGCTTTTTGTCCTCTCGACTTGTACTCAGGGGAAGAGCATCGTGTCCGTGTCGCGTTGCACGCCCTGTGGGATGCGTGGATGCAAACAGATGGTGGTATAAACAATCTCAGGATCTTCGCAAGCGGACGCGTCCTGCGGCCGACTACAGACGTATGTCTATCGCGCGTCTCTTTCAATATCAGGCCGCCTCTGACCGCTTCGTGATCTATTAGCTAGCCTTACTCCAGTCGCTACTCACGTCCACCGAATCGACGACTTCTCATTCATCGGTGGATGCACTTCGCATAGAGTTCATCAATGCGCTCCTTCCAACCCTCATGACCACTCGCATCCTACGCCTTCTCTCGTTTCTCCAGCGCACTCTCGATCCCCTCGACATCGAAGGTGTCGCCGCTCTTTGGGCGCGCATACACGGAGATAAGGATGCGGATGCGCCTCTTGGCCTCGGTGAAGGCGTTCCGGAGCCCACTCTGGATGAGTGGACACGGTTCGTCGATGCGTATCTTGCAACATCTCAAACCCGGACCAACACTTGCGCAGTAGAGTCCGATCCAGTGGCAGACCGGGAAGAACTCAGGTACTACTGCCTGGCTTACCTCCTGTCAGCGACGTTCAAGGACTGCTCCGTGGTCATTCGTGCGGGATCTCATCCCGGCCCCGAAACGCTGGACACTGCAGCCGATGGCCAGGAAGAGCATCAGGACGCGCACACTTGTCGGAAGACGACATCGGAAGTGAAGCTCATCGACCTCGATGTGAAGAGCATCAAGCGCCTGGCGAAGTGGGAGAAACTGGACAGAGAGATCGTAACCGCATATGCGCAGGTAGAGACTCCCCGGACTTGTAGGGACTCGCTCGCTGTGATGCGAAGATTCCCTTAGACAAGGAGGACATCTCCGCAGCTCGGATGAACCCCGGAGACGGGAGGTGCGCAGTTACCAGCTGGAACTGCATCGAAATACATGGGCCCTCAATCAACCCTCAATGTGAATTATGATCGGCGTCGTTCGTAGCCTCAGGTGAGCATGCATACACTCATGGTTCAGATCGCTTGTTCACTGATTGATGAATGAAACTTTGCCATGATTGGCCGCGTGCTCAGCTATATTATCAGCTGTGAATCCTGGACTACGTGCGGAGTGGCGCGGCGCTCCCTGTCGGCCCAAGGGTACTTCAGCAGCATTTAGTTCTGTGGCATCCGTCGTTGTCGCCATCATCTGTTGGACAACAGGCCGAAAATTGAAGGTATCGGACGCTGCTGTCTTCGAATCGGAGTAACGACGCCTTGGCTGTCGTTCTGACACGAACCGCGTGCTCACATTGTGCAATCACTTGTACAACACCCGCCGATGTCGAACATCCCAATGGGTGGTCTACACGAACCCTGCAATCAATCTATGACTTAGTCAAAGGTAAGCACAAGACATGTCATGGCGCAAAGGCGACGTACTCACGAAGTCGCAAACGTTGTCCGTCTGCCGTAATATGCCTTGTGTGTACAGGTATATGTTCAGTGACGAGATGCGGTCATTCAGGAAGCTAGAGAGGCATCTATCAGTTTCGTTCAGTTCGTCAGCGAAGTGGACGTACATTTTATGGCAGTGGTTGGCCACCAAATTAGGGACGCAGTGCCATCGATTCATGTTGGATCTCCTGATACGGCACTGCGTAAGCGTTTTGGCAGTCTTGCACCATACGTCCGTCTACGCATGACGATGTCTCTTTGCTACCTTCTTCCGTGTCTTCGTCCGTCTCGTCGTCACTTCCCTCTTCCGTGTCCGGTCAGCGGCTCTGGTGTCAGGATAACCCTTCGTGCCTTACGCGACTCCGCTCATCGTTGTTCACGTCTGTGTCGCAGAGTTGACATCTCTGCTGTCGGCACACTCGAATCAGCAGACGCAACAAGGAAGGCTACGTGTGGACAGACGTTTTGTCTGTCGTTCTATGAATGACTTTCCGGAATCCAGTTCCTTCTCGTGTGTACTTGCTCCGGGCATTTTCAAGCTGCGGTGCCACATCCGCTTGAGATCGAGCACTGGCCAAGGTGTTTGAGGTGAAAACTGCGGAGTACTAGGTAGATTCTCACACAGGATAGGTAAGTATGTGATGGAGATTGTACGATCAATAGAGCAGATGGACTTACCAGAGTGCTTAGCCTCATGATTGACCGCGTGCTCAGGAGACCAGATGCCCTGCGTCCAGGAGTTTGGGAGATCACTCGCAGACACGAGCTCTTCGGGCGATGGATTGCGACAGCTAGGATGAGCTTAGTGGCGACCGTGATGTGCATCGAGATGATGACCATCGAATCCTTGCTGTCCTTTTATACTGTACGCGCAGACTCTTCCGCATGCGGGCTTCCTTTATGAATGACGAACGCAACTAAGAGGCGACAATACATGCGTCGCCTCCATTGTCGCGCTGCTCAGTGGCAAGGCACGCAATAAGTATAAGGTAGTGCTCACGGAGGAACCACTATTGTTTGAGCAGTGGCTTCTCAACCGATTCATTGTGCGTGGGTCATGTATCTACGCAAATCGCCTTTCGCGTCTGTCGCAATACACGGCGCGCATAGACGCGACGCGTTGTAGTTGCTCACGTGATCGCTCCTCTACGACGAAGCTTGGACGTAAACGAGGACATGTTCTGCCGTGATACACCCCAGGTCCCCAGTTAATTGCCTTGTTTTCTGTTGTGTATGCTCAAGTCTAGGAATTGTATAACTAAGATGTTTACAGTATTCGGTCGAGGGCTGACATTGGGCTGACACCCGGTGTGGCTCACATACCCAGTCAAGAACGAAACATTCTACGACCACCCGCGCGCAGAACGAACTGAACCTTCCTTACCAACATCTTCCATCTCCTCACTCAGTCCACACTTTTCACCAGTACTTTCCATCATCTTCTTTACAACATGGTGTCTTCCAAAGTCACGGTGATCGCTGGTCGGTCTGCCATGAACGACAAGAAAGAAAAGGAATACTTGCGCATCTCCCCGCTGCACCGGCAAGTATTGCAGGCCAGCTGCAATCGACGGAAGACGGCTGGACCGTCCCCCCGCTGCACACTCCTGCCAACAGAGGTGAGGAAGCTAGACAACGCCCCCAAGCCGCCGACTGACCCTCCCAAGAAGCCCAGCGGCAACGCGGACGCATCGAACCATTCGGTGGGTACGGCCTCTCATACTGTGGGTACGGCCTCACATACTCCCGAGCAGCGGAGAAGGGCGAGAGACAGCAGCTCAACCCTCGGACCTGAGCCAGTGTTCCCAGAGGAACTCGCTCGCCAGTGGGGCTGGACCGACGATTCCTGGAAGTACATGGCTCTTCATCGAATCAAATCCGGCGGTTGGGTGCGCATGCGGGAGCCGATCGACGATTTCGAGAGAGGGATAATGGGTCTTCCTCCACTACCGCCCGATGTAGTCGAAGTTCGTCTTGAAGAGCGCCGTAGGGAAGACTTGGAGATGCTGATGAAGCGGCACGGAGTAAAGCCGAAGGGCGCGTGTGAAGGGTGCGAGGAGTTGGGAAAGGCTGTACGTATCTGCAATAGTCTCGCTTTGCGCCAAGCTCACAGTATTGCACAGTGCGACGGCGGCCGCCCTTCCTGCGCAGGATGTGATCTATGGGGCATGGAGTGCACTTACAGACGTTCGTCCACTGGTGACGACATCCGGCAGGAATTGTTGCTGAAGATGAAGGCCGACATCGACGCTGCTGCGGACAAGTTTGACAAGCTTGCTGTGAGCCCGACAAAGGAGGCGCAAAGGCCCACGGAGCGTCATGATATGGAGATCGAGTCCAAGGTAGAGGACAGTCAGCCCAGGAAAATCAAACCCCTCCCGGCGAGAAGGAAGGCCAAGTAAGTCTCTCTTGTGGAATACACCATTGCAGTTCCTTAGAACAGTTCACGTAGGACGGCCGAGCGGCAAGAGGTAACACAATGCGTCTCTGCTGCTCATCCTTCATGTCCGGTGGTGCAGAAGAAGATTCCTGCACAAACCCTGGGCGCTGCGGGCAACGACAAGGCGAACCCGATGGACATCTGCATGCCCGAGCTCCAGCCTCCCCCGCTGGTCACGCCGTCCCTCTCCGCGTCATCCACCGCGTCCAGTTCCTCGAGCTCGTCCTTGATCAGCACTCCCGTCGACGGAGACGATCCGATGCCACGAATTGTCAGATTCGACGGGACGAAGGACGCCCCGCGGCCTGCGGCGCAACAACCCAAGTCTGTTGTCGAAGGACGGGATGATGAGGCAAAGGCGGCTGCCTACGCAATACTGGGCTTGAGCAAAGCACCACCGAGGCCCTCGACCATGGGTCATGCGCCTCCCGCCCCGAAGGCTCATCCCATACCAGTCGTCCGCGTCCCGAAAATAATCATCACTCCGCCCGCGAGGGAGCTTGTGACAGTCGAAACCATCACTGCGCTCCTCGCCAAGCTGACACTCAGCGCTGTGCCAGCAGCAGTCACTACCACGATCGAGGGGCTGTTGTCTTCCAGGCCGTGGGTGTCCAAGTACGGGTCACGGAGCGCAGAGGGCATGGAGGATGATGACGAGGTTGCGAAAATGTTGGGCGAATTGGTCGATGAACACGTGCGCGCAGGAAGTGCTGGGGAGCAGGGAGGGATGTGATGTTGGTACGGGATGGAGGGAGGGACGGAGGGGTGACGGAGGGGTGACGGAGGGACAGAGAGACGGAGGGAGGGAGGGAGGGAGGGACAGAGGAACGGAGGGACAGAGGAACGGAGGGACAGAGGAACAGAGGAACGGAGGGACAGAGGAACGGAGGGACAGAGGGACAGAGGGACAGGAACTGAGGGACAGAGGAACGGAGGGACAGAGGAACAGAGGAACGGAGGAACGGAGGAATGGAGGGACAGCGGGACAGCAGGACAGCAGGATAGCAGGACAGCAGGACAGCAGGACAGAGGGACGGAGGGAGGGACTGGACTAGGTTCGTACACATTTGGGACTGAACTTTTATCTAGGTATCGGCACGTGGACGGGGACTGGCACTAGGTTCGTACACTTTTGGGACTGAACTTTTGGCCAGACTCCTTCCTCAGCCACACCGCACGTGAACTGCTCGGCCCAATTTCAAGGGCTCGCAACTTCACCGCAAGTTGCGAGCCCTTGACCCGGGCCGAGCAGTTCACGTGTGTGGCTGAGGAAGGAGTCTGACTTTTGTCTAGGTACCGACGCGTGGATGGGGACTTGGACCTGGACCTGGACTTCGACCTGGACTTCGAACCGGACTTGGACTTGGGACTGGACTTGGACTTGGGACTGGACTTGGACTTGGGACTGGACTTGGGACTGGACTTGGACTTGGACTTGGACCTGGAACTGGATCTAGGCTTGGACTGGACTTGGTACGCTCCTGAATCTTGCGTGCACTGATGTTCCATTTGCAGTCGACCATCAAGACAGCAAGCCAACAAGACGACGCTCAGAACGGCGACGGCGCAAAGACGGGGTGGAGAGATCCGCCAGACATACTTGGGAGGCAACGGGTACGCCGTACTTTCTCTTGGTTCATGCCCGTGATTCGCTGACGACGAGCTATGCAGAGGTCGCGATCCACGGCCATACACCCGGAAGCGTCTGTGTCCATTTCGCCCGACGACACCGTGATGCAAACGAAGTTCTGGGATCGACAGGAGGCGGGAAGGATGGTGACGGGAATCAAGGCGCGAAGCCGGAGGCGCGAGGTGCGTGGCGGTCGTCTTGAGGCCATCCGCGCACGCGCTGACCGCAGCCGAACTTTAGGGGTCGCAGTCTCGTAAACTCTGAGGCGAAGGAGCACCCGAGGGCCAGAATTGCTCGGCCAGCTGGGGACGATAACTCTGCATACACAGACACAATAGGTGAGGCCCTCTGTGCTCATAAGTGTACAGGACAAACCTCTTACCTCCGTGTCTGTCCGGCCAGACGACAACACGACATGATAGATGTCCCGGGTTCAGCTGGAGCAAGATGGTCAAGGGGGATAGAGAGGGCGGAGACGCAGTCCCGGAGGCTCGAGGTAAGCGGCCACTGTCTTGGAATCAATTGTGGCAGGCGTTGACCGCGGGCGATATGCAGAGTCGCGTCCTCGGCATTCCGAAGCGAGGGAGCAGCAAGAGGTACGGTTGCCGTCCTCTGGCTGTGAGCTCGAAGCCTTTTGTTCACGCGCGCAAGTAGTGAGTTTATCTGCTACGACATCATTGAGTGAACATACTAACCTGGTGCTCGTCTCTCCCTAGGTCGACCTCTACCGGTAGCGATCGGGTGGAATAGGTTGTAGGGCGTTCCCTGGAGGGAGCAGAGGCGGATCATTGGGATTGGAAGGTTAAGGGACCGAAAGGAACAAAGACAAGAGACAAAATCCAAATAGATAGAAGGGGAAAGAGAAAGAGAGGGAAAGAAGGAAGGAAGGAAGGAAGGAAGGAAGGAAAGAAAGAAAGAAGGAGAACCGAGAATAGGCAAAGGGGAGGAATGCGTGTACAAAACTAGGATAATCAGACCTCGATACTCAACGGGTGCCGATAGGAGTCAGCCTATAGACCCACCTTAATCTTCGTCTTGAATGGCATGAGCGCATACAAGACAAGGCTGCAATCGCACACCTTATCTCTGTTCGCGGATAGTTGAGTATAGCTTGATTTGGAAGTCGAGAGCATTCATCAGTGCAATGGTACGGTCGTCGGTGCGTCCCCGTTTCAATGGCTACGGCATGCAGAGCCTGTATTGTTGATATCTCTCCTACAATACCCATGAAATGATCGATACATGGACGAACTGTTATACATGTGAGTAGAGAGAGTCATACCTTGCCTCAGGAGAAGCAATGCCAAGTCGATATCGGAACGAGGAAGCTATAACTTAAACTCGGATCTACTGGGACCCATTTTGACTTGATTCCCAGTCACGACGAGGCGCTTTGCTGTAACGTTCCAAATCTACGGATATCACCATATGTCACCAGGAAGACGGCCAAAGTAAATCTGCCAGGCTTACCTCGGCGTGCGCGGTTACCGCTCGCTTTCCGGAAGATACAGTAGTGCATACAACGTTCAACGCGTCTCCGCTGAGCACACACAAGCATGAGTCTCTCGATCTAAAGCACAGGCTGCAGCGGGGACGTACAGTTTCGCTCCAGCATGATAGGTAGTGTCGAGGGACTGAGAGACAAGGTCTAGAGCACCACCCGTGACCAGACCTTGAACGACTAGCGCAACCGATGTGCAGCTATATGCGCGACCGTCAACTGTCATGCTGAACATCAACTTAAAAGGACAGACTGACGCGTCCACAAGAAACGCTGCACAGCCGCCATGCATCATATTGTGTGCATTGCACATGTCTGCCAACCAACAAGACACGGAAGTCGGATAGTCAGAAAAATAATGTCGTCACGTCTACTAGCGATGCTACTCACCTTGCGAGACTGTCACCTCAAACACAACACGCGTATGCGTCTTCCCGTCCTCCGGTCTCTCAAAGGTCCTGCATACGATCATTCGCGTCTGCATCATGACCGAGTCCGCAAACTGGCCACCGCGATTGAACGCGGCGCCCGCCCGCGCAACGAGCTCCTTGTGCTCCGGAGACAGGTTACAGTCCGCGTTCTTGAGGAGCTCCCTGGCCCGCGCAAGTCTTGCGTTCGGAGAACGCGACGAGGACATGATTGCGGCCTGCCAGTAGCTTCTACGCCTTCGGCGCGGCAGAGGCCCTGTATTCGAGATCGAGGCAGAAGCAGAAAGCGAATAAAGCTGGAGGTCGGCGCATCATTGAAGTTGGCAGGCAGCGGCAACAGGCAGCGCCTATGGCACTGTCTGGATGTCTGCGAGCCTAACGCGGTCACGTACCGCGTCTGGAGCGCCCACTGGCAGCGCGCGCCATCGACCAACTAATTTATGGTCGACCATCCTTTCCTCCTCCATGTGCGTTGCTCAAGCAACTCCCATCTCTGGTCTACTCACATCCTGTGGCGTTGTTCAACAGGTATGTTTGATTATTTTGGCCTACTATTACTTGCGTTCACGAAGCAGCCTCGCCGGAACGCATCGACTGGTGCCGAACACATTGCGCAAGTAAGCGTTTGTCATTCGGCTAACAAGCGTAGTAAGCAATCGATCCGGGGAGTTATTGGGGACAAGATGAGGAGCTCCAGATGAACCCCCATACAGGATTGCGGGGCCCCGCAGCCCTAACGCCGCGGCGATTCCTTAGTCGCACTCTGTCCGCTGTAGGCCGGCGTACGCAACGTCTACAACATGGGACAGGCAACCAACCTATGGCTCGATTAACCAAAGAAGGTGTGTGTGTGTCATGTTGCATTCGTCTTGTATGATCGCATTGACTCGATGAAGTCATTTTGATCATGGACACTAATATCGGCGCTCACCGTGAATCATAGCATGACCGCAGCAAATCATCGGGCATATCGAAGCACAGCGCGGTACATTTGTCATGTGGTGAGCGACATCGTATAAGTGAGACTCGAGCACATTGCCTACTCCGTGTCTTTCCGGTGACTCTAGCCGCCATGTCGAGTGCCGCGGGACCACGCTCCGCTCTCCACTCCGTGCGGTTCGAAGGTGCTGAAGACTTCATAGACGAAGTGAGGGCCTATGACACGCCGTTCATGAGCTTCACCCTGGGTATGGTCATGGACTACGTCTCGCACCCTACCTCGAGCAAAGACCCGAGCTCGACGCCAAAGGTGCCCTCGGACAAAGGAACATACCATGCGATATTCGACATTGACAACCGTCTCATGTACGCAACCTTACCCATCCACGACCACGAGCTTGCCACACTCTTACATACCTTCGGTCCGCAGATCAGTCCTCGTCCAGACACCCGCACGGCCCGCCCACATTCTCGGCTACCCCTCGCCCCCGCCTCCCCCCACCCTCTCGGCAGCCTGCGCCCTCCTCGCCAAAGCCATCTCCCCAAGCTCGCTCCGCCGCCAAATCGGCGGGCCACGCGACGCCGTGCAAGCCTTCCTCTCCGCGCTTCCAGACGTGCAAACCTCCCGCAAGACCTTCTCCTCCATCGCGTGTTCCGCGAGCCTCCGCACGCTCCCTGTCTCTCCGCTGCCCGGAAAAGCAGGTGGGAGCCGCACTGCGGGTCCGCTGCAGAGGTACACGATCCGGAGTGCGCGCCCGGAGGATGCCCCGGGAGTCCTACCGCTCGTCCGCCAGTTCTCGGCGTTCACGTCCACGGGCCCTTCCCCGGACGAGACAGTCCTCGCGGACATGCGCGCCGCAGCCGCGGCGAGGATGCTCTACGCGATCTACGCAGAGGAAGAGGTCGGCGAACATGCGGCTGGACACGCCGTGCTAGGCGCACGCAGCTCAGAGGGGAAACGGGCATGGAGAGAAGAAGGGAACATCGCGGGCTACCTCCTCCTTGGGTTCGCGACACCCCGCGCGGTCGTGATCCGGCACGTCTTCGTGCACCCTGAGCACCGGAAACGCGGGCTTGCGGAGAGGATCGTGCGTGCTGTGACGCGCGCGTGCCTCGGTGCCTCTCCGGAGCCAGAGTTGGATCCAGACGCGAACGGGAGCGTAAGCGTGCAATTTGTCGCGGATACACCGGGGTGTGGGGTGAAGAGCGCGGTGTGTTTGTTTTACAATGACCCGGGTGCTGCAAGGGTCTATCGTCGCTGCGGATTCGTCGTGGGTGAGGATGCGAGAGATCCTGTCAGTGGAGAGAGTCTGTGTTATGCGTACGAGTTGAGGGACATTGTCACTCCGTGAGTGCTCCGTTTGTCATCTCGCTTACTTCTGTGCACACTTCTTGCTCAGCTAGTGACCAATAGGATAGAAATGTAGGTTTCATCGCTTGCTCCAACGCTGGTCTCTGTGACTCAGAGGCCGCCCGGAATTCGCCACAAGATAGAGCTTGCCTCAGTGAAGCAAGCAGTCTGGTGAGTTCGTATGACGACGTCATTACTCGTCCGATTTTGGAAGTGAGATTGTAGTAGAATGGGCAATTTTTCGCAGCAGACGAAGCCTGCTCGTCAGGTGAGTATACGTATCAGACGGTTCTGGCAGTCTGGCCGGAAGCTTATATTGCATTGGATACTTGAATCAGCAGTCCAGTAACCTCCTGATCATCCTCTTATGAGTACGCTCGGTCTCGGCCCTCAAGCTCGCTTCCATCGTAGACTGCAAGAAGATCATTACAATCAATTAAGCACCCGGTCGTGAGTTCGCGGAGGCCCATCTCGAAGCGGTGACCACATATTACGGTCGCAATATCTTATCAATCAGACCTATCATGTTAATTCATGAAGCTTCTGTGTTCAGTCAACTGATCCCGGTACTTCGACCGCGATGTCTAAAAGCTGTGCTTACCGGCATTCCACGTCATATTCTCGTCAATGGGGTCAACCCATGCGTGCTAGCATATTCCATGGAGGCCCATCGCAAAGACGTTGCGCCCGGAGCCCTGCCCAGGGTGGACGATATGGCGACATTTGTGATCGGCGTGGGTATCCAGAGCGGCCCGCGCTCAATCGCCCACTGACGGCGACCACAGGGGCGAGGCACGTCCCCATTGGCCACGACAGCCTCGGGAGCGGTACCCCCCAATGCCGGCAATAACCTATGCGCTGGTCGAGACTCCATCGACAACGATAGGAGGATCGCCGTGTGATGCACGATGCGCGTCGGAGCCCTGGCCATGGCAGCGCGCGCCGAGGTACCGGGCGACGTCCGACGGTACGCCACGGCACGCGCTCGTGCGATCGACAATAGGCTTTTGCGGCAGCCTTCGCGAAGCAGGCGGAGGGGCCATGCGCCCCGAGCCCGGCATGCGCAGGGCGATCGGGGCCCCACTCTCCAGCTCGGAGGGCGGAGGCGGGGCGATCGACGATGGCCGGAGCCTCCATGATCGATCGGACCTCGGAGGGCGGGCGTGAGCGTTCTCCCGTTTTCCCGCCGCATGCCCCGCGGTAAGTACCTCGGTCCTCGGTCCAGACATGTCTCAGCCCGCCTCGCTCGGAACGAGCGCAGCCAATGCGGGCCACCCGCATCAGCTTCGTGACCGTACGCGACGTCGGAAGACACAGGAAGACACCAGCCGGTGTTCGCGACGCTAGCGAGCAGACACGTTCCTCGTTGACGCGGGCAACCGGCGCGAGTTGCGGGAGGAGCTCAGCGGCCGTGTGCACTCGCCGACCGCAGACAAACATTCTGCACGCTGTTGACTGGAGCGCAGACGCTGTCAACAATGCACTACGAATGCACACCACCAGAAGTTGCGATGCAGAGACAATAAAATTATCCGGCCTACTACGACACCAACCCAGTAACGTTCTCAATATACTACTTGATTACCACAGTACACGCCGTCCCTAGTAGCGTACCAAAGTGACTTGGCCCGTAGTAAACAAAGTATAGGTGCGATGTAGGCCGTAACTGTATCAGTAGATGTAGATGGGGCGGGAGCACGAGTCCGAGAGAGGTATGGAGTATGTAAGTTAGTTCTATTTCTGCCAGAGGGAGTGAGATGTTTATTTGACTTTTGCTGCTTCTTATTTGCTGCTGGAGAAAGCACGACTTCGTTCCAAATGTGCGACGGCCACCGGAGCGCCAACCGTGACGCCTAAATGATACAGTAACCGCCGTCGACACGGATCTCGGAGCCTGTCATGAAGCGGGAGGCGTCACTCGACAGGAAGACGACAGCGCCCTGTATAGTCATCAGCACCAGGCGGCAGATGCTCCGGGGAGAAAACTCACAGCCAAATCTTCTGGGTCTCCCATCTGAAGCGCGGGTTGTCAGCAACCGGGCATCATCCCAGGCAAATGAGCTACTCACGCGACCCATAGGTGTCAGACTCTCCCACGTTTTCTGTACCGTGCTGTCAGTCTCATGCTGATCAACTTACGTCGCCTCACGTACCTTGAGCTCCGTGTCGTGCGCGAGAATGGTCTTGGTGAGCTTGGTGAGCATGTAGCCGGGGCTGAGAGAACCCGCGTCAGCAAGCGCGGAGACAGACGCGTGACGTCATCGAACCTGAGGCAGTTGACGCGAACTCCCTTCTTTGCCCACTCCACGGCCAGCGAAGCGGCCATGTGCTTCACCGCTGCGGAAATAGAGAGCGGTTGAGTGAAATGGCCACCCTGGGCAGTCCGACGTCGGCGACTCACCGGCCTTTGCCGCGTTGTATGGCGTCTGGGGCTGGGGGATGTTCACGATCTGGAGCGCGCGTCAGCCCTGCCACGTAAGTGCAGTCGCGAGTAAGGAACTCACGTTCGCAGACATGGACGCGACGAGGACGATGCTGCCTCCGCCCTGGGGTATCATGTGGCGCGCAGCTTCCCGCGCGGTGAAGAATGCGCCATGAACGTTGATATCATACAAGCGCTTTATCCGGTCAAAGGGGTAGCTGAGATCCGTCCGGCGTCAGCAGCCGCGACACGTACACCGCGTCGACGAGGGAACTCACTCAAAGGCAGAGTAGTTCTCGACGATTCCTGCACGGCGCACGGCGACAGCAGATAAGTTTCTGCGGTCATGACTGGGATGCGGATGACGCACCGGCGGAGGCAACGACCGAGTCTATGCGGCCGTACCTGTCCATGACCCTCCTGTACGCCTGCTGCACACTGAGCTCGGACGAGACGTCGCATCCAATGCCAATGATGTTGTAGTCACTCGGGTCCATGTCACTGTCAACTTCACACCTTATCAGCACACTGTCGAGCACGACGACGGGCGAATTCCTGACCGCATGATTCCTTGACGAGCTCGTCGGCAGCCTGTTGCGCCTCGTCCTCCTTCAGGTCGAGGATGGCGAGCTGTGTGCAACCGGACTGCGCGAAGGCGCGACAGAACTCGTTGCCGAGACCGCGGGCGGCGCCGGTGACCATGCAGACCTGTGCGTGGAGACGTTGAGCGACGGGATGCGCTGGGAGCGCGGATGTATGCGCACTTTGTTGGCCATGGAGAAGTCGGGGAGGGTCTTGACGACCTTGGCCTTCGTGGCGACGGCGCTCTCGATGGTGCTCTCGAAGCGGCGCTGGAGGGCATGGTGGGGGTGTGGGGGGCGGCGGGAGACGAGGGCGAGGGAGGTCGACGCCGAGCGGGCAACACCGGGGAGTGCGCGGGCGACGAGGCTGGTGGACATGGTGGTGGATGGGGAGAGAGATGGGCTGGCCGCTGGCTGGCTGTCAGGGGACGATTGGATTTTATTCGGAGCCCGCCCCGCTAGAGCCAGGAGCCGCCTAGAACACGCAGGCGGAGCGTTCCCCCATTCGCTCCCTGACATAACCGCGCCGCCACCCAATCACCGCCTGCCCCGCCCCGTGCCCCACCTGACCCCACCGGCGCCTCACACAGCCAGAGCATGCAAACTATTCGCGTAGACATATGTAGGTATGGACGACATAGGCGGGTATCACAGCAAGTACATGTAGACTCGCGCTAAACTAGACAAATACTACCACTAGGCCGAGGCGGCTCCGATTATACAGCTCGTCAACCGATCCGAATTTAAGCAACATAGACTGAGGGTGACAGGCCAAGTGAGAGACGAGAAACAGAGATAATACGGATAGAGAGATGATCAAGGACCGACAGGTATAGTAATGAAGGGACAGCGCTCGCTCGGAGCGCACCAATGCAGATGCAGATGATGTGAGGGGAAATGAGGAAATGAGTACCGACTGGGCGCAATCACAGACACGCAAACTTGCTCTTGCGCCGTTGAAGCTCGTCCATTCGGCTGTCGAGTTGCGCCCGCGCCCGCTCCTTCGCCCGCCGCTCCTCGTCGAGCTGGTGGGACATGTTCTGCTTCTCCTCCGCGACCGACCGCCGCACGTTCACCACCTCGTTCCGCGCGTCGGCCAGCTCTGCCTTGAGCCCAGCGACTTGCGAATTCAGGCTGTCCCGCTCGCGCGCGAGCTCCGTGGCCTGCATCCGAGCCTTGCGCACTGTAACGAAGAAGGCAGATCAGCGATCATTCGTCACCAACTCTGTTCGCGCCGGAACAGAAGAGAAGCACAGAAGCCGATACTCACGATTTTTCTCCGCGTCGCCAACCGAGGACTCTAGCGACGAAACCAGGTCAATGTGTGCCTGCAAGTCGCTCTCGCAGTGCATGAGCTGCTTGTTGAGCGTCTTGATCATGGCGTCCTGCTCGTCGATGTGCTTGGCCTGCTGCTGGATCTGCGCAGTCAGCTTCTCGCTAGGAGGGCCCGTGGGAGTTGCCACGCCATTTACCGACGGCGCGAGCGACGTTGCCGGCGTGGTAGGCGAGTCCTGCGGTGTGTCGCCGCTGATGGGGCTGAGCGCAGATGACGAGGTGCTCAGTTGGTGCTCGTGGAGCGGTGAAGGTGCCGGCGGGATAGGGACCGTCGGTGGAGGCGCAGGCGGAGGCAGCTTCGTGGGCGACATATTCGAGCGTCCGAACCCTTGCCGCGTACTCGGTGTAGGACTCATGACAGTTTGAGATTGGAGGTCCCGGAGCAGTGTCTCTTGACGGGACTTCTCCGCGGACAGGTTGTCCATCTCGTCCTTCGTGCGCTGAAGGTCCTCCTGCAAGTCTGCGATCATGCTTCGATGCCGTTCGAGCTCGTCCACCAAGGATTGGCGCTTCGATGCCTCGCGCACGAGGTCGTTTGACTGGCTGCGCGTGTTTTCGAGTTCCTGCCGGAGCTGAGCAACCTCGGCGGCGAGCGTGTCCCGCTCATCGTTGGAACTGCTCAGTTGTTGGTGGAGCAGGCCAATCACTTCCGTCTTCTGCTGAAGAGCCTCCTCATGCGTGCGTCGAGTCTCCTCGCGCGAATGCACGTACTCGTCCGAAGCGGCTTTGTACGACTCGAGCTCCTCCATTAGGAGGCTGTGATTTTGCTGCAGACCCTGCACCTCGTCGTCCCTCTCGCGCTGCATTTCGCTGAGCTGCAGATCATGGTCCTTCCGCAGCACAGCGACCTCATCGGCGTGCTTCTGTTCGAGCTCAGTGAGAGAAGACTTCAGGCGCTCCTTCTCTTCGGAGAGGAGTTGCTCCGTCCGTTCCCTGGACTCGTCGAGGCTCTGATGATGCTGTTCCTGCAGGGCTACGAGTTCGGCCTGGACAGCAGAGAGCGCGCTCTCGTGTTCTGCTCTGAGGCGCGCGACCTCTTCCGCATGCGAGGCCATCAGCGAAGTACGTTGTTCCTCGGCCTGACTGTCAGCCGCAGCAATCGCCGCGTTATGAGCCTCCTGCAACCGAGCGACCTCCTCTGCGTGTCCCTTCTCGACCTCAGCCAGGATCGTTGCCTGCTGCTCCTTGACACTCTGCAACTCGGCTTCCATCTGCTCCTGCAATTTTGAACCCGACGACGTGAACTCCGTTCGGCTCTGTTCCAGTTCGGACGTCAGACGAGCAATCTCCTTCTGCGACTCTTCCTGGAGCTTGGCAACCATGTCGGCGTGCTCGGCGACATGCTTCTCCAGCTCTGTGCGGTGCGCCTCGTCCTTGCTGGCCAACACCTGTTGGTGCTCAGCCTGCAGCTTAGCCAGCTCATCAGCAAACGTTGCCTCCTTGGCATGCAACGTCTCCGTATGGCTCGCTTTCAGACGCTCCTTCGAGCTGCGGTACTGCTCTTCCTTCGCCTCGAGGGTCTGCGTGTGCTCGTCCTTCAGCTTCTGGATGTCTTCGGCGAACTGCTGCTCCTTGGCGCTGGCGGCGGATGCGTGCTCCTCTTGGAGGTTCTTCATCGCGATGTCCATCGCAGACGCAGACTCCGAGAGGGAACCTTCGCGCGCAATCTCGGACATCCGTACCTCACGCGCATGCTCGTCGCGTAGGCGCTCCATCGCGGTCGCCGCCTCGGATGTCTGCTTCTCCAAGGCCTGGGCATGCTCCGCGCGGAGTTTGGTGAGTGCCTCGTAGTACTCCCCCTCGGTCTTATGAAGGGTCGCGCTGGCCTCTTCCTCCTTCTGCTTGACCGCGTCTGCGTGCTCATCCTTCAGCTTTGAGACGGCCGCCTCGTGCTCTTGCTGAGTGTGCTCCAAGAGGTCGTCGACCCCTTGGCTGCGACGCTTGAGTTCGTCCTCATGTTCAGCCTTGAGCTCGCCAAAGGCTGTTACGTGATCCTCGCGCGCCTTGTCGAGAGCGGCGGAGGCCTGCGCGAGTTGCCCTTGGAGCTCCAAGACAGCACCAGAGTGTTCCTCCTTCAACTTGGCGACGAGGGCATCGACCTCGGCCGCCTTCGCACGCAAAGCGTCCTCGTGTTCGGACTTGAGCTTCTCGACGTCCGCTGAGTGTTCAGCCTGAATGCGTTCGAGGCTCTCCATGAGCTCTTTCTCGCGACTCTGGGCCGTCGCCAACGACTCCGCGAGTTCAGCTTCATGCTGCTCAAGTCTCGTCGTGGCCTCGACAAGCTCTGCCTCGCGCTTTTCGAGTCGCTCCAGTCTCTGCAGATCCTCGTCATGCTTGGCTAGATCCTCCTCGTGCTTCTTGCGTAGGCCTTCGATCTCATTCGACATGTTAAGAGTCTAGCCGAGGCAGATAAGCAGGCATCCTAGCTTCGAATTATGATGATGAAGCGCACCTGATCGCGGGAGAGGACGGTCAACTCCTCGAATTGCCTGCGAACTTGGCTGAGATCAGAGTTGAGGGTGTCAACCTTCTCACGATGAGCCGACTCCTTCGCAGCCATCGAACTGTAGTGCGGGAACAAGATGGTCATTAATCAAGACGCGTTAGGTAAAGGAGAGGGAACCGCTACTGACCGCATGAGCTCGTTGAGTCTCTCAAGGTTCTGGTCCACTTCCGTAGGAGGTAGGCCATTCTCAGACACTTGGATGTGAAGACTATGCCGAAGGTCCTTGAAACGCGACATCGTTCGCGGCGACAAGGGGAGGCTAGACTCGGGTACATGGCCGTTCATAGGAGTGACGGTGACATCAGGAGGAGGTGAGCGTTCCAGGTTCGCCAGCGCGACGGCTCGATCCTTGTCCTTGAGCGACGTCTCGAGCGCAGTGATCTCCGTCTCCCTTTCTTGAAGGACTTCCTGGAGGCGCATGATCTCCTTCTCCAGGCTCGCCACAGAGCGCTCGTTCGGCGAAATGTTGACACCAGGAAGCGAGATCGACAGGTTGGGGCGCGAGCGGGAGTGGGAGAGGGAGACTGAGCTACTCGTCCCGTGGCTTGAAGTAGAGGCTTTTCGCGACCTCGCTGATGATAGCTCCTGCGACAGCGAAACAGATTGCGGCAACGACCTAGAAGAGAGCGATTTGCCGTTAGTCCCATCACGAAGGCCGGCAATCGTGAGAGCGTACCTCGAAGTGAGAGATTCGCTGGACGCCACCTGGTGTCTGGAAAAACCCCGTCTCGCTGAGCCGTTCCCGTTCACGAGTGTCTCGCTGCTCGGACTTCCTCTTCCCATCCTCCTCCTAGGAGAAAGGTCAGCCGGCCGATCTTCAGACTCTGAGGGTGCAAGCGGGGCGTTGACCTTGGCCTCCTCCAGTTGAGCCGCCAGGTCTGCGATCTCCCGGAGGGCATCGTGGTACTTGGCAGTGACGGAAGAAAGGTCCGCGAGCGTCGCGGTGTGCGTCTGCTGAAGGACAATGAACTGCTCCTCCGCGGGGCCAATGCCGTTGAGCTGTGACTTGCCACCGAGCGTGTCGGTGCTCGCAGCGCTCCTGAGTGACGGCGTAATCGACTTCGCCTCGAGTTCCTTCCGTGCCTTCGCTACCTCGCCAACGAGCTCGTTCAAGCGTTGCCGGTCCTCGTCGGCCTCCTTCTTCCTCGTTTCCCATCCCTGCATCTTCGCCTCCAGGTCGCGTACCTTCTGCTCGCGCTCCTCGAGGTCCGTTCTCCAGCTTTCGCCGTCACGCAGAAGCGCGTCCAGGCGCTCCTGCAAGACTTCGGCCTCATCACGTCGGCGATCGCACTCGCGCTCCAGCTTCTCGACCGTCTCTCGCAGCGCAAGCACGGACTCGTCCGCACGAGTCAGTCGGGCTTCGACATCTGCGATGTACTGAGTGTTGTACGTCTCGGAGTCCTTGTATCGAGAGATCTCGCGCTTGAGATCAGTGATGGACCCGCTGGAGCTGACAGAAGTTTCGTCGGATTGTTTGACTTTCTCTTCCAGATCACGGATGTACGCCTGAGCACCAGTTAGCAATACTTCAACGACATCTGAGCTAGTGCGCGCACCTCGTTGGACGCCTCACGCTCCATCAGTTTCGCAACTCGAGACTTCAGCTCCTCAACATACAACTCGGTCGTCGAGTGCTTCTCCGCGAGTTCAGTGTACTCGTGCTCCTTCTCCTCATAGAGATCGTTCGTGTGCCTCAACGCCGCGCGGTTCAAGTTGAGCTCTGCCTCCATTGCGCCGATCGTCTTCTCATACTCCTCAATGACAGGACCGACGATCTCCTCGTACTTCGCCGTCCCGGACATGTTGCCCTTGGACGAGCGCTGCTTCTCCGCAAGTTCCCGACGGAGGCGTGTGAGCTCCTCGGTTCGCTCCACGAACTTCTCGCGCATGTCCTCGTAGTTGTTCTGGAGCTCTGCCATCTGCGCGAGCACCTTCTTTCCGGCGCCGTCAGGTATGTCGACGCTGTTGGTAGCAGCGCTGGACCCCGCAGCCGTCGCGCCGCCCTCCTTGAGCGCCTTGAGCTCCTTCCGTAGACGAGTAATGTTGCCCTGGAGCCACTCCAGGTCGTCCCAGCCCTCCTCCTTCTCGTTCACAACCGCGCGGTTCTTGATGTTCCGAGCGCGGTTCGCGTACTTCAGCGTGTTAACCGTCTCACCCACGTTCCACTCTGTGGGGCTCACACACGCAATCATGAGCGTGTGCGCGTTTCCACCCAGCGAGTCCTGTAGCAACCGCGTAAGTTTCGAGTCGCGGTACGGGATGTACGACGCCGTATGCGACTTGGCGCGCGCAGGATCCCCGAGCGCTGAGATGACATTCCCAAGGGCGAGCAATCCGCTGTTGATGGAGATACCCTCCTTGATGCGGTCGCCCGCGGCTCCCGTGCGCTTGATCTGTGCGAAGCATGAGCATCAAAGCGCATACAACTAGAAGCGCACGCACCCGCTCGGAACCAGCCAGATCGACGAAGTGGAACTTCGAGACAACCGTAACCCACTCGCCCTCGCTATCGTCCGCTGCATTGTTCGCGAGACCACGGTCCGGTGACAAGAGGCCAAGCGAACTGGCTGGACGCCCGCCTCTGCCAATCGCCGACTGGAAACTCGGCGTTGACGGCCGGCCGAATGTTGGTGACGATACACGGCTGGCCTGTGATGAGTTATACATGGTAGAACCAGGCCGCGCAATGCGTGACCCAGGGCGACCGCCCGGCGGTAGTGGTGATGAGGATCGCGGGGGTGGTTTCGAACCGGAGTACTTCTTCTGCGTGAGCGTCAGAGAGAAGATCGCATGCGAACGCGACGACTGCGCATTCATGTCCGTCTCATTTGTGCGACGGATCGCCGTACCCTGCTGAAGGAGACTGTATGGCTTTTAGAGATAGTGACGACTAGCATGTCAGAGAGATAACTCACCCCATGACCTCATTCGGTCCACGTACGCCTACTTCGCGCAGACCCTCCCAAATGATATGCCCCTGCTTGTCCTCTCGGATCTGGACCTGTTTGCCTCCGCCATCTTCCAGGTTCAAGAGGTCGATCAGGTCTTCGTTGTACAGCTCAATAAATGAGCCCCTCAGGCTATACTGCCATGAGTCTCCGCGCTCCTGCTTGAGCTCTCTACACCGCGCGAATATGGTTGATACGGCACGGGGAATGATACCCATACCGTTCGTCGGGTCGTTCGGATCAGCGTCAAGGTCGATGCCAGTCATGGTGAATGTCTTTCCACTGCTGGTTTGACCGTACGCGAGAATAGTGCAGTTAAAGCCCTCAATAAATCGAGAGATAAGAGGTTGGGCGGTGGTCGTGAACATGGCATGTTGGGTCGTTGCTGGCTGATGGACTTGATCGAAGGTGAAGACCTGCTTTTTGGCCGAGGGTGCGGCGGGTGCGGGTGCTCCCCCGCCAGCAGCTGACGAGACAGGGTCTATGGCGACGGTGGTTGGTGAGACTGCATTGACTACAGACCGTTGGAAACGAGCGGGGGTGGAACTGGTGTCCTGAGTCGTCGTGGGTCGGATACGGACCGCTGCGACGCGTTGTGAGCACCCTCAGTGAGCACCAGTGAGCCTGCACACTCACCGACTTGCACAGAAGTCGCGGAACCGGCCGAGGATGCTGGCGAGGGAGCCATGTTGTGTGTCGACGTCGTCGACCGCGACAAGCGCGTTGTGCGGGAAGGTAACGAATTAGTAACGCCGCGCTAACTTGAACGTCCCGATGCGCAAACACGAACAAACGCCCAAACTCGGACTTCACGCGCACGTTCTCCGCCTGATGGATCTGGTCTCTTTGGTGCCTACAGTGTCCGCGGCCGCAACGTTCTTGATGGCCTGTCGACGGAAGCGACGAAGTCGATGTCCTACAGCCTGCCTGACGACTTCGTATAGAGCGGTCTTTCACCACTCAGGTGAGGGGAACGTCAAAACCTGCGGCATTTACGAAAGTTTCGTTGAAACTTTCACTGAAACTTTCGTAACGAAACTTTCAAACGTTCGGAGTACAAATTTTGAGGTTTTGAAGTGGTTCTGAAAAGAATGAAAGTTTCATGTTATCGCCTAAACATATTTATCAATCTATCGTGTTCTCAAACTATCGTGTTCTCAAACTATCATATTCTCAATGAATCTTTCAATCTGTCGTTGCACAAGCGAGAATTGTGAAGGGAGAGATATATAAGGAGGCAGGGCGGTCAGCGACGTCTCTGGATGCCCACTGGTGCCTTGGGCGACCCCCTGCTTGTGTGCCGCCGTTGCGCCCGTCCCTTATCCACTGTCCTTACCGTAAATCCTGGGTCTGCTACGGGCCCTTCCGATCGTGGCCGCATTCAGCGCCGTGTATGTCGGTCCATCTCCTCATCGTGAATCGCTGCTGACGTAACACCACTGACAGTGCTTGACTTCGTCGTGTCCTATTACCGTATTTTACACGCGGTGGATCGATGCTGGTAGACTGGTCGAAGTGTCCTCAGGCTGCGAGGTGGTCTTGCGTGCGCGAGACGCGCTGTTCGTATGCGCAACGCGCGGAACCTCGTCTGCATCAGCTCTTGCACACGTCGAGGTGACCTACACGTCGTGTTCACGGATGCGCTGCGCTTCGGCCGCACGTGTCGGGTGAGGGACCCCCTGCCGCGGCCTTATCGTACGCGTTAACGTGTCGGACCCATCGCGCCGAGCGCGCGGTTGTTCGACCTCTGGCCTTAAGCTGATGACGGCTGCCGGTACCGGGCGCGCGGTCTCGCAGAGCTCAGTACGTACATATTCTGCGGACCGTCTGCAGGGGAGGTGTCGTGAACGTTTGAAAGGTCGACCGGACGCGAGAGGGACGGAGGTCGAGAAGCGTTGGGGCGAGGGTCGAGCATCCATGCTGCAAGACAGTAGGGGCGTGATGTAGAGTGTGAGGGCGCGTGCACAGGGATTTTGTAGCCTGCCACGGCGGGCGACGCGGGACGTCGAGGCACGATGTGCAGTGCGTGGCGAAGGGCGGATTCGGAATGTGCAGCAGCGGGCGGGAGCGCAGAGCCTTGGTACTCCCAAAGGCCTCTTGAGAATCTTCGAGTGCCAGCGCGACGCGACGGGAGATGGTGGTCGGCGAACAAGGACCGGGGAGCGCCCGTGCAGAGCACTGCACAGGCGCTAACGACTCACATGCAGTGCGCAATGCGGGCGACGGTGCGTAACGGGCGACGCGACGCAGTGAGGATGCAGTCGGCGGATGCGCACGATGGGTGGGCGTGGCGGCGAGGTGCGGGAGGCGGCGGCATGACGCGGCGGCGGGAGCGTGCTGCGGGCGACACGACGTGGCGGGGGATAGTGGTTGGCGGACGCGCAGCGGGCGGGGCGTAGCACTGATAGCTGAGTAGTGGAGCATCTGCATAGGACATCTGTCATTGTTATTCGGTGTAAAATAAAGTCCTTCGTACATACCGATGGTTGTGTAATATGTCTGGTATCTCACATGTTCATGCTTGCTGCTCCTGCGATGCTGTCGAGCTCTAGTACTGCCAGCAGAGCAACCCATCCGGTACGAGCAGCTCATCACCCGGCCTCCGCGAGGGGCCAAGGCAACCGTGACATCGTACGGACAGGCCGATACTAGTAGTATAGAGATGGTATGGAGTAGATGGGGCGGGCGGGCGGCGGCGTTAGGGAGAACGTGCAGCGCGCGTCGCGCGTCGCGTCCTCCCCGCGAGCCGCAGCCACGGTCACGGTCACGTGACTGAAATAGCACGGCCGCGCACTGCGAATATGATACCTGTCTGCACATCCATCTATCGAGTCTCAGGCATTGTGAGTGCAGAATGACTCATAATATGGCCTGTGATGACTCATTATTGTATACTTGTGATCGATCTGGTAATACATGGCGATTCGTACTGGCAGGGTTCCCTTCGGTGAAGGCTACTAGAATACTAGTAGAGATGGCCGACACGTGGTCTGACGAGGAGGAGGTCGACGTCGCTAAGAGACACCGACAGAGCTCGGATGGCGATTGAACAGCCAGGAGTCCCTCCTTATATACCGTGGATCAACCGGCTAGACAGCAGCACGAGAGTTTGATACTTTGATACTTTGAAAGTTACGATACATTGATACATTGAGTGAATACGTTACCATGAAAGTTTCCGAGGGCGCAAACGAAAGTTTCAGCGAGATTGATAGTTTGGATAGTGTCGTGAGCGATAGTTTCCAGAATGATAGTTTCCGGCGGCGAGCAAAGTATCACGTGAGCTCATGAAAGTTTCACGACGATACATGGAAACTTTCGGCGTGTGCGCAGGTTTTGACATTCTGAGCCACTCTGACAGAGTTCGACGCAATGTTGCATCTGCATCGGACAAGTCGGTGATTGTGTTCGATACGTCGTCGCCTCTTGCACATCAAGGCCGCCAATCAGCTTGGTTTGGATGCTCGACGAACAAGATGCGGCGCACATTGTCGTCGCCCTCGGTGATTGCCACACACTGCACCCGCCGTAGCGATGGTATTCACACATTCAGTAGTCATCGCTATCGTTTCCAGGGGCTGGACGTCTCGATGACATCAGTACTCACTGTACAGTCCCCCGAAACGAAAAGACGGGGCTACCGAGGACTATCGCCTCGCAATTCGTTCTGTTTAGATATGCTTTTCAATTAAAGGCTGACTACCACGACTCGTCTCCTCAAACCCTCGACCAATAGCGGTTACCAACTCCGGTTCAATACCCTGCTCAGCTTCGACATGGTGTGACAGACCGCTTTGTCTGTGTCTATGCTCGATCTGCGCCCACATTCACCTCACAACGCAAGGGCGATGAGTCGTGAGTATGTGTCTGCATTCTGATGGCCTTCCATCCATAGGATCCATCGTGCACGTTTCATACCTTCCCACCGAACGTCCTTCAAGCCGGGAATGCTCTGTCAAATCTCGCTCCGCGGCTGTCCTCGAAGCCAGTTGACCCGAGGAGAACCTTAATATCAGGGTTCATGACCACTCAGCGATAGTCCTAACGCCGCACCGAATATCTTCGACTTCACTTGTCGCCCTATCCCTCAATGGCGCGGTTGAATCAGTAAGTAGCTTTGCCTTCATGTGATTCTTCTATCCTAACATGACAGCATGTACTAATGGGCGGTGTACTTGTACATGCACAGGTCAATTGGTTGGTCTCGAAGTGGGGCGGTACGTATACGACGGCGATTGCGAGTACTCAACAACACCGGTCAGTGTTCAGCAGTTGAGATATCGACCGCCTGGTGATCCATTCGCGGCCAACACCGCTCGAACTGGACGGATTTGCGAGCGATATGCGGTCGAAATGGCCGATCGATGTTTCGCCCTCTATGCAGTACGTCCCTCTCTAACTCCCTAGCCAGAAGACCGTGAAAGTGCGGGTACTTTTCCACCGGGTACCGGGCGATTGTACACTATGCCGGCTACGGCAATAAGTGCCATCGTTGTGCTTGACTGGACATCGAACCTTGGTAAGTTACGTCCCTCGTGCCATCTGCTAAATGCCCCTTTGATAGGTTAGGAGAATCGCGCCTAGTGCCAGGCAGTATGAGATGTGGAGAGCATCGTCGCAATATCCAGCGATGACACAGGACCGATAAATTCCCCTCTACATGGGGCCTTACGTATACGGCACATACATGGTTCAATGAGCGAGTTAATGTATACTGTGGGCCACCATAGAACCCAAATCCGCTGGACTCGGTGTGCATCTCGAGTCTGAGGCTCAGCTACATTGATACGTGAGCCTAGCCTGAAGGGGGCATTCATAGCTTGCAAACCGCCGGTTAAGCTCATGAGGGGTAACGTCTAATCCTGATGCACCATTCCTGTAGTACGGCGTGCGAATGCTAGGCACCCGACGGTATCTCCAGTACAGACGAGTCGATCGCGACTACGTGCAGTCCTCTTCTCCAACAGATACATAGCATGTTTCCGAGCGACCTACAATCGTTTCATATGCGTTTGAATCCCTGATGGTTGTGATTAGAGAGGAGCAGGACGACTCCGAGGGACGAACACGCGTCTACGTTCCGTCGCCCAAAAAGGCAAGCCGAAGTGCAAGAAGGTTAGCGCCGGCCACATCTGCACCCGTTTCTGTCGCACTTTCGTAAAGCAGTGACATAACTCTGTCTTGACCTCAAAATGCGCGTGCAGTCCCTCCGAATCCCCACCTTCCTCACGACTTCCCACCATGTCCCTCGCAGAGGCCATGCCACAACACATCGTCGCGTCGGCGAGTAGCACGCCGACCTCGTCGAACCGCGAGTCGGCCGCACCCAACGCGAGCGCGAACACGAACACGAGCCCCAGCGCGAAGTCAAGAGACAGCAGGAGCTTCGAATTCACGAGGCGGAAACGATGGGCCGACCTGCTCGTCACGGAGCTGCGCGAGGCGATCATGCTCGTCCTCTCGCCGGCGTGCAAAGTGTGGTACTGTGGCACGGCGGTAGAGGATCTACTCGGTTGGAAAGATGAGGACTTGGTAGACGGTGACATTACAGATCTCATGAACGGTGAGCTGCATACATATTGTACGACTCGATGGATGTATCTGACTTATTGCGCGTGTCAGTGGACGATCGCCCCAGCTTCCGCAGCCACTTCCAAGAGAGCCTGCACGCGAGAGGCTCACTGCTCACGTACGCGCGGTTGCAATGCAAGAATGAGTTCTATATGGCCAGTGACTACTCGTCCCGCCCTCGAGAGGTGCTCTTCGAAATCACCGGCAAACCGCACTTCTTTCCCGACTCGGATGACTTCAGATGCTTCTTCGCCGTGGCAAAGCCCTACCCAAGTAGGAACACCGCGATGTGAGTGTGCGTGTAGTGCGCGTCTGTCATGATCCCTGAGCCATTCACAGGGTCAACACATTCCTCGAGCTGAAAATGGAGAACGAACGCCTGCAACAACGCGTCACCCACCTCCGCGCACAGGCTAAGGCTCTGAATGTGATGTTCCCGTCGGCCTCGCCCACTCTTTCGTCAGCCTCTTCTGTGACTCAACTCGCTCCGCACGTGTCCCAACGAACTAGTGATGGTTTGTATACTATCTTCGATGAAACACTAGCTGGGGGCACGAGCTTCGGCGGTCAAGGGCATGATGCGTTAAACGACGCAGACGATGACGGTTCAGACCCGAACGGCTCAAGGAAGAAGGTAAGCGTAGTGGGGCACTGCTCATCCTGTCAATCTTGACGTTGCGTGTCCAGGCGAAACGGATATTCAACGGAGGAGAACAACACGTCTGCCAGACGTGCGGCCGCACGGACTCGCCCGAATGGCGCAAGGTAAGTCCTCCGCACGCGGCATGTAGTGCAGTGTCTGAACACTTCGTCGGTCAGGGACCTGGAGGCCCCAAAACCCTTTGCAACGCGTGTGGTCTGCGCTGGGCGAAGAAGTTGCGTACGGATAAGTCGGGCGAAGGGACTGGTGGAAGCGCCGACGGCGACTCTGTCATCTTCTGATGCTTGACCCGCCGCATCCTGCTCCACATGTTGTAATCGGGTCGATTTCTTGGTGCTCACTACGTTCCAATACACGATGATCAGCCAACGTCGATGTTTTAAGTTATTGCATGGACATGGCGCCCCTCTGTAGCATACCTGTAGTACGCACCTTTTCTTGTCACGCTATCAATACAACACTGTTGTTCATTGCATCACATCTACAGACTCCATATATTCCGCCGAAAGAGCAATACAAGGTTGGTCTATATACAAGTTGAAGCTACATATTGTTCTGACATGCAATCGCTGCACAGTAATGTCCATAGATAGTTATGTGTCCAATTTTAAGTCCAATCACTCAATGTCCAAGATGTGGTCTGTCCGAGCCGCCACTGTGCAAATGAAGGGAGAATGTCGTGAAAATTGATACCAAGACCGCCTAGCCAAGCTGATGTAGCAAGCGAGTTGCTTCAGACGAAGCTACGTGAACTGAAGCTAAGACTGGTAACACGAGAAGGGCTTACCATGTTCCATGCTCTCAGAATCTTCTCGACTTGCTGACATCGGTACGGTAGCTGCCAAGCTCCGATGGGGCGGCGAAGCTGATACGACTCGGAGGAGGGAGGGTAAATGAGCCAGATCCCCGGAAGTCCAGAAGCGGTAATGCGGGAGGAGGTTCCATGATGAACGACTCGACGAATGTGCGGCTATCTTCGCGCGCGATTGCCGTCCATGTACGGATGATGATGAGGTCGAAGGTTATTCCTCCAAGTTCCACGTTCTACCGACGGCGCGTTAAGTAGACGAAGATAGCATCGAGACTGGTCGAGGCTGGACTTACGACAGATGTAATGCTGTAGAAGGCGTCGTTACTGACCATTTCCAAGACGGCGCTGATAACGACGGATAATGTGTACAAGAGCGCGGACTCCAGGAATATGCGATTGACGGTTTTGAGACGTTCCGACCCGTTTCGACGCTGCTTGGTGAGTGACGATATTTTCTTGTTGAGCGACCACATCCGATAAACGATCAAGCCTGTGACGTAGGAACGTCAGTTACTATGCATGCCAGACGAGCTCAGCCAACAAGACAGACCAGTGACTGAGATGTTTAGAAGGAGCGACAGCAAATATGTGGCAAAAAGGTATGGCCGGAGGGTTTTCTCGTGCGGTATCGAGCTCATGATGTCAAGGGTGGCCACATAGAAGACATCTGCGCTCGCGCAGATCGTTGCGCCGAGCCATAACAAGCAGGGGAGAGCAATGACAACCCAGCGACGTGGCTTCCAGTGGGCACATACGATCCAGCAACGATAAATCTAGGCAGAGTGACATTATTGGCTGCGATCACCGAGCGCAGCAGCACCTCCTACCAGAGCAGCATCGGAGATCATCACATTGAGGGAATATAGCACGCTCTGGAAGCAGGTGGTCAGCCTAGCTGGGGGCAAGGACATATATCGGATGATGCACTACTCACCCTAACGATATTGATCCAGAACGATACAATCTCGAATTGGAACGTGGCGCCTCCAAATCCCTTGAAGAACACGAATGCAACCACATTGTGCGACAAGTTCAGGGATACATCCACCGCGCCGATGATGAACAAGGCAGTAGCGACGACCACCCAAGGCCAGGACTTGGTATTGAGTCCGGCCATCTTGAACCGGCTGAACCACCTGTGGATACAGACCGCGAAGACAACCGCATGCACGCCAAATGCGAAGCTCTGCATGAAGAGCGAGACCAGCTGTGCTTCTGTGAGAGGAAACACCGTCGACGGCGGCAGCGCCAGCGGGGGCATCGTGGGCTAGGGACGGCGGTGAACACTGACCATCTTCGATTTGATTATATACCTGCAGTCAGAGCATGAGTGTCCCATGAGATCGTAAACCCGGTACGAGCACCGCTGTTTGGCAAGGCCATACCCAAATTGCCGTGTGGTTCAGAAGGAAAGCTATGTGCGAACACTTATTGTTGCATAGAAGGTAGACTCTTGTGAGCGTTGTCGGATAACACAGGGCGATCAGTGAGCTCCATCGGTGGAGGGTCGGGGTAAAAGCTTATGGGCTATCGACTACCCAGTTTGGATCCGCGACTTGAAATATACAATCCTATCGAGGGAATGCGCATCATGTGGCAGTAGTGGCGTTTCATCAGACTGTTGGGAGAAGTATACTTCAGTATTTTTGACCCCTACATACCGTACCGACTGTTGCTACAGCATTTAGATCCGCCGGAAGCAGGGTGAGACCGTTGTTACTATTTGTTCTGCGAGCAGATCGGCGTGGCCTTCATGCAGCGGCTTCCATGCGATGCACGCTACCGAACAGATTTCGCGGATGGTACCTTGCCCTCGTACCTGCACGACCAGAGATGACGATCGTATCTGCGAAGGTCGGTTGTCATTTCCATACAAGTGAAGGAGCGAATCGATCTATCGCAGCAGATGCGGGGTCGGTACGGCGCCTGGGACCAATATAGGACAGAGAACTTACTAGTAACCGTGATTGCAGCACGTTATGACCCGCCACCATGTGGCCGACATAGCAGGCATATCAGGCCACAACGTTACGCATATCATTGTGTCCTTGAATGGATCCGATCTGCTGGCGCTGTCGCTTCGATGCCAAGACGAAAAGTGCCGTGCCGGCGGTATGGCACAGACCGCCTCGATTGGTCCGAAAGTGAAGGTTCAAGGAAACCAGAAAGAATTTGTAACCGGCCTATGGCGAATATTAGCACGGACCAGTTCAGTCTCGCCGCCTCCGTACTTTTCTGGTCGCCTAGGCGAGAGCGAGGCATGGAGTGAAAACATCCACTCGTGGATGCTTGTTGCGACCATCATTGAAGAACATTGACTGGCTGAAGCGCTGAAGTCTGATGTCCAAGTCCGTATCACGGCGATGCGGAGCTGTTGTTCAAGTCTCTGCGGTTCATTCCCAGTACTAGTCAGTGCAGTCTTGTACACGGAAGAGGAAAGCCAAGGCTCACATGACCTCTCAATTCCCACCAATTATAGCACCCCCTTACGCATTGGGGCGATCCGACAGAGAAGAAGCAGATCAACGAAGTCAGAATGAGAGCAATATATACACTGTAATGACAGGTACAACAGTCTACTGCGCCGTGCGGTGTCAATGAGCGTACAAGGTTGTTGCATGGTGCGTAACTCCGTAATAAACGCTTGCCGATACATTATTTTACGAGAGCGAAGCGAAGCCAACGGCGTTGTTGTCGACCGAGAATGCGGTGTAGACATTCCTCATGAGCCTGTTCGCCATAGGTGTCAATCAACTGTTCGATGCCATCAGAAAGGGCAACCACGTACGTGTCACCGAGGAGCCAGACGTTGTCACCGAGCCCGAGGTCCTGGGCAGCGATTGCACCCTGGCAGTTGCCGTCAGAGGTAGTACCGAGGTTAAAGCTGTGCACATCAACAGTCAGTTGTGGACCCAGCATGACCACGTAGAGCCCTTACGTGTCCGAGGAGATCTCCCAGTTGTTGCTGCCCCACGAGAAGGCGATGGTCGGAATGGAATCGCACGGGACGGAGTAGTAGCCGTTCTGTGAGTCGTACTCCGACGAGCCGTCGATGGCAGCATAGAACTGCTTTACGGCATCGGGGGGACCGTACGCAATCGTGGTGCCTACGCACACGGTGAGCTCAGCCAAGCAACAAGACCAGTCCCATCGTCGCTTACCAGAGTCGATGATGGTGTCGAAGTTCGAGACTGCGGACTTGTTGTTGACGACGGCACTCGCACCACTGATCTGCCAGAAGCCCTGTGACGACGACGAGAGGTCGTGGTACTCGATGTCGCCGGAATACAGCGAATTGTCAGTGCCACCGATGTAGAGCTGGGAGTCGCTGGACGAGAGCTTGAAGGCGAACACGCCCTGGTCCACGGCCTTCTGGTTAACAGCAGTCCAGAAGTACGGGTCCTGCACATTGCGTGAGTATGGGGCCAAAGCAGTCAGCACCTGACGTACCGATTTCAGCTGAGAGAGTGACTGGTAGGGAAGGCCATGCCCATTAGGCCATCATTCGGCCCACCGACAAGGTCACCGGTCTCGCTGGTGACAGCGGAGAGGTACTGACCAGTGACCGACACGCCAGCGACTGCAACTGTAATGCAATAAAAGTGTGAGCACGGAGCAGCGAGAGAGATCACTCCGACTACACATACCGGTATCGGAGTAGATGGGGCCGGAGGCAGTAGAGCCGTCACCGTACTGGATCTGGAAGTTGCCGCTCTGCTCCTTGCTCGTCGAGGACGAGTTGGCATTGTAGGAAGCCTGAGACTGGCAGCCGCTGCAGTCGGAGGACGGGACCCAGAGGTCAGCAGAGCCGGTATCGAAGTCAATGGTGAAATCCTGCGCGGGCGTGCCAATAGACACAGTGCCCGTCCACTCCAAGTTGTTCTGCTGGTCCGTCAGGGAGGCGCTCTGGCGCTTTTGAAGGGAAGCGGGCAGGACAGCCAACTCGGGGACGTGCGCGCCCTGGTTGAAGTTCTCCAGACCGACCTTGCTGTCGATGGTCATTAGGTTCTGGCGGTGCTTGCTAGAAGACGCGATGGACGCATGAGCATGTCTGTTGTTGAAGGGAAGAGACGAGAGCTACGTACTTCTGCACCTTGACCTTCTGCCGGAGGGCAGCCTCACGGTCGAAGGAGCCATCAGCCTTGGTCAACGTGTTCCGCTTCTGGAGGGGAATGCGGATCCCGTTCTGGGTATCCTTGAAGACCGGCGAGGCGGAGGCGACGAAGGTGAGAGCGAGGGTGAGCAGAGCTGCCTTGGGGAACATGGCTGTCGAGCTAAGGAGCTGAAGAGCTAAAGGCTGAAGCTGATGTAGGAGACCTTGGAAAGGACCGCGGATGGTACGAACGAGGCGACCTGCTCTTCAAAGTCCATCGCGACGGCTTATATGCATCTTCGGCAGTCGTTTCATGAAGAAGCGAAGCCTTCTGGGGCGCACATGTCTTTCCGAACAGGCCATATGACGAGGACCACCGCCATGTTGGTCGAGAAGCTGTCGCAGGTGGTATTACAAGCATGCTCAGTTCGTGTCCAAGGAGACCCTGCAATTGGTTTGTGATTCCATGATTGAAATGAGAAAGGAAGTGAGCTCTCGTGCATACCTCACATCCCGCCGTAAGTGGGCGTCAGCGCCGGTCCGGGGGCTTTCCCGGAAGCAGGCATGATGGACGCCGCTCCACAGTAGCGTGTTCGAAGCGGTTGGAAGCGCGTTTAGCGTGCAATTCAGCGGTGAGGCAGGGAGGAGGCGGGACTTCCATGAGGATGTCTGTTGATCCGCTATCGAGGCGCTGTTGTATCCTTATGATGCGGAAGTCCATTCCCCGCACGAACGCGCATCCATCCGTTAGCCGATCAAACGAATTCTATCTTGCTCGTGGTTGTGCCATACCTGGTCAGTCGGGAAGAGATAAGGGTGTTTCCGAGAATCCCGGTGAAGCATCTCGTGCTCCCGTCTGCACATTAAGTAGATTGTATACGAGTCGAGTGTCGACGCGTGTCGATGCGGTGATGTTTGAACCACAGAGGGTCGCAGCTACCGCAGTTCAGTACCGAGACTTGGCGACCTCAGCAGTTGAGTTCAAAGTTAACAAACCACACGGACTGCCCCCAGGTGTTACTAGCTGTTACTGATGTCAATGCTATACCATCGACCAAAATGACCTACATAACCACATCCTACCGCAATACGGCGGTTGATCGAAGGCCTTGAGCGGGAGGGAGCGCAAGACACCATGTGGAAGACATGCTAGTAGTGATCATGCGCACAAACCCGACATGCTGTGTCATTACACCTGAGCATGACAACGGGGGAGCTGATACTTATTGGCGGTATATGGCCAATATGGCACAACGACGTAACAGAAAGGGGCGTATGATCTCTGCATGGCGCGGATCCTGGACGGGGAGAAGGTCGCGCCGCTACACAATGCGTAAGACAAGATCGCGCTTTCCACATTACGGCGGGCATCGTCGATGTCGATGACCATTGGTACAATAGTAGGCACATTACTTCAGCAGCATTCCACCAGCACTGCGTCCAAGCTCTACTTTTGCGACGAATGCATATGGAAATGAAACACGCCGACTCGCCTCATTTTGGTGACGTCGTACGGATCCTGCCACATGGACCACCATTTTGAATGTGGCTGCGGTCGACGCCTATAGGGACCGCATGCAACCTACATGTTCGCAGAGATAGACGCAGCGCATGCCGTTGCAGAGTCGCGCCCACGCGTGGCCCGTGTCGGGCGGGTCTAGCAAATTGCTAGGAAGCGGGATTGGGCAATGTGAAGATACAAGAGGAAGTCACTTACCATATGCCTACGATACATCTATCGCTCCCGTGCATTGTTGGCATCGTCGGATTGCCGTGCAGCTGGGTAGTGCCCCATACGCTTGCTCCACATATGTTCACGAGCGCGATTGCGAGATGCCCGCCTTCGCCCTAGTGACCCGGTCCGCACCGCTCACTCCTATAGCTCGGTCGGACATTGCGACCATAGATGGATTTTTGCTGAAGGCAGTGGGACTTGCTACTGCGATGGAGCTTACTGGAGACGAGAATCCAAGCGAGCATGAGAAATATGAGAGGACAAGGAGAACATGTTGAGCTCGAAATGGTCATCCGAAGTCTACGTCGATATTTCAATTCCATGCGCGCCTCACAGACTACATTGACAGTGCTCACCGAACACGTGCTACTTACTTATTCATCACGCACGCGGCACCACGTCCAATTGGAATTGGGCGATTTGGCCACTCTATCCTGGCGTACCAACTTCAACCTCAACATTCGCCGGCCCTTGCGCACTCTCAACCGGGAGACCAAGACAAGCCTGTGTCACTGCCCTCACCAGTGTCTCGGCGAGGCCTCGCCTACGGTGCTCAGGCACAACGAAAACGTTGCGGATGGCGACCGTATGCGGCGGTGTGATGCGTTCAAGCAGCAGAAACCCCATCAGTCCTCGATGCTCCTTCGTGTGCTGATTCGGTTCAGGATCACCTCTGAGTCGCTGATCCGTGTGGACGACGTAGACTGTTCGTGTAGCGATCGCCTTCTGCAGAGTGCTCAGGATAGCATGCGACGGCCGCATAGGTCCCGGTGAGTGAGCGGACAGCGCGAGCACAAGGGCTACCAGCGGCTGGGCGTCCTCGGGCTCCGCAAAGCATATCTTGTAGTGGTATTCCACATCCTCTTCGACGCGAGGGGTGGGATGCACAGCAGAGCGAAGAGTGTCAAGGGTAGCGAAGCAAGCGGTGGCAGTGAACGATGGAGGAGATGTGCGAAGATTGGGCCAAGCTGCCAGTAGGGCTGCGACCGCGTCTTGCGGGCCTACAAGCTATCGTACAGGGGTGAGATCGAGCGAAGTAGCCAGAAGCGCACATGCAGATACTAGGAGAGGGTGATGTCGTGGTAGGGTATGAAAGGATGCACGGAGGGGGTTTCGTTGTGTATGTTGCAGTCAGTCTACGCGTGCACATGCTATCAGTAGGCTGAACGCGCAAGACAGTTTAGAGGACAAAAATTACCTACATTAATCGCTCGCCTTCGAATGCGGCGACAAAGGAACGTTCCATGGGGTTGTGGACCGTCCCACCCGCGTTTGAGTCGCCTGCATCAGCATATTTGGAGGCAGTCGATGATGGGAGGCTGCCAGTGTCCATGACTGTCCCTAAGCCGAAATTCATGAAGGGATCATCGAACGGCTCTACGGCATGGACGAACTCCTGAGCAGACGCGAAGCAGACGACGCGCAGCCCGGAAGTGTTTGGCATCGTATGTTTCTTGGACGTCTTCGCCGGAGGGAACGAGAGCAGACAACAGAAGCTTGTCTTCTGTGTGAGATGTGTCCGACGGCGGGCATTGACAAAAGGCCAAGATCAAGTCCAGAATTCGAGTCAGTAGTGCGAGACAGCGCAGTTCGGTAATGACTCGACACAGGTGACTGGTAGTCGCACAAATTAGCTATCCAGGAAATGGCCTAGTGACTCACGCTCAAGTGCCCATGATATAGGGGGACCGGCGGTAGCTGCCAATCGCTGCAACCCAATAGTTTTTGAACACACCAGTCGGTATCTAGTCTCCCCTAGGAACTTGAAGACCTCTGGAACGGAGGGGAGGGCGGTCTTCTAAGGGTCGGCCCGTGCGTCGCTGTCAGTCGTTGCCAGTGAACGTGGGTGTTGTGCCCTAGACGGCTATAACACGAACGCAGCAGTTAGTTTGCTGACTAACAGGGTCACAGATTGAAGGGCGCCTGGCGCTCGAGCAACGCAAGCCTGCGCCACAATAAATACATACCTGCTCGGTCGGCGTTGGTCGAACACAAGCAGAGTATTGGCGGTCAACTGTATAGGGACTTCGCACACAAGCCCTGCACCTGGCGTGTACACACAAGGCATATCATGGCAGACAAATAGTTTGCCCTTTTGTGAGTATACCTCATCCTGTGAGCCGTAACATGCCTCGTGCTTACCAGTAATATCAGATCTCAAGTCGACCACTCGGAGGATGTCCATGTCAATTGCCATACGGTAGCGCTTCGAGTGATTGGTGGCCGGCTCAGCATACCGACGCGGCCCTGTACTGTAATTATTGTGACAGTGTTGGATACCTTTATGATGGAGTAGATTCGGCAAGGACTTACATAATGTGAGTACTAGCAGAGCTCAAGCCTAAGGTGGTTGAGAGCACTGTGAGTGAACTGAGATGATTGTAGTGACTCGGAGACTGGTCGGAGAAGAGCACGCCCGGGCCGCCACGACTCGACGCGCGGCACGCATTAGCGCCGATGAGGCTCGTGATCGCGACGCGCCGCTCGACGCGCCACTGACGCGTTACGCGTAGTAACACGTTACATAAGTCTTCCAATTCAGTTTATATACAAAGTACTTAGTACAACGGCGACAAGATTTTTGCGTGGAGTTTATGGTGGCAGATTGTGGTATTTGGCTTTCAGTACATCGTAATACACTACACCTTGACTACACCCCTCCAGTTCCGATGCCTTCGCAACGATGACGACGTTCACTGAGAACCTATCCAGGACAATCGAACAGTCAAGTCTTTGCTAACGACACCAGCATGTCATGTCTAGGTAGCACAGGTAGCCTTAATTTTCACATGCATATCCACAGACGACATGACCGCGCCTCCCAGCTCTCCGGTAGTACCTAGGTAGTACCCGACGGGACGAGATGTTACGGGCCGTGGGCAACCGCATCGCCGCCTGCATGTGCAGCCAGTAGATCAAGAAAAATACGTACCGTCTCACGCTTGGCGGTGCCACTGCAAGCGATCCATTTCAAGGCCCAGGCTGTAGATCAGCGAGTCGAGGCTACCTTGGATATCCTGAGTGATCGTGATCGAGTACATATATTGCAGCCTGCGGCGGCCGTGTTGTATGGAAGGGCAGCAAGAGGCAGCATCGAGATTCCTCGGTTAGCTGCTGTCGACACTTTTGGCCACACATCCTCGGAGGTGCCTGTGGAAGCGCAGGAGCAACCACAGGTCGCTAAGGTTGAAACCAATGCCACGGGAGAAGTTTGTCGCCTGGTTAGTGACTCGTTCCACTTGGTCCAACAGCAACGCGGGAAGGGGCCCGTTGACACATGTTAGTCGACGTAAGGCTTGCGGCCTGGTACGGAATCCTCGGATAAACCGGGGACGGCATTTAATTGTGGAAGGCCACCGAGCGACAAGTCAGTCGCAGGCAGACTCTATGTGACACCCGACACCCGGAGACAAATCAGAAAAATCACAGGGATTTTTATTGGTCTGACTTAACACGACCATTGCACCTCTCGGAGTTGTTATACCTCGCTGTCGGCTCCCTGGGCGCGTTCACTGCCTCGAAAAGTCCATGCTCACTGGCACATCGCTTGATCGACCTAAGTATCCAGGCTTAACGAAACCCTGTATCATAGAGTACTTGGGCCTTCCTCTGACCTTTCTCAGCGCTGCAGCCAGTCTAGGTCAAGGAACAAAGGAAGTTGCCACGTTGCGTAGTATGAGGATCTATGAGGATGCATCCGGCAGGACCGGTGTGGCGTTGGACAGCTCCTCATGGCACGTGATTTGCCACTTGATCGTCGGCGTTGCCCGATTTGGGTGGTCGACCAGGTCGATTCCCCGCATTCGTAAATTCATTACCCCTGTGATAGTCGCTTGACCCCACACTTTGCGCGAAACAGAATGAATCGTCAGCTTCTCTCGTCCATCTCAATTCTTTCACGCCGCACCATCTGGCAGAGGAGCCTCTATGCTCGCGCAGCGGTTAGCCATCGCCGGAACGTTTCGTTCTACAACTCGGATGTGGCAGGGTTGACGGAGGACCAGGCTGAGGTATTGAACGGATCTTGTGTCGCAGACGGAACAGGACACTCACGCAAGGCAGTTCAGGGATGCTATAACTGAGTTCGCACAGAGAGAGGTTGCTCCAAGAGCGGCAGAGATTGACAGAACGAACACCTTCCCTGCGGTGAGTTTTAGAGTTCAGTCCGGCCACTACGCATGACTGAACCATCATCCGTCTCTTTTGGCATGTTGCAGGACTTATGGGAGAAGCTGGGATCTATGGGGCTCCTCGGCATAACTGTATCACCCGAGTACGGAGGTCTTTCGCTGGGCTATTTAAACCACACGCTTGCAATGGAAGAGCTATCACGGGCGTCCGGTTCTGTGGCGTTGTCATATGGCGCACACTCAAATCTTTGTGTGAATCAGGCATGTCGCTCGAGACGACGCACATAATTTTCTGCTAATCAGCGCTGCCTGTCAGATACACCGATGGGGCACGGAGGCACAGAAGACGAAGTACCTTCCTGATCTGGTTGCGGGGAAGAAGGTCGGCAGTCTTGCTATGAGCGAGCCTGGAAGCGGCAGTGACGTCGTCAGTATGCAATTGCGAGCGACCAAGGTCGAAGGCGGATGGAAGTTGAATGGCAACAAGTTTTGGTAACCTGGATACCCTGCGTGCCTCGACAAGTCGTCGCTTACCCAGCATGGCGCAGGATAACGAATGGTCCGACCGCGTCAACTCTTGTTGTCTACGCCAAGACAGCACCAGAGAAAGGCTCGCGAGGCATAACTGCCTTCGTTATTGAGCGGAAATTCACCGGGTTCTCGACGCACCAGAAATTGGACAAGCTAGGTATGCGCGGAAGCGACACCTGTGAGCTAGTCTTCGAAGATTGCTATGTCCCAGACGGTCAGAAAAAATATCCTCTTCACTCCGAGGCGCTATCTGACTGACCGTATACATGCAACATCCAGAGAATGTACTTGGGCCCCTAAACCGGGGTGTCGAAGTCCTCATGTCTGGCCTCGACCTCGAGCGCCTCGTCCTATGTGGCGGTCCCCTGGGGTGGGTAGCGAACCGAATGGAAGGACAAAATTTTATCGGCTGACCTCCCGGGCGCTCGCTAGGCTGATGCAGGCCGCATTCGACTACGCCGTCGAATATGTACACGACCGCAAGCAATTCGGGCACCCCGTCGGGACTTTCCAATTGATGCAGGGTCAGTCCTCGAAAAGCCGTCTTCCCACGCGCGTTGCCTAGCTGACGTCTCTGTGTTGACCATCCATAGGGAAGATTGCGGACATGTACACGAAGCTTAACGCTTCGCGCTCGTACGTGTATGCCGTCGCTAAGGCCTGTGACCAAGGAAAGGTCAGCAGACGGGTAAGTGTTATTCCCGTTCATACTGACGAACCCTCCAATGGACCACTGAGCGACACGCTAGGATTGCGCTGGGGCGATTCTCTATTCTTCGGACCGTGCGGTAGAAGTCACAATGGAAGCGATGCAGATGCTCGGGGGTAACGGTTACATCAATGGTGCGTGAGCTTGATTCCGTCACGACTAACATCTCATGCATGATGTCCACTCGCAGAGTATCCCACTGGTCGTTTCCTCCGGGATGCGCGTCTGTACACGGTCGGTGCAGGCACGCAGGAGATCAGGAGGATGCTCATCGGACGTGAGTTCAACGACGAGTTCAAGCGCCGCTCTGCCTAGTCGGACATCGGTACCGCGCTCGCTCCGCGATTCTGAGTTGCCTTCTATCTACAGTGCTATGCGATGGGACTGATGTACGGATCTATGCGAATATCAACCACAACTGGACAGAACGGAACGGTCATTGGATGCTCTCGATCATCGTGTATTTTAGTCTCAATGCTGCTGTCTGTGTATCACCGTGCTACAAAACATCACCCAGACAATGCCCGAAGGAGCGTCCTCGCAATCAACAAGAACCGGCCGTCGGGGGAGACCATGTCCGAGGTTGATCCAGGGTGTATGAAGGACTTGCACGCCGGTACTGTATTGGGCAGCGTCGCGTCTGCCTGCTGGGTCTATTAGGCTCTCCTTTTCCAACAACCACTCCAGCAATCACTTCAGTCTGCCAGCCGTATGGAAATGACCTGCGCGTACTCATTGATCGGCGGCATGTTCAAACGAGGCAGGCGACGAAGCGTTGTCCCCAATGAGGAGGTAACTGACGTACTCCTTCAGGGTGCTGGCACTTCGACCACGACTCACTATATTGGCTTAGCATCGGTATGTGTTCATTTCAAAATGTCATTTGTCATCCGGCGTTGATCGCTGTATACATGTATGATAGCAGTCAGCACGCGCGTACGTATCCATTCAGCAGCTGCGCAGCATAGCGATCGCGATGATCCTTCGCATATGTCTTGCTATGGGTCGCGTATATGAGTGCCTACCCTGTGGCTACTGTCGGGTCAAACTGCGAGGTCATAGACAAACTGCGCGTAGGCTTGCATCATCCTGGCTTGCGTTGCAACCCGAGACCAATCATCTCACAAGGATATAGCGATTCCACAAATTACCCACCTATCGTGATGTCTCCACCGACGTAGTATCCTACACGTCGCCTAGGCGTTCCCGGACCAGAAGTCAGCGCCATCGGCTTTGGGGATATGGGTACGTTCCACTCCACAATCTCGCCAGCCGTTCCCAACCGACGCCTACCCATAGGTATCGGTGCTTTCTACGGTAAGACAACCGACAAGGAGCAGGCCTTCGAGCTGCTGACCTGCGCGGTGGACCATGGCATCACCTCCTGGGACACCGCGGCCATGTACGGGAGTAGTAGCACGTACCGCGATCATCGCGCACATCCCAAGACATCTACCGGCCACCGACGGTTTACGGCGCTCGCTGCGGCGCTTGTTGTGCTTCTCTTCTACAGGTGAGGCCACGCTTGGTTTATTGGTTCGCGGCGACCGGCAGGCGCTCGGAGATTCTCCTCCTTCGCGACGAAGATCGGGAAGGTCGTCCAAAGCCCAGGGATGAGCTCGACTTGGGCGGGTCCAGCGAACCTGAGGCCGTCGAAGTCACTGGACTCCAAACTCGCTCAAGGTAATCCAGACGACCTGGATTGACTTGTATTAACAGCACAATATCGTCGATCCAGACACCCCGGCTGAAGGTACGCAAATAGTATGTTCTCCTGAGTATTTCCTGATTTATCCTGTCCAGTCCAGTGGTGATGTAGACGTTGCGCCCATACGTTGAAAACAGTACAGTTCGGTGCATCGGTCTCCTAATGCAGCGTAGATGTCCCGAGCCGGGTGAAAGCCGTCAATGACATCGGAGACAAGCTCACCGTTTGTCAGATGGAGTACAGCCTTTCGAGCTGGAGATCGTGCAATCCGGATTGGCTGACGCGTGCCTGTCGATATTGTTGCCTACTCGCCTCTTGGCAGGGGCAAGGATTCAATTGTATCTGCCCAGATAGCTTAGGAGAACGTCTACTGACAGCGATATCTCCTGATCAGGAATGATTACCGGGAGGTCAGTGAGAAGGCCGCGCGCGGAATTACGACGTCTCCTCATCTGCGGATACTTGAGTACCGTTCAAGAGCCCACTTCGACGCGGACAATGTCCGACAAGTCATGCCACGGTTTGCGGACGAAGACTTTAGCAAGAAGCTAGAACTCGTCAACAAGTTTGCCGCCGCATCGCGGCGAAGTACGGAGGAACCAGTGGTCAAACGGCACTAGCGTGAGTCCTGGCAGCCCATCCCAACTTCGTGCATCTACCAGGCTCGCGCTCCGTGGTCAGTCTAGAGCAGAATGGGATGAACCGCAGAGGTCCGTCTCGGTCCGTAGGACGTCCGCGCACTGAGTGACGCTGTGACTCTGATACACATCTGCTCATGTGCCCCGGCATAGCGCCGCCCTGCATGTCGGCGGCTGCGGACCCAGTGGGAGAAATATAGGCGGTAGAATGGCTTGCACTTGCTGCGTCCGGTCGCGCGGAACGAAGGCATGTCTTGACGCTGCAATTCCTGTGTTGACGCGCGTGTGCAGATTTTGCTCCTTCCGGAAGTTCCCATGCATGTACTGTTGTATACCATGCGTATATCATGGCGTCTACCAATGTATGTCATGAGTCTTCGCCGATGCTCAACCTGTTGATTCCGCGGCAACGATGCAGATATGATAATCACAGTTGCCCACTTACATACCTGATGAGAGAAAGCTGCAGGTGGTGTACGAGTCGCTAAGCATGACCGAAATGCAGTGTTTTGCAACTGCCTCAATTACGTGCTGCATTGGCACGAGGGGACTGTGGGGTACTAGTAGACGGACAAAAGAAGATGCCGGGTGACATTCTTCCCAATGCAACTTACGGCGGACCTTCAGCTTCAACGCCGTGCCGAGGATGTGTCTCAACTCGGGCATCGGATGAAACAGCAGGAGTCGGCCAAGCCGGGGAGGCTGGAGGATGCTGGAAGGCGGTGAGTGTCCTTTCGACGATGTCAGCCACAAACACGGCCACGTGAATTAAAGGCCGGACTGCTTGGCACATAATGAAAAGCGCAGGTTCGCGGGAGTTAAAATGGTGTGGGAAAAGCGGGCCTAGCCAGAGTAGTTAGCCGATATCATTGCGAAAAAATGACGCTGATACTGTCATCATTGCAGAGACCGCACCGCGAGTATCATCCCCAGGCACGGTACTGGCCACACGGGCCGCTGTCGGGGAGTGAGCTTGCAGGGCAGCATGGGGGCGATGGAGGCAGCGGAGACGGCTGGGGACGTGATTTACGGCCGAGGGTGAGCAGGAAGCGGCGGATCTATCCGGGGGACCGAGATGAGCCGAGAAGGGCAGGTATCGACGGCCAGGGTTAGGGCGCCAGGGAGGAGCTTCGACAGCGGGGCGGAAGTAAATCGAGCGGTTCTGATGAGCAGAACACATCAGTGCGCCGCTTCCTGCCGATGTCTGCAACCGCATCAGCCAATGCGCTGAATCAGGCTTGTTCGGGGATACCTTTTCACTGCGCGGGACATGATCCGCTATATAGCCATTTCAGCGTCCCGTCTTCCCCATTCCCTCCTCGTCCCTGTCACGTATCAAAGCAGCCCTGCCAGCCATGAACGGAGAGGTATGCACCTCTCTCCTACCTTCTAGGCTTTGCATGACGTGGCGACCTGCAGGCCTCATCCTCGAGCGCAGCTGAGCTCAAGATCCACTTCATCATTGTTGGAGGAGGTGCGCGGCACGAATGTCTTGCGCCGAACGCAGTCTTACACATTGGCATGCACAGGAATCGCTGGCCTCTCGGCCGCTCTCGCTCTTACGCGCGTCGGGCATCGCGTGACGCTCCTCGAGAAGGGCGATAGCAAATCCAACGTGAGTGATCCCGTCAGGATTGGCGCGATAGGCTCACTCTGTGTGCACCAGAGGGGCCCTGGCGGTCTTCACTTGGCGCCCAATGGCACGAAGGTCCTCTTCCACTGGGGTTTGAAGGACAGCTTGAAAGCAGCTGGCCTGACGTCGCATCCTCTGCTCTTCTCACAGTGTGAGCCTCCGAGCTGCTGTGTGGGATTAACTCGGTGCTGAGCCACGATGCCAGATCACACCGGACAACTGCTTGGTATACAACTCTGGGATGACGAGCTGCTAAGAGAAACGCGGGGAGAGTTCTTGCTCATGACGGTGCGTGTCCTCCGACGTGGGGTGTTGTTCTGTGGCGCTCACGTTCAGCTGAGCAGCACGGTAATCTTTGTGAGATCCTCCATGATGCTGCGGTATCACAAGGCGCGGAGATCCGATACAATGCGAAGGTGGTGGACATTGAGCCTGAAGATGGCGCGGTGAAGCTGGCTTCCGGGGAGATCCTGCAAGCAGACATCATCATCGGCGCTGATGGCGAGCGGGGACTCTGCAGGCGTCTCGTATTGGGGCGTGAGGAGCGTATCGAGCCTTCGGGATTAGGATTGTTCGAGTACGTCCCTCCTTTCTCGGCACCTTTCTCATGCGCTAAGCATGTGATACTATCTGCAGTCTGCAATTTGGCTCCCAGACAGCGACGCAAGAGATGGCCCAAGAGGAAAAGCGTCTCCTAGAAAAAGTGCAGGGGGTTAGTCGAATATCTCGTTCGTGTGACTGAAGCCAGACTTTCCCCATAACTAGAACCCTGTCTACGTGGCCATGGGCAATAGCGCTGGTGCAACCGGATACCCGATTGTAAGTGCACTACGTCGTTTAAGCGCACAGTCGCGTAACTGACGTAGTTCAAGCACCAAGGCCGCGAGATTGCTTTCCATTTCTTTTTCAGGGCAGAGTTCCCGCTCGACGGCGGCTGGGATGACCCACCAACGGCGAAGCCGGAGCTCCTACGCCGACTGCCCGCCGAAATGGACCCCAAGTGAGCGTTCTCACTCCTTGGACTGCGTGAGAGTATGGACTGATGAACATCAGCCTGTATCACTGCGCGCATGGTGCACAGCAAGTCACACGTGTGGCCCTCAACAAGTACGAGGAGCTTGATGATTGGGTGCACGAGAGTGGTCGGCTACTTGTCATCGGACAGGCAGCGCATCCCATTCCGGTAAGCATGCACGTTGAAGTAGCCAGCGCATGCTGATCACCGGGCAACGTAGCATTGTGGTATTCAAGTCGCCTCGGTTGCGATCGAAGACGCTGCGGTCCTTGGGAAGCTGTATCACCACTTGACCATCCCAGAACAAGCACAAGACTTCCTCTATGCGTTCCAAGACCTCCGGAAGCAGCGCTGCGCGGAGGCGCTCGACGGCGAAGTATCTATGATCACCTTCATCACCACGCCGGACGGCCCTGAGCAAGACGCGCGAAACGCCAATATGCGTGCCAAGTACCGCGCTGGCAAAAACGTCCTCGAGGGCGACACTTCGGACGGCGGTGAGGGCGAGCAATGGGTGCAGATCCGCACGATCTTTGGCTACGATTGCGAGGACGAGGCCGACAACTGGTGGGTCCAGTGGGGCCTCCTGCGCGCACGCGCGAACAGCGACGGCCAGAATCGCCAGTCGCAGATGGGCGTGTTCAGCTGGAGCGATATGACCGTCCTGTCCGTGGACGAAAGCACGTCATGAGCGCCCTGCGCGCGCTGCTGCAAAACGCCAACCGCGGCTTCACCACATGCATACAGGATACACGCATCTATGGGATTTATGTGCCATCGTCTTCATCACCATCGCTATCGTTCAAATGCTGTCCATCTGGTCATTTCCTCGCACTACCACATCGCTGTAATTCACTAATATCCTGCATACGCACATGGAACGGAATCCACAACATTGCTATGATCTTCCCGCCTTGGCCAGGTCAACCATCATGCAAGCTCGCGAGATCAACGTTGCGCCATGCTCACGTACTCGCCGTCAGCGTGCGATCCAAGACCAAGTCCACGCGATCATAGCGCACGAACCAAACACGAACGCACACGGGATGCCCTGAGGAAGGCGACCCTGCAGTAGCGTGGAAGTGTGTACGGCATGAGCTCATCGGGATGATACTGAGGATCGGGGCCTGCCGCGAAGCAGGGGGCGGACCCGCCTGCGTATTTAGTGCCTGCGTCCATGGTGTGGCGGCTACATATGCGAGCAGCGCCCGATTCTAGATCCAGGCTCGACTGTGCAATGGTGGTCGATGCGCCATGCGCCAACGACAAGCGCAAGAGCAGACAGCCATCCGCGAGCCTCGACAATCGTGTGGACAGAATCGAGGAGTAGCATTACGACCTCATGACGCGATTGCCGGCATCATGCTCGCTGCGTCCGACTTTCCCGGGTTTCCCAGCCCCCACCTACAAGTCCCGGGGCTAGAAATTATCGACGAAGGCCGAGCACGCTGCTCGGAGGAAGCTTGCTCGCGGGAGTGCACGCCTTCCTGCAGATTGCGCGAAGGTCGCCCAAATTGCTGCGCCCATATTGCAAGTTTGGCGCCGCTGTATGTGCTCGATGAGCTCGGGAAGAGAGCTCAAGCAGCCAACAGGCAGCTCTGAGAACATGGACCGGGAAGAGGGATCATCTGCGGAGGCAGCACGCGGGTGGCCGTGATCCCGCGCCTGATGGACCCACCTCAACCCCGGACCCCCTGCCTATGTGAGACACTCGTCCTCGGCCGTCTCGCATCTCGTGAGACCTCCTAGCAGCTCCATCCGAAGGCGATGCGGCGACATCTGCAGCCATTCTAAGAAGAGTGAGGTTTTGGTGCAACTTGCCTTTCTGACGGCACCGGTTGCGTCGCGGCGGCCGCCTCCGACCTATCGCACCGGGTGTTGTTGACGACGTGGCGAGCATCGCGCAGAGTGAATGGGGAGGCGAACAGTGTGAAGCCCGAGATGCAGGGGGCGGGTGAAGGGCAAGCGCAAGCAGCCACGTCGGCGTCGCCCAAAATGGACTGCTGCCTCCACGCAGATCGTGATCTGGCGCTCTTCGGCATCCCCCGTGCCCCTGCCACCGCCAAGCTCGTACATATACGCCCGCTTGATCTCCGAGTCCCACATAGCCAGTACATGCAGGTACCTTAGTACATACTAGTTTCTGACAATCGCGTCTCTGAGTCCAAGCCAGCAAATTTGTGAACCCCAGAATCTTGACTAAAATCTCACGGGCGCAGCTTATGGAGGTACGTACTTAGTATCAAGTAACCCGCTAACCTCCGCATTGGAAGGAGGAGCGTCACTGTACCAGTGATTTGACGTTGTCCGGGCATCGCTCCAGTATTCGACCGTCTACATACAATCTTGCGAATGTTCGACAGTGTGCCTGTTCCGCGAACAATCTGACGAGCAGCGCACTTTCGCATAAAGGTACGCCCGTCCTTCTCAGCCTGAGGGTCAGGACGAAGGAGTTCCTCGACACATCATGAGAGCAATATAGTTCATTCATCTGGTACAACAACCGAAGATACATCTGGCTTAACGTTCCCAAGACAGCGATTCCCTCCAAAGACATCAATCATACATACGCACGCATACACGCCCACATACACACCACCGGCCACTTCTTCGTTCCGCACCATCGTACACACGCATGCACCGCGACGACGCCTCACATCTCCACACCCCACTCCGACACGCAGCAGAGACCGTCCAAGAACGAGTGTTCGTAGAACAGCCCTGCAAGAGAACACACAACCGCTCAGACAAACGTCGCGAGAGAGGTGGGCGAGTCGATACTCTTCTTGTACCCATGCCCGAAGTGGCGTCTGCCCTCGCCCCGTGCCTTCTGCAGCACGTGCTCCATCGCTTGCAGACCTGACAACACTCTCATCAGCACACCATCATACACAGAAACCCAATGCGCATCGCAAGGCAATAGACAGACACCCACCCTTATCGAGGTCCTCGAGCGGCGGGCCGAAAGACAGCCGCACAAAGTGGTGGCACGGCGAGTTGAACAGGTTCCTCCGGTGGGACGGGTTAATATCAAAGAAGATGCCCGGGATCACGATCGTCTTCTCCTTGAGCAGCTCCTCGAAGAACGTCAACCCGTTGTTGATCGGCGCGGGCAGGCCCTCGAGGTCGAGCCACACGTAGAACGTCGCTTGCGGCGGCACGCGGACCTTGAGCCCCATCGCCTTCAGCCGCGCGAGCACGTGGTCGCGCTTCGCCTTGAAGTGCCGCTGCAGCGAGAGCTTCTCCTGCTTCACGCGCTCGGGGTCGAGCAGGGGGATCGCGGCGAGCTGCAGCGGGTGGTTCGCACCGCCGTCGAGGAAGGAGCCGGATTGGGAGAGCGCGGTGACCAGGTTTTTGGGCCCAACGACCCAGCAGATGCGCCAGCCTGGGAGACGCCAGTTCTGTGGAGGGCATGAGTATCATCTTGTCTAATACGTTCAATTTGCTTACCTTGGTGAGACCGTCAATGATGACGACGGGGTCCTGAGGAAAAGTATGCGATTAATGCTGATGCACACCCTCGGGGAGTTTGCTTGCTCACTTGGTTCACATCCTCAATGAACTCCGCGCTCGACACAGACTTGCCATAGTCCTGATCGTTCTCCGGGTAGATATACCACGAGTAGAACTATTGCACACCATTCGATCAGTCCAAAAGCCTTCGTTTCACGCGGTAGACGCACCTCATCCAAGATGAGCGTCGTGCTCGTCTCGCGCGCGAGGTCGACAAGGGCATGCAGTTCGCCATCTCGGATGACCTGGCCCGTCGGGTTGCGCGGGTTTGAGGCGATAATGACCTGCAGACCCTGGCTCCGGATGTCCTTGCGCGTCTGCTCAATGTTGAAGTGGTAGTGGTCCTCTTCCTCCAAACTGCGCAATGAATCAGTGAGTAGTCGACGAACGCATCTATTGTCGACTTACGTAGTAGGGACAGGCACGAGCCGCCTGAACGCGCTGAGGACCTGGTCGTACGCGGTGTAGTCGGGGACTTGGTACGACTACACATCGCCTCAGACAACACACCATTGTCCACAATAGACAGCATGCTCACCGTGTAGACATCGCCGATGACCGCCGCGACACGCGACAAGCCGGCGCGCCCGCCGGGGACGATGCACACGTTCTCATACGTATATTGGCTCTCCTTGCCCTCGCGGTACGTATGGTTGTAGAGTTTTGCTACCGCCTCGCGGAGCTCTATCATCCGCGCCCAGGCACGTCAGCATCACGTCACCCTCACACTCCAACAAATGCAAACACGCATACGCACCCTTGACACCCGTGGTGGGCGCGTACTCGAGCGAGTCAACGGGGACGTTGATAGACGTCGGCCTTGGGGGCGCGTCGGGGATGGGGCCCGCCTCGGGCGCACCCTGGCCGAGGTTGGACCACTCGTGCGAGGAGGCGTAGTTGAACCCGTTCGCCATCGCGCGATCGGAACAGTAGATCACACCGGTGCTGCCCGGGTGCTGGATACCAGGCACGGTCTCCTCATCCTGTCGAACACGCGTCAGCAGACGTCTGACGAGACGCCATAGTCGTTGCGGGGGGAAGATGTTTCGTGAAATAGCAGCGGACGCTGCGAGGACACGAGTAACGCGGGTTTCCGGGTAGAGTGCGCAGCAGACCGTTACGAGGGACTCGGAGCCAGTCCCTGCCTTCCCCTTGGAATTGACCACTATCACAGGTCTACCGGCAAACCCTGGGAGGCAAGCACATACGGCAACTGTGTCCGACACAGCTTACCAGTAGCATGGCTGGTTCGAGCAACGTGCGCCTCGCCGGATTGGCTAGCGGTACCTAGTGGGCGCCGCTGTGTGCCCGCGAGGCCCGTATGCACGTCGAGCGATGTCCCTCCGACTGCATACACAGTCGTGTCCCCTTCCCACGAAACACTAAGCATGCAATGCAGACGTACCGGGTTGACAGTCTGGGGCAGAAGACCTCTGGGGCCATGTCCGGCAGACTCACGGAAGATCTGGGTGCATAGGTGAGCGGGTGCATATTCAGGGAATGCGAGCGTGTCTGCGCACCCTGTGAGCCTCAGACTGGCTTTCGTGGTGCATGTGCTTCATGGCGTCGTCCTTGACTCTGTGTCAGATATTATCTCGCGTGCCGCTGGACGACTCACGGCTTTCTTGAGAGAGAGTGAGGGCTTGGTGTTGAAGTGGGGGACGGGGATGGTGGCGGCCATGGCGTCGCGCGGGGGATCTAAATATGAGTGACGAAGTGAAGAGCTGGGGGAAGTGCGAGAGGAAGACTGGGACGGGGTGCTGGCGACGATCAGATTGGTGCACTGCCGGGCACGATGGATGCCCCCGCGTCGACGCGCGCAGCCTATTTTCGGACTGTCACGTGGGTCGCGTCACCCCACGTCAATTGCCCCCGGCCGCCCTGGCCTGTGCGCGCTCCCATTGGCTCGTCCTCCCCGGCCGCGCGCTGGCCCCCCTCGCGCTGGCCCAGCATCACAGCCTGACCAGCCTCACCTCCAGCGTGTGTACGGCGGCACTGCGGCAGGCCCAGACACGCCGCAGCCATGCCCAATCGAAGGGGCAAATGAGATGCTGCGCGGTCGACTTCCTCGGGCAACTCGAGCAGCGCTGATCCGGAGAATCTGCTGTGCGCCACCAATGTCCCTGCGAATAGCGGAAACCCGTTAGCGCAGCATGGAAAGCATGAAGCGGAGAGCATGCCATGAGGTCAAGGTGCTCTGTAGCCTCTTGAAGTGAACGCGACGATGATGGTTCGAAGGAATGCTTACCGTCTCTCGCAATGACGAAGAGGAGGCTTTCTGTACACGTATCCCGTCCTATTGTGGCCTCTCTAGTACTTACTTAGTACTGAAGTCTCGCGTAAGTGCTTAACAACCCATACATGCTCGACAGACTCGCGGCATTTTGAGCTCTCGTGCGGAAGACGCGCCCGTCGAATGATCCGCCCACGGGCCACCTCCCTACCAGCCGGGCTGACCATCTGCCGTCAAGATTCATCCGCCGACGGGTGCGTCCTCCGCTGGCCCTCCGGGCGCATCGGGGCCGTCGAGGGCCGTCGCCATGTCCGCCAGCGATCGATCGTTGCGCCGCGCTCGATCATGCCCGATCAATTGTGGGCCGCTGTGGTCGCGTTTCACCATTTAGCTATCTGCGCCGAACGTCGCAGGCTGGATGTGCTTGTGGACACAGAACTTGAAGGTGGTTGAGATCAAGAACAAGCTTGAATCACGGCGAAAGGCGGCCCATCGGAGATACGCGGTGCATAGAAGATGACCCGTGAGTATTAAATGAATTGTGACGCCAAGCAAGACTTACCCTGAGCTGTATCACAGACGCCTTCGTGAAGAGTCTCGCGAAGGAAACCCGTTAACCAAGACAATGTCGCGCATGGCATGTTGACGAAAGCCGTGGGTGTCCAGAACAGTGCCTAGCGAACATCATGAATTCAGGGGCCATCTCATCACGAGTTTGCGCGTGGTCTTCTCAGTGTTCCAAGGCTGCCGTTTGCATTCTGGAGCGACATGAGCTGCTACAAGCAAAGACCAGTCCTTCAGTCAGGCGTCCACCAGTCTAAGTAGGCCGTCAAGCACGAGTTGAACTCACTTCGAGGCCTTGACGAGGGGTATCTCGAAGGCAAACGAACTCTGGGACCCAGAAGGCTATATCATTTCCAAAACAGCTGGGAGTACACACATGTACCGCGTCCATCTCCGTATGAGCGAGGTGGCGCACACCCGCCTCAGGTAGCGATGTCCGGCGTGAACTACTGCGGCGAAGGCAGAACCCCGTCCTCGAATGAGCACACGCATTGTCATATGCGTGCTCGACACCTACAGACACGCCTGCGTTGACGAGCTCTCGAGCCAGGTGTGCTAGAGGCGCAGCTTCGACTTGATGTCGCGTCCGGCGACTCCGAGTCCGACTGGATTCGTGCCAGCGAAGCGAACACTTGCAACGGACTGGGCAGCTGACTGCATTGCGTGTGGAAAGGCAGCGCGAAGGAGAGTCGGCAGCGTATCTGTGATGGTGGCGACGCACGAAAACGAGCAGACGAGAACGAAAGAGCGACCTCCGCCACAAGGGATCTCCACGCTGGATGACTTGGCCTGTTCAACACGGTCACATGACAGGGTTTCGCCACTGTTCGCGACGCGTGCTACACGCGCGACTCGGACTTCGATGAACTGCATGCGGCCCTCCCATGAACCTGTTGTCGGGGCGACCAGAAGCAGTGGTATATGGGGTGAAAAATAATGAGATGCGGTGACTACAAGATCAATAGCAATAGATACTAGTAGCGCGACGACGCGGAGCAAAACACAGCTATTAGTATGGAGGATGTCGGCGACAGCGCAATTGGCAGACGGCAAAGCAAGATATGCGCATCGACAGCATAGCAAGTACAGGCGCGACAGAGCGAGCAGAACAACGCCCATTCATTGACTCGGACACGTCTCCCGATGACGCGTCAGGAAAGGGGCAACAGAGCTAGTACTTAGATGCGAGGATGAGCATACCCAAACAGGCTAGTAATATGGCCACAAACGTTGCTAAGGGACCATCTGGACCCTGAAACAAATTGTACGAGACCATGGCCTTTGTCTTCAACCACGCCGCTTGAAGTGGCGTTGTCTCCAGATTGTTCAATTCTGAACCGTCAGAAGTCCAAAAGCAACCGCTTGTCAGCATCTTGTCTACATGATAATGCAATATGCAACTGTATAGGGCGCTTCAGCAAAGTGGGCAAGCAAAGCAAATCGAACCAGACCACGCCGAAGGTCGATATTCTTTGGATCTTCGCGTCCGCCGGCGATAGCGCATGGCTTGCGATCGAGGTCATCTGCCGATCTCATCTGTCTTAGTCGCAGCGTCAAGATCCTTCCGCTCGGCAAAGTGCTGGCCATTCCAGGAACAAGGTCTTATATGCCAAGCCTGCGACATCCCAAGTCCAGCGATCAGCACTCCGGGGAGGAGTTCGTGCCAGTGGTATTTACTGCGGCTCTCCAAAGTACGCCCATCAGGTCCTTTGCCTTGCGCTGTAGCCTTCAGCAGCAACTATTGCTCTCACTGAAGCTTGACTGCATACCGGACGATCCAGTGCGTTGGGGCCTACAGAGTAACGGACCGATGTCGAGGGTTCTAGTAGGGCTGCTCAATTCTCGCCGCCCGTTCGTCGGTTCGTCGGGCACCTGCCCCGTAAGGCAGGTAGCATCAGATCCGGATCAAGCCCGGCAGATTCCCGACTAATCCAGCCACCGCCTACGGACAATGGCGCTCAACGACTCGTCGATACTTAGCACTGACCGATACGACCTTTCACCAGCCAGAGGACGAGCCTAGGGTGACTCGGAGCTCAAGCGCTCAAGCGCTCACGTCCTGGTTGGTTTACCGTCGCAGAGCTGTGAACGGCGATTTCGAAGTTAAAGAATGTAAATGTAAGATGCATTACATAACATTTTTAGCAGTCAATGTAGGTTATTGTCGGGACAGATGAGAGAGCGGCAGGGGAAGAAAAACGCGATGAATAGCCCGACTAGAAACGAGACTCAAGACTGTGAACTGACAGCAGTGAACACGCGCGTTAACGGAAAGTTACTGCTGACTACCTATGTGATTATGTAAGCCCACTGATAGCGAGCCCTCGACACTGTGTACATGCATCCCATAGCAATTGGCAAGATTCAAATATTCTGTGGGTATCGTACACATCCGACACCTCGTAAGTAATGTACAGTCGGGAAGTGAGCTGACCTGAGCTCGTTCTCTCGTTGGTCCTGCCGCTTTCGGTAGGCGGTGGCTGGATCAATCGGGAATCTGTCGGGCTTGATCCGGATCTGATGCTACCTGCCTTACGGGGCAGGTGCCCGACGAACCGACGAACGGGCGGCGAGAATTGAGCAGCCCTAGTGACCGAAAGAGCCTAGCGCCGGCGCCCGGAAGCGAGCGTGATCGCACCACAACCTGCCTTATCGGGGAAAGTCCAGTTTGCCTCCGCACCACTCCGCCTTGCCGCGGATGCTTCTTGGTGACTGTCCCGTTTCGGCAGGAGGATCTTGCGAAGATGTCGTTGTATCACCCTCCTTATGCAGTTGTCCACCGTTCACACCCTACGCGGTCCCAACTGTCTTCCGACGGCTGTTCGGTCGCGTTACGAGGCACGCCGGACTGACACAATGATATCGATGCCAAACGTCACGAAATCCCTGAGGTGCTCATTCTTATGCACATTGAGAACGGCCATGCAAGGGTAACCTCAGCGAGGTTAGTATGACATAGATGTAGTCATATGGGAAGAGCTGAAACACCTTGCTTGCTGTCCAGAACTCAGCAATTTTGTCGGTAGCCCCTATCTATTATCTATAAACAGGGACACGGTCATCGATTTTCCAAGGCCACTCAAAACCTTAATCCCACACGACGCTCTAGAATTTCGACCTCGAAGCGTACCATACCAAGGGACAAAGGATTGTACCGTTTGGAAAACGCCTCGTGTGGCCACCATGGAGACAATAGCCCAACAAAGCGTTCAATGCGCTCGGGCGGGTCTCACGGCTCGGCTAACTACGCACCCCTCGAACTAGCCTATGTGGTTCAAATTCACCTCCTATCCAGTTTCCCGGAACTTCTTTCTCGATGTTCGTCCAGTACGCCGGAACTGATCGACTGGGTCACGAGCGCCACAGTCCATGAGGGCTATAAATAGTCGTGGCCCTTTCTCCGCTTTGTTCCTCACATCCCACAGAGGTCCCTGAACACGAAGACTTCCCATATCCCGACCACAATGTCTTTTTACCACCCCTACGAATCGCAATTCAGCAGCTGCTACGATTTCGCGAGTCCCTCTGAGTACGGCCCGGGAGCTTGTGTAACCGACTTCATACCTGGGTGGGACGGCCTTTATTTCAACCCGCCGTTCCCAGTGCTGGAAGGCACAGAACTGTACACCTCGGACGCCGCTGCAATCCCGTTGCAGACGACGCGCGCGTACAACGGTGCGCTCGCCGCGGCGTCGACCAGCGCCGCTCATCTCTCGCTAGCCGGCACATTCCACCCCGTCCCGCCGGCACCGTCGGTTTCCTTCCATGAGCTCCTCGGGAGCTTGCCGATCGCTCCCCAAGTTCCGTCGCAGGCCTATTTGGACGTAAAGGTCGATACGGAAGACAACATCGCCGTACCTGTTGCCACCTGGCCTCAAGTGGCCGCGAGCACTAGCTCGCAAGGAGCGACCGTGCAGGAAGAGGAGCTAGTCTGGGACGAGCCGTTCCGAGTGGTCAAGAACGATATTCGCAGACGAAAGGTTTGTGAATGGCAGTCTCTCCTTCATTTCGAATGTTGACAAGGATTATCTCGACAGAGAACGTGTATACTCTGCAGAATAACCGTGAACGACGACTCACGGAGTCGCGACAGACACGAGATAACGTCAACACACCAGAGTCGACTGCCCCCAGAGAAGCGTATTAAGCCTCTCAAGTGCACCCAATGTCATACAATGTACGTCGATCACCCTTTGACATGAACAACGCTGACAGGTTTCCATTTAGTTTCCAGAGCAATCGGACCTCCTCATTGCGCAGACATCAGAAAAAAACTTGCAGAAAATCTGTGGCCGAAAATCAGGCTCGATAACACACCGCGCATTGTGTTCGTAACGCCTTTTCTCCTTTTGAGCTTCTCGTAGTTCTCGTGCTTGTGTAGTTGCTTTGCGATGTACGCCACTGCTGTCGTCATTCCAGGTTCGTGTTGTGTTGTATTGCTGTCGGATGTATCCTCTGTTTATTCTTAATGCTATCTTGGCTGTGTCCTGTTCGTTCGAGATTAAAAGGAGTGAATGAGTTTGGTCGAGCGACGGGGTTGAATGTTGAACGACTGCGCCACCACCGTGGCGCAAGCGTCGCCGCGTCGTCGCTCAACGTAGCGCTCTGGAGTCTGAGTCCGATCAAGTCGGAGTGATAGACTGCGTCAAAGTCCACGTGACCGTTCACCCTTTCAACGCGTACCACCATGTCCGTAGCCTCGCCGACTGTCCTCCCCCGTGGCGCACTCTTCCCCATTCTCCTCCCGAGACCGCCACAGCCGCATCCTACACCGCTGCAGAAGTATGGAAGACCAGGCCGGCTCAACAGTCGGCGGAACTTGCAGCAGGAGATGGACGACTTGAGTGATGAGGAAGACGAGCTCGATGATCTTGTATGCGCACGCATTCGCTCCCGGGCGCTGTTCACTGACGGACGTGCGTAGGAAGCAGATATCAGGGGTAGAGGATTCAACTTCCTTGTGCCAATCGGACGCACGTTCACGCAACACGAGGAAAAGAACGACGCGAGTGTAAGCGACGACGTTATCGAGCCTCTGGGCGCCCTCACGTATCAGACAACCGTCGACAGGGAGGAGAAGCTTCGAGTGATTCGGACGGTTCTGAGCATTCAGATGAGGAGGAGGCGTCTGTCATGGACGACGAGATTGACTCCGAGGCGGAGGAAGACCTCGATGCCGACATGGAAGATATGGACGAGGAGGCGGGGAACATAACTGGCGAGACCATTGACACTAACGAGGATGTTCTAGACGACTCAGACGATGAGGATAGTGAGGACTATGAGGATGATGACTAGTGGACCTCTCGTTGAATGGTGAGCTCTACCCCATATTCACACTCGTAGCGTCGACCGATTTATCCAGTGCTCACGCACAGAGACCGAGTCGACACTCCCATGATCTTGGCTAGCCCAACGCCACTCGCACCAGACGTTGCCACCGCTCATGCCATTGAACGCGGCCGGCACGTAGGATGGGTCCTCCCGATATGCAGCACCACTCGCGGTTGAGCGCACTGCTTTCTTTGAAAGCAACTCATCGCATGCCGGTTTTCTGTATGGACTACAGCACGACCATCAGGCCGACTATGGGGCGACGATGACAAACAGACTATTAGAGCACAGGTAGTGTTACATGTATTTGTCCTTCATGCAATGAACGAAGGGTCGAAAGGACCGAAGGCCTTCTTGAAAGCCTCAGCATCCGACTTATCATCTTCCTCCGATTGTAGACATGTTTTCCAATCGAACCGTTCTTGCATACCCAACAGCATAACCAACACTTGTCTGAACATCGCATCAAATATCAGATCTTCGCACGAGATCCAAACATCCAAACGCGCACTCACCGTCCAAACTGCACGCTAAACGGCGCATGGTCCCTGAGCAAATGCACCATCTTCCGCCCGTCGGGCAGGTCGACGCGGAAGTAGCTCCCGCGCCCGCCCTCGCAGCTCCGGAGCGCCTCCTCTGCGTCTGCCTCAAACTCGATGCCGTGCCGGCGGCCCTCGTCGAGGAACGTCGCCTCAACCTTGTCTTTGAGCTTTTCCGGGACGGGCACGATCTGCACGTGGGCGTGGCCACCTTTGGCTGAGAGCCGGCCGACCTCGAAACATACCGGTGCGGCACCGTGCTTGGCGTACAGTGAGCGTAGTGCGTCCTTGTACCTTGAGCGCGGGTTGTAAGGGGTTATCTTGGGACATGATGATCTGGTGCGTACCGGTCGGTCTCCTTCACAATGGGGGGAGCAAGGTCGGGAGGTATAGAGGAGTATGTTGGGTAGTGGGTGATAGGAACGACGAGGACATGCCCGCCTCCGGGCACCCTCGGTGCATTCGGGTGGTCTTTTGCTGTATGTGTAGGGATAATTTGACCCTTTGGAAGTGTGACATAGCACTCTGTGCCAATCGAGACGATTAGGTGTTTCCTATGCGTAAACCAGCTATCAGATCTGAGTTGCAGGAGCACAAAGAAGGGCAACGCACGCAAGGTTAGGATTTGACAAGCAGAACCAGCACTCGTCGGCTATGCGAGGGAATTGAGTCAGCGAGTACGCAGGGGGCAGTAGTCATGAGAACGTACGAGCAATCTCTTTCGGGGGCCCTCGTCCACGACCGCCGCCCCGGCCAGCACTGGGCTGATTTGCAACAGGACAATCCTGGATAAAATGGTTCTCACTCCCACATGCTCTGCATACGTAGCCTTCCTTCGGCTTTCGCCCCCCTGTATCACCAACCGCGTTCTTGACCGGACAGTCTCGTACGAAGTGACCGGGCTACACCATGCATCTCAGTCAATGTAAAACAATTTAAAACGCATATTACGATGTGAAGCAAACACACAGACCTCGTTGCAGACCTTGCAGATGTAGCCTTCTTTTGGTTTTGCTCGGTCCGGACAGTCTGTTATGAAGTGCTAGGTTGCGAAGGACATAAGACAAGGCCCGCACGAAACAATGTCGGACTCACATCTGGCGCCTCGCAGATCTTGCATTTGTAGCCCGCCGGAGGCTTGCCCGGCTCTCCATCTGCGACAGCGATTAACGAAATCGAAATTGCTGATAGGAAGCATCCACCCCTTACCTGTTCGGCTACGCTTCCCTGGCTGCTTTACGTCGCCCCAGCGGTAGTTCGCACCCTCATCCGACTCAAGCGGTCGCTTTGGCGGGCGCGCGACCTCTCCTATGAATGGGTTTTGCGTAGCGTTCGCTGGTCGAGGAGGTGGCGGACTGTCTGGGGTGACTGGCGCTACGCTGAACGCATAGAACCACTGCCATTATCGCAGCTGGTCACTGAAGAGACTCAAGTGTAGACACAGCCGACTCACTCGCTGTTTCTTGCCCTCCGTCGGCGGCCCGCCAAATGCGCCCAGACTCACAAAACGCGTCACGCGCCCGTTGTCCTCGTCCCACACGAACGGCTCACGTTCCCAGAACTTTGGCGGGCTCCCTCCGCCCGCAGCGAAGTGGTAGCGTGGCTTCGTTCTCTGGGCGATCTCGGCGACAGGGTCAACCCCAATGGACAGAAGAGCGGGGTCGGGAAGAGGAGCATTGGATGCATGGGTAATGGATGATGGCCAGGCGTTGCTGATGAAGATGTCGACGAGTTGGGAGGTCGCCGCATTGGCCTTGATGGCGGCGAGCGAGGTGTAGTTTTGTTGACCTCCGGGTTTTGAGGTGGTCAGCGTGTTAGACAGTAGTCTGTCTACTGTCTGTGACGTAAAGTAGGGCGAGGTGAACCCCTGCAAGGGTGGCACATCAGTGACGGCAGGACGCCTTGAGGGTGAATACATACATGCGCCGATTCAGATGCAACATATAGATTGGAATCGTATGTACCTCCAAGGCAGGCAATACGCAGTCCTTTCGGTGTCATGATTACTCCCGACTTGTCTGGGATGTTTAACGCCAGGTGAGCTTCCCGGAGGCGTAAGTTGCAGTGAATGCGTACGGAGTAGGTGCACGCCCTTTGTGAGTGCACTTCCAGTCTTCGCAAACTTTTCAATCACAGGAGCAGGCAGTGGATGTTCGCCTTGCATGATATAGCACTCGACGGGCACTGCAGCGCGCAACCTTGTTGTGAGCAGAACATGCGAGTCGGACGAACATAGCGTACGCGACCTTCCAGTTTTCCCTCCAGCAGCAGCAGCACCTCGTCATCCTCCAAATACGCCTCCCCTTCCTCCTTGGGCTGTCCGAAGAAGTCGCCGACGCAAAGTAGGAGGTCGAACTTGCCATGCTTCGCGTCGAGGGCTTTGACTTTGGTGAAGAGCTCGCGGATTGAACCAGCGGGCGAGCCCACAGTGAGACTTCATTATCATCAGTTCCCATATCCACAGCCTGTGAACAACGCTTACATCTTCATTGAAGCCATTGGAGAATATGGCTTCAGCTTGGCTTGAACGCAGGCGGAGAGGTTGCGAGTAGCTGTGGCTGAAGATGCGTCCGACTTGCCGGTGACCTCACATGAACAGGCCCCAAGCGCTCAACTCAGCTCGGTTCGGTTCGTCCCTAAGAAGACCAAGATCGAGATCTGGCTAGAGTCGACCGAAGTTCAAGTTGGCGGTAGTGGCCTTTCTCCTTGCCTCCTCATCGCTAGTGTACGCCTTGCGAGGGTCCTCGTAGAAGGCATATCGTTTCTATCACGCGACCTGGGAAAGATCCGAGATTTTTGCTAGGCAACCTGGCATGTTCGGTATCCGGCGGATGTATAATACAGAACTTGAAGGGCGCCGCGCACTGCAAGTCTGAAGGTGCACCAGACCGGGTCTGTTTTCCTCCCAAGCTGCTGCCTAAAATTGGGACCCCCTTTGCGCTCAGAGTGTTCGCTGTTGTACCGGGCGGTAAGCATCCATTTATATAGCGTTGTTTTCCGTTGCAATACATTCTATCAATTGTAGGGTCCTCCGAGTCGTGGCCCCGAAATAGACTACGGTCGGCCAGCTACCAGACGCCACCCTAATCATGCACGAACAACCATGAGTGACATGTGTGCACTGTCCATGAGATAGCCGTAGGCCTGCCGCTTTCCTTCCAGGAGGGAACGATCCCTACGACCAAAAGGCGTCGACTCTCATGTCGACCATGGCACCTAGCGACCTTCATGTGGTCCATCGTGTGCATCACACCGTCTGGAGACTCTGGACACTGTAGCATGCCAGAGCGCGCGGGCGGCTCGCTCTCAATGTGTCTTCGCGACTCACCCGCTCGGGAACGACGGTCGACTTAGCCTGGCGAAAGAACACGGTCGCGGTGCGCCGGTATCACAACGGATGGCATTCCCTTTCTAGCCGTGAGGTCTCCATTGCTACATTTCTATGACATCGTGCTTCCCGGAACACACCCTCAGCCGGTGCGAAATCAGACCTGCGTGTTCGGCTTGATCTCTCGGTCACACATAGATTGCCAGCAAGTCAACTTGCTCAACCCTCACCTCGTTCCGCCAGAGGTAGGTCTTGTATTCTCAACAACGTGCTCCACAGGCGCTGATCACCTGTAGGTTTCTTGGGACAGTGTTCCTCTGTTACATAGCCGTGATGCCGCTGTGCTGACTTTCGTTTTTCGGCAACTTGCCCTTGAGTCCCGAAATTCCAGAGAAAACGCCGATGCAGTGTGCGCTCCTGCGCGGATCGATTGCCCTTTTGTGTAGCAGCGCCAGCCGGTGAGAGAGTATGACGCTTACCGCCTGACGCTGCTGACTTCTTTCTAGGCTAACGACCATATATTTATTCTGTGCCAAAAGCTCATGTCGTTGCGAAGAATGCTAAAGCGATTCAAAAGATATTCCATAGGCCGGTGCAGGCGTATCGAACGGTCCGATTCAATCCCACATTCTCTGTCGCCCTGACATCTGCGATTCCATCAGCCTCACCGAAAGTCAATTCATTCAAGCATGCCCATTTGTATGCCACTACAGAGCCCGTGCCTTATTTCCAGCTCCCCTGAACCTTGTTCTCAATTCTATCAGGACGCACCGGCTGCGTATTCGTCATCCAGGAACGCACGGAGGCCTAACACCGTTTGTCTGTCGCGCGACCCACCGTTTACCGCTGCAGAGCTATCTGCACGAGTCCAGACTTAGGCTCACCGGGCTACCGGACCTCACCCAACAGTCTCCAAAAACCTCCGACACGCTAGGCACGCCTGCCACGTTTTCGACCAGCGGTGACGATCGCAAGTTTAAGATCTGCGCGGACCCGTAAGTTTGTTGCTGGCGCTCATTTCGCGGGACCAGCCCACGTGTGGGAAGGGCACGATGTTACGGATCGTTCGCGCACCTCCGCCAAGGTACGCTAGTTGCAGACATCAGCTCGATTTACTAAATCCACTACTATGAGGTTGCTGCTCCATAAGGTTCGCTGGGCAGTTGGGCTGCGAAGTTGAAAGCCATTCATTTAGCATCACCCGGCGGACGTCGACGGTGTACTGCTTCTCCCTGACGTTCTTCGATGCCCACATTGCGAGTGGACACCGCCGGCCTGCGCGTCCAATGGGCTCAATCCCTCGTGGTGAATTGGATCAATCGGCACCGATTTTGGTGTGTGGTCGGTGTGAAACTCACGGGGACCGAACTGGAAGATGGCATTCATGGGCATCACAGTAGGCGATATCGAAGTGAGTCCTGTTCTTATGGAGAGAGCTACTGTCCAGGCCAACGGTGCGGTACTGTGCCTGTGCGGATTTGGGCAGCGTTGTTGGTCGGCGGATGGCATAATTAACGATGGACGTTCTGCCGCCGGGAGTGCCTGGTTCCGGACGGCGAGCACAGAGAGCCTCCCGCTCTGGAGCCCAGAGACGCCACGAGGGAACAGGCACGGACGAAAGGGTGGGCGACGGGCCTGCGAGAGTTCACACCAGGTTCACGCCGAGCCGCGCGCGGTGGATGATGGGGCGCCTGGGAATTGCCATTCTGGGAACAAAGGGACATCCGGATATGGCAGGCAAGGTATTCGGACGAGGCACGCGGCGGCCAATCTGGCAACGCTGCATCTTCTTCGCTCTCTGCATTGTTCCCAAAAGAGCGAGGAGGGCAAGCATGTCTTCCGGCACAGCTCTCTGTCCCTTACCTCTACCTTCTCCGTCCGAGCTCCCTACCGCCGGGCTCGCAGGTTCGAGTGCGGCCCTAGATTTCCTCCTTATAAGGCCTGCTCTTCCGCTCGATCTCCTCACGAGCCCATTCCCCCTCCTAGACACTGCACCTTGGCACTCTATTTCTCGCTCGTCATGGTCGCCCTCCTAGCACTGGTCGCTTCTCTCCTCGCCCTGTCCTCCCAGACGGCAGCGGTGCCCGTCGACGCGTCTCGCACGAGCATCGCTGACCTCAAGTTCCCGTCTATCCCATCGGGCGCGTGGTGGTGCGAGTACTCGCCACCCTGGATCCAGGAGTTCCTCTGCTCGAGGTCTCTGTCGACGTCGTTGTCCACTTCGGTTTCAACGCCCCTCGGCACGGCGGAGGGCGCCGTTGACACGTCCGGTGTCGTCAGGTTCGCTGTCAAGTACGGCAGCGCGGACCGTTGGCAGCCATCGTCTGTAGCAACCGTTTGGGCACTCCCGTATGTCCTATTGCCTATTTTCATCTCCTCCAAACTCACGTTCAGCAAGGTCGGGTGCTTCCAACGCATCCGGGCTACCGCTCGCGTGCCCCCAGAACGACCTCGATGCGTCTGGGTACTCCGAAGACTGCTTGTCTATGATCCTCTATGTCCCGTCTTCCGTGACTCCCGCAAGTAACGCGCCTGTCCTCATGTGGTATGTGTCGCACTCTGTCGCATTTGACGGACACAATCTGATCGGCATGCCAGGATCCACGGAGGATCATTTACCTCCGGATCTGCGACAGGTGCAGGACTGGATGGTTCTGCTCTTGCGACCGCCACGGGGTCTATCGTCGCTGTCATCCAGTACCGTTTGGGGGCAGTAAGTGACATTCATGAGGTCGCAGTCGTTAGACTGACCATCTTTGCAGCTCGGCTTCATGGCCCCCAACGGACAGACGAATCTGGCGGTCAAGGATACCATCACGGCGCTCCAGTTCCTGCAAACGGTTGCGTTGAGCTTCGGCGGCGACGCGTCCAAGATTACTGTTGATGGCCAGAGCTCGGGGGCAAATATGATCAGGGCATTGCTTGCTGCGCCATCCGCGTCCAGCCTCTTCGAGTACGCCATCTTGCAATCGGACCCAATGGTGTGTATAGTTTGACACACCCCACGAATCATGAAGATATTGATCGGTCTGCAGGATTATGGCTTCCTCAACACCACTATGCAGAGCTCGCTTCAGAACTACTTCAACCAACAGCTGTCTTGCAGTGCTTCGGACACGTCGTGCTTAGACTCCCTCTCGCTCGACGATATCCTAACTGCGCAGACGTCCCTCTCGAACAACGCCTACAGCACAGTCCCTGCCGCTGGTCAATCCGAGCCGATCCGCCCCGTCCGCGACGGTGACCTGATCACCAGCCCCCTCGACCTCACCGCTCCTTTCCCGTCGCAGTCGAAGACTATCATGGTTACTAACGTCGTGGATGAGGCTATGTTTACAATCTACTCCGAGTTCCCGAGCGCCATCAGCGCCTCGTACTACGACGATGTCGTCGACGGCACGTTCGGCTCGGTCAGCGGCAGCCGCCTGCTGAGCTACTCGTCGTACGCCCCCTCGACCACGAACGCGGACGGCACGCAGGATGCGCGCCCGCAGCTGTCGCAAATGGGCACGGACCAGGTCTGGCGGTGCCCTACGTGGACGTTTGCGCGCAACTGGGCGTCGAGCGGCGGCACGGCGTACGTGGGCATGTACACCGCGGGCGCGTCGTACCCCGGAAACTCGGACGTCCCGGAGTGCACTGACTCAGGTTCTGTCTGCCACCAGGATGACATCGAGATCGTGGTATGTTCCCTCTACTTGGTTGTTTCGCTAGGACCGTCTCGTTAACGTGCGTTTACAGTTCGGCACCGCGCCTAGCCCGACCAGCGCGCAGTCCGCACTCATCACTGAAATTCAGGCCCGCTACTACCAGTTCCTCCGCACGGGCAACCCTAATTCCGGCTCGTACGCAACCTGGAGCGCGACAGACGGCCAAGCGATCAGCGCCCTTGAGCTCGGAGGCTCTGGCACCTACGCAGTCGGCGCGTGCGATCCGAGCCAGTGGGGCGACGCCGTTCCTTACGACTACCAGGTCTACGACATCTAGATCGGCCTGGTGGAACAATACTGCAAATGAACAAGACTTTCCTCCCTCATCTACAAGGTATCCTACGAACTGTCGCAGGATCATGGACCCACGCTCGCTATTGCTTTTGATGCATACCCTATGCCCTTGTGGTTAATCGGTTCTCATCTTCTCATCCTCCCGTAATAGGTGGATTATCGTCCGCTGCATCGGTATTTATTCCCCTTCGCACGCTTTTCGCATGCACATACAGCATGTTTTGGATCATTTTCTTTGGTTTGCGTGTTTTCGGTCTCGTTTCCCTTGGTCTGGCTTGGTCTGTCACCCTTGTATCCCTACGTGTGCCATTCGCACGAGCAGTCGTCACTGCCACCCCCTGTAGCATTTTACGGTCCGTCACGGTTGTTACGCGTCCACGAATTCTGTATTGCCCTTTCCTATGTTGTTGCAATGATATTGTATTGTGTTTCTACATTGCGATTCTCCGCAGTACGCAGAATAGGTGGTATGGGAGACGGTTACCTTGTTCAAAGCACACACAACGAATGTAATGCCGATAGGGCTTGACCCACCAAGGTCAGATGCAATCTGCTACGGGGATATTCAACATTCGGCTATAATCCCGAACAGTATCCAATAGCAAATGTACGAGTACAACGTCGTCAAGCAGGTTATAACTTAGGAGTAGTAGACGACAACACGCTCTCCAGTTCCGTGAATACATCGAAGTTGCGCTGAAGCACCACATCAATAGCAACCTGCACAACACGAGCCCTCAGCACGAAACACCCGGGTCCGGCGGAAATGAAGTCCACGTACCCCGTCTTTCTGAAACTTACACACACAGCGGTGAAGGCGACCCTTCGCCCCGCCCCTCGCCTCGTCCCCCTGGTAGGTGAGAACTGTCCGACCTTGTTCGTCTCGCTGCGGCAGGGCACGCGGCTGCACGACCATCTGCCCGAACACCCCCTGTGACAGGGCACGGATACGTTCCCGTTGCGCCTCCGTGTTCTTGTTCCCAGTGAGGACGTCCGCTAGCGTGGAAAGTAGGTAGACCTGCGGAGGCATGAGGACGATGTTGTTCGCGCGGGCTTCTGCGAGCGCTGTCTGAGGGTGGACGAAACGCGCGGCGATGACCTCCTGTCCGCCGTCTGGCGTCGGAAGACGTTCCTGCTTTCCTCCGGAGGTGAAGCCGCCGGCTGGTGCACCCTCGAGGAACGTCACGTAGAACTGAGTGTGGAATCGTCTGGCCAGATACATCAGCCCTGTTAGGGTACGGCTCCGCTTGGCTTACCTTGCTATGTGAGGCGGGGTGATCCACTGTGTGAACAGCCAAAGCGCAGACAGCTCTATCTCGAGACCATGCTGAGACAAGAAGTCCTTGAACAGCCGTCTCTGCGAGTGGATCTCTTCTCGTGCGTTGTCCATCTCTGCATGCGAGGGCCCACCACCAGATCCCGATACTCTGGACGCCAGCAGCAGCCCTGTTTCCTCGAACACCTCTCTGATTGCCGTCGTCCCAATCGAGTCGTCTTGCTTCTGGTCAAAGTTTCCACCTGGGAAGACCTGTTCTCACCGGCCCCTGTGTAGTTCTAGCACGGAATTCATAGACAGTGACGTACATGTGCGCCCGCAAACGACAACGACTTCGGATTACGCTGGACGAGGAGCACCTCGTTCTGAGGGTTGACAACGACCACACTTGCTGACTGTCTCGGAATAGATGGGGTCTTGGAGGCCATAGTTGCTAGCGACTTCCCCCCAAATGTCCCGCCTGGGTGTATAGAGGACTTGAATGCGCAAAGCCTGAGAGAGAATTGGCTCGACACAACAGTGTGCTGAACAACCTTCGCCGTCCGAGGGTGAAGAACAACGGCCTGCACGGATACCTGTGACCTTAGCACAGATGGGCGCATGTGTTAAGGCATGAAACAAAAGCCGACTGTTCGTGGACATCCCGAGGTGGGGTCACTTGAGCTGCTTGCTGTATGTACCCGGCCGCGGCCATCCGTGCCGCCGACGATAGCCTACTGTGTCCTCGATGGACCTGGCATTGAGAGCTATGCGACTATTTCCAAAGCTTCATGGCTCACTGCACTGGTGTTGCATTAGAACAGCTGGGTATAGACAACTTGAGACGATCGCATGAAGTGCAGTGCAAGTGCAGCCCAGAGCCCGAGCGCCCGCTCCGCAATAGTCTCCCCTAGGCAGACCTTACATAAAGAAGACCTCTTGGACGCTCCGCAAGCCATCATGATGCCGCCCCGAGCCTCAGAGGCCGCTGAGCCTACTTATGTGAGAAGCCTCGGCTTCAAGCTTCGGGCCTCTAGGAGTACGATGTGTGGTACAAGACGCTGCTTCTATGCATTGCTATCATAGTAGTACATGTGCGACCCTAATATATACAATCATCCCAATGTTTTACGTTTGCAGACCCGTACGGTGTTGTCCTACACGAACAAGCTTATGTCACTGCATCCTTCCGCAGAGCCAAACAATGTCCCAAGCGCGGGAGCACAAGTCATAGATGATTCCTTAATTCCCAAAGACTGTCCATGTCTCTAAATCAACGCGCAGGCGTCCCTGTCACGCCGGTGGAAGCCCACGCGCGACATACTGCCAGTTCTGTGTATGGATACTGTCAGAGCCTGGTGTTATCTCCCAGCACAATGAGGCTCACCTTGTGATCAACGTCCCGGAAGTCCTGGTGTACCGTAGCAATATGTATCATATACCGCGCGAGCCCGTCAAGCTCTCTATCTGCCCTGGATTGTGGGAGGCGCGCGTCTTTGAACGGCGTGATCTTCAGACCTTGACCCGGGTTCAAGGCGAAGTTTCTCCCCTGCAAAGGTCAGGATGACAGACGCACACGTGTCAAGGGGCGTACCAAGTCATCTACGTGGATCGTATTGCTTGCGTTGCTAGTCATAGTTTCAGCGATTGATGGAGGACAGCGAGACGACGGGACAGGTACGGACAACTGTGGGAAGTGGTTCCAGATGATCTGCAGGGCCTTGACGTGATGCTTATACGGCTTGCCGTCACGTCTTGAGAAAACAGAGAACATGCACTTCTTGTCAAGAACTACACCGACATCAGTTAACGTTCTCAGCGGCGTATCATGATAGCGGTTACCGAACGATATCTACGGAGAAATGAATCGATTAGGTGCTTCGTCGCACTGAGCAAGCCCCAAAAACATACCTCATAGGCACGCCCTCCGCCAATCATACCTAGTTCAGCCAACTTCGTTTCGAGCCATATCCAACTCGTCTGTGACCTGGGCAGGAAGTTCATCATTCGTTGCCCAGCGACAGCTCGATTAGTACGTACCACACGCAGATGTCATAGTGAGGATAGATTGCTTCGAGAAACTCGTGTAGCCGTGGCCTTGCACATTCATGCGGTGGCAGCGCTCCGGAGGTGAGAGGTTTCGTATCCAAGATCGCTGCAGACGTCGCGATGCCCCGTTATGTTCTCCCGTCATGGTCATCGAAGACACCAATCGCACGTACTATAATCCAGATCCAAGACCAACAATCGTTTGCCTTCTCGCAGCGGATGGATAATGTTGACTTCCAGTTTCTTTGTGCATTCCCGGATCTTCCGCTGATTTCGTTGATCGTGAATGTAGGCGCTCGCTGCCTCAGGGTTCGCAGAGAAGTCGATATCCAGATCGTTGACGACGTCAGGCAAGAACTCGAGTTCTGACAAGATCAATTGGTACACTCGAGGTCAGGATATAGGGAGAAGAATGAAGCACATACGTGAAGGATCTTTGATCTCCTGTCCCTGAGGCGTCCCAACTAGACTGAACTTCTTCCCGCTCGTAAGCTTCAGGTTGCCGCTGCGAGCGTTGGGAAGGTTCAGGGGTACTTCTGATAAACCAAGAACCGACATCGACTCACATAGTCTCCTCGTCTGGCGGCAGCTTTCCTTTCACAAGACCGAGGATCTTCTGTCGCTCTGGAGGAACATCTGTCAAGCTCTGCAACAGAGCCTTGAGGTCGTCCACCCTAGGTAGCGTTTTGAGCTCAAAAGCATAACAACAAAGGCGAAATGCGTACCTATCTGACTCCGCGATGTCCAAACCGAATGGCTTACCGGACCAGGTGAAGGATAGATGTATCCATTTCTCGGGTATCTCAGCCTCCGCGGCAGGCGGCGGTGCTGTATCCTGTTAGCATCTCTCTCAGCACCTTCCGTCTCGCATTGTTAGAGATCGTACCCACCGCTGCTGTAATTGTTGTCGCGTGCTCGGCCGTCTCGATGTTTATGGTCTCCTGGGGCTTTTGAGTGGCACTGCCAGTGGAAGCCAGAGTACCAGCAGCATTAGGCAGTGGGTTGAGTGATTGTAAGCTATCCATGATACGGAGTGACCAGAGACAGGTGGAAGTGAGGCTTATTGAGGGGTGGCCACAGAGTAGAAGGTCAACATATATATGTGCGCTTGTGGGTCCATCGGACAGTGCAACGGGCGCTTGTCGTGCAACACGGCTACGCGTCCTCACGTGAGTGTGACGGGGACGCGTCAGGCTGCAGTGTGCACCACAGTGCACCCCCGGTGACCCCGTCTTCGTCATCTGTACAAGGGATTGCTTCGCTTCGCTCCGCCTGGCCGGTATGGCTTGCTTGGAGCTTGCTCAGAGGTTGCTTGACCGAGTATGAGAAAACCGTAGGTGACGGAGGTTACGATAGTCGGTGTTTGCGCACACGTAGGGGCGACAATTTAAACAGCAGCTAAAGCAAATCATGAGGCTGACCGTGATAAAACCTATCCTTGAAAGGGAAGGTCATCAGATGAGTCAAATGTCGAACATAAAGGGAAAGGCGAAGGGAGCGGATGTGCATGTGGGAGATGGCAAACAGACGTCAACGAATTCACCGGATATGCGTATAATAGTAGTAATGACTTTTGCCAACCTGCGCACTGTGTGCTCATTGTCCATCAAACGCTGCTTGCTGAACAGTTATATTTGCTCCATATTCTCCCAAGCACCTCTAGATCTACCCCAGCATCGCATTGATATGGGCCACTAGAACGTGAACACAGCGCCGCTCTTGCGCTTTCCGAATAGGTACACAATGGCGCAGCTCATAAACAATCCAACCGAAATACCAACAGTGACCTGAAGCATCGCATAGCCGAGTGCAATACCGTGCCCCTCAGCATCGATACCACCTGCTTCGGACAGACCGGACTAATATCCACTGATCAGTTTCCCATCACGCGTCGCAAGAAACAGGATGACTCACCGGTACGAGGAACAGAACACCAGGAACCATGACCGTGAATGCCGTGCCTCCGAAGATACGGGAATAAATGTTCCCCAACATTCCAACGGCGAAGGCCCCCACGGACGCGACGATATCGGAATGGCCGAAGATGAGATGGCTGGCGACCTTGTTCGAGATGTAAGAGCAGATTGCAATTACGATCATGACCGGAAAGTCCCACGTCCAGTACGGCTGCATGTTCGCAAGGGCGAGCAGGATTGCAAACGCAGGTACGAGGATGAATTCCGTTTGCCAAGGGAACGGCTGCTGGTACCATGGGAAAGACGCTGGACGGTAGCACCCGTTGACGAGGTCGCCCAGAGTGAGTGTCGACGAGTTCGTAAACGTGAACGAACCAGTAAGTGTACGATCGTTCGGCAAGGAGCCATCCATGGCGTAGGTGCCTGTGTACGTGGTTGTGCTCGCCATCTGAGAGATGGATTGTGCCGTCTTGATATGGGAATTCGGGACGAGGAACAGGTAGAAGTCAGAACCGAATTGAAGACCGAAGCCCTATATCGGCGTTATCAGCAGGAGCTCTGTAGATCCACTTGAAGGATGCGTACCAAGAACAGGGTGCAGATGAGCGCGTAGATCATATGCATGCTGCCGGTAACAATGTTCTTGGTACCAAGCTCCAACGCACTGGACACTTCGAGGATTGTTATGCTTGACTGAGCCAATTCAAGATGAAGGACGTACAGATCAGGAAACCCGGCAGAATACCGACGATACCTGCGGAGGATATGGAAGTCCAACAGAACATTTCATCTCTGATGTTGCCCAGTGCCCGAGCGACGAAGGAGATGACGCAGGTAACTAGGATGCTGCGCAGGGTCTGTGGTCAATACCATGTCTAGCTCTCGCAAAATGAAAAGGGACCTACTTCCAAACGTTCGAATAAAACGTTCCACACTTAGTCGCCACCGTACTTTGGACGAGGAAGAGCAACAACGCGCCTCCGCCGGCGACCCACATGTCAAGGAGCGAGCCGCCAAAAGCAAGAGGGCAAATCACGATGGCCAGCAAGACAGCGAACGTTCCCTGGCAGTAGACATTGTATATGGGCTTGGCCTCCATGAGACTCCGCAGGCGGATGAGACCGGTTTTGGCGCTGATCTCGTCGTGGACGACCTGCCGGTAGGTCTGATGCACCTCGTGGAGAGCCCCGAGGGAGAGCTGGCCCCGGCGGTCAACGACGTGGCACCGACGGTTATCGGTCAGTGGGCCCGTGTGATCACCGAACTCGCAAATGATGACGGTGGGCAGGTGCACGAAGGTGCATCTGAGCCCGAGTATCTTGCACGCCGCTGCCAGCTGCCCCTCGATACGATGCGAGGGTGCCCCGAACTTGGAGAGCGCTTCTGCGAGCATTACGACGAAGTCCATGCGATTACCATGGGCTGTGAACGCAGCGTAAGTTGTGCCCAGCATGCAGATCCGTTACACTTACTATCAGGATTGAACAGGATCTTGGCCTTTCGCGCATACTTGCGACGCTCTCTATAGTCCATAAGGCGGATCCTCTCCTTCTCTTCATGGTGAATATCGAAGATATGCCGCTTGCGAATGCCCGTGAGCTCAGGGTCGTCTGGGTCTAAGAGACGTCCGTCTTCCTCATCGAGATTCGCGTATAGGGATCTCCTAGGCACGATGCGCTTCCTCGTCGAATCGTCAGAGGAGAAGCGCCTCAGCAAACCTCTGCCCGTTTGCTCAGCAGGAGGAGGCCGGAGCTTCGCATCGTCTGCGGTCAGAGGCTGGGTGGAGTACGCGGACGAAGGTGCTCGGATGTCGAACGGATGGCGGTACGAAGACATGGAGGGGAATGCCGGCGGGCCCTCGCCGTCGTCGTCCTCGTTCTCGTAGTCCCATGCACGATATTCGCGCTCACAGTGGACTGAATCGTCGGATTGCCGTGGAGAGTCATTGTCTGAATCGTCGTCGCTGCTGCAGTCCGAGTTGCGAGGAGCGTCGAGGTCGACGGGCGGCCGGCGCTCAGGCCTGCGAGGGAGCTTCGGTAGCTTGCGCCACTTGCGTTCCTCCTTCGACAGCTTCGACAAGTCATCGTCAGCCTCGACCTCGCGGTCGGGATCGTGCGCAATCTCCGGGATAGCTGGGAGGTAGAAGCCTTCGCCGTGCTGCTCGTCCCGGGCAGGGATCTCCTGTACGGACAACTCCTGGCGGAAACGCACGCGACTTCCAGTGGAGGCGCGACGACGGCGGTCGACTGATGGGGAGACAGCGTCGAGATGGGCCGATCCAGTCGAACCCAGGTCGCCCTCATTGAACCTGACGCGAGTCTGGCTCAAATCGTCTACAGCGTCGCTCATTGACGACCGGCGGCGAGGATTAGATGGGCGAGACATGCTGAAAGAATGGCCTGAGTTAAACAGAGGGAGAGGGAAGCCTGCTTCCTGTGATGAGTATGTCAGTCGAAGGTAGTACGGACCACAGGTTGAGTTCTTTGTGTATCTGTTGGGCGTAGACGTAGGATGTCAGCCAACTAGTAGGCGTAGTCGCAATCTTTTGTTTTGGCCGAGACTGCGTGATCCGTCAGTCATGATTCAGACAGCACGTTCTATCTTTGACTAGCCCCCGTCAGACCATGAGCACTGCCCTTTGTTATAGAACAAGTCATGTTTCCTTTGAGCAAGTGATATGAGTTCGAAATATCCAGGTTCGCTGGCCCTTAGTTGTTTGAAGGCAGTAGTTGACCAGCTTACTGAAGGCTGGGCAAATCACACTGCCTATAACCGGTTTGCCAGCTAAGGGCAAGATCTGAATTTGGAGTGAAGCTGTATGTAGCCCATCCGTATATGTATATAAGTCAGCGCCGGGAAACGGGTATGTAATGAAACCGGAACGTACCTTTCAACTGCGGGGATTGACAAGTGCACTCAAAGGCGCGATCACCCGCAATCAGTACTCAGTGATGAGCAACCTTACGAAACAGTCATATTCTACAAGATCCCAGCAAAGCTACTTAGAGTACAGACACAATAGGGCGGGTTGGCTGAAAGCTGCGATTGGTGATACACTTGTTGCACGACTCGGCAGAGACACGGATGGCAAATTCTCAGGCCGTGGAGATGGTATCCACAACAGCGCCGAGAGTAGACAAAGTTGAGGGATCTGAGAGTGGCAGTCAATGTGAGCACTTTTTGCAGATGGACTGGACGAAAACGACGCACCTGTAATCATGACGCGCGTGCGTGTTGCATTTCGAGGCGGCGTCAAGACTTGCTTAGCAGCATCGTATGCCCAACCATTGTTGGCGGCGACTAGAAGTATACTATTCAGAAGAAGCCATGAGTGATATCGCAACCTAACGCACCTGCAAGAATCTGATCGATGGGTAACCCAAGGTAGCGCTGTGCCAGTGGAGCGGAGATGGACGTGTACGCCTTGCCCAGCAACGCGAAGGTCTTGCTCCTGAACGCATCTACAAGAGGACTATCGGATCACTGCGCGCAACGGAAGAGAGGATGCTCACCAATGAAGGCTTTGGTCATCTCAGCTAGGACAGAGCCCAGCTTTTCGTTTGACAAACTAGGTTGGTGGCACAGGTTGAACAGTTCCTCAGCGCTGGCATAGACTGTTTCGTGCTGTCGGTTGTGCACCGCACTTAGGATACCAAACAAGGAATTCGAGACAGGAAGACGGAGGTACATGTTCGGCAACCTCGTCAGGGCATGCCGAGCAGCAGCACTATTGCCTGGATCAGGAGCTATTCGTGCCTTACATGGTGAATACTCACACGTCGTCGAGGATAAGATACGCAAGTATCAGTGGTGCTACGACATACATTCGCGTCAAGTCATTCCCCTTCGCACCCTATCTCTCTACATGAGCCTCGTCCATACGCAGTCATTGTCAGACGCACCGAAGCCTCTCCCCGCTCAGCTAGAGCAGCCAACTCGCGATACTGTTCTTGGGCAGCAAGCTCCGCAAGAGTCGGGAACAGGAGTTCGTAGGACGTTCCTTGTGGCTCTACGTCCGCTTCAGAGGCTGCCTCGGTCTGCTGCGACAATGGAGGCTGCTCGGCGGGTGGCTCCGCCGTTGTGTCCGGCGTGTCTGTCGCCATCGGGGTGGCCTGAGGAGGGATGGAGCTGCGCGCTGCATCCAGAATCTCTGCTTCAGTTGTAAGAGGGGGAGTTGGTGGGCCAGTCATATTGAGAAATGCGACGGTGAGGGATGGCGAGAAGGTCGAATACCACAGTGAGTCTGAGTGGTCGCGGTATGCGTGTATATATGGATCACGTGCACGCGCCTGCTTTATGGGCGCTACCGAGGCGCGTACGCCACTGGCGATGGCATGGCAGTAAGTACAGCACCACCGCCACCGCCAGCCGCGGCGCGCACACTGGGCCTTTCTGGCATAGCCGCCACTGCTACATCTATATAACTGTCGACTGCGTTTGCGTCTCACTCGTCCGAAGAACCATCGCGATGGACGAATTCCAGGAGGAAGAGATTGAGAGCGTACTCTACATCGGAAGAGAGGTGTCAGGTGTGTCGCATTACCGAAATTCCAGGTCTGTAGCTGATCATGGAGGACATAGTATTTAAGATCCCTCCTCTGAAGAAGAACGAGGGACACCGCGCGCAGGAGTGGGGTGATCTGGGTCAACCTCTGTGGAAGGGTAGGCTACGGATCATCGAGCGGTCAAGCGGTGTCTCCATCCAGTTCGAGGATGTTAATACCGGTGCGTGACATTGAGCTTGCTATGCGCGAGATTAGTTTACTTATACGCCTGGGTGAAACAGGGGAACGTAAGTCCATGTCGCCTTGCTATCCTAATCGTGAATGAAACATCGTGTGCAGTATTCGCGAAAGCCGACTATGATCCCGCCAAACCATGTGTGGAGGCTGTCCTCGACTCCTCCCGTTACTTCGTCGTTCGAGTGGAGGACAACGGTCGCCGGGCGTACATCGGCATGGGTTTCCTCGAACGCACAGATAGCTTCGACTTCAGTGAGTGCTTTCAAGCACATGCTCTCGATATCCCTGTGCTCATTGTGCCCTCTAGATGTCACTCTACAAGACTACACAAAGTAAGCCTCCGATCAGCGATCGACATTCAACCTGACACCCATCTCATCATTTCTCTACGATTCCTAGGAGATGGCGCGCTCGCATGAACCCACCAGATCCCGCCGCCGAGACGTCAGCAGCTCCAGCAGGCCCCAAGAAGGACTACTCGCTGAAGGAGGGTCAGACCTTCTCGATCGCAATACCAGGGCGCGCAAAGAACACCACCACTGCCACCACCGCCTCGAATTTGCTCGGGGGCAGCACGTCAGCCTCCTCGTCTGGTGGTGGGTTTGGCGTGCCTCTGCTACCACCACCTCCCAGTGCGCCCCGGAGATGACAAGACGTCGACCGGTATGGGTGTTGGATGGATCCTCCTGATTTCGAAATGTATCATAGTGCAACCTTGTGGAATGATAATTCCCAAGTACTGCAACTCCGACTCGGTCTCGACAGTCCCATTTTCCATGCGCGTCCCCTTATGTGCGAAAGGGATGTCGGTCATGAGAGCGATGCGATGTTGAGTACTATACAATGACGGTACATGGCCTCCGTCGTACATAAGTACTACTTAGTAGATGCCCGACAAGATCAAATTCTCGTCGATCACAGTTAGGCTTTAGTGCAACGTTAACGCGTTCTGATACACTGTTAGGGGGCGCCACAGTACATGTCACACCAGTGTTACTCTGCCAGTGCCGTGATGATCTGCTCCAGCTACTTCCTCAATGCGGCCTCACAAGGCGTTGATGCGGCAATGCGAAGAAGGCTGATGGCAGTGCACGGAACGCTGTATACATAAGTATGGGGCTCAGACGACCATGATGCCACGGCATTGAGGGAATCGCCGGTCTTCAGAGCTTCAGACCGCACTGCAGTGTGCACGCAAACGCTGTACTACAGCCAAAAGGTACGTACTTGCACCTTGTTTAGATCCCTAACTACGACCAACGTGCTCAATATCTATGCGCACCCAGATGTCTACCAGTACTACTACCCAGGCCCAAGGGCCGATCCCTGTAGACCAAGAAACGCTTCCCTGGCCATTCGACATCGCGCGCTCAACAGGGACGACCTACAGGCCTCTTCTCGCTGCCATCCTCGCCACGGACACCCTGCCCACCGTCCCCGTTGCGCCCGACGGGGGGTTCCAAGCCATCGGGGAATACCTCCGCAGCGGCGAGTATTTGATGGACGCGGAGGACCGCTCGCTCGAGCGGATCACGTTCTGGGTGTGCCCTGCTGGCACGGCGGGGCTGTTCCACGAGGCGGAGGGCGGCGAGGTGAAGGAGCATGGGCTGCTGGTCACAGTTGAGCGAGGGGCGAAGGTGGACGATGTGGTAGAGGCGGTGAAGGGTGCGTTCGTGGAGGAGGGCACGGCGCATGTACACGTCCCTGCTGTTTGACATGCCCCAAAGAGCCTGAACGACAGGTACGATGTATGTGGCATATCCTTGAGCAGAAACACGTTCACGCCCGCCGTTGTGTGTCAGCGCGACTTCGGCGCCACGATAGGATCCAGCAGGGCAGCGACCTGCTCATACACAGTGAACAAGATCCCACCGCTGAATATCGTCCTCCCCAGCCTCATCGCCGTCCCGCGCCAAAAGCCCTTCACGCCGTCGTCCGCCAGTATGCTCCTGAACGCCTCCATCGTCGTCGCGCCGCGCGCGCTCTGCGAGCGCGTCTTGATCGTGTCGAACGGCTGCGTCGCGTACGTCGTCACGATACCCGCAATGGAGCCGTTCGCGAAGTTCGTGGCGACGCTCTGCTCGACGTACCGCGTGTTCTCGAAGTCCTTGAGGATGTTGTAGGTCCCCATGCGGAAGGCCGTCGCGCCTGCCTGCTTGAGCGTCGTGCCTGCGAAGCCGCGGTAGAGCGCGAAAAAGCCGTGCTCTTGGTAGAGGACCCGGACTGCGTGCAAGCCTGACCGGAACCTCTTCTCTCCTCTGGCGTCGTCGATGAGAGCAGTCTTGATGCGCTCGGTAGGTGTGACGGCGAAGATGCTCGCAACCACTCCAGCGGTCATACCCGCAAGCATGTTGCGCATGGGTGTAAGTGCGCCTGTCTCCGTATCCTTGTATGCATTCTTGATCGCGTCGAAGGAGAGGAAGCGTATGGCATCCTTGCCCATGGAGCCGATGATGAGACTCGAACATCCCTTGTACAGCGCACGCGTGCCTTCCTTCCGGAAGACTTCGCTAACCACAAGAAAGGGATTGCGAGGTCGTGGGTGTGCGGGGTCGCTATGCAGCTGGACTCGCGTCTTGGCGAACTCGAATGGGTATGTTGCTGCGGCCTCGACCCCGCCAGCCACAGCTCCCGCGACGAGCGACACTGTTGGCGGTACCTGCTTTGACTCGTTCGCAGACATAGTATGACCTAGTTGACGCGCAGGATAGAATCGTCGTGGTATGGGATCTGCCAGTGCGAGCCAGCCCGATCAGGAATTAACTGGCCCATGATCGACTGGCTACTATAAAGCTTACCTCCTAGTGCTCGATTTCTACTTAGCTGTCCAATTGATTTGCGGTCAAGTCGTGACGGAAATGGGAAGTCGTGTGACGGGGTATACTGGTTAGCGGGTTGTGGCAGCGCTGCGAGCACCAAAATCACCACTGTGGCTCGAGCTTGGACTTGTCCGTACCCCGGTGACGTCATTGGCGTATGTACTGATTTCGTTCCAAACATAGTAAGCATCGTCGAGGGACTCAGCCACCCTCAGGCAGGCTACGGGTCATTAATGTGGTGCTACTGACTGCGATGTTCTCAGCATCTCGGTTCATGCGACTCCTATACCGGTCAACTAGTGCTCTATCAGTTAGGTGAGGAACCAGTCATTGAACAGTACCGTGATTGAGGCTGACAATTATAGTTGCAGACAATTTAGGCGCAGGCAGATAGACGTAGTGACGGCTCTGTCAATACCTCACCCCTTCAGCCTCGTGGCATTGTCGCGAAATGAATAGAGAGGGTACAAGCAAAATCATACTACCTTCTGTGTCGCTCGCCGCAGGAGGCATTGGCGGCGCGGTCGAGGCAGCCGTCACGTACCCGCTCGAGTTCGCCAAGACGCGAATGCAGCTAGGCACTGTGAAGACCCGCAACCCCTTCGTCGTCATCAATCATGTCGTCCGCACCGAAGGGCTGCCCGCCCTCTACAAGGGCTTCCCTAACGTCATCCTCGGCTCCATGGGAAAGAACGCGATCCGCTTCGTCTCCTTCGACGCCATCAAGAACGTATGGAAGGACGCCGAGACCGGCGAGCTCACGCCCACGCGGAGCCTGCTCGCAGGCATGACTGCTGGGGTCGTCACCAGCATCTTCGCGGTGACGCCGACGCAACGAATCAAGACCGCACTCATTGACGATGGCGGGGGCGAGCGAAGATTCCGCTCCGGCTTGCACGCCGCAAGGGTTATGTACCAGGAGCGCGGGCTCGCCGCGCTCTACTACGGGTTCAGCGGCACAACGTTGAAAGCGATATCCGCGACAGGGGTCCGGATGGGCACGTACAACATCCTCAAGGACTACGAGCATTCGAGGAACATCCAGCCGAAGATGTCCACGAGCTTCATGAATGGAGCTGTGGCGGGATTTGTGACGACGTATGCCACGCAGCCATTCGATACCCTTAAGACGCGCTGTCAGACGTCAAATGGCGCGTCGACGGTGGAGGCGTTCAGGAATATCATGGCGGACGGCGGGATCAGGGTGTTCTGGAGTGGAAGCATAGTCAGGCTGGGCCGGACGATCCTCAGTGGTGGAATCTTGTTCACTGTCTACGAGAAAATCGCGGCTGCTATGCCCCCACTTTTAGGTGCCAAATGACATTCGTTCCGAATCGTCATATGTAACTTGTAGCCGCGCGACGCTGTAGTGGCGAACTAATGTGACAAACGTCTGTGATTCAGGAACGACAATGGTGCAACTACATAATTGAAGGATCACCTAACATATTGCACATCACCGTCTATAGAAGTGGTCTTGCCATGACTTTCGGCACTGGCATTGTCCATGCTGGTGATTGTGCTTTGCAACGCATCCCATGTTTTTGTTTTCCAGACAGTCCAGCGCGGGCACCTGGTGTACCAGTGTGACGAATGATCAACAGAACGGAACGGCACGGCACTAGACGATAGCCACATCAAACTGGCAGCCGCGACGCCATGGCACGAGCATGTGGGCGGCAACAGATCGCGGCGGTCCTGAACTTGCTTTGAGTTGTTGAAAAACATTTGGGTCGTCTTAGCATCATGACTGTGTCACTAAACGGAGTGATATGATACCTTAGTGTAGGTTACATTCGCGCTGAAGCCGTGCTATGTATCAAGCCAGAATGACGGAGACGCAATGAGATCGCCACACTATGCATGCTCAGTCAAATGTTCCATCTGCCTGCCATGAGAATCCTATATTGCCCATGAAGGATCGTACAGAGGTGGTTGTGTCGCAGGCCCTGCGTCCCGCTCGTGTATCTGCGACCCGATCGTCTCATACAGATTGGAGTCCCTCGGTCTCAACACCAGAGTAGTTGTTTGTGTTTCGCCCATGCGTGATGTGTTGCTTACGGGGACAGTTGTACTTGGTCCCCATGCCCGTGGACCGTCCGATGCAAACTTCCTCGGTCCCCGAGCAGCGGTAGTAAGCGCTGGAATTGTGGATGACGCCGGAGCACTCTGGACAATGCCGTCACCGACTATCGTATTTGAGTAAGTCTATGTCTGCATCGAGGAAAATCATAGGAGTGCTCACATGGATTTGGAGTCGTGAGCACCTCCTCCTTTCGCTGGTGGCGGCGACGGAGAACTCTCCTGAACCAAATAACGATAGCCAAAATAAGCAAAGCTGCAACAACACATCCGAGCTGTGGAACGGAGGGAATCAGGTGTGATTCATACAGAAAGAAGAATCTTGACGCACCACGGCTCCCGTAATGATAGCCCAGGTTGGGGATTTGGTATGTGAGATACTTGCAATAGCTTGAGCGGAGGACGACGGCGTCGCAGATGTATTGGTTGTTCCCGCCCCAAACGTCTGTGAAGGCAATGACCCGCTTCCGCCGACAGCAGAGGGACTAGCAGACGCGCTTCAGAGCGGAGCATTTCATTTAATAACCTGGGATTACATGACACAGTCGACATGCTCACCTAGGCACGGCATCGTATGCGACCACAGACGCAAAGTGGAACTGTGCCCCAAGATTTGTGATCTCCACTTGGTACGTAGCTGACCGGTTCAGACCCGTCGCCATATACTTCGGAAGATCGAGCTGCGTCCACAACGCCCTCGGGCTGTACTGGATCGTATTGTCTGTCACGGAATTGGTCGCCCCCTCATCGTCGCTGGTGACGGCCACCGTGAACAGGCCTTGCACCCAGTCGTCGCTCCCATAGATGAAGAAGCCTACGGCTTCGCTGAGCGTGAATGAGAGCGTCGAACTGAAAGTGCTCGTGACCAAGGACGGGTAGCCAGAGGTCTGATTGGTGTAAAGGTCCATTACTGACCAGCTCTGGTCGCCGACAAAAAATGGATTCTCGGTCATGGCGGGCGTGCTGTTCTCTGTGGCAGATATGTTTCGAGGCTGAAGGACGGTCCTGGGAGACGATGTTCAATACAACAAGAGTACTATGACAAATGTGTGCGTACCCTGATTCTCCCATGCCAACTGTAATGGTTGCCCCTATGATCGACACTTCTCCTGCGGTGACAGTGAGGTTGACGGTGTGCAAGCCATATGCCAGACCAGTCTCGCTGAACAGCAGTCCATCGATATCGGCCCCTCCGCCTTGTACGACGGAGCTTTGGTCTATTCGCACATTATACGAATCCGCCGCCGCCGTTCCATACAGCCATACAGCTGTGCCAGCCCAATCGATAACGACATATGCACCCGCTAATGTCGTTCTATGGGAACTTGTCTGACGACGCGTGTGAGTGAGTCAGCGTTTCTACGATATGTACAGCGTTATACTCACCCCAGCTCCCAACGTGTGATCGTAGGACCAGTCGGCGAAGGAGCTCCCAGAGTACGTTACATTCCAGCTGCCGTCGATGGTCCCGTCTCTGTGAGGAAAGAAGCGGACAATGGCAGACTGGTCTGTGAGCGAGATGTTGTATGGGACAGGATCAAGATCAAGAGTGGTCATCTTTCCACGTCGCGAACAATTAGGCTATGCTGGTCTGAGAGGAAGAGGCGTCGGGAAGGACAGTGTAATGGACCAGGGAGAATGAGAGGGGCGTAACCGAGTTAGGTTCAGACGGGGGCCTACTAACCTGTGGCAGTGGTGACTAGATATGGAGCAGCAGCTCCTTAGTGATACCGAGCTGAACAATATGGAAGCCTGCGCGGCATAGTTTGAGCTGTCAGTTAGGTGATTAGGTTTCGGGCATGGGCATCGTAGTAAGTACCCTCTCCATGGTCCGCGCGAAGGCATCGCTCAAAGCAGTGGGCTGTAAGGACCCAGTGTGTTGTTGGTCCTTGACGTCCAGCCCACCCTGCTTGAAAACTCAACACCCATCCGTTAGCGGAAGGGTGTCTAGCGTATGCGCCGACCTGAATGCCTCACCAAGTATACATTGCCGCCATCTGACGAGGAAGTGAATGATCACTCTCACACAGAATTGACGCTCACCACAAAGAACGAGATAGGAAATACTGAATACGTCCCCTTTAAGATGCTGTCTTTCATGGCACAACGGAGCGCGCTGTTGCTTACTTATGCTCCGGACTGGCGCATCGCCACGCTGTCCAGATAGTCCAATGCCCTGTCGATTAGAAACGATCAGTTGCGGCATACACGAGAACGACGGCGCACACCTTCAGATCGGGTAGTCGCGCACGAGCAAGGAGTTGTCATAGGAAGTCATCTGTGCTTTGGGATCACCGCGTGAACGCTAGTCTTGAACAGGGGAACACAAGTCGACGAACGATGCGCACACACGATGGAGTACTGTGGCCAAGAAGAACTGTCTTCTTAGTGGCGTATAAAGCTCCTTACTACACTAGCTAGTGTTACACGGGGGAAGTGCTCGAGACACAACAGACAAAAAATAGGTAGGCGAACATCAACAAGGAGGGAAGGCACCTAGTCTGCAACTAATAATGAACAGAACTGAGCGGCAAAAGAACAGCCACACCAAAGACCAACCACGACACCAGACGAACCGCGAGCGGAATGGACGAGAAGAACGCTTAGTGCTGGGCCCAGTTGATGCTGTTGATGTCGATGCCCTCCTGGACCATCTCCCAGAGCGGGCTCATGTCGCGCAGTCTCTGGACAACGGACACAATTTTCTCGACGACATAGTCGATCTCCGCCTCCGTCGTGAAGCGGCCCATGCCGAAGCGCAGTGACGAGTGCGCCATGTCCTCGGCCGCGCCAAGCGCGCGGAGGACATACGACGGCTCGAGCGATGCAGATGTGCATGCACTACCGGATGAGAGTGCGATGTCCTGTGCGACAAGGTTGGTTATAAATCAGCAGAAGGTGAGGTCGCGGGGTACGTACCTTCAGTGCCATGAGGAGCGACTCGCCCTCGACGTACGCGAAACTGAGGTTGACGCAGCCGGGGTAGCCGTTCGTGTCACCGTTCCGAACGACGTGGTCGACCTTCGCAGAGATGCCATTGATAAGGCGGTCCGCGAGCTCCTTGATGCGCGCGTGGTCCCGCTGGAAAGGGGGCAAGTCAGAGACATTTCTTCACAGAAGCAGCAGAGTCGAGACAGGATCTGCCACCGGGGCAGGAAGCTCAGTACCCCTGCACGGTGGATCTCGGCTGCGCCGGCGCCAGGCCTTAAGCCTGGACTCTTGCCGCGCAGCTCACATTTCGGTATATATGTACGTGCGTGTTCTCATCACTGCGTCAAGCGGATTAAACACTCACCGCCATCTCCTGCTTCGCAATGCGTGCAGCCTCACCCATACCGACGATGAGCGGGGTGGCGAGGGTGCCGCTACGCAGACCACGCTCCTGGCCACCGCCGTCGATGATCGGCTCGAGCCTCACGCGTGGGCGCCGGCGCACGTATGCGGCGCCAATGCCCTTCGGGCCGTAGATTTTGTGGCCCGACAAGCTCATGAGGTCGATGTTCGCCTCGTTGACGTCGAGAGGAATCTTGCCTGCCGCCTGCGCGGCGTCCGTGTGGAAGTAGACCCCGCGGTGCTTGCGAAGGAGCGCACCGATCTCCTTGATGGGCTGGATGACTCCGGTCTCGTTGTTGACCGTCATGATCGACACAATGGAAGTGTCCGGGCGCAGAGCGGCCTCAAGTTCGGCGAGGTCAACGATACCGTTCTGTTGCACAGGGAGGTACGTCACGTCGAAACCCTCCTCCTGGAGCTTGCGGCATGAGTCGAGCACGCACTTGTGCTCTGTCTGTGTCGTGATGATGTGCCGCTTGCGTTCCTTGTGGAACCGCGCAACACCCTTGAGGGCCATGTTATTTGACTCGGTGGCACCCGACGTAAAGACGATGTCTTTCGGGTCAGCACCAATGAGATCTGCAATGTTCTGACGCAGTGATGTCAGTACAATGTGCCAAGAACCGAACATGGCGGCCCCGAGCGACTCAGGGTGGCGAATACTCCAGATCACGAGGGAGTACACTCATGCCTCGGGACGCCTCAAGTACCGTGAGACGAGCTGATGTTAGCTGTGTCAGCCGCACTTTGCGAGCTTGGGATTGCTCGTCCCATCGAAGGCAAAAGCGTCCCCTACGGCACACTCCAACGAGCTGGCTGAGCACTACGCAGGCGCTACTTAGGTGGAATATCGCGCAGATGATGGCGTGCTCGATGCACCAGCTTGTATGCCTCCAAGAGTCGCTCGTCGTCGTCGGGGAGCAAATGACGTACCTTCCGCGCATCCTCGACGGCCTTCTCCGCTTCCCATCCATAAGCGTGAGTCCGACTGTGTGGGTTGCCGTACAAATCCGTGAAATATGGGAGCATAGCGTCCAGTACTCGCGGGTCGACTGGTGTCGTTGCCTGGGTGCACCATCCGTCAGCTTGGTTCTTTGTTCGCTTCGCGACGCTAACTCACCTGCATGTCAAGGTAAATCGGGCGGACCTTCTCGCCTAGTACACCCTCCCGGGTCGGTGCCTCGAGCTTGAATCCGAGCATATCTAACAGTGCGATTGCGATGAGAGCTGCACTTCTGCTGGAAAAGACGATGCCAGCTCACCTGACCGAGGCGTAAAGTGATCCTCGCCCTCGTAGGAGGATGGCACATCGACGACGCTGGCCCGGTCAGCGCCGGAGGGCTGGACGAGTGTTCTGCGCGCATTCTTGACCGCTGCGCGCGAGACGGACTGCCTGAGGGCGGCGCGAGAGACGGCGTTGCCTGCCTGCGAGGAGACCCTGGAGAACATGGTGGTGGATGGCGGGCGGAAGAGAGTTATCAGATAATATAAGTACCCCGCCCAGGGAACGCCGCAAACGGCAGGCGGAGGCGTGTGATTGGCTGCGCTTGGTCATGCAGTCACGCCGCCCGCCCGCCAGCTAATCAGCGGCCGCGATTAGCACAGATTGGCGAGATCTGCAGCCAATGAGGGCAGCCCTATGCCACTACGGCCGACGCGATTCGTGGCGTCGGAACAGGCTCCGCCACCAGACTCCCACCCGCCAAATCCATTCTAGCCTATCCCTCCCCGCGCTTTCGTAAGCACACCCGCGCCTTTTGTGGAACGTCCTCGTGTTGCGCACGGACCACCTCCCCAGCCCTTTTCAACGCGCCACCCAACAGGCGCGCGGTGCGTGCATCTCTTCCTTCTCCTCCATCTTCCCTCTACGCAACAATGGCTCGACGTCTCTATCTCGGCAGTACGTCCCCGTTCTGTTCTACTATGGCTGTCAGCTCACGACGGGACAGGGCTCCCTCCGGATGCGCGCGTGGACGACGTCCAGAAAATCTTCGATGGCTATGGTCGCGTTGTCGACTGCCGTGTCATGACCGGCTTTGGCTTCGTCGAATTTGAAAGCTCCAGAGATGCTGAGGATGCGGTACACCACTTCAACGGCAAACCCTTCATGGGCACCAAGTAGGACTGACGCCACTCACGTCGAACTCGGACAATGGCTAACCTTCCGAAAGTATCGTGGTTGAATTTGCCAAGGAAAGCAGGCCGCGCAGGGACCCGTACGAGCCTGAGCGTGCAATGCGTGCAAGACGTCCCCCTGGTTACCGTCTCATCGTCTCGGGTGTATCGCGCGACACGAGTTGGCAGGTATGATATCCCTCTTTTCATCGCAGATGCCGCGGATCCTCTGCCTCGGACTGCCTTCTTGAAGACCGTGGAGCCTATAGACGCGTATGGTGGCGTCAAGGACTTTCCCCGGCCGTGCCTTCTTCGTGGTGCCTGTATATGGAACAATCCTGATCTCGTCTGCCCTTCCTCTCCAGGATCTCAAGGACTTTGGTCGCGAAGCTGGTAGTGTTTCTTTTGCGGACATCGACCGCGAAAATGCTGGCGAGGGGTCAGTACCTACTGTGATTTTTTAGCCTTCGGCTTGCTAAACTTTGACGTTCAGTGTTCTTGAATATCTTGCTCGCGAAGACGCCGAGCGCGCTGTCAAAGAGCTCGACGGAAAAGATCTTCGTGGTCAACCCGTCCGCGTCACCATGGATGCAACTGTGAGGAATCTGCCTCCTCTGCCTGTTGTTACTAAACACCTCTTTATAGCGAGGCGGTGCGGACAATTATCGCCGTGACGAGGGACGCCGGGATGATCGTTATGCTCGTGATGACCGCCATGGTCGCGACGACCGTGGAAGGGATGACCGCCACGCGCGGGATGATCGCTACACCAAGGACAGCCGGGACGACCGCTATGCCAGAGACGACCGCCGGGAGGACCGTGCGCCCTACCGCCGAGAACGCTCAAAGTCACCTCCTCGACGTGGCGACTTCGACGATCGCCGTGCCCCCAGGTCTCCCCCTCCCCGGAGGGATGTGGAAGAAAAAAGGCCTGCAGGGTACGATGACCGCCGGAGTGGCTATGATGATCGTCGAGACCCTGATTCTTATTATTATGACCGTCGTAGGGACGACAGAAGACGGGACGATCGTGGTGAGGACAGGGCTTCAAGGCATGCCAATGGGGATAGCGGATGGGCGCGGTGAGGTTCGTCGGCCGGTGGTCCTGACGCGTGGAGGCGACCGCGGCGCCAACTTCCTTTGGTGCGCCCGAACGTCGCCCGTGTCCATATGGATCTTCGCAAAGAGGATCTTCGCAAGGGGTGGACGTGCTTCTCGAATAGGTTTCTCGTTCTGTATGGACCGCAATCGTGCATCGTGTACTTGAAGTTCGGATAGTCCTCGTTCGGTCGTGTGGTCGCAGGTTCGCGTTGGTCCTTCCAGGCGTTGGCGTTGGCGTTTACCGTTGTGGTTACCGAGACCCTCCCGGACTGGTTCGCGCCCCGGAGAGGAGAAAAAGGGATACCCAAGTTGGACTTGACTGTTCCCATCAATCGTGTGGTCGCGAAGCTTCTGCCGTTGGCCCGTTGAGGCGTCCCGAGGAACGTATGCCCAGGCCCATCAAGGCGATAAAGGCTCATAAGAGATTCGACGCGATGGTATCAAGCTTACAATCAGAAGGCTGCTGCATCCCCGCGACTCGCGTCGAAGAAGGTTCTTTGTTTGTGCAAGAGTGCGCCTGCTTGTCCTTCCCTTGGCCTACCCATGGTGTCGCGGACCGTCTTAAGGCCTATGTGCAAGGAGGGGAACCATGGACGGCTCTCTGCATGGTCCTTTGCCATCGATTCGCCCTGGCATAGCGTCGCGATGTACATACACCCGTGTCTAATATTATACAGTTACACAGTAGACTTCCCAGGACTATGGCTCTAATGATGCAAGTTTCATGTCTGCTCAATGAACACAAACATCTCGGCATCATTCTCGACTCCCCACCAATCCAAGTCGTGTGTATCGTCCCTATTAATTTCTGCGAGATGGTCGTCGGACATCCGCAACCAGAGCTTCATAGAAGCCTGCGCGGCCTTCGGAACCTTGAACGACTTGGCGACCTTGAGGTAGAGCGTGCGTACGTTCATAGACGGCAGGACGCGGAGTACGACCGGGTCGGATGGAGGAGGCATGGCTTTCTTGGAGGGCGGTGTGTCCGTTCGGCAGAGTTTCACATCTACGGGGTGCCCTCGAGTTTGAGATTTTCCCCGGGATGAAAAGTACAACGACGAAACGCACCGATGAGGCGGCTACTCAATGTGTCTTGACGCTGCTCCGAGGCAGATGGCGCAGCGTCGGGTCTTCCGTACTCTGTGCGCCGGTAGGGTACGTAACGCCGCCGTAAGTGCACAGCTCAGCGGTGGAAGATGGGCCCGCGAAGGTACGTACTTTCGCACAACGCGCTCCATCGTGGGTGTTCCCGGCATCGCGCGTCCTCATTGGGCGGTCCGTTTTTGTTGATCCACGAAAGGTAAAACAGTTCGCTGTCGGTCCGTTCCTTTGCGGAGACCTAGACCGACGGTCAGCGCCGTGATAACTTAGGCTCCGTCAAATATAGGACTGCATAGGTGCTGACTTACACTGGCGGCGTCAAGTGTTCTCAAAGTTAGGATTTTCGCGATGGCGAGGGCCCGCGCGTTTCGGCCCAGCTCTGCGTCTGATGACAATGACAACCACGGATAAGTCGACAGTCAGTCAACATTGCTGTCAAGTGATATGGGCGGGCATCTTGCCTTCCACAAGTGGATTGCCCGTGAGCGTCAGCGACTCTATCGCGGGACACCACTCCGAAAGATGGTCAATGTCGCGCCATGACCGAAGTCGATTATACGAGAGGGAGAGGTGTTTCAAGTGGACCGGCGGGTCGGATGGATCGTGCAGAGGTCCGATCGACTCGATGGCGTTGGAGGTTAGCACGAGGCGTTGCAGTCTATTGCGATAAATGCGTTATACGAGGTGAACGCGCAGTGGATTATGCCGTAACTCACGCTGTGTATGGTCGCAGAGCTTCGCATGTTTCCGGCCAGCTCGAGAGCGAGTTGCTATCAAGATTGATCTCTTCTAGCCTCAGATGCGATCGCGAGGCGATTGCATCTCGACCTCCCGAGAGTGTGTGGATGCGGTTGTAGCCCATCTCGATTGTCCGCAGTGCGGGCATGTAACGAATGATGTGTTGCATATCATCCCATGTCGTCAGTGTGGTATTGAGTTGGAGTTCGTAGACGTTGCGGAAAGCAGCCAGCGCCCGATCATGTTCGGTAGGGGGACATAGCCTGTTCTGGCTGCCACACAACGTTATGAGATGCTATGCAGGTGGAGGCGCTGACAGATGCTCACTTGAGTGCGAGCCGCTGCAGGTTCGGCAGTTCACAGACGATCGCTGAGACAATATCCCAAGAGATGATGAGGTTCTTCGAGAGGTCAAGGCCCCGGATTCCTGTGTGTGAGGGGTAAGCGAGGTATGGATAGAGATAATCATATAGAGGGGGGGGGGGGCGAGGCTGTCCTAGGCCGCTCTCTGTATCAACGCAACGATAACTCAGTTGAGCGCTTTCACGTCTGTCGTTCATACGCTGAAGCAAGGCGAAGCAATAATGTAGATCGTTCACTAGACATGGCACCTGCCGAGTGTAACTATGTCTCTACAGCCTTTGCGAATGAATCAAGGAAGCAAAGCCTCCGTAACTCACCAGGACAGGTCTTCGCGATGGCACCAGGAGGATTTGCAGAAGCAACGCCTTCACCATCGAGGCTCGCCTCACGAAGCCGCTCGAGATTGGCGAGCTTGCCTCTGATTCTGTCTAACCCTACTGCCTCGACTTCGATTGCGCCATTGGATGAACCGAGAACTACCTTCTCCAGCCCCGATCCGTGAGGCACGTCAATGTACTTCGAGGCTAGAGCATCGAGGAACGTGTGGCCGTACGAAATGGTTGACGACGGTCGAATGAACGATCCAGCGTTCGGTACACTGGGAGAAAGAGATGGGGTCGGTCATTGAGACGGACATGGACAGGGAGACATACTCTCACACGCAGGAGAAGTATCGTTTCCCGTTCTTTACGCCGTCATGCCTTCCTCTCTGTGGCTCATCCCATTCGACGCCGAGCCAGACCCCGGCGGTTCCGTCAACGTGCCCTACAAATCGCACGGTGCCCAGGTGTCCGCAGTGGATGAGGCGCGTTCCCACTGCCGGAAGCTGCTGGCTCGCCATCCTTCGCAGCAGAACCTGAACAACGAGTAAGTAACGAATGAAATAGGGTGTCGCGGTACGGGTGGCGGCGGTCACTGGGGGTGGCAAGTGGCGGGCCGGGTGCAGAATTGTCAGTCGCGCGCGCTTCACGTGTGCGTGTCTCTCTCCGCCATCACCGTACGGCGACCCGGCTCGCCGTCATCGAGGAAACCTTCCCAGTGCTTGTCTCCCGCAGGTTGGTGGTTGCTTTCACCCCAATGCTCGCTCGTGGCATCCGACTCGCGAGAATGACACGCTCTAGCCGTGCAGCGGCGCGGACAGCGGCCATCCAGCGGCATATGTCTTCGGACGCACTGTCGGACGAGGTATGTATATTGGTGGCTTCGCGGGCACGGAGATCATTAACCCCATTGTGGGCGACAATAGGCGTCGGTGCAGTTCAAGGAGGGCGGTTGTTTGCGGACGTATGTGCTTAACCGGCCAAAGAAGTTGAACGTCCTCAACCGGGAGATGCTGGACAAGCTTCGACCGAAGATCGAGGTCTGTCCTACACGCTCTAGAATCTACGCTCAAAATTGAGTGATGACATCCAGGAATGGAGCCAGCAAGACCTTGTGGGTGTTGTAGCGGGAATAGGAGCCGGTCGGGCGTTTTGTGCAGGAGGGGATGTCGCAAGTATGTGTTCCATGTGTCTTGAGGGACTACATCTCATGAATGCAGGTGTCGTTGAGGACTGTTCAAAACCGGAGACCCTACCCCATGCTATTGAGTTCTTCCAGCGAGAGTGAGCACTTCCTTGTTCTTTGCCACATTCCAGGATGCGAACTGTGCCTTGCAGATTTGAGATGGACTACATTCTCGCGGCCATGCCCAAGCCATACATTGCGGTAATGGACGGCATTACTAGTCAGTGCTGTCTTTTACCCTCCAGGCGCGTGATAGTGATATTGAGCTCTAGTGGGCGGTGGTGTCGGCCTCTCCGTCAATGCATCGTTCCGGATTGCCACCGAGAACACAAGCTTTGCCATGCCGGAGACGAAGATCGGCTATTGCCCGGACGTTGGTGCAAGCTTCTTCCTCTCGCGGGTCGACGGCGAGATTGGGACATATCTCGGTCTGACGTCAGATACTCTCTCTGGGCGGGCTGTTTTGTGAGTGACGACGTTGGCTGTCTCGCTTCGCCGCGACTCTGACGGGACTGTTAGCGAACATGGCTTTGCCACTCACTTCGTCCCTTCACGGCGGATACCGGGCCTCATGGATCGCATCTCATCTCTCCAGAATCCCACTTACCAGCAGATTGACGCCCTCATCGAGGAGCATAGCGAGGACGTCATCCCAAGCCAGATAACAAGCTCGCTTGTGGGCAACATTCGCATTGCGCTTGACTCGGCATTCAAGCACAAGTCGGTCGAGAAGATCATTGCGGATCTCACAAAGTTTTCCAAAGAGAGCGAGCACGAGGACGTACGCCAATGGGCGGCGAAAACTTTGGAAAGTCTTCATCTACGAAGCCCCACGAGCCTGAAGGTTGCATTGGCCGCTATCCGTAGTGGGAAATACATGACTATCTTGGAAGCTCTCCAGATGGAGTTGAACATCGCGACAGCGTTCTGCGTATGTTCACTTATATATGCTCCTATTCTAGACTGATGGGCATGCACAGCGCGGCGAGGTCAGCAAAGACTTCTCTGAAGGCGTAACCAAGGTAGTTGTCGAGAAGCTCCGGGATGTACGGCCAAACTGGCAGCCAAGCACGATCAACGAGGTGTCCGACGAGTTCATCCAAAAGTCGTTCTTCCCCAAGCTCAACGCAGATGACAAGACATCCCCGCGCCTCAACGTCCCTCAGTGGCTCGCGGACGCAGAGCACAAAGTCCAGAACCCGATGATCTACGGTCTTCCGACGGAGCAGGAGATCGGGAAGCTCGTCCTCGGCTCGCACAAGAGCAGCGGAAGCACCGTGCTCACGCTCGACGAGCTTATCGCGAAGCTCGAGGAGCAGAAGAAAGGCAAGTCGGGGGTGCGTGCGAAGGTCACCGAGGTGGTGCAGCGGAAGTGCACGACTCAGGAGGACAAGCAGTCGGGAAAGAAGTGGCTGAAGTGGATACACTGAGCGCCGTTTGCTGGGTTCTGCGGGTCGCCACACGCCGTCCATGTCTACTCACCTACAGCCCGTGTATGATGTTGATATGCACCACTTGCGTTGTTGACATGACGGTGATTGACAGGCGTGCTGGATAACAATAGACGGCGGGCACGGTGAGTCAAAGTTTCGGAGCAGCACGGTCAACTTTGCGACGGTGGCATGGCAGAACGTCAATCATGGCGGTAACATGTTCGTGTCGGCACGTCGTTTCTGAGCGTACTGGACGTAGGGGCGGGCATCATGACCTGTGCATGTCTACGAAAAAGCACCAGGTACTTGGTAACACTCTAAGCATACTGGTACTGGGCGGAACGGAACGTGTATCCGTGGGGAGTCTTGCCCGCAACTCTGTTACTACCATCGGCAGAACCTTGGTGCCGCATTCCTTAGTCACAAAGACACTGCTCCTGAGGTATGTATCATTCGGAGCTGTTCTAATTGTGACATACTGACCATGTAATTGTCCATGTAGGCGCAGTTGCAACTGAATATGGCAATACGTACCGTGGCTGACAGGCTTTTTTGTGAACCGTGAACCAATGACATGCATACTAAATCACGTTCTAAACAATAGACGTACCTTACTGATAATGGACCGGTACTAGGCGTATCGGGAGACAGGCCCGCCGGCGAACATGATCAATTCAGGACTTCGCAATCATTGAGGCGTGTCACTTTGTTATGATCCATCGCTACGAGTCAGTAGTGATTTGCTAGTTACGGTGGTAGTCTAGTAATTGGAGTGGCCTTTGCGTCGACTCGCCTTCCGAAGGAACCGGAAGACGTGCAGAGAGCGCATAGCCTGTGTATAATCGAGTCAGTAATGCAATGAGGAGCGGGACCTCGGAAAGTGTCATATCCCGCTCACGGTATTGATACGCCGGAAGAACAAGACGGGTCAGGAGCGGGGAAGAAGTGAATGGAGAAGTCCAATAGGCACACTGGGGACCACATCAAGTTGAATGCCAAGTCGAGGTCCGACTGCTGCCAGTGTACGACGCCGTAGCGGAGCGTCGGGTTAAGGCGCTCCGCTTGCGAAGAAAATACAGCACATGAGCTGTACGCAACAACAATCGTTTGGCAAGGGTTTGAGGGGCAACCGCCTCCTAGAAATGCGTCAGGTTGGATCGAGGGGCAGGGATTCGAACAAGGAGTGCCGAGTTGAGAGTGGACGGTGGCACTGGCCTCGAGGGAAGAGGGACACGTGGCCCGATTGATCTGGCCGATGTCCCCGCGGTCGTGTCTGCTCGACGGCTGTGTGTGGCGCACTTGTGCTGGAGCTCGTCTGAGGTGCGCGACAGGGCCGGTTCGCGCGTCAGCGCTCTCCCTGGATGCACCCCAAGGACCTGCGAACATCGTTTCCCGTCGCCGCCTCGTGTGCAGACTCGGACTGCCAAGGCACAGGATGGCGCTTCTTGTTCGGATCGCACACAGACTTTTCTTCTATGACCCGACGCGGCTTGCCAGTGCGAGACAGAAGGTTCCGTCGCTGACCGCGCGTCGAGGAAAGTCTTCTGGTCTTCCCGCCTCGACACTGCAGCTGCCGCTCGTGAATGAAGGTGGCAGCACGAACATTGTAATCACCTTTCCGTGCACAATGGCTGCATACCGCGGCCCAGGAACACGATATGAAACATCCCAACAGGCCCCCGTGGACACAGCGGAACACAGCTCGCAGACTGATAGAATCTGACTCGGACTTCGTCAGCAAGATCTGCACAGCCTGTTCGGAAACTGTCCGCATCTAGATTTCGATCTTGAAGCCGCGAACCTGTAACAGAACCCATAACGCTGTGGATGACCAAATACACGGCCTGATTGCATTCCTTGTACCTCGCTTTGTGTCCTTTAAAATGCAATTGTTGGCGTGCGTTGTTCCTTAGAACCCCCAGTCTGCTTCACCACGCACTACATAAACCACGCCGAGCGACATCGAATTCGCAAACTCACCACCAGCCTCCCGCGACCCATCCCCTATGATCTTCTCATCCCCCATCCACGCATTTGCCTGGTTGTCGTCAACGCTGGACAGTTCGCAGGTCCTAAACCTCCTCACCCAGCCGTTCGCCTCGGACAATGACTTCCGCGCGAGCGACTTCGATGTCGATCCTAAATCAGGCTTCTTTCCTCCGGCGCCACTGCCGAGGCTGCCAGCTGAGTTTTGCATATGGGAGACGGCGCTAGCGACTGCCCCGGGCGTACTCGCGCTTGGGAAGGACAGGAGCGAGGAGGCCTTGTCAAGGCGATCTGACGGGGCCTGGTGGAGGTCAACAATCCGCTCAGTAAGACTATGAAAATATGTTGCGTCGCGGGTACTGACTGGTTATGTTGACAGTGGCCTGTCAAGGACGTTTCCATTCTCCGGGAGGACATACGTCTTCTCCAGAGAGCGCACATGGTCCTGGCTAGTCTCATGCACTACTATGTGCATTCGCTGCCACCCACCGATACTGCGCTCATCGTCCCGAAATCCATTGCGATCCCTCTGGTCGAAGTGTCGCGGGTGTTGGGCATCGCGCCTGTACTCACCTTCGCAGACACCGTCCTCTGGAACTGGGAGCTCGTCGACCCGGCCCTACCGGTTTCCGCAGACAACATGCGCTACCTCACCACCTTCTCCGGAACAGACACCGAGCGTGGCTTCTACCTTGCTTCCGCCGCTGTCGAACTCAAGGGCGTTGAGATGCTGGACATCTTCAACCGCTTCCAGAGCCTTCCCCGCTCGAGCTACACGGACGCGCACGCGATCGCGCAGCTGGCAAGGGACCTCAATCAGCTGGCCAACGTCATCGACGGGCTGACCGAGATCTTCAAGTCCATGCGCGAGACGGTCGACCCGCATGACTTCTACTGGGTTGTGCGTCCGTGGTGGGCCGGCGCGACTTCGAAGGGGCCCAATCACCCGGGCTGGGTCCTTGAAGGCGTGCCGAACGGCGACTCCGCGCACTTCGATCTCGGCGGCGCCTCTGCTGGCCAGAGCAGCGTCATGCACGCGCTGGACGTGTTCCTCGACATCGACCATCGGCTCGCGAGCCACCGCACGCCCGCGCCGACCGAGCGTAATCGTCACGCCGACCTCGGTTTCATGCAGCGGATGTGGCGGTATATGCCGGGCAAGCACCGCGAATACCTCACACGCCTCCGGAGCGTCCGTCCAGTCGCGGAGCGCACGCCGGGTCTGCGCGAGCCATACAACGCCGCTGTCGCCGCGCTCAAGAAGCTGCGGGACTTCCATATCAGGATCGTGGCCATCTACGTGGTGACAAAGGCGGACAGCACACCGCCTGAGCGGTTCGCTCCGGAAGGTGGCGACGATGCGGAGGGGACACAGAAAGACGGTCCGGCGAGGGGCACGGGTGGAAGCGAGGTCTCGAACCTCCTCAAGGCGGGCCGAGATGCGACGAATCGAGCACTCTTGCAAGATTGAGACCAGAGATGACAACTCTGCGAGTGGTGGGAGAAGTAGGCTGTCGCATCGCTGTCTGCGATACAATGATATGTGACCTGCATGAACTCCAGTCGGCGTCAGCGATGTTGTACTATATAGTGTGTTAATAGACTAATACCTGACTTATTGTAGCATTCTGTTCCGTACCTATATTCGTAGCACGCTGTTATATTTATCTACACCAATTGTAGTGCACTGTTGGGAGCGTGACGATGTTGGGCAGGGAGTAGGTGCGCGAAGAATGAGACGGATTGAATGGCCTGTTCTCGTCCATGCAGGGCCGCGCTGTGGCGCCGTCAGCAAGTGGACAGAATCTCAACTATTTAGCCAGGAGACGACAATAAGGATCGATGGTGGACGGGATAGAAGTGAACCTACGTGCATGAGCCAGGACGGGATGTTTCCCATGGACAAATTTTACGCGCCTGCGAAGCCGCAAAAGGCCCTTTCAGGATTGTGGCAGAACTCAATAAAGTTGACACGCACCACGCCTCGGATCCGTGGAGAGCGTTGCGGGCCGCTACGGTGTTCAGGTGCGCGTGGACTAGCCAGCTTCCTAATACGCGCTCTTGTGGACGATAACACCAGGAATCGACACCGCCGCATGGTTGGGTAGAGAAGCCTGTGGTGTGTTGAGCATGCAAGAGCGAACCTGCAATGTTCCAGGCTTCCAAAGATGTGAGCCCCGTCTGGTCATATAAATCGAGCAGAGTGACTATGTGCTGTACACACCAGCGCCGCATCCCACGGCCATGCTGGGACCCGGGACTCGGACATGGATGTGATCTGCGAGACACTGCACCATGTGTAAGACAATAAAGCAATGCCATCCCTGCGAGCGTTCAACTCAGTCAATGTCTGGCATCACCGTGACGGCAGAACGTTCCGACCTTCCAAGGTGAGTGCTGCTGCAGGCTTTTGCACAGTGGGTATGCAACAATAATAGCCTGCACGCACGTATCATGGTCTGATACCATTCAACGCCGTAGAACTGCGTGCGCCGACGTCCTACCAACGTAGCGTCGACCATGACATGACGGTCAATGTAGCGAATTTGATGAGATTCAAATTCATGTTCAAAGCGTTGTTTCTGTTATACGGGCGGCTAATGCCAACATCGTTGATTGCGGAGTCTGAAACATGCTTATTGTTCCCTCCAACTCCATATTCGGAGACTGGAACCCTACTGACTGGAGCGAAGCCTAGCAACCTCCGTTAGTCCTGTCCGGGCGTCGAGGAAGCTTGAAACTCGACCGTGTCCATGCCACTCCAGCCCACCGAGCATCTCTGTACATTCTGCTCCTTGTTGTCGACCATCATCCTGCGTATCTGACCCAACTTCGCGCGACATACCACGAGAAAACACGACGAAACGCGTCCATACCGACATGCCGAGTTCTTCGCGTCATACTAGTACGCGCACCGTCAGCCCGCCGCTGACAACTGTGAGCTACTCGAACGCGACCACAGTCGCGCAGCAGAAGTTGAATGTCGTCACGCGTCTGGCTATTGAAGGGAAGTCGAAGAAGGGCTGGGATGGTGCGTCAATCAAAATGTACTTGAAGGTGAGTTGCCAATTCGATCAAGGCTGCCCTGCAGCAAGGTAGACGCGCCGACCCTACTGCAGACCATGTGCATGATGTTGTCCATGTCTAGGGTGCTCTTGGCAATAGCAGAGCGTGCTTCTGCGCGTCAATAGTCATCAGGACTTTGGTTGTGGCCGGACGCAGCACAACGCGTCAGAGACGCGTAGATTGCAGGTCGGCCACAACTAGAGTCATGTACGATCGTCGCTCAGTCCGCTGACATTTGCACAACAGATTTCCTTACCCCTTGACAGCGTTACCCCGGGAGCGTCAGTCCCTCTGTTCCCAGGTGTGTGCACCGTTCTCCAGATCATTCGCTCCTGCTGAGATGCCGGCAGAGGAGAACCTGAAGGTCCTGGACACACAAGTCCATCCTCTGGACAACAACTCGGTGCCTTACAACTTCTCCTCAGCCGACTCTCCTCTGTTGCACAAGGCTGCCCGTGCACTTAATTTGGCAGCTCGATTGCCGACGCCCTATGTCTCATATTCGGGCAACCTGTCATCCTCGTCTACGACCATCCTTCCTCTAGACGCCAAATATACGGGGAGTATCCTTGTCAGCGGATATCACATCTCGTATATCGTACCGAGAGAATTCCCCAGACGAGAGCAAGAGAGCCGTACCAGACGCGGCTCGAATGTCATGCACTTCATGGCAGCTATTGACCTTTGGGTGCCTTTCTTATCGAAGCCACCACTAGCACCCTATCTGGTGAGTAAGTCGACGCATTGCTTGTCCACAACCTCTTACCTCACTACTTCAGCTTGCCATTCCCGTTCCTCGTTGCTTGTCCAACCAAGTCAGGCTGCACATCTTTCCTCCCAATCAATCGACGGCGTCCTCCTATGCCTCCTTGTCATCTGCAGACGAGGACGGTGGTGCATGGGAGCTTACTGCCGACCCGCATGTAACCCGCAGCCAGTCAGCGCGTCTGTCCCGATCCCACTCATACAACAACTTTGCTGACGACGAATCAAGCGACGCGTCGACGACGGCAGGGTTCCCCGAAGGATGCGGTATCCAGGGTTCATTTCCGAGTACTGACCGTATTCGCGTTCGATGGGCGACACCACCGAAACCTGGCCAGGTACCCGAGACTGCGGACGGCCGTCGCAGAGCTGGGGTCCGGGACGTCAAAGGCGATATGCTGTGCACTGTACTCAGGAAGCACAAGGGAAAGGGCAGAGAAGGAGGCTCCGACGGCTTAGTCGTCAAGGTCGACTATAGTGCGACTTGCAAGGGGGTCTGGTTCCCTGGAGTGGCGACGCTCCTTGGCATGGACCTCGGTCTCGAGGCCGATGACTGCGACGTCTCCTGGGCTCCAGATGAGGAGCCTAGATGGACTGTAACTGGCGGCGTTGGCTTCACTGGCTTTGCTGTCGGAGGTCCCCCGCAGCCACCATCACGGCAACCTGTCTCTCGACAATCTTCGGCCGAGTATCCACCACCGATTTATGTTCTACCGTCATCACCGAATGGCAAGCTGGTCAACGGCAATTCGCACATTCCAATCCGGTCGAGCTCTAACAGCTCCACGGCGTCGACGAACTCGAGTTCGCTACTGCGAGCGCCACTTCCCACGCACAACGTCGCCGAGTATTCGTTCGAGAGCTCATCAGTGTCGACACCTTCGGGCACTGTGTCCTCGCTGCCATCTGTGTCTGCGCCCTCGAGCCCGGAGCGCGCCCGCAGACGGCGATCCTCGTCCAGGCACGGAGCTCACAACGGTACGGACACAGAAATCGACGATACGCAGGATGACATGCGACCGCCCAGGGCACCGATCACTGTTCATCTGAACATGAACGAACTGTCGCCGCCCCCGAAGAATGCCTTCACTTTCAGCGTCTCCGGGACCATCCTCATCTGTCCCCGCCGATCGTCGATGACGCCAGATTCGCGGCGATCGTCCCCGGCTTCATCTGAAGATGAGCACAACGACGACCCGATATCCCTCCCGATCTTCCGGATCTTCTCCACCGATCAGGAGACGACGTCTACGATCGTTCGGAATGAAGCACCCCAGGCTTCCGTCCATGTCTTCACCCGGAACAGCAAGAACCGCGAGGCCAACGTCCGGAGAGCGGTGCTTATGAAGGGGAACCAAGTCTCTTGTGGGAGCGAGGGCGCGCGCATCGTTTTTGCCCGTATATCCGCTTCAGAACTCCGTGGACGCCGTCCTAGCGATGAAGGCTCCGATATGTCCTACAATCGTTCGGGCTTCTCGCTTGGGCTGAAGTCCATGTCGTCTACGTCAAAGCTCAGAGACGTCTCAATGATGTCAACCGCCAAACTTCAGCCACATAGAGACGGTCCGCTCATGATACCCTACGTGACTACCACGATCACTTCCCTATTGGGAGAAGGCCACGCGTTCAAAAATGGCTACGCTGTTGAGCTCGCGTTACCAGCGCCGTCGGACGCGGACTCCGAATGGCTCGAATTTGGGTTAGCGCTCCCTGGTCCAGTTGCGGTTCCCAAAGCCGACGCTGGCCCCGGCGATCGCCAGAGCGTAAGCTCACCCCCTCGCGTCGAGATCGCGAGTGCTAGCGTGGAGGGTGTCCCGGTTCGATGCCAAACGAGTGCCGCTGTCAAGCCGCAAGCCGGCTTGGTCGGGTTGGGTCTGCCGTTTGAGGAGTCAAGTGGCAAGGACTGGATCAGCTGGGTCAGCGTTCACGTCGGTCAGATTGGCGGTGGAAACGTGAAGATCATATACCTTGTCAAAGGCAGCGAAGAAGCCGCGATTGATGACGACAAAGCAGAGAAGAAAGGGAAACAGCCACAGCATTCTCTTCACCCTCTGGAGATTCTACTTCCGAGTTTCGCCATGCCCGTAGGTCTGCTGCAGGTCGATATACGGGTTCAAGAAGGTGACTACCCTTCTCATTTTGCTCTCGGCCCATGGATTGACTTTATACGCAGGCTTCAAGCTATCGTCGTTTGACACAAATCTCATGCACCAGCAAACATCCCCGCAAGGTCTACGTCTCCTGCATTATGCTCTGGGCGAGTTCCATTATCCTCACCTATCAATGCATGTCGCCCGCATTGCGTTACCGCAAGAAAAGGCTTCGGCGACATCCAACACGTTGTGGCACTTTGCTAAGGCTGCTGGTGTACTCCTTGTCTTCGCCATCATATTCTCCTTGGCGACCGACCTTCGACGTGCTACCTCCGAACTTCAAGCCCTGAGGCAGTCCGCCATTCGCCTTTCTCCCGATGGCCATGTCTTGCCCGAGACTATCACCGTAACGGCCACTGATCCTGCAGACGACCCAAAGAAATGGTGGTTCAACCAAGCCGCGACTCATCCACCCGCTCATACGTCAATTGCTCTGGACGACTCCCCTGTTGAGCAAGTCTTTGTTTTGGCCAGTGGGTCACCTCCAGAGCCATCGACGCACTTATCTACGCCGACCAGTATAACCCCAACTCTTCAACCTAAATCCCTCCAAGCCGCAGATACATCCACGACATACAGCGAATCATACTCACTCATACCTGCACAGTACTTCACACTCTTCTGGTCTTGGCAGCGTCTTCTGCCGTCAAAGCTCATAGACGCGCAGGTCTCCCAGTCCGCGAAGGATGCGGCAAGCGCAGTCTTCAGCAGTATGGGCACTGTCTGGCAACTATTCCGAAAAATCATCCATTACCCTTTGGACCCTCCATGATCTTATGCGTTGCCCTACTGTTGTTGTGCATTTGCTGTGTAGTCGTACTGCTCTGTATCCATCCATTACTTATTATACTAACTGTATGCGCTCCATGCCTTTCATTCAGTCATGCGGGCAATGCTCTAGGATGAGAGGCCAAGATTGCGGTTTTATTGCCAATTACGGGACACTATATTACGATCTACGGTAGATATTTTGTATTCTGCTAAATGCGAACGTCCAACCAGACAACACGACGATATAGACATGAAAAAACGAGAAACGTTCGAACACACCTCAGAACTTAGATTGTGGCAGATCATCCCAGTTCACTAGGGGTCTCGGAGGATCAGCCCTCCGAAGCGACGCCTTGAATGCCTTGGGATCCTCAACGAAGCGAACGCCCTCCTTGACGGTGCCCTCATAGTCGGCATCCGCAGGGTTCTTCTCCATGATCCCCGGCAGAGCGGCCATGAGCTCCTGGGCGACCTCAGGGGAGATAGATGGAGACAGCGAAGACAGCGTCTCCTGCCAGTACTTCCCGAACTGCGTGAGGAGTGGCTCGCCCTCGCCGGTGAGCTCCTCCCTCCACTTCTGGGTATCGACCGCAATGCCCTTGTCGACGAGCAAAGCCTCGAAGGCCTCCATCGCCGCGAGGCCGATCTTCTTGGGGCGAGGCTTCTGCGAGTGGAGATGCACCGCGATCTTGGCCCGAGTGGAGGAAGAGGGGTGGACCCGGCTCATGAACATCGCGATGACGTCCGCCTTCGTGATACTCTTCACGAGACTCGCGTCGTGGTCACCTGTAGCGACACGGTTACAACATATTCAGAGACAGGAGCAACAGGAGATACTCACGTCTTAGGAAGTCCAGGTAGCCAGAATCGATCTGGGTCCAGTAACGGTTGGTCTCCTCGCCGAGGTTCTTTGCTGCCTCTCTCCACCTGCGCTCGAGTCCGGCCTGCTGTTCCCTGAACTCGGCGGCCTTCATGTCCTCGAGCTTGTCCTTCATCTCCTCAAGGAAGGCGTCGACGCGCTCCTCGAGGTACACCGGGCCGCGCTCGCTCTGAATGACGATCCGGATGCCGATATTCGATTCGCCCGGGGAAACCATCTGGGATAGCGAGACGATATAGCCGAGCTGCTCGCGCGTGCGAAGGACATTGAATGCGGGCTCCGAGAGGATCTGTGTGAGCAGCGCAGACGTGACCCTGAGGCGAGGCTCCAGGTATGAACCGATGTGCATATAGTATGCCAAAGAGGAGTTAGGTTCGTTCTGGTTGGGGACGACCGTCTTCCAGACTAGGTTCGAACCTTGCGGACACGCGGTGAGCATCATTGAGGACGAATTGCAAGGTCAGACATACCATCGGGCGGGATGAGTGCCGTGTCCACCATGGCAGATGGGTCCATAGGAGAGAAGTCGAGGATGTTTTCCATCGTCTCCGCCAATTGAATAGCGCCCTATCCGATGGTCAGTACTCACACGTTGACGAGTATGCCTTTGATTGGACTCACATCTCGGGTCATGTTACCGACGACCAGCATCCGCGAGTGAGCCCTGGACAACAGACGAGCGGCATGCGCCTCCATCTCCTCGATCGTGATCGCTGCAACGGGGATGAGCACGATCGTTCAACACATTGGCCAATCACAAAAAGGACTCACAAGAAACTTCAGCCAGTTTCTCCGCAAGGATCCACTGCTGCTCGGTAAGCAGGTGGCGACCGTAGTAGTCGGACACACGGAATGACGGGCCCATGTAGAAATTCTCGTAGTCGCGCTTGGCCTGTGATTCGCTCGCAGTTAGCCGAGCCGTGGATGCCTCCCAACAGGCTTTTTACTCACCTGGTCCTTCATGACTTCCAGCCTTTCCGCTCGGAGCTGGACGTTTCGCACGCGCTCGAAGACGTCGCGAGCGAGAACGTGGAGCTTGTCGTTATACCCGGACAGCACGACGGATACCCCGAGCGTCTGCGCAGAGAAGTTGTAACTCAATCCCGCGAGATCCGCATCGTATGCGAACTCGGTGAGAGTGTCGTTAACGAGATCGGAGAAGAGCCTGAGAAGAAGTCAGTGACTGCGGTGCACAGGCTTGACGGAGAAGCCTACCGGGTCATGACACTGGCTCTCGCGGAAGAGTTGGCTTCCGGTCTGGAGCAGCTGTTAGCAACGTGCACACAACTCTAATATCATATTGAGCTTACGTTCGGATGTCAATGAGAACGTGTGCCTTGGGAACCCAGAAGGTGTCGTCCTTCTTATGCCACAGGCTCGTGCGAGGCATGTCGCGGATGAGAAGGGGCCGCTTCAGAGGCTGCGAGAAACGAACGGTCAGCGGGTTCTCAAGGATTAGAGTTGGCAGATGTAACCGACCTGATCCACCGGCCGCTTCTGCACGTCGAGGTTCGTCGGGATGAACTCGTTCGGACCGGGGAGGAAGAGCTCGGGGATGTCGTTCGGAGCTTGTGCTTCCGCCATGAAGCCCGCGTCGAGCTTCTCGACGCGGTACTCAGTGCCGTACCACGGCTCTGACTCCCACTCGCTCGCGCCACGGACACGCTCGTGCACGTCCTTCTGCGCCATCAAGACGACGCGGCCACGGTCAACAGTCAGGCTGTCGAGGACCTGGCGCATCTCGCCCTCTCCGCCATTGACGGGATCGGTCTCGTCCCATTCCCAGACGAGCTGCGGCGCGCTGAGCACGAGTTCTCGAGAAACGGGCCACGAGAGGTGTTCGGTAACCCATACGGCGTAATCGTCCGGGCGACGCTTTTCCGCGAACCGGAAACGGGTGGCCTTGAGGAGGCTGATTTCGCGTTGGTACCACGCCGGGAAGTTGGATGAACGGAGCAGATTAAGGTACTTGAAGATCGTGAGCGTGACTTCCCGGTAGTTATCTGGTGGTTCGAACGGTCATTTCGGAGGTCTCACTGCGACGGGAACGCGGGAACTTACCAAAGCCTAGCTTGGTCATGTTCAGCGTGATCTTGATCATGGCGAAGCCGCGAGCGAGGTTCTGCGGTCCCGCGCTCAGCGCGGTGATCCAGCCCTTGTTCTTCAGGTATGAGTGGAGCGACCCTGGGCCCTCGTGGCCCAGGAAATGACTCAGGAAGTTTCCAGGCTGGTAGCGCCATTGAGATGCCAACCAGGGAAGCGGGAACGACACCTCCACCGCGTGGAAAGTCATGATCGTTTGCACCGATACCAGACTCTGGAGCCGCAGCATTCAGCGGACAATACCAGCGTGATCGTCGGAAATTAACTGACCGCTCTCTCATTGGGTCCAAAGGGATGATCGTTGATCATCGGAAGAGGGTCCTGGCCCCGATTGGGGATGGGAGCGAACAGCTCGGCGACCATGCTCGAGAGCTCGTCCAGCGATTCTGCCGGACATAGAATATTAAGCTTCCACGATGCGGATCGTGCCAGGAAGAGATCTACCTTTCCCGATCACGCAAAGTCGCATCCGTCCCGCGCAGTACTCCTTGCTCCACCATTCGACGAGCCTGCGGCGCGTCTCCCGGCCGACGCTCCCTCCGTCGCCGTCCATCTCGCTCGAGGTGGAGAAGGACGACGGCGTGGGAGACGGGACGCGAGAAGAGGTGGGAGTGGTAGCAAGGCTACCGTCGGCCGATTTGGGCACCGAGGGCGTGGAGGGCGCGAGGAGGCCCTTCGCTTTGAGGTCCCTGCCGACCTTGGACAGGCTGTCGCGATTGCCACTGCCGAATTTGCTCCAGGGGTGCCCAGGCTTGCTGAGGTGCTTATTCAACTGGAAAATTCGCCACATGTCCGACTGGTGGTTCTTCTTGTGCTCCGAGTCCACCGCGTTGAGTTCGCGAGACGTACATGAGGGAGAGAAGAGCGGGCAGTGGAAGAAGGCTGCGAAGCGTGCGAGCGCGCCCGGAAGCGCATCGGTCGCAACGCTGAAATAGTAGTTCGTGTTAGAGGTGCCCGTGAAGGCGTTGGAGTTTCCGTTGTTTTTGGCGAGGTACTTTTGCGCTATGAGATAACGCAAGCGGCTATTGTGTAGCGCTTACCTCCGAGTACTCGTTCTCCCGGGGATAGAGTTCTGTACCCTACGGAAGAGGTCGGCACAATATTGAGATGAACGGGGTCGCGTGCCACGTACCATGAAGAGGAGATGCTCGCAGAAGTGCGCTAGACCGGGCATATCATCCTGAACGACGCACACAGTCAGCGAGTAGTCCGGTGAGCATGGCTCGGCCGCTGGAGTCCAGCAGCGGAGCCATGACGGCTTCTGGATGAACGTAGGACACTCACGGGGTCGTAGAGATGACCGACGGACACATCCAAGCTAGCGGCGGCCTTGTCCGCCTTGGCGTCGTGGACCACCATCGCCTGGAGTCCATTGTCGAGCTGGATGATCCTGTAGTCGCGGTCGTCGTTGCGGGACTTGTGGATGGGCATGGTGAACATGTAGTAGGGCTTTGACGCGGTGTTCGCGACGCGCTCCCACTCGGGGATGAGCGGCCTGTGTGGGGGCATGACGGCGGAGGAGTAGGGGAAGAACGCAGAGGGCGGGGGCCTGCCAGACCGCAAAGAGTTTAGGAACGGGCGGGAGAGGGACGAGGGGGCGGAGAGGGATGTGCAACGCGCCAGGAGGGGCAGCATTTTATAGGAGATATAATGGGGAATAAGGCGAGTTGGGAGCTTACATCATTCTTGCGAGGACCGTGCAGGTAGTGGGAACCAGGCAGCCTATCGCACCGCGTCGCGCGTTTGGTCGACGGGCAAGCAACGCACAGAGCAAACCCGGGTCGCCTTCCTTTCTGGGAAATCCTCCCTCCCACCGCGCTTGTCTATTCCCAGCAACAGTTCGCACCGGGCCCGTTACTGCAATCAGACTTCCGCCCCGAAGCGCGCCAGAGTTGTATGACCGTGCACAACCTCCCATAATGACGTCTGCCCACGGCAGCGAGCGACTTTCTCAGAACTGCTGAGCAGCGCCGTGACCAGCCGCGGCCGCACAGGAACGCTGCTGCCCAAACCTCCATGTCGCCGACACGCTCGCCCAACGCTCGCCCGGACCTCGGACAAACGCCGAACGCAGTGGGCGGTGCGCTCGCAGGTCTCCTGACATCGTACAACGCTGCACCGCCGACCAGCGTAGCTTCGCGGGGGTCGCCGCGAGGCCTTTTACGTGACTATGACAGAGGACAATCCTCGCCATGTGCGGCTGCAGGCTAAGCGACTTGAATCATAGCCCCGGCGACGCATCCACTCACCAGCGACAGCGGCCAGCCGGGAACATTGTACGCTAGAAGTCGCACAATAACGGATCGAGATAACAGAGTAGACATAGCACTAGACACAGCTGGACACGAGGATGCAGGACGAGGCTGGGAAGTATGGTACACCGAAGACAGCAAGCGAGATATGAGATATGTCCACTAATGTAACGAGAACGGCCCGAGGGAGAAACAACGACGAACGCAATAGGTACACATCATAGACTCCGCCCGTGTCACTTTTTCCTGATCAGCTTCCCTCCAGGTTTGCCATTAGCTAGCGCTTGCTGCTGCGCCTGTGTGGCCACAAAGTTCTTGAGTCGTCGGAAGAGCAACACATGGGGCTCTGGCGCTGTGGGAGCGGCGCGGATCGGTACAGCGTGCTCGCGAGGAACGACTCTGGGGCCACTCACCATGTACCTCGTAGTGCTCCCATCCCAGGCTCTGCGTGATACCGATTCCCCTCCATTCCTGCTCGCTCAGCAGCCGCAGCGTGCCGCTCTTGTCGGGGTTAAAGAAGGTCTTTGGGATCATCTTGAAGAGCGGCTTCGGAAGGATAACGTGACGGTACTCGTATTCGTCGTCCGAGTAGCGATCAGAGTAGTGGATTCTGTACAAAGGGCACGATGTGAGTGGCCGACCCCCACGAACACGAGAACGACGAGCCAACTTCTCGATGTATTCGTCCAGCTTCTTCGCAGCTTCAGCAGCTGCGTTGGCTTGCGCTTGCGCGTCCTTGTTCGACATCGCCGTGTTGGGTGGTATGGATGAAGTGCTTTGAAGATCGCCGACAACCCTCGCGAGAGCTCCGAGACGCGTCCCGTCACTCCGGCGTGACGTGCACGTGATGCATTCAACACGGTGAGATTCAATCTCCGCGCTTTCCCTGGAACGAGACGCGCCTCCCTCTATTTCTTGCTCTCGAACACCGACATTTCTCATACTCCCATTCCGATGTATGAGTTTGAGGACATCGAGCATGAGTACGGCCTGTATGAAGACGGTTCCATCGAACGTTCTGGTGTCGCATTTTCGCAAGTGCCTGCCGACGGCGACCTCGAGGATATAGACGAGCTCATCGAGCAGTATGGTGACTATATGCGCCTGTCATCGGTCGTTTTTGTGTGGAAAAACAGCCGCTGATTACCTAGTGTTATGTCAGAAAACTTCTCGCCTTCTCCGATGCACCGTCGTGGCGTCGCAGTAGACAGTCGCCCGGCTTACGGCTTCGCCCCACGGTTCGCGCCCAACCCTGGGCTCCAGACTTCCTACGACCACGACGAGATAACGGAATATGGCGACAGGGAAGCTATAGATCGCTTACCACCCCATCCTCAAGCGAGTGGACACGTTGCTGGCCCGTCTAACTATCGCACTCCGAACTTCGACCGGCATTCGTATGGGACACAATCCGGTAAGGGCGGACCTGCAACAACCGTTGTGCCTAGTATTCTATGAGTGTCTTCAGTATCTAGGCCTTCATTTCGCGAGCCCGGACAGCTCGTGGCCTCAACGATGCAACATGCCCGCGAGCGCATCCCGAATCCAGAGACCACGGGGCATCGATTACAGCACCCTGCCAGACACGCCAACAGTGACGCATTGACACAAGAGCGAGGAGCAAACCCGCGCAACGTTCACGGGATCCGTTTACGGCCGGTCTCTGAGCTACGTGAGTCGAAGCGTTGTGAACCGTTCATCCTGCTATTCGGGTGGCTATATGCGCGAATCCCTGACGCATACATCCACTCCGTTCCTCCGTATCGAGCAGCTGACGTCTACCGGGGGATGTTCAAGTTTGGCGTCTTCAACGCCGTGCAGTCCAAGTGCTTTGATACGGTGCGTTTCCGTGAGTTCGGGTTTGACTGCCCTCGACCAATCACAGCCCTCCCATTAGGTGATGCACACAGACGAGAACATGGTAGGTTCCACGCGCCTGATTGAATATTGCTAAGCTTGTTACGTTCTCCGCTTCTCCAGGTCATAAGCGGTCAGTCCTTCGCTTCTTGTGAGATCCAGGATCTCACGCGGAGCCGCACACAGCGCCAACGGGAAGTGGGAAGACGGTCCTCTTTGAACTGGCCATTATCCGGATGCTCATGGAGGCGGGTGGGAACAGCAAGTCTGTCAAGTGCATCTATGTAGCGCCGACGAAGGTGAGGGGTGCGAGCGCAAGGAGTTCAGTAGCGGACCGTATCCGAGAAGGGTGGCTAATCGCTCGGGCCTCGGATACAGGCACTATGCTCTGAGAAATGCAGGGATTGGACTATGAAATTCGCGGCCCTAGGAGTGAATTGTGAGCGGGAAGGTCATTCATATGCTATATTCTATTCATCATTGGCGATCAGGCTGTGAAATGACAGGGGATACAGTTCATTTTGGTAGAGGCGCATGGGGTAGCGCGCGGGACGCGACAATAATGTATGTGGCCTTGACCTCTAGGTCACGCTAGCTAATGCGCAGCTGAACGTGCACGACAGCATCACGACGGTGAGGTTACTTGTCTAATCCCATGATATAGGACGCTGAGCCGCGTTGTCCTGGACAGGGAGAGAAATGGGACAGCTTGACGCGGAATTGGTATGTCAGCACACCATTGACTCGCGGCCACCGGCGTCGGGAAAGCTGACAGAGCTCTGCAACGGTAGGCGTGACCATGGGCAGATTCTGGCTCAGGTTCAGCTCTTCCTTGTGGATGAGGTGGATCCCCGTTGGCATAGGCTACCGGGCGAAGCGCTGACGCCTCCTGCAGGTACATATATTGAATGAGTCGCGTGGGAGCACCTTGGAAGTCATCCTCTCACGCATGAAACTGCGTGGATCGTCCGTCCGCTTCGTGGTCGTGTCAGCGACCGTGCCGAACATCGAGGATGTTGCCACTTGGATTGGCGACGGTACCCCAGACGGTTCTGCCACGATCATGCAGGTGAGCTCGCAACCATTGATCGCCGTCTCTCGGCCGCCGAGTCGCATCCACCTGTCGTTGACGTCCGGCGATGTCGTGCAGTTCGGTGAGGAGTATCGGCCCTGCAAGCTGACGAAGATCGTGTATGGGATCCCGCACAAGAGGGAACAGAACGACTTCGCCTTCCAAAAAACGCTGGACTACAAATTGTATGGGATCTTGCAGCAACACTCGGTCAACAAGCCTATCTTGGTCTTCTGTTCAACGAGGAAAGGTAATTTCGGTTGGGTCGCATGTCTGCTAGCCTTCGTTCATAGAGAACTTAGGTGTATTTAGCACAGCCCAACAAATCATAAAAGAATATGAGGCAGCCGGAGATAAGAAACAACCTTTGCCGTGGTCTCGTCCTCCCAGGTGAGCTCTGTACATGCTTCCAGAAACAGTTGGATCCGCGCTGAAATGAAACTTCCGTATTGATCAGAATAGAGCACACCTTTCAGGACAAGTCTCTACAGAGTATGCAATGCATCTCAGTCATTTACGGTCATTAACCTTCAATATCCATCTGACCATACCACAGAGCTAGCTGCTTGCGGGGTAGGTATCCACCATGCGGGAATGGCCATCGAGGACCGCCGAGCAACCGAGGACATGTACATGAAGAAACTCCTGAAGATTCTGTTCGCTACCTCAGTTAGTCTATGTCCACATTCTTCCCGCATGACGCTCACCATGATCTGAAGACCCTTGCTGTTGGCGTTAACCTTCGTACGCACATACCCCTGGATCGTAATGCGTTACGTGCATTGACTAACCGACCTGCCGGTTCGTTTTACTTAGCCGCTCACACTGTGATCCTCAAGGGCGTCAAGATTTTCCAGAACAATGCCATGCAGGAGTACTCCGATCTAGATATCATGCAGATGATGGGACGCGCGGTGGGTACCAATCACGTTGCGTGCATTAGACATGGTCAGGAAATGACCGAGCTTCGTATCTCACGCAGGGCCGACCTCAGTTCGGTGCGTTCCACGATGCTATTCTTAACGCTTGGCTAACTGCCAAGCGACACAGACAAAGAAGGGGTGGCTATCATCATGTGCGAGAGCGAGCTCGAAGCCAAATACAGGGCACTTGTGCAAGGCCAGACGGTCCTGGAGAGTAGTCTCCATCTTAACCTATCTGAGCATATCAATTCAGAAGTTGGCCTCGGGACTATCACCGATCTTGAGACCGCAAAGAAGTGGCTGCACAATTCCTTCCTTTACCGACGGATCCAGAAAAACCCGAGACACTACGCCATTGGCAAGGATAGCAGTCAGACCTGGCAGCAGAGGGTCGACGATATGGTAGCGCAGAGCATTACGAAGTTGCAGGAGGTAGGGCTGGTGACCTACTCTGACGGGGAAGACGGTCAGCTATGCTCCACTGAATACGGTGACATCATGAGCAAGGTTCGTTGACCGTCCACCTGAACGTTTGGGTATGCCTGACTCTTGCCCAGCTCTACGTAAAACAGTCGACGGTACGTTGCCCGTGCGTATCAGTTTCTGCGAGGGCAGGCTAACTTCGCGATTGTAACCTAGATGAGTTTGATATTGAAGCTATCCGACCGCGCTACTATGAGGGACATGGTGGGTCTTTAATGACACTGAAACTTCGATGCACTTGACCATGTATGAGCTAGCTTGAGGCAGTATCAAACGCGGAGGAGTGCGAGTGGTCCTACGCGCTGAGGGCGTCGCCTGATGACCGTTCATTCTAGGTTCTCCGATATTAAGCTTCGAGGAGGAGAGAAACAGGTGGGCTGCTCTGGAGCTGCATGGAATACTGCTGACCATCGGGGCCGTAATCTTAGGTCTATAACAAGATGCGCACTCACCACGACATTCGCTACCAAATCAAGAAGATCGAAAAACCAGCTGATAAGGTGTTCACGCTCATCCAGGTGCGTTTGCCTTCCCCCCTGCTCGAACCACTCTTACTGACTTCGGCCGGATACACTCGACATAGGCCGTCCTGGCTTGTATCAATCTCTCAGACCCCGAGTACAAGAGTGGAGACAACAACCCCGTGTTAGAGGCCTACTCTATTTTCCGTCACATATCACGGATTGCGAAGGGTGTGTGGTTTGCATCGTTGTATGTCAATTTCCTACCGAGCATACCATAGCTGTTGTCGAAGTCGCAATTGTGAAGAAATCTGGCGCACAGCTGAAGAATGGTCTGGAACTGTACGTGGTGGAACAGTATCACTTACTGCTTTCTTGACGCTCACGCGCAATACAGGATGCGCTGTCTCAACGCGAAGGCCTGGGAGGACCGGCATTTTGTGCTACGCCAGATCGACACAATTGGAGAAAAATCGTAAGTCGCTCTTTCAGTCATTCGGCGTGGTGCTCATGTCGTCATGGCCTCGAAGGTTGCAGGTGCCGTCTCTGTGCAAGTAGTGAGATCCGCGCTTTGTTAACGTTCACAGGTTCTAGCTGAGCATGGTATCACGACCATTGCCTCTCTGCGGCAGCAGGATCCGTTCCGCATTGATGTGGTGCGCCAAATCATCGACTGGACGATAGACTCTGATTGAGACAGGTATCAGATGCTGAACCGCAAGACCCCATTTGGGCTCAACGTCATCGCTTCAGTCCAGCAACTTCCTCAATACACTCTCAAGATCGTTGAGAAGGGTTTAACCACCCATAAGGCCCAGAAACCAGTCGAGGTGGAGTTAGAGGTTGAATGTGGCCTGATCGTCGAGACCGAATCTGCTAGGGCGAAGAGAGGCAAGACCAGGATGGCGGATATGACCGCGGTACTTTCAGTAACTTCTGAATTGGACTTCATCGATTTCCGCCGCATCCCGTGAACACAATTCTTCCTTCAGTCATCACAGATGCTGACTATTCACGTAGCACGAAAGCACTAAGGGACACCAAGACGTTCGTTCTCAAAGTGTGCTTCACAAAACCCAGCCAGTCTATCTTTATCTATATCAGCTCGGTGCGACAATACCCGGTGCATGCGTCGTTAGCAATTGACAGCCATGCATTATACAGGACATTTGTGCCGGCGTAACCGTATCCGAGAGCTACAAACCCCAAATCAGCGCTACACAGTTCCCGGCAATGGATACTCGGCCGCAGAACAGCACGGTAACACCTTATCCAGTCCATACAAAGTCCATCTCACCTACTCTACCCAGGACATGTTACTGGAAGGTCTTGACGAAGACCCCGACTTCTGGAATATGGCCCCGGACGACGAGGATTCTCCGGCAGGACACAAGCGCGAGCCCGAGTGTTCGTCCACGCCTGAAAACCCTGTGCTTCCGACGACTCTGACGTCTTGGTACAGCTGTAATTGAGCAACCACGGAGGCGGCAAGATGGCCACGCCGACACGAGAACACGACAAGTGAAGGATGCACCAAAAGCAACGGGCAACACGGTCTCTTCGTTACTTGGCTTCAAAAGGCGCCCTGATGGGAAATATGAGTGAGTATGCGAAAATGCAAAAGTTTGTTCGAGATGTCACCGGTTCGTAGATGCAACCACCTATGCAAGGATAAGACAAAATGTCGGCATATGTGGTACGGCCGCCGCTCCTTGCTCGCTATTGTGGGTGCCATACGCTGATGCGGTCCCAGCTGCAAAGACGGTCTCGACAAGCCTCCTCCCATGTCGAGAAAGCGTGTCGAAGCGATCTGCGCGGCTGCCGACCACAACCTCTCAACCGCGCTCTCCCACTCGCCCCTGTCTGGTCACGTTCAGGCCATCCGCCCCGAAGATGTTCCTCGTTCGAGACCGAGAGCGAAGACCAAGCCCTGCGATAGACCGGACGCACGGCTCAAACAGGTGGATTCCCTTCATGCGCAGACGCGCGTCCAGGAGAACCTTAATCTGCCTGCTGGCCGGAGAATCAAGCTCGAAGATCACTGGGCTACTGACTCTGGCACTGTAAAGGACACCGGGTCTGACTCGGATGTCGAGATCGTCTCTAGGGCCTCTTCTCCTGGTGCTCTGGCGGCTAGGCTGGATGACTCTGACGACGACTTACCGGACCCTAGCGAGTTGCTTGGCGCGTTTGTTGGGTCTAAACGCGGAGGTGATCCTGCGTCGGACTCGTCAAGCGCGAAATACTCAAACTCGGAATTCGACTCTCTCATTCGGTCAGCTCAAGTGGACGAGCTTGGGCAAACCGAGCAACCCAACAGCCCTATGGACGAGCGCCCTGAATGGCTCAGAGATGCCCCCGACTCTGCTGTTGACCCGGATGATGGATCTATCCCCGACACAATGATCGAAAAACCCTCGCCTCCTGTGTCGCGGGGCGTCAAGAGGAAGCCTGTATCCGAATTCCCCGCTTTTCTGCCCAAGAAGACCAAGTTTGACACGAAGGACGCAGAGATTGTACTAGTGTCATCGTCACCAATTGCGGAACAAACGGTATTTTCGGGTATCGAGTTATGCTGAAGTCGTTTGACTGACCGCGTGCAGGCTTCGCCTCCAAGGATATCCAGTGTAGCGAAAGGCAAGCAAAAGGAGCCTTTGTTCCTCGCCGAGTCATCGGACAACGAAGAAGAAGCGGCAGCAGAGAATCATGACTTCTCCAAGGATCATGACGACGACGACGACGACGACGAATTTACACTGGACCCTGACATGTTCACTTTAGTCGACGCGGATATACCCTCTTCGACGACTCTCGTGGACGCTCATCCTGACGTCAAGCAGGATTCTTTGGTGCCTTCGGATTTGAGTTGGAGTCACCATTCTCCGGGACATCTCAGGAGGAAGACGGAAGAAGACAGTACACTTCCACGGGTCAAGGAAAAACAGGTCCACTGGGATGACGACGATCCTGATGACGAGCCTGACGTGTTCGATACCGCGTTGGAAGAGCTAGAGGCATGGATGCAGAGCGGTGCAGTTGAGATTATACCCGATGATTAACAGAGCGTCGCAGGTCTATGAGTAATGTGTACTAGGCTACGGTGTAGATGTCAATGTGTGAGCTACGCTGCTCATTTTGCCTCCTCTTCCTTCGCCTGTCCGCTCCTCGTCTCCGATGGCGGGTCGACGAATACCTTCAACACATCCCTGAGCCGCTCGTCCCATGCAACAGGCTTGCCTGGCCTGATGATATCCCAACCCTCCTCGTCTGCTCGCCAGCGCAGCTCCTTCTTCATCCGCTCAGCACGCAGCTCCACCTCCGTCGGAGGCGGGTAATTGGCCTCCTCCTTCGTCGGCTCGCGCGTGCCCCAAGCAAGAGCACGCGCCGTCTCCAAACGCGCCGGGAGTTTCTCGTAGTACTCCTGCCGTGCCTTCGTGATTACATCAGTGAAGTCGCGAACGTACGACTTCTTGTAGGATGATTCGACGTCCTTGTCGAAGTCGAGGTCCGCGAGCGATGGCTCGGATAGGTGCGGCTGCGAAGGGTCCGGCTCGCCTTGCGATTCCGCCTCCGCTGCCAGTCGCGAGAGCTCCTCTTCGGGCGGGGCATTGAACGGACGCGTTACATCCTTGACGAGGCGGTATGCGGCTTCGGCACCCGACTGCGCTTTATGCCGCTGGTTGAAAAACTCCCAGATCATGTGCGGAATCTGCGAGAACCCGATGTAGTCAACGAAGTGGACTAGCAGGACCGGGGGCATCGGAGGTATGCGCGCAGGCGGGGTGTTCATAGAGGCGGGGATGGTGGATTGTTCTGAGGCTTTTGCAGTAGAGGAGGGGGATGGCCCTTGAAGATGTGGTGGGGTGAACGCCGGGAACGACTTGGACGATGGGAGGCGCGAGGTGGTAGGGATGGGTTCGCCATCCAGGTCAGGCCCGTCGGACACCACATTCGTCTCCAGCTCTGATTCGTCAAACTTGCCGTCGTTCTCGAGGTCTTGTGAGAGCATCTCCTCCCTGTCCACAATCTCAAGGCGTTCTGTCCAGCCTCTCTTCAGGCCGGCCATGAACTCCTTGAAGGTCGGTCGCCCGACGATGACGATGCCACCTTCAAGCTCTCGCCGGCGCTGGTCCTCCGGGGAGTGGTGCGGTAGGACGATGGGAGGTTGGTCAAGGCCTAGCTCAAGCCTTCGCCTCTTCTTGATGTCATCCGCTATTCGCCTCGCCAAGTCCCCGTGTCGCCTGCCGTTAATCATCTCAAAGTCGATCGCAGCGGCGACCAGTATTGGCTAGGCAAGCTGTCAACATCTGAGCTGCATGACGGAACTACATGGGCGGACCTTAACGTACTTGCGGAAGTACTTCATGCCACGGTCGTAGTCTTCGTCCGCGGGCCATTTCGAGCCGTACACGGTGACCTTCCGCGGATAGTCCAAAGAATGCAGCGGGACGTCTGCGAGATTTTTGACCTTGTCGACGTACTCCTTGCGGATTTCTTTGCATTTCCGCCTGTCATAGATGTAGTAGCCTGCGATGGTTGAGGTGACACCGAGAAAGATGAGCCAATTGCGCGAAGGCAGGCTGGGACGCTTGTCAAGCCATGAGGGTGGGATGCCAGTGTACTGGAGGGCAGCCTTCACGCCGGTGAGTTGCGACTTCGGCTGCGGAAAGACGCTGTCTCCAGCTTGCTTGCTCATCGCCAGACACGGCGACGAAGCACTTGAAGACGACGCAGCCAGCAGTGAGCAGAAATGCCGACCTTGCAGCAATAAGCGCCCAGTCTGTTCCGGCGGACCGAGTCACGTGGAAGTGTGAGGTGAGCGCCAGTGCTCCGCCACTTTGAGAGCGAACCTCTCTGCCTCCAACATCCACGATGGCTACCGCTCTTGCTTCACTCCTTCCACAGCCCGTCTACGCCCCTGTTGTCTCGGACGACGAGGGTGACGCTCTGCAGGCACCCGCATTAGCGCCGTCGCAGTCAGTGATCATCCGCGCGGCTGTCCCGCCGTACGGGCAGCGTCAAGGATGGAAACCTACATCACCGGACGACTTTGGTGAGTATCCTGATAGCTTCGATTGACGTTACAGCTGACTTGTCCAAGGTGATGGCGGTGCTTACCCTGAGTGCCATGTCGCGCAATATCCGCAGGGTATGGGGAAGAAGAAGGTGCGGTCGGCCTATTATTCCTCAGGTCCTGCTGTTACTAATCAGAGCCACAGGCTTCCTCTGGCAACACCCTCGCCCTTCAAGTTGATGCCGAAGGCAATGTTCGATATGATGCAATTGCTCAGCAGGGACAACGGGCCGGCAAGATTGTCCAGTCGCAGTTCAAAGACCTAGTACCGTTGGCGCACCGGAAAGACCTCGATGACACCGCGAGACAACTGGAGCGTCCGTCTGACGACGAGGTACAGGCAACAACTGACAAGACACGAGCTGCTTTGGAGAAGCTGGTGAACGGGAAGATTAAGGCTGCACAGCCGAAGAACGTCCCAGACAGCCAAGGCAAGACGGCGTTCATCCGCTACACACCAGGCCAGCAGGGAGGATCAGACGGGCTGAAGCAGCGCATCATCAAGATGACGGACGTCGTTGAAGATCCTCTTGAGCCTCCGCGCTTCAAGCACAAGAAGATTCCCCGAGGCCCGCCTAGTCCGCCTCCACCGGTCTTGAGAAGTCCTCCTCGGAAGGCAACCGCTCAGGAGCAAAAGGAGTGGATGATCCCGCCTTGCATCTCCAACTGGAAGAACAACAAAGGTTACACCATCCCCCTTGATAAGCGTTTGGCTGCGGACGGCCGAGGCCTTCAAGATGTGCGTCTTCCATCATGACAATTCACTCAGATTAGCTAATATTAGTTGGGTGTTCTAGGTCCACATCAATGACAACTTTGCGAAATTCTCCGAATCGCTTTTCATTGCAGACCGACATGCACGTGAGGAGGTGCGGCAACGAGCACTCATGCAACAAAAGCTCGCAGAGAAGGAGAAGGCTCAGAAGGAGGAGAACCTACGCATGCTCGCTCAACGCGCCCGCGAAGAACGTGCTGGCATCCCAACAGCAGCACGACCAGCAGACAACAAGCCGACCGCGGAACGCACCGCCGCCATGCAGTCGTCACTAGGCGCATACGGTAGTGGCTCAGAGGACGAGTCGGAAGCAGGGGAAGAGGAGGACGAGGATGCGGCGCGGCTGCGGGACCAGATGCGTCAGGAGAAGCGGCGGGAGCGAGAGCGCGAGATGCGCATGTCGAACATGGGCACGGAGCAGCGCGCGAAGATGCTCGCACGGCAGCAGAACCGCGACATCTCGGAGAAGATCGCGCTCGGGCTCGCGAAGCCGACGCTGTCGAAGGAGAGCATGCTCGACTCGCGGCTGTTCAACCAGGAGAGCCTCTCCGGCACGTTTGCCGACGACGAGGCGTACAACCTCTACGACCGCCCGCTGTTCCATGGTTCGACCGCGGCGGCTGCGATTTACAAGGCGCGTGGCAATATCACGGAGGGCAACCAGGACTCGTTCGGCGAGGGCACGGAGGAGGGTATCACGCGTGCTCTCGACAACGACCGTTTCGGCCTCGGTCAGGCTAGGGTCGGATTCGAGGGCGCGCAGGACCAGGAAGTTCGCGAGGGCCCTGTGCAGTTCGAGAAGGATACTGGCGATGTGTTCGGTCTCGACAAGTTCTTGGACGAGGCGAAGAGTGGGAAGAAGAGGGGACTGGATACAGACGCGTACGTGATATGACCCTCCCACTCTGTTGTCTGCTCACTGACGTATCTTTGCGACAGTGGCGGCTCGCGCAAACGCCAACAGCTCGACAAGGCAGCCGAGCGCGATTCATGAAGCACGCATGCTTCTTTTTCTATGCTGTGCTAGTAGTGTACTATTCATGTCCTTATTATATCGAGCTATGAGTCCTTGGAGGCAGATAAATCACATTGTGACCTCGTCTACTTACAGTACAAGTACAGCTCGGAAGATTCAAGTACACAACGGAACGAGAAGACATCAAAGCAATCACGGACAAGCACAGTACATTGGTTTCGTCATGATTTAGCCCAATCAGAACGGCGCAGCAAATCCGCCAGATACTTGCCCTCCTCACCATAGTTCTGAGGCATGATTTTCTGGATGGTGTAACGCACGCGGGTCATGTCCTGGAGCAGACATATTGTGAGCCCTTTCCAAGCTAGTCATGAGGCGAGACGTACGTTGAAAGTTTCTTGCCGAGCCCTGCAAGCGAAGTTATATGCGGTGCCGACAGCACGCTCAACGACCTTGGTGAACTCAATGTCATTACGCTCCTGCAACACCATGCGTCAGCAAGCCATACTTCGAGATACACAAAGTAGATGCATACCCTGATCTCGATGATCTCATTCGCGGGCATGCCGAAGAGCGCTTCCCCAACCTCATTAAAGCCCTGCAGCCACGCCTGGCCAGAGTAGTCCGCACACGCCATCGGGAAGATGTAGCGGTAGTTCGGCTTGTCCCAGCTTTTGTTGCACTTCTCGCAGCGCCAGCCGTCGTGGCTCTCGAGCACCTTCTTGCTGCATCCCTGCGTCTGGCACGCAGGGTACGCGATGGTGTCCGTCTTGATGTGCATCACCGTCGCGCGCGCGGAGAACGTCTCCACCTTGTCCGACGCCCCGAGCTCACGCGTCTTCACCTCATTCAGGGGCAGGATCTCCGCGCGGTCGAACTGCGTGAAGCTCCCGGCGCCCGCACCCGCGTTTGAGTAGGCCTGGTACGTCTGCGCGGAGCCTGCTGCGTCGTACCAGCCCCGCAGCGCGTGCGCTTCCGGGATGTCGGGGTTGGCCTGCATGATGCTCGTCGTGAACATCGAGAGCGAGCGTCCGCCGAAGTCGCTGACGTTCGCCGCCTTGACGGCAACGACGGGCTGGTCGTCGCCGACGAAAGACTCGGCCTGCTTGCCCCAGAGCGTGAGGCGCACGGCGTATCCCGAGCGGTCAACCAGAGTCAACTCGCGCTTTTGCAACTGGATAGAATAGGTCAACAGAGGGCATATGATACGGTTGATCGCCTTACAGTCTTCCCAGCCTTAGAGATGAGCTCCGTAAGGGGTGTGACTTCCTTCACTATGCCAATCACATCTGGAGGGAATGATGAAATTGTGCGATTGTAGATATGCGTGAGATGAGACATACCGCAGACAGAGTCTTTTGTGAGGTCGGTGAGCTTGGCCAGCTCGACGAAGTTGTATCGGATGGACGGCATGTTTGTGACATCGGTGCACTGCGTCAGGGACCATGAACAAGCATTTTGGCGTAAAGATAGAAAGAGAACGTACTTCTTCGATCTCGGTGTTTCGCTCGAGGTTTAGCTCATACTCGTTCTGAACATTGGAGAACTTCTTCTTGGCGAGATTCACCCTCGCTCGCGAGATGTAGTACACCTTGCCCTCTTGGATCTTATCGTACAATTCGTCGACCGCCTGGTTGAACCCCGTCGCCTTGATCTCGCCAGTCTCGTCCATGAGCGTGATGCTGAAGAGCTTGCCCTCGCCTCGCTGGTTCGACCATGTCCTAATGTCCGACTTCTGGACGACACGAGCCTTGATCGTCCAGTTGTTCTGATAGGGGCTGAGGCTTTCAATCGGGTATATTGCTGTTCGGCCTGCTCGGCCTTGTTGGCGGGGTGGCTGTTGGGGTGCAGCAGCCGGTGCCGGCGTCGTAGACGAAGACGCGGCTCCGGGCGCGGGCGTGGTATTTGCAGTAGGAGCACCCGCATTGGGGGGCTGCAGAGCCGTGGGGTTACCAATCTTGGGGACTTCTTTAGAAACTAGCCTCAGCGCAAGGATAATGAGGAGGCTTGAGGCGTGCAAACCCAAGATAAGTGATTGTACATGCCACCGAAGACCACGACGCGACTTACCGCTTTTCCTGCACCAAGTTACACGAAAACTTCTCAATGACGGCGATGGAGTGCTTCTTGATACGCTCCTCCTCGATAAGATGGTTCAACTGTGTTGCCAGCATCGCTTGTAAGAAGTGTTCTCCATCGGACACGATGATACGGTAGCGATCGACCGTGGTCGCTCCTGCCGTTGTAGGCGCGACTTTCTTGAAAGACAGGAACTGTATGGTTGGATGAGAGTCAAGAATATCATCCTCAATGTTGGTCACGTCCGCAAGACGCGCGCAAATGCCAGCTGTGAGTTGGTGCTCGAGAGCCATGGTGGTTCGCGTCGTGGTCGGGGAAAGAGCGCAGAGCGCGTCGACGCGTCGCGTGTCCTGCATACATAATACGCGTTTCTTATGTAATCCGGGTTGGTAGCCTCAAATGGCAATGGTCTTGTTCGATGTCTCTTCTACGCTGGCTCATGTTCACAAATATACAGCATCTCTTTTGCATTTCCGCATAACTCACACCATGGGCAACGGCATGGGCCGTTCGTCATTCTTCTGCCACCGTGGCGACTAACTGGGCCTGCCGTCACCAGTACTTGGCACTCAACAATATTTGCCTCGGACGCAGTCGAGCTTGGTACTCAACTATGTAGCATTCTTCACTGGCTCCGAGGGCCATAGCATAGTCCTACCGTAAGTACACATTCAATCGTGTCTATATTTCTGGACAGCCACGCCGCGTCGCAGAGAGCATTGCTTGACTGCTCCCACGTCCTGTCATCCCGAATGCTATCTTGCAACTGACAACTCCGAGACGGAGACAACGCTGTGAAACCGCTCACTGACGCCTTCCTGTCAATCGTCGACGTATATAATACGCATACCAGAACAGACGTTGGCTAACGACCGGTCGCCCTTACTGCTCCGACTCGTCTGCCTCTATCCGCGTCCCTCGGTTGATTTCTCCTGTTTTATTGTCACTCTTTGGCCTACGCTTGGCACGATGGCCACCACTCTTCCTAACTATGCACCGTATAATATATCGCTCACAGACCAGTCTGCTATCGTCCGTTTCTTTCCACACAGGGACGGCCTGATCACAGATAACTGGAATGTCACCTACACTGATAGCAACTTTGCGGATTGGTCCTACAACAACAATTTTGGCTCCGGGGTGAGCATGCCTCTACTTCAGACATTTCACTTTCGTTTTGATGACCTGACTTTACCTCGCAGATCTCGCAGATGAGTGCCCACAGAACGGTTCTGGTTGGAGCTTATGTAGTGATCGACTGGGCGGGAACTGCAGTCTTCCTGTACGGAACATCAGCCGCGGAGTATACAGTACAGGTCGATGGTCAGCCCTTGCTCACAGGACTGGGTGCCGACGGGCTCCTCTTCAGTCAGACCGACCTGGCGTATGGCTTACATACGGCTGTCCTGACCGTGAATGCAGGCGAGCTCTCCCTCGCCAACGCGACTGTCACTGTGGGTATGGGCGAGACTGGGTATGTAGTATATTCTGGTTCCTTGAACTTGCTCTAACGTCCGGGTGCTGCTTAGAACTGTTCTCCAGCAGCGCAACATCTCAGCCGTGGATACTAGTGTCTCGCCCGCCACCGCCAATCCTACATTCATTGGCGACACCAACGAGTGGTCTGTCACCGACTTGTACACCAATCAAACGGCAAATGGGTCTCCCTGCATCATTACTTCTACTTACGGCTCCACACTTGCCTTCAGCATTAGCGAAGCGGTTGGCTTCGTTCTCTATGGTAGCGACGACTGGGCCCAAGGACTGTTCACCGTTTCGGTGACCAGCGATAATTTCGGCGCCACGTCTTTCATCACCGACAACAGCATTCAGTACAGCCCGCGCGCTCTGTGGACCCAGCTGGACTTGCCGAAATACATGGCGACGGGTCTAGACAGAACTGCGACGTACGACGTGGTGATCACGAACCTAGGAGCGAACTTTAACCTCGCGTCCGTCGTTGTATACGACGCGATACCGTCTGCTAGGTGAGCTACGCGTAAGCGATGCTCAGAGTAGCTTCGTCACTGACACCGATGGTTGGTCACTGGCAGCGCATCTACTTCAGCGTCGTTGATAGGATCCTCGCCGTTGCAGTCAGGCGTCAGTGGCAGCGGTACTTCGGCTGCCGGTCAGAATACCTCCTCGTCCTCATTGAGCTCTACGCCTACGGGCTCCACGTCGCCAACGGCCGCACCGACGGGAGGTTCAAGCTCCAGTGCTAGTGGGAGGAAGTCAAGCAACACTACTAGTCGTCAATGCATAGTGGGTCTGCATGTTTCCGGTACCGGACGGGTGTCTAATATGTTCATTAGCTCATGATCGTTGTTCCTGCTCTCTTTGTGTTCCATTTCTGTTACGCAGGCACTTGTGTAGTCTAGTAACATTGGATTCGGGAATGCTAGTAGAGGAAACCCCAATATACACGTTATATTTGGTTCTAAGCTCAGCGCTTCCAAGCTTGGGTGGCTCAGTTGGTTAGAGCGTAGGTCTCATATTTACACATGAACTCCCCCCGGGAGCATAATCCTAAGGTCGCGAGTTCGAACCTCGTCCCGAGCATGTCTTTTTGTTTTTGTTTTTGTTGTTCCGAGACCAGGATGCAACCAGGATGTACAGGGAAACATCCAGAAGATCGGTAAATTGGAAGCTACGCCCCTACTGAAATAGCCGCCGGCCGCAGTACGCACCTGCCCGATATGGCAAGTGCACTCTTACCCGCTATTTCATGGCAAAAGCTCGACACCTGTGTACTGTATTAATTCTGATGATATAGATCATAAGCAATCCGCAAAGTGGCTAAAGATACTTCAATCAGCATAAGGGACTCTATGTGTCCGGTACAACACTGTGTGCATGCTGTCACAGGCTGTTACGCGCAGAGCGCCCATGTCACAGCTGGCATGACACGTCTCTCTGTGTCACCGTTTCACCTACCGCTGCGCACGCATTACTTAGTGGTGGTGTATTCTCGCACAATACCTCTCAAACGTGATGCGTGCGACAGCGAGAAACGCCGTAAGACTGGCTATACCTCGTCCGTAGTGCGGTCCGGACCCGCAGGGGCGTACTTTCTATTTTCGACATGTCCTCGAAACATCAGGCAATACCGTGGTCGAAGATGCGTGCATCCGATCCGTTGCTACTTGAAGAATGACAGGGTGTAAGTACAACTTGCCACAGGGTGTTTTTACGGCGTACGAAGCCTCGCCTTGTTGTGCCAGGTACCGATTTGGCGCCCTTCGAAACATACGCCGTTGTCATACGGCGTAGCACAACTAATCTTCGAGCAATATGTCAATAACTTACTTCGGTTGCACAGTACTTTCGCCTTCGCCAGCTACTTATCGCAAGGCCACTCGAGTTCAAGGATTGCGCAGTAGGATGATATGCCCACAGCACTGTACACTATGAGGCCGGCAAGAATGGAACCAGGCCACAGTAAGTCACCTTATCAAACATACAGCGCGCGAGAATGATACAGAGCAGAGTGAGAGCACGCTATGGCTACAATATATATGATACGAATAATAATAGGGCTCCTTCGGCAGTCAGACCTCAGGCGACATGCTACGTGCTCGCCTGCGCTTCTTCGCGGACGCGTACACCTGAGCCGGACTCGTGGTGATGACGACCTCTGCGCGGTTGACAATCTTCCGTGGAGGCGGCTTCTTCGGGGTGGACGGTGGGGAGGCGCGACCGACGGCTGCACCTGCGTCCAACTGCGAATAGTCGACCTCTTCCTCGTCTTCAGACTCAGGCTCAACTGGATCCTCTTCGGAATCAGATGCCACGCGTTTCCGCTTCAAGGGACGTGTCGCTTTCTTCTTGCTCTTCTTTGCTGTAGTAGATTCGGCGCCCTGTTCGACCACACGACATTCCTCCACCACAACACCAGCTTGCAGGAGGACATCGATCCAGACCTAGATGAAGTGGCTGTGAGCAAGGACGAGCGGCCGAATGTAGTACTGTGTCACCTTCTGATTCTCCTGCAGTTTGTCTCCTGGACCTTTGACCTCGACAAACTTGCTTTCCCGAGTGGCCGAGTGCCAGACGATCAAGTCTGGGACACCGCCTGTGCGGCCAGCATAGTCTTCGCACATCAGTCGACAGATCACAACAAGTGCGACACCTCCGAGACACTGTAGATGAGTGTCAGGTATGTTACACATGAGGGTAGACATCGGCCGGTCGACGTACCTCTGCAATCTCAAGCAAGTCGTTCTTCTCGAATAGATCCCACTGCACGCCGACGCACCAAGTCTTCTTCTCGCCGTGTTCGGTGAAGACGCGTTCTATGATCTCTGGGCCTTGTCCAGATTTCAGTTCCTCCAAACGCGGATCGATAAGATGTTGCCTCGTATAGTAGAAGGTGTCCTCGACAATATCGAGAGGAGCATGCTGATATGGCGTCTCGAATGCGCCAGGGATGTTTGCGAAGATGATGTCCCACAAGAGAAGGCCAAAGAGGGTTTTTACGACCCGCCCTTCACAATGAAATCTACGAGGAAGCGTCAAGACCTATGTCGTGCAGGACCATGTAGCGCATGACTTGCCCTCGGAAGCCTTGCTCCTCGTAGTGCTGGAGGGCCAGCATCTCGACGGTGACCTCCTCCCCGTCTCTACCTATCCAAATGGATTTGCCTGTCCACTTCGGTCCTGCCTGATGGACCATGAATAAGGGTGGATACACAGCACTACAAGCACCATACCTCGGGAGGATGCTTCTCAAGGGGTACAACACCTGGTTGCACCCAATCGGACGGTATCGATGTCTGGACCCGGACATCGTTGCGCGTGCCCTGAGCAGGCGCTTTAGAGGCTTTGTTGATGTTCCGGCCAAAGGGATCCAACTTCAGGCTCGTTTCTCGGTGGTACACTCGTGTCCCTGTCATCTGAACCACAGCGGCTTTCTCGAGTTTGCCTTCACAGGTGTGACGCTCTTCTTCGGGCACCTTGAGTCGCTTTTCAAGGGTCGTCAGTCTACGTTCGAGTTTCGGGCGGAATACTGTATTCGGACATCAGTATGCCTCATAGGCTTCCAAATGCCGACCGACCAATGTGTGTGTCATCATCTTCTAGCGCCTCGATGACAGCCGCTTTCGCGACTTCGTACCGCTGAAACTTCATCAGGAGCAGCGCTCGACGCTCGTACCATCGTCCTCGGCGTCCGCGCCGCCACCGCCGCTGAGCAAGAAGCGCCTCGAGGACTTCAAGCTCATACTCGTGTTCGCCAAGCATACCGAGTGCCGCAGAACCCTTGCAGACGACTCGTGTGAGGACATGGCCTGTCGTGCATTAGCCTTCCTTCAATAGTGTGAGAGGGATATGGGCCAACATACCGCAGTCAAAACGTTCAAGTCCCCTAGGCCGACCGGCCACCTCAGCCTTGACTTGGACCATGTTCTTCCACTGCTCGTATACGTCTTGGAAAATAGGCTTGAGAGCACGCGCCTTCCGCTTTGTAGGCCCGTCCAGTTCCAAGTTTTCGTTCTCCGCACCAGGTCGGTTGTCGACGTCCATCGCATCCTCAGCCTTGCCCTTGTCGTTCTTGCGAGGTGTGACCGGCGTCTTAACCCTCTTGGCAGCTGGACCTGGGGTTCGGCTTGTTGATGAACGCACGCGGAACGAGGCATTGGAAGTGCCATCTAGTATTGCATCGACTTGTGCTTCTTTCTCGAGTGCCTCCTCATACGCTAAGAGAGCGGCCCTTGAAGGCCATATCGTGGGCGTGCGATCGTACTGGTAAGACGTATATGACCGTTTGCGGGCATAGGCGAGGATAGATTCTGTGAGCATCGATGGTGCCTGCTGGGTCCTAGAGGTTTATAACAATGAGATATACGTGGTCTTCAAACGGCTAGTACTTACTTGCGGAAATATACAAGGTTGATGCGCCGTAGGAGCTTAATGATGTGGTCATTAATGCGCACACAAGTCTCTGTTTCGTGTCAATTGCACGGCCAGCCATCAAGTAGACCCGACTTACCGAGCGTCTTCATGACGACTGCTCGCAGTCTGTCCGCTTGCGTCCGACCAGAGAGGAAGACATTACTCTGAGTGAGAACGGTGCTATTCCCTTTCTTACTTCGTTTCTTCGGCTGACCGAGAAAGAACCCCAGTGTAGCTTGGCCAGAGCATGTGCGGATCAGCTCGTCAATGAGAACATCCTAAATCAATCGTATGTCAGACTCTGAGGACGTGCTGATCCACTCGACACGTACCTTCGAAGAGCCCTTTACCTTGAATTGCTTTGCGGTCGCCTTCAGCTCTTCGACCGCGAGGCACTCCAGGAGTTCGCGTAAGGTCGCCCCAGACTCGTCTTCTGCAAATGATGCATGTACAGAACCTGGGACCGGCCCTTGTTCAAATTCTTCTCTCGGCTTTCGAGCGAGCGGAGGAGCCCCTATTTGCGGCAGTTCATCGGCATCTGTCCCTGATGTCAAGTCGATAATTTCCGGCTCTTCGGTTTTGACTTTGGGTTCGGTCGACTCAATCTTGACAGCAGGGTCTACCTGACCTATCTTTGCCGGGTCCCAGGGAGGCTCATGGCTGAGCGACAGTGGCTCAGCCTCCTGTTCAACTTTGACTTCGGCCTTCACTGATGATGCGTTCCCGGCTGCTGGCGAATGTGCCTTGCCACATAACTCCGCAATGGCGGGTCGTACGTTGTTCCCCAGTTCTCCCTCGTACTTGAGGGCACTGAGCCTATGCCATTTGTCTGCCTTGCGCAGACAGAGCCGGACCAAGAGGTAGCGTGCATGGTCTATGTATGAAGTTTCTTGAGAGAGAACGGTTCATGCGACGAGAAACAACGTACAAGATAGCTTGCTATATCTTCCTAGACATGCAATTTCGTCAAGGGTGAACAGGCAGTGCTCCTTGGCCAAAACCGTGGACACCATGTCTACGTTCGTGAGTTTTCCGATCCCGACTTTCGGAAGTGGGCCTTCGTACCTTCGAACAGCGAAACATACATCGACACACGGGCTTCCGTGCCATCTGTCCCATCCACTACAGCGGCTTCCATAGAACCTGGATCCACACGCTCAGGGCCTTCCTCGGGACCGCTTCCGAAAAGTAGGGTCTCCGCCACCATCGCCGTAGGGGACTTTGGTAGCATGCCGACTTGCGTGCGTGGGATTGAACAGCGCGGGTCTGAGGGCGTCGGGGAGGGTGTGGACGACAGATTGGGTGGTGATGGGGGTATAAGGTCAAGGAGCAGTTCTCCAGAGTCCAGACGTAATGCAGACAGGAGGTCGCCGCCACCCGACCTTGACGAGACGCGACGGTAACGCGCAAGCGTGACAGGTTGTGACTCTCGCGTTCCGTAACGACGCGCGCGCGACGCGTACATAACATCACGGGCCCCACCCGATGGACATTGCAATTGCGCAGGCCTTCCAGTGAATCTATACTTTGCGTCGCGAATGACTGGCGCAGTGGGGTCTCGACCAATGCTCAGTAGCGATCCGTATCTTCCGGCTTGATTGTGTGAGTCTCGACTCGACTGGATGATTGCACGCCGGGGCCGAGTCGCCGACTTTCCTCGCCGGTACATGCGCTCAGGCTGCGGCAGGGTCACAGTGACCAGACGAAATGGCGATTCGTCGAATGCATCTGCACGTTTGGTGAGGAACTTGAGGGGCGAACGAATAATTTGGCCTGGGCATGTTCGAGCACACGGTTGCTGCAGACAATCCGAGGTCCCAGTCTTGTCTGTGGATGCGCGAAGTGGGGAGGTCGACAGGGTTGCCACGACGTTGACTGGACACACAAGTCGTACTGCAATCTTGCTGCACATTCTTTGCAAAGAAAAAACGATGAGCGCATTGATGTTGTTGCCACGGCACCCCGTGCAGGCTTGTGTTTCTTGCTATGAGTATCATCTGCGGCCCTCTTGCAGCACACGTCGTCTGTGATATAAACATGCACATGTAGTCACGCAAATCCGAGTAACCCAGTCGACGTCTTGACCAATCCTACAGCGCTCTTCACACAAAGTAACTGGATGCTCGGGTTTACTCACCACGCTAACGTCAACGGTAGAGGGCAATCACAGTCACCCTGCCGTGGCAAGGGCCGCCCATGTTCAGTGCAGAGCCGACGCGCCATCCCATACCTTCTTCATCGCTCACACATGTGTGTACGAAGATGGATCCCGGAGTCCTGCGTTCGATGACAGTGACCGGCCACTGATGCCAGCTTCCGCACACCTGCTTGTCCAGTTCGCATTGTAACGTTCCACACAGGGACATAAAACTCCGCCAGAGGGTCTTGGTCCCAGATAGATCAGCCGGTAGACGGGGTATCTGCAATGCATATTGGTTGTGTTCGTGGCAAACGCACCAGTAAGTGTCACAGCAAATGGAATATAGCGTTACCACCGACGAACGTCACACTGACGTCCCGGCGTAGCCTAGAAAACATTCAATCTAATGTCCCAGAGTGTAAATGTCCAGAATTTGCGATACCCGAGTGGGGCGTCCGGCAGAAGACGTAAAGACACTGCACCTGTACATTCTTGATCGCGCTCCGTTCATAGGCCCTCCGCCGGTCGACCTCGTCATACTGACCAGCGTGAATGTACTCCGCCAGTCGTTCCTTCGATCATCAACTGGGGTCATCCATGCTGACTCGCCGATTAGTGAGGCAGATTCCCTACAAGTGTCAAGTTAGTGCCTCGGAACCCGCTTGCGAGAAGTCTGCAATCAATTTCATTGACACTTGACATGTCGCGTAAGGCCGGAAATGACGCGTTACTTGTCAGCGACGCTGGTCCGTGCGGCCTGACAATACGCGCGACGATCATCAGCCCGAGCCTGATCAGAACTTCGGTGGCCCGGACATAAACACACGATATGCCACCTCCCAGCGAGAGCTGACACACCTTACATCCATCCGCCCCGGGATAGCGTGTGCACCGCGTGCCTTGCACCGTACGACGTACGTATGCGCTTGCCGATGTACGAGACGCCTGCGATGTTCCTTCCGCCACTGCTCCGAGGCGCTAGGAAGAACGGAGGTGATCGGAGGTGATGATCGGGAACGAGAGGGAACACGATGATTGGCTAGAGTTCCATACCGCGAAAGCCCCGGGCGGACAGCATACGAGACGCCCTGAAGACGCCCATTTCATGGACAAGTACTGGCCGGCGGGCCACGGTCCACTGCGGAGGGCCACCGAACTTTTCGGTTTTTCGGTGGATCCAAAAGGGGCACCGAGGGAAGTGGCAGGAAGTTGTCGCTACGATGAGAGCATTGGCACGACCAGATCTGAGGCCAAGGTTCTTGTGTGATGCCGGGTCAACGATGACAGCGCCACGGGTACGTTTTTGGCATAACCCTCCATCCCCGGTCGCGCACCCGAGCGAGGCTAGTGTACGCTGTGTAGGCCGAGTCGCGAGTCCGTGCACGACGAGACGTTTAGCTGAATGTCTGGGTGGTTGTATCACGGCAAGACAAGACTCTAACAGCAGCAGAAGTGCTCACCGAGTGAGGTGAATGGTCTGGCACGGTATAACAAGGAGATCTGATCTGTGCGATCGGTTTAAGTCTTTCCTCAGCCTGCGACGCCGCCGCACGTCAGCTGCACGTCAGAACAAACCACCTAGGCTCTCCCGCGCGCCGGGATGCGAAGGCCACAAGCGAGTGTAAAGGAGGCGACCTCTGACAATGAAGCAGATCAATCAAGCGCTTGCGACGAAACGAAGTTGTTCGACTCACGTCCACAAGACCCGTGCCTCCTTAGCGTGACGTACGCGTCCAAGCAGGACATGCTCGTCCGCAGGGAACCGGGATACAATTGCAGAGCTAGCCGACGGCCACCTCCGAGTCCCTTTCTAGCCGTGTGAGAGGCTCACCCCGCAGTGGGCTTGCTGTGCGACCTGTAATCTCCTCTGGCAGATGGGAAGAAGACCTGCTGCCAGTGGCAGCGGCAGCTGCGGCCGCAAACACCACTTCGTTACCGTAGGTATTACTTACTCACCTTCCATCGGCCACCGACTTCGGCCGCGACACGACACGTACTTCGAGCAGCGCTGAGCAGCGTTAGGCTTCGATCGCGACCAGAGCGTCGCGGTCAGCCACGCACTCGAAAATTTGCACGGGAGTACAAGGATGGCCACATCGGTGAGGAACGGGGCCCTGGCGAGACCCTAGCTGTGCACGGACCTTCCGAGCGTCGTCTGAAGTCTGAAGATTTCACGTCCTGGATGCTCCGGACGGACAGCCACAGCGTACCAGCGCCACGAATGCGACGCGGTATATGGGGAGGCACGTGCTGAGAGCGTCGCGCGACGCGTCGCGGGTGGCGAGAATCACAGGCCTCAAAGGCATATGCATGCATTCCACCGGGGATCCGGAACAGCATCGACAGGCGTCGGAATCCACTTCATATAATGAAGGTGGAGAAAACACGATGCAGAGGAAGAGCGGCGTAGCCAGGGGCGGTACAAAGAAGACTCGGGGGCTGTCGGGGAGCCTGCTAACTAAACAAGGCGGACGGGTCGGTGCAAATGCACGGAGCAAGTAAGTAGCCAAGTTCGATGGAGGTCGAGACTGGGTACGCTGAAATCTTCTCTCAGCGCGCAGCAGCGCAGGGAAAAGTGACAGAACGGGGTTGGAACGGGGTAGAGCTGCTCCACGATGAGCCGTCGACTGATTGGGATGACGCCCGCGGTGTCGTATTGATCATGAGCGTTGTTCACCTGCGCGGTCTGCACAGTGGCCTCTACGCACGGGGACAAGCCGCAGAACACAAGCGAGGCCATTCATACAACGCACAGGACACATCAGCTATGTCGAACTAACAGTCCTTCGAATCAACGGCCAATGTCAACAGGTGTCGTCTGAGCGCATCATGCGACCATAGTCGGTGGCCTTGAAGTCGCCATACGAAGCGAACATGGCTAGTGATCCAGAGGTGGCTCTAACGTTCATGAGAGTAGAGTCCTGTCAAGAGTGAACCTTCGCATTGACGGGGATGGGTCAGCTACGTATACAACGGAAGCGAACAGCAGATCACTTGCGGGGCGCCAGTACAGCTATGCACCATTGAGCGGTCTTCCTCCTCCACGCATCGTACCAGCCGGCTGTGCAGAAAACTCCGGCAGAAACGCCGCTATACGAGGCAAATGAGGGCTTCCTGGACGTAGACGTAGCCCCTGTCTAAGTGAGTCCCCCAGAGTATAGAACGCTTGCCGAGACGAGTTGGCCCCATGATGTCCTCTGGGGTCGTGACACTGATCAGCGGCGCCAGCCGGGCAGCCCACATCGACAGCCGCCAGGCGGGAGGCTTGGTTGTGACCATTTGCGGAAGAAACGGACGGCGATGCGGGTGTTGGTGCTGAAAAGGGAAACATGCTAGTTGAATGCGCGCAGCGGGGGCGCTTGTGGGCGTCGTGCGATGCCATGGAGACCACAGAACGCTTCGGGCCAATATTGGGCCCATATTGGGCTTGTTTGAGCTCGACCTCGAGGCACGTCGGGGCCCGGGGACGGCGCGACGCGCATCGTCGTCGTAAGGCGACGGTAAGGCGATCAAAACTTGGATATTGCAGGTTGCTGTGGGTTCGTCGATCGTTCACCAGGCACTAGATCTGCGCACCAGAAGCGAGCCAAACCAAGCGAATACTCCGCGAAAGTCAATACACAGACGAGGGTGACGAGTGGATCAGGGCAGCGATCAGTTGACCGCTGCATGCTCGCGCACGGGGGCGCTGGGGCGCTCAGCGACTGAAGGGGGCGGCCGCTGACCGAGAAGTACCGCGCGCGCATCAGATAATTGCGGACCAGGGAGGCGCGTCAGGATGTCCGATGTCGAACTCGCTCAGAGCCGCCGCACCGCGTCGGACCGATGAGTTGCGCGGGAGCTCGCTTGGGCATGGGCACGGCGGTCGGGACTCGGTAACATGAGGCAGTGCGAAGCTGATGTTTGATTGCGGGTCAGATGAGGGAGCGCGAGAGCTAGGGGGATTGCGCAACGAAGGCGAGGTGGTGGCCAGACGCGCTTCGGGCACAGCTAGGGGAGGCGGTCGTTGTATGCGGGTGGTTAGCAACGTCCGAAGTCATTCGGTGTGGGCGAGAAGGCGGGAGGGCGCTCTGAGTACGCTGATTTTGGTGGCCTGTACAAATTTGAGGGCCGCGAAGATCAGCAGTGGTCAGGGGGTGGCTAGCTGGTTAAGGGTGGCAGAGTACTTGCGACGAGTACGCGAGCAAGGTTTGTCGATAATCGAGACGCCAGCTCTTCTCGTGGAGGATCTGCCTGAGATCTACGGTGAGTACCCATCACCAGGAGTGATCGGGAGACAGCCGGCGGGGCCTAAGACCAGAGCTCGAAAGTACGAGGTACGAGTGTTGCCGTGATTCTGTGAGGTCGGTGTAGTGACATAGTCTCGCTGAAGTCTCAAAGTGAGCAGGCCGACAACGAGGCAGCAGGAGTAGGTGCGAACAAGACAACACGACATGTATGAGGGTGTTATTGCCTGTTGCACTCGGATTGGGTAATCGAACGCAAGAGTGCGCAGAAGAGACACGTCCAAAGTAGGCATACCTCGACCGAAGAGATATTCGGCCTGCCTGTCAGTTGCCGCTGATGACATCAATATGTGAATGGCAGGAGAACGTAGCAGACGTCGGCGAAACAAGGGCATCGTACGTGGCGGCTCGAACGAGGGACGGCGGGTTGATGGGTCGAATGTAGGCAATGATGCCAAAAGGACGATAAGCGTTTACCCCGGACGTAGCGGAGCGAGGTTGATTGCCTTGAGGCGAGCTCTCGCCTCAAGCCTTGGTGTGGCGACAGGCATCAGGAAGGAGTGATAGAGTACGTCGAGACTTGCAGCGTAGTTGCGTCGCGATGGCAGAGCGGGGATCGCAGGATCGGCGGTGGGAGCGGGGGATGGAGGGGGAATGGGCGGCGGAGAGGCTACACGGCGGGCGACGGACGGGGGACGGGGATTCTGGCCAGGATATCGGAGGCGGGGCGTCTGGCAGCCTGCGCTGGAAGAGGCATCGACCGGGGGAGGAGATAGAAGCAGCGGGAATGATGGGCCCGAAAAGGCAAGCCTGTGGCCGGGGGATGCCGAGCACAGATATATGTGCCGGCGGACGGGCTTGGGCGTGCTCCCATCCCCGTCTACATGGTTTCTGCCTGAGGCCGTCGTCCGTCTGATCCCCCGTGCTCTCTTCCTCCCGCCTAGCCCTGCCGTCACAAGGACCCCGCCTGGAGTGCGTACTCGCCGTTCTGTCCGTCCTGCTCGCCACTGACCCGTTTTCGTGCAGATCTCGCGACCCTTGCCGGCCTCTCCCTCCCCGCCTACCCCCCAGCAAGCACCAGACGCCTCACAAGCAGCACCGTCCGCCGACTCCCCTCGCGACCGGTATCAAGCACCTGCTCCCAGAAACCCATCGACAGCCCTCCCGCAGCCCCCGGATCCCGCTGAGTTCACTCGCGTACCCGGCCTGCTCATAATCCTCCACCTCCTCACGACCCCGCAAAAGCAACGTCCTTCTACCGTCCTCCTCTTGGCTCTTGTGTATCGGTGCCCCCGTCGACAACAACCCCTGCTTAGACCTGCAGCATATCTCGCCCGCACGGCCCAGATATCCTGCCGCATACTCTGTAACCCCACTCACGCAACTCACATACCCGATGGCTCTCCCGATCACCATCCCCGCTTCCCCCGCTGCTACCGGTTCCCCTGCCTCTACTGACGGCACCAACGGGCCTCAGACCCCTTCCTCTCCTTCCAACCCCCCCACGCTCGCTCTTCCCCCTGCGGATGCTGCGGCCCCTGCGGCTGCTCCCGCCACCACTAATGGCTCCGCCAACAGCGCTGCAACCAACGCTAACAAGCGCAAGCCCAGCCGCCGGGCCAACACGGCCGAACGTAGGGCTACCCACAACGCCGTGGAGAGGGCGCGCCGAGAGACTCTGAATAGTCGTTTCCTCGTATGTGATTTTCACCTTTGTGATCCCGGTGATCTCTGAACACTAGGCATCGTAGGATCTCGCGGCGCTACTGCCCAACCTCTCTCAAATCCGCCGCCCCTCCAAGTCCTCGATCGTGAACTCGTCGATCGCCCACGTCCACGCGTCCCGTCGCCACCGCCTTATCGCTGCTCGCGAGCTCCGCCTCATCAAGCTCGAGGCCGATGCGCTCCGCCGCGAGCTGAACGAGTGGCGCGATCGCTCCGGTCTCCCCCGTGTTGAAGAGCCCGTCCGCGGCGAGGCCTTCCAGATGGTACTGAGCGGCGAAGTCGAGATCCTCAGCGCCGGCCCCATCGAGGAAGAGGATGGCGCTGATTACGCTGGTGACGACTACGGCGATGATGATTTCGTAGGCGCTCAAAACGGCGGCGTCGTCGGTAACCATGTGAACCTCGGTCCCGGCGAAGACGCACCCATGGACGAGATGCGCGCCCCGATAGCGCACGCGGCCGCCTCTGCTCTCCTCAAGAACGACCCCTTCGCCCACGGCGTTCCCAACAACGGCATGCACCTCCCGCCGTTGATGACCCGCCACGGCGGACACAACAGCGGCACGCCCATGATCGTCCAGAGCCCCTCTTCTGTGTCGTTCGAGAATCCTGCCATGGTGTCCATGTACGAATCCCACCACGGCATGGGCGGCAACCAGTTCAACGGGCAGTTCTTCCCCGGCATGAATGAGGACAAGGTCTCTTGGCACGGCTCGATGTACAACGGGATCGCCAACCCGGGCCCCGGCCAGCAGCAGTTCACGCCGCCGTCGACCGCGCAAGGCCAGCAGCAGCGCGCATACTTCATGAACATGCAGCGGCAGCAGGCGATGATGCAGCAGCAGCAACAGCAGCAGCAGCGCGGCATGGGTCACGCGTACGGAAGCCCTGACGGGGACGACTCGTCGAGCGTCGGGTCCGCACCGGCGCGCCGCGAGCGCAGCGGCAGCATGGGCAGCAACGGGAGCGGGTACGCCTCGCCGGGCTCGAGCGGTGGGTACGAGGTGCCGCGGCGGATGGGCAGCGGGAACGGCGCACCCTTCGGCGGCGAAGGCATGGGCATAGGCATGAACGGTATGGGCATGGGCCCCGGCATGATGAAAAGTGCGCCGATCAGCGTTGGCGGCGGCGGGAACGGCCACGGATACGCGTCCATGATGCTCTGAGCGCACCCCGCGGTCGTTCCCCCTCCTCTCGACGGGCGCGCTGGACAAGTAAGCGCGTTCTGTCGACGGCGCCCCCTTTCCTTCCCGACTGCCGTGTACGATTTTAATTGGCAGCTCTCTACGCACTCCTAATCGGCCTCGCCACCTGTTCCCCCTGGCAGGCCCTGCCTATCTATTTCTCGTCTACCGTCGCTGTGTGCGCCGTTCTTTGTGTACGTTCGTTGTATCACTGCCTGGTGCCCTTGCCCTGCGCTCGCGCAAGCCTAGTTTACACCCTCCCCTCGGTCTGGTTCTGTTGTCGTTTCTTGCTTGTTGCGTCGTATCATGATACCTCCGCTGTACTACCACTCACTACCACTCTGACTGCCGGCCCCTCCAGTCGTTCTGTGTGCGTCCCGGTCGTGTACTGCCCTAGCCACTCGTTATATTAGCTAGTGAACCGCGTACGCATGTGCTTTGTGTGCGCCGGTCGCTGCAAGTCGCTCGTTCACCCAATCGTCTCCCCTGTCTGCGCTGTGCCATGTAATCTGTACTAATTGCTGTGGTCACTGCTGTCGATCGAACGAGTTTGACCGACAAGGTGACGACGAGAGAGCAAACTCCGCCCGCGTAAAGTGCGCGGCCGGCATGTCGCATCAGAGGCAGATTTTCTGCTAGTGGTCCGCGGCGCGCGCTAAAGCTGTAACACTGCCGTCGCCCTCGCTACGAGGGCGCGATCGGGGCCTGAGGCGTACCCCGCCCTGTAATCACACCGCCGTTGCCTTATTAGTCGCCCGACAATTGTTGTGACAGTACGCGGATGCTCGCGTCCACTGCGCATCGATTATCCGGGCAGGACTTGTCTTGGGTCCTCGAGGATGGCGCCGCGGCGCCAGCACCCAATGTCGACGCCCCACCAAGACACCGAATTGTTATCGCGCTTCCCCTGGGTCTGCTCTTCTGTTTCTGAACGAGCTGCCTCGCGGCGCGTGCAGAGGATATCGCGCCATCCTGCCGTCTGCGCTACAGCCCGGCCGTGTGCCCAGCCGGCCCCGATCAGGCTACGGGTGCGTCACCAGCCCCCGCGCAAAGTTCCCTCTAAGCTTTATAGCACAGGCACCGGGGGGCTTCTGGGAGCGGCTCGAGGGTTCGCTGGCCGCCCGGAGATTGGGTGTGCGCGCATCAGAGATGAGCTATGTGTGTGGCCCGCTGGCCGGGCGCGCCCACGCCTTATCGGACGCGCTTCGGGAGGGAGAGGCGAGCGCATCCAGCGCAGCGAACATCGCGAAGATCAGAAGATCCTCGGCCAGGCCGGGCGACTGCAGCCCCGTGTTTACTTACTTATGTCCCCCAGCCGCCAGCCGTCGATGTGCCGCGTTCGCGCAGCCCGCGCGCGGGGGCAATCGTGCGATCGACCTTGGCTAGAATCTGGGATCCGGACAAGATCAGGACAAGATGCCTCTGCGCGATTTAGGGCTGATCTGAAGCAGTTCTGAGGCGTCGTCTGGCGACGTGAGAGGATGCGGGACCGAGCGACGAGGACCCTGGAGAACGCATGCCTTCGGCAGCGTTCCTGGGACTTCAGTGGTCTGGTGGACGGTGGACGCTGCATGTGCTACGCGTACGTATACTTACTATGAGCGTCAGCTCGCGTGCATGCACGAAGCTCAATGCATGAGGCAAGCATCCGGGTCTCTGAATCGTGTCGTGCCGGTTGACGCTACCCGGGGAGCTGACCACAATCAAGAATAATTTGGTACGCTCAATTTGCATCTGCTGACCGAGCGGACGCGTGTTGGCTCACGGAAAGGCTATATGCGGGGCGTGCGCTCTGACGTACCACTGTATGGCCATACACAGTTCGAAGGACAACCGGGCGTCCGGGCGGAACTATGCACTAGGAAGGTGCCAGCACCTTCGGATTCCCGGTCATCATGCAAATGGACTGACAGCCCGGACATTGGCAGGACATGACAGATCTATTTCTCTTACTGACCGGTAGCAATGGTGATCAGTCGTTCCTGGAGATTGCTCTGCGTCTCAGAAGAAAGAACTTGAGCTGACCCAAAGGTGACCGGAAGAAGGTGGTCCTGACCACTTGGGCGACTCGCCGGCTTCAAGTTGATCACTGCGAAGTGATCAGCCCTAATGGACAAGCCCTAGATCATACATCTCTGAGCGCACAACGATCGCTCTGATCTCCCACCCCTCCACAGTCCCACGTCCAGGGTGGCCGGTTTGCAAATGAGGACCCTACTTGGCAGTCGTCGAAGTCGTGAAACAGGCCGTGCGACCGTGACGTCCCGCATTCGTCGCGGGCTATTTCGAGCTCGGAGCGAGGACTTACGAGGGCAGATTGAATTCACATGTCAGGAATAACGTACGTACTCTGAGTCAGTACTCTCGTCCAATTCAAATCTGTAATTATCACAGATTCTCACTCGTACTCGTACTCAAATTCGACTGCGCAGTCGACCAACGAACACATCCGGATATCGGAAATGCGCGTGTCGGGACTGTAGATACACCGTCGTGCTTGGTCTAGGCCACCTGACGCGAACGCACTGGCATTCTATGGCCGGGCCCGGGATTCGATTCTCGAAGGGCGCGAGCCTCCGCCGCGAGGGGCTTTGAAGGTCCTTCAAGTTAGACGACCCGGCCTAAAACGTCTCGATGTCCTCATGTGGCTAGTGCCCAGGAGGAAGGAGGTAGTGACAGCATGCCAGTCCCTGCAGGGAAAGGGCCCGGATGTTAGGCAGCCTGCATGGAACGTCGCCGCTTACGGCCTGACTCGGAGGCCGAGGATCGAGCTCCGCCGTCGACGATGGCCCTCCTCTGCAGGCTAGAGACGTACATTCCGTGAGACCCGGTAGCTTGTGTCACAAGGATGTTCAATATGGTGAGTGGTCAATCTGCAAATGTTCTCCACTGTACCCGGTTATTGCTCGCTACAGCCTGAACACGATCCGCGGCGCATGAGAAAAGGCCCCAGCTCTACATACAGGTGAGTAAGGAATGTTCCGACACTTCAGCTTGCGGGAAGCCAACTTTGATGTACACGCTTCAAATCGCGTCGTTGACGTTGAGACCTGTGGATTGTTGGTCAATCTCGCTAGGATGTGGTTGTAGCGGACTCGAGTTGCCATCGTTCCCGCTGCCTGGACCCGAGTCCGTACAGCTGTCTTTCCAAGTCTTTCCATCACCTCCCGGCCTCCGTCGTTCCGCACAGGTTCCGCACCGCTAAACCTCCTTTTACATAACCGGCCCAGATCTCATACCAGTCTGCCTCGGCTAACCACGATCAGGTCGCGATCGTTTTGCATGACATATGGCAGATCTGCAAGCACTGACGCAACGACATCGAGATCAGTGGCGATGAGGTGAGATGCGACCGTGACCGGGCTTGCCTGCACAGCTGTTGTTGACTGTTGTCCTCGCCGGCCGCCGTCTGACTCTCTTCTTGGCGGACTAGATCCTTCAACGTTCAACCAGCTTGCCGGTCATCACTGGCATGCCAATCTCGTTTACAAGGACGATACTGGTTTGAAATTCGTCTCCTCCTGTCGCCGGCGCTGGTTGCCTCCCGGTGGCTCGAGCCTCCTCTTCAGCCGACACAGCTGTTCATTATTACATGGGAGGCACTGTCGTAATCATTAGCCTGAGGGTAAAACTCGCTCGTGTACAAGTCACTCAGGTGAGCCTATCGTAACGCTCTGGCTCGTGCATGCCCGCGTATATGCGCTCCTAGACTGAACTTTGACGTCTAGAATAGGCCGCTCTCCGGATGATTGAGCATGTCCGCCAATGGATCGGTTTAAACTATGCAAATCCCGAAACCCGAGGCGCGTTCGTCAAGGCTGCGACATTGAGGCGACATTTACACCCGGGTCAAGCTTACAACACGCCGCTAGATCACGCATCGACCAATCTGTTCTGCACTCGACACTACCATCCGTATAGACGACCTCGTATCGTCTGGTCTTCCGCGGATATTATGCGGTCATGGGTATGTTCTCCCTCCCGTCCCCCATTCCCTTGTCCCCTCCGGCGTACTAGCCAGTACATATGTCGGAACACCGCTTGCGCCATGTTTCCGGATGAGTCCGTGTGCAGGTTATCTGCAAATATGATAGTTTGTCCCGTTCTCTACCTGCTGGACCGTTGATACGCTGCTTGGTCCCCCTTTGACATCCTCGAGAGCAACTACCGCAGATGCGATCGAAGACTCACAGTGCGAGGGCGATATTTTGTGGCCTCCGATTGCATCCTCAGTGTGGCGCAATGCTCTGCTGATATCGAGGTGATTCACCTTGGTCGTGTATTGTGATCCACTGTCCCGTTCCACATCGTAGTAAGTAAGTCTTTGCCGTCAGTCTGTTGAGCGTGGCTGGTGTTTGACCGTTGACGCTGGGAAAATCAGTTCATCCTACTATTGAATTGGACCTACGCTCACAAAAGCATCTGACGAATCTGGGAAGGTGGTGGAAGGCTGAAGGTAAATCATGGTTGCAATTGTTTACGCACGTGCAATACTATGTATGTAGCGATATCTGCTTGTTCGACTGACTCCGTCTTTGTCCGAGCATCACAGGCTGGTGAGTGTACGTTTGTTTCTGTCATATGGCGCACTTGTGTGTGTCGCGTCTAACTTCAACTGACTGAAGTTATGAAGTCTCGAACAGGCATCAATTGACCTCGTTCGGTGCCTGTGTAACCTCACAGTGCTATAGCATGAGCCTATGCTACGTACGAGGTACTTCTCAGCCAGTTGAATGAATGATGACCGCGATCCAACAGGTTTCCATCACAGGATATTTTTGTCCGCACGAGGCCATCGATTCCGCCTGTGGTTCTGAATGCACGTCGTAGGCCTCTCCGCCGCCCTTCCCCGCCTATGATGTGCAGACGCACTGGCAGAACGTGCGCTGAGAAGTGCGCGCTTTCTCCCAACCCGGTTGCCGCTCTCTCGCGGCGGCAAAGGTCGTAGGCCAGCGCAAGCGAGCCCTGTTTGGCACCTTCAGGTGGGATGCCGTACACTCAGGCTGGCACACGTGCGCTACTATCTTCTTCTCGTCTACCCTTGGGTTCGCGACTCCTATACGCAGGACATGTTTTGTGCTTGGACTTTGCTCAGAAGTACTGGCATCAGTTGTTGGACAATACGTCAGGGATCGTAGCAGCCTGTGTGAGCGTTGCGGCCGTCTCGTACCTGACGCGATCGCGGGATCAACCCGTCGATCGATCGAAGGACTGTCTTCTCGGATACGTGCGCACATCCGGTTCCCCGCACGGCCAGTACACCATCCCCTTGGTCTCAGCGGCGATACGAGTACTGACATAACTCACCACATTATGGACCACTCATGCATCAGCTTGGACCTCCATGACAAGGCAGGGACGCGGAGGTGCCTGAGGAAGGTGTCCGCATTGGCCACTGGCACACGTGGGTATCGAATCCGCCCCGCGTGATATGTTCATAGCGGATGCGCAGGCCGCGGATAACAACCTCGCACGGTGGTCCGTCAGTGGTCCGTCACTATTAATTACCCCACCCCCCTGAATAAGTACTCGGGCGCCCGCCATACATATACAGCGATGACGGCACAGCGAGCAGCTCCCCATCGACCCCAGGCTCACAACTCCCAGCCTGATGCAGCGTCCGGCCTTGCTCGTCCACGTCTTCGCCGCGCTACTCTGCTGCAGCCCGCTCCTCGCGGCCGGTCAGGCAGCGGCCGCCGCTGCATATGCTCCCCAACTGGCCCCGTGTCCAGCAGGCTTCTCGCTGGTTCGCGAGGCAGGCACCGAAGCTCAGTCTCAGACCCTAAGTCAAGGCGAGCGCGAGTACATCTCGGCCAAGCAATATACAGTGCTCCCGGACGCGTGGAAGTCTTATCTCTCTTCCGTGGAAGGCAGCGCGAGTGGTAGCTCGTTGCCAGCATATGTTTCCGAAATTCTCGGCGGAAACTATGGATGGACGGCCTATCCTAGGTTGGGCATTGCAGCAAGTGGGGGCGGGTACCGCGCGGCGACGTTCGGTGCCGGCGTGCTCAACGCGCTCGATGGGCGTAATGTCTCAGCGGTCGCAGCTGGTACAGGTGGTCTCCTGCAAGCGGCGACCTACCTCACCGGACTATCCGGAGGGAGCTGGCTGGTGACGTCGCTCGCCCAAGCGGATTTTCCTACAATCCCGGATCTTGTGTTCGGACCCGCCACCGCGAACTCAACAGGCTTTGGTGGATGGAATGCAGTGTACAGCCTGCTAGAACCGAGCAATGACCCCATTGTCAACGCCGCCTACGTGCTTGACGTCATTGGAGAGGTAGGGGACAAGAACGCAGAAGGGTTTCCGGTGACCATTAGCGACGTTTGGGCTCGTGCCCTGTCGAGGCACTTTGCCAATGGTACGGACGCGGCGAACTTTTACGACACAAGCGCCACCCACGGTGCTGGGATCACTTTCTCCTCGCTGCCAAATCTGTGCGTTGCCGGTATGATGTTCTTGTCTGCTGTGATGCTGACCACAACGCTAGAGACACGTTCCAAACTTACGTGCAACCGTTCCCTATATTGGTCTCGGATTCCTGGTCGCCGCACGGGAATTTCTCCGCTGAGGCGGACCTCGAGGATGCTTACGTCCCACTAACTAACCCGATTTATGAGTTCAACGTCTGTGAGTGGGGAGGGACTCACAGTCACAGTGTTGCTCACGAAGGCTCACAGACGAGTTTGGTTCGTACGATCCAATGCTCGGTGCCTTCATCCCCATGGCAAACATGGGCACAACAAATGAAAGCATTTGCGTTACGAACTTTGACCAGGTTTGTTTCGTCGAGGCGCTCTCCGCAAGCCTATTCAACGAGTACAACAGCTCCGTGAGTCTCTCCGAACAGCCACCTCAAGCGAAGCTTACCGCAGTCCATAGGCTGCAGCTTTGATGAACTCATCCATATATGAGCTCATCGAGATCTTGGAAGAACTGCTACCTCAGACATTGATCGACTACACCGTCGGCATCGTACCGAATCCGTTCCAAGGCTTGCACCCGGAGACGTTTATCGACACGAATGAGACGTACCTGCAGATCGTCGATGGCGGAGAAGATGACGAAACCGTACCCCTCCAGCCATTGCTCGTCAAGGCTCGTGAAGTCGATGTTATCTTCGCTATTGACGCGGTAAGCCCTCGTTGCGTCCTGAGTTCCGCCGACCGCTTGCTAACGCCAGGGATGTTAGGCATCAGATACGGAGTACAACTGGGTAGACGGAAGCTCTATCATAGTGCGTCCTGCTCGCAAACAGCTCCTGGAGGCTCACCTAACATGTGGGACCTAGGCTACCCAGGAGCGCATGGCGTACTTCGCCGGGACGTACTCTTTCCCGCCTGTACCACCAGACAACAGCACCTGGCTCACCGAGGGGCTCACCACGCGCCCGACCTTCTTCGGTTGCAACAGCAGCGGCGCATCCGGGGCGCCGCTCCTCGTCTACCTGGGCAACGGCGGGCCGCCCCTCGGCGAGACCACCGCCTACACGAACACGTCGACCGAACAGCTCGCGTACAGCGCGGACGAGCTCGAGGCGATGCTCAGCCAGACGTTCGACGTCGCGACGCAGGGCATCCCGAGCGACACGGAGAGTGGGTGGGAGAAGGACCCGGAGTGGGCGGGTTGTTTGGCTTGTGCGGTTGTGGATCGGGCGAGGGAGCGGCAGAGTATTGAGAGGAGCGGGTCGTGTCAGAGCTGTTTGGAGCGGTATTGCTGGAGCTGAGCGTGCACGGCGACGATTCGACATTACTTGACAGACTCAACGGGACAAGGATACTTTTGGACATGCCCACACCCTAATCTTTGAATATTTATACTCATGGAACGCACACACCTGTCTCTAGGGTCGCTGACATTGCCAGTCATTACCAATGCTCGCTGAAATTCTGTCAACCGCTCTATACCATGCGAACACGCGGCAGCCCAAATATGTGTAACATCTGTTGCGCCATCACGGCGGTAACTCTAGGATCCAACACTGCCATCTATGAGCACACTGATGCACCAATAACTAGATCCAACACGCACCTCTATGGATACATATCGCCCAGATCTTCATGCCTCCGAGCCGAACAGTTGATCAACCCAGAATCAAGCCTCAACCTCCCATCCAAAGACGCTTTCGCTCTCTTTCAACCGCTCGCACACAAGCTTCACCTTCTCGTCGTCCACATTCGCGACCGAGAAGCGTATCCACCTCTCCGGCTCCTCCCCCGATCTGGGCTGCTGGTTCGGCCCGAAGAACCCAGCGGGCAGGACGACGACGCCGAGCTCCTGTGCGAGCCGCTTGCACACCGTGTTCGCGTGCACGCCCTTGAACGGGTGCTTCACGAACGCGTAGTACCCGCCCTGGCTGCCGATCTGCCAGTGCGCGGGGAGCACCTGCCGGAAGAGCTGGTGGCGGTGTTCGACCGCACGCGCGGTCGCGTCGACGAAGGGGCGGAGCGAGGGGAGCAGCGGGGCGAGCGCGACTTGCGGGGGCCGGGGCGCGCAGATTTGGAGCGAGTCGAGCGCGGCGTTGACGTGCGGGATGAGGGCGGGGGAGGCGCAGAGGAGGCCGAGGCGGTGGCCTGGGATGCAGTATGCCTTGGAGAAGGAATAGAGGTGGATGAACGTAGAGCGCCAGTCCCAGTCGGGGATGGAGAAGGGCTTGAAGAGGTCGTGGGGAGGTCCGGTAGTGACGAAGTCACGGTAGGTCTCGTCAATCACTAGGGCAATGTTGTGCTTGCGGGCGAGCTTGGCAAAGTCTGTAATGAGGGATGAAGGGTATACACAACCAGTCTGGGCGGGTTAGAGACGGTAATGCCAACACGGAGGGGCGGACTCACAGGGTTGTTTGGTGTGACCAGAACAATCGCCTTGGTCTTCGGAGTGATCAACGACTCACAAACTGGAATGGATGGCATGAAACCATCTTCCGGTCGTGTAGGTAGAAGTACCGGTTTGATGTTGAGAGTTGTCAAAGTCATCCTGAACAGGTGTTAGATGCGCATCTACACCAAAATGAAACGGACTCGTACTCATGATTGAAGTACCTGCAACAAAGTCAGACTATGGGCGCCCGAGACAAGTGTCGCAACTCACCAAGGTAACGGCAGAATCATCTCGTCTCCCGCATCGGCCAGAGTCATAGCTATTGAAACAAACGCCAGGTTGCACCCTGCGGTGATAGCGATGTCGCCCGGAGTGACATCAATGTCCTCGCCGTATCTGTACTTCATCTCCTCAACGGAAGCCTTTCGCAGAGCTGGCTCTCCCTCATTGGGTACGTAGCCGCATTTCGTCGGATCTGACGAGGCGGCCCCTAATGCATCGAGCACTTCTTGCGGGGGAGGGATACCTGGTACGCCCTGGGACATGTTGAGCAAGGGCCGTTCGGGCGTCGCGACATACGCCTCTGCCCATTCAAAGGCCTGTGGAATTCTAGGCATTACTCACTCCAGATGTACTCTTGAGAGCAAAGTCTTTCATCACTCACGGAGGTTGACTGGTTGCCTCGATTCCACGAGACAGACGGAAGGCGAGCGGGGGTGCCATAGTTCTTGGTTGTCCTCAGCTGAGCACGACACGCGAGGATCCGAGTCAAGTTACTTTGAATGCAGCTGCCTCCACGTAGAGGCTGCGAGACAAGACAGGGGCCCTTGAGGTCGAGGTCTGAGGAGGGACAGGGCGCGCAATGTCCGCATCGTTCTGGAGAGCGGTGAGCGATACGCCCGGCGAGCGTCTACAGAGCGAGTCAAGGCGTACCTCAGTCCGCTCGGAGTCGGCAAACGACAAGCTGCTTTTCCGTGTCCCACCATCTCCAGAGCGTTCATTTCCTTCCTGCGCGGAGGACTGTGACGGGAAGAGCGAAGAGGTGTCTGCGAGCGTCAGGTTCCCCAGGCAAGTGCTCACGGACGCACGGTCTTCCGTGCTGATCTCACCTGACGGGCCCCATTTGTTTACAGGCTTTGCTCATCTTCAACGCCAGCAGTGTGCCGAGCTGAATGGCAGGCGGCGTTGGCAGACTCGCGAGACTAACTCTCTTCTCTGGGCCACACTGTTCACTGTGCGACGTGCGTCACGCGTTCCTCCTCGCACCCCCCACTCACTCACAACCTACCCCCATGGGCCACACAGACGGCCAAAGCAGAGCTTGCCAAAGTCAGACAACAACGGCCGTTCAACCTCGAGACGGTCAATATCCAGGACGTGGGACAGGAGCGGTGGAAGCGGAAGTATGTCTACTGGATCCCGGCGCTGCACATCGAGGGCAAGGAAGTCGCGAAAGGCCGCTGGGACGCACAGACAGTGAACGAGGCGCTCGACGCCTGGGAGCGGGAGCCATGGACGACGGAGGACACGAAGAAGCCCTGAATCCACGTACCCCACCCCCGTTTGTCGTCGATATCAAGCCTAGCTATGGCAGCCTGTACTATGAACTTCACTTCTATGACCTCTGTGGTGCCGGCGCCCTGGGGATGGAACACATCCAGGAGCAAGACGAGAGCAACGTGCGACGCTGCTTCAACTGCGGTTCGCCCGACCACGCGCTGTCCTCTTGCTCCGAACGTCGCAACCACGCCCTGATCTCCCTCTCTCGCCAGTTGTTCAACTTCTACAAGGATGAGTCACTGGCGAGCTCGAGGCGCATACACGAAGTTGAAGGCTGGCGACGACAGCGGCTCGCATGGCTGGAGGAGTTCGAGCCTGGTCAGATCAGAGGCGAGCTTCTACGCGACGCGTTGGGCTTGAGAAACGGAGATCCTGGAGAGCATGTGGAGTGGTTGCCCAACATAGCATGCTGGGGCTATCCAAAGGGTTGGGTGGGCGAAGGTGACCCGAGACTACAGGTGTGGAAGATCATCACCGACGAAGGAGAACAAGACGACGGGGTGAATGATAACTCGTCGTCGTTTGTGATCGCTGGGGAAGACGAAGAACGGCTTCAGCTTCCCTCGAAGGCATATGTGGTCCCGTCCCCTTCCGAAGACGATAACATACCTACCTCTGACGCCGACGCGAGCCCTCAGCTGCAAACAGAACCACATCGGGATGTAGGCTATCGAGAGCTAAGACGGTGGGCGAGCTACCCAGGCACCTACTTCCTTTCGTCCAGGCTCTTCGTCTACAGCAGTCAATGTCTTCCCGAACCCGGTCGAGGCGCATCTTCTGGAGTCGTCAGCAGTACCTTCGACGCCGAGAGGCAGGTACTCTGGGACCGGATCGTATCACAAACCTATGGCACTCGTCAGTTGACCCTCGCACCACCGTCATTCCTACCTCTGGGCTTACCACCGCCGCCGCCTTCTCTGAGCCCACCCCCTTTGCCTCCTTCAAGCCCACCACCACTGCTACCTCTGCCCAAGGCGGCAAGAACGTCATCATCCCGGGCAGACGACGAGCTGGAAGAGGGCGAAATATTAGATATGGATCTATCCGACACAGACTAGCTTATCCGTCCCATTCATACCATATATCGCTTTGTACAAGTTCTCGTCAATCATGGGCCGGATATCCACCACGGACAATGGGAAGTGCGAGCTAACATTGCGCCATGCGTAAGTACACTGATCCACCATTAACCCCGTGGTATGTTACAACAAGTACAGGCAAGCGCCGCTAACTAAGGCTACAGAGATACGTTGCAAAGGCCTCGCAGAGGCACGACAGATTAAAGTGTTGTCCATGGTGTAGATCATCCTGATGGGTGAGTAGTATCTGTAGACGTCAAGTATCGTCTAATGCTCGTCGCGCGCGTTTAGATGGCAATGGGACTTGACTTGAACCGCGGCTCAGGCGTCGCTGAGCGCGAGCTCGTGGTCGAGGGGGTTCCCGGTCGTGGGGGTACTGCGTAACGAGGAAGCGTCTCCAGGGGCTTCGAGATGAGGAAGCCTGCACAGCAATCTCTCAGCTAATGTTGATTCGTCGAAGAACAAAGCAGACGTACCCTTCAGCCCAGCTTGCTTCTCACCCTGCCTTCCGAAGCCGAAGCCAGCCTTCTTCCGCCCGAACTCAGTGGCACCGCCCTTCCAGTTCCCGTTGAAGACGTCGTCGACGAATTTCTCCGCCGGTGCCTGGAGGGGACCAGGCAGCTTGCTCGTAGGGAGGACGTCCTTCGCGCGCTCGCGCCACGCGAAGATGCAGCGGCGCTCCTTCGCACGTTCGCGGAAGATGAGGCCGAGGAGCATGTTGACGCAGCCGAGGGCGAAGAGGAAGAACGCTGCGACAAGCGTGAAGTCGTCAACGTGGTGCGAGAGGATGGTGGCGCCGATCAGGCCCTCGAAGATGCCTAGGGGCCCGAGCCCGAACTCGCTGCCGAGGACTGGGAAGAAGCGGTTGAAGAAGGCGTAGGGCCAGCCAACCTCCGAGAGGATGAGGGCGATGACCTCCAACATTATGAGGATGCGGTTGATGACCGCCCAGAATATACCGGCTGGTTGGTTCGGGACGTCGCTATTCCTGTGGCGGGAGTGGCGCATGTCAGTACCGAGACTAAGGTGAGGCTACGAGCGAGACATACGGGATATAATCGCAGTTTTGATAACTGGTGCTGTTCGATTGGGCCTGGAAGTCGTGGAATGCTTGGACGTCTTTGGTCATGACGAAGATGCTGCTTGCGAAGACAAGTAGAAGAGAGACGATGCTTAGGGCGCGGACGGCGTTCAAGCCGAAGAAGATATCTAGTGGTAAGAATCGTCAGTCGCCGTTTGAGGTCACTGATGTGGCACGACTCACATGCACGAGGAGGCAGCATCTTGGAGCAGTCTATATGATGTGTCTGACTGGAAGGAACGAGAGCAGGTATGAAAGAGAGAGACGTGAATCCGAGTCGCTTGCGGGCTGAAGCTCAGTAAAGAATGGAGGGTGTCCCGACACCAGACGTGGAAAGAACGAGGAGAGACGTGACCGAGAGGTGAGGATATTAACAGGCCCACGCATCCTTATATTGTTCGCCAGGTATGGGCAGCATCCCCATTTCATAATTGAGGCTATTGTCCCGAGTCATCACTGCCGCATTGTCGCGCGCACGAGAACAATAACCACAACGGTTGCCTTTCGCGGCAGATTTACGTACTGGAACAAACGCGCGCGCCGTTGCCAAACAACGCATCAACAATGACGGCGCTTGTGCGGCTTGTGCGCAAACACAACATTGTCTCCGCCCACTGTGCCCCGCCCACTGTTTCTCTGGACTCGCCACGCGCCCTTCTGTTGCGACAGACGCTGATAAGTTGTAGACGCAAGCAATGACTCGCTCGAGCAAAATCGCCCCGGCGTTTGGAACACAGTTCTTGATCCAAGCGGGAGCGCCCAGCCTCAGTGCGTTGCACGACGGAGTCATGCAGGACTCATCGAGCGACGCGCGACACGATGTGCGAATCAAGCACATTGACTCATGAGCATCACCTATCGCGGCAAGTCCGGGGTAAAGATTCGGCAGACGTGTGCTATCGATGTCTCAGGGCAGTCAGCAGTCAAGATGCTTCGGTTCGCTCTCTGCTTGACTTGCCATTACCTCTTCCGAAAGACAGATATGGGTCCTTATGGACAGCAAGATGACGTGTGCAATGGGAAACGTAAAGACCGAAGTCATAATCATCATCTGTCATACGACCGGAGAAGGTCAGGCAAGAACGCATAGCAGTCAAGTAGTCAACGCAATAAGTTACGCGGAAGTCACTACCTAATAGCATCCCGAAGGCCCCAGCCTTCTCAAAGCAATATCTACGCAGAATATGCAGGCGGAGGCATGTCTCCCGAACCCTCAGCCGGGCGCTCGGAAGCAGCTTCTGCTGCCTTGTCTCTGCGAGGAGCCGACGGCCCAGCTTGCGCGGGCCCGCCATCCTCATGCTGCACCACAGGCCAGATAGCAGGCATCGACGGGACAGGCATCCTCAGCGAGGGCGTCCCGAAGAAAGACGCGCGCAGTGACGTGCGTGGGGTGTGGCTCCGCGACGCAGGGGGCGCGCCGTCCTGCCGCTCGGGGGCCTTCCCCCGCCGGGGACGGGGCAGGAAGTGGCTCTTCTCCGGGAGCGGCGGCGGCGTGAGCAGCGCGGAGTTGCGAGGCGAGACGTTCGAGACGTGTAACATGGGTAATCTCGGGCTGGGCGGGTTGACGGTGAGCTGCGGAAGAGGCTGGCTTGCAGGCGTGGCCCGGGGCGTGGCGCGGATGGTCGCGATGGAGGACCGGTCTGATTGGTCAGGCGGCGGGGATTTGCTAGGTACGACGGAATACCATGTCGCACGGGGAGATTTAGGGAGAGGTTTGAGCTTGGAGGCAAATCGCATCGGTAGGTCCTTCTGCGGAGGTGTCGGTGGGATGGTGTTGACGGAGATGTCCCCAAGTTGGTAGGGCAGCCCTTCTGTGAAGGGACGCGCCTCGGCGTCGATATCGATGTCGCCCTTTTTGTCCCGCCGCTTCCGTAGCATCCTACTGGCCAGTGTCGTCATGTCAGGTTCAGGATCTTTCTCTTGGACATCGTCAGGACGTTTCTTCCCTCGTCTGAGGGAGGGGAGAGTCAGTATCAGTAGGGTCCGAGATTGCAAAGCAATTCACTCACGAAAAGAATGCAAAGCCAAACGCCAGAAGGACCAAAGCGGCAATTCCACCGATAATCGCGCCAATAATTGCACCCGTAGGAGCCGAGTCGCTACTCGTGCTGCTCCCTGACGGCAGGCTGGCAGCAAGTGTTGACGACGCAGTCACGGCGACGACCTCCAATGAGGTTATCTGAGTCGTTACAGTGGACCCTCCCACCACTGTCGTCTCAGTGGACTGTAACAAGAAGGTGGTGGATGACGGCGGAGACGACGATTCTGCGGATGTCTGCGCATCAGAAGACGACGTAGAGCCGTCGGACGTTGAGGTCGCGGTAGACCCGGAAGAGCCGGAGGATGGAGCTGAGGTCTGCGCGGAGGTGCTCCCGCTAGAGCAGGTCGTTCCGTACAGGGTGTTCGTGATTGCTTGCGTTAGCGTGACAGTCGTCATTATAGGAATCTGCAGAGTCGTAGCTCCCCCTGTTGAACGTCGCCCATCCAGTCAGCTCCTCACCCCGCAACGCAAACGAGTTCAGCACAGCTCACCTCCAATGGTCGTCTCGAAAGTCGAACATGTCGGCACAGGAAAGAGGCCAAACGTGGCCGTCCCGCACGAGGTCACCGTCGACTTCGTCGTCGCGTACGAGCTGACGCTCGTGCTGTACGACGTCGAGACGCTCTCCGAGCTCAGCGTGGCCAGGGACGTGCCCGTCACCGTCGAGTAGCAGGACATCGTGGTTCGCTACCAACAGGCCTGGCGGCGCAGCGTAGTGCGGGTGTACTGGTCTAGGGCTATACATGCGGCGGGCTGCAGCGGCCTACCTGCAACAGTGTGTGTAGGCACCCGGCGTGCATGCAGTCCTGGGCATGTTGTTCCGCTTTGTTGAATGAGTATGTCAGGCCATCCTCCAGAAGGTCGAGGATCGACGCCCATGTGTAGAACGTCGAGTATGTCGCCTGCGCAGCCTCTATGAAGGGGAACTAATGTGATGGTGAAGAACAAGTACTCACTCGCACCGGGTTGCCTAGCATTAGGATAGGACAACTTGAGTTGCACACTGTGACGGTCCAGTGAGTGCACGGTCGCCGCGGTGATGTGGCGCGACAAACGACGAACATGTGTCAACGAATTGCCTCGTGCGTTCCACGCACTGAGTATCGCAGCAGTTCCAGTGGGGTCAGGGCAGGCATCTCACTGCGCTTCTAGCAGCATAGATCGAGGTCAAGGATATACTTCACCTTATAAAGCCCGCTGCGCCCATGGAAGAACTTGAGACTGGTCCCGGACATATACTTTCACCCAGGAAACAAGCATGGAGGCCCGCATTCGTAATGAACCCGCAAGTGAGTGATTATCGTAGAAGCCAGCACAATAAGACCATCTATTAGACCCGTAGATAGTAGCAGAGAGACCCAGAGTAGACAAGAGGACCCATTAAACCCCAGATATTCAAGGTATACAATGAACGCTAGTGATGAGCCTAGGATCTTCTAGGTATAGTACCACAGATGAGCACGTCGAGCCATGATCGCACCCGGGTATCATGCACATCTGACGACCAACTCGCCTCTCGAGCGGAAGTCGGGTAACGCGTTGGATATAAGGTCATGCACGAGTGTGTAGTTGTTCGCCTGCCACATCGCAAGGCAAACGTCGAACGTGACTCGCACGCCCGCGAACCGCGGATGTGACAAGGCACAGTTCAGCAGCACCCAGTCGAACGCGTGCAAGTCCTGGCACCACGGCGCCATGAGCAACACATCGATGCTCGCGATCTGTGTAGACGTGATCTGAGCGACGAGAGTAGGCACCCAGTTGCAGCAGTCGGGGAGGACTGGGCCCCCGAGCTGGAGGTGACGCAAGCTGGGGTTGGCGGAGAGGTCGATGCTGTTGCGTGACAGCGATTCCGCGGCCACTGGGCGAGGCAGATCGAGGGAAAGCGACTCGAGATGAACGCCGGTGGCGCGCAATAGGTCGCCGAGGGCGTCGGTGCACCCCCGCTCGCGCCAACGGATGTCGATGTCCTGGATCTTCAGTTCGTAGCCTGACTGCAAGAGCCATTGAGTGAGCAGAGTCGACGGTGAGCCTGGGTGCAAAACGAGGCGACGTAATGGTGGTCGCTCCGGACTGTCTTTCAGCTCTGGAGGGGATTGCGAGTGCTGCTGAGACCAGTAGGTCCAGTAAACGCGGTCACAGATGAGCTCCGTGAGACCCGCGGCTGCGTGGAGGACGTCCTCGATCTGCGACGAACATCCGAAATGGACGTTGGAGAGGACAAGCCGCGACAGGCGGGAGACCGCCCCAAGGAAGGGGCGCGTGCGCTCAGGGGTCAGCTGGAGAGTGTTCCAGTTCAGCGAATTCAGCTCGAGCTCGATGAGCCTGGGGAAGCGATCGACGAGGTCGGGGACGTGGGCGACCCAGGACGAGTCGATGTTCCGATACGCGCCCGCCTGGTAAGAGAAGTGGTGCGCGACGACCTTGAGCTTGCGGACATACCGCGCAGCTGCGGGCGAGCCGTCCAGGACGCGCTCAAAGCGGTCACACTTGGAGAGGCCATCGACGATGACATCGCGGAAGATGTGCGTCCGAGCAGCGGGGACGAATACGCGACTGGCCGCGTTACACGCGATCAACGCCTTCCAGTCGTCCCAGAGATGGTCGACGACCTGGTCGAGGATCTCCTGGGGTAGTTCAGGGGCCATAACTCGCGCCTCCTACGGCCGCCCTGTCTACCTCGGTCTACCCGTACAAGGTCTTAAGACCAGGCGGGACCTGCATGATTTCCGTGAGCATTGTGCACTGGCCAGGAGCAGCCTACGTACCGCGTCGTGAATGGCGGAGAGGACAAGAGATGTGAACCGAGGCATCGTGCGATAGACGGTCGGCCGGGTGTGGACTGCAGGCGAGCGCTGCGAACAGCGACTGGGCTAGGCGCCGGGCGGAGGGGGCCGAACTGGCCATCTTCCCACGTGGCAGACAGCTAGCGCGTTGGCGACGACCCAAAAGTTGGCCCGCGCGTTCACGTCCCCCGCCCCCGTCGCCGCCGTCTTCCCCTTCGTCCTCGTCTGTCCACAGCCCTTCTGTCTGCCATGGCCGCCGCTACCGCCGAAGAGATCCGCGCCAACGCGTATGTCGGTTTCGACACCATCACCCAGCAGATTGAGCACAAGCTCTTGAAGCGGGGCTTCCAGTTCAATGTCATCGTTGTCGGTGCGTCACTGCTCGTTATGAGGAGCTGTGAGAAGTGTGGGAGCTGGCTGCAGGGCGAGAGAGGGCGAGAGAGGTGCTCATGTCATTGCTACGGGGACACCTCACGAAACCCTCGTGTCACTGCGTTTGCGGGAGGGGGCCTCTTGGACTGCGCGAGAACGCGCGGAATTCACTAGTTCCCCGCTCTATCACCGTTCTGTCCTTGAGTAAAAGATACCGAACACCCGTGGTCTACGTGGGGATAAGCAATAATGACGCGCAGTATCGTACGGCACTCATCCGCCAGCTCTGACATTTCCACGTCCCGGCTCTATGCAGCTCATTGAACATATCATTGACATACTTATCTATCGTAGGCCAGACGGGCCTTGGGAAGTCGACGCTCATCAACACCATCTTCGCCTCGCACCTCATTGACTCGAAGGGGCGGAAGGAAGCCGACGAGCCCGTCAGGCAGACCACGGAGATCCACCCTGTCTCCCATGGTGCGTTAACTGCTCATTGATGTTACCGGGAGCTGACACTGGCATTGGCTAGTTATTGCCGAGAACGGTGTGAAGCTGCGGTTGAACATCGTCGACACTCCTGGGTATGGCGACCAGATCGACAACGAGAATTGGTGAGTCTGGATCCGTCGTGACGTGTGGTCGTCATCTGTTGTGCCAGTGCGCTGGAGAGGCAACATATGCTGTTCACGTTGTATGCTGCATAGCGCCTTCCGGGTGGCCATGATGTATCAGCGGACGTGTAACAGGGCGGACGTTGTCGATGTCTGTCCAAACAACTCCGTCTTCGACAAAATGATGATATCTAGTCGGTCTGCAACTGTCGTACCCTGCGGATCCGAGCGCCGAGCAATCTAGTAATAGTATCTGTTCTGTCAATAGCTTTTTGGTGGCGACGAACAGTGTCATGTCTCTGTTTGGAGGTTTGACATATATCCTCTGCAGGTGTTGATCTCGTACTTACGCGCAGAGCGCCCCTCGAAGGTGTTGCAGCATGCAATCATTCCACCTATATTCTTGTCACGCGATGATTGAACTAGAATGCTGACATGAGACCTTTGCAGTTGGGATCCCCTCGTCAAGTACATCAAGGACCAGCACAGCGCATACCTGCGCAAGGAGCTGACGGCCATGCGTGACCGCCACATCCAGGACACGCGCATTCACTGCTGTCTCTTCTTCATCAATCCCACCGGCCACTCCCTCCGTCCCATTGACATCATCGTGATGAAGAAGCTGAGCGAGGTCGTCAATGTTGTCCCCGTTATTGCCAAGTCGGACAGCTTGACGCTCGAGGAGCGGGATGCGTTCAAGCAAAAGGTGGGTTCCACACGCGTACCTGGCGCTGACAGTATCTCACTGGGACAAATAGATTCGGGCTGAGCTTCAGTACCACAACATCCGTCTCTATCCCTTTGACACGGATGAGAACGATGAGGAGGAGGTTCAGCTCAACGAGAGCATCAGGGTAAGCTGGCATTCTCGTCCATTAACAGAGGCAATCTAACGCGTCTGTACAGAGCATGATCCCGTTCGCGGTCGTGGGTTCGGAGCGGAACGTCATCATTGACGGCAAGTCGGTGCGCGGCCGGAAGAACCGCTGGGGTGTTGTGAACGTGGAGGACGAGACGCACTGCGAGTTCGTCTACCTGCGGAACTTCCTCACGAGGTGCGTTCTACCCAAGCGTCTTTGGTGTTTTGCGACCAGTGCTCATGCGCTCTGGCTACAGGACACACCTGCAGGACCTCATCGAGACGACTGCACAGATCCACTACGAGGCGTTCCGCTCAAAACAGCTGCTCGCACTCAAGGAGCAGACGAACCCGCGGCCCCCGGCTGCGCAGTCGTCGGCGTAAGGGCACGCTCTACGACAGTAGACCCTTACCTCGAGCCATATGCGCGTCCGCGTGCGGTTCTGCAGTCTCTCACTTGTGTCGAAAAGCTCTTGATACCCCTTTCACTGCCCCGGCCTGCGTGTGCTTTGTGCTTCTGAACGCTCCTTGTTGGTTGTTGTTGGACGGTACCGCTCGTGTCTGTTTATACTGGTTGTGCCCTGCCCCTACGCTCGTTTGAATACCACATTAATGCGTCCGCGGCGAGTGTGAAGCGATTGTGGGACGTGTGAGAGATCGGGGCGGCTGTGCCACGCCTCGTCACGACAGTAACCACGTCCTCGCGAAGCGCTTGGCGGTGATCGGTACAGGCTGTTATCGAACAGCGGCAGGGATTCGGTACTGAACGACATCCATCCCCGGCTTCGCGGCGAGGCGACCAGCACGACTGAATGCTCCAGATCTGAGCATTCCTATTCTCCTTACTCCCCTACTCGTGTTTTTTCGTCTTTCCTCGCCCGCAGAGCGGGGCCTCTTTCTGCGGCATTTGCGTCCAGCCATGGGTGCTGTCGACGACGGTTTACTTCCCGTCACACAGGCCGTTCATAATCGCAGGGCGGACGACCAGGTTGTCACCTCCGTATTCACCTCTGTGTTCACGACAAAGGATCATGGCGACTCGGTGATCACGCAAAAGCTTGTCACGACCAAGGTCACTGTGAGCTCGTCCTCGTCGTCGGCGTCCTCGACATCGTCCCCGAGCTCGTCGGCTAGTTCCTCGAGCCCGTCGAGCAGCAGTAGCAGCAAGTCGAGTTCCTCCTCTGGCTCTTCCTCGTCCTCGTCCGCATCGTCCACCACCAAGAGTGCTCCGGCCACTTCTACTAGTTCTGGTGCATCCTCGACGAATGCCTCGTCCGCCGCCGCGTCTCTGGCGTCCCTTCCTTCCGCGACCGCAGCGTCCGCGACCGGCTCCGATGCCGCAAGAGCGACCTCCACGAACACGTCCTCCATCACGAATGGCTCCTCGTCGTCCAAGTCGCTGTCTACGGGGGCCATCATCGGGATCTCCGCGGGCGGCGGCGCGCTGCTCATCCTGATCTTCATCTACCTCATCCGCAAACGCTGCCTCCGCCGCCGCCAGCGCCGCATGACCCAGTGGATCGCGCCCGACACCGGCTTTGGCCCCGGCGCGCTCGAGAAGGGCGGCGCGGCCGCGCTCTCGGCGGAGACGCTCGTCCCGGAGCGCATCCCGTCCATCCGCAAGGATCCCCCGCCGCCCGTGGCCCAGTACGCGCCGCCCCCGCGCCAGTACGCCGCCCCGGGCCCGAACATGCCGCCGGGCCAGATCATGCCGCCGAACGGTGTCGCGCCGGGGCAGGTCATCCCGCCGGCAGGTGCCCCCCGTGGCCCGGCCAGGGCATACAACGCAGCTGCCCCGCCGATGGGCTATAATGACCCACCGGGGGCCATGTTCCAGAACCCGCCCGTCGCGCGCTACAACACCCCGCCCCCCGCCGCGCGCTACAACACCCCGCCACCCGCCGCACGCTACAACACCCCGCCACCCGCCGGGCCGTACAACAACTACGCGCGCACGGGCTCGCCCGCTCTGAGCAACAACTACGTGCCGCCGCCGCGGGCGACCTCCCCGGCGACGATCCCCACGTCGCTGACGCCGTCGCACGGGTCGTCGGGCAGCGTGTCGTTCGCGCTCGTAAGGAACGCGTTCATGCCGAGCCTGCCCGACGAGCTCGCGGTGAGCCAGGGCGAGATGGTGCGCGTGCTCTCCGAGTACGACGACGGATGGGCGCTGTGCGCGAACATGCGCGGCGAGCAGGGCGCGGTGCCCTTGGAGTGCTTGCAGCGCCAGCGCGTGAACGTGCCTGGGGCGGCCAATCCGGGTGCGGGTGCGACGAGGAGCAGGGATGACCAGCTTGCGTTTGTCCCCACTGGATGAGCGGCGCAAAACGTGACGGGGTGGTATGCGGACTCTAGTGGACTTTGTCGACGTTCGCTTTTCTTGGTAGTTGTCGAGTTGCGATGTCACCCTTGGGACAGTTCACCCTATTCAACCCTGTGCATCACCGCATACTGTACTCTACACCTCTCAGCATGTTCTTGGACTGTTATCTTAAATTATTTTAGTCGGTGTGCGCACTGCTGTAGCTTTGCCACTGTAGTCCGTCGGTCAGCCACGCCTTCCCCTCTTTCGTCTCTGCGAGACCCTTCTTCCCCTTATTGATACCTTTAGTCATACCGTGTACTGTGGCTAAGACCAATGCAGTGTTGACAAATACGAATCAGCAAAAGATCTGTCGAGAGTACACAGCATTTCTACATAGCAATGAGTAGCGATCGAGAGCGAAGCAAACAACGGTGACCTAAACACAAACAAGGAGGATGTGACATGGAACTACAAGCATTACTACACTATAGATATCCAAGAACTAGGATGTTCCCACTAGTACTACTCAAAACCTAACGACCCGCACCTTCTTGCGAGGTGGCTCCTCTTTAGACCCAGAAGCTTCAGGCTCAGCTCCTGGCCGTTGATTCGTGCTGTTGACAACCACGACGTCTCTTGCGTGCGGGTCAGCAGTCCCAGTTGGCTGAACACCGTTAAGCGAACGCGAGGCCTCAAGAGCGACTTCAGGTTCTGGAGGCTGTATGTCGAAGAGGGGGAAGTCAATCTCTAACCTCGGGTTGGACGTCTCGGACAGGAAGGTTGGGTTCTGCGGATGCACCGAGATGAACTTAGTATGACATGGATCCAAGCTGAGAGCGTAAGTTGGGGGACGTACGGCGATGAAGTCGCGAATGCGGGTGTCCTCGGTCAGTTTGGGCTGCTTGACGGCGCCGGCGCCGCTCTGCAGCAAGGCATCCCTGCGAGAGACCATCACCTCTTCATGCGTAGATCGGATGGCCAGTGTTTTCACTGAACACGGACGATGAGCACGGGTCTGTGTTGTGCGAATGACAGACACTCACCAGTGACAGGCCGTTTCTGCCCGATACGATGCACACGCTGCAGAGAGAGTGAACATGAGTGTTTGTCCCTTCCGTAGCTTAGATAATGCCTTACCTTGATTGCCTGACTCTCAACATCCGCCTGCCACACCGGCTCGCAGAAGATCACTCTGGAGGCGGCGATCAAGTTCCTGATCGAGAAGGTCAACGTCAACGACGATCCTCGGTCCTGACACCAACTCGATCGATCGGTACTCACAAACCACGCGCACCGTGCTGCAGCTCCATCAGGAAGACGCGGTACAGCTCTGACGTCTCGAAGGTGACGATATTGTGCTGCCGCTGCTCCCGGGGCACCTTCGTAGTGAATTGCAGGTACTTCATGCCCATCAGCTCGAGGCCCTCGGAGACGTAGGCCAGGGTCAGCGGTGAGCGAGAGAAGATGAGGAACTTCTCGTCCGCGGAGTGCTGCCGAATCTGGATGCAGACCTGTCAGGAAACGATCTAAATCTGAATGTCGCGAGCCACCTCACTTCGTTGATAATGTAGTCTAACTTCGTCGACGTCGATTTGCCCACGCGTACAGAGGCCATGGGAGAGGACGCAAGGAGCCAAGACGACGTTGTCTTCGGGCGCGCAGGCGCAGAGCCACTCTGGCTATGCGCATGCTCATCGTCCTGCTCATAGTGCTTCTGCAACTTCTCCCAGCTAGCTAGGTATTCCTTCCGGAGCTCCTCCCGCTTCTCCGGGGTCGCCACCACATGCTTGACGGTCTCGACCTCCTTCCGGTGCGCGCTGCCCTCGCTCTTCCTCTTCCTCTTCTTCTTCCGCGCATCCTCCATCCGCTGCAGCGCCAGCCGTTGCCGCTCCTCCTCCTGGACGTCCTTCCCGCCCAGCACTAGGCGGTCGACTGAGTAGAGAGGGTGTCTGAGGACGAACTGCTTGAAGCGGAGGGCTCTGTCGGAGTGCAGCATCATGTCGTGTCCGGCGAGGTTGTCCGCGGCGGAGGACGCGAACGTTGTCCAGGCGCGGTACACAGCAGGGTCGGGAATCCCTTGGATGCGATGGTACACGAAGGCATTTCTTTGCATCTGTCGCCATACGATGTTGTTCGCAGCCAACCCACTATCATCCCAGAATTTCAATGCACCCTGAAGGATGAAAAAGTGTATGGATACGCACACATGCTTCAAGGCCTGTTCCATGAGAACACGGTCCGCTTCGGAGGTACCACGCTCAGCCAGGTTGGCCATGAAGACCTTGGCTCTTCCTGCGATTTCGTCGACGTTGAATGACGATTGATCATCTACGTGCCAGAACATGACTCTGTGAATTCTTGAGCACTGGCCCGAATGTCGTAGAGCAATCGAGGGACATACTGTGACATGTTGTCCACGAGTTGGTTCAGTGGAGCCGCGTTCTGTGAGACATTAGGCAAGATGCTCTGACATCGGTGTGGGAGTCATTCATACCGCAGGGTGGAACAAGTAATCCTAGGGGGCGTAATATGAGAAGATGAGATCTATGAAATAAGGTGTCGACGTACCTGATCTTTGCGTTCTGAGTCTACCGCGTTGACAGCAATCATAGCCTGCATCGCGTTGTAGGACATGAGCGCATACGGGTCCAGATCCAACAGGACCGTCTCGCGATTCAACAACGGGAGCAGCACGTCATTCTCGATATCCTCCACTCTGCGATTATGCCAGCATTGAGACTACCGATGCATAACACAGGCAAAGTCGTACTTACCGATGCCGGATCATCATCGTCTCCATGACCTGCGTCAACACCTGGATAGCCCCGGTCCTTGGTCCGCTGCGGGCCATGAGGGGCGAGATGACGAGCCTCTCAAAGAGCTTCGGGTCCGTCGCGAACTGCGGCACGCCCAGGAAGTGCACCATCATCGTCGAAAGCTTGTTCAGGTCCTGCCGATCATCCGGGGTCCATCGTCGTGCACTGAGTTCCTCGTCGGTGGACTCGGTGTTAGGCTCGTCGGGATCCTCGGGGTACTGGAGCTCGCTGCCCTGGCCGTGGTGGAGTCCCAGGAGGTTCGCTACGAAGCGGTAGTTGTTCAGTATCCGAACCAAGTAGGGTTTATACCAGCGCATTACTAACGCGTCGGTGTGCCGGTCACGATCCACTTCCGCTCGACGCTGAGCACCCGCGACAACGTTATCAGATTCGAGTTCTTGTTCGCGGAGACGTGGCCCTCGTCGATCACGAGGCGCTTCCAGCGCACCTGCAGGAGCGGCGACACCTTTGAGGCGTCGCCGTTCGCACTGCAGGTGCAATCCGGAACGCGCGTCCTGCGGTGGCGCGGGCATTCGCAGACTTTCCATGAATGTAGCTCGTGAACCTTATTGGCGGCCGCTTCGAGGGAGAAGCCTGAATGAGTGCGGTTAGTCTCGTAAATATGAACAGTGAGCCAACTTGGCATACTATGGTAGGTCATCAGGACGATCTTGTAGGTATGCGATACGGGGTCAGTCCTTATGCCTCGATTGCCTGGAGTGAACAACTCACATCGTAATCCGAGGCTAGCTTCGCCGCATGCGGCAGCTTTCGACTCGTTACCTCTAACACGCGCAGAACATCATGACAGTGCTTCATGATCTCGCCCTTCCACTGATGGAACAGGTTATCCGGGACGAGTACGATAGTCGCCGCGCTGAGATACATCACCCTCGGGCCAGGGTTGCTTTCCTTCCGCTTCGAGCGCGACACCCCCGGTATCGCGACCTCGTAGTGGTGGTAGAACGGACTGTTCCGGATGATCGGCTTCCACAGGTCACGCTGCTCCAGCTGTTCCTGGTGCTGCCAAAGTTGTACTGCATCAGGGCGCACCGCGCAGTAGTGCAGGAGGTGCTCAACGAGCGAGGGGATCGTGTTCGGCTCGGCTCTGTTAGCGTGCGTGTGCAGCCTGGCCGAGCTCCCCCGGCCCTGGAGCAGGCGCTCTCGCGCTTGGGCCTCTTCGCCGGTGGGGAAGTGGCGGAGGGAGAGAGGCGTGAGGACGGGGCGCGGATCGAGGATGGACTCGGCGGGGCTTGAGAGCTGGTTGCGCGTGGCGAGGATAAGGCCGAGTATCATTATGGTCTTGCCGGTGCCTACGTACGGAGCACGTCAGCGAGGCTTAACGCCGGGTAGAAGTGAGATCGTCTACCGAGTTCTTCGCAGAGGATGCCGCCGCGCGTCTGCACGACCCTCGGGCATTCCTGCTGAATTTCGAATGTCTCTGGTTGGAGGTAGAACACTGCTCCGTCGATCCCCGTTATAGGGATGTAGAGCGGATCCGCGGCGCTAGACGGTTCGAGCTCCCAGGCGAGCATCGTTGCTACTGTCTCCTTCTGATACGTATAAAGGACACTTCGCATGTCAGCGATCTTGTATATTCTAAACTTTGCCGGTGGCTTGGGGGAACGTAGATCATTGTATATCTCGGCCATCGTACGATTATCCTACGAGGTAGGTGAGGTTCAGTATGGCCCCAACGCACGAACCTGTAACGTACCGTGTCATCTGTGAGGAAATGTCGCTGCTTCAATGTTGTGGCCTCGGCTTCTGGGACGACATCTTGCGGAGGGAGAGCATCCCAGGCGTCGTCGTCTTGAATGATCTCTGCAAGCAGACTGCGCAGGTGCCGCCTAGCGGGTACAACAACAGATACCTCATTGCGCACGCGCAGTTCTCCGTGGGCCCCAGGGAGGTCCCATGGGATGAGGTATACTCTAACGTATAGGACATTCGAGATATGGTCGAGCTTGCAGGTGGCTGCGATGAAGCGATGTTTAACGAGGAACTCCAGTTGACGAAGCCTCAAGAGAGGTGCGTCGTTAGGGACTAGTGTAGGCTCTAGAGCTACTGCCGAGGGCAGGTAGTGCCATCCGTCAGCAGCATGCGTGTGGGAGCATGTAACTTCGCCAGATTGCAGAGGAATCGTGACGGTCCCGGCCGGTAAGAAATTGCAGTAAACCTCGTAGGGGTTAGTATCTTTGCGCACTCTTGAGGAACCTGCTGAGGCATTACCCCTGCACTTCGAGCAGCAGAGCGTGCAATTAGGTGGAGACATCTACTGATAGAGATAATATACAGTCAGTAGCTGCATCAGCGATGTAATGTTGAGTGCTACTGACTGCTTCTAGCGCATGCACGCGGCATAGACACCCGCACCGAGGCACTGTTCTGAATTTGATGCGGCCGAGATGGGCGCAGTCTACGAGAGGCTTGGGAGAGCCTCGGACTTTGTCGAGGCACTTTTGAGTGCGAGTGTGGGATGCCGCTTCGAAATTGAGCCGCGGCGCTGAGGATAATACTCAATCGGCCGACCGATCTTGGGCGCCTCCGTCGTGCGTGGGCGCGAGTGTGTGGCGACCCGGGTGCACGCTCTCAAGACGCTCTGACGCTGTCCTCATCGCCCTCATCGTCTCCCACACAGACCAGCCCTTCCCCATCGACCCTCGCAGTATGTGCCCTGCCTCCACATCCCCCGTACTCATCCCAGGCGTTGTGCCGGCGCGACGCAACTGGTTGCATGCTATGTCGCGGGAGCTATTCAGCCACATTACCTCGGTCCAGGAGCAAGAAGGTACGCAGCATACGCATTGGTAATGGCGGGCGAGCTCACTCCTGGCCGCATAGAACTCGTATTCTCCATGCTGGCGTTGCTGCCAAGAGCTAGTGTCGCAGCGCTGCAGAACCGAATGTCTACGCTGCTACAGTTCGACGTCCTCGGGGTGAGTGTATGCGGCGATCGTGCAGACGATACTACCTCACCGCGATTGTCTAGATGCTACCCGACGAAGTAGCCGTGCATATCCTCTCCTTCCTCCCGCCAGAGGTACTGTCTACATGCTCGCTCGTTTCGCAAAGATGGCGGGCTTTGTCCGACGATCAGCTCCTTTGGAAGAGTCTATGCGCAGCGCATGATTGGCGATGGCGCAAGCCGACTACCACGTCGAACGGCGACCCCACCCCTGAGTATCCAATACCCCAGAACGAGGATGACGAAGGTATGGGCGATGAGGGTATGGGTGACGAGGAAGAGGACGTGGTGCAGGGCATGCTCCTAGACGACTCCGGATACACCTCCATGGACATGGACGCCTTGTTTGCTGCATCTTCGAGCACACCCATCCCATCTCCGACAAGGACGAGGTCCGGTCCCTCTTCGCCATCTCGTTCCGCGCGGTCCTCATTCGCAAGATCACCCCGGAATCCATCGACGCCCGACTACAAACTACTCTATCAGGCGCATTCGCGCATCCGTCACCGCATCATGAACGGCTCCTACCGACTCTACAACTTGCAAACGCCTGGGAAGCCCAACAACCATACGAATGCCATCTACTGCCTCCAGTTGTACACGTACCCAGACACCGGCGTCCAGGTGCTCTTCACTGGCTCGAAAGACAAGAGCGTGCGGGAGTGGAACCTCGCTACGGGCGAGGTGACGCGCGTGATCGAGGGCATTCACGACAGCAGTATCCTCAGCATATGTGTGCACAACGGGCTGCTCGCGAGCGGCGGCAGCGACCACAACGTGGCGATCTGGGATCTGGTCAAGAACCGGCTGCTGAAGGTCATACATGACCATGATGACAGCGTGCTCTGCGTGAGGTTCGACGACAAGAAACTCGTTACCTGCTCGAAGGGTGTGTCTGAATGTCGTTGACGTTGACTGAACGCTGAGGCATCGCTGCATTACAGATCGGACCGTCCGCACATACACATTGCCCACGTTTGAGCCGAAGCATGTTCTTGCGCAACACCGCGCGGCCGTGAATGCGGTGGCGATCTCGCCGATCCACATTGTGTCCGCATCCGGAGACCGCTCGGTGCGTCTCTGGGACGCCGAGACTGGCGCACTGCTGAAGACGTTCGAGAACCACCACTGGCGAGGGTACGTACACATCTCTTCGAACGACTACCAAAGCTCAGAGTCACACAGCATCGCCGCGATTGACTTCAAATACCCCTTCGTCCTCACCGGGTCGTCCGACAAGCACCTCCGCCTGCTCGACCTGCGGACGTCGAAGGGCTGGACGACCGCGCCCGTGTACAAGTCGCATGCGCCGACGGCAGCGGCGCAGGGCACCGAGATCTGCCAGGTGTGCGGGAACAACGCGCGCCTCGTCCAGATCCGCCCGCCCGTGCGTGAGCACGAGGAGCTCGTGCGGAGTGTGGCTCTTAGCCACGAGCTCGCGGTGAGCGGGAGCTATGACTTCACGGTAAAGGTACGTAGAGCTAGAGTGCTGCTGTATGTTCTGGCGCGAGCGATGCTGACCACGGGAGCGGCAGGTCTGGGATCGCGAGACGGGCGCGCCGATGGCAGACCTGGTTGGAGGACATACTGGGCGCATATTCTGCGTCGGTTCTGATGCGACGAAGGTAGGCAGATGTTCTGCGCCATGGATGGGGCGCGTTTGCTGACCCCTATCACGTACTGCTAGGTTGTGTCATGCGGCGAGGATCAGGTGAGCAGTGTGGATGGTGCTCCGTTGAATGCTTCCATGCTCACCCGTGGAACAGAAGATCTGCATATGGGACTTTGCGCACGGGATGGACACGTCGTTCGTCTCGCTGTAGGTATTCACACTGAACATTCGGAATCTGGACTCATCACTATTCTACGCATCAACGAATGACGCTATTGGAACGCTGAACGGGCCGTCTTGACCCCTTCTCGAGAAGCTCGGGCGTATCCCTATGGGACCTGGCTATATTGCCGTGACACTGGTGCCGTCGAAATCCCTGAGTCAGGGAAGCTCGAAAGTTCAGCTTATCGCATGCAGCGGCCCCTACAGCGATTGTCGGCCACAGTCTAGCGTCTCGAGCACAACGCTCCTTGATCGAGATCTGATCTTTACGACTGTCGTCCCTCGCGCTGCTCCCTTTCCGGTAACTCGAGCTTCCTTGTCTTATTCTTGCCTTGCGCGGCTCCGGCAAAGACAATGTCGCGAGAAATACATTCCGGGCCGTAGTCATTGTTGCGCAGGATTATGACGCCATGGTGCACGCGGATAAGCAATTGTTTGCTGATGTGCACTTGGCCAGTGTATCCATTGACGGTAGCGGCATTAGTGGCATTACCAAATGGGGTCGGGTATGCGACGATGTCCGGCTATCTCGCTCACCACAGGTGTGTCTCAAAACTTCACTTCTGGCAAATGTGTCGTTCATACACGGGTGCCCTCGGCGTCGGTCACTCGTTCGTTCAGGTTTAACGTCCTGATCGCGGGGTCACCGGTCACTTCGCGAAGCGTACGGAATCGCTGCGGTTCAATGTGCTCTATTGGACGTCGCGCGACACAGCATGCGTGTTGTTGGTTCCGAGTTGGATCTGCGAGTATCATTACTCCTGGAGCCAGTCTATTCGTGAGAGAACCGGCCGTGGCTCCGCGTACATTCGTCAGGTGTGTTCAATCTTGGGGTGTACGGCGCAATGAGACATCCGATGAGGTAAGGTACGTTGCTTCTCAAGCACATATCTGTGCAGTTGTCGAGGTCAATGTGTCGCCAGTTCTAGATGTCACTGCATACGCGTTCGCTCTGCTCGTGAAGGTGGCGAACTCGGAGCTCTACGTGGACCTAGTCGTTTTCAGTTAGTACACACCCAGTGCAGAGTGTACTTACTCGTTTTCGGCGGAGGATCATACCCCGATCCGATATCAGGCATAACATCACCCGGCTTACTGGTTTTGCAAGGCTCTTTTGTCTTTGATGTGGCCTTGATGCCCTCCGCGTCCTGACCCGGGGTGGCAGAACATATTCGCTGATAGATGACGAGTGACAAGACGAACTGGATAGGTACATGGTGAGTCTCCTGTGGTACTGCGCGACGCTTTGGCCTTCATTCCGGCTGCGGCACACGGGACAGTGGAAGGGATTTTGTTGCCTGTAGTCTTCGCCAGAGATGGCGAACGTACACATGTCTCAGGCCTACTTTTTCATTGAGTGATCGTCTATCCTGTTTCACCGTGGCCTTGACTGCTCAGCACTCCATGGGGTGTTACATCGTGCGCCTGCGGAGCCACTCGATAGGCTGTATCCGTTCTTCCACGTTGGCTTCTACGCCACAATCACTCTAACATTGGGGTACAAACCTGATTCTGTCTTGTTCTGGTAGCGAACAACAAGGGGGCGCGCGAATGAGACAAAACCACCGCATCGTCTGCGATAATCTCAATCTCGCGCGGTATTATTCGAGACATGCGAGATTACGCTCACCTGCCTGAATCTCGCTTAGGTGTCTGATACCGACGGCGTATATATGTAGGAACGCGGCCCACCCTTGGCTCCAGGACAGCAAGCGGCCCCCATTGCTGTGCTACTCAAGCCTTCGCCCCGCGCAACGTGTCTCTCACGATGCCTGCTCCGTCACCTCCCGACCACTTCGTGCTACCCGATCTTGTGTCGCATTGCCCGTTCCCGCTGACGCGCCACCCGAACGCGGAGGCCATCGCGGCTGCGTCGGACAAGTGGCTCGACGAGGGCGCCCCAGAACTGTCGCCCAAGAAGCGGGCGGCGCTGTATGGTTTGAAGTCGGGCATCCTGACCGCCCACTGCTACCCCGACGCGGACGACGAGCACATGCGCGTCGTGGCGGACTTCCTCGTCTACCTCTTCCATCTGGACAACATCTCGGACAAGATGGTTGTTCAGGGAACTGAGCAGTTGGCGGACGTCGTCATGAACGCCCATTGGCTGCCGGAGAGGTACGCCCCGACGACGTTCCCCGGGAAGGCGCAACCGACAGAGGAACTCGGCGCGGGGAAGATGGCGCGAAGGTACAACTGCTCTTAAGCTGAAGATGTTGCCGTGGCTGATACCCCACAACTGCAGCTACTGGTCGAGGTGCATCACAGACGCGAAGCCGGGTCCTCAGGCGCGCTTCAAGCAGAACCTCGGCCTGTTCTTCGAGGCCGTTCAAATCCAAACCATGGACCGAGACAGCGGTATCATACCTGATCTTGACTCGTACATTGACGTGCGTTCCTCCAAGCAATGTCTCTTTATCATACCAATCTGACTCCGTGTTGATAGATTCGGAGGGATACCAGCGGCTGCAAGCCGTCCTTCGATCTCATTGAGTATGCCATGGGTCTGGATCTTCCGGACTACGCCGTAGACCATCCGATCATCAAGGCCTTGAATCAGGCAGCCAATGACCTCGTCACGTAAGTTGCTTTCCGTACATTTGACGTTGACTCGGGCTGACATCGTGAATCCGTCAGGTGGAGCAACGTATGATAGCCCTTACACCTCTATGTAACATCTACTCACGGCTACGACAGGACATCTTCTCCTACAACGTCGAGCAGGCTCGCGGCGACACTCATAACGTACGTCTACCCTCCTTCGCGCGACCACCATCAAGCCACTGACTGCTCGCACAGATGATCCCAATCCTGATGACGCACAACCAGTTGACGCTCCAGGAGGCCGTGGACTACGTCGGCAATCTGTGCCAGGAGACCATTGAAGGCTTCGTCGATAATGAGAAGCGCATCCCTTCGTGGGGCCCCGAGGTCGACAGGGAGGTCGCTATCTACGTCAAAGGCCTGGAGGACTGGATTGTCGGCTCGCTGCACTGGAGCTTCATGACAGAGCGGTACTTCGGCAAGTCCGGTGCTGACGTGAAGAAGGGCCGCGTCGTGAAGCTCCTTCCCAAGAGGCAGCGCAGCAACTGAAGACCGCCCGCAAGCTCTTTATACCTCGTATACCTCCAGGCGAGTTACATGATATGTACGACTAGGGAACTCGGGCTCACGTATCGACTCGCTCAGATTCGTGTTCTGGTTCGCACTCGCTCCTTCGATTGTAACTGTATGTTAGTGTAAGTCTAGACATCTGTTGAGCCCGTACCTTACTGCCTCTGTTGTACCCTTCGTTTAGTATGATAGTGCCAGTATATCAGCTGTGCTGTTGATGAATATGCGTTGTCTAGATTCAGCTGACGATCACTACCATTCTGAGTTCCTCGACCGGCACTGCACAATCGTGAAAAAGCTGAGTCGTTGATTAAGTAACATGGGCTGGATTCACCCTTCCGACCGCGTTGGTATGCCAGAGTCCCGCACACGTGCAAGGATAGTGTCAACTGAGATAAGTACTACGTTCGAATGCATAATTCTTGGATCGTGTGCTCAGCCCCCATACTATTCAATTGTACACTTCGTCTGGACTACCATGTCGTCTGTACAACCCACTCATCGGCGCGCAAGGCGAGAATCATGACCGAGGCAGTCGGACTCCTCCTATCATAGGGGCTGCAGCTGCATCACGACTGGCACTAGCGCCTTCACACCAGGGTCACGGTCTTCCATGTATTGATCCTCTGGAAGACTCATGCCATGTAGTACAAGGAGGTGTGTGATAACGTCTGCGTTCTATTGTCTACTGCAATCTGAGATGCTGTACAAAACCGGCAAGCACCTAGGTTCAATGTTCTATCACAACAACAGACAGTGCCGGGCTCCTGACAGAGTATTCGTGCAGGTGATCCGCCTACGGGCTTGACTCGAAAAGGAGTCTCCCAAGTGGCTGATCTCGCTAGGGAATACACTGAGAGAGCGGCTAAGAACCGTGTGTATTGGACGATGTAGCCCGAGTGACATATTGGCTGCCAACATCGGCCATGCAGCAATTGCTGGTCAGCGAGGCCCTTTTCGCTGAGCATTGAAGGTCACACATAGGTGTACTACCAGTCGCAGACCTTATACTGCTCATTGACATCCCCGGGGCCCCCGCGCCCCTATGCATGGGTTCGCGAGCCTTTGTACAGAATCGACCTGTGAGGCGGAATCTTTCCGCCCGTCGGTCCCGAAGCTAACGGCCGTCCAATGATGCAGCGGGGCATCGTTCCTGATTGGATGCCGCTGTATTCTAACTAGGTTCGCGGGCCCAGACATGCCGCAGTTGTCCCCTCAGATCAAGATCGACGATGGCAACAAGGAGAAGCTTTTGTGTTCCTACAGTGGCCCTGCACGCAAGGTAGTGCGGGGCCACGGTCTTCCGCCGATCCAGCCGCGTCATCCCCTCCTTGCCAGTACGGTGCAGTTATAAGGTCCAAGTGACAATTGTCCGCAAGTCGAACCACTTCTTCGACCGGGCCCCGTCTAACATGACTATCCCTCAGACGTCTCCAAGTGCTCCAGACCACTTCATCCTGCCGGATCTTGTCTCGCACTGCAAGTTCCCGCTCTCTGTTCAGCCGAACGCGCTTGCAGTTGCCGCCGACTCGGATCGTTGGCTCGACGAGGGCTGCCCCGAGCTCTCCCCTAAGAAGCGCCACGCCATCTACACCTTGCAAGCCGGCATTCTCACTGCGCAGTGCTATCCCCATTGCGATGATGAGCACATGCGCGTGGTGGCCGACTTCCTCGTCTACCTCTTCCACCTGGACAACATGACCGACGTGATGGTTGCAGCGGGAACGGAGCAGCTCGCTGACCTCGTCATGAACGCCCATTGGTTCCCCGAGAAGTATATGCCCACCTACGCGCTAGGTGGTGATCAACCGGACGAAGAGCCCAGCGCGGGGAAGCTCGCAAGGGAGTAAGTGATCAGTGGGGACCACGATTCGTGCTTGCATGCTGAGCAACGTGCAGCTACTGGTCGCGTTGCATCAAGGACGCAAAGCCCGGTCCGCAGGCGCGTTTCAAGCAGAACCTCGACCTCTTCTTTTCGGCCGTACAGATACAAGCAGCGAATCGCAGCGCAGGAATTATCCCAGATATCGAGTCTTACATTATCGTAAATGCGCATTGCTTGACTGCCGCGACGTGCTGACTGACGGTTGCGTCGAATAGGACCGCCGAGACACCAGCGGCTGCAGACCGGCGTTCGACCTCATCGAGTATTCGATGGGGATTGACCTGCCTGAATACGTGCTAGAGGACCCTGTGATTGTGACACTCAGTAACGCGTCCAACGACCTCGTGGCGTACGTACCGTTGTAGCATGTTGTTAACCGGTCTGACGTTTGTCAAATAGGTGGAGTAATGTACGTCGGATGCTGCGATGGCTACGACTCGCCGAATCGATGTCCTCACTACTCTTCTCATAGGACCTCTTTTCGTACAACGTCGAGCAAGCTCGCGGCGACGAAACCCACAATGTCAGCATGTTTCCACGACATCGATCGAACGCATCGCTCACCTCACCTGCAGATGATCACCATCGTCATGCATTACCACGGCGTTGGACTGCAGGAGGCCGTTGACTACGTCGGCGAACTGTGCCGCCAGACGATCAACGCGTTTGCAGAGAACCTCGAGCGCATCCCGTCATGGGGCCCGGACATCGACAGGGAAGTTCAGATCTATGTCAAAGGTCTGCAGGACTGGATCGTTGGTTCACTTCACTGGAGCTTCATCACGCACCGATACTTTGGGCCTTTGGGACCAGAGATCAAGAAAACGCGCTTCGTGAAGTTGCATCCAAAGAAGAAGAATGCCTCGACGTGAGCATCATAGGTATGTCCCGTTGTCTACGTAGCACAACAACGTTCTGATCATCTACCATCGAAAAGCTATCAGTGATCACCTTTCCCTGTTTCCTTCATGACGATTATTGCATTTCCCTTCGCTGTACTATAGACTGCGCGCCGCCCAAGACGCGACCTCCGTGCTTCCCATCGCTAAGATGTTAGACTTCTTGCTGAGCGCCATGTACGATATGAATGTACCCTTACCTGTACTCTACCTGTACCATGATTGTACCGCGAATGAAGATGAGTATCGCTTAGACGACATCAGGACCCACTATGGTCGCTGAACAATGATGATTAGTCCACGCTCCAACTCCCCATTCCACACGTTCTTGAGATGCACACGAAAAGGTTGTCATCGCAATCATATCACCAGGAGCTCAGATGGTATCTAGCAGCAAGTTAGATACAGCACGGTAGAGAGACCTAGCGCCTTCTGCCGGGATGTACGCGCTCAGCGAGTTCCGCACAATCATGTCGATCGTCGCAGGTGGCAACTCTGTCTCCTCGCTAGTCAAGGAGTGCAACGCTTCCGCTGCAATTGCCATCTTTTCCTCGGTCGTGAACGGGATGAAAGGGAGCACAGTCGTGACCCGAGAGAGCAATGAGGCCTGAGATATTGAAGACGGTGAGCGATCTCGCGACATGGCGTGTGCCGGACAACACTCACCCCTAGTCGCTGGGAGACGCAAGGTCGCAGCAAGCCCATGAGGTCAACGTAGTCTTCGCGCGACATCGGCGCCTCAGGGTCCTGCCGCTTCTCTTGGTGTTCGAACACCAGGTCATGCCCGATGTTCGACGTCCCAAGCCAGATGACCTGCGAGACATCTACATGTCGGTGGCCAGCTTCGAACGAGCAGCGACCAAGTTCCCATGGCATAAGCAGCGAGCTCAAAGCCTTCTCGTCGGGCGACTTCTCGATTTCCTGCATAATCGCCCAGTGAGAAGACAAGACAGTAAGGCGAAGCAAGGAGACCCACATCCAATACGACGACACAACGCCGACCTTCGTTGGCGATGAGGAAATCTGCCAGTGTACAAGTCGATGGAGCCTACAACAGCACACTCAGTGTCCGTCCATTTGCACGGCGGGAAACGGGAGCGACGTACCTCATAGGGGCTCATCGAATAACTTCGCCATATATCATGTGTATCACGAAGCGTAGTCATATTCACAGTATGCGTGGGCACCTCCAGCAGCGAGCCGAACTTGCGCGCCAGCAGGCTCTTCCCGTGGCCGCTAGGGCCGCAGAGCAGGACTATGACGGGCGCCATGGTCGGCATGCTGAGCACGCGGAACAGCTGCTCGAGGGCGCGGTCCTGCCCAATCAGATCGTATCGTACACGAGCGAGAGGTCGGAAGAACGAGCGGTGGATGAGTGCGGATGCGCGGCGCGTCTGCGGCGCCTCCGCGCGTTTGATATAGTACTTCGTCGCGTGGTCCAGCTCCTCGAGCGGATCCGGCAGTGGCTCGCTGCTAGCCTCGCCTGAGCCTGCGCTGGTTGGTCGGCTGGGTATGATGGTCTGCTTCGCTGCAACGGGGTCTGCACCGTGCGCCAGTAGGAGCTTCACCATCTCTTGCCTATGTTTGAGCTGCCGAGCCGTGAGCGTGAACGCAAGTGCGCTCTGCGGGCCGACATCATCGTTCGGACCCACCTCGCCACTGTCCAGGACGCGCTTCACCTCGTCGACATTGTCACTCGCAAGCGCAAAGAGCAACGTCGGGCGGGGCGTCGCGATCGCATGTATGGGCGAAGGCGGCGAGGGGCTCAGAGGAGCGGTGTGTGACAAGGACGAGGTCGGGCGCAGGACCCGGAGTGTGTCGTCGCGAGACAGCTCTCCCGCGTCCTCGTCTTCCTCAAAGAGTATAGGTTCAGAGGCCCGGCTGTCCGGTCTCGCATACCGCTCAATGAGGGACTGTCGACGCGACACAACTGAAGAGCGAGAGCCTTTGCGGGCGTGCCACGAAGGCGCGTGTACCATTGAGGCGGAGAGGGGTGCTGTTGGAGAAGTGGCGGGAGGCGAGAGCAGACTTGACTGATAAGAAATGCCATGAGAAGGAGCGTACGTGCTGTCAATGAGAAGGGTATTGCGAGAGCGAGATGATATGAGACTTGTTCGACGAGACGAGAGCTGTACGGGATCGTGTCAATGCTCCAGACACACTTATAAGACGGGCCCCTTACCAATCGAGCATTAGATAGAGAGTAGTCTGATGATACAGTTGGTGATGATGGTGTATATGCTGTATGAATTGCACTTCAGAAGTCAGCGTGTAACATGTAGAAGAGTATCATACCAGTCGTGCCAGTTGTGAGAGGGGGAATGCTATTGCTTGACTCTAACCCAGATGAGACTTGGAACGAAGGGGACAGCGGAGACGCGGACGCAGAAGTCGACGCGCTCAGGATCATTGACTGCAACACATGGTCAGAATATTGCCGTCTACCCTAGTCCCGTCACAGGATCACTTACCAAACGTAACGGCTTCAATCGCGAAGAGCTGGGGACGGAAGGCGGCGCGGACTGGGACTGATCCATATACACATCCTGCTGCACATCCGCACCCTCCAGAGCCGGCGTGCCCCCCGCACTCACGCTCTCCCTCAGCGGGGACGGCGCCCTATCGTGCGAGGTCGGGTTCAGCCCAGTAAGCGCAGGCGGTCGCGGACGGCTCGCCCCGGACTGCCTCAGCGAGCTCGCGCGGCTGAGCGACCCGCTCGAGGACGCCTGCCTCCACGAAAGAGGCACACGGGTCGACGTGCGGCGCTCCAACTTTGCCTGCCTGTCCTGTCCATCTGGTACACTCTCGAGCTCCGATAGGATAGACGGCTGAGGAGAGGGCTGCAGCGATGACTGAGAGGGCTGCAGAGGCGATGGATGAGTAGAATTGAGATGCGACGGTTGAGAGGATTGCAGGGACGACGGGCGAGAGGACTGCAGGGACGACGGGCGAGAAGATTGCAGAGGCGATGGGTGAGCAGATTGTAGAAGCGACGAGTAAGCAGATTGCATGGGTGATGGGTGCGCAGACTGCAGGGGCGATGGGTGCGCAGACTGCAAGGGCGATGGGTGAGCAGACTGCAAGGGCGATGTTTGCGCGGACTGCAGAGGCGACGGATGAGCGGACTGCAGCGGCGACGGGCGCGAGAACTGCAAGGGTGACGTATGGGACGACAGTACGGGCGACGGCTGCGGCGAGAGCTGGGCCCACGGGCTCTCCGCACGGATCGGCGACTTGCCCTTCAAGTTGGCGGGATTAGAGAACACGCGCGGCGGGTGCTCCTCGAAGGGCGACGCGGCGTCGCTGTCCGCACCGGGCGTCCAGACGCGCGGCGGCGCGGTGAAGACGCGCGAGCCCAGCGCGGGGGCGTCCTCCTCGGTCAAGGGCGTCTGGAGGGCGGACGGCGCCGCGGAGTACTCGTCGCTCGAGACGTGGCTGTCTTCCGAGGAGTGCCCCAGCATGTAACCGTCGAAGAAGTCGTGGATCGTGTCGTCCCCGACGGGGCTCACGGCCTCGATGACGACCGAGGGCCTGCGAGGCGGCTCCGGCGAGTCCGCAGGGGAGACCGTGCTGGCTTTGACGGTCGCTAGGAGGTCCTCGCTGAGAAGGCTCTCTACTGGGCTCTCCGCCGATGCAGACTCTTGCGGACTCTCGTCCTCTGCAGACGGCGGACGGGAGTCGACGTCAGAGTACTGCGCCCTGCTCTCGTCCGCGTCCTCGAATTGGCTTGCACTCGCGCTGAACGCCGGCGAGAAGAAATCTGCTAGTCCGTGAGTGTGGTGTTCTTCGCCCACGAGGCGCATGCGCTTGGTGGGCGAGCCAAACGGCGACGAGAGGATGGACAGGGTAGACATGCGCCGGGGACTCCGCGGAGGCGAGGTAAGGAAAGTCGGCGGGACGAAGCAGCCTTCCGCGTACCCCGAGTCAATCGAGTCTTCGCGGTGCAAGTCGGATGCGCTTCCTGAGGGGGAGATGAAGGCCATGGGGGGTGCAGTCGCGCCGATATCAATGGGCGAGAGCAGACCGGAGGGTGGTCGCGTAGAGGTCGGCGGTACGGGGAACTGTGTAATAGTAACCTCTTCGTCATCGCTGACAGACGAATGCGATTCCTGTGCGATACTCGACCGAGGCGTTATGGCGGGGTCGGAAGCAGTTTCGTGATAATCAAGAGTACCGGAGAGGAGAGCATCGAAGACAGTGACGGATGCGTCTGCGGTTGTGACTGGAACATCCACAGAGTAGTCGTCTTCAACCGCCTCGGAGGAGCTGACAGCGTCATCGTCGTCGGCTTGACTCTCATCAGCGTCGTCCACGCCCACCGCGACTTCCTCTGCTTGATCCTGTTGGATGGTATCGCCAAGTGCCAGGAGCAAGCTAGACAGACGCGGTGAACGCGACGGCGAAAGGAAGCGAACGACCTTGGCGTTCCTCCGAGACTGTTTCTGGAATGTTGGATTGTCCACAGGCGACTCAGGGGGAGAAGGCAGCGGAGACCGCGAGGTGGAACATGAGTCTGTCTCAGGACGCGGCGCCTTGACGTCGTGCAAGAAGTTGCATGAATCCGAGAACAAGCAGCGCCCTTGAGAGTAGAAAGGACAGGGACGCGCTGCAGGAGCGAAGTCAGTTTGCACGAGAAAGCAAGCTGTCCGCACGCACTCTTTTGCTTCCATGGAGGGTCAGGGATGGTCATGAGGGTTGTGCTGACAGGCTAATTGCGCGGCTATGAGTATGGACAGGGTGTCCGTCGCGTTAGAGATGTTTGGCGGGCATGAGAGGTGTGGTATGCACTCACGAAATCGACATGAGAGAGGGCAGCAACACACGCGCCTGTCGCAGTGCACTGGGGGAGGAGAGGGGGCGAGAGGGCACTTAGAAGGCCAAACAAGTTGAAGTCGGCATGAGTGTTCGTGTTGCCTATCCGAGCGGACCCTTCTCAGCCAATCACCGCACGCCCGCCACGGGGCCGCCATCCCACGCTCCTCATCGAGGCATGCCCGACGCGGGCCGAGGCGCTCGCTGCAGTCGCGCCCGCGTCGCGTCGCGTCGTCATCACTGCGTCGTGTCCGGATCCGCTACCAAGGCGACAGTGTCGGCGCCCACGCGAGGCAGCCATACTCCCAAACTTGTCGGGAGGCAGACGAATGCTGAGTAGTCCAGGCTGGGGTCATCAAGCCACCACAGAACTAGGATTCGAACAAATAGGAAGGTGTGGCACACTCACCGACGTTGGGAGGCACAGCAGGATACAGCTCCCGAGTCCATTCATTCATGGTTTGCTCCCGCGAAACACTCGGAAGTGGCGACTTGATAACCGGTAGCCCAACGGTACTTAGCCTCTGCCGCGGACGACAAGTCTACACGCCAGCGGCAGGGTTAGCAGTCGCTCAGGCTGGTGAGTACCACAGACATGGGGTAATCCGCATTCTCGTCAATGGCCGTGCTGCAAGTGAAGATAACTACTCATACATATACCCTAGTTGTGAACGGCGAGACATACTTAGTGCCGTTCGTCAATTGAGAGCAGGCGCCCTGGCCTTGGTAAGCTAAGGCTATAGCGAGACAGCGGATCACAGAAATGCGTCCCATCCAGGCTTCCTCAGGCTAGGTTTTGGAGCTAGGCAGTCGGTGTTCAGCCCGTGTCAGGAATGACAGGACAAACATACCTAACAGGGAAGTAGCATTGCCATACATATGCATATTCAGACTCATCTATCATAACGGCCCTCGTTGTTCGCTTCTGAACGTTTGGACGGCTGCAATCTGCTACGATGCGGAGGCAAGATGCCCAAGACACTGATTACCACATATGCCTCTGTTATGGCTCGTGCACCACACCGTAAACTTCGTGACATATCATACTCAGAGCGTAACATAGAGGATAGTAAGCATAACATAAGAAACCAAGCGAGTCCATTTGGAGTCCATCTCTCCAAGTCCTAGAACCCCCTCTTCAGCCTCTCATTCTCCTCCCTCAACACCCTATTCTCCTCCCTCAGCGTCGAGATCTCCCCCCGGAACTCGTCCACGACCGCGCGCATCTCGCCCCTCAGCCCGCGGCCCATCCGGAGCATGTCCAGGTGCAGCCCGACGAGCTCCCCATGCGTCTCCTGCCGGAAGTCGTACATCGCGTCGCGGAGCAGCGTCTGCAGCAGCCCTGCCGCGGCGCGCGTGTTCGGCGAGCCCAAATGAGCATGCGACGTCGAGTTGCGTAGGGGAGAGGGGACGGGTGCCCATGTAGCGCTCGAGCCTGAGGCCAGTCCCGGTCGTCGTGCGGGGGAGACCTGCATCGTGAACGCCGGCTCCGTGATAGCGTCGCCAGGCAGAGGTACCCGCCGGGCAATCTCCACTTCGTCCTCGTCGCCGTCGCTCTCGCTCGCGAAGCCTACTTTTTTGCCATTCGCCCTGTCAGCGACACCGACTTCACCCGCCTTGATCCAGCGATCCACCTCAGGGGTGCCCAGCCCCAGCACGCCCATCCCGCCCGCCTTGCCCTTACCAGCACGCTTGCCCATGGGCAGCGGCGTTGCAGGCACATCCTCATCAACGTCTGGCAGGTCCGGACTGGGGGTTAGCGACTGGCGGGATGCACCCTTCCTGTATGCGGACGGGGCTTTCGGTACGGGGCGCGCGGAGGGCGATGTGTGCGAGCTAGCGGCAGACGTAGGGCGCGTGGACGCCTTGCTCGCCCGCCCGCTGGACGTGGTGCTCCCGGATACGGAGCGCGTCCTTGTGGATGTCGTAGAGGAACCGGAAGCACGGCGGATATTTTCCGTGCGCGTCCGGCTGTCTGCGGTGGTCGCAGCAGCAGTAGTACGCATGGGTGCAGACGAGATAGAAGGAGGGACATCCGATCCGACTGGCCCTAGCGAACCGCCTGCAGGATTGACGTTTTCCTTCGCGCGTGCGGATACCGGGAGGTTCAACAAGCTCTCGATCCGGACTAGTACACGATGTCAGCTATATCATTTGAGGTTCAGTATACGATGGCGACATACCAGATACGTTCAGATCTTGACGCTCTTCGCCAGGCTGTCCTCTCCTTGCAGGCGGAGACCTCGGAGGGGAAAAGATCTTCTTCGTCACACCACCAGCGCTAGCCTTCCTCGCTGCAGGCGACTTCACCCCGGCCACAGCAACACCTGCTCGTGAGCGTACGGGACGAGGCGATCCATTCGAGGCGACCCTCGGCTTCACTGCAGGGCTTGCGCGCCCTGCAATAGTACGGGACGCCACTGGCGACGTGACGGTCTTCTTGTCGGGTTTCTCAGGTTTCGTGGTGGTTGTGCGGGGCGCAGACGTCTTGTTCTGGTCTTGTTGCACGAGAGGCTTAGTCGAAGCGGGTTTCTTAGTTGCGGCAGACTCCTTTGTTGGAGCAGCAATGTCTTCAGGCTTAAGCTTCTTCTGTACGGATCGATCAGTGTTATGGTCGGAGAGGACATGGACGCTGATGAGACATACCTGCATAGACAGTGCAACCACACGGTCACCGTTGTCGCTGACAGTGATGGATTTAGGAGGCTTGTCAAGTGCGCGCAGGTCTTGCCAGAGCACCCTGCCGTTCTCAGTGCCGACGTACAGCACTGCGCCTTCCGCTGAGAACGCGAGACATGTAATGGGAACATGCACACTCCAAGTTTTGTACATGCTGCACATTTCACGAGTCAGTGATCTGAAACAAGTAAAGGTCTTACGGGTACGCACCTTCTCTCTTTCTCTTTCTCGAGGTCCACAAGGGCGATCGCGCCACCGCTGCAAGCCACCGCAACGAGTGTCTTGCTGAACGGGCTACTCGCAATTGACACGATCTCCTCACTGCTATCCTTCTGCGTGCTAATTGCGATCGTCTTGAGCGGGCCACTTGGCCTTGTCGTATCGTACACCAGCACCTGAGCGCCCGCGCCCACCAGAAGCCTCGTCCGCGCATGCGGGTGGAACGCACACGCCGTTACGGTCTCCCCCGAGGGTAGCCCCCGCAAGACGGTATGCGAACCATGCGTCAAATTGTGGACATGCACCGCATTCGCGGAGGTAGACGCGAGGAGGGTAGAGTCGTTCGAGAGGGAGAGGGCCGCCACGGGGGCCTTGTGGGTATCAAACGTGCGGGATATCTTCCCCGCGTGCGCGTCGAGGACGTGCACCTGCTGGCCCGCGTTGAAGATGACGGTGTTCCCGCGGTCCTTCGCTACGAGCGCTGTGATCGCACCGGTAGCATCGTCATAGAGTGTCTTCGTAAGGGTGCCGGAGGAGTCGTAGCGGGAGATAGAGTGGGCTTGCGCGAGGATGAGGGAGGAGTTGTCGGGCGACCAGGTGTGGCATGTCGGTGGTGAGTCGAGCGTGCATGTCGGGGCGATAGAGGTCGCGCGTCGTAGGCCCTGAGGCTCGGCGATGTGAAGTGAACTCGTCGTGGCTACGGCCAACATCGCAGGAGATACGGGGAGGAGAGAAGGCGGCGGGTGGGGGTCTCGGATGCGACGACGCGCGACTGTCGAAACCGAACCGCGACGCGGCTGCCCACGTGGTCGCGATGCTATCGATATCACTATCACATGCGTCACTTTGGGTGCTGTAGGACCGTCTCTTCATCTACGTCCTCCACAATTCCTACTGCTTTGATTCCTGATTTGAATGCATGAAATGCACGGATAGGCCTCGCAAGTAGTATTCCCCACCAATGTGCCACGAACAACCAATAGTACTAATGTTTACTTTTATGATATTGAACCTTCCTCGGGGAGCCTTCCCGCCGAGTGCCTAAATTGTACGTTCGGACACTCCTTTGCAAATTGTGGCACTGCTGAATTACTATTGTGGAATACTCTGGACGCGAAGTAACTATGGATCAAGCTCGAAGGTGTGCATGGTCCGAGTGCAATCGCTGGTAGCAGGTGAGTGCGACCCAAAGGGCAATAGCTTGTACTACTCAGCGACCGACGCTGCCTTCGATGCAAGCTTGACTTTGCTGCCGAAGTGTCTCCTGCCGCATGTTCTGGGGCCGCTGGATCATATCGAGTTCTGTGACATCGGTCTCAGTGCATATCCGGTGGCCGACAGACCTTGTATAGGATGCATACTAGCAGAACCAAGACACGCGAGCTGACCCGACGTCGCCCTCGTTCACGCTCTCCGCCCGGACGTCCTGTCACCTGCACGCATTGCCGCTCGCCGAGGCTGCGTCGTCCAATCGCAATACTGTATAATTCTGGCCTGCCTCGAAAAGACCCCCCTCTGTCCATTCTCAGTCCTACTTCCATGCTCGACTTCGTCCACTGACAACACACAGACGGAAATGAAGTCGCAATGACGCATCCCGAGGGCAGCATCTTACCTGAGCGGCGACCAACGCGCATATAAAGCCCTGCGCGCACGACGTGAACCTCAGCGAACGACGCCCTTTGTCCAACACCCGAGTGTCACAATGTCGGGCTACGCGCTGAAAGACTTGACCATGGCACACCTCCTGGTGAGGAACGAAGAATGGGCAGCCGGTATCGACAGGATTCATCCGGAAGCCTTCCCTCGCATGGCGACGGTGCCACAGCGGCCGAAGGTATTGTCTTCCGATTCTCAGCACAACTCGATCGTTCCAGATGGCTCACACCTGCGTTTGGGATCACCCCTAGGTCCTCTGGATAGGCTGCGCCGACTCGCGCGTACCGGAGTCCGTCGTCACGGCCTCCGTGCCCGGTGACATCTTCGTCCATCGCAACATCGCCAAGTACGCATGCCGCTGTGGTCTGCACGGCACGCACTCACCTGTCTCACAGCCAGTTTTCCGCCGACGATCGCAACGCAGCCTCCGTCGTCCAGTACGCCGTGCAGCACCTCCGCGTGAGCCACGTCCTCATCGTCGGACACTCGCACTGCGGCGGCGTTGAGGCCGCTCTCGAGGCAGTAAAAAGCGGCCGTCCCCCGAGCGGGCCCATCGGCGAATGGCTTCATCACTTGATCCACCTCGCAAAGCACTATCCGGAGATCACGGAACTCACGGAGGTCAACGTCATCAGCGCTGTGAATCGCGTCGGAAACTTCATTGAGAAGATGGAGTGCCTTGACCCTAGCGTCGGCGAGGAGGCTGCGCGCGTCACGGTTGTGGGGATGGTGTACGAGCTCGAGACAGGGAGGTTGAGGGAGGCGGGCCGTCGGGAAGTATGGCCACCACGAGATGAAGCCGACCAAAACGGACCCATAGCGTATAAACGCGGGGTGCATGAACATGGGAAGTACGAGAACGTGTTGCATGCAAATGTCAATGGAGTAGACGAGGACAGGGCTCATCGAGCGTATGCAAATAACATGGCGACATACGTATGATGCTCTTTTTTGTAGTCTCGAAAGCTCTCAGTACTAGTAATTACTAATAATATGCGATGCCTCTCACCGTGAGTCACCGAGTGTGCGGGATCATGAGCACTTCGAATTCAACAGCGGGGTCGCTATGTCGTGCAAGCACGATTGGATCATTGTACTATTCGCATTGCGTTCTATATACGCTACACTACATACGCGTACCGTAAGTGGCTACTATACCTACTAGAAAGATCGTGAGATCTAATAACGATAAGAGCAACAAGAACCAGGGGAAAGTGAAAGGAGTGGTGGGTAGCGACGACGCAATAGCGCGCGCTGAACTTCAACTCAGACTAGAACGAATCACCGACATGTAACACAAAACCCTGCGTGAAGAACATTCCTCTACCCCCATTATACACAGAGTCCGTTTTGGAGGGCAAGGTGGGTGCTTGCTCATGTAGCCTTGTCCCCGCTATACGAGCGTCGATGGTGGATCTTCTCGAGCAGCGAGAATTTCTTTCCTATTCGTGCTCGCGGGCCTTCCCGCGCATCAGGCGACGCTGACGGGCCCGACCTCGACCGACCCTTTGCGGCCACATTTGCCTCGCTTATAGCAGACGAAGGCGTGAGTGGCTGCGGGGCACGTAGCAAGCTGGAGACCCAGAGATCAGAAGGAATACATGCACAACGGAAGGGCACCACGAACCTGCGCGACTTCCTGAGGAAGCTGGTTGGCGAGTTCGGGACGGAGTCAGAGCCAGTCGAACGAGGCACCGACGGTCGTTCCTCCTGCAACAACATCGACGCAGGCTCCTCCGTCACCGGATGCCACGACAGTCTCCTGCTCGGGAGCCGGGGCTGCTTCCGCGGACCCTCCTCCCTCGACTCTTTCCCTTCTGTCTCCGCATCCTTCTCCCTCTCCCCAGCCACCTCAACCGCCGCGCTCTCGGCTATCCCATCCAAGCGTCCGTCAATTGACGTCTCCCTGCTCCTCGCGTGCGCTGGACCGCCCACGACGATGGAACCTGGCTCGCATGCCTTCCGCTGCTCGAACGTCGTCCCGCCGACCGTGGTAGAGCCCCGGCTGATGCGCACCTGCCGGACGTAGTCTGCGGCCTCCGGGGACAGGGGAGTCGGGAAGAAGTAGGGTGCCTGGTACGGGTCTGTACGCGGGAGGGGCGGCGGTCGCTGCGGTGGCGTACTGTGTTGCCTACGGGGCAGCCATTTCTTCTTGGGAGATGTGACTGGGCGTAGGGAGGAAGAATTAGCGAGAACAGAGCTGTACAATGAGGAAGAGACGTACCGCTGGTGGCCGGCGAGGTGACGGACCGACAGACCTTAGGCCGTGGGCTCTCGGCATCAGAGCTGTGCGAAGCCATGGACTGTTGCTCTGATAATGAGGGCGTGGACGGGTCCGCAGAGGGGATCGGTGTTAGCGACGGAGGGAGCGCGATTATGATGTGAGGTGGGGACGTGCTCTTGCGCGTCGCCCGACGCTTCTTGCGGTCCTCCTGTATTTGACTCGCGATTCGCCGGACGGGCGAGTGACTCCGGATTATGGCCTCCTTCGACAGTTGAAGTAGGTTGGAGCCACTTGCAACGATCTTTGAAGATGATCGCGAAATTGAGGGAGAGGGAGGTGGCGGGACGTCATCCAGTGACTCTTTCTCAATTGCAGCACGGGCGGCTTGTTCTGACGATACTGTTTCTGACGTTGTTTGAGTGACCGAGTCGGAATCGTGCGAGAGAGCGAGAGAGTAGAGGGACGCAGTCGATGCATTGCGAGAATGAAGTGTTGGGACGAGAAGCTTGGGCTCGACTCGCCGGTGTTGCTCTTCTGGCGGTAGGTCCAGGAACGTAGATACAAGGGCATGGGCAATCGCACCGAACACACTCTGATCGTTTGAAAGGTCAGTATGGTTGTATGATGCGAGCTGCTCGTGTGCCAGAGGATCGCCGGACACATCCGCATATGAAGGTTATTGGATGAGGGTCACACTGGAGCGTGTTGATAGATCGCGACCGACCATTTCTACAGCGACCATAGGCAATGCCGTCGAGCTCGCAGAGACTGACTGCAGCATCAAGACAACGACTTGGACGCGTCATGTAACCGCCACTCTATGACCGCTGGCCGTGTATGAACAGAAACAGGGCGTGCCCGTAGTTGACGTAGCTCTCGCGCCATTGCCTCATCCACAGAACTTCATGCAGAAGTGTCCGCCAACCCTCCGGAACCCCGAATGAATACTCACCAGGATGAACCCGACCGATGCCATGGCCGCACCAGCCACCGCGGGGACAACGATCCTCGCCACAGTCAGGAACATGTTCATGTCGGATCGGAACCAGTGGAAGTACGCGACATAGGGCTGGACTTTGGTGTAGAGAATAGAAATGGAGACGACGGTCCTTCGCGTCGCTTTACAGAGTCGCATGGCTATGCGCAGGCGTCAGCGTCAACGGCGAGTAGGCACTAGTGGGCGGTGAAACTGACATCACTCACCCGCGACACCGCCTGCACGTTAGAGGCTTAATATGAGTGGCAGCGGTGCGGCCGGCCGAGGAGAAAATGCATGGGATAACTTTGAAAGCGTGCGGCGGAGGAGGCGGGCAGAGGAAAGAGGCTTGGACGAGCGTGCGTTTTCATCGTGCCGGCCAGATCTGTCACACTCGTCTCGCAGCCTAGGATCGATGATGCCGTCCCGCTTACGTACCGTCCACCCAGATCTGAGCGCCCTCTCGCGCCCCTGTCGGTCCCGGGATAGTCAGCATAGATGACACGCGCGCTGCAGACGGAGGGTCGGTGTAGGTGCTCGGGCTGCGCCTCGACCCCTCCAGCAGCCCGGACTGGCAGGAAACAGGGCCGACGGAGGGCGTAGAGCCCCTGAGAGTGTGACAAAGGCCGCATTCGCGGTTGTGCAGAGCCCCGGAGGAGGCAGCGGCTGTTGAGCGGCTGCTGTAAGCCTTGAAGCCAAACTGAAGCGTCGCAAAAGCACATGCCAAGAGGGCGGGCAGACCTCGATCGGGGAGATCGTTCGGCCCGCTGATGCGCACCCGCCCTCCGAGATGCTCGGGATCGACGGGCTTCATTCTCACCGTGCATCATTTTCGCTGTAACGGAAAAGAAACATCGCGCGCGAGCAGGCATGACTGTCGCATTCCCCGGCGATGGACAGTCAGCCGAGGGACCGCGCACAGGCGAGACACGCCCTATCGTCGCTCACAAACACGCACATGCATGAGGTATAGCACATACACGCAGCATACCACAAAACCCAAGGAGTAGAGGAAAGTTAGTTACACATCTACCAGTGACAACAATTACCCTGCGTAAGTCCCAGGTAGATCCCAGCCAGGAATAGTCTACAAAATATTACCCTAGCACAAGCCCGAGGAGATCCAGTGAGTCAGCCCTATTAATATAAAGCAACAAACCCAAGAGCAAGCAAATAAGCACGCCAGGCGGACCCGTCCACCCGGCACAATAATACAGGCGTCGCCATCCGATTCCTGGAGGATCTAGACGCACGAGACGCACAGCGTCCCGCGCTCGCACAGGCCATGTAGCCGATCCGCGATGAGGTTGCGGATCTCCTTCTCGACCTTGGGCGTCATGTCCTGACAGACGACGAAGAAGTACACCAAGAGGCCCTTGTACTCTTCTCGCGACAGATCATGGTCGATGCGCGACCAGTCAAGGCTGAGCAGGTCGGCCACGGAGGTAATTTCAAACTCGAATGAAATCTCCTCCAGCTGCGGCGAGCTGATCTGCGAGATCATGGCGGTCACCCACGGGAAGAGTTGGTTGGACATGAAGCCTTGCGACGCAGCGGCCTTCGCGTCGAGCCCCCCGAAACGCACGGAGCGCAGGCCGGTGTTGTGAACCAGGCTAATCTGGTTGTCCAGGACGGCTACACCACGGAGCGCGACGGTCAGCATCAGTTATAGCCAGCCTCGCATGGCAGAGTGTCGCACCTTCCTCAGGCACACCGGACGGGAATTCCACCAGCAGCCGCTCGAGCGACGCCCCGCTCGCATGCAACAGGTCGCCGACCACTTTCATGTTCTCGATCTCCCTCCAGCACAGCTGGATCGTGCGCAGGTGCTGCTCCGACGGGTGACTCAGCAGCCATTCCGTGACGAGCGTCGGCGACGAGCGTGAGTCCAGGAAGAGGTACGATAGGTGCATGCACTCCTTCGCCTGCCGGATCGCCTGAATGGCCGTCTCGTCCGCGGGCGCACCCAGCGGCGCAGGGCTCTCCTTGTTCCACGCGACGCCATGGAAATAGAGCTCGTTCAGCGCGGGGAAGGCACCCAGGAAGTCCAGCACGTCGCGCGACGCCTCGAAGCGCACCTCGAACAGGAAGAGCGTCCGCACATGCGCGAAGCGGTCCACGAACGCCGCCTGCGTCTCCGGCAGGAGCGCATGCCACCGCACGCGCGACAGCCCGATGGTCGTGACCCGCTCCAGTCGGTGCACGAACCCGCCTACGGCGTTGACCCACGCATCGTCCTCGACCGACCTGCCCGCCTCATCGACGCCCTTGTACTCCGCGCTGACGGTGAACCTGCGCACGCAGCGCGCGATGGCGGGCGTGCTCTGCAGGAGCGCCTCGAAGCGGGCGCACTGGCTGGCGTTCTGGATGCGCACGGTGCGGAAGAGGTGCAGGCGGCTCGTCCCGATCCAGTCGCGGCATGTGAGCGCACACGCCGCGAGCGACTTGGGGTCGTCCCAGAGGTGGTCGATCGACTCGTCGAAGAGCTCGGGCGGGAGGACGGAGGCGACGTGCATCGTGTATGTCACAGTCTCGCCGCACCTGTTGTGATAGTGTGCATTGTCTGGTCAGCTCGAGCATAACGCGCTGAAAGCGGACGTACCGGTGCTGGCGGAGGAGGTATAGGGAGGGGGAGAGAATGAGCCGGGCGACTCGGAGCTACTACTCGGCCCCTACTTATCGTTTGATACAGCCTCTAAGCTCACATGTCTGGCGCCCGCAATCATGGCAACTTGGGTTGAAACAAGCTCTCTGATTGGCTCGCCAATTCTCGCTTCGGAGCGGAAGAGTGGTTCGGGAGGACGGCTGCCCAAAAGAGGGATCCAGACGTCGTCCCCAGCCCACGCCGATGAAGAGCGTGGGAGACCAACCATCTTTGGTAGCTGCCATTTGTGCTGCAGTGCCCCAGAGCGCAGAGCCTGGTTCGTACACTTCGTCATAACTCTGTGGTATTACTGACGTTCAGCAGTCCAGTCTGCTCTTGCTTACAACCTCCATGTCGAACCCTACTCTGCTGCGTTCTCTGCGGCCTCTAATCCAATGTTCTCGCTCAATGCACATCGCGTCGCTCGACGTCGCCCGATCACGCGCGACTCTGTCCTTCGTCCGCACCAAGTCCTCGAAGGCAACCAAACTGCAGGCCTCTAAGAAGTCGGCGGCAGCACCCAAAGCACCTTCTACTACCGCACAAGCTTCAACCACTTCTACAAATGCAGTGAAGACGGAGGTAGCTGCGGAGTCGACGCCCGGAGCACAGGCGTACAGGAGCGGGACGGGAAAGGTCACTGAGATTCAGCAGGAGACGCTGCCGTGGGCGGATTACCTTGCTATCCGGAAGGAGAAGCGGAGATGGGAGACGGTGCGTCGCAGGTACTACTACATGATTTAACATCGCTCATAACTCGTCTTGTACGTCTTCGTATGGTCCTGGTGGAAAGGCGATGTCTGTACCGTTTATCATTGGCGGCTTCACGGGGGGCATCATGTACTTCGGAAATCAAGATGTGGACCCCACGAAGCTCATCTTTGTGCGTCATGTTCACGCTAAGCTACTTTTATGGAGGAACTGACCTACCTCGCGTAGAACATGGACCCTATGATCGTGTATGGGTTTTCGACCCTCGCGTGCGCAGCCATGGGCTACCTCGTAGGGCCCATTGTCGGCTCTTCAATATGGCGGATGTCCCACAGACGGACGCTGAAGCTCATCGAGGCCCGCGACCGCGAGTTCCATCAACACATCGTGAAGAATCGGGTGGACCCTACCGCACAGAGCGCAACAAACCCTGTGCCAGATTTCTATGGTGCGTTCAGGCTGTGCTCCAGTCGGACTGTATCGTCTGATGTGCTATGTGCGTAGGCGAGAAGATTGGCTCGTTGCATGAATACAGACAGGTATGCGCAAGTTGGTTTCTGGATGTAGACATGCTAACCACAAGGTCCTCAGTGGTTGAGGGATCAGTCGAGGTACAAGAAGAAGGCATACTTCTCCGAAGATGTTTAGATCACACGTTGACTCTGTTGCAATGCACATGCTATGACCCGCAACTAGAGAAGAGGTAGCCTAACAATTCATTCCCTCATTAATGGACCACAGTGCATCCGGACGCGCTCATTCACCAGGCATATAGTGCTAGGAAGTATCATACAGAGATGCATGACCCCGGTATGACAAACGGAACAACGGTACAGGGAGCAGCACCATCATACGTATACAGGTATACCGGTGGCATACACTCCATTGGCGTACGGCTTGTTCTCATACACGCCGTCCTCGTACGGTTCGTCTGCGTACTGCCCGTTTGCGTATGGCGGGTTTTCGTACCGTCCAGCTTCGTACACCGTGGCTGTATCCGATTCATCTTCATCGGCCTCCTCTTGAGGCGGCCAGACTTCCCGTCGTCCCAGCTCCCTCAACCGCCCCGTCTCAAGCTCGTACACCATGCCCACCACCGTGACCTGCTGGAACTCTTGTTCGCCGCGAGGATCGAGGTACTCCATCTTCTCGATGAAGTCTCTGACGCGATCTATAGCGCTGACGACGTTCGCCTCCGTGAGGTCCGTGGCATCTGGGTGGTGCCGAGCGAGGTGGATCAGGTGGTGAAGCCACCCGCCGAGCGGTCCGCTTGGGGGAAGCCCGTCCTTCACTGCCTCGAACGCGGCCGCGACGCCCCCGCAGTGCGTGTGCCCGACGACGACGACGTGGGACACGCGGAGCCTCTGGACGGCGAACTGGACGACGGACGCCGCGCTGGGGTCGTCAGCGGAGAACTGGCTATGCGATGGGTAAGTAAATGTTTGGAACATGATGTCGGCCGGCGACAGTACGCACTTTCCGATGTTGCGATGGACGAAGATGTCGCCGGGCACGGACGCCGTGATGACTGACTCGGGGACGCGCGAGTCGGAGCAGCCTATCCAGAGGACCTTGGGGCCAAATACAAGCGTAAGTGGGCGGGGCCAAGTACCCTCCTACTCTGCACGGTACCTTTGGCTGCTGCGGCCTCCTCGCCATACGGGGGAACGCTCCCGGATGAATCCTCTCAATGCCAGCCGCCCAGTCTTCGTTCCTCCTGACGAGGTTGGAGATGGTGGTGTCTTTCTGCGCGTAGCCGGACATGTTGGTGCTCAAATGGCGGGAGGGATGGCGTCGTTTGAGTAAGATTCGTGTTGTATGCGCTGGGTAAGATTCGTGTTGTATGTGCTGGGCTTTTATACGCTCGCCGCTGCTCCGGCGAGATGCGACACTGGCAGTGTGTCGTTTCGCTATAGGTTCTTGCCTGGATATTATTAGGTGGATGAGACCATGCATGGCAGGAGGGCCGATATTAAGCAGAGGTGAGCTCTAGTGACGGCAGACCAGATTTACCCAGTACTGCGATTGGATGAGGCGGTATGGTGAGCGGTGATCCGCGCTGCTGATTGGACGCGCTGAGCAGAGAGCAGATGAACGTTTGAACCATATCCAACGGGAATCAGCAAGATAGGAAGGATGTCTCAATTGTTGATGGTCTGCATGTCGCACAAGGTCGACGTCCGTTCCAACTTCCCTGGTACTGAACCCGAACATGGCAGCGTGGCCCAGCGGCCACCGAATATACCGTAGGGGACACTTTGACAGTGCTAGTGAAGTTCGAATTCGCGCCGGACGTATCTCTGGTAGAGTCGAGGCAGACTGAGAGATAGCAAACGTCGGTGCAAACTTGTTTCCCGTGCGCCCGCTTGTTCATCGTACTCAGATGTCATGAGCGTCCAGCGACGATACAGGCGTATGATATCAACGAACGAGCGCAGATCTAGATAGTCCTCCTGAACAGCCAAACTATTTGGTAGAGGCCCCAGTGCACCGGTACCGTTTGCAGACCTATGGCTGCCCGCTGACCTCGTTGCTTGTCTTTGCAAGCATGACCAGGAGACTCTAGACCTCTCAACATGTAACAGTTTATAAGAACAGTCGCGAGTCCGACTCGCGACGCTGGTGAATGTGCCATTTATGTTACATGACTACTGATACACAATGCCGACGCGACTTCTATATGGGTTGTCCTTGAATTTACACAATATGCTTGTTCTCCGTCGTGCTGAGATCCTCTCCTGTGACACCGGCCCCGCCAGAGAGCACGGAGCTAGCGATCTGCCTGTTTCGCGCCCGCTCATCGCTGGTCGAGTCGTCTGCAATGCCGTGCTTGTTGATCTCCTTCTCTAGCCGATCAAGACCTGAGCCATACGTGAGTCATTGCAGTCGCGGCTGACGGTCAGTGTGGTCAACACGTACCCCGATCAAGAGGTGCTAGCGTGTAGTCAGCCACCAATCGACCGACACACGAGATAGTTCCGGCTCACCATTGCCTGCTCTCGATGTTGTGATCTTCTCCTCCTGCGGCGCAACGAGAAAGTCGGCATCCTTGTTGAGATTGCCGTTGCTGACAGCCGCAATACCCGGGGCCGTGTGTTGAGGAGGAACCTCGTGGTCGACGGGCAACTTGCCTGCCCACTGGGTGGTGTCGCGCTTCTCCTCCTGGGGCGGTACGAGGTGGCTCATGATGGATGGTGTGTCGTGAGGTTCGTAAGAGCGCAAAGACTTTGTGACTGTTGTCGAGAATGAGGTGGTCGGTGACGGTGAGTGAAGACGGTGAGCACGGCACACGACGGGTTATATAGAGGCGGCCACCACAGCTGGACGGACGACTGACATCATCGCACCGGTGCAGGCCGCTCGGCCGGTGACCGAATGCACCACTGCCCTGTGAGCGCGGTGGTGGGCCATGCCCTTGCCGGCGCGCCACCCTCGCGTCCGCACCACTTGCCTTTTCAGCCGTAACCGCGTCACCTCCACGTGATCGTGACCTGTCGCGCGGCTGGACGCGCTCAAGCTGCCGCGATGCGCGCCCTGTGCTTGTGCTCCCTCCACTGGCCTCCAAGATGTCTGGTATCGCTCTCCGTCGTAGCGCTAGACTCGTTACATCTAATTCTGTGAGCATAACACACACATCAGTGCCTACAACAAACCACCGCAGTGAGCGCGATTTGAGCGAGCTTAGCGAGCTCGACTCGGAGCCTGAGCTCAGTCCAAGACCGGTCAAACGTGCCAGGAAAGCCACAGCATCTGCGGCCGCAAATGGGGCGTCTCAACTGCAAGGATCCTCACAGGATACGCTGGCCACGTTGCCAGTAAACATAGAGCCTACGGAGCCCACAAAGAAACCCAGGACACGAAGAAAAGGCCCTCCACCAGAGCCAAAACCGGAGGATTTCATGGCGAGGACGACGAATCGCTGGAAGGTGGGGCCACACGTATCAGCCGCTGGCGGAGTAGAGAACGCTATAGTCAACGCTGCCTCCGTAGGGTGAGTATCAAGAGCGTGTAATCGTCTTGCCGTATCCTTGAGCATTGACATGGACAGAGCGAATGCGTTCGCGCTGTTCCTCAAGTCACAGCGCAAATGGACGTCTCCAGACATGAAAGAAATCTCTATATCTGCATTCAAAGCGCGAATGAAGACATTTGGGTACTCAGCTTCCCACATCCTACCCCACGGAAGCTACCTCGTCAACTTGGGTAACCCTGACGAGTATGCGCTGCTGATTCTGCCGTCATTATGACCTACTCACCTTGATCCAAAATAGGAAGAAGCGCGAACAGTCGTATGAATGCTTCCTTGATGACTTGAAACGATGTGAGGAGCTCGGCCTGCATTTGTACAACTTCCAGTGAGCGTCGGCGTCCTCTCTGACCTCCTGCTGGTGACTGAGCATATGCTTTTCTGCGACTTAGTCCTGGCTCAACTGTAGGCGTAGCCACAAAGGACGAGTCGCTATCGCTCATTGCCGGCTGCATCAATCGTGCGCACAAAGACACCGAGCGGGTGGTGATCGTACTCGAGAATATGGTAAGCGGTCTGCTTTCCTGATGTCGTATCTCCGGTCTGTGGATTAGTAAACAATTTGTGTATGAAGGCAGGGTCAGGCAATGTGATCGGTTCGACTTTCGCCGAGCTTGGAGGGGTCATCACACAAGTAGAAGACAAGAGCCGGGTCGGCGTCTGCTTGGATACATGTGCGTGGTGACGCATCGTCAACGGGAGTAGCGCTCTGATCCATTGCCCAAATACAGGCCATATGTTTGCGGCCGTACGTCTCCCGGATCTAGTTAACGTGACTGAGTACCTTACTAACACTTCTCGCAGGGCTATGACATCCGGACGAATGAAGGCTGGAAGTGAGTGCACGCATACGAGTATTTACTGTAGCCACTCATCGTCTCTCAGCGAAACAAGTGCATCTTTGCGCAGTGCTGCCTAAACTGTGCCACTGACTTCCATTTCACAAACCGTAGTGGCCGAGTTTGAGCGCGACGTCGGGCTGCAATACCTCCGCGGTATGCATCTGAACGACTCCAAAGGGACGCTAGGGAGCAAGAAAGACAGACACCAAAACATCGGACTGTGTGTCTCTTTCCTTCGCGTGCTCGTCCTTCTCATCACTGAAACACGCCGTCCTAGCGGTGAGCTCGGCCTCGCCACCTTCGCGCACGTCCTCTCCGACCCACGCACGCGCGACCTCCCGTTGATACTCGAGACCCCTGCATATGACGAGCCAGGCACCAGTGCGAGCCGACTTGGGAAGGAGGGCATGGACGTCTGGCGGAAGGAAGTTGAGGTACTCAACCGGTTCGGAAATGGCGTTCATGGAGAGGGAGAGGAAGCGAAGATGTATGACTGGACGGAAGAGATACGCGAAGTTGTGCAGGCAGCGAGTCGCAAGCACGATGCGAAGGGGAAGAGCGTGAAGGGAGTGGAGGCAGGAGGACGGAAGCGGAAGGCGGGGAAGCGGAAGAGGGGGGCGAAGGATGCTGAAGAGGAGGAGGATGGCGGTGATGATCATTGCGAGAGCTGTAGCGAGGAAGGCTAATCAGTTTCTGGGATCCTCTCGTATCACTTGATTCATCTACGAGTTAGCTTTACCGTCCCCAGCCTGACGAAAGGCGCCGCGTCGTCGAACGACCTGGCGACCGCACTGGTGCGTCGGCTTTGAAAGGATAGATAGAGTAACCTGCGATAACCACCGTGTTGATTGCCGTGAACGTGCTCGCGATGGACTGGCTCCTTGGCCTCGCGCGTCAGCCTGAGCGTACCCTTGCTGCCGCACTGGCAGAGCAACCGTATGTAGTCAGCTGGATAAGACTGTGCGTTGCACCTGGTACTATTGACAGTAGCCAGTCGTTGCAACGTCTATATTCTTGCTACATCTTATCGATACAGCTATATAACACGTCTTGTACTGAGCGTCCCGACTCCCAGCGCCGCGAGTACACTTGTCCCCGTGACTGTAAGATGCTCGTGTATGATTCTATGTCAGGTATAGCAACTAGCTGAAGTCCATCTGCGCCCATTTAGTCGAAAAGAGTTCCGCCATCAACCGTAATTGCTTGACCTGGAGAAGACAACTGTGAGTACACGTGGTAAAGGGGTTGCGACCAACGTACCGGTCACGAATTTCGAGTCCGGACCAGCAAGGAAGGATACGATGCCGGAGACATCTTCGGGCTGGCCCACCCTGCCAAGCGGAATAGCCTCCGCACGCTGCTTGATATACGCGCCCCGCTCCTTTCCTTCCTCCTGAGTGTACTTCTCGTCTACCTTGTCCACTGTAGGGATCATGTCTCAGTACCACGATGATGCACGCCCCGCGACCGAACTTCACTCACAGAACTCCGTGTGGATGGCCCCCGGTGCATAGCAGTTCACATTGATCCCGTGCGGCGCAAGCTCGATCGCCGCACTCTGCGACAAACCGCGCACTGCAAACTTGCTCGCGCAATACGCTGCCGAGTTTGGATCGCCACGCTTGCCTGCTATGGAGCAGGCGCCGATGAGTCGCCCGCCGCGGCCCTGCTTGATCATCTGCTTCGCAGCGTACTTGTAGCAAAGCATGACCCCGCAGACGTTGATCGCGAATGTCTTCTCCCACGTGGGTAGTTTCGCTGCCACCATAGCATGTTAGTCGATGACGACAGCAGACATCCCGGTAGAAGCGTGCACTCACACTCGATGAATTCCTCGAGGATAGCCATTCCCGCGTTCGCGACCATCACATCCAGCCCTCCAAGCTCATCGGCTACTGTATCTACCATCGCCTTGACCTCGTCTTCCTTCGACACATCTGCATAGACCGTGATCACTCTCCTCCCCGCATCAGACTTGATCGCCTCCGCGGTCTCCTGCAGGCGCGCACGGTTTGACGGGATGTCGCTGACGGCCACGTCGAAGCCGTCCTTGGCCAGACGCACCGCGATAGCGCGGCCGATGCCCTGGCCCGCGCCCGTGACGAGGGCGACGCGCTGTGGGCCATGGCCGTTCACCCCGTCCTCGGCCGGGACGAACTTCTGGCCGTGCGGGAGGCGGTCGGTGGTCGTGAAGACGGTCGGGTCGTCCTTGTGCATGCTCATCGGTCGTCTAGCGTGTAAGTTGTTCGTGAGAGGTCGTGCAGTCGTCAAGAGGGGGAATCTGGGAACGCGCTGTTGTGGGCTGGCACCGCGCCCTACGGCGCGGTATATATACCTGGCCTGAAATTTGAGCTAGGATCGGGATTAGGAGGCGCCACGGACGTGCGCTAGGAGATGCCAAGTGCGGCTATGGGCCAGCGCTGAGGCTGAGCCACAGCAGCACGGCGGGGAGCGCATGTGGCGTCCCACCGACGAAGTCGTGAATGACGTCAGAGGACCCTATCCCCACAGTCGCCCATCCACGACGTCCAGGACTGTGGCGAGACATGATTGGGCCCATGCTGCTCGCACGCTCCATCTTGGCGCCCCGACCCGTCGCATATCACCTTCGCGATGCAGCAGAAAGTGGGTCGGCTGGCGCTGTAACCGGTCATAATTCATATTACAAGCAGGTGTATGAGCGCACGATGAGCGCACGAGCACAGAAACGGCGTTGCTTTGTGCCATAAGCGAGACGCGGCCTCAGGATCGAGGAGCCTCATGGGGACGAGGATTGAGGGGTGTACATTCCCGCCCCGCCACCCCCGCTCTCGCTGCGGGGTCGCGATCGACACACTTCGTCATAGTGCCCCAGAAGGGGGGCGGGCTGCCCTGGCAGTGGATGACCTGTTATTAGGGGAGCGAACGGTCAGAAGATACGTCGACAGGGCAACACATACACGGAACATGACCCTGGTGACTATCCAGCCATCGAGAGCGACAGATTGATGCTTGACTGGAGCGCTAGTCAAAGGGCTCCATGGATCCAGGAGCATCATGCCAATCCACTTGCATGAAACGATACGGCGCCCAGTTGGCGGACATCACATCTAGGATGCTGCGTTCAGTGTGGTATACTTGACCACCCGTCTAGGCAGTCCTCTATCACAGGAAGTCTATGGTGAAGGATAGGAATATGTTCAAGGATGCCATTTTCAGTGCAGGCGGTCAGCTCTGAGAGCGTTCGATACCACTTCCATGTGAGGTATCCAATGAGTTAGCGCCCTCGAGCGTGTCAATGGAGACTTACTTCCTCATGAGTACTATTCATACAGCGACCACCTGTTCGCGATAGCAATACAGCAACGTTACAAGAGATTGGGGTACAGACCAGATGCATTGGCGACCCAAACGGACTCAGTCATCCTCGAGATCCCACAACAGATCGTCGTCGTCCGCAAGAGCGGACGCGTATGCCTGGAGAGACGCATCTAAGTACGTTCAGAAGCACGAGTGTGCCGCATATACTCACCTCAAGTTCCGCACCGCTGATCGGCACATCCGCGTCTACGCTGAATAGCTTTTGCGACGTCTCCTCGAACTCGTTCTTGTCCTCCGGGGGAACGAGGACCTCAGGCTTAGCGAATGCGATGGGGTCCAGGTCTACAGCAGGCGCATTCTGCACAGAAGCGCGTAGCGTTTCCCAGTCACGCTCTGGGCGCTCGGGCCGCGTCACACCGATGTTGGCGAGCCAGTCTGCTCCCTCGTTGCCTTCTTCACCAACGTGTCCGCGCACATATTGCAGCCGGACCTGGAAGGATGAGCAGTAATGAGTGCGATGTCTCGTACAGGCAGCGGGACGCGGGGTACCTTCTGTCCCTCGAGCGCGCGCTGATCGAGCAGCGCGGACAGATATCGGATGAGCTCCTTGTTTTTCACGGGCTCGCCCTTCGAGTTGATCCATTTCCTTGCTTCCCAGCCCGGTAGCCAATTCTGGAAGCCTGTTGAAGAGATGACGGATGTCAGGTGAGTGTCTGAGGCCTGATCAGGAGACTTACAGTTGATACTGTATTGTGAGTCCGTCTTGATGAGTAGAGAACGCCTATCGTGCGGCGTTGTCTCGAGGACGCGTACGATGGCCTGCAACGACGTTTGTATGGATATCTCTGCGTGATTGAGGGTATATGCGGTAGTACTCACGATTAGTTCGGCACGGTTGTTTGTCTGCGCCCCTGGACAGCGTTCTGCCAGGTTCCTGTACGTTGACATTGTCAGTTGAGTGTGCAGCGACGATACGAAGACCGAAGCAAACAGCTATACCGACCTCTCATCGCCGTGTCCCCACCAGACACCAATGCCTGCGATGGATCCCACCTTACCGTTACCCTTGCAAGCACCATCAGAGTACACGATCTGCCAGCCCGTCTCGTCCTGCACAGGCTGGCCGGCCAAACTCCGCTTTCGTTTCTTCGAGTTCGGGGAGGTGGAGGACCCTTCCACGACGCCCGATTCTGTGCCCGAGTACACAGGTTTTGTCGGGGAGCGCGGCTTCGCAGGAGATCTCGGCGACGTAGATGGGACAGCTACTGCAGAGCGTGTGGTTGTCGGGGCAGAGGTTTGTGCGGGCCTCGATATAGGGGGACGTGCGGTCGTTGGAGCAGTAGAGCGTGAGCCTGCCTTGCCTTCTCCTACAGCCTCGATCCACGCCTCCGCCTCTATGACATTCGTAAACTTCTTGTACGTTGCTCCCGGGAAGCCATTCACATGCGGCAGGCAATCATCCCTGTATAACGAGTGAGCGTGTCATTAGACTCCTCCGCCATATGGCTGACGCACCATGTCAAGTACACCCCAGGAGTGTGCCCTTTAGCGACTGCGTAATATCCTGGCTTCCCTGCCGTCTTTCCGGTTCCCATCGTGTGTAGTGGTGCGAGAGGTTCTTCTGCTTCGGAGTAACTGCGAACCAGAGGACGCTGCCTATTGTGCCCAGCGAGTGGTCCTAGATCAAGTACTGAGGGTCGTAGAGGCCTCGTGAAGAGGATCAAACCAGATCTGGTCGCCACAGTTTACAAGCCGCAGTTCCGCACAGATCGATGGCGATATGGTGGGCCCTCAAGAGTTTCTGGGACCCAGAGAAGTATCACAGCCGAGTAGTGCAGTCTGTGTATTGTAGTTTAGGCAGGTCCGTCTGCGCAACCGACGTGGGAGGATGTATCATGTTCTGAGCTGATATGTTAGACGCCGATAACAAGGAACGCGTCTATCACGTGATGATCGTACGCGCCTGTGGCTCGTTAGATTTTCAGATCTCGCAACCACCACAAAGGTACATACTTACTTGCTGCGGCCCCTAGTAGTACGCTATGTCAACTAGCTTTCTTGACGTCCAAACTTGCTTCTCACCGTTGTGACGCAAATAACAGCTCACAAGCGCATTATCTCATGGTCGTCGTGGAAGCAATCTATCTGCTTGTTGCGCTGTAGACAAACAACCGACCTGGCTACGCCATGCCGTTGGTTGTGTCCGCGACATTTGAGGCCATTCAGGGAAGAGGCAAGCTAATTGGAAGTTTACCACGTTTAGACTCCGGAATTCTACCGTTTTTATCAGGTTCTATTAAGTGAGCATGTGCAGACGAACCTAGTCTTCCTCTTGATGCTCTACCGTTCATGAAGCATAGGCCACAACCCGTAAGTTCTACGGGGGGCGCCGTCTAGTCATCTGCAACAATGGGAGAGTAACATGGTTTCGATCTTCCCATGAGGCAAGCCTCTGGAAGATTGGGGCAGAGGGGTAAGTGAAATGCAGTGCATGTGCTGTACCGTAATACTGACGACACTCTCCTTGCTCGGCGTAGGCAGCCCTTCGCAAGCGACGGTCGTTTGGAATGGCGCGATGCATTAAACTTCGAGTCTCACCTGCGGTTTGACTTCTCACAGCACTATCCGAACGGTCTGGGTTCTGCTGAAGGCGTGTGCCGACTTCTAAGATGTTATCGACCACAGCGTTCGGATCCCACCTGTGGTTTGACTTCTCCACCATGCATGAAACCTAATATCCCCTGAGATGCCCAGTCTGAAGGTGCATGGCACGAAGATGGGCACTTCTCCTCAATGGAAGGTTTCAACGGAAGGTTGAACTCGTGCCGCGTATGCACTTCTTCACTTTTTTCCCCAAGATCTCACTAATACGCAGAGACGTTCGTATGTCTTCACTCATCCTAGTGGCGACCTCGGGGCGCAGGACGATATTGAGAGATATCCTCCATGAGTGTTTCATTTACAGGATGTGCAGTGGCTCGTAGTCCGATCATCGCAAACCAGGGCACTCGGTTCCTTATCCAACCCCGTTGAGAGAAGTCCTCATCTTAACGATCGGTGCAGAATTCATCCAATCCGCACAGCTGACTTCTGTGATGTGCAGGGCCGCGACATCCTTCTAATTGAGAGCTTATGTGGATGAATGCCCAGATGTGGTGACGCTGATGATGATGATGATGAATTCAGCACTTATATACCGCAACAAGCAAACAAAGTCGTGCTAAGACGCGGTCCTACTATACTAAGTACAGTAGGCAGTCGATGGTGGGGGGTCGGAGTGATGTCATGAGGCTTATGTAGTAATGGGGAGGCAACGATGTAGGGCAGCATAGGGAGTGTCAACGTAGGGCAAGGTCCGGGGTAACGATGACAACAAACGGTCCATTTCCTTCTCCTCCTCTCAATACCTTCTCCGGCGGTCTACTTGTCTTGAAGTCCTGGGACCGGCCGCTCACCGGGCTCGTCGTGTCAGCCCCAACGAGGGAATTCCGGATTTTGCGGTCAAGCGTTCTCGAGGCCTGTGGTGATGGTGGGCGAGTGGTGGTGGTAGGGATGGGCCCGGCGTGAGCCTGGCTATGGATTTCGAGGTGCTGCTCCGTAAACAGCGAGCGCAACGGCTGGGCATAGCTGAAGACCAGTCGAGGGAAAGCCTCGGATGGCGGTTGGGTGGCGGGAATGCATCGCGACGAGGTCGGATGTACCCGTGGCGACGGGGTCTGGCGTTCAGTGTTCTGGTCGACTCGACATTGCGAGAAGACGGGCTATCGGCTGCGACGGGGAGCTGTCGACTTTAGGATCCTAGGCAAAGAAGAGAGCGTACGGAGACTCTCTACGTTGCCCGGTGTCCTCCCTTGGCCCAGCAAAAAGCGTGGGAAAAACTCGACCACGTCGTGGTACGGGTCCAAGGAGCTCTGATGTGGTGACGCTGTTCTACTAGGATTCCTCAAACAGAGAGAACATGTGGCAGGCGCGTTGCAGTCGAGGAAAAGCTGTGCGCGTGCGCCATGAAGGTTCTGCGCGATACACGGCACTAGAGCCAAAGGTTTGATAGGGCTGCGTCTTACACTGGGTGTGCAGCATATAAGGTACCTCCTTTCGTCTCTTTCTGTGACTAGATCTCCTCTCGACTGTTAATCCCTCACTGTTGGTACGTACAGTCGTCACTCTGACCGTCCTACAATGCCTTAAATGATCACCTGGTGCCAGATCACTAGGTACCACCCCTTGTAACGACTTCGACAATGGGAGGCGTCATATCATGGCTCTTCGGCCACGGAGAGGTTCACGAGAACCCCGTCCTTGCAGAGCTAGAACGCCGCGCGCAGGAACAACAGCAGGCTATCGATGCCGCAGCAGCCGAACAGGCCAAGGCTGAAGAAGCTCGACGCATGGCGGAGGACGCAGCACGCCAATCCGACGAACAACGAGCGAAATTCGAAGAAGAGTCCCGTCGACAGGAGGAGGGACGGCTTCGTGCCGAAGAGGCTAGGAGGAGGGCTGAGGATGAACACCAAAGGGCCGATGCAGACAGACGCGCCGCGGAGGACCAGAGGAAGCGAGCTGAGGACGACGCCAGAAGAGCAGGAGAAGAACGCGCCAAAGCGGAAGCTGAGGCTCGTAAGGCGCAGGCCGAGCAACAGAAGGCCGACACGGCTCGTCAAGAGGCCGACAAGAGGGCCGCCGACGCCCGTACTGCGCGCGAGAAGGCGGAGAAGGAGTTGCGCGACGGTATCCAGCCTATTGTCATTCCTACACTAGCCCAGTTCCGCGAGACGAAGTTGCGCCTACAGTACAGGGAGGGTCTCTTCCACTTCGCTATCGCCGGGAATTCGGGAAGCGGCAAGTCCTCTCTGATCAACGCCTTCCGTGGCCTCCGTAGCAAGGACAGCGGCGCAGCAGCAGTGGGCGTCGTCGAGACCACGAGTGTCATCGCCCGATACCCCGACTCCAACCCTGCGAACCCGTTCGTGTGGTACGACGTCCCTGGCGCGGGCACGCTGTCCATCCCCGATTGGCAGTACTTCACTGACCAGGGGCTCTACATCTTCGACTGTATCATCGTCCTCTTCGACAATCGCTTCACCGTGACGGACGTCGCTATCCTGCGCAACTGCGCGCAGTTCCAGATCCCGACTTACATCGTGCGCTCCAAGTCCAAGCAGCACATCCAGAACGTTGCCGAGGACATGGCCGATGAGCCTGACGCTGACGATCTCGAGCGGGCGCGCGAATTATACGTTCGAGAGACGCGTGCGAGCGTCGCGCGGAACCTGGAGGCCGCAAAGCTACCGGCTCAGCGAGTCTACCTTGTCGACAAGGAATCTCTGGTCCGCGTGATGAAAATGAAGTCCAAGCCGGACAAGCCGCCACGAGGACTCCTCGATGAGATGGAGTTGTTGCAGGACCTATTCGGCGAGGCCCGCCGCCGACGGGTGGTAGAGGCAGAGGTAGAATCTCAAGCTGCAGAATCTGTCGCCTCGCAAGCAATTCGCGGTGCCCTTGGTAGCATTTTCCGTTTGTCGTAAGCCGTCGCTTTCCCCCAATTTGACCTTCACACTAGTACGCATGATTTGTATGATAGCGGAGTGATCGATGACCGAGTATACTTCATTCCGTTTGCTAGTGTGTCACCGGCAACAGTTTTTCTCTGGTATTGTAGCCCGAGCTGTTGCATCAAGAATCGTAGAACCCGAATAGAGCCAGCGTACTGTGCGGCCGTATGTCGCGGATGGACGCTTTTGGCAATCAGCGGGCGCCTGATCGCTTCGGGACCGTCGGGACCAGGCCCGAAGCCCAATCCCGAGTCCTTCCGATGGACCTACAATCGCCCTCATCCCGATGCGCACGATGAGATCTTGCGAAGGGCTCGGGGCCCAGCCTCTGAGCAGTTACATAGAGTGCGGCGCTGCCCTCTGGTTCGGGCCAAGCTCGGACGGGAGCTTGGGGCGACTGAGTGGGAGAATGGCGTAGGTACTGCGGCCGAGTCAGAGGAATTCAGCGAAGTCGGCCGCCTCCAAGTTGCAGGTGTTCGGGGAAGGCATGGTTGATAGCAAACTGCGTGCGATTGGCAAACGCTACTATCGCCCTCCTGTATAGTGAATGCACGTGAGACTCATGCTGAAGAGTAATTATCGAACATACTGCTTTGTCATGACCGTACAAAACAATTGGAATTCACTATCATCCTGCGACGTCTCAGCCCAGTATGTAACCATCTGCGATAATCAACAAACTGCATGGTTCGACCGACGGCGGTAAGGAGCATACCGGAGCCCGCTGCGCAAAGAGCGCGGGAAACGAGCGCCTGCGGGCCAGCAGAAGGCCGGGATCCGGCCCACGCTCTCGCGGACTACGAGAGACTAATACGAGGCTGTTCCTACTTCCCCTCCGATCTGTTGTATGAAACCGCGACATGGAGCGGGTCGGTGGCCCTGTCGACCCTCCAGCGCGGCGCAGCTAGGTGTCTCTGGCAGACTGACCAACAGGTAGCGGGTCGGCGACAGGTCATCGGGTCGTCAAGGACATTCACAAGAATAGTCGAGTCAAAATGGCAATCCCACGTTTTCCGCTGCAGCGGAGGCCTAGATTCCGTGTCCGAGGAATCGCTATCTCAATCACCGCAGGCTGTCTTCCGATCGCGCGTACAACGACCGGGTACATCGCTCTCAGCGATCCGGAATGTGTGTCGGTATAACGGACACGACGTAGCCGGTGCGGTGAGTCGACGGTGTTTCAGGTTGGTGCAGTGCTGCGACTGCGCTTGGACTACGATGGCGCGCAGATAATGAGGGACAGCGAGGACAAGCGGATGCACAGCGAGCACGGCCAGGCGGTAAGTTAGCACGGATGGCGGGAGGGCGGGTCGGAGATGGGCCCGCCGGCGGGTGGCGGGAGGCGGCGGACGGCTTGGTAAGCGCTGATCGACCCGCACCTCCCATTTGCGGAGATAACCGGCATGCAGGTTCCCGAAGCGCCGGGACGTCTGCACTGACGTCGGACTGGACTCGGTTCAGGATCAGCTCTCCCTCTCTCCAACGCTCCTCAGCAGTCACCTGCACGCGTGGAGACCACCGCTGCACCCCGCCAGACGACGGTGAGTGTGCCAGACCCTGCATTGCGCGAAGAAACGGCTGACATCGAGCGGGAACGGACTAGATGTGGAGAAAGGCTGACTGGCCTGGTAGAGACATGCGTCGGGAGATGGATGCGAAAAGCCACACCGGGTAGGCAGTCTCTGGTTCCGCCATTTGGTCGACCCGTCTCCGGCTATCGTCCGCGGATACCTCCGCCTCCTCCCGCCACCGCTGCCTTGGTCCCCATATATATGTTGGGCACCCACTCCCCGCACAGATCTCCACTTTCCTTTTCCCGTTCCTCCGCACACCGCGGTCCCCGACAACTCTCCCCTCCCTCTCCCCTTCACGACCCTTCCTCTATCTTACGACATGCCCACATCAATCCCCAACAGCGAGACGACTACGGTCGTCCAGGACGAGCACCCCATCTACCGCCCCGCAGGGTACACGGAGGGGCAGGAGCTCACCAACCCACGCTCGCACGATGAGAACCAGCCCGATATTTCCTTTCCCTTCATCACCACCGATATCAATCGCGGCGGTCTTACGAACGAATATCGTGGGGTGGCCAAGGAGGGCTTCGTTCCAGCTGACCAGGCGTTACGGCCAATACCTACGCATGTGTCGGACGTCCCTCAAGCCCTCCGGGATCCGGAAAAGGCAGCCCAGCTTCGGGACATGAAGTTGGTAACATGGCTGCCAGACGACCCGGAGGATCCTCGTAATTGGTCCAACCTCTACCGGTGGTGTAAGTCGTATTTGCCACATTCGCGTCCTCCGGTTCTGACATGCATCCTAGACCTCACCGGCGTGTGTGCGATGTCGGTCGTTGCGGTCGCCTTCGCGTCAGCAGTCGTTACGGGTGACTTCACTGACATCCAAGACGAGTTTCAAGTCGGCGAGGTTGTTGTCGCCTTGAGCGTATCGCTCATGGTCTGTGGCTTCGGTATCGGCCCTCTTGCCTGGTCACCTCTGGTATGTCACTTTTCTTACCGCTATCTAAGTGCCACCGGCTGATTATGCGACAGAGTGAACTCATTGGCCGACGATGGCTATGGATCGTCCCCAATCTCATCTACGTCATCTTCAACATCCCCTGCGCCGTCGCCACCAACATCCAGACTTTACTCATCTGCAGATTCTTCGCCGGTATCTTCGCGTCTGCGCCATTGACACTCGCCGGTGGTACCATCTCCGACATCTGGGACAACAATGAGCGTGGCTTCGCCATTGCCCTGTTCGCCGCGGCTCCTTACGGTGGACCTGTCCTCGGCCCCATCGTTGGTGGTTTCGTCGGTGAGAATATCGGCTGGCGGTGGATTATCTGGGTGAACATGATTTTCGCCGGTGTCATCGCTATCTTCTGCTGCACCATCCCCGAGACGTTCGCGCCCGTGCTCTTGAAGCGTCGTGCCGCACGGCTGCGGAAGGAGACCGGCAACCCGAACATCACCACCGAGCAGGAACTCTTCAAGCGACCGCTTTCTGACATTGTCATCGAGACACTTATCCGTCCTTTCCGTAAGTCATTCGTATCATTCGACGCCGGCACTCTGCTGACGCCACTTCGCAGAGATGCTTGTGACTGAGCCCATTTTGCTGCTCATGTCCATGTACATCGCCCTCATCTACGGTCTGCTCTACGCGTTCTTCTTCTCCTTCCCCGTCGTCTTCGCCGAGGAGTACAAGTTCGACGATGGCCACACCGGCCTGACGTTCTGCTCCGTCCTGATCGGCCTCGCCATCGCGCTCTTCGTCACGCCCCAGGTCGAGAAGAACTATCAAAAGCGTGCAGCGGCCAAGGGCGGCAAGGCCGACCCCGAGGACCGTCTCGTCGGTATGATGATCGGATGCTGGTTCGTCCCCATCTCCTTGTTCATCTTCGGCTGGACGAGCCCGCCCGTGGTCATGCCCGGCGGTGGCAACTGGGTCGGCCCCGTGTCGTCCGGTATCCCCTTCGGCTTCGGCATGGTCATCATCTACTTCTCCGCCAACGCGTACCTCATCGACGCATTCCCCGGCTATGTCGCGTCTGCGCTTGCTGCGAAGACCGTCATCCGTTCCGGGTCCGGCGCTGCGATGCCGCTGTTCATCGAGGCGATGTACCACAACCTCGGTAACGGCTGGGCGGCATCAGTTTGGGGCTTCATCTCTCTTGCTATGGTAAGTTTGCATGCATTCGGTGGTGATTGCCATTATGACACTGACTTTCGTCTTGCAGATTCCTATCCCGTTCCTCTTTTACCGATACGGTAAAGCCATCCGTGCGCGCTCAAAGCGTGCGGTTGCATAGACGTTCATTCCTCCGGTTTCGTTTACGTTCTCCTGCGACCTCCCTCCTCTATTTCCCTACCACCGCATTCGTCCGTCCCGTGCATCATATGTCCTATTTTCCGCACCCGGGTAAGATCCTAGAGTTTCTCTGCCTCGCTTCACACCGCATAGCATTCTCGCCACACGTTACACCACACACTAGCTAGAGTCATGGGTAGATGCGCTGTGTAAGTTATCTGTCCAGCATACCCGCTCGAGTACTCGCAATACATTAGCATAATCGCGCGCTTTACTAGACATCTGGTGCCTGCGAGAAGTTCGACATACTCGGAGCGCTCTCCGAAGCCGGCCGAAGCAGCCTGTGCTCGCAATGAATGTGTGACTTGCCTCTGATGATTCCTTCGGCGCCAAGTGTATACTACCTTGTGCTTGGCCACAATACAGTTCGTCCACCAGGGCAGCGCAGCGTGGGGACATTACAAAGGCTGCTTCTCCATTCGTCGAACTCGCTGCTTCATTCTGTCCTCATTGCGCCTGTGACCTCGTCCGGGAGGTTTGCCCTGAAATCATAGTCTGAACGGTACTAGTACTGCTATGTATGTTTGCTAGCCTGCCTCCCGCCCGCTCGCAGCCCGCCTACCGATGACCGTGCCGGCATCCACGGAGGGCCTGGAGTTGAATCAGATTAGATTTTCGGTCTAACCGGACGCCCCAAAGTTATCTGATAAGGCACCCTCCGAGCGTTCCTCGAAATCTAATCTCAACGCGTGATCCCCAGATGCGCGTAATCTGATAAGCATATGCCACTGGCGCGTTCGCGCCCGACGCGCGGTTGCGTCTCTCCTCGCGTCTGGCTTGGCAGTATGCAGAGAACGGTTCATAAAGCGCGCCATGGCCCGCAGGAAGGCGGGCGGACGCGTGCTCACCCGTCGCGATGCTGGCTCTTCGGCTTCTCCCCTTCGTTGCCGCCGGCTTCTTGCTCTTACCCCAAAACGTTTGGGCCGACCCAACGTACAACAGCTCCGAGCTCTGCGCTCAGACGTGCTACACGGCGATCGCGGCGGTGACGTTCTCGGATTACAGCAAGACCGATACGTACGTGGGCGAGTCGTGTCACTCGACGTTGTCCGTGTCGTCCATCTACGCCTGCTTCGACACCTATTGTACCCAGTACACAGCCGCGGAGTCGTTCGCGTACACGAACAACTACTGCACGGAATATGGCCTGTCCCCTCTTTCCATGAGCTACGAGGAAGGCGAAGAGTACATTGAGGCTCACTATGGGAGCGCCGCCAACGTCACAGTCATCGACCCACGACTCGTGTTGACGGCGAACGAAACGGTTATCCCCGTCGAGGCATACTTCGCTCTCGCTCGTGATACTCTTGTGAGCAGATCTCTTCATGTATCGCATCTAAGTACTCACCTTCCGTGCGCATAGGCTATATGGCAACACCAGGAGTATGTCCACCACTCCTTCGGGTAGGCTGTTTCGCGTGCATCTCACCTACTAACGTCTCTCTGATCCAATGGTTGCAGATGGTCGATGTACGTCCTCGCCGTCGGTGTAATCCTTGTCGGAGTCTCCAACCGCATCTTCGCCTTCGTCGTCCATCGCACCATGACACGGTCGGGTCCACTCGCTGACGTCGAGCGCACCAAAGGCGGCAAGCCTGTCGTGCCCAACCGGGATTTCTTCACGCGGATCCACAACCTCTGGACGAAGCACATCACGCTTCCCGCAACTTTTGGCTACCGTCACAGTCAGCCGTGGGCGTTCTGCACGATCCCGACGCGCCTGCAGTCCATCCTGGTGTTCGTCTACGTTGCGTTGAATTTCATTTTCTGCGCTGTCGACTACCACGCCTTCGAGGGGAACACGTAGTAAGTGTCTGGTTTGAATGGTCTATATTCTTCTTCACTGACCGTGTCTTCGTAGTTGGACGAAACCCGCTTCGCAGCTCTCGCGCTACGTGGCGGACAGGACGGGCATCATCTCATACGCCAACCTGCCACTGCTCTGGTTGTTCGCCGGACGCAACGACTTGCTTCTCTGGCTGACTGGCTGGTCATTCTCGACGTTCAATGTCTTCCATCGATACGTGGCAAGGGTGGCTACAGCGGAGGCGATCGCCCATTCGGTCGGTTATACCGCCTTCTCCTACATTAGTGAGTACAAGTGTCCACTTACAGGACCTTGCATGCGAATGACTCGCCTTCGTTATCACAGCGTACGAAGGCTGGTCGGACTACAAGGAGTCGCTGAAAGAGCAATACTACGCCACGGGCATTGGGGTAAGCCATTAGATCTGGTAGAGATGATGACTTACTGACGAAGAGCCTATAGGCGACCGTTTTGATGTCCGTGCTCATTGGGCTCTCCATGCAACCCATCCGTCGCTATTGCTACGAGTTCTTCCTCGTGACGCACATCACCTTCTCAATTGCCATCATCGTGCTGCTCTTCTAGTAAGCCCGTCGAACGAACATGCCCTCAGCGCTTGACTCACGCGGTTCATATATAGCCACACCAAGATCTTCGACGGCGACTACAACGGCTACCTCTGGCCTTGCGTCGGTTTCTGGGTGTTCGACCGCATCATTCGCCTGATCCGCATCGTCATGCTCAACTGGCGCGTCTTCTATTCCAACGACGACCGGTTGAAGCGCAACAAGGCCACCGCGGTGTACGACCCCGAGGGTGACATCATACGGCTGACTGTTCGACCGTCGATGAACTTCTGCGTCGGCGCGGGCATCCACTACTACATCTACACGCCCACGCTGTCCTTCATGTTCTGGGAGAACCATCCGTTTACCCTGTCTGCGTGGCGGAACATCCCAGTCGCCGCCGGCGCGGAGGCTGGTGCTGGAGAGGGCGAGGTCGAGGAGATCCAGCAGATTCGTCACCAACCTGCCTCGGGCGGCACCGAAACTTCAACGGACTCGAGGGAAGGTTCGATCATCTCCAAGGCAGGTGTCAGCGCGCCCGTCTCAAGCTCGTCGCAGCAGGAACTAGTCTTCATCATCCGTCCGTACAAGGGCATGACGAAGGGCCTCAAGAACCAGCTGCTGAAAGCACCCGGACACCAGAAGGATCTCGTTGTCCTGCTCGAGGGCCCTTACGGAACTAAGGCCGACTTGGCGTCGTACGAGCGGACTCTCATGATCTCTGGAGGCAGCGGCGTCACTGGCATCACGTCTTACCTATGCGAGCACGGCGCGCACGCGAGCGGCAGGTATACTCGGTTCGTCTGGGCCGCCAGGGAAGAGTCCTTCGTGTCGGATGTTCTCGAGAAGGACCTCGCGCCGTTCGTCGACCGCGACGATGTTGCGCTCGACTTCTACCTTACGCGCCCCGGCTCCCAGAGCTCGAGTGGTGGCAAGAAGTCTGGCGTTGAGGCGACGATTGCGAAGCTCTCGGCGCGTGCAGGATCCGGGAATGGCCCTAGGGTTACATACCGGAAGCCCAACGTCGCCGAGCTGTTAGACTACGAGATTGGGCAGCTACTATCGAGAGAGAGTCGGCTGGCTGTCGTCGTATGCGGTCCGGATGGGTTGGCCGACGACGTGCGGAGAGAGGTTGTCCGGAGTATTGGTGTCAAGATCGATGCGTCGAGGATCGAGTTGTATGAGGAGAGTTTCGGGTGGTAAGCGTACTGACCTGTTTCTGATTGTTCTGCGACTTTTGGTGGACCTGTTATGCTAAAATCATGATGCCATGAATGCGAAGTTGAGGTAATTGTATCTACTAGTAGCGCTTACAGTTTGCTTACTACAGTATCGCGAATAGAATGCCGTGTACGAGTCGGAGACTGATACTACTATCATAGAATGACATTGAGAGCTCTGACTGCGAGCATGCGTGACGGTTGCAACGTTGAGCGCTGAAGCTGAAGTGTGTGTGTTGTGGAGGAGTGCAATTACTGACGGTGCATGGTCCTGAGTGACGATCTAGAGTCGGCGATCTGTCCAATGCCACCGTTTCGAGAAAGTCCGAGTGGTTGACAAGTACTGACAGCGTTCAAGCCTGTGTTCCTTGCCACCCGCGTCCAAGTGCTTGACTGCACCATGTACTTGCCTCCATACCCACACCTACATAAAAGTTGAGGCATTGCACTGTCACTCCGACACGCAAGATAAACAGTGTAAATCTATGCTGCTTGACGTGATTCCACGAGTGTCTCATCTTGCAAATACCAATGACATTCACAAAGCGACTGGGCTTATATAATAAAGCACGGCAAAGTAAGCACATGCATCATCCTTCAAGACCAACCCAACGTATTGATGCCAACAATAGGTATTCCGGAGCCACAGAGAACGCACGGACTCCATCATGCCAAATCCTCATTGCCAGTGACCTGGCACGCGCTGAGCCTCTTGGGCTAGCACTCCCAGCAGGTCGCTCTCGTCGATCGTATCTCCCGTGTGCTGTCCTTGGGAGAGCAGTATCAGCGTCTGCTTGTCGACGAGGTATACCCGCTGTTGCGGTAGCTCTGCCAGCTCAAGGTTCCGCGCGACGCTCTCCCGCGACTCCCTCACATATTTCTCGCGTGCACGCGCAACAGCCCCGGATGTAAGGCCGGCCTCATCCTCCGAATCATCGTCTTCGCCTTCAATATCCTGGGCAAGGTTGCGAATGTGCTGGCGCGCCTTCGAGCGGACGACGTACGCGGGTATGCGGAAGCGCGCGCAGTTCCGCAGAATGGCGACGTCTGTCTCCGTGAAGCGCGCATCGAAGAGTACCAGGATGCAGTCAAAGACGTACAACCCTTGGTTGGTGAAGTACTCCCAATCTGGGATTGAGAGGGTACCGGCACCAGGAACGTCGTACCACACGACGCGCTTGTTGGGGTTGGGATCGGGGTAGCGTGCGATGACGCTCGTTGTCTCGACAATCCCAGTCTCCGCAGACCCCGCCTCGCCATTACGAATACCGCGCAGGGCGTTGATCAGGGACGACTTGCCGCTGCCGGCTATGCCTGCGACTGCGATGTGGACATACCCCTCCTGGTACTGCAGGCGCTGCTTTGCCTCGCGGATCTGCTGCAGTGTAGGCACGACGACGGGCTGAGCCCCTGCACGTAGCTGCCTTTCGGCCTCTTCCTGCTGGGCCCGCGCCTCGGCAGCAGCTCTTTCAGCTGCTTGGCGGGCACGCTCGGCCTCCTCCTGCTCGTGTTGTCGCCTCTGACGTTCTTCTTCAGCCCTCCGTCGTGCTTCTTCCGCAAGCCGTGCCGCCTCCTCGGCCCGTCGCCTCTCTTCTTCAACCCTACGTCTCTCCTCCTCGGCTCTTCTGGCTTGCTCCTCGGCTCGTCGTCTTTCCTCTTCCGCTCTTATCCTTTCTGCCTCCCTCCAGCGTGCTTCCTCTTCTGCTCGACGTCGCTGTTCCTCCGCCTGACGGCGTTGCTCTTCTGCGCGCCGAGCCTCCTTCTCCGCTCGTCGCCTTGCTTCCTCCGCCTGTCGTGCCTGCTCCTCAGCCTGGCGCCTGCGCTCCTCTGCGCGCTCCTGTTCTTGTCTGAGCCACTGTTGGTGTTCCCAGTCGTGGTTCGGGTGTGAATGCGAGCCGCCCATAGTCTATCGTCGATTCCTAGGTGAATACTACGCTCAAGTAGACGGCAGATTGATGAAACGTGAAGATCACATGGTAAGCCGACTGTACGGAATACCGGAGTGAGTACGCTGACGTACCTCTGAGATTAGGTGGTCGTTCCCCTCTCTGGAATGCCAGGGACAGAAGCTTGCAGAGCCTGCTCGTTGAGAGCTGCTTAAAAGGAGTGAGTGCATGGTTTGAGTTTGTTACGCTGAGCAGGCCCTGTACCAGCAGGCAGCAACGTTCGGTGGCTTCCAGGTCGCCTTCCATGCTTCCGATGTGACGTGCGGTTAGACGTCCCATGCGGTCTAGCTTCGTGGCCAGTCACCGCGAACTTTGTGGAGATCCATGCAGTGCATCATGTACTCGTATACCAGGTACAATTACGCCGCGGAGATGACAGGCAGTCGACTCTGGACCACATCCGAAGAGAATGCTACCTTGCGCACTCCCACTGCGGAAACGAAGCGACCGTATGCATCACCTTCAACATCCTGTGTTGACGAAGCTGCACTTGCGTAAATGAAGTGTCTGTGAGGCCGTATTCATCAACAGTAGTGCCAGATTCCGGAAGGCAAGTATGCCGTGACCAACGAGTAGCGGCCTGTTCTGATTGAAGGACCTGTAGGAAACCTGCGATCGTCTGTGCCCGCGTTCGGAGGGACGCATTTGTCGTTCCAACGGCATCGCATTTGTCGCAATCCTGCGACCTGGGAACATGCGCTTCAAGAAGTGCCCGTATGCAGATGAAGGACGGCCTTTCCATTGATCATGGATTGAGCGAATATGCTTGCAGATATTTTGTGGTAATGCGTGGCACGGAAATGATACACATGTCCAACAGGGCAGACTCGCCAGCTATGTACATACAAGCGATTCGTGACACAGCGAACGATCAAAGCAGCAGACAAGTCTCAGACGAACCGACGATAGAGGGCGAAGAACATACAGACATGGGGTATACTTGCATGGAGGTCGATACATCTTCGGGCAGGTCAGTTCTCCACCACGCGTCGACGGCGCGCCTCGCTGAGCAGGTCGCGCAGCAACTCCCACTCATCGATGCACTCCTCTGGCTGTCTGCCCTTCACCACCTTGCAGAGCGCCTCCTTATCGACCATGTAAACGCGCTGCTTCGGTAGGCCCGCTGCCTCCAGGTTGCGCGCGACGCTGGCACGCGTCTCCCGGATGTACTGCTCACGCGCGCGTTCGACGACGTCGTCGTCCTCGTCAACCATATCTTCGGCGGCGTTCTGGATGTGCTGCCTCGACTTCGAGCGCACGATGTAGGTAGGGATTTGGAAGCGGGTGCAGTTGCGAAGGATCGCGACATCCGTGGCGGTGAAGCGATTGTCGAAGAGGACGACAATGCAATCAAAGGCGTAGAGTCCCTGGTCAGTGAAGTACTGCCAGTCGGGAATGGACAGCGTCCCGGCGCCAGGAACGTCGTACCACACGAAGGGGTTCGCAGCACTGGGGTCGGGGTACCGAGTAATGACACTTGTGGTCTCGACAACGCCCGTCGGTGCTGCACTCCTGTCCTTGTTGCGGAGGCCACGGAAGGCGTTGATCAAGGAGGACTTGCCGCTCCCTGCGATTCCTGCGATAGCAAAGTGGAAGAGACCTTCCCTGTACTGGAGGCGCAACTTCGTCGCGCGGAGCTGGGCTTGGGTGGGAATGATGATAGGCCGGATGCCTTCGCGCAAGTCCTTCTCCGCCTTCTCACGCGCAGCGCGAGCTTCAGCTGCGGTCCTTTCCGCGTCCTGCCTGGCTTTGTCAGCCCTCTGCTGGTCGGCCTGCGCCCTCCGCGCCTCAGCTTCCGCTCGTACACGTTCTTCGTCCGCTCGCCTGGTGTTGTTCTCAGCCTGTTTCCTCTGTTCGTCAGCTGCGCGCCGGTCTGCATCGGCCCTCCTGTACTCCTCCTCTGCCCTCGCCCTCGCCTCTTCTGCCCTCAGCCTCGCCTCTTCCTGCAGTCTGGAGCTTTCTTCGAACCTCCTCCTGTGCTCCTCGGATTGTCGGAATGCATCTTCTGCCAAACGTCGAGCTTCTTCAGCGCTGGCCTGGTTGGCCGACGCGGCCTCGATGGCCAGTTGCTGCTGCTGAATGCGGTGTTCTAGCTCTTGCAGAACCGGGTTCTCGCGAACGCGTCCGCCGCTGGATGCGCCGCGAATTGCCCACAAGACACCAACGACGGCGGTGAGGACGGGTGGAATAAATGCAGCAGCAACAGAAGCAACAGCTCCCATGGTTGTTCCGTTTGTCGCAAAGCAACGTCTCTAACGGGTCAAGAGGAGGAAGAGATTAGTGGCATTGTCAATCAGGGACGCGCCAAACTTACCAGTTACAAGATACAGGCTAGGTAGCGAGCGACTCGGCTGTCTGGAAACGAATCGAAGGGAGATTTATACGTGAGTCCCGCAGCTACGACCACGCACGGTCTTCCATTCCTGGAGGCGTTGCGCAAACCTTCAAGAGCATTGATCAGATATCTATGGCCCGGGAGCTTCGACTGCAACGCCGCCCCCGCATGTCTTCTGCGTGTCCTTCATGAACCGCATGTCACGCAGGTCTTGTATTCGGATCCTCATAGAAGGGCTGGTGCGGTGCCTGGATGTGCGGAATTCAGCCCATATCGTGCTGGACGCGTCGCATGGCACTGTATGTGGGTCGGTGCATCTAGCATCGTGACCGCAACAAAACGAGGGCTGCTAAAGATATGATAGTGCTCAACAATGAACATACCTACGCAATACCTGTTTGTCGCCGTAATCGGAGACCAGTCTTTGTATGATCCTAGCACGTCCGTAGTATGATGTATCATCCTGGCGCGTTCCTCGCACTTATGTGATATAGCGACGTCGTGCAAGACGGCGAGGCTTCCCAAAGTCACACTACATACGAAGGATGTATTAGTTGGGCAGTGAAGAAGTGCACAGCAGATCGAACCTTATGTAAAGGACATTCATTTGTGCAGGAGGACTTCCTAGTCTGCGGATTCTCTGGGGACTTCCGAGATCCAGGAGATGTAAGGTTCACTATAGAATTTGAGGTGGAACCACAGGTGGGAGCCCGTCGTCAAAGATAGGTTCGCCTGGTCCCCACGATTACGCCCTACCGGCACGACCATATGCATTGACCAGGCAGTGTATTAGCCAGCTGCAGCCGCGTATTGCACGAAGATGTGGCGGGCCTTTTGTCCATCATTGAACTCGGACAGTGTATCGCCGCGTAGCCGACAAGCTACATGTACTTGAAATCGAGTGCCCAGCCTAACGAGAACCGTTGCAAAAAGTCACCACTGGTTGGTACCGGGTACACCGCCAGTACTTGCGCGCGCGAGAACGAATGTTGGGCGCCTATTAGTATCCGGTATGGCAGGAGGACCTGGTCCCGACAGACGTCGACTATATCTTCGAACAAAACGGACTGCGGAGGAGGAGGAGGAGGAGGAGGAGACGGGTGGTGGATCATCGGAACACGTCTGACAATCAGCCTTCGCGCACGATGCCAAACTGAGCACCTGCAGACCTGCCGACAAGATATATATATTTGCGTGTATTGAACCCACTGCAGCGTTAACGTTACTGTACGACCGATCACGACTTGGATGCAATACATACCCGATGGCGCGTAGCAGCGTGCTGTGGGGTTGTGCTGAGAAACCAGAAAGACCTTGCAAGCGGTCAGCCGGCGCCGACACCGAGGGCTTCAATACCTCGTAAGTATAGGCATCATTGACGCAGATAGGAACAGGTCACTATCACACTGTAACGGTAGAGTGGTGCACGGAAGCGCGATGTGATGGGAGAGGCGAAGTGACGTCGGGCGGGTGACGTCACTGACGCGATGGCGGGGAGCCTGCCCACAGCCCGCTCGCGGACGCGCACCGTTATAAGCTAACTTACGGCGCGTTCAACGACCCTCCCATTCCCCACACCCACACACGCCATGTTCCGCGTCGCCTCCCCTGCCCTCCGCCGCACGCCCCCCGTCCTCAGGCGGCCCCTGTCCACCACCGCCCACGCTCCTTCCCGTTCCAGTCTCAAGTTCAACCCAACCCATCCCTCGCCAGTCTTCCCGCGTCCGCGCGCGTGCTGCCCGCCTTCGACCCTCCTCCGCGGCCAGCTGCTCGTGCGAGGCGCCGCGAGCCACGTCTCCGGACGTCCGGGCTCGCAGACCGCGTCACAAGCCGCCCAGAACATCAAGGAGGAGGTCGGCAGCGCAGGTGGCGACCTCGCCAAGACAATCGCCGGAGGGAACATCTTCTCGGACGCCGTTGCGCCGACGCAGCAGACATTCGTGAGTATATGCGCGCAACCCGCGTTGCTGCGGCAAGCGACACAGTGCTGATGCATCGCACAGCTCGGTATCACCAACGCTGTTGCGTATGCCGTCCCCACCCCCTACATCGTGTTCGGCCTTGCTGGTGGCTTGCCATACCTCGGTACCGCAGCCGCTACAATCTACCTAGCCCGCCAGGCCGGTATTGCCACGACCGGTGAGTGCCATAACCATCACGTCTTGCGCTGAGCGTGGCCTGAAATGAAGAACTAGGCATCATGACGAACATGGATCCTGGCGTCGCGATCACCGTCCTAGACCAGGCCTTGCACATACAGATGACCTACGGCGCCGTCCTGCTCTCCTTCCTCGGTGCCCTGCACTGGGGCTTCGAATTTGCCGGATACGGTGGTACGAAGGGGTGCGTGCTTTTTCCCTATAGCTCGCTTCTTAACAGGTAACTGACCCTATGCCCACGGGTTCGTAGATACCCCCGTCTCCTCCTCGGTATGGCGCCAGTCGTCTTCGGCTGGACAACGCTCGGATTGGAGCCCGTGCAGGCTCTCATCGCGCAGTGGGTCGGCTTCACTGGCTTGTGGTGGGCTGACCTGCGGGCTACGAACGCGGGCTGGGCGCCGCTGTGGTACTCGCAGTACCGCTTCTACCTGTCGATTCTCGTCGGCACCTGCATCATCGGTACGCTCGCTGCGACGAGCTACTGGGGTCCTGTGGGTGGACACGGGCTAATCAGCCACGACCTGAACATCGTACGTACCTTCGTGCCGTTTTTCCTCGGGTTTGAGTGCTGAATGTGAGCTCGCTAGGTCCGCGCTGAGCGCAAGCAGAAGCAGCCTGAGCGCGAGGGCCGCGTAGGCGGCGAGATCGAGTCACTCGCCGCTCCTGAGAACGCCGACTCGTATGTGATCGTCAGGAAGAAGAGCAATGGCCAGAACGGCAACGGTAGTGAGTCCGGATCGGAGCAGGGAGGAGAGCAATGAAAGCGAACTGCCGAGTTGAGGTCGATGGACGTTTCCGCATTGTATCATCACCAGTTGTGAGCCATTGTATAACAGAACATAGTATCTTCGCCACATGTAGACAGTAGTGTAGAGCCCAGAATATGACCAGTAATATTCAATCTCGATGTATCATTGTATGGGTCGAAGAGAGGATGTGTCAGAGACGGAGACGGCGAAGTGGCGAAGGACTTGATCAAGCGCCGGTGAGCGTCTCCACGGAGGCGGGATGGTCTCGAAGGTTCGGGAGGGCAAACACGGGCAGCCATAAATTACAGATCGTGAAGTCCTCGCAGCCCCATATTCATCAGTCTTAAGCCTTCAGACTTGCTGCTCTCTACCTTCATATTCTTCGCCGGAGTGAACAGAGATGGCGGCTGTCCCACCACCGATGCCGACGAGCACGGCGAACTGGCACTGGAAGAACAAGACGGTGACGCCCTGGGCGCGCGCGTGGTTCGAGCGCGAGCTCGTCACGGTCGAGGTCAGCGGGGAGGGCGAGGAGAAGGTCGGCGTGACGAAGCTGAACGACTTTGAGGGCGACGTGGAGCTCGGCCAGCGGAAGAGCAAGTGAGTGCGATCCTCTCCGTATGCCCGCCCCGCGTGGGCAATGAAGTGGAGGTGCTGACGGGAGGCTCTGCGTGCGCAGGTTGATCACGATCTACGACTGCAAGGTCGAGCTGCAGTGGGCGGGCACGGCCTCGGATGGGTCTGAGGTGACGGGCAAGCTCACCGTCCCGGAGGTCTCGCACGAGATCACGCTCGATGGGCTCTCGGACTACGTCGTACGTCCCTACCCTCGCTCGCTCCCGCCCGCACACGCTGACGTCCCCCCTTCCGCCGCCAGTACCACTGGTCGCTCACGTCGCCGTCCTCGCCGCAGGCAGACGCGCTGCTCGCGCTCGCGAAGAAGAGCCTCCCCGCCGCGCTCGAGAAGAAGTTCGCCGAGTTCGCCGCGGCGATCATCGACACCCACGGGAAGGACCTCCAGGTGTCCTCCTCCAGCGCGGAGCCCTCGCGCCAGGGCACACCCGCGCCGCCCGCCACATCCGCGCCCGCGTCCTCCGGATCCGCCAAGCCCTCCACGTCTGCGCCGGCGAAGGCCGCGCCGAAGGTGAACTCGACGTCCGTGAGCGCGGAGGCGAACTTCATGGCGGCGGCGGCGGACCTGTTCGACCTGCTCACGAACGAGAAGCGCATACCGATGTGGACGCGTGCGCCCGCGGTGTCGGCCGCGCAGCCCGGTGCGGAGTACAGCTTGTTTGGCGGCGGCGTGAAGGGGAAGTATGTCAGCTTGACCCCGCCGAAGGAGATCGTGCAGAGCTGGGCGCTGAGCAGTCCGACTTGGCCGGATGGTGGGTGCTATCTCTTTCCGCACTCGACGCTGCAGTCGCACGCCTGGCTGACTACGCGTGGGCTCGATGGTGCAGGCCATGTCGCGACCTTGACCACGACGCTTGATCAAGGATCGGATTCTACGAAGGTCAGCTGGCGACTGGAGGGTGTTCCCCTCGGCACGGAGGAGGAAATACAAAGGAATCTGCAGGGATACTAGTACGTCTTTCATATACCCAGACTGTCTCGCTGGCGATCACTGACTTTCGCCTAGCATCCACGGACTGAAGTCTATTGGGTATGTACCATTCTTTGAATACCATCCCGCCCCCGCCTCGCCACCATCCTCGCCCACGCGCCGTACCCAAAAGACTCGTAGCACTGCGGGGGACAGCCAAAAAACGGGCTATACGCAGGCTTTGACGATGGCCGTCGCGGTGCTCGCGCTCGTGGTGGCGTTCTCGATACCCTACCTGTATAACTAACATATGTCTTGACGGGTAATTGACGGTCTTTTCGGTTTCGTGTTTTAGGTTGGGCACGGAGTTGTGAATGCGTGCACGTCAACGGGGAACGTTCTGCAACCTAAGGTGCGGCGTACGGAGTCGAGCATATGGACACTGCTTCAATCTTTGGCCTGTAGACGCCTCGAAGTACAGGGGACGTACCGATTTGGGCAGCGGGAGTTCGGGGACGTGCTGATAGTAGATACAAGAAACGCAAAGTGTACGCGTTGGCAGACTAAGAATACATTTGTACAATTTCTGCATATCACATCGTCTTCTCGTCGTGTCCGCCACATTCGAGATAGACAATTGTGCCCAAAGGAAAGGATATGATGACCAGAGTGTAGCGAGCGAGCAACACAGACGACCAGGGGAGACTTTTGACAAATCTTAGATGGAGAGGGCGAGCCTTGGTGGCTATTTGTGCGGAAGCAGACTTCACATCTGTGGTGGGGGTCCATTCCACAGCCGCTCGATCTACGATTCAACAAGAAACCATAAGATATAGCCGAACAGTAAATGCAGAGGCGTACCAATGAGCGGAGGAAACCCGTAGCTATAATATCTCCATTCTGAGCTTTCCCCGGCAACTCTGTGGGCCGCTGTTGCAGGATGCGAATTGAGTGGCATCCACATTCAGCTCGGGGGTAAGACTCACGTTACGAGCTTCTTGCATGAAGACCCAGATGTCCTTGGCATCCTCGCACTCCTTGAAGTGTTCGAAGAGGCCATCCTCCAGCCACATACGCGCCTGCCTGCGGATGAAGCCCATCGCCACTGTCTGCGTCACCATCAGGTGCCGCGAGCGTATCGTCGCGATTTGGCAGCCTCTGCATATCAGCCCTTGATGCAGCTTCCTCGTCGCGAGTTCGAGGTAGGGGAAAGGAGTGGCTGCCATGAACCGCGCGCTCAGGTAGAACGTCGGCTTGCTGACACCCCGGCGGGACGGGCGGGCGAACACCTCGCGAGCCTTCTTCCCGTGCGTCTCGAGCCACGTATCGTACCGCTCATTGCCGCCGTGGTGCGCGATGGCCGCCTGCACCACGCGGCGCTGGCTGTAGAGGCGGAAGCGCCGCCCGTGGTAGAGGTCTACCATGCCGTACGTCCCTGGAATTGAGAGCATGCTCGGAACGTCCACGAGGGACTTCTTGGTCACTCCGAAGAGCATCTTGGCGTCGCTTTCGATGAGCGCCATGAGGTGCGGGGTCTCGCTGAGGCAGTTGAAGCAGCACCGGACGCACTCGGGGATCCAGAGGTAGGTCCCGAACTCGTTGCAGAACGAGCAAGTGCGCGTGCAGAGCGTGTGGTAGAGCTCGTCGACGGTGAAGTGCTGCGAGGCATCTGCGGTGTCGAGTGTCTCGAGCGTGTTCGGGATGTGACGCACGAGGAACTTGTACGGGACCGACTCGTCGACGATGAGGCGCATCCGCCGGTTGACGAGACGTAGCGCAGAGGTGGAGCGCAAGTCTGTGTACTGCGCGATAAGACTGAGGAGCTCTAGGGGAAACTTGCCGAGGTCGCCTGCGCTTGCCACAGAGGCCTGAAGAGGCGGGGGAGTAGGGCGAGACTCATCGGTTGTGGCTCCCCGGCTGCGGTCCTTGGGGATGTACAAGACCGTCTCATCGAATTCACGGGGGTGGTACCCGAACCAGTTAAGTGCTGTCGCGCGAGACAAAGGATCTGTGATGTGGGGAATGCTCCCTCCGCTCGACGTCGTCGAGGACGAGGCGGAGGACATGGAGGTGGTGTAGTCTTAGGCAAATGCCAGAAGGCAGCGTATCAATTGTGGCGCGCAAAGTGTTATGTAACGCAAGATCGAGATCCGGAACCTACGAGTGCTACCAATTCCACTTGTACAACAACTCCTTGCGGCTGCAATCCCGCTGTTTTTATATTACTTGGCAAGTAAGTCGTGAAACTGGTCTTTGTGCAGCTTGTAGACGACTTGCATCCCGACATCGTTTTCCACCTCACGCTCGACTCGGAGTCAAGAGCCTGAGGAGGCGCAACGGCTCTCTCATTGACACTCACAACCATCGTTGGGTTCTCTGTGACATATACACCAAGTCATAGAGCATAGCAATCTACAGCCAACGTTCATCCGGGCGGCGCGGGCGTATAGGTCAACTTGACGTGGTTTGCTACAGTCTTGGTGAGTAGGATATCTGACGCGTGTTTTTGCATCGAAGACTGACTGTACGATGGTCAAAATCGTTCTTAACAGGGCCGGACACGCTTAGGCATCAAGAGGTGTTGTCCGCATCGCAGTCTTTGTACGAGCACGCGCGCGATGAATTCATCGGTATTGGTTTCGCACAGTGATCCTTATATGTCCTGAAGTACAGCCTGGACATCTATGAGGTACGCCGAAGCCGCCAAGGCGACAACAAGGCAACCCACCCTGCCGGGAAAAGCAGCAATGACTGCGATAATCGTGTTAACGGCTCCCATGGTCTTCTTACCTTCAACTTAACCCTGCCTCGCGGGTCACTATTGTGATGACACAGCTTCAAGCTTGAGGTGCTCCAGCTTGATCAGGGTGATGCCTCGATAAGGGGTCATAGCTCGCGCTTCACGGCGAACGCTCCAACATCTACAGCCGCTATAGATCAGAGACTTGTAAGTTCTGTCAAGATTGTACAGCCCTTTGCTTCTCTCACCGTCATGTTTCAGTTGCTGCCCGCGAATTTCAGTTACACCCTTTCTGGAGGACAGTTGTCTGTCTGCAGTTGTGCTGGCACCGGATGCAGCGCGGGGCTTGCCCAGGAGTCTCGCCCCATGATGAGCGTCTTGCATAGAGACTATGCGGTCGCAGTCGATATGGCTTGCACGCCGTTGTACGTGCATCCTCTTTGCTAGTAGCGTCACCTCGCTCCTATGACATTTAGAGCATCAACCTCGTTCGCTTCTCGCGTCTCGTTTCTCATCGCCGATATCACCCCGAACTGAGGACGGGTACTCAGCGCGTGCCGGACAGCTCGGGTTGCCTCATGCCTGTAGCGCGGACCGGACAGCTCGGGTTGCCTATCGCCGCTTGTCCTCCTAGTACTGGTACATAGCATGGGGACCCTCCAACTTCTTGTCATCTCAACACATCTTTTGTCTGGCCGGGGCTGCCCTTCGTGTGTAGCTTGAAGACTGCGAGGTGATTAGTTGCATGAGAATTTCGGCCTCTCGAGTTAACGTGCTCTTGCAACCAGAATCCAGGATGTGCTATAGTTCACGAATTGCAGTTTCTACTTCACGCTTACCTTCTTGGAATCTGAAACCTCATTCCAGCGCCCGGGCGACGAATTGAGCTGATGCGCCCAAGAGATCAATCAACGGGCTACACAACAAGAAGTGAGCTACTACCCATTGTTCTCACAGCCTTCGTCATCACTGTCTGTTCATGCCCTGTAGCTAGCACCGACGTGCCCGCTTCATATGTATGCATTTAAGGAGCCTCTCAGAGTCGCAAAAGAGCATACCTCATTCATTGCGACCAACCTTCGCTTACCCTCACTCATCCTCCATTCCCTTGCACGCGCTTACAAACCCAGACGCAGCCATGTCCACTGCTAACAGCCTGTACATCACCCTCAACCACCTCCGCTTCGAAGCCGGAGTAAACAAATATGCAAGTTCCGAATCTGTCTCAGCAGCGGTCCTCTCTAACCATTCTCACAGCACTGGGGTCTGTTCGCTACTGGTAGCGCACCCCCGGCGGGCACTCTGTACCATGCCACCGATACGCAACGCGAGGCCTTGGATCTCCGCTTGGAGGTGCACCCGGTCAAGAACCCCCAGGCATCCAAGACTATGGTTGTGGCCTTGAAGATCGCCGATTCCCCCGGCCCGAATATCCTTAAACACTTCACCTCAACTAACGTTGTGCACCTCATGCACCCCGGCTCCCTCCCAGTGGGAGAGGAATTCTGGACGTGCCGTGTTTGGGTGAAGGAGGTCCTCCAGAAGCTAAATGAGAGCGGGCACATCCGGCTCCCGACAGACATTGGTGAGTGATACCTTTCAGATCAGTCCGATGACCTTTGATGCTGATTGTTGCTCATCAGACACAATTCAGAGGCGGTGCCAGTTCACGGCTGACCATAACTTCCAGTACAAGGGCCACGCAAAGATATACAACAACCTGAGCTGGATATCCGGGAGTGGTGCTGTTGGCACAGCTGGCGGGTCTAGCTCACGCCACAGGACCACAATGATGGACATTGACACCACCGGGCGGCACCCCTACCATGGCACTAAGCCTATGCTCATCGACTCTACCGGACAGCATCCCTACCATGGCACTAAGCCTATGCTCATCGACTCTACCGGACGGCACCCCTACCATGGCACTCAGCCTATGGACACCGGGAAGCGCCGCCGCCATTATGGCTAGTAGTAGTCTCCTGTTTTACACGTCTCTTGGGCACCGGCGTTCAATTTACTGCCAGTTTGGTTGTGTGTCACTAGTTGCAGACATGACAAAGTCGCTTTGCAATCTGTCACCTCAGATACGGCCTCGGTTCCTGACATGTCGGTCACAAATTTAAGATGACTATTGACTCAGAATTTCCGATGTGCGCCACACAGCTATACACTATACCTACTTCCAATATAGTCTCCATTGGCAGACTCTAAACATGGCCATTTTGAGGCCCGAGGGGAGGAGGGGTATATATGACCGGCCAGTGCCGTTCCGCTCCCTCCTGACTGAACTGTTGAGCAATGTGGATTTGCACGTTTGATTATACGCTCTAAAGTATGTATACCACGACCGCAAGAAGCAAGCGACTTGGACATCAATTGAACGGCTCAGACATGCTTTACGGGATGATAACGTACAGGAAGACAAGTAGTGTACAATGTATGGCCGTACTACACCCAAAGACATGAATCAAACTCTCGACTCGTAAATGCAGTAGTATGTACTGGTCGCTGCGGTACAAGTAAATCTGACTCAAACACAACCTTATACGCCATCGCCCGACTCCCAGCTCCTCGTCTCGACGTCTAACTCCTTCGAATAGTCACCCAGCTCAGCAAAGACCTCCTTTACCAGATTCACATACCGCCGAGTCCACCTGAATCCCTCAAACAACGCCTTCGTGTAGTCCCAATACTCGGGATAATATCCGGCATTCTCCCAGTCCACGATCCCCGTCACCCGCCAGCCGGTGCTCCCATCAGGATAGACGGCACGGTCAACGAGGATGTTCCGAGGGTTGAGGTCTGCGTGCGTGAACACGATCCTGTGCCCGCGGCGGGCGGGGTCGTCCGAGAAGCGCAGGACCTGGCTGAACGCCACCTCATCCGGGAACGGCCCCATGGGGTCCGCGCTCCGGATGCGGGGGTCCCTGCACGCCTCACCGAGCGTGTTGCAGATAGCCATGTCCGCGTTGACAGGCGTCTTCTTGGGTATGGCACGCAACTGCGTCAGGTAGTCCTTCAGCTGGGTGATAATGTGCTTGCAGTCGCCGTCGGAGAGGACGTCTTGGCAGCGCGAGAGGGGCATGCCTGAGATCCTTGTGATGAGGAGATAAGCTTCGGAAGGGAATAGGCTGTCCGTGTCTAATTTCTTGATAACCACGTCAAGAGGTTTGGGGGCAGGGATCGAAGTATGCCGGTGGACTGTCTGCAGGGCGTTGAACTCGTTGCGATACCCAGCAGGCTCACCCTGGTACTTTAGATAGAGCCCAAATGGTAGCCTCTGCACCGTCGAGTAGTCGTTGGGTTTGCCGTAGAGACGCTCTCCGAGCTTTCGCAGCGTTTCATAGACAGCTATCCGGAATTTGTCTGGAACCATAAGCCAGACAGAGAGGAAAGCGTGACTCGGAAAGAGGCGAGAAAGAGCGACAGATTTTCGCTGTGGAGTGGGTCGTGGGGAATACGGTACAGGAAGACTGTTCGATGACTCCGACGGTTGTTGCAAGATTTCTGGTGCGACTTTCTTGGCGATCTCGACATATCGAATGCTCCTGCAGAGTCGGGCGTGAGTTCCAACAAAGCGCGGGTCTATTGTCTCGATGCCTGAACGCGAGCGGTCGCCCAATAGGGGGAAGCGGCCGTCAACCTCAATGGGATCCTCTGGTCCGATGAGGACGGGGTTGACCTCGTACTATTGCAGCGTCAGATCCGAGGAGCAGGAAAACACGGGAAATCGTCACATGTCACAACTCACCTCAACCATTGATGGCTGCAGTCTGTCCAATCTGACAGACCCCCGTGCAAACGCCTTCGCTGCGGACGTTCGGACTAGCCAGTGATTGCAATAGCACGACATGTGCTCGGGATTCCTAGCGTAAGAAAGCCACCAGTCCCGGTACGGGGGACCGAAGAAAGCACCGAGCATGTCCAAGATTCGGTCCTTCCAGGACCGACCGTCAGAATGTTTGTTTCGCTGCTCGTGATGACAGTGGCCATACCTTGTCCTTGGTCCAACCAGACGGAAACGGCAGGATGGGCGCGACGAGGAGAGGGTCCCAGAAGGTGCCATCCTTACCAGTAATGCAGCATTTGCCCCCGTCTCGTTTAGTAATGGCATGTCTAGTGATGGCATCTGGTGGTGGCGGGGAACGGCCGTTCTCCGTAACTTGGGACAGTGGCAGGACGTTAGTGTGCCAGACGGCAGGCAGTGGAGGCAACCGACGTACTGGAATCAATAATGTAGGCCCAATCAGAGACCACTAAACGAGCCTCCCCCGCCGACAATTTACCATTCATGTAACGAGCGGCCGACACGGGGTTCACAGCCTCCGTCACGAAGGATGAGAGGAGAGGCGTCGAAGGATGTGGCAGGTTTAGATTATCGATGCGCGACAGTAAGTGCTGCACCTCGTCATGAGCCGAAGCCATACTAAGAGATGTGGCAATGGACGGTGACTTCGTCGAGACTGGACGGTGACTTGTGTAACAGTGTTGACGTTGAAACGTTGAGCGCTAGCAGCTCGATTAACGCAGAGATCATGATCGGGAAGCGCCACGGCAGCCGGCCCGGAGCGAGTGCGATCACGCCCTCCCTCCGCAACAGCTTGCTTACTCTCATGTACGCAGCGACGTTCTGGCGCAGACTCTTGCCCCGCTCTCTCTTCACTTTGACCTCCCTCAGTGCCGCAAACATGGCCAACGGCATCGTACCGTCACGTACAGAAGATGGCGAAGTAGGGCTACGTCGACATCCCAAGTACTGGCTGGAGGATGGCTCGCTCGTCGTGCGCACTCAGGGCGATCTCTTCAAGGTCCACAGGACGATCCTACAACGACATTCCCCGGTGCTATCATCGCTCACAGGAGGTACATTTCAAGAGGAAGCAGGGCGTACAGATGGTTGTCCGACTCTACACCTGCCGGACGAGCTGGGAGTGGACAGTGCAGACTTTGAGACGCTGCTCGAGCACCTATACCACGATTTGTGCGTCTTCACGGACCCGTACATGTGCTGATTGCTGAGTATTACAAGCCCATTAGGACCTGACGCATCGTTTCCTCGAGTTGCATCAATACTCCGTACATCATCCAAGCGCCAGCTTGACTTCCCACTACTGCACGAGCTCACGCGCCAGAGACTTGAAAGCATGGTGCCATCGGATCCTACGGCCTTCTATGAGGTCGAGCGTCCAGATGATATGCTAACGCTTGCCGTTGACTATGACGTCTACACGGTGCGTATGCATTCTGACATTCGTCGCAATGCGATACTGACGTGCGATTTCAACGGCGGCCGCAGATCCAGAAGGCGCTCTTCTATACGATCGCTACACATGCGAACCTCCAACATGACGAGCCAGAAGGCCTCGTACCAGGAGTCAGCGCTCCCAAGGACGCAGAGCCCGTAGAGCCATCGCCCGCCAATCAATTCAACCTCTCTCCCGAACTCACAAAGCGGTGCCAAAGACTCCTCGACGACCTCGTCGCGCACTTCACCCCGATCCTCTTCACGGTCGCGACCGCAGGGCACATGGCGTGCACAGACGTCTTCGCAGAGCAGTGGATGCCGCTCGTCATCCAGCCCGCGCTAGAGAACAGCGGACTGTGTCGGCCGCTTGAGACGCTGCAGACGATCATTGATCTAGATTGGAAGGCGCAGGGCGTGTGCGAGGAGTGCGTGAGGGACAAGAGGGAGGAGTGGAAGGAAGAACAGGGGACAGTTTGGGAAAAGATGAATGGGTGGCTGGGGTTGTCGGAAAAGCAGTGACTGAGTGAGTGCGTGCGCGTTCTGAGCGTCGACACGGGTAAAGGATCAAACTCAAGCTCAAGTCCGAAGAGATGAAGTGTAACAGGATGTACTTAGACAACGTTTGTATCGATTGTCTCCACATACTTGACCGTCCAGTCCTGATCCTCTCGTCATCAAACTGAGCTCCGAGACGTGCAGAGGCAAGCTCGCCTCGGGCGGCCTCGGGCGCCGCTCCTGCCATCCGGGGCGTCGATATTTGCGTCCCGAGGCAGGCCCACTACGTTCGCCGCTGCACTGATGCAGACGCATCATCGACCACCATCGCGCTGTGCACCGTTGATTGTTGCGCTTCTACGTATTCTGTGTGCCCTGTCATCGTAAAGGCCGATACTTGTGTCATGCTCGTATCGGAGAACACCGTGGCATCGCTGTTTTCTCCACTCCTAGAGGATAGGGCCTGCGCATGACGAACTGACACATACCCTAGGGGTGAGCTATAAAGATGCTCGTCATCAATCGAAGGGGCAGCCAACCACCAGCTACTTCTTGAAATCGTCATCCAACACAGATCAACATGACTACCATCGCAGACCTCCCCAAGACATACAAAGCCGGTGAGCACACTCGCTGCCACTACGCACGCGAACGAGCTGACCACGGACGTCCCCGCAGCGAGCATCTCCGCCGCGAACGGTCCCTGGGAGATCGTCACCAAAGAGATCCGCGCGCCCGCCCCGAACGAGGTGCTCATCCGCGTGCACGCCTCCGGCATCTGCAATTCGGACCACTTCGCAAAGTCGGGGATGTGGCCCGGCATCCAGTTCCCGCGCGTCACTGGCCACGAGGTCGTCGGCCGCGTCGCGGGCGTCGGCGCGGGCGTGTCGCGCGGCGATCGCGAGGGGCGCTACAAGCTCGGTGCGCTCGTGGGCGTCGGCTGGAATGGCGGGTATTGTGGGCGGTGCGAGGCGTGCCGGGCGGGGAACGCGTGGGTGTGCAAGGAGGGCCAGGTTACGGGGTTCACGTATGATGGCGGGCATGCGGAGTACATGTATGCGCCTGAGACGGGTGAGACGGGTTTCTGAGAGTACGCTAGGTGGGGTGTGCTGACGAGGGCCTGTAGCGATCGTGAGCATCCCGGAGGAGGCCCTGCAGAACGCGTCGTATGCGGAACTCGCACCCTTGTTGTGCGGAGGTATCACGGTGTTCGATGCCATCCGCACGGCACCATGGAAGCCGGGAGACCTCTGCCTCGTACAGGGCATCGGCGGTCTTGGGCACCTCGCTATCCAATACGCATCGAAGCTCGGCTTGAAGGTCTGCACTCGTCTTCCTCCCCCCTTATCTACGCTCACCGTTGCTGCCACAGGTCGTCGCGATCTCCTCAGGCTCCTCCAAACGGTCGCTCGCCCTCTCGCTCGGGGCCTCCGACTATGTCGACGCGTCGACAACCGACGTCGTCGCATATGCCAAGTCGCGCGGCGGCGCGCGTCTCGTCCTCTGCACTGCGCCCTACTCGCAGAGCATCTCCGACATCATCCCCGCAGTCGGCCTGAACGGTACCGTCACGCTCGTGAGCGCGGCGGTCGACGGGAAGATCCAGGTGGAGAACCTGGTGCTGAACATGAACCGGGCGGCGCTGCGGGGCTGGTGCTGTGGGTGCGCGCCGGATATGGAGCAGTGTGTCAAGTTCTCGACGTTGTCTGGTGAGTGTTCCCTTGTTGTGGCTTGCTGAGGCAGCGAGCTGACGCGAAATGTAGATGTCAAGTCGATGGTCCAGACGTTCCCGCTTGAGGAGTACCCCTCTGCGTATGATGGTGTCCAGGCGAACAAGGCGAGGTTCAGGAATGTCATTGTCTTCCCGTGATCCTCTGGTGTATTGCTAGTTGTGACTGCCCCCTGCGTGTGTATCCAGTACTGTACGATATCATAGGTGTATCTTCATAATGCACGTCTATTCCTGGCATGCCTACGAGGTCAGGAAGTGACTGACAGTAACATGAGTCTTTCGAAGCATACCCTGGATTGTGAAGCTCTCACACCGAGAGCCTCCACAGCGACACGTGAGGTATTCGTGTCGAACCTAGTGTTGTGTAGGGAACCGAATAGGGGTCGCCATGCCTTGTCTACGAAGGAGTCTAGTGCTCCGAGTGAATGGTGAGTGCACTCACTGAGTAGAGATGTGCGCCATAACCTGGAGCTATCTGTCTGCGCCCGCGTCGTGAGTGTGGAACCAATCTCGGTAATGTGCGAGGTGGAAGGCAGTGACAGCCTCTCGTTGGACATACATAGCAGATGGAGTCCGCCAACTGTCATCGTGTGCCAGTGTCAAGGGTGTTCGCCGTGGTAACTGCGTAGCCCCGCGTGCTGTTCACGAACGCTGACAACCTGGACGCAGAACAAATCCCAGGGTGGATGCGACATACTCTGACATTGCCGTCAGCTAGATGGTGAACGCTTGGGTGTTATATCCTACCTGCGATGGGCTGAGAATAGCGCAGGGAGCGGCCCGCTGACGCCGTACAGGGTTCACAGGATGGTGGATTGGTGGGGACGGATCGGCGGCAGATGGGGTTCTGGAGTACTTGAGACTAGCGTTCAGCCAAAGATAAGTAAATGCAGGGGCCTGCTTGTCGTTCTCACCCAGAGGCCGAGACCGCCGATCGTGGCGTGTCTATATGAACGCGTACTGCAGTGAGCGTGACTGAAATTCCGCAGACGCACCTGCGTCGATACTGCGGTCAATTGCGAAATTGGACCAACGTACCTGGGCTATGTGGTGAGCGCATTTAGCAAGAACGAGACGAGGTGCGTGAAGGCGGAAGTCAGAAGGCCACAACTTGACAGTGATATCATGTTCGAACAGCTGGGAACGCGCCGTGGGTAGCCATACTGGCAGATGAGCCTGTTCCTTTCCACGCGGTCGAGGAGGGTCGGCGTGTGTTCAATGAGCGTCAGCCACATGACAGAACGTAAGCAGCTGCAGGTTCAGAAGTCTGAGAAGGACGTGCCGAGGCAGGCGATCCAGGGAGGCTGCAAGCGTCGGCTGGGATAGAAGTTGTGCGTCGTAGAGCGACTTGAACGGCCAGCGCCCGCCGTCAACGCATCCTCCCCGAGACTGCGTCGGGAGGGACAGCGCGCGAGGGGCCCTAGGGCGCGCACAGTCAGCATGAGCGGCCGTTGAGTCAACCGTTCTGTCAAACACACCCAGAGTGCACAGACGCCCGTACCCGGCTTCCTGGTGTGACAGCCCTGTGACGCTCGGCACATTTACGCAAGGCCGCGGCGCGTGCGCTGATTGGGTGGGGGGAGCCCGGGACGCGGCGGGTGTCACAGAGGGCGAGGGACGAAGGTCACATCCGCGGGAGCCGGAGTGACGGTGCTGACATCCGGTGTCCGCTGCTCGCCGCCGACCTCATAGATGCCCCCGTCCGACTGTTTCCCATCTCCCTCTCGGCCGACTCTGCGTCTCTCTCCCTCTCCCTCCCCTCACTGAGGGCGACCACCCATGTCTTCATCCCGCTCACGGATTGCGGCCTGGTTCGCAAAGGCCGCCTCCTTCAACGTCGAGTCCCTTTTCGTTCGCACGCGCGAGCCCGGTCCTCCTCGGTCCGTCCTCGTCCATCAGGACCTACCAGAAGACTACTATGACAAGAAGGGGAGGGTAAAGAAGGAGCACGTCTTCGCTACTAACCAACACATCACGGCAAAGTACTCTATCATCACATTTCTGCCCCGGAACCTACTGGAACAGTTTAGGTGAGTCTCAGACCTCCTTGCGCACGGCGCTGGCAAGGGATGGGAGTGTGAGAGATATTAGTGGCGGATGGGAGCTGCGGTCAACCGTTATGATTGCAGTCGACATGCACGAGACACCATGGCCGTCATCGCTCAAACTGTATGCTGCAAGGGTTCCGTGCGCTGCGTACACTGGCCGCATCAGCCTGTCGTGTGCAGGAGCTTCCACAGGCGGAGGAACTAGTTGGCTGCCCGGAGCAGGGTAGGACGTGGCGGGCCGTTAGTCATCGTGCCTTCGCGCTCGGGGCTACTCATTCAGCGGCCTCTGGCGGATACCTGTGAGGTGCGGGCGCACAGGCGCGACAGGCGCGATCGTCATAAGGAACGCGGGGCCGGACGCCGCTTCCGTTGATCACTGACGTGCTCCCCTAGTGTACCTCCGAGAATGACGTTCTGTGAAACACCTTCATCTATGAATTCTTCGCGTTAATCCGAATAGGAACTGACATATTCGGTTCAGGCGTGTTGCAAATATCTTCTTCCTCGCTATCGCCATCCTCCAATTCTTCCCCATCTTCCCTACCATCTCCCCCGGCCTTGCCATCCTCCCACTACTCATCGTCCTCGCCATTACAGCCCTCAAGGATGGCTACGAGGACTTCAAGCGGCATCAGGCTGATCATGCTGTCAACCGCTCTCAGACCCGAGTGCTCAGAGGTGGCGCATTCAAGAATCCCAATCCAATGGAGGCAAAGACGAAGACGTTCATCCCGGCGATCGTGCCCATGATTATGTCGCATCGCCTGAAGCGCAAGTCGGTTAAGACGGCAGACGTCGAGGCGCTCGAGCTCGAGGCGGGTGCGCCGCAGGAGGGTATGACGCAAACAATGCCAGAGCGACCTTCGGGAGAGGGCGAGCCTACGTTGGAGGACGAGGAAGATATTGAGTACGATGACGAGGAACCGGGCGACGGTTCCTATCGCCCAACGAGCCCGCGCATGAGCGCACATGGTCATGATTCTGACATTGGGCACCACGACCCGAAACGGGCCCATTGGAAGAAGACGGCATGGGAGGACGTGAAGGTGGGGGACTTTGTCAAGATCGTCGACAACGAATCTTTCCCTGCGGACATCCTCATCTGCGCTACCTCGGAAGAGGAGAACGTGTGCTTCGTCGAGACGAAGAACTTGGATGGAGAGACGAACCTGAAGTCCCGTACTGCGTCGCCCGTGCTTACCCATCTCCGTACGGCGGGCGCGTGTGCCGACCCGCACATTCAGTTCCGTATCGACTGCGACCGACCAGAGACCAACCTCTACAAGCTCAATGCGGCGGTCGTACCCGAGAAGGGGCAGAAGTCTTCGGTCGACATCCAGCAAATCCTGCTCCGAGGCTCGGTCTTGCGGAACACACGTTGGGCTATCGGTATCGTCCTCTTCACGGGCGAGGACACGAAGATCGTGCTCAACTCTGGCGGTGCACCGAGTAAGCGCAGCAAGGTGGAAAGGCAGATGAACCCACAAGTGTACGTGCCTGAGACGGGCCTTCCTATATCTTATTTTCTGTATGGCCTGAGTCGCTTACGGGATCTCGCTAGATTTATCAACCTTCTCATTCTGGCCGTGATGGCGGTCGTTTGCGGTATAGTGGATGCCGTTCTGGAACAACGCTACTACCCTCGTGGGGCGCCTTGGCTCTACGCTGACGACCAGTCCGACAACAACCCACACGCGAACGGCGCCATCACCTGGGCGTTCGCTCTCATCACGTAGGTCGCTCTTGGATTACACCGCGGATTCACACTGACCGGGACTATCCTGATCGGCGTCGCTTAACCGCCGGCATCTACCCACTGCAGATTTCAGAACATCATCCCGATCTCGCTCTACATCTCGATTGAAGCCGTGCGCACGATCCAGGCGCTCTTCATCTACTTCGACCATGAAATGTACTACAAGCCGTCGGACACGCCGACGCTGGCGCGCAGCTGGAACCTCTCGGACGACCTCGGCCAGATCGAGTACATCTTCTCCGACAAGACCGGGACGCTGACGCAGAACAAGATGGTCTTCCGGCAGTGCTCGGTTGGCGGGCGGACGTACAAGGGAGAGGGGAGCTCACGGGTGGACGACGGCTCTGCCACGAAGGTCGGACTTCCTGGAGAGGAGGGCGAGCGTCGCTCTTCTGCGACACAGAGCCCGGAGACGCTAGACGTGAAGAAGACACCTACTAGTTCGACCGAGGACATCCCTGATGTGCTTGCTGCGGACAAGGTCGGTCTCGCGGAGGGTGCACTTAGCCACTTCCGGGACGCAGAGCTCAGTGCGGACATTGCGGCTGCTATGAACGCGGACGAGGAGAGCGAGAGTGCTGTCCACGCGCGGTTGATCAACGGGTTCTTCACCGCCCTCGCGCTCTGCCACACTGCGCTGACGTCGATTGACCCTGAAACGGGTGCGATTCAGTACAAGGCGCAGAGCCCCGACGAGGCGGCGCTCGTCCAGGCCGCCGCGGATGTGGGCTTCGTCTTCCGGGGTCGCGACAAGGAGGAGCTCACGCTGCAGACACCGTTTTCGACTGCGTACGAGAAGTACGAGCTGCTGAACATCCTGGAGTTCAACTCGGCGCGCAAGCGGATGAGCGTGATCGTGCGCAAGCTCGGTGACGATGAGGCAGAGGAGGAGGGCGGCCGGGTGTTCCTGCTGACGAAGGGCGCGGACAACGTCATCTTTGAGAGGCTCGAGCCGGGCAACGAACAGCTGAAGCGTCAGACGGAGAAGCACCTAGACGAGTTTGCGGGCGAAGGTCTGCGGACGCTGACCCTCGCTTACAAGGTACTCCCCGGTACGTGTTTGGCGATGCGGATAGTGTGGAGCGTGCTGACACCGTCGCAGATGACTATTATGAGGAGTGGAGCCAGCGCTATCAGGAAGCAGTCGTCTCGCTTGACAACCGTGAAGGGAAGATCGACGCGATCTACGAGGAGATTGAGAACGGACTGCGGCTTCTTGGCGCCACTGCCATCGAAGATCGTCTGCAGGATGGCGTACCCGAGACTATCGCAGACCTCAAGCGAGCCGGCATTAAGGTCTGGGTGGCTACTGGGGACAAAGTCGAGACTGCTATTGGTGAGCTCATTGCGTGTGGTATGCAAGTACAATGGAGCTGACATTCATGTAACTCAAGCCATCGGACACAGCACGAACCTCATCGGACGCGAGGATAACATCGTCATCATCCGAGGTGGGTCGGACGGCAAATCCGTTTACCACCAGATGTACAGTGCCGTCGAGAGCTTCTTCCCGCTCAGTGGCATCCTCGGCGAAGAGGGTGTGTACCTGGAAGAGGACGGCAACACGCCCGTGTCGCCCTCGAGCGGCTACCCTCTGCAGCGCGTCAATACAGGCATGTCCGACCTCGTCGGCCAGCATAACGGAGAGCGTCCCGGTGGCTTCGTACTCGTTGTCGACGGCGCTGCTCTGACGGTCGCTCTCGGCGACGAGAAACATAAGCACCTGCTCCTGCGCCTCGCTATGCAGTGCGAGGGTGTCATTTGCTGCCGTGTGTCCCCACTTCAGAAGGCGCTCGTTGTGAAACTGGTGAAGGATGGTCTCGGTGCTATGACCCTCGCTATCGGCGACGGCGCGAACGACGTGAGCATGATCCAAGCGGCTGACGTCGGCGTTGGCATCTCCGGTGAGGAGGGTCTCCAGGCGGCGAACTCGTCAGATTATGCCATCGCGCAGGTGAGTGGGAGCATGTACTTGAGATTACTGATCGGTACTGATGACGTGTGTACGCAGTTCCGGTTCCTCAAGAGATTGATCTTGGTACACGGGCATTGGTCGTACGCTCGTAACGGCAATATGATCGTCAACTTCTTCTACAAGAACATCATCTGTATCGGCGTGCTTTGGTGGTTCCAGATCTATTGCGCGTGGAGCAGTTCATAGTGAGTGATTATCACGCCTCACATCCCCCTGCAGTGCTGACATCAGTATGCGCAGCGTATTTGAGTACACTTACCTCCTGTGGTGGAACTCGTTCTTCACGCTCGCTCCTGTCATCGCCATCGGTCTCTTCGATCGGCATGTCGGTATGTATATGTGCATAACTCATTCGCTGGAGCTGTTGGCCGACGAATGTCTTTTAGATGACCATGCTCTGATGGCTCTTCCTGAGCTGTACGACCATAGTCGCAAGGGCGAGTACTTCGGCCTCAGACTTTTCGCCATCTACATGTTCGATGGTCTCGTGCAGGTATGCGTCCTTCTCTCCTGTAGACTGAACTAGCAACTAACTTGTGCTTAGTCGGCTTTCATTTTCTTCCTCATATTCTACGCCTACTCAACGACTACGACTGCTCGTTCGGACGGATATGCCGTGTATCAATACGAGTTTGCGACGGTAAGTAGTTCACTTGCTATGTACAATCTTGTACTCATATGAAGGATAGGTCATGGCGATCTCTGCAGTCACCGCCGCAAACTTGTTTAATGGTATGAACACCCATGCCTGGACAGGCTGGGTGTTCTTCGCTGTGGCGCTCGGTCTGGTTCTGGTTTGGGCCTACACAGTAAGTTGCACTTGCTTAGTCGGTAGAGTTCGACCCTCATGTCATCATCTCAGGGGATTTACTCAGCCATTACGCCGGGATGGTTCGCCACGCCTGTCTACGGGAACGATCACTATTTATGGCCATCCGCCTATTTCTGGTTCGGCATTATTCTCACCGTCGTCCTCGCCTTGCTTCCTCGCTTCCTGGCCAAGGCATACAAGCAGTCGTTCGACCCGAGCGACTTGGACAGGGTTCGGTATCTGCACAAGTACTACCCCGATCACGATTTCTCTAAGGACAGGCTGCCTTCGAATCCTGGAAACGCGAAGGTCCAGCCGGCGTTAAGGCGGAAGACCACAAGTGCTAGTCGGCGCCCTTGGAGTAACAACCTCGCCGCTGGCAGCCGGACAGACATGGCCACTGGCCTCCAGTCACCACACCGTGGGTTCGACTTTGCCACGGAAGAAAATGGCGTGGCCCTGCAACGGATGCAGACCAACCTGTCCGAGCAGCAGGGCAAGCAACGCCTATTGTTCCGGCGACCAAAACGGAATGGCTCCATCCTGCAGACCTTCTCATTGCCGCGGTCACTCCGGCGGAAGAAGCCGCCACCATCGCGACTGCGCGAGCCCGCCGACTCGCCGGAGTCGGTGTACTCAAGACCGTAGAGCCTCCCGGCTCGCTTCGCATCGTCCGCGCCATGCTCCATGTCATGACCTTACGCTCGTTCCGTTTGTGCCAGTTGCTCATTTATCAACCGGGAAGTGTATCCATCAGTGTTCGACTACGACCCACTACACCCTACCACACTAATTTTCTGCTTGCCCCATCTGTTACACATCCTCACCTCATGATACCGCGTCTGCAGACGCGATGCCACGAACTCTCCGTAGCCTACCCCGCTTACTTAGACAGTGCATTTGTAATACCAGCACCACGCAATGACACACTGTATCTATTTCCCAGTGCTGAATATCTTAGTCGTGTGTTGGAGGCTACGATTATGGGAGCGCTGATCATACTATGTAAGTAGATGCTGTGTGCGTCACCTCATGCTGCTCATGATACGCCACCATCGGGTCGCAAACGTAACATCGCAGAGTGTGCATGAGCATGAGCAATCAATTTGTAGGTGCAATGGAACCCATGAGCCATGATACGACGAAATAACCAAGGGTATGCCAGCGAATTACGAAGACCGAATGTGCGCTATTGTACGATGCTAACATAGAAACGGCACCTGTTGCACCGGTCAGACGAGACAGCAAGGGATGCCAGAATTGCGTCGTTCCCGACGTGAGAGATAACCCAAGAAACCACGACGACAATGAGCGTGAATTACTCTGTTGTCGTGGTTGTAATAGTCGTTGTGGTCGTGGGTTCCGTCGTAGTCTCCACGCTCGTCTCCATATTCACTTCAGTCTTCACCTCCGTCTCTGTTTCCGTCTTCGTTTCCGTCGTGGGTGTTTTCTTCCGAGTCAGCGTCTCCGTCTTTTTCTTCTTCCCAATAACCTCCACCGTGCTCGTCCGCTTGTACGCGATATCCGCGCTTACATTCGCCGAGTCTGATTGTGTCCTCGCCCGTAGCTGTGCCCACGTATTTGATCCGACCTCCTCCTCCCAGACTCCGCCCTCTTCGTTGTCTTTGCGAAGGTCCTCTGGCGGTGGGCTGAAGATATGGTCCATGGATCGTGACCTAGACACCTTCTTACCGGGTGTTCCCGCAGGGAGGGGTGGCTGAGACGCAGCGCTGTCGCTGTTGGTGTTGGTGTTGGCGTCTTTGGAAGACTTTCGCCGGAACAGCGTCCGCGTCGCGCCCTTGACGAACTTGCCGATAGCGGCGAAGGCCTCCTCCGCGGGGTCCGTGCCGAGGTCGTCGTCCACCTCGTCGCGCAGCTCCGCTTCGGGGTCGTGCTCCCAGATTGGGATGGGCGGCGAGCCGTCCGCGGGGAAGTGAAGGGGGAGCTGTGTTGCGAGGTTGGGGTTGATCCCCTGTTCACGCAGTTGCCGGCGGATGGCCAACATGCGCGAGCGCGCGGCAACTCCGAGCGCGACATTGGACTTCCGGCGACGGGGCTCGAGGGCCGGGAGCGGGGCGAAGGAGATGTTCCCCCCGGGTGTGCTCGCGACGGAGCTGGAGCTGGAGGTTCTGAGGATGGACGCGCGAGTGGGGGTGTCCAGAGAGGTGGAGGTGGATGCTGAGAGGGATGATTCGGCGGACGCGGAGAGGGAGGACCTCGACGATTCGGTGCGGAGGTTGAGTGCTGGTGCCTCCGAGGTCACAACAACTGTAGCCATGTCGGGATGGGTGAGACAGCTCGGCGGAGGTCGATGCCGGCGTCGGAAAGGATTGGATTAGCGGGAAGGCTGGTGGGGTCGTCCCGAGAAGATTAGGACACTAATGAGCGGATAGGATTGGGCATCGACGAGCCTTCGCCAGTCGGTCAGCTCGTGCACGCAGGGCTGCAGACGGACCGCTCACCGTTGTTGGATCCGCTCGGGAGGGAGGGGCAGGGGGAGAGACGGGGCCTGGCGAGGAGGCGATGGACAGGGCTCCAGGAACACGCGCCCAGCTGTTATCCCCTTTCGCGGACTATGAAGTCACATCATCCTTACGTACTTACCTTCCCACACATGACCTATAGCTCTCCTACTGATCACCATACTAATCACTCTATACAAGTCGGCAAAGACTCTTGGAGCGTTCAACCATCCACCGCTTTGCAACCACTCTGCGCTGGCTTTGCCCATGGGCCCCCACTCAGTGTCTGCTCTATAGCCATCTGCTCGGAAAGCCGGCGTATCGTTCCATAGCTCGACTCGCTGGTGGATTCAGAAGCCGGTGTGTAACTAGTCGACCACCGTTCGTCCTCTTCGGTGTCAAATCCATGAATCATGAATGGCCAATCAAGCTCCTAGTCCCAGATTCATGCCAGTATGTCTAGCTCCCGGGCTGAATCACAGGCATCGCAATACGGCCGTAGGCGGTCCAACACCGCGCAGTCCCTCTACAGGCCACCACCACCACCTTCCCTTGTGCCGCTACGGTTTGGGGACACCAAAACGCTGACAATCTGGGTACACGATCCCAGCCAGCCGCCCGGCCCGAACGTCATCCTGAACCATGCACACTGGCCCGGCGTCGTGGAGGGGGATATGCTTGCCGACGAAACGTCTGGCTTTCTGTTCAGCGTACAAAAGGACGAGGCTTCTGCGAGGCAGCAGGTGAGCACATCATTATTTTTCTCTGGAGTATGGTCCTTATATCAATCAGCTATCCATACCACGACCTATAGCAGAGAAATTCGACCTGCGTAATCACGGGGAAGTGACCCTGACCAAGGTACCGACACATACGCTGCCCGCATATATCATCACTCTGGCTGAGGAAGTAGCTTAGATAGACAGGTCGAAGTACTGTGCTGACTACGTCGAGCTGACATTCCAAGACCAGTATTTGGGACGCAATGAGATGTGGAGACTTGGATCTCACCTTGTTGGACAATGCATCTACGTCCAGCAGGAGATTTCATTCATCGGGGTGATTGGGGCCAAGGTGCAGGCGATCTACGTCGACGGACGCAAGGTATGTAGGGATGAACATGCATTGTGCAGTGAACTGACATGACATTAGGTGCCCGCGGCCTACGTGACGCCCGCAACGAAGACACTGTACCGCTCATTGTCGGCGAAAATAACCATCTTCATCCAGGTTTGTCGAGAGCTTTGGCAGTTCGCCGGCGACGGTGAGCGCTACAACGAGAAGATCGTACATTCCTTCCTTCCCGAGCTATTCGCGCAGTGGAACGAGGCGAAGACGAATCACATCGTGACGATAGTGCTCATCTCACGCGTCTTCTATGACAGCTCCGAGATCGACTACGCAGCCGGGCCCCTCCGGCAGGACGACAGCGGACGGTGGTACAAGGACTTCTTCAAAGTCATCACCGACCTCGAGGTCCTGTACGACTGGAAGCCTACGCTGGTTGACCTGAAGACGTCCTTCTGGAAATTCCAGCGCGATATCTTACTTGCACACCATTTCCATCGCGCGTCCCTGTCATCTGAAGCGCAGCCTGAACAAGTTCGACTCGTAGGCCAGCTCTCGTACGCTCGCGATGGCCCGCTGCTGGAGGCTCTGAATCTCGGACTGAACCCTACGGAGACCCACTACATCGATCGCTCACTCTCTCTGACGGGTTCTTCGACCATCGTTATCACGCCTGGGACAGGTTACTTCCATGTGTCGAAAGAGCTCTTACGTCTGACGACAACCCGATTGCTGGACCAAGGCTTTGCGGTCGAACTTGTCTCGCTCGCCAAGCCCCCGCTGCACCAGAGCCCGATCTTCTCGTTCCAGGCGGTGGATCCTGAGCTGACGGCGGCAGCGGTGAAAGGCGGCCCGAGGGCATTTGATCCGCTGTGGGCGGACGACGATGCGTCGCGTGAGTGGGATGTGGAGAAGACCACGTTCTGGTGGGAACCCTTCTGGATGACTGTGTCGTATTGGGACAAGCAGATGGATCAGCCAATCAGACCAGACAGGTACGCAAGACGGAGCTTCAGTTTCCAGCGCAACTGATAGGGCTTTGTTAGATTCGTTGCACGAGCGAAGATGCACGAAATTGAAATGCTCGGCCTGCTTGACCACGACGTATTATCCAACATCGAGATCCCTTTCTTAACCAACCTCGTGCCGAATGAAAGCACTGGTCCTGTCACAACGGAAGACGCAGACCAGTTCGACTCGGATATCTTCTCGTGCGGCCAAGAACCTCAAGCCTCTTCACACATCCGGCGTAGTCTTACTCTCACCTCGTCTGGAAGCGGCACCCTCTCTCGAGCATCGACTGTACGCCTGTCCGGGAGCTTGAGACTGAACGCAGTCAACAGGGCTTCGACATCGTCTGCCTTCCCTTCTATCGAGGAAAGCCCACGAAACCCTCTCTTGGACCTCCCGGCGGAGGGTTTTCCCCGCGATGTGGAGAGCAGACTCCTGTCAGCAACGTCGGGCGGGTTGAGCACATCGCCTTCCCAGTCATCCATGCGATCCGTTCGCTCGTCTCACTCGCACAGGAGTACGGGTTCCGCTATGTCGTCAACAAGCCATCGGTCGCGATCCGGCAAGCCCCCGCTCCCGCGCGGCTCAACGAGCATGAAGTCTCGCTTGACCCCGTCATGGCTGTTCAACCCCTTCAGGAGCGGTATCAGTCAACCACAAACGTCTCCGGTGTCAATATCCACTAGTGGTGGCGGGAACTCCGAAAGCCAGGGCACATCTCACTCCAGCAACTCGTCGAACACCTCGACTGCCGTCCCAACGCCGGAAACATACTCTCCGGAGAAGAAGGCGATCCAGATCCCGCGGTCCAACTCCCTGCGCAAACGACCTACAGATGAAGAGACGTTGGTCTCTCGTCAGGCATCGCCGAAGCGGCTCTCCCCCCTGAACGCTTCTCCGCGCGACTCGTTCTTGGCCGGTAGACGGCGGACGATCAGCAAAACATCCACTCAGCTTTCCATTGCCCCGTCTGCACCTCTGCTCCGAACCAACCCTAGCAAACCAACCGCAGCAGTCCCGTACCCTCTCTCTTCCCTCGCACGGCGGTGGCAGCACCTATTCCCACAGCCCCTCTCCAAACACGATACCAAATGGAAGGCGATGATCATCCCGGGGTGCTTGCCGCTCACGACGGAGTTCTTCCCATCTATGTCTGAACTGGAGACGACGTACGACATGCACCCATATGACTTCGTGGTCGAACCGTCGGGGGTGCAGTCCTTCTTGGTGAGACCGCCTAGCATGGTGGGGAACGCGGACGACGTCCGGCGCGCCTGGGCGCTCGTAGTGATGCGCGGAATGGTCGCTGTTCGATTAGCGCAGGGCTTCCAGTTCGTGATACGGCCGCCTAAGTCCATCCAGCAACAGGAGGACGCTCACAACGCCCTGCGGCGCACGCGCTCCTATCTCGCTGAGGACGACATGAGCTCAAAACCGGCGGGTATCGCGGATGTTCTCAAGTCTGCGGACGAGCCGGTTTACCTGAGCATGAGCAACGAGATACATCGCATCGCGTATATCGGCGATTCTGTTCAGGTGCGGCGATGGGTGCGCACGATGCCGCGTGCGCGACCTCTGAACTACCAGTGCCTTATCTGGCCGAAACTTGGGGTCGGGTACACTGAGTTGATGACGTCCTTCGTCTCTCATGGACTAGAGAACTACGGTTGGAATAGGTGAGTTGCTCACACACTGCTGCTGTTGTACTAGGCACGCGTATCTTACGTTCTCGCCAGGCTTGACATGCTGGTTGCGGGTTACGAGAGTCAATTCAACGACTCGATACGCTATTGGCGAACTCGCTTCGTCGTCATTCCCACTGACGAGTCGCCGGGCATTCATTCCGGTCCTAATGGAGAGGAGCTCAACGACGAAGAAGTACGCCTGCTTGGTATCGATAAGCTCGCCGAGCTATTCTCTCGGGCCCGCTGGATCCCTCCCGAAGACCGTGGCAAGCCTGTCCCACCACTTCGATTCCTTACGACCGATCTAGATCCGGCTGCGAGCGTCCTTGACGAGTCTCTGACGGCGCAACTGGAGGAGATTCACGCTTCTGGTCCGCTACGCAAGAAGCCGAAGAGTGCCAAGGACATCAGCGATATGTCACTCGCCGTAATTGCGAAGGCTATGCGGGAGGAGGACGGTGTGCCTATCAAAGAACACAGATGGCACGGCCGGAAGTATGCAAATTCATTCACTGGTTCAGACTTCGTGTCCTGGCTCGTGCGCGAGTTTCGCGATGTTTCCAATAGAGAGCAGGGCACCGAGTGGGGCGCGAAGTTGCAAGAACAAGGCCTGTTCGAGCACTGTAGGGGGGCTCACGGATTCCTGGATGGGTAGGTAATTTCCCGGTTACATGGTGAATCCGGGCTGACGAAGGCGTAGGCACTACTTCTACACCTTGCGCGGCGAGTATCTTGTTCCTATGACTCCACGAGGAGGCGGTTGGTTCCGCGCAGCCCGTCACGTCTCGGGAGAAGAATCAAGTGTGAGGACTGCTCATTATCCTGGGAATGTGGAGAAGGGTTCGCCAGCATCTCGCAAGGCAAGGAAGCGTCTGATTTTCAGTCAGAGCATGGTGATAGACATTGACCCGAACAAGGTGAGAGTTTTGCTCAATTAGCCTTGGCCGTGCTAAACCGCGTTCTCAAACAGCGGAGTGACCAAGCGGAATCAGTGATCCTGCACCACGATATCATCCACAATCCTGCCACTTGCTTCCACTTCGAGCTGCAGTGGATTGGCACAACCGCACGGTGCATCGATGATCTTCTCCGTCAGTGGAGCCGAAGCATCGAGCGCTACGGGCTCAAGCTGGTCGAGGCTTATGTGACGCAAATCTGCGACATCCAGGAGCGTAATCCGTTCCAGTCCTGTTTCCCTCTGCCGCTGGCTGAACCCCCGCCGATTGTACCTGACTTCGAGAAGCGGGTAGCGGAAGGCGTGCAGACAAGGCATTACTTCGAGTATGCCATCCTCCGCAAGTTCGGCTTCGTGGTGGATATCGAGGCTGCATCTTTATACCCAGACTCGGTCGATGTCGTCTACTCGTACCGTCGCTCGCCCTTCAAATATTCGCAATGGGTACATCGCTCCGGAGTCGCCTTCGTCCAAGTCCTAGGTGGCCGGGAAGGATTCCTATTCCTCACCAATCGGTTAATGGCACCGGGCCGCCTTGGCACGGCTCTCAACCATCAGAGGCCTGCAGCTGCTGCTGAACACATCCGCATCAAAATGCAAAGGTTATGCTCCGACCGCGAGGCGCTACGTAGGTTCTACGAGGAAGAACTAGCTCAGCTACCCCCGACGCTTGAGGAACCTCCTCCGCTACGGATATGATTGTGGGTGTTGGTCATGTCGTCGGGTCTTGTAGTCATCACGTTGAGGACATCGCCTTTCCGAACACGCAGAATCCTAAGTTATCACGTCTGCTGCCAGATACATAAACCTATCTTACGCCCCAATGCCCGACTCTAGATTTGATGCATCGTACAACGTGCCATTCCGTATCGCTGGTGCCCAGACTTTCCGCAACTGGGCAGTTCTTCACTGGTGAGAGAATCGTAGTCCTCGTGCCATTTGGTCACTTTCGCACAGGCCATGTCTCATCACGCGGCTGGTGTCTATACTGAGTCTAGGATGGCGTGTGCAGTAATTTCTCAACTTCGATAAGCGACGGTGCTGCGATCCGACCTCTCTTATCTTGTGCTGAATGCCATTATCATATATGTCGCGATCGTGCATCGAGGGCGTGGTCCTTGCCATAATCCCTGAGCGCGCACGGCTCCGAAGCCGATCATATGGTGACCCTGTAGCTGCTCTGTCAGGCTACCAAAACCGTACAAAGTCTCCTCCGTTGTTAGTCGTGCAGACACACATCGCCCGCCAGATGATGGAGGGCAGTCCGACTGGTCTCGACCGGTTGCCCTATGACGTTCTCCTCCAAATTTCGTTCCTCTTACCTGCAACTGACATCATCCATTTACTCAGTACGTGCCGGACATTTCATCTGCTGGCCTGCGACGAATACATCTGGAAGACACTCTCAAAACGCATCGGTCTAGATGATATAACCGGTTTTGGCGGACGCTCATTCCGTACGGTTTACACGGGGCTCCTACATGCCTATGCGCCACTGCTTGGGCTGTGGGCCGGCGATCATCCATTCACGGGTCAGATCCTCGGATTTCGTCTGGATCTTGGAGGAGACGGACGTTCGCCTGGCATCGTAGGCGAAATATGGCGTTTCAAACCACTCGACCCGGAAGAGTTCGATGACCCTGGCGCCATACAACAGCCATTGTGCGTCCCGGCCCTTAGGATTGGCTTCGCCGTCCATGCATCGGATGACCAACCAGCAGTGGTTCAGAATACAACTCAGGCGATGGTCTCCTGTTCTGTCGACAGCTCGACGAGGCCGTCGCATCCCGCGCAGCTGACCATCGTATCGGAGACCACGGAGGGCATCTTCCTCCATACACGACACGGTCAGCACCAGCATCCTGCCTTTCCGCATCCCGCCTGGCACGACCACGCTCGTCCATTTCCCAAAATATCCGTAACACCGTCCCTGAGTGTGACGAGTTCTGGATTCCTTGACATGCCGTCCCGTCCGCTGGTACCTATCTGCTTCAAAGCTGCTACGGACGTTATGTCACCGCGCGCGATATCTATCACTTATGCGGGTGACTGCATCGACTCACTGGCACCTTTCCTCGGGTTCAAGAGCTCCATCCGGGACCCTCCTCGTTACTACCCACTACACACGCGGGAGGACTGTGGTACCATTTCGGCTGACGTCCGCTCGCATGCCGCGCACCTTACGGGTCTCTGGCTAGGCACTTATGGGCCTCACGGAACGGAGTGTCTCTTCCTGACTTACGACGACACGACCAAGTCGTTGCGCGCTATCAAAGTCACCGGAGACGAGAACGTGCCTCGAGGAGCCGTGAGTTGGGATGTGTCCACAGCTGAGGCGTGCCAGCTGTCGGGACAGGAGCGCGATCTTTGGTCGCGTACCATGGGCGGCGTTGTTCCGGCACATACATATCGTGGACAAGGAGCAATCAGCGCGCGCGGATACATGTACGTGTAGCTTGGGCATGCTTCCGGACGGTTTGCTGAAGACAATTTATCCTCGACAGGCCTCATCAAAGGATGCAGTTTGATGTTATCCTTACTGTTATTGGGCCGGACGAGTTGCGTCTTCTGTGGATTGACGACGGAGACGTCCTTGGCTTGAAACGCTATCGGGATCACACCGTGACATACTGCGAGCATGCCTAATTTATGCACGAATGCGAGGTTGTATAAGTATACTCGGCAGCTTGTGATCACGTGGATTTACTTCTGTTCCATGTTCCTTGACTGGTGAAGATGTTTGGAGTTCTTGAGGACAGGCGATTGAATGGTCTCGTTTCGGGAGGTGTAGAAGGTCTCATTCAGTTTCAACAGGCTCCTGTGATCCCGGGTGCCACTGACCGAAGGTTTACAAGAGAGGCTTATGTAGATACGTATGATGCCTCCAACTTGGTAGATTCACGGTGGCTGAACTGGCCTTCGGAGCGCTGATGAGCCTAGCCTGAGGATGTGGAGGATCGGAGCGCCGGGCCGCCATGCTCATTATGCCTCCGCATTTGGAATACGCTGTGTCATCCCCTCTTCGCTCACAACCGCCACATTAGACTATAGCACAGGTCAGGGCCTGATCTACGACTGCAACAAACAGACTCTGAGAATGCATTCTCAGGATATGCAGACATCTACCGAAAGCGCTGACGCCTTGAGCGCTGCAATCTCTGCATCCAGAATCGAACAGGCACCGTATGACATTCTGTCTGAGATATTGACCTTGCTACCTGCCACAGATATTGTCCATCTCCTTAGCACGTCGCGAACGCTTCGTTCGTACATCAAAGATGAGCGTATCTGGCGAACCGTCTCGCGCACATACGGCGTGACGGACGTCGCCAACTTCGGAGGCCGGTCGTTCTACACTGTCTACACGGAGCTACTCCACAAGCACGGGCCTCTGCTTGGCCTATGGGCAGGGGACCATGCATTCTCCGGGCATATCCTAGAATTTCGCCTCGACAAGGGCAATGAACACCGTCAAGCAAGCATCATCGGCGAGTTCTGGAGGTTCAGAAAGCCGCAGATGTTTCACATGAACATCGATCAGCCTCCGGAGCCACCGCGCTATATATCCGCAATCAGGATAGGCTTTCCATTGACACTTGACGATGGCGACGCACCTTCGAACGACGTCGCGCGGGTCACTTGTTGCGCACCGGCCAATGGTGCGCAATTGAACACGCATCGAGCCCATGTCCACCACGTAGAGCAGAGTACGAACGGCATCTTCCTGGGAGGCGACTTCTTCGTGTCGCTACTTCAGCACCCAGACTTCCCTCGGTCGAGGGAAGCCACCTGGCTCGACCTTTCCCGCTCACCAATACCCCTCCTTGCCGTGGCCGCACCCACCCCTGGCCGTCGGTCCCTCGGCGTCATCAACCCGTTCTTCGGGCTCGCATGGCAGTTTGTCATGTCAATGCATGTCGGTAACACAGGCGTGGTGAAACCTAGGGCGCTCTCGCTGTCATGCGACTCCGATTGCGTAGAGCTAGAGTTCCCGGCGCTCTCGATGCGTGTCGACAACTCGGTCACCCCGCGATATTACCCGCTTCGCAACGAGATCAGACAAGGAGTCGAGGGCTGGTCAAACGAGTGGAGCCCTGCGTCCCTTGCGGGCCTCTGGCTCGGATGGTACGGGCCACACGGGACCGAATGCATCTTCATTGACTGGAACGAAGATACGCATACTCTGACCGGCCTCAAGATCATCGGGGACGAGAACGTCCCGCGCGGAGTCCCGAGCTGGCAGGTCTCGACTGCTGAGCCGTGCCAGCTCTCGACGGAAGAGGACCTGCTTTGCGCGCATGTTCTAGGAGACCGTGTCGCGTGCAGGAAGTATCGCGGCACTGGTACCACAAGCGGAACGGGCTTCCTGTGAGTTTGATCTTATCTTCATCGGGTGTCGCACCCGTCGCTTACGCCACGATATGAGTCCTAGCCAGCAAGGCCACCCACCCATTATTGTCGCGGTCATCGGACCCGATGAGTTGGGAGTTATCTGGGTCGACGGCGGTTTCATGCTCCAGAACATACGATATAAAGGCAGGAAGTAGGGTTGAAGTGCGCGCGATTATGATCGCGTTGATTGACGGTCTGAGGTACGATTCTCGCCACTTCACGGTGATCGCACTTACATGATAGTTCTAGAATTGTATCTATATACCTGTTCAATGGCGACTTCCCGCTGTATGACTACCAGCCGCTCTGAATCCGTCTTCTCCGCGTCCGTGTAAGAGAGCATTGCTCGGCAGCGAGAGCGAGGTAGGCCAAACTTCACGTAGTGCGGTCCTGATACGCCATTCATCAAAGCAGTCGTTTCTATGGCTTGATCACAGGCAAAGGCCCCATATGTGCGAACAGGCCCCATACAGCAACGCAGCGATGCGTCGAGCTTCCCAAAACATGCAAACAACGCATCCGAGCGGGTTTCGAGAATATGCAGGTAGGTACAAACCCAGCTATCAGTTATATGGGCTCCACCGTTCACGCCGCCGATTAACAGTAAGCACGATACATGGTCCTGCACATCTCCTCCGCCGCTTACGCGGATTCTGTACGTGTTTTGTGAGCACTGACCTAGCGATTGAATTTCGCGGCGATGCGACACTCACACCTGACCACACTATTGTTACGACCGAAGGTTGACCGCATGGCACTGTACATGCATCAACAGAACTCATGCAATGCGCTGTGGGATAAAACACCCTCAAATATTCGTTTTGCCACACGACTGAACCACAATCGACCGCACGGGAAGCCGCATGTGTGTGTGGTCGTACTTTGATCTGAGACACATTGACTTTGGGCAGCATTCCTGCTTACCGTCTAGCGGGACGCCTGTAACATCACAACGCAGAGATTATGTTGGCCTTCTCATAAAAGCAGCCACTACCTGCAGATACAGTACGTCCACGACAGTCTTATCCTTCGTTGCACATCATGTTCGTGTTCACGCTCTTTGCATTGGCTAGCTATGCTGTCCTAGCCGTCACAGCTATGCCGAATGCCGTCCATCCTCGCGTAGGTAATCACAGTCCTCACGCTGCATCGACTGACTTAACGCACCACAGGCAACGACGACAGTGGACCCTTCTTGCCCGATCGTCTCCGTCGAAGTGATCACTCAGACGCTATCGGTCATCGCCCCGACTACCACAGGTCCCTTTGAGACTACAACGTTCACAGTGACTTCCTTCAGTTTCCCATCAGCCACTTCGACGGAGACAGTGGTCGAAGGGGATGGAACGACGCACACGATCACGTTTCAGTATATCAACGACGATGGACACCCGCCGTACCCCTCTGACTGTCACTGTACGTATTCGCCTTGCGATGCCGTAGGTGCGACGTATACTGATACTGAATTTAGTCACCTATACGAACATCCCGTATTGAGACTTGTGGTGGGGATACAGTGGGCGATGTAGGATGAGGGGGCGGGACGGCATATGGGCTTGCTTGGTACCTTGTAACGCATCACTGACCGTTAAGCGATGATGACTTGGAACGTCGAGAGGGCCTCACACTCTAGGAGTGAGATCTATGAGGTTTCAATGTTCGCTGCACGCGACTCGGGACATTATGAGTCTACAGTATCCAGACACGGAATTCGCTATAACTGCATGCGCAAGACTCGTTACACCGGTCCAATCAGGGCTCAGACGGCAAATGTCACCCTCCGAGTCGTCCGGAGAACGTGCATCTAGAGCTCGTACTCCTACATATGACCATACTATGTATACAGTAACTCTGACCGATGTCTATCCGCGCGCCGTATGCGTATCCACCTCTCAATACTAAGTAAGCTATATAGGGGAGGTTAACCAGAGACTCCGTAAAGTAGGAAATCGATGAACACCGCATTCGGCGGCTGGAATACAAGTACAGTATATACGCAGATCATAGACGACGCAAGCTTGAAGTCCCATATCTGTCAGCAAATAAGTCAGACCGAGAGCGAACAGACTTACCCTCTAATCGCTATCCTCTCGAGGTGCTCTGGCAGAGGTCCTCAGCGGACGCCAGCGCCATCCGGAACCTGACTTTTCCAGACGGCCTAGCAACATATGGTTCCCAGAACCGCGCCTGGGGGCCCTGAAGACCAATCCTTCACTGATCGTTTCTTGCAGATAGAAGAGCCACCATTTGTCGTCGACGCCGTCGAGCATTGATGGATGGCTAGGAGGGGATGCGCTCGTCCCCAGGCGTACTAGGGGCATCAAGGCCATACCATCGTCGGTAGACCATGATACGGCTGGAAATTGGGAGATCGTAGTATCCCTTTCCACACGTATACACCCCACCGGGGGTTTCTGCGAATCCACACCTGGTGGCAAGGGTGCGACGCCCCCGCCCACGTAGGTCAAACCCGCGCCAGTGACATAGTACGCCCGGCTGGGGTCGCCGTTGCAGTCCCCCCGATACGTGAGGTAGATTGTAAGAAGCGTCCGGTTGTAGTCATCGGTATTCTCCCCGTGTTCTTCACGAAGAGCAGCATATAGTGCCCATTGTGCTGTGTACGTGTAGAGCTCGATGAAGTCGCGGAAGAGTTCGGCGCGAACCTCCAGAGGCGGCACGCCTTGGGCAGCTTGTTGGGAAGCTACGTCTGGATCGGCGTCGACAGCCCGCCTCGTCTCCCTGCGCAGGGCGTAGTAGTAGTCGCACATAGACCTTACATTCACCAACAATGTGAGGCCACTGAACAGAATCCTTCCGGGAGAGTACTCACCTATGGGAAGGCCATGCGGCCTGCTGACAGGCTTTGCCACAGAACGCAACCATATGGCACCCCCTGCACACAGGAAAGTGTTCACCTTCGTCGGGAGCTGCCAGACAGTGATGACATGGAGATTTCTTGTCGCGAATGGGACCAGCATCGGCAGAGCGGAAGCGGCGACGCCTACACGGGGATAGCAACATAGTCGCTGCGCGGGAACTGCGTTAATTTGCTCACCACGCGGGCAGGTGTCGGGTCCTTAAAGCACTATGACGACTGTGCCCTCTGCTGCCTCAATTACATAAACGAGGGTATAGAAGGTCGGAGGGCTAGCCCGGGTCGCTGGTGCGACCTCTATCCTCATTCCATGGAATGCCCCTAACTAGCGGCACCGCATTAGCATTTGTGTCAACTTGACTGCATCCATAACTCACTTAAGGCTGGTTGGTCCATGCGGCTCCTTGGCAGCCCTACTGCAGTACGTCACCTCAAAGCGCCGTGCACACACCGAAAAGTCCACACTAGCCTCGTGCACTGTCGAAAAATGGCTGCACTGGGCACGAAGTTGTGGCGAACGGGGCCAGCCAGTGTCGGCAGCGCGGAAGCGATACCGAGGGGACGCCATAATCACGACGAAGGAGCAGTCCGACCGACCCCTGCTCTAGGTACGGAGTATTTGGCCATGGGATACCCATCGTTATCTCAGCCCAACCGAAATGGCATAGTTAGATGATTAACGGTGACGCCACCACTGTCATCTGGGGGAGAGCCCCTATGACTATGGTCACTCGTACCCTTTCGGGAGACGAGATAGTCGCTGCACGGCGAGTCAGCCAGTCAGATGTGTCACTTGCGCTCCAGATTCATTCGTCAGACCTGTTCGGAAACCAGAACTTAGTCTCCGCTCATCTTCGTCCGTCTATTAGTTCGAAGCGAATCGAGAGCCTGATTCAGGACCGTTATTCGGACCGCTATTTTAGGTTCAATCTGGGAGTGTCAATGAGATGCGTTGCAAAGGCTCGCGCATCCCGGCCATGGAAAATGAGGTGGTACTCACAAACCACGTGACCGTGCTGTACCGTGTGCGGCCTGCAGGCTGCAGGCCTGAGGCAGCAATCGGCAGATGCTTGAGAGAGATATGAAACCTTACTGTGTTATGACTTGCTTCGATCCCCACAGCCCAGAGCATATAAAGTGCATGGCTAGAGTCTCTCCGAGTCTTTCCGCTGAACACTCGCTGTCGCAGACACCGCCAGTGTCGTACTTCCGGTGTCCCGAACTTCTCCATCATCCTTGACATTAGCGGATACGCTCTAGCCCCCTTCATCATCTACAAAATTCAGAAATGGGCGCAGCTGGGAGCCTGCTTCCCTGGGCGGTACCTCCTCCACCGATAGTACTTCCGCCGCCGACATTCGCGTCGCTGCTGTTAACTCGCCGTAATAAATCCAGTCTTACCCCGGGATCTTAGAATTGACACTCACACATCGCGTATCGCATTTCCATCAACACAGAGGGTGCATTCATCGTAGCAGGCATCACATTGGTGGCGTCTGCCTTGGGTTCCGCGAGCGCAGCCAACGCAGACGTCCTGCGAGGGAACCCAGCCATGCGAGAGGCAGAGGAGCGCATCCGGCGGCTCGAGGAGGAGCTCAGGCGAGAGCGCCATGAGGGGCCTATGCGAGACTTTCTCAGGAACATCCAGAACACACGCGAGATCGAAGAGACGAGACGTCGCCTGGGGTATAAGGAGGGCATGATCCACTTCGCCGTCGCCGGGGTTGCAGGCAGCGGCAAGTCCTGCTTAATCAACGCGCTTCGAGGCCTGTCCAACAACGACCCTCGCGCTGCGCCCGTAGGCACAGCCGAGACAACGAGGGAGATCCACCGATACGAAGACTCAGACGTTGCGCAGAATCAGTTCGTGTGGTACGACATCCCCGGCGCGGGGACGCTCAACCAGGCCTCGGAGGTCGACTACTTCCGGAAGCAAGGCCTGTACATCTTCGACTGCATCATCTTGCTCGTCGACTCCCGCTTCACGGCGACGGACGTCGCTATCCTGCGATGCTGCAGTCAGACAAAGACGCCCGTGTACATCGTGCGCTCGAAGGCGCTCCAACATATCTGCAACGCCGCTGAGGACATGGTGGGAGATGGCAGGGGTAACGCGGATGGGTGGGATACAACGCAGCTCTGGGAGGCGGCACGCACAGGATACATCCGCGACACCAAACAGACCGTGGATGATAACCTGAGGCGGCAGGCCTCGACGACCAGCGCGTCTACATCGTGGACAGAAAGACGATGCTGCGGTTGGTCACGTCCCGGACGGAGCAGAGCCCGTCGGATCTGATCCACGAGGAGGAACTGCTAGTCGATGTCCTCATACAGATGAGCGAGCGGCGTCGGAACAACGCGGCTGCTCCCCCATCGCCCACGGGCCATTGAGGCGCACTGATTTGGCACGTATATTGTTAGCGTAGTTATGTCTGAGAAGAATGGCCCCGTAGGACATACATTACATACTAGATAATCGTTGTGTATTATCCCCACTCCCCTCAATCGCTATTCGTGCTTAGCCTGAGCTTAGCCAACTTGATGAGCGAGGCCTGCCGCCGTCGCAATCGTGACGGAGGGCGCAGTCGCACCGGATTCCGGTCTCTGCTTCCGCAGACAGTGGTCTCCTTGCATAGACCAACGGGTACAGACCCTAGATAGGCGCCGAATGCTGTGGGTCGAAACGTGCCTAGACTGCTGAGCGGCGAAGTACAACGGAGCAACAATTGTCTACCTGGAAGGAAGATGGGTACGGGCTGTCGTAAGGTCGGTCTTTGAAGCATGAAACGTGAGCATGAAATCGGCGGCCGTGCATGAGTCGGACCTGCCCTGTGAAGTGCCTGGAAAGAAGCATGAAGCAGGGACGCAGGGAGAAAAGCAGGAAGACGAGACGTAGTGGCGCACTCCGCGCGATGTATACACCCGGTGATTTCGATGGTTTCTCACCGAGGTCCGCGATCCGTTGTCACAGTGAAACAAGCACCGACAGTAACGGCATACCAGGAGGGTCTGCAAAGAGTTCACAGCGAGTCCGGCCATCTTAGGCGCCGCGGAGGACGCGCAACTTGAGCCATCCTCAACCCGACAAGAACGCCGCTGTGACACACTCGGGACGGTGGCGTTCAGGGGACCGAAAGGTCGATGTATGCGCCGTGTAGACCGTATGATGCTGTCCAGAACCCTAGTCAGACGGCATAACGGTGAATGTGTATGAGTTGTGGCACCGTGGCTGGGATACGAGGGACAACCACCTACAAATTCTCCGGCGCTAAAGGTCTATAGCGGCCCAGGCCATCTACACATTCCGCGACGACAACGAACAAACGTTTCGGAGTGATCAGAGATGACCGGGCTTAGAGGGGCACGATCGGGAAGGCCATCGAGTGATCGACGAATTCCAAATCCATAATGAAGGGTCCTCTAGTGGTCGGCGTGGAACGCGTGGAGGTTGATCTCCATCATGGATACGCTCCTCGGACGCCGTGCAGCGGCGAGTTAGCAACTGAGGTCGTCGACTGAGTGTCTGACGGGGCGCGACGCGAGTATATGCGACATGCAAAGCTGTAGGCCGTACGCTGTTGGCCACCAGATTGCGGGGACACGGCAAACCTTGATTCTTCAGTTCAGGAAGGCGCGAATTTGTAGTCCATACAATACTGACCATCAAAGGTTTGATCCTGAGGGTTACGACCTCCGAGGTTGTCGGGAAACGGAACACGCGACAGGCTTGTCGGCGAACGCTTGAGATTTTCGTTCAACATGGGTTAGAACCAAGACGACGGATCGGTATTCGGTGTAGCGGGCGTAAAACAACCACTCACCAATCTGCTTTCCTTGTTTTCATTGGCTGGTGACAGAGCCAGAGGAGATGGCCACAACCCGTCGCGGAGGAATATGCATAATCATCAAACAAAGTCCGTAGGTAAGTATCGGGAAGCGTGAGTCCGGAGCCCACACCGTCTCCGAAGGGCGTAGCCTTCGAATTTGGGAAGCCCTATACCAATAGGATGTCGGCAGGAGTTGATGGTACGGTCAGCATCGCGCGAGAGGTCACCGAGAGGTTCTGGTGAGGTCGATGTTGCTTTGTGAGCAGTACGCGTTGATCATGACCTATCTCGCCCGAACGCGCCACAGGGTCTTGAAGTTGTCGCACAAACGCCTCGCGAACGCTGGTCGCAGCTCCGCGATTCCCTAGAAGCGGCCGTCCTATTCGTTATTTCTCGCAGTCCGAAGTTCGAACCCACTTGCAGCGGACCGTATGCCCGCTCCAATCCGACTTCCGTGCCCTGTCACGCTCCTCGCAGAACCCGGATGATGCGTGCATTATTCGGAATGAGGGACTTCGGCGAGCGAGAGGGTTCGGAGATCGGTGGACGTGGATTCGTAGACACGACGGCATCGCAGCAAGCTCCGGGTGCCATGCCGCACGCGTCGAGGGTCGTCTGACTTGGCTCTGAGTCACCGCGCGTGTCTGACTGTGCCCGACGGCTCGAGGACGGGCATCGAACGACAACGAGGCGCGGTGGTATGATGATGCACGATCGCATCATGTCACGGCCGCTGGCCAGTGGAATGTGGGCGAACACAGATTCAGAACATGCGCCGCCGCGCCGTCACGGTGGGTGGCCACGCAGGCAGGCCGCCACGCTGACGACTACATACGCCGTGGATCCGAATCGCGTTGCACGAGCCCGGGGCGCAGCATCAGGATGAGTCGCCATCGCTCAGTCACCCAATCCACGCGCACACACCCATCCGCACCTGAACGGAGGCTTGCTGAGTTGCTCGCGCTCGACGCATCTCAGGCCGGCGGGACGCTGACCAACAAACCATCAGTCAGCCACATGCGCGTCACGCTTTGTCACTCTCCAAGCTGCTCACTCTCGGACTCCGTGCGGCTGCAAATGCATGCAGCAGGCCCAAGCCCCCCAAGCCGGTGTGCGCGCCCATCTGAGCCTCCCGCACCGTCCCGAGCTGCGAACAAGCCGATGCTGGATTCTCCAGCCGCCCGCATTCGTCGGCCGCGGACGTGCACAAGCCACCGGGTCGGAGAGGAGACGCGTTGGCCGACTCGACGCCGACGCGACGCGCAGCGCCGAAAATAGCGCGACGTGTCCCTCCGCATCTCAGATCTCAGATCACAAATTTATTGTGCGTCCGTCCGGCCCAGTCGGGTACCTACCCGGTGTGCCTCAAGCCAGCTGCCGTACCCCCGTGTCGAACGTTGCCGGACAAGACAAGGCAGAAAATTTGTCTGTGGACAAAGACAATTATCGTGTTGGGTTGTTGCGATCTAGGTACAGACAATGGCTAGTGTTACAATGCTGGCGCACCGAGCAGATGGTGTTGTACAGTACAGGGGCCCTCCGGGGGATTATGCAGTATGTAATGTAGAAAGAGGGGAGCAGTTTCTAGGGTACGATGAACAATGCAAGATACGAATGCGAGGAATGCGATTGAGCAGCAGTCTGCTATTGAAATGCGAAGACGAGAATAGATAGCCATAACGAGCGTGCTTCTCGCAGCGGCCTTAGGCGCTGCGCACTTAATTTTAGAAGTCGAAATGCGTGAATGAGACGGATGCAGGCTCATACGAGCACTTGCGGTGCGTACGCCGCGGTGGGCGGGGCGATACTCGGATGTACTTGCAGCGGCCGACACGCGCCCGACGGCCGGCGCTGGCGTGGCTGCGAAGCCGCCCGCGAATGCGAGCTGAAGTGCGGAAGGGGGAAGGAGTGCAGGAGCTGCAGCGCGGAGGACATCCGGTTGTAGCCCGAGCTACGCGGCAGCGCGGACGACTCGGACTGTGTCCGTTGCACCTGCTCGCCCTGATGTTGCTGCTGAGCGCGCAGAGCGTATTCTTGCTGCACCGCCCGTGTCTGCGGTCGCCAGTCGAGGTCCATCTCGTATGATGGTGGCGATGCATGGACGTGCGCAGCCGTGGGGGAGGGAAGGACCACGAACTGGGGCGCCGGGGCGACGGCGGGGGCGGACCCGAGTGAGTGCGCATGCTTGAGTGGGGCGGAGACGGGCGCGGGCGGGTAGAGTGTGTGTGCATCGGCAGGCGTGCGCGGCGAGGCGAGCGTGCCGGAGGACGTCGAGGCGTCCGAGTCCTGGTCCATGTCGACGTCGGTCGAGTCCGAGTCCGAGCTCCAGCGCGAGGTAGGGCGAGTGCGCGCGGGTGAGGGCGATGCACGGACGAGGTGGTGGGAGGGGTGCGCGAGGGTCATGATGGCGGCATGGTGCGCGAGGACGTCCTGCTCGGAGACTCCGAGTTCGAAGTCGAGCACGTCGAGGAACTCGCGCTCGATGCGGCCGATGTCGCGCTTGCCGAAGATACCTGTGCAGAGCGCCCAGTGCACGTTCTTCAGTGTCGAGTCGTTGGTGTACTGGTGGCGTAATTATCATCAGCACGCGTTAGGAAATGAAGGAGTAGGAGATATCGTACCTTGTTAGCAACAATGAGAGCGCCGAGGAAGACACGCTCGCAGGCCCACTGCTCGAGTGCAATCTGGAGGTGCGGCTTGGCGCGGTCGACGTAGGCAAGGGTAACGAGGAGGGCAGGGACCTTGATCTCTGCCTTGCGGATCACCTCCGCGACGAAGTTGGTGAACTTGGCGTGTTCTGAATGCCGCGACAGGGAGCGTCCTCGCGATGATGACGAGGGACGACCCAAGGCATAGTCGACAGTCTCGACGACGGTGTCAACGATGTGCTCTGTGGCAGATGAATGAGTGATATGATCATTGTGGCGGAAGAGGGAGAGACGCACCGATGAAGTTACGAGACAACTCGATCTTGATGAGCTGGAGAAGGGCAGGGTTGTGGAGGGAGGGGTCCACGAGGGAGGCTTTGTGCACAGGGATGGCCATGAGGGTGAGGAGGAGTGAGTATGGGACGGGCCAGAGAGGAGCGGACTCGGACGGGGCGCAGTGGGGACATGGCTGGAATGGGATGCTGTATATAAAGAACGGTGGGCTGGCCGGCGAGGCTTGCAAAGCGGTACGATCTCGATCGGCGCCGCAGGCCGCAGAGATTGCATGTTGCGGGAGTAAGCAGCCGCCTCGGACTCGGATGACTTGCCTCCTCCGTCACACAGGCGCCCACCGTCCGCCCCCAGCGCACATCCGCAGGCGCCCGCCGCGTCACCCAATCGGCCGTCCCGCTCCATTTGGTTGCCGATCCCCTCCCGCCGAGTCACGCCGAGTCACCCTCACCGTCACCCCGTCACACCCGCCCCCGCCGTCCTCCCCCGACGCGCCCATCTCGTCCATTCGGATATCCTGCCCTCTCTGTCCCGACTTCCGTGTCCATGAGACCCTTCGTCGGCCGTGCGTGTCTGGAGCCCGACAGCGGCTGGACCGAGTCCGATGTCCCCGTCTGGGCTCTTGTCACCCAGCTTCGATGTGCACTTCGCGTGCCTCGCCCAATCTGGAATTTGCTGCCGCCCCCAACCGCCAACCCGGTGATACTCCTAGTGCTATTCGCTGACATCGCCTATCGTGCTCGCCTTTGCCTGCTATCTATCGCACTCTGTGTAGCGTGGAGAACGTCCTGGTAGCGTTCCAGGCCTCCTGTCTGTTTCTTTCTCATGCTCCACGCACCCGAGTAAGTCGGAAACGTTCGAACGAACCTCATCCGCCACGGAATGACGCCGTCACGCCAGTCCTGTCATCCGATGGCCGTTTAGACCATCCCACCGACTGTCTTCCAGGCCCTCCGCATCATGGTGGACGTCCCATCGACCATTCCATCTGTGACCAGGGCATCGTACAGTCCACCTAGTGATGTATCTACCGCGCGTACGCATTTTCCAGTTATGCATGCATTCTTTCTCCTCTCCGTGTCTGCGCCGTAGCTTCGCGTCCTTCTGTCAGCTTGTCCTCCATTCTCATCTGCGCACAAAGGCCCCCATCCCGATTTCCGCGGTGCACCCAATTGGGCACCGACCTAATACCACCTCCCTCGGCCCCCCGCCGATCCCACAGCAGCCTTGCCCAGCCTAGGGAGGTATCTCCGCGCCACAACTCTCTCCCGCCCTCCCCGTCCCAGTGGCACCCGGCGCACGCCCCAGCGTACCTACCGATGAATGTCCTACGTCCACTATTCAGATCACTGTCCCTGTGGACCGTCTCTCTCATGTGCCGCGGCGCCGCCGTTGAGCGGGCCTGTGGCGATGATCGACGTGACTTGCCTTCTGCCTTCGGTTTCGCCGGCGCTCCTGGTCTGCGGTCCTCCGAGTCGGGCAGCGATCGTGACAGACGTCGGGATCGCTGTTGTGACGGCGAGCCCGCGGAGGTTATGCACGTATGGGGCAGGTGCACCTTGGCGATGCCGGAGGCAACATGTGTCCATTGATCGTGCATACTACTACGTGTATTGATGCATTTACAATGAGGTCTAGCGATTCCTGTACCGTTGTACGACACTTATTTGACACCGGCTCGTATGGGCGCAGTTGTTGCGTGGCCTCCGTGTCACGGTGTTGCGGTACTCGGTGCGGTGGTCCGCTATGTGACCTTTTGAGTGCTCGTCGATCGCACGCACGACACACCAGCCATTGTAGTCGGTGCGGATGTTTCCCAGCCGTGTAGGTCGGGGCGGAATAAAACACGTTTTATCTCGCCATTAGTTGATCGAGCACATCGAGCGGCGCTGGATGTGACGCCGGACGATAAGTAGTCGATGCATAGCAGACCCTCCCTATGTTGACGACACTAGAAGGTGCGGGTTTTGCGAGACCGGTGAGTTACTAAGCCTGCTCATTATGCTTCTCGTCGGCTTGTCCACCCAGCGATGATGCGGTGTAGTACTTTGATGTTCAATCATACTAGTCAGCTGAGACAACGTCACACGCGCGTCGACCTTACTGTGCATACTACCCTCTGCGACGGGTGCTACCCACATTCGCTGCTGCCTCTACGCTCGCCCGTCCGAGCCGCGTCGGACTCGTCGCAGGCCCGCAGGCTCCCGCAGGTGAACGTTTGAACAGCGGCAGGCACGGCGGCGGCAGAATGATTTTGGTAACGGCGCCCACAACGCCATTTTGAGCGTGGCTCAGATCGCCTAAGCGCCCACGTGCGCCATCTCATCTGCTCCCACATCCGACGTCCGGGATAGTGAGCGTATCGCTCGGTGCTATAGAAAAAGGTAGCACGAGGATTATTTTGACATAGTTCCGCCATCCGTCTTCAACCGAAGGCATACAAACTACAGACCTCAGTGTAAAGCCTATTATAAGGTACTCATCGTAGGCCGGCGGTTAACGCAATCTCATCGGGGGTATCGCGATCTCCTCCACGTGCGCGAGGCCGACGCCTGAGGCGCCCGCTGTGCACTGCGCCGCGGTCGGGCAGGATCGGGCCGCAGGCACATACACCGCGCATGGCGCCGGCGCGACGCGTTCAGCTGCGAGCTGCGTCCGCGTCACGGCGCGCGGGCGACACGTCCTGCACACGTTGACAAGCGATCGTGTCATTTTGACGAGTCCTTCCAGGACGTTCGCGAGTGTGAGAAGGCCGATGCGTCCTGGCTTCGCTCGGAGTCTTGCTAATAACTCAGTCAGCTCGAGCTGAGCAAGCAATCAGTCAACCAGCCCCGCTAACCTAGCATCAATTTCCCCAGCCCGCTCGCGCATCCATACACACCGATTGCGAGACAGTCGTCGATTACTCATCCTCCTCGAGTCAGGCCGCCCCCTCCGCCAGGTGATCGCCCAGACCGGGGAGTGATACGAGAGGGTGATTCGAGAGGGTGATTCGCAGCGAGTTTGTCACATCAGCGCTTCAGCGATGGTGGCTCGGCGCCAAACCGCCAAGTCGCATCTCAGATACGGATCGTAGGAGGCGCGCGGGCGCTTCGCTGTGCCCTCTGCGTGCGGATGTTGGAGGACACGCCCGAGGTTTACGTGGGGCAGGGGAGAGATAATCAGTATCTGGGCCAGTTGGTATGAAGATCTTACCTGCCGTGGGTACCGGCGAGCATCTACACCGAGACGGCATCGAGGTGGCAGTGGTCTACCTAGGTCTCCTCGGTGAGAGCATCCCAACATTAATACAGCCAGCCACATATGCAATCGAATATGTCCACTACAGTGATTCCAGGGGCAGTGATGTGACATTCATGATGTGACAAACATACAATGGCTGATTACCTTACGGGGGACTGCGCGAGGACGAGTAAATCTATGTAAGTACAACCTCGCAAGAATGGAGACATCATCCGCATGATTGCGCACCGACACGCATGATCCTACACCACACCGACACGGGCTGCTTCAAGTGTCCTTCTGGGAACAGTTGCCGGCGCAACGCCATCGAGGAGCTGAAGCCTGGGCCTTGCCGTCCACATCCATCATCCACTCGGGTCCATCACGCACCCAGCAACGAACCCGACAGCGACAGCGACGCCATCAGCCGTCCGCCCTGGCCGAAATTGCTATCTCGTCGGACACACAACACGTCGTCCCCCGCTTCTCGAAACGGTAAGCCCACCTCAGCTCGCTTCCCCCGCCACAGCAAGCCCAGAACGCGCGAGACTGCCGCCGCGACCTCAGGCCTCAGGGCCCGCCAGCACCTGGAGCAGGCGTCGCGCTAGCACTCCCGACGTGTGCGGTCTCCTTCGCCTTGCCCTTATTCGTCTTGCTGCCCTTCGGTCGCCCGCGCGGCCGCTTGCCCGTCGGCTGGCCGTCCGCACCCGTCACATCTTCCGCCGCGCGCTTGGTGGACGTGATCGTCTTCTCGGTCTGGAGGCGGAGTTCCTTGAGGTACCTGCACAGAAAGACGTCAGCTTGACGGGGTTCCGCGATGGACCCGGAGCGAGCCGCTGCGTAGTGATGGGAAATCGAACGTAGATGGCAATGGGAAGAAAAGCAGGTAAGGGTGGAGCTCAGAGGGGAGGAGTGCAGCAGGGGAGGGGAAAGTGATGCGAAATGAATGTGCGGAACGATTAATTGAGTGGACACTGACTGTGCTGACTTCTCTTCTAATGTTTGTTGCAGGCTAGGCAGGGGTGACTGGCCGAGCTCTTGTCGCAGCCTGTCGACGTCCGCTTTCGCGGTGGCGTAGTCGGTGTCCGTGAGGGCCTGGATTTTCTGACGCAGGTCCGCGCATCTGTGTTGGGGTGTGAACGTCAACAGCCGCCATGACATTTGGGGATCTGCCACTGCGGAGGCACGAACAGCAGCCAAGCATGTGGCGAGACAGGACAAATGGTTGGGGACACCATTGAAAGGCACACGATGGATGGGGAACACAACGAAGACGGTACATACTCTTGGTTCAGTTTCGCTTCGGTCATGTCCGCCTGAGGGATCGGAGTAAACTACATGGCCGTGAAACAGACATAGAACAGCGTGCCTTGTCTCGGTCTTCGTTCACCTGAGGAAACCGGTGAGCCACATCAGACTGTAGACAAACATAGCAGTGAGGTACGAACCTCGCGCAGGCAATTAAGGAGTCTAGCCCTCTCGCTCTCCAGTCTGTTGACCTCATCCATCAAGCAAAGACCGATGACAAGCCGGAGTGGCATCAACGCACTTGTTTTTCTGCTCCTTGACATCCTGAATTGCCTTCTGCTTCTGATCTAGCGATGCGTGCGCCGATAGTATGTGCGCCGTGTGGAGCTGAAGGGTGAGCGCATGTTTCCTGCGTGACAACGTCAGCGGTTAGGACGATACGGCGACGGGGGGCGCAGGACGGGGACCGCGGTAGCTGAGATCGCATGTTCGCATTCGGCAGTCGAAGTCAGCAGCGGAATGACGAGTGATACCTGCATCGCGCAGGTTCGGGAGACGCGAGGCGTGCGCCGGACGACGAACATGTGCAATTGCAGTCGGATCATGGCCCCAGCATCCAGCACCGATCGCGACGGCGAACGCGTCGCCGGTGTTGAGCGGGCATGAAGGCATCCCGTATGGACCCGCTGCGGATTTTGGCCGCGCAGATGGACGAGGACGGAAGCGGGTAGGATAGAAAGGACACCCGGAGAGACTCACTTGAGCTCTGCGGTCTTGGCGAGATGGACGAGGTTCTTTGTCCAGTCGCCGCTTGCGAGGATGGGCTGGGAGGAGGAGGACTGGGAGGAGGACGCTGCAGCCGCGCCGGTCGCCATCGCACGCCCGTCGGTGTGTTTTGCTGGGAGAGCGGACGAGGGTTTCTGGGGTGACCGCATCAGCATGCCCTCCGGTCACCGTGCCCCCGCAATTTCCCCCGCCCCCTCATTGGCTCGCTCCATGCCGGACTGCCTCTCTGGGCTTCCGACGATGGCCACCTCGTTCAACTGTCCTTACTCCAACGTCTGCGACGGCTCTACAATTCGTGCCTACTCATCATGTTGCGCAGTGCCCTTTTCAGGTAGATTTACATATGCGACTCAAAGGAGTCTGAATCGTGGCAACCGACGTGAAGTACTGCTCTCAGGCTCGTGTTCTGCGTGCACAGAAGTTGAGATTGGCCCTCTCTCAAAGGCTGTTGACACCATGTTCCGCAATTGTCGGGACAGGCGGCCGAACGATGCGGTATACGGGTCATTTTCATCCAAGCCGCGGGCTTCTGAGGCGGAGAAATTGCCCTCGGTGACGACTCTTACAGTAAGTGGGTTGCTGTGGTGTGTGAAGCTCCTGCATATTGACACAATACTGTTGTTCCATCATCCAGGTATGCAATATACGTTGACGTGATGAGTCTTCGCATGCCGAGTGCACAATACACTTCGTAAGCCGTTCCTGTCATTCGCCCGCTGGTGGGGTGTTTCCCCGGGATCTGGTTACTATCGAAGCGCGCCGAAGAACGTCCCTTCTAATAGTCACTCGCACAGAAGAGTATACGTATATATCGTCCTGGACGATTGGGTTCTGAATCGCATGTTTGACATACGACCTGTCCGACGACCCCTGCGCTACTATATTGGAACCCTCAATACTCAATGGCCAAGTTTGGGCCAAGTCATCCTTCAGGCACATTAGCAACGCTCCTTCTGATACTGCACTCATGCCGGAGGTGGTCAGGCGGTCCAGCGTGACAACTTTCATCCGCATCCGCATCCAAGTACGTCATTGTTGACTGTCTGGTTCGTCCCCCTTGGCACCTCCGTATTTTATTCTGCTAGATGTTCCAAGTCTAGCAATGCTTCCGCTAGGTCAAACACCGATGCATAATCAATGGTAGGTTAGATCAATGTGAGGCATGTTATCTCATTTCCTTGAATCGTGCTCGACTGGGCCTGATTGCAACGACAGAATCTCGTCCGGCTGCGCTACCTACCTAGGTCTGTGCACCCTGATATGAGGCTCAGAACGATCCACGCGCCTGACCCACTACACTATCCTCCTTGGAAGACACCGAGCCTGTGCGCGGATAGGAGGCGGGCCCGACAGGGTGGCGGGGCAGCGCACATGAGCGGTATGTCATATAGGGGCCCCACATACCTCTGGGCGCCAGAGCGACCTTCCCGCCTGGATTAGGCCTGGCACCGGCATCGCACAGCTTAACTAGTAGGTCGCGGACGAAATGGCTTTTGGAGCCATCATCGGTTGTTCCCATGTCTTCCTCTCAGTCTCGCGTTCGCGCTGCCGACGTCGCGTCGGTTAGCGGCAAGGCACCTTCATGTAGCTCATGCCGGCTCGTGCCTAAGGAAGGTGAACACTACCTCGTCTGCAAGCGCTGCAAGCGCGCGGCGTATTGCAGCCAGGCCTGTCAACAAGATGACTGGGAGTCGCATAGGTGAAGTGTCCAGATTGTACTGGTGTTCACGTCGTCTTACGATCCGTATGTCATAGTCTGCCCTGTTCGGACGTCGCGTACAACACGGAACGCGTGCGCACCATACGCGTAGCGTCACAATCGACGACTACTGCAGATGCATCACCGGCCGAATCGCGACTCCATCTCCTGGAGCACTTCGCCGACGCTCACAAAAGGATAGTGCAACAGATCCTGCCGGTCGCTACGCATCATCGGGAAGGATGCGGGACGTTCGACTACTCCGGCGAGTATGTTGTGATCAAGCTCTCATATCGGGACGATTGCGGCGGCGACCCAAGTCGTTCGTATCGCGTCCACTCTGCCGAGTTCCGCCCCCAGTCCGTCACCTGCGAGAGGTACCCGCATCTACGAGGACGCATCGAGCAATGGTACGGCTTGAAGGCGGGCGAGTACCAGGCCAGGAAATGCTTCCTCGGCTTCGTGCACATCCTCTGGGTGACCGACGGCGACGACTTCATGGTGTGGCAAGCGCTGCCCGACTACGAAGTGTCGCCTCTGCAAGCCAGTGCCATGCGCCAAGCCGACGGTAGTGACTGGCTGGCACCGCTGCGGTGGGCGGCGGAGAATGGCTTCGTGTACAGACATCCACGTCCTGGATTCCCCTTCCCTCTGATGGGCTACCTGAAGAAGAAGGGTGTAGGATGGCAGTGGCAGCCGTTCTCTCACGCTCAACTTGTTGCGATGGGTAGTGACGGTGTCGCGCTCCTGTAGAGTAAATGGTACGTAACTCCCAGTCTAGTCAATATGGGCTGCAATAATGAGATCATTTCAGGCTTCCCTCTTCCTTACCTTCCGACCCAGTGCACTTGGCGCTGCAGGCTACACGGCTCGGGTCGTATTAGCAGTTGACGTGTGTTGTCAATGCATTGGCTTGCAGCAGGAGTCGATCTCCACACATGTGCGAGGCAGAAAAATCATAGCCTGTTCAGTGGTCAGTGGTGAACATCGCCCAGCAGAAGCAGTGCGTGGGGAAGCGGGATGACAAGTGGTTGCTCGCGTTTGACTACACTAGGACCGTGGTGATACCGTCCATCTTCCGTGTATTTGCACGGTTTAGTACAAAGTGAGTAGACGAACCGAGTCTGCCTGAATGAGATTGGTTCGAGGATGTTCAGTTTCCTGTCTGCAGTTACGCTCTAAAGCTGATGCTTTAGCGTTCACATGCGCGTCGGTACGACGATGAAGAATTCAAGAAACTCAATGCTACTGTACAAGACTACATGAGGCATTAACTGCGACGAGTCTCCAATACAAATGCCAGCAAGATTAGTGAGACACATAGAGCTGGAACCCTGTTAGCGCAGAGCTACGAGACGAATCAAGCCGTCGTCGACCCTGCTGTAATCAGATTCTAATACGCGCCTGCGACGTACGGCTTGGCATATGTCTCCCAGCAACTCCCATTCGTCAAACCTCGTGGAGACACCGCCCCCCGAGCCATTCCAGAGCATACCTAACAGCCTCCGATACATGCTTTGCCGATTTACCGAACGACTCTTGCGAGCCTCGAATGGACTGAATTCGGCTGGAAGCTGGGCTTTGCCTTTCATGACAGCAAGTAGAGTCGACTCTTCGATGAAGTAAACTGACTGCGCAGGAAGCTCTGCATCTTTCAGCGCCCTGTCGACAGCTGCCTCCGTTGTTCGCATGTAACTCGTACGAGCTGTATGCCACAACGCTGCCTCTTGGTCCGGTGAAAAGGCTTGCTCAGCCTTCGCACGAGCATCGTCAGGACCGTCGGGTTTGCTCGGCCACATGATGGCACATACGCGGTCCGTATGCGCGCCTGCGCAGACGGTGTAGACGGGTATATCGAAATGCGCGCAGCCCCGCAGTATAGCGAGGTCCGACTTCGCGAAGCAGCCGTCCTGGTCAAGCACGACTAGGATGGCGTCGAAGAGGAAGAGCCCTCCGTCGTTGAAGTATTTCCAGCCCGGGACCGGCAGTGTCTCCGAGCTGGGGACAACGTACCAAACGACTGGGACGCCAGGAGCAGGGTGGGGATAGGATGGGAAGGCCGTCTGGCTCGCCTGAACGCCAGCTGTTGCAGCACCTAGGCTGTCTGTATCCTTTCGACCGAGGAAGGCCTTCAAAAGCGAGTATTTGTGACTCCCTGCGGCGCCCGTAATTGCGATATGAACGGAGCGTTCCTGGTACAGCAAGCGTGCCTTGGCGGCGACAATCTCGTGCTCGCTGGGTACTGCGATAGGCCTGATGGTCCTAGAGGGGAGAGGATCATAAATCCCGTCCCATCGGTTCTCGGGCATCGTTCTCTTGGGCCTTATCCGAGTTTCCTCTGCCAGTGCTCTCATCCTCCTCTGCGCCCGTACTTTCCGCGGCGACGTTATCCGTGCGCCGCGCCCTCTGGCTTGTTCCTCAATGAGATCCTGCAACTGCATCAAGGTAGGATTTGGGCCAATCCGTTCGTTATTCTTCGCATCGACGATGGCTCTGCTGCACGCGCTACCCATTCTTCCGGATTGCTGTGGAACCAAACAGAAATTGAGCCGTTGCATATTTAGGAAACCAGCCACAAACGTACCGGATGACGGTTCTCACTACCTCGACTCGGAGGAATGAAAGGTAGCTCTTGGAAAATGGGATAGTATGCGGGCTTGGAGTTGGCCCACTTATATGCACACGGCCCGCAGGCATATCAGGGTTCAAACTTTGTTTCGAATGCCCGAATCGTGAGTGCAGCTACCACACAGGGAGTGAAATCCCAGATGTTTGCTATCCGAACAGCTATCAAGACGAGAAGATCAGTCATGCGACCCTCGCTCACAACCTCGAGGACATCTATCTCACCTTCACGGTCGCCTCAGAAAACGGGGCATGGTACATACCTGGTAGTCCCGATTCAGAGGCCGAACAAACCACGATCGATGTTCTCGGACTCTGGCTGTACCACGATGGGGTGTATCTGTAACGAACTCAGGCTCAAATGCATCGATCCCTGTAACAAGAGCTAGGTTCGAGACGAACCCCTCGCACGTGAACGTGGAGGGTCTTGTGGCGAGACTAGAACAAGAGCTACTCACTATCATACACTGGAGTCTCACTGCGATGGATCGGTACAACATGATGAGCGACAACATCAAGCACGATATCAGCCTAGTTGATTCACAATCCCAGATCATCCTCGATGACGCGCCTCCGACGTGCGTCACCGAGCAAATCCTGCAACAACACCCACTCATCAAAGTCATCGTTACTGGGCCCGCGTTGCCCCTTGACGATCGAGTAAAGGTTATCCTTGTCGACGATGTACACCCGCTGATCAGGAAGGCCTGCCTCTCGCAGGTTCTTCTTGACCGTGTTGCGCGTGTCGCGATCGTACTGGTCGCGAGCCTCGCGACGTGCACCGCGACCAGTCTGGCCAGTGGGCATGTCGTTCAAGACATTTGAGACTTGCTGGTGCGCCTTTGAACGGGCGATGTACGTGGGTATATTGAAGAGTTTGGCGTTCTTCAATATCGCCAAGTCCACCTCGGTGAACCGATTGTCGAAGAGCACGACGATGGCATCGAAGGCGTACAAGGCCTGATGTATGAAGTACTGATCGCCTGGTACGCGTAGCGTCCCCGCGCCAGAGAAGTCGTACCAGACGAACGGGTTGTCGAGATGGGGGTCGCCGTATCGCGCGAGAGTCATTGTGGTCTCGGACGTGCCAGTCGGAGCCGCACCTCCGTCGCTATTCTTCTTGCCGAGGAAGGCGTTCAGGAGCGACGACTTGCCGCTCCCAGCAACACCCGCAATCGCGAAGTGGATGTATCCCTCTTCGTACTGCAGGCGTTGCTTGGCGGCATAATACTCCTCCGCGGTTGGTATACTGAGAGGTTCGATGGTCCTTGGACGACGCTGCCCCGCCATGCGTACCATCTTTTCAGCAGCAGTCCATTCCTCCTGCTCCCGACGAGCCCGTCGCTGCTCCTCCCGAGCGTTCATGCGTTCCTGCCAGAGAAACTCCGCATCTCTTTCAGCCTGCCTAGCCCGTCGCTGCGACTCTCGTGCATTCATCCGATCCTGATAAAAGCGTTCAGAGTAGTACTCCTCTGGGCCCCACCGTCCAGCCTTGTTTGATTTTGCGTTTTCATCCATAAGGTCCTCCATATCTTCCATGGTAGGGTTTCGCTTCGTTTTATTGAGGCCAAACGCCGTGCGGATAGCCTCGAAAGACGCTCTGACCGCACTCCCAATCGCGCTGATTGCACTGCCCATGTCGTTTGCTACGGAGATGTACGATGATCAATACGCTCTGAGCAAAGCATGACATACGTACCGGTCGCAGCAGGCTACGGTGGTGTTGCACGCAGTGAGTGAGGGAGTAGAGATGGAATGATAGCACTGGGAGATAGAGCCGTCTGTGTACAGGCCCCGCTGGTGTTCTCGAAGCATGTAGGCATGTCGGAACTTTACCTGTGACTCATCATTTCATCTCCCCTGAAGGTTTGTTGCAGAGCGCCTGCATAGCGATGCGAATATCCAAACTCATACTTACAGTCGCCGAAAGTCTGTCGAGAACCTCACGATAGCGTAGAAAAGATGCAATACACAACAACCTACTACACACTTTATGCGATTTTTACAGTCTGACGCGGACGGTGACGCAACTCCTGTCAGCTTGGGGTGCCTGCAGGTAGATAGCGGACAACTGACCTTTGCATACAGCGAGTCCACTACCTTTCCAACCTGCTCAAGCGTCTCAATCGCCGCCCCATACGTGTTCTGTACCACCAGACTCATGAGCAAGAACTCCAATACTGGACGGAAGGGAATGCTCACGTCTGCCTCTGCCTCCTCGAAGACGATCAGGCAACCCCTGCCCTGGTCCAGCACGCCGTGAAAAACCTTGTCCAGGATCATCTGCGAGAGCTTGATCTCCACCGCCTGCCGGCCCTGGCCGACCTGCTGTGCGACGTACTCCACCTCCACGACGCTGTACGGCTCGACGATCCGCAGGAGGTTCTGCTCCAGCAGCTTGTCGTACAATGCGCTGAGATGTGTCCGGATTGTGGGGTCGCTTGACAGTTCTGCGTGTATTGTGTCACCATGAGTGACGAAGAAGTCGGATAGATCGTTGGTGAAGCCTTACCTTGTTGGTAGTCTTTCAGAGCTTTCTCGAACTCTGCGAGGTTGCGCTGCTGATGTGCGCGCGCGACGGCACGCATACTCTCTACGTCCCTGAGTTGCGCATACTTCGCCGCGAACTTCACGCTCAGTAGCGCCGTCACGTCTTCAGGCTAATCGTCATAGAGGGAACTCAGTCCATCATCCTTGCCTCTCACTTGAAACTTCTTAAGACGTACCAAGTTCAGCATGATCTTGCAGAGGAGCATGTACTTGAGAGCGCCGAGCGCGCCAGGGTCGTCCTGCGAGCTGAGATTCTCAAACGTCTCGTAGAAGTAGGAGTATGCGGTGGTGTAGTCCTTGTCCTCTGCGTGAAGGATACCGGACTGGAGATCGAGCCGTGCCTGGAGATGTGGTGGGCAGTAGATGGCGTTCGCCGCTGTCCGCGCAGAAGTGAGGGCAGCCTAGACGGTATGATATGGCACGTTAGAACGAAAGCAAGCATTGGTCAAAACATCTACGCGCCTTTGCCTTCGCAAGGTTGCCAATACCGCGGTACACTCTGCTCTCGAGCAGGTGTACCTCCGTGAGGATCATCTTGTCGTCTAACCGCTTCAGCTCCGTGAGCAAGGTCTCGATGAGGCTGAGCGCGGGCTTGTACTGCGATGTCTCTAGTTGGCTGCGCGTGTATTTCAGTACGCAGCGGCTGGAATGTTCCATCAAGACTCACAGTCCGACTAGCCGTGTCTCCAGACTGTGCTTCAGGAATATCCGCTTCTCCCGCTGCGCCCAGTCGATGTTCTCTCGCAGAACATCTATCTGTATCTGCTGGCTGTCAGGGATGGCGTTGAAACAGTCGAGCACAGTCCGGACTTGATGTGCATAAGTCAATAGGTACGTGCACAATAGCACCGGGTAGTACGCACTCAGTTTGGCAGTCTTTGCCTTCGCCGTTGTAGAGACAAACGAGCGCGAGAGTGTGATGACCTCAGCAACTCCTTTCGCGTTCCTGAGCGACGGTCAGCTTTCGCGACAGTACTTCGAGGCGTGCGACGTACTTCTGAGTCTGGTATAATCCCGCTAGCTTCACCAGTGCCGCCTCCTGCTGCCGGAGCTCAGCCTCTCGCTGTGGGACGTCCGCATGATCTGAAATGGGTGATGCTGCAAAACATTGCGGTCAGTCACAACCGGTCTAAAGGGACTGCGCGGATTACAGACTGATGATCTCTTTGTAGAGCGCCTCTGCCTGGGCAGGGGACGCCTTGGTGGCTTGTTCGAGCAGCTCCTGCTTGGTCGGCATGTTGGTCAAATGCGCGGTCGAGATGGGAGTGGGAGGCGAGAATGAGATGCTGAAGTCGGAGGTGGCTGAAGGACTGCACGCGACGGTGACGCGTCGCGCTCGGGCGCCTAGAGCGTACGCGTCGTACTCGATCACGTCTCCGCCTCGTTCTCCTCCTCCTCCCTCTCCCAGAACCCCCTGTCGTCCTCCTCGCACGCGCAGCCATGCCTGAAGACGTCGTGTTCCCCATCCCCAATCTCGCCCTCCCTCAGAATCTCTTCATACTCTCACAGTCACATCTCGCACATCTACACGAGAATGCACGCAAGGAGTTCCTCGCAGGCATTCAGGCAGACCGTGCGTTCATGCTGACCCTCGTCTGTGTGCCATGAGTTACTCACCAAGATCTCCTTCGAACTTGCACTGTTTCGAATGCGACACGACATACAGAGATGGCCCCGTATTACCGCTCCGTGACCGCCGCTTCCTCCCTACCTCTCGACCAAGCCCTACTCGACTCCATGGAGGCTGCAAACAAGGCCGATCTCGAGAAGCTCGACAAGCGACTAGAGGAGGCAGAGAAGACAGAAGGAGAGAGCGACATCGCGGACGCGCTTCAGGCCCAGGCGAACTTCTTCACCAGAATCGGAGAGAAGGTATGTGCTCTCGGTTTTCGTTCTGCGCGTTGCTTCTGGGGGGTTCATGGTCATATGAACAATACATAATCATCGAAGGGGTGCTGTCTGTATGCCTCCGCGTACCTAGCATCACTTGGCTCAACCCTGCCGTGTAACATCACTTGCCTAGCATGCTCACAGCACATCTTCTTGTGTTCGTAGGAGAAAGCTGTTGAAGCGCAGAAGAAGGCACTGGAGAAGACAGCCGGAATGGGCTCGCGGATAGACATCGTCCTCACGCTCGTCCGCATCGGGTTCTTCTTTGGCGACTTCGACATGATCCTCTCCGAGCTCGCACAAGCAGAAGAGTGCGTCCCGCTCCAAGAGATTTGGTTTGTGTGCTCACAAGTTCTAGGTTGATTGAGCAGGGTGGTGACTGGGACCGGCGCAATCGGTTCAAGGTCTACCGTGGTCTCCACCTTCTAAGCATCAGGCAGTTCAAGCGGGGCGGCGAGCTCCTGCTTGACGCACTATCAACGTTCACAGCGACAGAGCTACTGAGCTATAATGACTTCGTGACGTTCACAATCATCTCGAATGTGCTCACGTTGACACGGGTAGATCTCAAGAAAAAGGTGGGGCATTCCCTTCCCCCTTCAGACATGCCCAACTGACCTGCCCACGCGCGCAGCTCATCGAGGCGTCCGACATCTCGCAAGTCCTCCCCGAGGTACCGGTGCTCGCAGACCTGATGAAAAACCTGTACGATTCCCACTACGACAAGTTCTTCGTCGCGCTCGCGACGCTCGAGCAGACGCTGCTCATCCCCTCGCGCCTCCTCCACCCCCACACGCGCTTCTACGTGCGCGAGATGCGCATCCTCGCGTACAGCCAGCTCCTCGAGTCCTACCGCAGCCTCACGCTCGACAGCCTCGCGCGGAGCTTTGGTGTCAGTGTTGATTTCGTCGACAAGTACGTACATTATTTCCTCTCGCTCCATCCATCATACGCCCTTCTACCCTCCCTTGGCCTTTCCGCTCGCTTCCCCGCATCCCCGGCCATGTTATGCCGTGCTGACCTCCTTCCCCTCCCAGCGAACTCTCTCGCTTCATTGCATCGGGCCGGTTACACTGCACGATTGACAAAGTGCACGGCGTCGTGGAGACCAACCGGCCGCCGCTCAAGGCCGCGCAGTACGAGACGGTGATCCGGCAGGGCGACATCCTCCTGAACGCGGTGCAGAGATTGAGCAAGGTGTTGTATTGAGTAGGCTGCGGCGCAGAGCGCGCCCGCCGCCATAGTTAGCACGGTACCGAAACTTGAAGCTTGCTATGTTGCGCGCGTGTTGACACCAGAGGGTCTGGCGGGAATGAATTTGGTACGCGAGTGAGGGCGATGCAATATAGTGAATAAGTTACAGGAAAGCTGTGGGCGCGGCTTGGCTGCGATCCGTCAGGCCTTGTCTTGCTTGCTCGAGGGTTCTGTTGGTGGGACGCCCCACTCGGGAAGGCCCTTCGGCCGTTCGATCCGCTTAGGCTCCCATTCCTCATCCGCTGCGGCGCTCAGCCGCTGCAAGGCGACGTCGTTGTAAGCTCCGGGAACGCGACAGATAGGAGGCCACGCACGAAGTACTCCTCCCGAATATCAAACTTCTTCCGGTCCTTCGCGAGCCCTAGCTCTTGCTCCTTGTTCACCTGCGGGTCGGAGGCCGTCAGACACGAGGAACGCGAAAGGCGTAGGGAGAGGGCCTGACCTGTGTCACCTTCTTGTCATGCAGGTCGTACCGTGTCTGCGTGAAGCTCTGCATCGCGAAGCTCGCGCCGACGACGATAATGACGAACGGTACGCCGAAGAGCGAAGGGTGTTTTCGGAGCAGGCGGTGCACGGGATTAGTCCTGAGGGGATTGGAGGGAAACACAGGCATCGTTGTCGCGGTCGCGGTCAGGGCCGAGCAGGCATCTATGACTTCGGTGAACCGCGGTTGGGTGAGCGAGCTGCTCACGGCAGCTGGCTCACGTCGGATACCGAGCGCTTGCGCAAGATCCGATCGTGCGCTAACGCTCATGTAAGGCCCAATACCACTGGCAGGACCCGGCCTGGACCCGGCGGGCATCTGGACACATACGGTGAAAGTGAGGCGGCCAACTCAAGTAGGGAAGTCATCATCCCATTCCATGACGCAGCGATCTACTACTCAATAGGAAGGGTCGGCAGATTCCCGAGTGTTTGCATCGATGCCATTCATTACACCGGATGAAACTTTCGATCCTTCAAGTGAAAGATCGATAAAATTGACAAAATCTTTTTCACGATATTTCGTATGAAAGATTGTCAATAAAAGTCAGAAACAATCAATTAATCATTCAGACTCGAAGTATCAGGAACAGATCACAGAAGGATTCATTGACAAGTGTCTTTGATCTGTTTGTGATCCTCTAGGCAAATGATTGAGAACATGATATTCAAAAATTCTTGAACACTATGTGGCTCAATTGTTCTGAAAGGATTGAAAACAGATTGTCACATGGGGTGTTACAATCTTTTCTCAATCTTTCAGGCTGTCACAATCTGTTTCAAATCCTTCCAGCTGTTGATATCTTGGTGAGATTGGAAACAATTTGTATCCCAGGGGTTCAAAACAATTTTCCCAAAAGGATTGACAAGAGATTGTGACACTAGCTGTGACACTGTGCCACTTCCCTATGACAGAGCAGTGAAGGCAATTATGCCAAACCTATGATAAGCTGCCTTCTGCTGGTATGCTCAGTCATTTTTGGTCCCTCATTCATTGCCTGCCATCACATGAGTCTCATTAGATGCACTCAGTGTACAGGGTTGTACTTGTGATTGTACATTCCTAGAGATGTGCATCTCATTGTATGACTAATGAACATGTCCCAGACCTGTGCATGTCCAGATGCAATGAAAGAGGGACCAAAAATGACTGAGCATACCAGCAGAAGGCAGCTTATCATAGGTTTGGCATAATTGCCTTCACTGCTCTGTCATAGGGAAGTGGCACAGTGTCACAGCTAGTGTCACAATCTCTTATCAATCCTTTTGGGCAAATTGTTTTGAACCCCTGGGATACAAATTGTTTCCAATCTCACCAAGATATCAACAGCTGGAAGGATTTGAAACAGATTGTGACAGCCTGAAAGATTGAGAAAAGATTGTAACACCCCATGTGACAATCTGTTTTCAATCCTTTCAGAACAATTGAGCCACATAGTGTTCAAGAATTTTTGAATATCATGTTCTCAATCATTTGCCTAGAGGATCACAAACAGATCAAAGACACTTGTCAATGAATCCTTCTGTGATCTGTTCCTGATACTTCGAGTCTGAATGATTAATTGATTGTTTCTGACTTTTATTGACAATCTTTCATACGAAATATCGTGAAAAAGATTTTGTCACTTTTATCGATCTTTCACTTGAAGGATCGAAAGTTTCATCCGGTGTTACCGCTGCCGTGCGAGCCACGCACCACTCTCATATCTGACCATCTCTCACACAGTAGCTGTGAATCTTCAAACGCACATCGAGACGTCCTCGCTGCATTGATAAAGTATCGCGGCCACACAATGCTGAGGTAGTGCTTCCCACCCAACCTTGACCGAGCTCATAGGCTACGTCGCATTTACATTCCTCATGGCGTTTCTTCTCCCAATTGCCGCGGGCGCAGCGATTTTGACGGGTATCGTAGGCCTTGTATCCTCTATCCGAAGCGCTTTTAGAAAGAAGAATATCAGTTGTAGCCGAGACAGCTAGGCGCATCAACGAGGCACGAGGCCGGACGTCAACAGCGCCGCCGACTTCAGCCCAAGCCGAGACTCGGAGGACGGCGCCTGCGGGTGGCAAACCTCCAGATGCGAGGCGGGAGGGCGGAAGTCCCAGTAGAGGAGGCGGTGAAGGCAAGCGTGTTGAAGAAGATCTACGGAAGGCAGCCGAAGCTGCCGCAGAGCGTGCAGAGCAGGAGAGACGCAAAGCCGTAGAGCAGAGGGCACAGGCGGAGGAGGCCGCGGAGAGGGATCGTCAGGAGCGTATGGGTGCAGTCGAGGAGATGCTGCGAATGTCGGTCAAGCATCAGGAAGCAGAATGGGCACGACAGGCGGCCGAGAACGCGGTAGCGGAGGCACGCGCTGCACGCGAAATGGCGGAAATGAAGCTTCGCGAGGGCATCAGGCCCGTGCTCCTGCCCACGCTGGAGGAATTCGATGCCGCGAAGAAGAGGATGCAGTATCAGGAGAACCTCTTCCACTTCGCCGTCGTTGGTTCAGCTGGCAGCGGGAAGTCGTCGCTAGTCAACGCCCTGAGGGGCGTGCGGAACGGGAAGGCGGGCTCGGCACCCACTGGCACCTCCGAAACCACGATGGAAACCGCTCGCTACCCCGACTCGAACTCCTCCAGCCCGTTTGTATGGTACGACGTACCCGGTGCGGGCACGCAAAGTATGCCAGACTGGAAGTACTTCATCGAGCAAGGTCTTTACATCTTCGACGCCATCATCGTCGTTTACGGGGATCGCTTCACCGAAATAGATATCGCGATCTTGAGGAACTGCGCCCGCTGGCAGATCCCGACGTACATCGTGCGCTCCAAAGCCATCATGCACATCCAGAACAGCATAAACGACCTGTTGGGGTCAGATGACGAGGACGAGGAAGACGTACCGACTAGCCTGTTCGACCGGGGGCGAGGACCGGCGTTCAGTGCACGGCACGCGGAGGCTAGGGACAGAGCCCGAGGCAAGTACATCAAGGAGACGCGTCGCGACGTCGCCACCAATCTCGCGCGGGCGGAGCTGCAAGACCAGCGCGTGTACATCGTCGACAACGTCGTTCTTGTTCCTATCGTCCGTGGAAAGGAACATCCGGATATCATCGACGAGGTGCAACTTTACAGAGACCTACTTACTGAAGCGAAGTGCAGGCGTATTGCGGAGAATGATTGATCTGGGTATGTGGTTGAACGACCAGTAATTATCCTGCCGGTGCTCCAGCACCCAACGGAAACGAATCGTCAGCAGTGTACGCGGAGTAGGGTTGTTTCTGATGCGCGTGCAATGTATGTTCTGCCCTAACCGGTCTCTGAGTATCTTTGTGTTGTTATCCATACATGTACGGGACCATGTAGCATTCGATAGTGGGATCCAATTTGTATTATCATCGTGGCCGCTCTCTTCGTCTGAACGTGTTTGACGATTAAAAAGCAGCACAAAATTTAAATGCCTTAGGGTACGTACGGCTACTCACCGGAAAGGATGACGTGTCGGTCAACTTGTACCCGTCGTTCGCCTGCGCATGCTGCTGATGCACTGTCAATTCATTCGGTAGGGCAAATCGGGCAGCTGGCCATATACGAGATATATTAGCATAAGTTGTACAGAGCCGTCGCGACCCATACATACTGATTTAACGCCGGGTCCGGGTGACGCGTATTATCGAGGCTTGAGAGGATTACTCCGTGTGATGACTTAGCGGGCGAAGTCGGCACCCTAGAGATTAAGGGACTCAGATCGCTCAAGGACCTTGAGGGGCTGGCAGTGTATAGTTTGACTCGGGCCATACGGTGGCTACTACTAGTAGACATAGTACCGTTGTAGTACCGGTACGAGATCAGGAGTACTAGTAGTGATTTCGGCAAGGGCCGGTCATGAGCGTATTGAGCGACAGTCACGCCACCGCTTGTTACAATGTTAGGCCCGACGACCACAGTCCACCCTTGACCGTGACGACGACGGTTGACTGTCACCACACCCTCGCACGGCAACATCTCTCCACGCTCTGACCTCGACTAGGAACTCAACATGACGAAGAACATATCCGTGGCGCTACGAATCCGACATAGGGCAAACGTATTCCGGTCCATCGGCATCCGCTACGGTAGCCCTGCACTACCTCCTACTACTAGTGTTTCTTGGTAGGTTCTGTCTTCTATCATTGTACAGTCATCATTCGGGACCAAATAGACAGACCCGACCCGTTGTCCACACGGAAGCAAATCTTTCGTTTCATATGCCCAATCTCAGAGCTAGTGATAGGCTTCGTCACCACTGGACTGGGTGGCGAGGCCGTGACAATCCAAATACCTATCCAATGCGCTTGTCAATGTGAGAGCTCGCCGCAAACGGGCTGCATCTACACTGCATCAATCATCCGCATCCTGGCAGCGCGCGCCGTCAAACAAGAGACCTCACATTCACGCGCGATTCCACATGCATATGGTGCTCCCGATGGGCGATACTCGAGGTCAGTGTCAGTTGAGTACATGCCGGCAGCCAGCGTCATGCGAGACGCTTGATCGTTGTCTTATGTTGTTTGTATTGTCTTGTCAATTCCGCCGGCTACAAGCATCATCGGCGTGGTGTATCTGTGTTACAACTTGAACTAACCAACGAAGCATGAAATTCACGCCCAGCTGTGCGTCGCTAGCAACGTATATGTGATGCAAGGACTAACAGTCAAGTTATAACAGGTCATAGTCATGAGATCGGCCAGCGGAGTCGGTGTTTCCGATGTCAAGTGTCGCTGTCTCATACAAAAAGATTCGTGGCAGTGAGTATTCAGAGCTGGTAAGTGGCATCTATCACTGGTTTAATCTGTCTTCATAGGATCTATGCTAGCGCAGGGGCCAGTCCTATGCTGCGCCATGGCCTACATCGCTTTACCCATACATCGCAATTGAAGGGTTGATCGTAGAAAAGAAGAAACAGCCATGGGCTGGGTATCAATACCTCAATTGGAAGTCAGCTATACTATGATCGCCGTATGGAAATGTCATCGGACGCCCGTGCAACCCTGTACGAGACGGTGCGTGGCTTATTGCGTGAAGCTGATGACCTTTTCTCGAACGACGCATGGCGGGGTTCGCGGTGTTTTCTGCTGCCTGATATTGAGCAGCGAGCAATGACCGATGACGAAGCTCGCTGACTCCGAGCTCAAACTAGTATGTCCCCTCTACCAGTGTCTATCGGAACATCCGCGCGGCAAGGAACGCTGCCCGAATCCGAGAAGCCGACGACGCACAGCTTCCCGTCTGACATGGGCGCGTGGGTAACGGGATCGCTGTGGGCGCTGCAGCGGACACGCGAAAGACCGGGATCTGGCCCTTCTTCGAGAGGGCCCAAGGAGAGCCTTGACATCGTCCCCGGTAACCTACGCTTGGCGGAGCGGATGCCACCCGGAACTTGTTACACCAAATCTGCGATTTGGGAGGCAAGTGTGATCATTGGTGCCGCGATCCTTTCTGGGCTGATTCGACCCCAGAGCCCTCGGGAGTCTGCATCTCCGCGTAGAGGGGACGCTCTCAATCCTTTCGAAACTAACGGGTTCTAACTAGCTGTCCGCATTACCAATATAAGCGGAGTGCTATAAGTATGAACCGCTCGTAGTGATGGCGTTCATTGCATCGCCCTGGAGTCACTTCTGTCGCCTAGACTGCGCTCGCAGTCATTCTTTCATAGGCTATAATGTCTACAACAGAGCCGAGCCAGCAGAGTTCCCAGCCGGGCCCAAGTACAAGCAATCGAACGCCCCGCGGTGCCGCCTGTATGAACTGCCGCAGGCGTAAATTGGTCGGTGTCTCCCGGTCACCGCTCGGCCATATGTATGTCTGACACGATTCCCCACGATGTCAGAAATGCGACACTGCAAAACCTGTCTGCGGACAATGCGCTCGTACAAATAGGCATGATGAGTGCGAGTACATGGACGGATCATCCGCCTCCAGGACCCAGGACTTGGAAACCAACCTCACACGCTTACAAGGACGGATACAGGAGCTCGAGCAACAAGGAGGGACAACTGAAACCACATCTAACTTGCCGCCTATGTTCCCTGCAAATCCCCCGTGTAAGGCACCTCTGTTACTGATCTCCTCGACAGGCTAAGCTCGGGCCCGTTTAGCTACTCCATCGGATGACCCTCCGACTGAGCTCGCCCAGACGCTGTGAGGAGTCAATCCAGCCCACATATTTTGCCGTACTGAACCGTCTAATGCAGGCTTCAACATTTCCTACCCCATGCCGACCAGGTCGGATTCTTCCTGCATAAGCAGCGCTTTATAGCACTCGCTACTTCGCCTGATGCACGGTACCGCGCGGCCAACCTCTCTCGAGCCCTGCTTTACGCGGTATACTCATACGGTGCTCACCTATCCTGCATCGAAGCCCTCACGGCTCACGTGCCCGCGCTTCTCAATCGTGCGGTAGAGGCCGTCTCCGCTGATCTCGGGGGTCCCAGGCGTTATCCGTTGACGCAGACCATCCAAGCCGAGGTCATCCTTGCCAACTACTTCTTTTGCGTAGGCCGCCAGCTCGAAGGAAGGTATCACTGCAGTGCAGCGGTGGCGCTGGTCCTCAGCGCGCAGCTGCACAAAATCCGGTCCTTATCTACCTCCGACTCTCATTCGCCTCTTGCTCAGCCGTTTGATCGCATTGAAGAGGGGCAGAACATCAATGCGTTCTGGACTGTGTTTGCGATCGACAAGGGGTGGTGTGTTGCCTCAGGTTCGCCTTCGCAATTGGATGGGTCTACTATCGACACGCCATGGCCATTGGACATGGAAGAGTATGACCAAGTGAGTGACGTGAGCGTATGCCTGCGAACATGTTTTTAACTGACGCATCACAGCTGGGATTGGCTCCTGAAGTTCGGGGATCACAGACGGCGCACAAATTCCTACATGACTTGCCTTCGACCTCGACAGGGGGGACATCCTTCCTCGCGTTACGAGTCAAAGCCGCTGCGTTATGCGAGCGAGCAACGCGGCTTGCAACGGGTGTCCCGCAGCGTTCGTACCCGTCATTTCATCCGTCTGAAATGGTGGATTGGCTGACATGTAAGCGAAGTGCCCGGCCAGCAACACGGAGCTCGCGCTGAGGAGGTGCAACTGCTGACCCGGGTCATTGATCAGTTTATGGCATCCTTGCCGATGATAAACTCGCTGCTCGATACCAGATCGATGTGTCACTTACTGGCAATACACACGCAGACGCACGCCGCAATGATCCTGCTCTATCGTAGTACGGGGCAGGCCACGGGGACGATCCCTGAGCGCTGTGTGAACGCTGCAAAGGCGGCGGCGGCGCTCGTGGGGCAAGTCAACCTCCAACAGTTGGACTACGTCGATCCTATACTAGCGGTGAGTCAGTTAGCTGCGTGAACGGAAAAAGTCACGTCATCTACGCAATTAACCTTTACTGACCGTCTTTATTCTAGCCTCTGTGGACCATCGTCGTCCGCATCCTCATAGGTACGTGGCCTCTGTTACGCGGAATGCATGTTTCGACAACCGGCTCTGCGCAGCGCGGATCCAGCCGCCGGGCTTGCTAGACGGCGAGCGCGACAGGATACGTGGGTTAATTAAGAAGGCTGTGGCGGGGATGGCGAGGTTCTCTCAAGTATCACCCCTCATGGGTACGTGGTCTTGATCCGTTCTGCCGCTCATGTCGGGCGCTGATGTACGCATAGCGCATGAGTTCTCAAGGCTGTGAGCAGTGACAGGCTGAGGGCTCGGCTGCGCTCTGTGGGGAAGCAGAGCCGGACGAGGGACGAGGTACGGGTGTGTGATTCTCCCAAGCAAGGCTCTAGTATGTTATATACGCGTATTAATAATCAAGCCATCTCAACTCTCAAGCTTGCGTCTGCAGCAATGGCGGAGATGAGTGTCGCGGGAGCATGTCGGCGGTCGGTTCGTGCCGTCAAACGTGGCCGCGCGACTCGCACATCCGTTGTGCAACAGCATGACTCTGTCTCTGCTCGCGATGTGGCTCCCTCTGAGATGGACATGGCGACGAGGCCCGAGCTGATCATTGACGTTGGCGGCATCCCCAATTTCCAGGGTCGGGGACAGTAACTCGGCGGGACATCTCGGGTACGATGCTGAAAGCCGGGTCTAGGCAGGAAGCTTTTTCTGGTCGTATTGGCAAGACTGGGAGCATTTCTCCGTGGAAGCCCTGGCCTATGCATGTGGGTGAGACACAAGGCCTTCCAACATTGGTATGGTCACTTTTGTTTCGGACCCTTTTTCAAGACATTGACCCTGAGCTCGCTCATAGCCGAGCGTTCGATAGAAACGTGCCCGGAGGCCAGTGGCGAGAAATTTGCCCGTCTAGTGCACGGCCTCACTGAAACATTGGCCGTGCACTGATGTTCTAATCACCCATTGTCCTAGTAAGTTACCGACCTCTGCCTGGTTTCAAACTTTGACCTCCCGGCTAAGAGTTTGTACACAGTCGATCTCTTTACAGGGTCCTTCCAATCAACGAGTTGATGCTATCGATCAGTTAGTGAGTGAAATCGTCGCTACCTAGACGAAATCTTGTTCTACATTCGGCCGCTCTTACTACAGGATTCACACTCAGAGGATATCCTGAAACATTCAGGGTTCATGACGGCCCAGCTGACTCTCGTTAGCCCGGTAATAGACTTTTACCTCGGCTATGGTGTGTCTTTATGGCCCTTGCAGACGGATTGGGCCGCTCGTAACTGAGGACCTAGCCTCGATCAGTGTCTTTTCGCGATATGCCCTTCGCTTAGCGCTTTCTTCGCCACTCGGAGGACTCGTGAGGGAAACATATAAGACAGCCACTGGTCGGTGTTTCCTACCGCTCAAACGGCGGCCCTGCTTCCTTCTTCCCTCCTCACCGTACAAGGTACGTGAACTACAATCCCATACGGTGTGTGGACCGGCACTGATGGCTGCGTCGCAGCTTCTCCTGCGCGTTTCAGACACCATGCCGAACGCTACGCAGAACACCACTGCTACGAATGACCCAAAGAAGCCGAAGATTCAGACAAATGGAGGCAGGCAGAGAGTGAGCTTCCCGATTCTGTTTGTCTTCTGTGACATTGCTAACGGATCTTTCAGTCCGCTTCGCAGTCCACAGACTCAAGCGGCGAATACACGGTCAAAGTCGTCGGGCCGGACCAGAAAGAGGAGGACTCACCGACGATGACCATATCGCAGTACTTTGCTGCGCAGGGGAAGACGGATTAATTGCCTGCGATGGGGTCAGTCTGGTGCAGTGTCGCGTCCAAGGAAAATGTACAAGTATGAAAGTATAGTCAGCCCTCTGTATTCAATGCACACGACGAGATTAGGCATGCACACCGTCATGAGCGATGTTCTTTTGTGACTTTGCCGTGAGTTCGCGCAGTATGGGACTGGTCGAATATTGAGGAAGGTGTTCGCGGCGGAAGTCGAACCTGGGAACATGGGCGCCAAGGGGTGGTGTGGCTCAGTAGACGCCCATAGAAGGTGTGGCTGAGGACGATCACATCAGGCAGCGCCTGGCTGTCCCCGAGCAGCGTCGGCCAGTCGACCCATCCCGCCATCATCTGGCATGCCCCTCTTGCCCGCTAAGTTATGAGCACACCCGAGGTCGATGTTCTCGACGAAACACCAACAATCCTCAACACAACTCTGAAGGTCGCCTCGCGCTTCTTCACTCTCCCGTCTCGTCTCGTTGCTCGCGTCCGCAGACTCGACGATGTACTCAACAACGCGGAAATGGAAGCCGCCGCAGCACGCCGTCACGCGTACGCAGCGACGTCGGCAGCAGGTGCGCAGGCCTCGAGCCATGACGACCCCGCCGTAGGATTCGAGATGGAGCCAATACCTGGTCCGATGGGCTTCGTGACGTCCGGCTACTTCTTCGGCCTGTTCATCATGGTGAGCAGCCCTATGCGAGTCCCTGTCGAGCACATTGACTGAAACGGTCAGGCTCTCGTTCTGAATCGCATCCAGAACATCGTTGTTCCCCCGCGCAACCCGCACGCCACTCGTCTCCGTGCTGCGCGCAACGCGAGCGGCCGCCTGTCCTTCCTGTACACGCTCCTCGGCTTGTTCTTCCCCGTCGACCTGTCCTCCACGTTCCCTCGTACTGTGTTTCGAATCCCTTCCATCTATAATCTGTCGAAAGCCTTGCTGCTCTGGACGGTACTACTCTTGCAAGCCGCGAGGTTCTGGCCCTCGTGGCGTTTGCTCCAACCCGTCGGACAGTGGGTTGCCCAGAAGGAGATGGAAGAAATCTGCTGGTTTACATTCACCAGTACCTGCCTTGCACTCGCTATCGGGGCCCTGACCGGCGGTATGGAGGGACTGCACCTCAATCACAATGCCCCCTTCAACCTGGTGCGTTCGCAGACGTCGACCCCTCTCGCTCGCTCACGCAGCCCTAGTTCTCCTTTGCCTTTCAACTTCACATCTACTCGTCTCCCTCCACGCACGTTGACAACTTCCAAGGTCTGCCTTCGAGACCTGGTAAGCATGTCATCCTAATCATCATGATACCGCTGCTGCAGGTACGGGCGCCTGGCTTGTTTGGAATCATCGCTGATGGCATCCTTTTACAGCTCACGCTTCTGCATTGCATGGAAGTCAGGAAGAGCTGGGCGCGCCTACGCCTCATCCCGACCACGTTCTGCTCGCTGCTCAGCCTCGTCCATTTCCATTCCGTGATCTGGACATCACCGAAGTCATATCCGCTCACGAACTTCTTCCCATCCGTAGTCGAGTCCATGCTCATCTGCCTCATTTCCTTCTCGGCGCTCCTCAACGTAGCGACGCAACTGCTGCTTGAGGGCGCGGTCACGCGACCGCTATTCGGGCACGTAGAGTCACTGATGCCGAAGATGGATGAAGACTTCGGCGTCGCTCTCGTCCGGCTCGGCACCGCAAGCCTCGAGGCGACGAGTGCTGCAGGAATGGGCAACGAGGTGGGCGGGATGACCAGCGCGGGTATCGCGGACGTCGTCGCGCGCCCGCCAGAGGAGGATCGCGGGGTGGTCGAGATCGACCGGTCCGGCGTGGTCTCACTGACGCCCGCGTTCGACTGGAAGGGCCACAGCCGAGTCCGCAAGCGTGGATTCCTGAACGAGATCACGAACGTGAAGGCGCAGGTGCGGCGGTCAGGCCTGTGGGCGGACACGATGGTCAACGCGGGGTGGTACAAGGCCGTCCTGATGTTCTTCGTCAGTGTGGTGAAGGCTTTTAAGCGCGTTGTAGTAGGATCGTGTGTCGCGTTGTGGGGAAAGGTGCGCGCCGGGGCGAGTATGAGACGACAACCGCCCCCCATATCTCGTCTCTCGGAATCTGTCGAGGACGAAGGCGATGCCGAGGACATGGACACGTATCGTCGTTTCTTGCGCGGCGAGTCCGTCAGCGATGACGAGGACGACTTCGTACCGGCCACCGACGAGTTCTCATCACGTAACACATTCGAGCCCTCTGAGAGCGGCGACGAGTCACCGGCCGAGGGAGATGAGTCTGCGCGATTGTTCGCCGACCTATCCCAGGACGCAGCATCGTCTGCTGCGGCGCCTGTCCTCCTCGCGCACCTGGCTTCGACTTCCACCTCACCTCTGACACGCCGCATGTACCGAAGCACGGCTCTAGAACAGAGTTCAGGGGACGATGCCGTCGACAATTGGGGTGAGTTCGCGCGAGAGCGGAGGGAAACCAAGATCCCTGAGCAGCCCGTCGACGACGATTCGCTGGAGGTGCGGCGGAACTGTGTTATCTGCACGGTCGAGCTTAGGGACATCATATGCTGGCCATGTCGGTAAGTTCCCCGGATCTTGGCGCCACAGAAGCCTTTGCATCGTACTCATGCTTTCCTGCAGGTGTCTGGCGCTGTGTAATGACTGTCGCGAGAATCTGGCGTCGCGTTCGTCTGCGTCGAAGCATACCTGCCCGTGCTGTCGTCGGAGGTGCGTCTCGCAATTATCCTAAGAACCGATGCTTATTGACGTATCACTAGGGTCGAAGGGTATTCGAGGATATACATTCCCTAGTCTGGATGTCGTTACTTGTGTATTATCGCACCACATCAGTATTTATTCGCACTCGCTACAAAGGAGCTCAGTCTGTCAGGGGAATCGGGCACAGGGTACGTGCGCTTCGCATGTTCTGGCCACCGGGGTTACTCTTCCTAGTCTCATGGACGCAAGGAACTTCAGGCTATCCGTAATCTATCTTATCATAGATAGATTCTCCACTTCACACCTGAACCTTGCATCGGTGGGGGAAATGCAGGTCTTTGATCACGTACTGAGGTCTGATAACTCATTGAATGACACTGTCCTTTGATAGCGTATCGTGCATGCCCTCGTAATGAGGAACATGAGCTGAAGAAGCCTCGATGTGAGTCTAGTATGAACCCTGTATCACGGGAGTTTCCTTTCCCCCGCGTATATAAAGTCTAGCTGTCCCATCCGATGCCCACTACTCCGAACGTAGACCACGCAGCCGTTACAGGTGCGCTACAGCATGCAACCATGGGATCGCGGTCTATTCTCACATATCCGCTGTTTTGTAGACGTGTCGTCCGACACCCACCCGTAGGCATGGGTAATATCATGGCAAAACTGCCAAACACAATCATATCGATCACAACGGCTGGAGCTCTATTAGTCGCAGCAAGCGCCGTGGCAATGGGCCCCCCGGGGATTGCCGTCTATGCCCTTTGCGTGATCACGTATGCATATAGACTCGCATGCCAGTCCTTGAGGCGCCTCACCTCCTTTTCAAGCACTCCTCCTTTTGGTAATGATAGAAGACAAAAAAGGAATCGGAGTGCGAAAAGGAGGTGAGGGCCTCTAAGGACTGGTGAGATTGGGCGCCGTTTACCCCAGTACCCCCGTGGGAACGGGGACTTAGAGAAATCGCGCATAGCTGTCTTCAGCGGAATAGCAATCCTCGAACTCTCCAACATCGCCAGCGCCGCAAAAGCCATTTGGTGTCAACGTAATATTGTAGTGGTATGTTCCTTGCATCTATCTAGGTCAACACATGCACCCGCCGCGTCAGTCACCACCTCCGCCGCCGCCGCCGCCGCCGCCTGCCCCTCGCCCTCGCCCTCGCCCGCGACCCCTGCTGGCTTGAACAGCCAGATAGTTTTCCGAGGTGAGTTGTGTGCTGAAGAGCCCGACGCGCGAAGCACTGGCTCCAACAGCAGTACGGAATAGCGATGGTGGCGCGGCGGGCGCAAATGGCGAGGGCGGTGTGGATGCAAACGACGAGGGTGGTGCAGCGGCGGACACAAACGGCGAGGGCGGTACGGATGGGTATGGTGAAGGCGGTATGGATGCAGTTGGTGCGGACGCGTACGGCGAGGGCGGTACACGCGCGTAATATGGCGAGGGTGCGTACGGCGAGGGTGCATCAGGAAAACTACATGTTGCTTCATCTGTCTTATGCGGCTTTGCGTGGCTTTGCACGGCTTGACAACTCACTTTGCGTGCTTAGCAGTCTTAAGACTACTTACCATTTGCAGGCTGTTGCTACACCGAAGACAGGCTAAGCCAACAAGCATTATTAAGCACTATTCTAAGCACTACTCTAAGTACACACGATTTCTGCGTAAACTAAGTCGTCTGAAGCACCATAAAGCCAATGGCTCAGTCGAACTTACACGTACCGAGTTTCGTTGCATAGGCCCGAAAAACCAGGCCCAGGCGTAGCATACTGCTCCGCGCGAGTCTTCACACATTGCGGGCGACATTTCGTGTCTACGCGTGCTCGTTAATAACACACTTAAGCCCTGCCCCATCGCAATATGCAAATTGCGCGGCGGCAATGATCCCTGTAGGCGTCATAATAGAGAGCTCATTAATCAGGTAAACGACACAGTCGCGCATGGAATGGGGTGGGGAGGGCAAAACAACATGAGGGTTCGGGATACTCACCTGTGTCCAATTGCTCTGCCTCGTCCCGGGCCCCGCCCCCTCCGTCCGTGCTCCAGTCGGTGATCTATGCCGTTGGGCATAGATCGCGCGGCGGCACTTACTAGCCGGGCCACGTCGCAATGACGTGGCCTTCCCGCGCGGTATACAGCCCGTTTGGGGCGTGCGTTGCTGGCACATTGCGAGGCGGCAGGCTTGCGACGGGTCGGGGACGCGTGACGAGGCAGAGAGGAGGCGGATAAGAGGGCGGGGAGAGGTGGTGGAGGTCGCGAAAGGGAGGGAGGGGAGGTCGCGAAGCGCTGAGCGGAACACGTCAGCGCAGCACGTGATCTATCCGGTGTCCACCGAGAGCGGGTCCCTCAACGCTCTAAGTCCAACTCTCCCTCTCCCTGAGTCTCCCTCCAACACCGCGGGTGCGTGCGTTGCGCGCCGCATATACACGCATCGCCCCCCTCGACGCGTCCTGTCACGTCTACCCCGCACGTCCGCCAACCGCTATCCGTTGCGATCGCAAGCCGCCAGCACGCATCCGCCGTCGACCCGTTGCCGCCGCGTTCGCGCTGCGGTTGCACGCCCATAACGTGCCCCTCTCCCACCCCACCGCCGCCGTCCTCTCCTCACCGTCACTGCCCACAACACCCTTGCTCGCACCGATGCCGCTGCCACCAACGCCAGCGCCTGCAGGTGCCGCCACCCGCCAGCAAACACCCGCCGCTGCCACGTCATGCCGCCGCCTCCCGCATCTGGCCGCCGCACTCAACCATTGCGCGCGCCCACCGACTGCATCCCTCACCGCGTCGCGTCGCCTGTACACACCGTCGCCCGCATTGCGCGCTACACGTGAGTTGTTAGTGTCACGTTCGACGAGGCTGTCCTCCCCATTGGCCTGACCCTTTTACAGGGCTTCACAAGCAGAGGTTGCGCAAACAGCGAGGACAACACAGCGGTCCCGAGCAGTGGCATCGGGGAGAACACGCCGAGGTGAGTGTAGGTGAGTAATCCACCCACTGCAGTCTCGGGTACAATGACACGCGAGCACGGCGCACACGGCGACACCGTGCACACAGGACAAAGGCCCCGCGAGCAAACAACCGACGAGTGCACCAAGGGTGCAGGCTCAACGACACTCAAGGAGGAGGGGCAAGCCTTGGGCGGCAGGCACGGGGCACAGCGACACGAACGGCATGGCAAGCGTGACACGCACGGTGACGCTGAGTATGCAGGGCGGGACAGACGGCCAAGTGGGCGGGTGAGGAGGTGAGTGAACAGGCACGAGGGTGGGTAGATGGGCAAGCCGGCACGCGACAGCGTATGAATGCCCAGCATGCAGGAACAACTGACAAACGCACACAAAGGCGGGCGAGTGGGACGGCGGGCATGCACAAGCAGGTGAGTAGGACAGCAAGCACACATACGCACACAATGACACGCATGTCGACGGCGAGCGCACCGGGCGAATGCCCAGCACGCAACCGCGGCCAACAAACAGACCGCGTGTGCGGGAGGAACGGAAAGGGCAAATAGAAGACGGTGGGCAGAGCTGGAGTGTGGAAAAAACGGGTGCGCGAGGTGAGTGAGCGGGGAGGATGGCCGGAGGATGGTGGGTACGGGCGACTCGTGCGAGCGCGGGCAAGTGAGGAGGACGGCGGGCACGAGCGCAGGCGTGCCAAGCCCTGTATGTACGACAGTCGAATATAATATCAGTCAATATTGTAACAATAGTAGCTTAATAAGCACTTGAGAACTGTACTGAGTGTGCTTGATACGAGGCTTTGTGCGTACTTAGGGGCGGCTTAGCCGTGCTTCGTTAAGCAGAACAACTTAAACTAAGCAACTGGACCTTCTTACTTAAGCCACCTTGGCTTACTGGCTTGATTGACTTAATGGCTTAATTAAGCTGTTTAAGCCGCCGTGAAGCCACATGCAGCTTTCCTGATGTGGTACAGATGCGTGCGGCGAGGGTACCAACGCGTATGGTGAGTGTGGGATGGACGCGTACGGCGATGGTGGTACGGACGCGTGCGGCGATGGTGGTCCGGACGTGTATGGTGAGTGTGATCCGGACGCGCGCGGCGAGGCTGGTATGGACGTGTATGGCGAGGGTGGGAGGGACGTGTATGGCGAGGGTAACGCGGACACGTACGGCGAGGGTAACGTGGACCCGTACGGCGAGGGTAACGCGGACGCGTATGGCGAGGGCACTTGATGCATGAGGGGATGAGGCTGTGGAGGAATGGCAAGGTGGGACGAACTCAATGGTGGCGCAGGAGCTTTCGATGGAGCAGGGAGTGGGTAGTAGGGATTGGCTTGAGGTGCGTTCGCAGGTAGACTGCTTGGTTGCGACGACTGTAAACCAGAATGGTTAGTCTTTAGTACATATGAATCCTATTGTCCATGACATACCCCATTGTCAGCTGAGCGGCGTGCTCGTTTTGGTGGCTGCTGGTCATCGGGTGCGTCCGTAGTAGTGTGTTTACGAGAGCTGGCACTCTGGCCCGTCGTTGTGCCTGTGTCGCCGCCGCCACCGCTGCCTGCCTTGGGCTTGGGGATTGACCGAATCTGCAATGACAACAGTAGGTCCGTCAGCTCGCCTTCATAACGATCGCGCCATAGCCAGGTCTTGAGCATCGTCGCAAGTACGGGACGCGTCTTGGGCCCTGCAGATGTGAGGCGTTCAATGAGCAAATCGCTCAGGATCGCGGTAGCTCCGAAGACGGCATGCGGATGATCGTCGTCCAGTTTCTGCTCACGCCAGCTCTCGAGTGCGGTCTGCGCGTTGGGATCTGGGAGGCCGACTTTCGGCCTAGAAGCTTTTGGCCCCTTTTCTCGTAGTGGTGGGCGTGCGCGATTAAGCAGGGAGCTATCGCATATGTCACAGCATGGCACGGCTGCCTCGGACGCGGTGGCCACTGGAATGGACAGTTCAGCGTGGCACTCACTGTCTCAATGTCATGCCATGGATTGCATACCTTCGGAGAGTGGGCACTCATAGATCTCCCGCCATATCTTGCGGCGACATTGTGTGCTTTGTACAAAGGCTAGAAGCCCTTCATCGGCAGCGCCGTGGTCAACAATGGGGTCATCGGCTGGGTCAAGGACCGTGTCATGGCTGGGGCCGACGCTACTCCCACGGTCAATGCCATGTCTTTTAGCGTAGTCTTTCGGTGTCTTCTGGCGTGCGCTTTTCGGAGGCCCACGGGATTTACGAGCTCGTTGCCTGCCTTTGCTCGTCTTCGGCTCTGGCTGGTCTTGCTCTGCTGGGATCGTTTGCAGATTGATCGAGTATGCAGATCGCTCTACAAGGAGAATCGCAATACCTGTGCGATTCCGCGCTCGCGCTGCACGCCCTGCACGCTGAATGAAATTGGACAGAGTGGCCGGGAGCTTCCATTGGATGACAAGGTCAACGTCAGGAACATTGCAGCCCTACCGTTGACAACACACCTGTCAGTCACGATGGCGCATGAGGCTGCTAGGGAGGGGTACGTACCATGCCAGCGGCGTCCGTGCATACAAGAATGCGCACAGGGCCTATGTTGACGTTGTCTGCAGTCACCTGACCGCCCGCGTACTGACTATTGTTGCGGAAGGCTGCCATGGCGTGGGTTCGGTAGTCAGCGGACATTGTAGCATTGAATGGGCGAATGACACCGAGCTCATAGAGGGCGGGATTACGCTGTTGGAGGATGCTTCCGAGATGGTCGATGATGTCATTACCAGCCTCGATGTTATCGACATAGAGGTACGTCTTCGGGATGTCATTTGCGGACTCGATCTTCTCAGGCAGAACGAAGTCCAGATCAGCGAGCGTGTTCTGAGGATGCTCGCAGGCACGAACAACGATCGAGACGTTGGGCCGATCGTTACCAATGTTGATGAACCGGCCGCCAGTCTTCGGGAAGTGAAGCTTGTTATGAAGATCGCGACGGACCCGTGCGGTCAGGGTTGCCGTCACAGCAATAACGGGAGTCCCGGGAGCGAGGAATGCACGTACGCTCCCCAAGCTCGCGTAGAGCTTGCGAAAGTCAGCGCCCCAGTGCGAGAGACAGTGCGCTTCATCAATGAAGATGCTCAGCACCCGGCGCGTGAACTTGTTGTTGCGAAGCACACGGTTTTTGAACGCGCGTGACTGGAGCATCTCGGGGGAGATGAGGACGATCCGGTACTGACCACGTATGATCTCCTGTTGTGTGCAGAGACAATTAGGTCGGCGTATGGGGATGTTGTGAGAGTCAGTCACCTCCATGATCTGCTTATTCTTTGTGAGCGTGCTCTGTCCGTTCACAGCAACCGCGGTTAGGCCAAATTCGGTCTTGAATGTCTCGACCTATGGAGAGTGATCAATTTGATATGCGCCGACAACAGGTGGCAGGTGTATTCAGATTGGAACATACCATTTCTTCCTCGAGTGCCAGCAACGGACAGACCATAATTGTGGTCTTTCCTTCATTGCCTCGCCAGAGGTGTGGTCCTGCTGCAATTGCCGTCTTGCCGGACCCAGTCGGGGCTTGGATGACAGTGTCGACACCTTCAATCTGCGCTTTCACGCCTTCAAGTTGGAAGAACCGGGGCTCGCTCTCCCAACGGAAGCGCTCCTGCATGATTTGAGCGAGCTCTTTGACCTCTTCGGGGGCCAGTTTTCGATGGCAAGGCAGTGTTCTAGGTTGGCTTCCAGTGTGGCGCAACTTGTAGGCATATTTCCCTGGTCCGCGAGGCATAGTAGCAGTGTGCTATGCGAAGGCGAGGGAACACGATGACCAAGAGGAAAATGAAGAAGTCCAAGGCGCCCGTTGAACGGTGGGGCCTTGACGGTCACAAATCCAACGCCGATCGCTCTGTCAACCATTGTTCAATCTCATGTCCATTGCTCTTCTAAAATGACACATAATCAGCGACGCAGGGCCAGCTCGCTGCCACCTTCTTCGCCGCTCACGGACCTGCCATCTGATATCCTCGCTCATAATGACCGTCCCTTGCCCTCCGTATTCGAAGGACTCTACCAAATTTCCCCCGTTCAAAGCGAACACATTGTTTCCGACACATCAATGCTTCCCGAGTCCCCTGCGCGCAACGCTGCGGACAGACGGCGCAAGGACAAGGCTGATCGTGACAAGGCAGCTCGCCTGGCAGAACAAGCTGCTGCAGAAGACGAGGCAGAACGCCGGATGGTCGTTTGTGAGCAGGTCTTGGAAATACTCGAGGCGGCTGACGTACCGTTCATTGACCTGCTTCGCATTGTGTCGGACGCTCGCCACAACCGAGGGAAGGAGAGGTACTGGGGTCTGTTCCGGGATACCACTGGTGTCACGGAGATCCTGGACATGTGGGTCTCCTCTGAAAACAGCATTACCGGCCGAGAGACTCTCCGCAACTGGGCAACTGCATACATCGCACGGCTTGTGTCCCGTGAGGGTCATGCCGTCTGCAAGGATGGGTTCCTGCGCACGGAGAAGCGATCCATTGACGAGGACTTTGCACTGGACTTCAGCCTTGAATCGCTTGCCGCTGGCCTCGACAACCTCTGCCCCACAATGATGGCTCTCCTGTCTGCATTTGGGACCTCTACAAGACAGAAGCGCAGCAACACGCGCACAGGAGTGCGACGACACCTGAATGTGAGTGTCTGCCTGCGTATATGGAACATCACACCAAAACTAGAGCCAGTACCTCACCACAGGCGCTTTGATCTGTCTCAGCGCACGGAGCCAAAAGAATAACTATGCACGCCATATCTTTGGATTGTATGCATACGCCTCTGGAGCAAAGCGACAAATGATTGAATTGCTATCGCACCTGGGATTGTGTAGCAGCTACAACACTCTCGCTGCAAACCTTGGCGATGACCGCCTCCCGCCTGACGATGACCATCTCCCGCCTGATACGACCCCTGCAAGCGACACGGATAGTTCAGGATCAGACGACGAAGACAGCGACGATGAAGACGTACCTTCCCGTCCACAACCCGTCGATCATCCAACATTCCCATCACCTCATCAGTCTGCGAGCCCAACACCAGATGCAGTACCAAACCTCCCGCAGACTCAGCCCGCAGAGTCCACACCCAGAGACCGGCCGGCACGACCAAGCGGCACCTCAGTGGACTCTGAGGACGAGATGTGGGAGAAATTGAGTGAAATTCGAGCTGAGGATGTTGTCGACGAGGAAGGAAATGACATCCTAGAGGCTTTGGATGCCCTACAAGCTGAGAGGCGAGACGGCGCGGTGGACAGTGCCAGTGGGGGAAAGCCTGAGAAGAAGAAGTGCGTCGAAGGGATCCTCAAGCGCCTTTCAGACGCATGTCGACGCGCTGCACGTGCAAACGCGTCGTCGCGTCTCGTCGCGTTCGTGTACGATAACATCAATATTGTATTTCGCGTGGCCGAGCAAGCGTCCGGGAATAAGGACACCATGGAGAACGGAACATGCGCGACGGCGTTCGAGCTGTTTGGAGCAAGCGAGGACGCCATGCAGACAGCAGACCTCATGGCCGGCATCATCAACGCTGGACCTCTCAGTGTTGCAGACATACTCTTCACGCCCGAAGAGAGCCGCGATTTCAAAGCGATCCTCCAGCACACCGTTCTCAATGTCATAGCAACCCATGGCGGCGAACCCTTTGCGCACTTCAAGAAGGACATCGACGTGTTTGGACCACTCCTCGAGACACGCATACCTCTGCATCAGACCAAGATCTTCCCTCTGCCCTCCATGAAGATCGACGAATCCACAATAGTGGGAAACGCAGACGTGACAAAGACCGTTCTCGCTGAGCTTGGGCAGGACATGGATGCAGATGGCTTCACAGAGGTTGTCCGGATCATCGCAGGCGACCAGCTATCCATTGCTCGCTTGCGTTCGCTCATGAAGAATCGGTCAGGTCATGACTCCTTCGCCAACTCGTATCTCTGGGCCGTCGTCATGCCCGGGCTCTTTCATTACAAGATGGCCACTGTACATGGCATTATGGAACGTCATTACGGCTACACTACGAGCCATCACAACCCGGGTTCACTCGCATTCCACAACACCGTCCTAGACCGTAAACCGATCACTGTGACCAGTCTTCCACCGTTCCGCGTGTGTCAAGATCTCATCTTCGTCTCACTCTACGCCCGCGTCCTTGTCTGTCTAGAGCATGTCAGCTCATGCGACACCCTTGAAGACTACGCCAAGCATGTGTCATGGGCACAGCTCAGACAGCACGCAGCCGAAATTGTCGACCGCTACACGAACAGCCGAACAGTGGGCCGCCTGCGTACTGCTCGTGCTGCGGCGCTTCGCAACGGTGTACCCGAGCATGGTGGCACTGTTGCAGCATCAACTCAGGCTGACTCGGAGGGAGATATGGTATACGAGAATGCGCTTCTGTTCCTGCGTGACGCGCTCGTTCTGCGTGCACTGACGAACGCAATCAAGATGGGGGTCTCCGGTCGCGTAGTCTTGATCCTCAAGGCATTGGCACTGATCTATCGCGGCGCCGGACGCACAAAATACGCTCAGGAAGTCCTATACCTGGTACATAATATGACTCACATATGGCCCGAAGGACTACGGTACGTCTACAGCCCTCATCTTGCTGTTATCCATACATTGACGAGCCGCGGTACCAGCAAAATCGTCTTGAACAATTGGCTCGTTAATCCGACCGGCAAGCCAAATGCCTGGGTCGAAGTCGACCTCATGCAGGAACATGAGAACTTCTGGATCAAAGTAAGTGTTCACGAGGGCTATCAGTCACGGAAAAGCAGAATACTGACCAACAAAATGTGATAGACAATCTACCGAGCACACGGGAGCAACGGGTCATGGGAATGGCTCGCCATGATATCGCCATGCATCGATATCCTGCGCCGCCTGTCCACGCAGATGAACGCGTCCCTAGGCGCGAAGCTGGGATCAAAGCATACGAGTCCCAGTATACAGAAGGACATTACCGTGCTCATGAAATCCCTGCACCACCACCAAGTCTACGAACTCCATCCCGGCCGCACGATTGATGACGACAAGCCCGTTGTACCCGACGCGCTGACGTATGGACTAGAGCTTCTTGAAGGGCCACTCGAGGACTTCAACCGCACGTTTGCAAAGCTGCAAGCGCGTTGCCGATCGACCCCTCTTGTAGGCGCGAGGTATCCAGGCATCCGCGCGACCTTCGACTCGGCAACGACGGTTGTTCCGGCCGCGAGCTCCAGTGAGCCGCAAACAGTCGCGGTCAATACAGCGCCGACCAGCGAGGGCCACGCAGAGGGCGCGTCGGAGGGCACGTCAGAGCAGCTGGCGGACAGGCAAAGCGGCGTGGTGATAGAACAAAGTGAAGATCGCGAAGGAGACGGTTTCGACGAGGACTCAGATGACGATGAAGAGGAGGACCTTCAGCCGCAAAGCATGTTCTCACTTGATACGCCGGGCGACGTGGCGCTTGATCCCGATCGTGTGGACGACTTTGAGTTTGGACTATGATACTGTATAATTTCTGTAACTACTGTCTCCGTGCAGACGACGTGAGGCACTTGCAATGTTCACGAGTCCTCATAGCACGGTATGCTGAATTTCTCTAAGTCCCGTTTCCCACGGGGGTACTCAGGTAAAGGGCGCCCAAATGGACCAGCCGTTCTGGCGAACGTGAGGAGTGCCACGACTGAGTTTGAATTTCTCCTCGCCAGAACGGCTGGGAACGAGCCTAGTATGCATACATCCACAACGACCTCGGAGAAAACCCCACTTTGGCCGAGCTGGAGAACTACATGACGGGAAAGAGCGGGGAGATGCCCGTCGTCCTCCGTCCAACGCCCGAGCAGTACAAACAGACAAAGAAGGATCGCGAATTTGAGAAACATCAGTTTCACCTCGCGGTCGCGGGGGTAGCGGGTAGCGGGAAGTCTTCATTTGTGAATGCTATCCGCGGATTGGAGGACAACGTTGACGGGGCGGCACCCACAGGAGTCATCGAGACGACTTATAAAATCGATCGGTACCCCGATCCCAATGATAATCTCCCCTTTATATGGTACGACGTCCCCGGTGCTGGCACACTCTCCATCTCCGCAGCACAGTACTTCACGGACCAGGGACTCTACGTCTTCGATGCCATCATTGTACTCTTCGACGCACGCTTCACGGCCACAGACATCGCCATCCTCCGCCAGTGCGCGCACTGGAAGATCCCCGCCTACATCGTGCGATCGAAGTCACAGACACACATCGAGAACCTCGCCAAGGACCTAGCGCGCCGCGCGCCGAGGAACGTTGACTACGAGGACAAGGATGACGACGAGGACAATGATAACGACAAAGCTAGCTTCATGGAGCAGGCGTGAAAAAGTTACATCAACGACACCCGTGCGAGCATTGCGAAGAACCTGCAGGATGCAAAGCTGCCCGAGCAGCGGGGCTATCTTATCGACCGCGCGACGCTGCTGCGGGTAAGGAAAGGCAAAAAGACGAAGGAAGTTATTCATGAATGGGAGCTCTTGAGTGACCTCCTCGAGGAGGGACGTCGCCGGCGCGCGCAGCGAGCGCAGCGAGGTACGTTGATTCCTAATACTGATCTCTTTTCACGAACTAACTTAGTGAACCTTTGACCGTAGCATTGACCGTAGCATTGAATCTTATTACTGGTGGCACTAGTATGTAGGCTTCCGCGCGTTGTTATGACCCTGTATGACTGCTGTCCACTTTTGCTCTGGCGTTTCGAGTTCGTGATGTAGGCCGTTGCGGATAGCGTTGACACGCCGTTGAACAACTGATTTTTGAATGGCAACGCGAGCAGCGGCAGCAGAAACGAAGATTTTACACGCGTGAAGCTGGTCAATGTACCGTACGCTAGAATTGCTCGCACGCGTGTCTACCGTAAGCTCAGTCTCGTTGCGATCTCCTCAAGACGAGTGAAAGCGAAGGCACATGCAATCTTCTGTCCACTCCCCAACTAGTGAAGTAGATCGCGTTAATGGCGGCGTCGTTCTTGATACCCCAGAGGTCCTGTCCGTTCCAATATGGGTAGCATCCCATATGCTTCATGCCGTTGTATCCAGGAATCCCTGTATCAATCCTGTGACTACGCATGAGCTTGGTTAAACAAAAGATGAAATAACGGAGATGCTCACCGGAATTCGTCGCGGCGCATGCTCGAGCGCAATGCGAGACGGCCCCGCGCACCGAACTGTTTCAGTGCGTTCACGCCAAGGAGCGTGTATTCCTCGACGTACAGCGTCCCTTTCTCGATGACAATGCGCGCGGAGGACGCGTTCCTCCCCAGATGCGAGTCAGTGTCACGCCAGGTACCAGCGTACAGCTCCTCGGCGAGATCAGCGAGCGCGTTGTCGATGGCGGGCTGGAAGATCTCAAACGTGTCGTATGCGAACTTTGCAGCGTCGTGATAGTGCCCGCCCATCAGGACTACGACACCATATCCCGTCCCGGGATGAATAGCTACAGCGGCGTGATAGCCCGCCATCGCGCCAACTGGAGACAATGCGTCAGCCCCAGAAGATGTCAGGTTGTGGCAAGATGACACACGTTTCCAGTAGATCTTGCGCAATCGGCCGTTGGAGTCCCTTGCCTTGATGATCTCCCACATGAATCCGATCTCTGTCCAGTCGTCCTCCTCGAATGCGTGCACAGTCTGGAGCCACTTGTTCAGCGAGTATTGCGAGATCTGGCTCCGCGGGTGGTTTGCGTTCAGCAGCGTCTGCGTGACGGTAATCATATCGGCGAGTGAAGAGAATTGGCCGCCAGCTGGGTTCATCGCATCTAGGAAGTCCTGGTCCTGTGAGTGGTTGTCGAGCGGTGAGTACGAGCAAGAGAGGTGACAGGAACAATGATACGCACCGCGATTACCGGAGCGAGAGATGGGACGACGATGAGGTGCTTGTTGTCTTCAGTAGTGAGGAAGTGACTCCCGTTCATGCCCATAGGCCCGAAGACGTCGCGCTGGAGAAGATCCGCATAATTGGCGAGAGAGGAACCCCGAGACGCTGCCGCTGCCTCTAAGACGATGCCCAGGAGCCCGGTGGCAGTATTGGAGTACGCAGGATAGGCCGCAGGAGGTGATGTGAGGCGATGTCGCTCAATCGCGGCATAGAGAGCGTCGTGCGAAGGGAAAGGGTGGCCGTTTGTAGGTGGAGGTCCACCTCCGAACAGGCTCTCTGGCCATCTGTGTACGGTCCCGGGTGGCCAGTCTCTGCCCAGCCCCGATGTGTGCGTCGCGAGCCGGTGTAAGGTGATAGGAGCGCCTTCACGGGGAATGAAGGGCTTGTCTGGGTCTAAACCATCAGGACTATACTTGAAGTTGTCGATGTATTTGTCAACTGGGTCGTCCCTGGCAAGGCGAGTTACATCGTGCAGTCGAGATAGTGGCGCGTCTGACGTACCATGAGATGATTCCCTTCTGTTCCAGAATCAAACCTTCGAGCGCAGTGAACAACTTCGATACCGATGCGATGCGATACATCGAGTGCGAGGTTGTCGGCGGAGAGGTCGACGTCTCGTTGCCCCTCATGACACCGAAATTGTTCTCGTAAAGGGTTCCATCGGATGTCACAACTGCGACTGAGAGGCTGTCGATGTCACCTTTGGCGAATCGGGTAGTAAAGTACTCGTGTAGGGTCCTCGTGGCCACGCGGATGGCGGGATGATCTGGGGAAGGAGGTGTTTCGGCGTGGAGGTTAGTAGGCAGAAACGGCCTGCAGCTCCATCGCTCGATATCTGATTCTCGGTCCAGGAGAGATAGAGAGAATGACAGCAGGTTGCCGGAGTACTGACTGCCTAGAAGGAAAGCCACAGCAGCGACTGCAACCGTCAGGGAAGTCCACATGTCGATGGTGGCCCGGGCCTGAGAAGGGCAAGGACTGGTGGTGAGAGACGACCTGAGTGATTTGATATTGTGCCCCTCTTTTATGGACTATCAGTCGCTCTTCCCGAGAAGACCGCCCGCTGTAAAGCGTACCATCTCCAACTTTGAGAAGTTGTACACAAATGTATGCATTTGGCACCCTTGCCCGTCGCTCATAGCAGCCTGTATGAAACATGCGTGAGCTCAGAAGTCACATCACACGGCGAATCGAGGTCGAGTGATGCGGCAGAGCGCAAGTGCCAACTTAAGGACACTGGACAGCCACAACGGCGTTGAACGCGTACCGACTTGTACCGACGGTACTTATGTACCATATGCATACCGCATCGTGATTGGTCAGTCAGGCTACCATAACAGGAAACCGTGCTCGTTGACCACCGCCGAACTCCATCGTGCGAAGGTCTCTGCGCATGCTCTCAGCCCCTGCTAGGACAAGGCGGTGCGCATGGATGCGGCCTTGCGACAAACATACGGGCTCAGCGCTCAGCGGCCAACACGTTCTGGCAGCGAAATGGGATCTATCACAACCTTAACTTTAACCGTGGACGTCCGCGCGGGCGTCTTATAGAGCCTCGACGAGAGCGCACGCCATCCCACACCTGCACACCACTGAAGAACATCTCGTAGGAGGTGAGCCTGGCTCAGGCTGCTGTGTATGTCTTGCTCTACTCTGCTTACAGTCCCATCGCCATCCATACTGACAGTTCTCTGAGACCGCACGCTCCACATGTACCAGTGGATTCAGCGTCTTTTAGATGCGCTGTTTTGCCGTATCTTCCCCCATACTCAGCAACAGCATGAAGATGGTATGAGCCAGCGACATCTGTTTGGGGGAGAGTCAACACAGGCGCCGGCTCTCCCGGGTCGTGAGCCAGAAGAACTCCGGCGTGTCGAAGACGAGGCGAGGCGAGCAATTGAGGAGAGTCACAGGCTGGAAGAGGAGAGGCGGGTGAAGGAGAAGGCCGTCCGAGAGGCAGAGGAAGCGTGTCGAAGGGCGGAAGAAGACCGCCAGCAGATGGAACGCATGCGCGATGAGGCCGAGCACGCGCGCGAGGCAGCGGAGGCCGCAGCAGCAGAGGCGCGGGCTCAACAGGAGACCGCGGAACGGCTGTTGCGCGAAGGTGCGCGACCCGTCGTCGTCCCGACCGTCGAGCAGTTCCGCGACGCGAAGCAGCGCCTGGAGTACCAGGAGGGCTACACGCATATAGCGGTCACAGGTGTGGCGGGAAGCGGCAAGTCCTCCTTGATCAACGCCCTTCGCGGCCTCAACAACGGCGAGCGAAGCGCGGCGCCCACTGGGATTGTCGAGACGACGAGCACCATCGCACACTACCCGGACCCAGACCCGAAGAAGCGCGTCGTATGGTACGACGTCCCCGGTGCGGGCACGCTCACGGTCCCTGACTGGGTCTACTTCACGGACCAGGGGCTATACGTGCTCGACTGCATCCTGGTCCTCTTCGACTCGCGCTTCACGGCGACGGACGTCGCGATCCTGCGGAACTGCGAACGGTTCCGCATACCCGCGTTCGTCGTGCGCTCAAAGGCGCGCCAACACGTCCGCAACCTCGTAGTGGACATGGGCGACAACGACAGTGATTCCGAGACGGAGGATGGCCAACAGGCGACGGCGGCGGTCCTTGAACGTGCCACCGAGCGGTACGTGGAGGAGTCGCGGACGAGCGTTGCGCGTAACTTGAAGTTGGCGGAGCTGCCGGAACAGCGGGTCTACCTGGTGGACAAGGAGGTGGTGAGACTGCTGGCGAAAGGGCGGCCCTCGGGGAGCAGTCTCGATGAGCGCGATCTCTTACGAGACTTGGCCAAGGCAACACCCCCGAGGGGCTCTGATGTGACGGATTCGATGAAAGACAGTCCACTGGCAGACGTAAGGTAACCCTGGCCTCGCTCGTCATGTTGTAGATTGCTTGTATCTCAACTATGTTGGCGTTCTCACTCACTGGTACCCTAATGATGCTACTGCTCCGCATGATGCAGATCATTCAACACTTCTCGAAACCGAGTGAGCATGGGTAGGTCTGCCCGCCTTGCTAACCCATGATGAGCACTACCACCGTGCGGCCGAGCGTCCGATAGGCAGGCGTTGAGTATGGGGATAGGCCGTCGCGCCTGTCATAGTAGGTTTCGGGCAGCGCCGTGATGGTCTACAAAAGCCCAACCTTATTTCTGCGCATTCCTCCCACCTTCGTGTCGACCTATCGCTCCGTACACAGTCCTCGAGACCAGCTGCCCAGTCTCGACGGCTCTGACATAGCGATAAGCCAGCCATACACGCACTTCCAGGGCAGGTACGTCACATACTCAGGTCTATTCAGCGACCTGCTGGGTTCCTGAAGTCCGGCCGTAGTAGCCTCATATCAGTTGCTGTACAACAATGGGGAGTGGAACCTCGAAAGTCGACCAAAAGATGCAGGGCCTGGAGGAGGAGTTGGAGAAGCTCAAAGAGTTCATGCGTGAACAGCAGAAAACGGGGGAAACCTCGTCCGAAGCGTTCAAGCGCATGGAGGAGGCAATAGCACGCGCAGAGATGATGGCGCGAGAACAGCAAGAGGCTATGCGTAGGCTGGAGGAGCAGATACGCCGCGCCAACGAGGGCCGCGCCCGCGGGGAGGCCGGCGCGCAGAGGGCGCTGGAGCAGGAGCAGTACGCGAGGCGAGCGGAGAGGGATGCGGAGCAGATGGCCGACGCGGCGCGCCGGGCGACGACCGACGCGGAGAGGCAGCGCCTCGCAGGAGAGCAGCCGCTTGCCAGCCCGACGCTCGCCCAGCGCGAGGCAGCCATGCGCAAGATCGGCTACGAGGACGGCCTGTTCCACTTCGCCGTCGCTGGAGTCTCGGGCAGCGGCAAGTCGTCGCTGATCAACGCCCTGCGCGGGCTGCGCAACAAGGATAGGGGTGCCGCACCCACCGGCGTTGTAGAGACCACCGACGAGATCGTCCGCTACCACGATCCTCAAGCCGATAGGTCCTACGTGTGGTACGACGTGCCCGGCGCTGGGACGCTCTCGGTTCCCGACTGGCAGTACTTCACCGACATGGGGCTTTATGTGTTCGACTGCATCATCGTCGTCTGCGACAACCGCTTCACGCAGACCGACGTCGCCATCCTGCGCAATTGCCTGCGTTTCCAGATCCCGACGCTCGTCGTGCGCTCCAAGTCGGGCCAGCACATCCGGAACCTCGCAGACGACATGGGGGGCGTAGGCGATGACGACGAGGACGAGGACGAGGAAGATGTAGGTGAGCGGAGGAAGAGGGCGCGCGAGCGATACATCCAGGGCACGCACCAGGTTGTTGAGCGGGACCTGCAGGCAGCGGGCCTGCCCCCGCAGCATGTGTACCTCGTCGACAAGGACGTGCTCCTCAGGATTGTGAGAGGGAGACAGGCCAAGGGACGAATTGACGAGAAGGAGTTGCTGCGGCGTATATTCGAGCTGGCACCCCCGCAGATTGACGGCTCCGAGCTTGAGTCGACGACGTCGATGGATCTGAGTGACCAGTGGACGGACTTCGGCGTCCAATCGACTCGGAGCCCGTTGATTACGCTCGGGCCGCGGCCGGATTCGGATATGACACTGAGTCCGTGGATGGACTCACCTTCGAAAGTCTAACTCATGACACTATGACCTCCACTGTTGCCAACACGCATACTTACCTTGCAGTCGCTGTGTTGTCGTTTCTTCAGGCCGCCCCCTTCCTGTACAGTATACTTTGCTACTGAGTTCAACACGGCCGTTCTCCAGTAAAGCCGTACCAATCCCAGAGAGTGGTTGGATAATCAGCTCACTGGCACTGGCAGTTGAATGTTTCCCATACATGCGTGCCATAACACTGACTCGGAGGCTACCACTGGCAGAAGCAGGTACGCCCACGATGGTGTGTTTACGGATTGTGGATTCCTACCGGGCGTGCTGTAATCGTCTCGTCTTCTCGGTTCTGTCCGCCCTCAACGAACGCCCATTCGAAGTTCGAATCAGGAGTTCCTGGGTGCAGAACATGGGGCGGCCGCCCTTCGTGCATCCACGCGGTGATAGGGTTCACCGGTGAGTGTCGTTCTACATCACTGCATGCTTGGGGTGTGCTTTCCGCAAGGTGACCTCTTTTATTGAACCTAATACCAGAGTACCATTGACGAGCCTCTGATCCGCGCACAGGTACTGTTCTGAATGGTAGTACGCTCCTATGTATGGCAAGACGTGTCCCAACCAGGCCATCGTTCTCGACAGGTCAGCGCTATCGCTTTCCGAGCGCGCAGTGTGTGCATCCCAATCGAAGACGAACCCTGAACAGCGCAGCAGAGCACGATTGCGGTGAGGAAACTTTGGTCAGGCTCCTTCCGCTGCTAACTTGGCTTCCCTCAATCTCCGTCTTTCGTTCTGGTTTCCGGGTTAGCGGTAATAAGCTATCCCTCCTGGTGATCATCCACTGAACGCACGTGTTGTGCGTGGCGAGTCGCAGGCAACCTTCACAAAAGCCGGTACATTCTGAACGACTGGATATCCCACTTATGGCAAGGAAGATGATTGTCGGGATATATAGTCTTCTCGTACGCCTTGCTCTGCATCGTCACTCTTTAGGCGACTGTTTGCAAAGGTGCGTGTCATGTCTCTGTTTTAGGCTTCACGTGGCGAACGTTGGTGTTCATACCGATCCAGTCATGGAACACGACGCGCATGAGGTGCTCGACATCGCTCTTGGGGCTGCCGTTCTTGTAGCGACATCAGTGTGTAATGTCGCTACGACAGCACAACGACGGATGCAGCAAGGTATCAACCGCCAGGCGCGAAATCGTGACGCTGCAGCGCTGCAGAGACGCCTTGATGAACAAGCAACCAGGCTCAACGAGATCAACGACAGAAATGCCGCTGCTATCGAGAGTTACCAGAACATCCAACGACAACTCCACGAATCCGAGATGGCGCTAGCGAACGTGAACGATAACCGTCGGTTATACGCGCAGGATCCGTACCCGATACATGATAGCAGGAAAGCAGCCCATGCCGACTTGACGAGGAGCGTCGAGGCCGATTACCGGGTTGCGGAGGACCAGAGACGACGAGCTGGAGTGCAAACCAGACAAGCGAAGCATGAGAAATGGGAAGCGGAGAGGCAGAAACGTGAAGCGGAGGAGGATGTCAGGCGAGCCATCGAGGAACGCGAGAGAGCCGTCGCTGCGGTAGGGGCGGCTAGGCAGGAGCAGGAACAGGCTCTGCAGGCCTTGCAAGGCGCTAACGCTGTTGCGTCTCGTACTCTCATCGAGCAGGAGGAAGCGGAGAACAATCTCCGCCAAGGCATCCGTCCCGTTATCGTACCGACGGCGGACGAGTCCCAAGCGGCCAGGGAGCGTCTCGGATACGAAGAAGGCAAGTTCCATGTCGCCATTGCGGGAATCGCGGGTAGCGGAAAGACTTCGCTGGTCAATGCTTTCCGCGGGCTTCGCAACAGCGATAGAGACGCAGCACCTACCGGTGTCGTCGAGACGACCAGCACCATCCAGCGGTGCCCGGACCCCATGCCTAAACGTCCCATTGTCTGGTACGACGTACCGGGTGCGGGCACGCTCTCCGTGCCGGACTGGCAGTACTTCACAGACCAGGGTCTGTACGCTCTCGACTGCATCATCGTCCTGTTCGACGTCCGTCTCACCTCCACCGACATCGACATCCTACGCGACTGCGCTCGCTTCGGAATCCCTGCCTACATTGTACGCTCCAAAGCTCTCCAGCACATCCGGAACCTTGCCAATGACATGCCCGATACCGACACGGACGAAGACGAGGACGATGGCGGCGCGGGTGCACGGGGACGGGCGCGCGAGTATTATATCCAGGAGACCCGAGCGAGTGTTGCTCAGAACCTGGACGCCGCAGACTTACCCGAACAACGTATCTATCTCGTCGACAAGGATAGTCTCGCGAAGGTAGTGAAGGGGAGACTAGCCAATGACGAGATCGACGAGACGAAGCTGGTTGACGACATCTTCGTTGAGGCGCATCGCAGGCTGGGTGCGGTAGAGCCCTGATATCTCATTATACGCCATATTCAGCGTCACGGTAGTATCAGTGGGCGCTCCTTCATTATCACGTCTACATTTTCTACGCCTCGTCCCGCTACTATCATGCAAGTATGGAACCGGCTACGATCGCTGGACCAGCAACGAAATCCTGACTTTCTCGCCACCCGTTGGCCCTCTCTGGTATGTCCCTGAAGTCCCTTTGCGCGGTTTCCTGTGAAGCTATGCATCAGAGCGTCGACGACAAGTGATAGGTTCCTCTGTAACCTGTAATCGGCATCACAATCCGGGAACGCAGCAAGACGCGGATGTGCAACAACGAGGCCAAGAAGAGAAGGTCTTACGCTCAGAAGTTCATTCATATTTGACAGCTTGCCGTTAACATTTTCACGGCGGAACAAGGACTTACCAGAGAGAGCCAGTACTAATGGTGATCTACGCTGCAGCAGCATACAAGATCCGTACCATGAGGTGTTGTAGAGGACGGTGATCAAGAAGCCGCAATACACTGAAGGAAGTACAGCCTGCCCGTTACTGCGTGGTGGTCCAAGTACGCAAACATCAAAACCTTGTGCCTGCCCGGGAAGTCAAAGTGTTGCGACAAGCTGGCAGAGTATACTTATACTACGATCGCAGGCACTATAACGCCGTGATACTTCGATAGCAACTGCCAGTCCGCCTTCGCATACAGGGCCCATTCTGGTAAGTATTCGTGGTCGGCGGTGGTGACGGTCTGCGTCCCCCTCACAGTGCTGTGGATCTATGTCACTGACGACACTTTTCTTGAATAAGAAGACCTACCCGAGTACGATCGCGGCACGATGGGAGGCAATGAATCGAGGATCGATGGTTTGGAGGACCAAGTCCGCAGGCAGGAAGATACGCTGCAGGCTGCTATCAAGCAACAAGAGACGATGTCAGAGATGCTGAAAGGAGCAACGGAATTGCAGAGCCGCGCCGCAGAGGCGCTCAAGAAGGCAGAAACCACGGCGCGCGAGCAGGAGAGGCTCGTTCGGGACGTGAACGAAGCTAAACAGAGGGCGGACGACGCTAGGCAGTTCGCAGAGGAGCGCGCGCGCGAGCTGCGTGACGCCGTGACGAGGCTAGAGGAGGAAGCGAGGAGGGCCAGAGAAGATCGTGCAGAGGCAGAGGCAGAGGCAAGGAGAGCGCGAGAGCAGGAGCGAGAGGCGAGGCACGCACAAGAGGAGGCCGAGAAAGCGGCGACGGCTGCGCGCGAGGGGAAGGAGGAGGCGGAGAGACAGTTGCGAGAAGGGATACGGCCGATCATCGTCCCGACACAGGCGCAGTACGAGGCGGCCAAGCGGAGATTGGGCTATCAGTCCGGCTACTTTCATTTCGGAGTCGCTGGCATCTCTGGCAGCGGCAAGTCGTCGCTCATCAACGCTCTGCGCGGCATGCGCAACAAGGACAAGGGCGCTGCACCCGTCGCCGTCGTGGAGTGTACAACGGAGGTCACCCGCTACGCTGATCCTAGCAGCGACATGCCCTACGTTTGGTACGACGTACCTGGCGCTGGCACGCTGAAGATCCCCGACTGGCAGTACTTCACCGAGCAAGGGCTGTATATCCTCAACTGCATCATGGTCATCTTCGACAATCGCTTCACAGCGACAGACATCGCCATCCTGCGCAACTGCGCCCGCTTCCAGATCCCCTCTTTCATCGTCCGCTCGAAGTCCGCGCAGCACATCCGGAACCTCGCGAACGACATGAGCGGCGGTGACGACGATGGAGATGATGATGCGGACGGTGGCGATCTGGCGAGGGCGCGCGACCGGTACATCCAGGACACTCGCGCGAGCGTGGCGGGAAACTTGGCCGAGGCCGGCTTGCTCTCGCAGCGCGTCTACGTGATCGACAAGGACGTCTTGGTCAAGGTGGTCAAGGGCAGGCCGTCGCGCGACTGCATTGATGAGGAGGAGCTGCTCAGAGACATGTTTGCATTGGCGGACGAGCGTGACGGGGGATCGCAGGCGGTCGACGCGTAGGCATGACAGCGCTTCATTGGTTGCTATGCGTATGCAGGTACTATAGGATTCTGGGAGCGCACGCCGTTCTTCGACTCGATGATGTGTATGTGGGTCGAAATACACATGGGACAGACTAGTAATCTCACGGTTCAGAACTATCTCGACTGAAGAGAAGTGACCCACGACGCACCTCAGCCGATGTTTCTCGATACGATCGCATACTTCCTTCTTGTGGACCGGCGCGTCGTGATTTTGTCAAGCCCATGTCTCATTGTTGGGAGATGTCATACAGAGTTTGTTTCGGTGGTCTGATGGGGGTCGGCTTCTGCAAGGCCAGGCTGTGAGCGCGGGTAAGTGGCGTACATTGTGGTGCTACTATTACATGTGAACGCGGTCCTCGGGTGTCTGTGCACGGGCGTGTCAAGACTGCTGGGCCATGTGGCCGTTCCGAATGCGTACAATCCGCGCGTGGAGCAAGTTTTCGTCGTCGTCGTTATCGAATTCGTACGGGTTCTCTGACTCGTTTGCGATGTACGGATTGTTGAGAAAGGAGAGATGAGGTGGTGGGTTTTTGGGGAGGTCAAAGTAGCTCGTCGTATGCGTGTGGCACTCGAGTGTGCTGAGCTGTGCCCACGGGATCGGTACTCGTAGCGTGAAGTGTCGGGGCCCGCCCGTGATTTTGTAGAAGACCCAGTGCCGTGTTAGACCGGTTGTGGCTGCGATTCGGCCTACGCCGCTCGATGTGGCAGAGGATCGGAGCGTGATGGAATGGTTAATCGCGAGTTGCACTGTAGGTCTCGTTGCTACTATCCAAGTCGTTCCTTTCCTGCCTCCTAATTCTGGTCGATCCTGGACCTCCACCACGATGGCGATCGTGGCGGGAGAGACTGGAGGGAGGGGGGAAATGGGAAGAAGTGCTCGTTCGGCCGTGACGGGGAATTCGTTGTCGTCCTGGGGCTGCTACCCCGGGACGTGCTGCCTGTCGGCGTTGCTTGAGCAGCTCCTGGGGTGCTGGGCCGTCGATACGGATGAGCTGGCATGGGTGTGGTAGTTCGTGTGGGCATCGTGTGAGGCGTGGAGAGGGGAATATATTTCATTAAGAGTGGGCGTTCTACTCGTAACGTTAAGGTTTCGTAAATGCTGACGTTTGGGCGGTCACCTTCATAGGACTATGGCAGAGAAGGTACCCACTTCGAGGACTAAGGCGCTCCCGGACCATTCAAGTGTTGGGGGGATACGTACAAGGGCAGCCTAGCCATGGGGGACTAACACCGGAGGTGTGAGGCGTAACGCCGAGCCACATGTGGACGTGGACTTGGATAATACATGTGCTTCACGGACTCGTGTCCTGGACCTCGGGCCACGTCGCATTGTATTCGGGGACTACATGTATTCGGGACGGTGCTCGCTTTCGGCACATCCGGTGGAGGTCCAGACTCGTACCCGTCTAGGCGCGGTGGGTTCATGACTGTACTTACCAGCCAGTGAGTGCGATATCCGACAGATGGGCAAAATGAGTATACGGGTCCTCGGAGCCAAGATTGCTGGCCGTCCAAACGGAGAGCTTGCTGCCAATGCCTAGCCCATTAAGCCACACACAGCGCAAGGCGTCCCGCCAGGCGCCTCGCGGTGTATGCGGCCTGAGCAGTGTGCACGACGGAGGAAACGTTTGTCGTTCCATCGCCTAGGCCTTGGGAGATTGAGGAGGACGAGGTTGACGGCGCGTATAGCAACACCTGTTGACGATCTGATGCTCATGAGTTCATTCAGTGTAATTGTCCAAGTCGCCGCCAGTGAGCATACACATAAGGTTGCATAAACAGCGAGCTCATGGCTCATAACAAGGATTACGATTAGTCGTGTAGTAAGGTATGTCACGCAATGGTGATAGTCCAAGGAAATATGAGATTATATATCCGACTCGCCTTACGATCCCCGAGGAGCATCCAGCGCTCAGCCCTCAGAAGTCGTCCACGTATTCCACGTAACCGTAATGCCGCTTCCCCCTGCTCGGGCCCTGATAGTCTGTACTCCCCGTGAGCCGTACTACAATAAGCATCAAAGAAGATGAACGCACAGGAACTCGTGTCGCGAACCCTGTTGACGCCAGCGACATCGGCCAGGTTGACATAGCCCTCCGCGTAGCTGCTGCCACCAGCCGCGCTCCCGCCTGTGCCTGCGCCCGCACCGGCACCGACCCATCTCGCGCGACAGAAAACGCAAGTGACGAGCTGAGCCTTCGAACGCGCCGTCGTAGCCCCTGCCACGCAAGTCGGTCAGCTCAACGAGGATCGAACGCGGGTATACCGAACGCGACCTACACTGCGTGAAGCATTCCTTGTGCAGCCCGTTCCCGCACTCCTCGCACCACACCAGCGTGTTCTCCTTCGCGCGGTGCATGTTCTCGTAGCAGATCGGGCAGTCGTCGTCCGGGCCGGGGACGCGTTTCTTGTCGGACTGTTTGGCCGCGGCGGAGGACGAGGACGCTTTGCCGGTGGCCCGCGCGTACGCTTCGCGTACGTGTGCGTGTGCAAGAGCGTTGGGCGCGAGCGGGGCGTGCGAGAAAACGTCTTGGAGCTCCGAGGTGAGCAGAGCTCTGTGGAGAAGAAGATTAGGCACTGAGGATGAAGAGCGGGTAGAGGAGCGTACTTTTGGTACCAATACCCAGACGCCTGAGTGACTTGCAGAACTGCTCGGACAGTCAGCACTCGTCAAGTGGAATGCTAATCAAGGAGACTACCTTTCAGGAAGATGAACAGCTGTCGGGGATGTAAGTGCATGCAATGAACAACATATGGAACAAGCTTACGATGTGTTTGCAATGGTTGCCCTTCGTGGCATCAGGACCTACATGTACGCACTCAGCTCCGCAGATACGTATATCAACATCATACATACAGTTGCAACTAGGTGTCTTGTCGACGATCACAGTGTACACCTACGTTCGCATCCGTGTCAGAGGTGCGCGACCAGTTAGCCACTCGGGTCACTTACGTTCCCCGTCGACCCAAGGACACTGAACTCTTCCTTGAGTTCGTCACCGTTCCGCTGGCGATCCACCATGTAGAACCTGTTTCATGGCATGTCAGGTATCGACGACGCGTGCAACGCGCAAAGAGACGCGCCTTTGAGAGATGACCCTGTCCAGCCGATCCAGGATGTTCTGCGGGCACTTTGCCCTGAACCTAGCAGCGCGTTTCTCTCCAGGAGGAGCTGCGTTGGCTTTCTTCCGCTGTTTCTTCGCAGGCGGCGCTGCAGCCGAGGCCGACTGAGTGGCTGGCACGCTGGCGGAGACGTATGATGGCGACGCATGCGAGTACGGACGCGCTGGACGCGGCGGCATCCAGCTGTCGTACGCGTCGAGGTCGAGGACTTCTGCCTTGCGCTTGGGCATGGGTGGCAGGACACTCGCGGAGGAGTATGTCGCGAAGAGAGGACGAGAAACGCGTGGGGCGGGGAGGGGAGGCGGGGAGAGAGCTTTATAGCGGGAGCGCCACCGCCAGAGCATGCTCGGACGAGCAAAGCAAGCAGGCGGGATTCCCACGCCATGGTCCTCTCCCGCTCCCTCCAGTGGCTCGCACACGCTGCAGCCACCAACGCCCGCAACGCCGTCCTCGCCGTCCTCGCCGCAGGCCCCGTCCCCCGCCATGTCGCCTTCGTCATGGACGGCAACAGGCGGTACGCGCGCTCGCACCAGAAGCGCGTCCAGGAGGGCCATGCGGAGGGCTTCATTGCTCTGCGGCGCGTGCGTAGTCCGAGCGATGTATCCAAGCGAGTGGCATTGACCTCAGAGCAGGTGCTGGAGATATGCCTGCGTCTGAATGTGCGCTGCGTGTCTGTCTACGCATTCGCCATCGAGAACTTCAAGCGCATGCCGGAGGAAGTCGACGCTCTCATGACGCTCGCAGAGACCAAGCTCCTCGAGCTCTGCCAACACGGGTGCGCCTTGATCCCCCCTACTGCCACCCCTGCTGACTCGTCGCGATGCCGTGAAGCGACCTGCTGCACGAGTACGGCGTCCGGCTGAACGTCCTCGGCAAGACGAGCCTGCTCCCGCCAAACGTACAGGCTGCGATCCGCAAGGCGGAGGATCTCACACGGGACAACGACCGGTGCGTGCCCCGTTCTCCCACCTCCGAGCTCCGGCTCCGTCCTCGAGGCTCGGTTCCTGTGCACCCACCCGCCGGAGGACTTCCTCGCCCTACTGAGTACGCGATAACCCCACCCTGGCGGCGGCACACGTCGCTTGTCTTATCGACACGCCTGTTCCTGCAACAGCTGACCGCCGTCTTGCTTGCATACCGCAGTGCGATCCTCAACCTCTGCATGCCCTACGCCGCCCGGAACGAGATCGCCACAGCCGTCGACCTCGCTATCGAGGACGCACTCTCCAAAGCGGCAGAGGACGGCTCCAAACCGTACGTCTCTCCGGTCTCGCCGCTCGCCGCATCTGACCGCCACGCTCTCCCCGCCGCCACCGCCACCCCAGAGAGATCACAGAAGACGATGTCGCCGCTCAGCTGATGACCACGCGCGCGGGCAGCCCCCCGCTCGACCTCCTCGTGCGCACCAGCGGCGTCCGCCGACTGAGCGACTTCCTCCTCTGGCAGGTGCGTCCCGCCCGCCCGTCTCTCCTCGCCCTGACTCTGATCCGCGCGCTATTTGCCGCAGTGCTGCGAGGACACGCAGCTGCAGTTCAGCCCGACATACTGGCCTGATTTCGGCCTGTGGGACTTTGTGCCGATCATCTTGGATTACCAGCGGCGAGCGTGGGCCGCGTAGGTCGCTTGCTCTTAGGACTTTTGTATCGTAACTTACTGTAATACACTGCCTACCTTCGTGGATACGACTGCAGTTCAATTGTGAATCGGTATCTTGCCTGAAGGACCGCAACACCACAACAATCAATGTTCCAGTCGACCCTACGTTCTGATCCACCTTACTAGTACAGTACCCCGATAGCCCATGTCTACATAGGGCTTCGCCCTAACGCGACAATAAACAGGATTTTACAAACAAACACCACAACAAGTTTTCAGATTTATGCTACTTTCCATTGACATTCGGCATGCGCTCCTACGTGCGTACTGTACAGAAAGCGACGATTAAGTATGTAATGATACAAAAAACCACAGAGACGGGGCACAGATGTGTATATGAACAGAACGAAACAATGATGCATGTAGCAGATCGAGCAATGAACGAACACCGGGCGCAGTCATGGCATACACAGCCTGCAGGGTCAAGGGGCATAGGGCATACTGGACGCCTGCGGAGGCTCCTAGCGAGCCCCGCGCAGCACACAAGGAAAGAGATGAACTTGGCGAGTGGTGATACACCGCACCGCGGACGAGAGGTGCAGGGCCGGACGAGCCATCAGGGCGGTGGTCTGCGGCACGAGGCGCAGGCGCGTCGTCTAACAAGCGTCGAAGAGCGAACGAGCCCGGCGCAGCGGCGCACATAGTCCAGCAATAAGTTAACAGCTACGTCGAGGCCGCGCCAGCCGGACGGGACGGTCCCGCGCTCACTCGACGACCTCAAAGCGGCTCGCCTCGACGCGGCTCCGCTTCGGCTCGCGCCCGTCGCTGCCGTCGTCGAGCCCGCGCTTGACGCCGCCGCTCATGCCGTCGAGCGAGCCATCGAGCGAGCCGACGCCCGTGAAGCTCTCGCCGTTGACGAGGTTCTGGAGGATCATCGTGTACTGGTCGTCCGTGAGGCCCATGCCCGCGAGCGGGTTGATCTTCCCGTCGTCCTCGCCGCCGGCGAGCCCGCTGAGCGCGAGCGCGGCGCCCTGCATCGCGCTCGCCTGCATCTGGAGCGCCTGGTCGAACGACGCGTCCGAGAGCGGCGGGATCCCGACGGAGCGCGGCACCTTCGACATCGTCTGGATCACCTTGAGGTGCATGAGGTGCTTCTCGAGCATGTCGAGCAGCCCGTCGCGCGTGAACGGCTTCGGGAGCACGTCGTTCATCCCCGACGAGTAGTACTTGATGATCTCGTTCGGCTTGCTGTTCGACGTCATGCTGATGATCGGCGTCATGTGGTCGAACTGGCGGATGAGCGACGTCGCGGACACGCCGTCCAGCTTCGGCATCACAATGTCCTGCGTACCCCCAGTCAGCTTCACGTCCGCACACACACATCGCGTAGCAACCCACCATGAGCACGAGATCGTACTTCTCCAGGTTCATCTTGTTCACCGCGCCAACGCCGTCCACCGCCACATCGATCGTGCACCCAAACACCTGCAGGAACTTGCTGCTCAGCCTTCTGCTGACCGCATCGTCGTCCACGAGGAGCACCCGCGGGGGCACCGCCCACCCAGGCACATACGTGCTCCTGCGCACCCTCAGCGTCTGCGCGCTGCCCGGGCGGCCGCTCGGCGACACCTGGGTCGTGCTGGGACCCGCGCCCGCCGCCGCCGACGCCGAATCGATCGCGGACGCCGCCGCGCCAATGCTGTACGGCGCCTTCGTGTTGCCCTCGTCCTCCTGCTCGGGGTCGCAGCCCATGCCCTGCGGCGTGGGCATGACGACCGAGTTGAGCGCCTGCGCGTCGACCGAGTTGAGTGCTTGCGCGTCGAACGCCCAGTTCCCGTTCTCGTCCTCGAGCGTGCTCTTCGGCAGGAGGTGCCCCACGGTGAACACCTGCAGGCCCTCGTGCGTCATCACGCTCTGCGGGTAGTTCAGGCTCAGCCCGCCGTTGTTGAAGGAGAACTCAGCGCCACCGAACGCAGACGCGTCGCCCTGCGCTGCGCTGGACGAGCCTTGCTGCTGGCTGCCAGAGGAGGACGAGGACGCGCCGCCGCCGCTCTGCGAGGCCGCTTGGGCGATGGCGGCCTGCGCCTGCGCGAGGGCTGCCTGGCCCTGTGCGCTTGCGGGCCTCTGGCGAGTGAGCTCTTCGATACGCGCGAGGGCATCCTGGCGGCTCATCGGCCTGACGATGCCCTCGCCCATGCCCAGCCCATTCACCGCCGCAGCGATCCGCGCCGTCGCGTCCTGCTGCTGCTGCTGCTGCGGTTGCTGCTGACCCCTGCTACTTCCACTGGCGCCGGAGCCGGACGCGGAGCCGGACGTACTCTGCGGGGGCGGCATCGCGAAGCTCATGCCCGCGACCTCCGCCCTGCGCGAGATCTCGTTCATCTGCGCGAGGCTCGCGCGCGCGATGTCGCCGTCGGGGAAGCCGGCCATCATGCGCTGCGTCTCCGTCGCGGGGAGGAACGGGTGGTTCACGTCCTGCACGGTTTGCGCCTGTGCGGAGGGCCCGCCGCCGCCGGGCGCAGAGGGCGGGTTCTGCGCGGAAGAAAGCTCTTCGGCCTTGATCTTGCCTGTGGGGGTGAGTGGCACACGGGAGGGTCAGTGGACACGGGCGAGACAGGGGAGGGACGTAGCGTGCATGGACATGTTCGAGATACCAGCGACGAGCAGCGACGACGACGACAGAGACGTGCAAGTCGAGATGTGGCCAGGACCGAGAGGTTCGAGAGGGAGTTCGAGACAGTGCAAGGGTCGAGGCGGGAAACGAGCGGCGGCCGGGGCGCGTCGAGGCGCAGACGCGTCCAGAAGGGGCCAGACCGCGGAGGCGGAGGATGCGTGATGGGTCGTTTTGATTCGCGTTTCCATGAGTGCGTGGGGATTCGGCGTGCGATGCGTGGGTGATGCCGGCAGAGCGAGAGTGCGTTATTGCAAGTGCGAAGAAGCGGGGGTCGACATTAGAGCGAGAGCGGGTGCAGAACCAGAGAAAGCGCGTTGTTGTACAGAGATTTGAGCGTAATTCGAAATATGCGAACACAGAGCAATAAAAAAAGGGAGAAACGGGGCGCGCTCAGCATCGGACATGGGGAACTCAGGACTGGAAACCCCCACCATTCTCGAGCTGCAAAAAGTACTGTATCAAGTTCTGCATCAACCCGTCCTGCTGCGCCATGTTCCGCTGAAAGTTGACCATCTCGGTGAGGACGCTCTGGTAGTTGCTCTCGAGGTTGCGGACGTGGGCGACGAGCTCCTCCTGGTCGCGGGCCATCTGGTCGAGGCGGGCCTGGAGGGCCTCGACGGAGGCGCTGGGCGGGGTGGGGGAGTTTGTGTGGGCGGCGGACTTGCGTGCGGCGGGGACTTTGCGCTTGATGTTCTCGAGGGCGTCGCGGCGGTCGACGTGGAAGTCGGGATGGCGGAAGGTCCAGCTCTGGGGGGGGGGGGGGGGGTCAGTGGGGCGGGGACGGTGGGCGGGGAGTGCACGCACGTGTTCGCCAAACTGGTTGTCGTCCGAGTTTTTCACCTGGGGGCGTGGGAGTGAGCAGGGCGGGCGGGACGGGGTGGGAGCGCGCACCTTGTGAAAGTCGTACTTGTTGAGCTGGCGGACGAAGGAGGCAAAGTTGGAGTGCTTGAACATGCGGGGGAGGATGGACTTTGTGAACTCGTTCATGTCCTTGACGACGAAGCAGTCGCCGTGGGGGCCCCAGGAGACGACGTGGGACCAGGACGTGTCCTCGAGCATCCTGGGCGGGGTTAGCGGGGGCAGGGAGAGGGCGCGGGGACGCACTTGTAGAGCTTCTTGACAAAGTCGGAGGTGGAGGGCATGTCGGCCTCGCCCTCGTGCTTGACGGGGTCGTGGCTGGGGGCGGGGGCGCGGTCGTCGCGGTCCATCCTCTTGGAGGGCGGCTGGGGGTGGCGGGGGTGGTCGGAGAGGGGGCGGAGGGGCGGGGAGAGGTCGTCTCTGGACGAGGAGGTGCGGGCGGGCCAGGGGAGGGTGGGGCCGAGTGGCGGGGGCGGGAGCTGGGCGGCGGCGGTGGAGAGGGACGGGTGGGGGTAGGTGGGCGGGGGGTAGCGGGTGTTGAGGGACGAGGAGGGGAGGTGGGCGGAGATGGGGGGGAGGGTGTTGTTGGACGAGCGGGAGAAGGAGGCGAGGTGGTGGAGCTGGGACGGCGGGGGCAGCTGGGGCGACGTGAAGAGCTGGCGCGACGAGTGTGGGTAGGACGGGGACTGGTCCATGGTGGGCGGGCGGCGGGCGGCGAGTATAAGACGGGCGCACGGTCCAGGCGGCGAGAGGCGGCCAGAGGCAGGAGAGTCCGGAGGGGCGATGGCTGCGATGCCAGTCGGCGCGTCTGATCGTCTGTTATATGCCTCCTTCCCAATATATCCGCCGAGAACCTTATTTCCCCGGCCATCTCCTCCCATCGCCATCCGTGCCTCCCCCGCCCCTCTCCTCGTCGTCCCTCACAGCGAGCACCCAGTCGACGCCGTCCCGTCCACGCCGCCCCGTCCACGCCGTCTGCAGCCACAGCCCAGGCAGCACGCCTGGACCGCCGCCGAGGCTTCCAGGGGCTTCCAGGCACACCCAGCGCCTCCCGCCGCACACGCTCGCGACGCGTGCAGCTCCCACGCGCCCCGGGACGCCGCGCCGAGTCCCCCCCCGCCATCAACCCCGTCTCGAAGCCCTCCCCGCCGCCCGCACCGCCGCACCGCACACGCACGGGTGTGAGCATGAGAGCGCGGGAGATACGCCATGTCCATGGTCCCAACATGCTGCTGATCCATTCAGCCGCCTACAAATTCGGATCCCACCACTCAACGGCCCCACTACAAATTCGCCCCCTGCACCGCTGCGCCCCGGGCCTGTCGCTGTCTCCCATGCGCGGCGCACTCGTCGTCCGTCCGTGCGCAGGATGGTGCACAGCGGCGGCGGTTGTAGGTCCAGTGGAGGCGGAGGCCCACATAGCGGAACCTTTTCATTCTCCCCAGATCCAATCCTGCTCGGAGCCGGCCACTCCGTCGATCACCAGGCGGTCCGATCATCCACGGACGTCACCAGCGTCGACAGTCGAGAGCAGGCCATGGACGACCTAGGCCTCGCCGCCCATTCGAGCAAAGCAGAGCGCAGTGGACGCATACAGTGCAGCCCTGCTGTCGCACGCGTGACCATCATCATCAGCTTCCCTGTGGGTTGGCACACGCGGCCCAGGCGGGCCCGCGAACACTCGGAGGCGCGCCTGGTGGGCTCGAGGCCGTCTCGTTTTAGGCCTGAGGGTCCGCCATCGCTGGGGGTGTTCCGAGGACGGAGCGTGCCGTCATGCTACCGGTGCGATGTGCAGTGACGGGCGTGGGCAGGGCGAGCACTGCAGGGTATCTCGAGGGTCAGAGTGCGTCCTCGTCTTCCACCCCCGCGCACGAGAGGGCGAACGCCACTGGGATCCCGACCTTCTCGGGATCCTCCAGACGTCGATCACATCTGCGAACACGCCCTCGCATGATTGGCGGGCCTGTCGGAGGCGTCCACAGCCCAGACCGACTTGTGTTCAATGACGAGTCCGCCGGCGAACCATCCAGGCAGTGCTGTCCAATCCCGGCTCGTGGTGTGCCCGCCAATCACCGTCGCGCTCTCCATCCTGGCGAGGTCGGTCTGCACGCTCGAGCGCGCGAGCCTCCGTGGGTGCGGCCCTTCGCGGTACGTGCCGTCGAGTGCCCACGGACGTCGACTGCAGCTCAGGTGCGTCGCTCGTCTAGGCATGCCCCCGTCAGCCGTCCAACACGCATTCATTTCTGAGTCTCCAACTGGCCGTTGCACCCCGACATTCTCGGGAGTCAGAGGCGCGACGAGCCCAGAGCCCACCGGCAACCCATACAGTCGATCTCATCTCCACCCCGCCCCAGCCAATCGCACGACCCATGATGCATGACGGCGGGCCAGGCCCTCCATGAACGCGAAGCTCTGATCTCCTCCCAGCCAATCTTGGCCCCGTCGACCAATCGCCGTTGTCCCCCGCTCGCGCCCGGGACCGCCGGGAGTTCATGATCGGCGCTGCGACTCCGTGGCGCTGCGAAGCTTGGGTAACCGTGAAGTGGAGACACAGCCCCAGCGGCGGACATACCTGATCTCAGTGTGCGCTCGACTGATCTTCAGGCCCGTACATCCTCGTCGTGTTGCGCGACTCGACGGTGACTTATCCCGACGCAGGTGAGGATCCATGACTGACCACTCCTCACGCTGAACAACCGTTCCGTAGCGCCATCTCCTCTCTGACTCGGAGGGAGGCTGCTCAGTTATGCCTGCGTGTGCCCATCCTCGTCAATGTAGGTCCCCTTGGGGAAGGATATAACGCATCTCACGCTCGACATCGACGAGTCTGAGTTGCTTGATGCCGCTGTGGAGTTCGGGTATGGAGCAGACACAGTAATCGCGCTATATAAAGGGGACACGCTCTCCAAAGTAAGCGTGCAGATTGAGATCCCTGTCATGAATGCATAGCAAGACATCGCGGACAGTGGTCGTTCGAACCTAGTTTATTGCCAGCTCACTCGGGCAGACCTAGTGCTCAATGCTCGCAAACGGGGCGACGACGCAGAGCTAATGTTTTACACCGCTTGTGCAGTTCTGACGGAAGGCAAGGACGTAAACGATCAGCTGTTTCCCCCGCGGCGACAGCCATACCAACCTAGCTTGTGCCAATCCGCCATCCGCAAGCTCCGCTATTGTTTGGGAAGACGCCAGAGTGGACGCGGGCGGCTGGCTGGGAGATGGCGGGGTTGGGAGACGGTCCGATGTCACTGACCTCGTCACCCCAATGCTCGCGACTCGCAATAGACTCGGGTTCCGCCACGGACTGTGCTATCTCGAGCTCGGCGAACACGTCAACGGGTGAGCTGATCCTACTCCGCAGCGTCTCCATAGATCTGACTTTTTCCCCAGCGTGGGCCACCGCAACCCTCCTCGCTCCCGAGCGTCTTCCAAACCTTCACATTCACGCAGTCTATCACGGATACTCTTTACGAAACCTCCTGCTCGCCACCCGCACAGAGCTCCGCTGCGTACTCCGAATGCTCCCCAACATGCCCGACGTCTGCAGATACGTCCCTCTGGTATAGCTTCGCAGTCACTTCAGCATCATTCTTGTAGCATTTACAGGACCGAGCACGACTCGGACCCAGTGAGGGGACCGCGATAGTCATATGATGCGGCGATACGTGGGGCTGCCGCCGGTGATACTTCTGTTGTACTGACCGTAATCTTTGGCTTGCTCTCGAAGTTCTCGTACGTCTCATGGCCATTGAAACTCTAGCACACGGCTAACATGGGTCCCAGGCGATCAAGACGGACCCACACTGTGCCTGCAAGCGACAAGCTACCTTCGCGCTCTCGCGAAGAGCGAGGTCCAAGCCCTCCCGTATCAGCGGCAGCAAACGATAGCCGTGTAGACCAGCGCGTCGCGCGCGCGGATGTCCCTGTTATGTGCGTTTACGCATATGTGACACCCTTTCAGGTTGACATAGCTGCGCGGCGCCTCTTTCGCGATGATTTGCTGATCTATTGGACTGTCTGAGGCTCTTGGAGTTGACCTGTACCCTCATCGTGGCGCGGCACTTTTCACCTTCCGTTCCGTGCGATTGCCGCGGCCTTGACCGCCCATGACCGTGACTTGGATGTTCCTCAGGAGGAGCTGCGAGTGATGCATGGCGCGCGTTCGTCAAGGTGCATACGCGCCTAGACGATGAGGCCGCCGGAATAGGATTCACAGACAGGGTCGTCTGGACAACGTTCCCTATTCAGTAAACAAGCCAACCGTGACCACAACTTACTGGGTGCACGAAGGTATGGTTCCGTCACAGCCGCACTCAACTCCGTGTTCAAGCAAGAGCTTCCCCCACCCGCTGGCACGCCGGGAGTAATATAGTAGGTGACCGCGTCTGCCTGTGTCTGGGCGCGGGCGCGTACGTATCGGTCGTGTACACTAAAGGGTGAGGATGGTGAGTGCCATGGTCAGATAAGGGTCAGGCAGCGTCTGTTGACATTCTCAATGCAGCTGCATGAGCTTCGCACTAGGTTTATATCGCACCTCCCACGCCGCATAGGTACCCGAAAGGAGTGCCTAACGCGGCCAGCCATGTCTCGGAGATACCATATGCTACCGCCTCGTGGCAGATCTTCCACGTCAGGATCGTCGTTGTATGACTTGGATCCTCCTGCAGCTCGGCGCGAAACGAGCTCGGTAAGCTGAGGAGAGGTGAGCCGTGTATTTCATTCCCGTTGCGGATGTCACAAGCCAGTAAGGTTCTGCGTCTCCTGCCGCATGGGACAATATTCATCATTTGAGTGTCCCACTACCGTCTTCCCTGCCATCGACCCGGAGGATTCGGCGCCGAATGTCAGTGCGGTTCGGACACGACCAGTCATCGTATTCCCGGTAACAGACTGGCCTCACTTTATAGACCGAGGAGAGAGAAGCACGCAATGGCTAGGACCTGAAGCGGGTCCTCGTCACGCTCCACCTTGGTCTCGCCGCTCACAATGGCTTGTAGTCCGACAGTGACGGGTACGACAACCGCCGCGCTCACCTTCGAGAGCGTGTCGACTTCGTATAGCGCGGTTGTCGTACCTGCCACCTCCCCGGCGACGACAGAGGCGCTGTTGTGGGTCTCCGCTCGTCAGGACCTAGGGCATACTCCCGCGGCGGACTGGGGAAGCTCTACGTCCGATGCGGGTGAGCATATTTACTTGTGTCATTCGCTGCCACCCCCGGCCGATCTGATGGGTTGCTTGCAGGATGGGGCTCCTTGACCCTCTCCGTCCCCGTGTCCCAAACATACACGTACACGACAGCTATCACAAGTACCCTCTACGGAACGGGCTATCCAAGCACGACCCTTTCTGCGTGCCCCAGTTTAACAACAACGCCGGTCGCGACAGGAGCCAACAACGACGCAGCGGCGAGCCATGCGCGCGTAGTACGAGGCATAGCAATTGGCGCAGCCGTCGCCGGTGTGCTGGCTCTACTCCTCGCGATAGCTGGCCTCATATTCTTCTGGTGTGTTGTGCCGCGTTCGTCATCAGCCACAACTTGACCTATAATAGCACGCGAAGGAAACCGAAAATGCCCGCTCAACAGGCTCAACAGCAAAAAACAGTCGTGGTACGAAAGAATGATGATAATTGTCCGCACAAGAAACCGCTTCCCTGTGCACCGCGGTATGTGTGATATCCCTGTGAACGCCACCAAATTCACTAATAACCACTGCAGTAAACAGCCTCCTCCTCAGTGCCCTCACCCTCGGATCCCTCCACCCGTCTCCGATCCTTTCCGTGTCCCCGATTTACCACCGCCTGCGCCTCGTGCACCTCCCGGATTCTCTCCTACAACTCACGGGTTTCCTGCTGCACCCCCTCCCCCTTTACCTGCAGCGCATCTGCCCGTTCTCCTTCCGAACCCCGGACCTCCACATGTAGCCCCTGCACCTCAGGTCCACTGGCCTGCTCCGGACCCTGTCTCTCCTTCCACACCCGCACCCACACCTGCGCCTCCTTCTCCCGTCGTCGTAAACGAACCAAGAGCAGTAAAGAGAAGGAGCCCCAGTCTGCCCAGATCGCGAGATCGCTCCCCGCCGCGCACGCACACGCAGCCTCCCATCGGGGCGTTCTTCATCCACCATAACATCACTCGCCACTATGTTCCCTCGCCATGTGTGCATGGACACAGGAGCTGCGTGCACTCAACTGCTCACGGATTCTGCCCCGTCCATGGATGGGGGCGCTGACATGAATGGCTACCCGCTGGTGTGTGGTATGCATGCGTACTGGTTCTTCCGGGATCTTTACTGGATGTGGCAAACCACCGCAAAAAGGTACAGCAGAAACATGTTGCCCGAATAACCACGCGCCACATAATAGACACTACTACAGCATCAAAGAAAACACGAGTAGGAGAGAGGAAATTCATAAAGGATACACAGGTAGAACGACGGCTGCGACGACGTAGACAACGAGAACACAAACGGCCACGACGGTCATGACAAATTATGAATGTTCCCGCGCGAGCGAGGACGGCACATGTAACGTATACGAGGAGACGGCCACAACAATACATACATTGACAATCAGCGGAGCAGCTACTCGGGGCACGCGCATGCGTGGGCGTCGTCAAGAGGAGTCGTCTAGAGTCCATAGCGTACCGAACCGAACCAGAGCGGAGCACATACATATGACACGTCGAGGCGAGCACGACACGAGCAGCGGAAGATGGATGGAAGGGGAAGGGAGATGATGATGCACATATCATGACCGCTCGAGCTTGCCCGCCACTCCCGCCGCCTCGTCCCGCGCCTGCCCAAGCTGTGGATCGATCCCCGGTACGATCGTCAACGGGCCCTGCCGCGGTGGTTCGCTCGAATGAGGATGAGGATGGGGGTGCGGCGCGTTCGTCGACATCGCGGGGTTGATGGTGTCTCCTCCTGGCGGTGGCGGTGGCGGCCCCTGAACGGGAGCGGATGCGGACGCCGAGGCGGACGTCCCTGCGGTGGGTTGAGGCGCGGGTGGGGGGTGTACCGGCTGCTGTTGGCTTTCAACACCGACGAGAGCAGAGCGGAAGGGGGAGGGGGCGACGAGCGAGCGGTGGAAACGGGCACGGAAGTCGTTCGGGGGCGGTTGCGAGGGGTCGTGCGGGACGAAGGGCATGGGATAGGGAGGCGGTGGCGGTGGCGGGGCATTGTTCGGGTCGCCTGGATTAGAGCCGTCGGGTGCCTTATTCGCTGCGTGATGTGCATAGTGCATGCGTCGCTGCAGAGGGGAGATCAGACGAGTTGGATGCCGTGGCCAGATCCTGCGAGAGGACTTACCTGCTGATCCCAGTGGTCCCAGGCTTGTGCGATGATGGGCTCGAGGGAGGTAAGCTCGTCGTTTGTCATGTTGAGCGTGCGGAGCAGGTGTTGCTTGAGGAGGGGGGCACAGGAGAATGAAAGGAGAAGGGTAGAGGCAAATGTCTGTCCCCCTGAGAGCTGAGGGACGCCATGGGGGAACGGCGGCTCCTGGATGGCTTGCGGGTGCGGGGGATGGGGCTGCATCTCGTGAGGCATGACGGGCTGGTACTGACCCTCAGCGTTGACCCGATACTGCATCTCCTCCATACCAGGGATAATCTCGTTGCCCATGTCCATGCCGAGCTCGCGCATCTTGCGAGCCTTGACGAGGGCACGATGTTTGCGTTGCCGCTCCCGTGCGGCGGAGCGGACACGGTCTCGCCTTGCGATCTCCTCAACGGTGGGATCGTCGGACTTTGCAAACTCTGAGATGGAGGTGGGCATGCCCCCGGGCGCGGGAACCTCGACGGGCGGGGGCGCAGCCCCTGTGGGCTGCTGGACCTGTGAAAGAGCAAGAATGTTATTCAGCCCAGCCTGACGGTCCCTCTCGCGTTTACGGCGCTGCCGCTCTGCAGCCTTCTCTCGCTTGTGTCTCTGGCTGGGGGTCTCGTTCTCGCGCGACCGCTTGCGGGACGCGGAGGGCGTTGCGGGGAGCTGCATGGGCTGCTGGGGCTGGTCGTGGGTGTGCTGAGCGGGGTCCATGGAGAACGAGTATATTGACCTGCGCGACGATGCGCCCGGCGTCGGTGACCGTTACGGAGTGCGCCCGACGATGCAAGAGCCAGTGACAGTCGTGACGAAAAGTGACAACCGCGCGCACAAACACTGTCACACACCTTATGTACCCCCTGTGGCGTGGGAACGCGCCCGAGTCCGTCCCTTTTGTCGCCCATAGTCGACGCTCTGTAGCGAAGGCGACGTTCAATTGGGCTGCCAGTCTGGTCTCGAACCTATCTCTATTCTACAAAATCATGGAAGTATCTACAGTGGTCTAGTACCGGGACTATGCGTCCTTCAGCTCGGCACGCCCACTGTTCACAAACCTAGACAACACCTCTACCATCGGCCGTCTACACTCCTCGTAGTTGAACTGGTTCGAGTGGTCCAGGTTCGGGTAGTACAGCACCTCCAGGCCATTCTTCCGACATCTGAATTGCACGTCCTCCGAGCCCGTAAGGTACTTCAGCACCTCCGCCGAGTCCACAATCTGGTCTTGGCCACAGAGTATCACCGCCGCCTCGCGGCCCGCAAGGTCCTCCTTCCAGAGCACGTTCTCTGTCCAAAAGAAGTGTCGCGACAACGCGCGTGCGATGTCTGCGTCCCGGCTCGCAAAGTACCACAGCTGGAACTCGCTCGCGGAGCGCGGCTCCCGGTACACGAAGTTGTACGCGACCGGCGGGAGGTAGAGCAGGAATGGGATCGGATCGATGAGCAGCGTGGCGGTGACGCGGGCCGAGAGCGCGGGGTCGCGCAGAACGTGCGCGGAGAGTACGGTGCCGTAAGAGTGTGCAGCGAGGACAAAGGTGGAGATTTGGTGGTGTGCAAGGACGGTGGTGAGCGCGGCGAGCATGTCCGCGCGTCGCAGGGGCGGCGGGGAGATGCGCATGCTGATGGAGAGGTTCTCGATGGCGATGATGCCTACGTCTGGGTCCTTGTCTACTAACTCGCGGAGGAATGTGACGTACGGCCAGAGACCGATCTACATCAAGAATTCAGCTTGTACCGCAGATAGAAACATCACATTCCGTACCCCGATACCGTGAAGGAAGACGACAGGCTGCTTGGTCTTTGAGCGGTGCGGCCGGTACCAGTATGAAAGAGAAGGTTCAGGTGTGCGCTGCGAGAAGAGCGACCACATGCGGAACGGGAAGGAGGAGAACGGGTTCCTGGTGCAGCAGTGATTGAAACCTGCAAGCGCTAGCCCGGCGCAGGTCACCGTATCGACCAAGCCCACGATCTGCTGTACAGTCAGACCCCTACGCGTCATCGCTAAGACATGCAGACTCACCGCATACCAGACCAACGGTCTGTGCAACATAACGACAGGGTCCAAGGTGAGGCGCATGCACTTTGCCGTTTCGCTCCAGCCATCTTCGAAGGGGCTGCCCGTGTAGTCCTCCAATTTCGCCAGGTAGCCCTCGATTTCGTCATTCCATTCCGGACGCCCGTTTTCCCGATTGCAGCCAAAGAGGGCCCACAGCAGCCACTCCCTCATATTCTCGCGCTTGATGAGGGAGGTTTCGCTGCCGAAGAACCAGCCCGACGCCATGTTCATCTTCGCGATGTAGACAAAGCAGTTCGAGAAGAGCTTCTCGCGCTCCTTGCGGGTCAACGGAGGTGGGTGTGTCGCGGCCTAATGAAGACAAGTCAGGACGGCCGAACTAAACGTCCGAGAAGCATGTGAGTATAAGGATCTGCGAGACTCACCTTCTGGAGTAGATAGGACCGCGGGAGGTATACGAAGAAGTAGAAACATGCCTCAGCTAGCGCATACGCTCCCAGCCACGGAGAGTATAAAAGTCGGCCTTCCCACCAACTAGCGAGGGTGTAGAGGATGCTCAGAGGAGCGACGAGGCGCAGAGCAGTGATGCATATTCGAATGAAGATGTACTCCGGGACGGAGTCGGATATCATGTTGGTCTATTCGTGGTCGTCCGGAGGTCGTTGCGGTCGTGCTGGGAGGTTGCAGCAGGTATGTGGGTTCCACTGTGAGCGATGATAGGGAGCCAGTGAGTGCCTTGGGGCTGGTGGACTCATCCTCCCCTGGCGGACGCCTGCAAGCGCTGCTCAGTGTTTTGGGGACGCAGCCACCGCGCCACCGGAGAATGCCGCAGCTTCAGTCTCCGCCCGGCGGGAGGGCTCGCCATCTTTCCCTCGCCCCGCCACCCGACTCGCACGCCCGACGACGATGGCAAAGAAGAAGAGCAAGCAGGTAGGCTCAGTCAGGCTGGCCAGACTACTCGATGCTGACTCTCTGCAGATCATCCGCCCTTGGTGCTGGTATTGTGAGCGGGAGTTCGAAGATGACAAGGGTCAGTCGCCCCCAACCCCGGCCCACCGCCCACTGACATTTTCTCCCAGTTCTAATGCAGCATCAGAAGGCCAAGCACTTCAAGTGCAACATGTGCCCTAGACGTCTCAACACCGCAGGAGGTCTCGCAGTCCACATCCAGCAAGTCCACAAGCTCGAGCCAGACCAGTGGGTATCGCACGCTGTTGGCGCCATATATATGTCTCACTTTACTCTGAAGGCTGCCTCGTATCGACAATGCACTACCAGGTCGAGACGGCTACGAGGTGGAAATTTTCGGGATGGAGGGTATCCCTGCGCCCGACGTGGCCGATTATAAGCGCCGCAAGGAGATCGAACTGGGACTCAACCCCGGCACAATCTCGCAGCCCCAGTCTAAAAGGCCCAAGCTGGACAACCGTCCGCTCACAGAGGACGAGCTCAGGGCACAGCTCGCGGCCCACAGGGCCCTCATGGGCGCCGGCGAGAACACCGCTGCGCCTGCAGCCCCTGAGGCTACAGGCGCCGTCTACGGTGCCCCTCCACAGGCGTATGCTGCCCCGCCCGTCCCTGCCATGATGCCGCCCCCGTCGGCGTCTCCGCCAGGAATGGTACCGCCAGGTGCGCCGCCATTTGTTCCAGGCGCGTTACCTCCGCCAGGTTATCCAGGAGCACCTCCGTTCCCGCCGCCGCCAGGAATGCCTTACCATCCAGGGTAAGATGTCCGACCAAGTGTAAAGATCACTCACGCTAATCATTCTCTTCCGCTCAGAATGCCACCTATGCCAGGCTTTCCCATGGCACCGCCATTCGCGGGGTCTCCGCCACCCGGTATGCCTGGGGCCCCCGGTGTACCACCCTTCCCTCCTCCGCCCGGCATGCGCCATCCATTCCTGCCTCCATTCCTTCCTCCCGGTGTCAGCCCACCGCCTGGTTTCACACCTCCGCCAGGCGCAAACGGTATGGTTCCGCCGATGCCTATGCCCCACGGTGCGTCGCCCTCACCAGGTGTCATACCGGGCATGCCCCCGCCCCCGATGGGCGTTCCTGGGGCATCGTCTCCTCGACCCCCTCCTGGTATGGTACCTGCACCCCCTTCAATGAGCGCTACCAACCCGCCTGTTGCACCGCCGCTGACGCTACCGAATCCGAGTCTGGCGCAGACGAACCCGCCGTTCAAGAAGGCGACGGTGCTCAAGTGGGACGATCCCAACTTCTCTCCCGTGCGTTCAGTGCTCATTTGTCGTTCAACCATGACTCATCTGTATTATAGGAGGAAAAGCGTGCGACGCACCCCAAGTACTATTTCCCCAAGGACGGCGATGCGCAGAAGCACGCCAAGGCTCAGGCGCAGCAGCAGCAACAGCAGCAGCCGCAACAATATGCAGGTGGTGCGCCCGCTTACGAGGAGTCGCGCGGGAAGAAGCGTGCACGCGCGGAGGACTTCTTGTAGATCCCGCGCCTCAGGTCAGCCCGTCTGTTCCCCACCTTGACTGCCTTGGCAACAGCGCAGTGGATTAACGAGGGATGGAGAGGAGTCGTTGGGAGACCACCAGTCCGTCCCATCCGTTCATGCTCCCGTCCCATTGCTCCGTTCTCATTCTCACGCTGGCTGCTGAAAAGGGATGTTGGCTCGGTGGACCAGAGCGCCGAACAGCGGTACGAGGCTTTCCTGTCTGTTTTCTCCTCCCCCTCTCCCCCTTGGTTTCGTATCGCTATCCTTACAGCCTTGCTCGCGCGTTATGTCGTACGGTCGGTGTTTCTGTTTCTGCCCTATACTTATCTCCATACGTTGTGTGCAATAAAGAAGGTTCGTCTGCTGTGCGTGCGTAGTGGGTATACTCACGACAGGTCCGCTACGCGCGATCATCGCCGTCGTCGCTGTCAACCCTCCGCCATCGTTGCGACGGTGTGATGAGTGCTGGCAAGAAAGGAAACATACACTGCGAAAGTCGGTCGTCAGACACTGGCGGATTTTGAGTTAGTACTGACGGTCTGTATGATGGTCTCTGCATACAGGTTGCCCAGTGCGTCCTCTCTGATGTTGGGTAATAGGAAAGTGGCACTGGTGAGTGCTCGCTGTCATGACAGTATCAGTATCATTAGTTTGCCTGTGTATACCTGCGCACGGACGGTAATGTATATACAGTCGCTATGCCATCGAGAGGATCATCTTGAGACAGTTGCACCGAGGTTTCCATCGTCGGTGCCCCTCTTCGTATGACAACACGTTCGGCCATCCATGAATCCCTTCCGGGACCTACGCGGGCTCACCGGTCACCATGCACGACGTGTACGACTCGTCCTGAGAAACGCATACCCATCCGCACGTATAAGGCACATTGGCAACGTGCGCTGTGGTCATTAGCCTCTCAGGCTGACTTGCCCTTCGGCATAGGGATTGTGGGGTATGTCTGGTTTGTCTGGATGTGTCACGTCACCAATCATTAACAATCGGCATCTATGCAAGGCAGAGGACACGGCAGACCTGTGGTATGTACAAGGTCACCTAGACCTCAAACGTTTGAGTAAGCATTCATCGGCCTCTGGCTCATGCTGCTGGTGACTAGGATTCCCCGTACCGCGTCTCATTTCCTTTGAATATAGCTACCGCGTAAGGTTCATCATCATGTACGCTGTATTGTGATGTTGCTGTATGCCATTCGCACATGATGGTATAGTTTTCGATTCCACCGACGGAAGCCTGAGCTTCGTACTGAACCAGTCAACGGAGCTGCTGCGTTGATGTATCATGTCACTGTCAGTATTGAACGCTGGAACGAGTCTAGGTTCAGATTTTACACAGATGAAGGCATACCAACACGCCCTACATTGTAAGAAGGGCGATAAACTGGGATACTAAATTATACTGTTGCGTCCCAATTTACACCAGATAGAATAGTCCATGATTAGAGTAAGAAAATACCAATACAACATCGATGATTGAGAGAATGTATAGAACCGATCAATACGCAATGTGCGCCGCCTTGCCCTCCCACTGTGCCCAGTTCGACAAAAGCCCCTCCGCCAAGAAATGCGCGACGTCCTCTCTAGAGATGGTATACCCGTCCCCGAGTTCGCCATCCTTCAATCTGTACGGCTCCTTCCTGCCCTTCTTCGTATCCGCCTTACACGCCCCGCTCGTCAGCAACGCCGGCCTGATCGCAATTACATGCGTCAGCTCGCCGAACGCAGGGAGATTTGGCAGGCTCGTCCAGGTAGCAGGGAGGATCTCCGTATTGGGCGTCTCCGCGTCCCACCTCCAGCCGGCGCAGTGCGCGATGACGCGCTCCATGGCGAGCTTGTCGACGTGTGGCCCGCGGAGGAAGTAGCCGTAGAATGGCTTGAGCAGGAGAGGGAGCTCTGCATGCGCGGCGCGCGTGATGCCGATGGAAGAGATGATGACGAACCGCGGTTGCGCGGAGGGCGTGCGGAGGGCGTGGGGGATGGTGGTGACGAGGTTGAGTAGGGACTTGGTGCAAAGGTCGTGGGGGTGGACGAGGAAGCCCTTTGTCGCGTGGAACGTCGGTGTTCCGCCTTGATGTAGGAGGCGCAGTCAGACGTTGTCGGTGCAAGGAGTAGGAAACACAACTGACCGATACTGAAGAGGACGAGGTCTATGGTGCCGTCCTTGGCGTTCTGAGCAGCTTCCCAGCCGCGCTGTACATCGTCCGCTTTCAACGCATCGCCCTGCACCAGGCGTGCCGTGCCTGAGCGGATGTAAGGCTGGATTACCTCGTCGTTGTCGAAGGCGGACGTCGAACGCAGGAGAAAGGTCACCGTAGCCCCTTTTGCTATGGCGAGGACCGAAATCCGATTAGCGACGCCGAGGAGAGTTCAGACAATGAATGAACTTACCAAGGAGGCGACGAGCTGCATGATACCCAATGTTGCGGGAAGCACCAAGAGCGAATACGTTCATGTTGAGTTGGTAGACAAGTAGGGGAGGAAAAGTAGGTAGCAGTCGCTGGTCAGTGTCGTTCCAGGAGCACTCATGCCGTCTCTTATACCTACTCTCGAGGCTTGATGGCCGAGACATCGAGGCCCCTAAGAGCAGAAGCGATGCCGCATTGGCAGGTCACACAGTTCGGGGCACCGAAGCGCAGTACTAAGTAGCATCTGCCGCTGTCATTGTCAACTAGACGCAGCAATGACTCGCCATGGACCCTATCATGGCGCTAGTTGGCGCAGCACTCAATATTGGAGACACTACCTGGTTCGGCGAACGCCCGCCGATCCCCGAGCCAGCATCGCATCCAGTTCGTCTTGCAGTCTGCATATCACAGTCAACACGAGGACGCAGTACTACACTGACCGATCCGCAATGAAACAGGCCGTCAAGTGGTAAGCGAGGGAGGAAGGATTTGCAGACTGTGGCCACGACAGCCCGCACGTCCAAGATGTTGACGAGACCGACATGCACTGCGCCCACGTCACAATTTATCTAGTACGCGGTGACGAGGCAGACCGGCAGCTCACAAGGCGGATGAACGTCGGGTTTCCGATGTCGCGGGTAGGGCGTTGTTTCCAGTCCGAGGTACTTAGACGGTTCAAACAAGGAGGTAAGATGCGCGCACGTGCGTCGGATTAACATTTGGTCTACAACAGCTCCGCGGGATACGTCCTAATGGTGAGACTCCTTTGCGATTTGCGCAGCGTACGGGTTGCGCGGGTCATTGCGCCAGGTCTCGGCTGGAGGATTATGCGCAGTGAGCGATACGTGGCACGGCATACACAAGGCAAACGCACACTTGACACCCATGTCCTGCGCCTTTGCAACGAGGGCGAAAGTGATTGCGCCAGCGATAGCGAAAGGCCACAAAGGCTTGGCGACCTAGAGAAGGGGGGAGTCAGACGGATAGTGGAGGTCGCAGACGAGGGAGACGTGCAGGAGTCGGCCACTTGCGGAGACCCAGGAAGCTCATGGCGAGTGTAGTCTAAGCGAGGAACAGTGAGAGCTGCGCAGAATGTGGGATGAAATGCGAGACAAACGCACGAGACGATGTGAGGGAAGTGGACGAGGAGGAGGAGAGCCTTGTCGCTGCTCGGCCCAACTCGGGGTCTGCATTTCCCACCTGCCCGATTCGGATGAGTATCAGCGGAGAGTACTAAGGCGTGTAAACATTACATTGCGGAGTTTGAATGCACTAGTGTATGCCCTGGCCCGAGGTCGTTGCTCGCTGGTTGCTCGCTCTGTTCAGCTCGTGGACGCCCCAAGTCTCCCTGTTGCGCCGTTGCTCCCTCGCATACTCTAGTACTGACTGCAGGGACTTCCGCCGTCTCCTGAGGGTCTCCGACTCGAACAGCTCCCTCCTGGGTTGTATGCTACCCACCCGCCGAACCGGACACGTCCTCCGAGGTCCCACCTAGAGTGACAGAAGCTCGCTCTCGCAAACTCTGCCAGAGTCTTTGGACTGCTATGGCTGCACAGGCCGCCGCACTGTCGGCGCCCGCAGTGAGTGCAAGCGATCCTCATTCCGTGACATGGCAAGAGAATGATCAGAAGCCCGCTCCTAGTGGAGGCAGTTCACTTTCTTCGATGTCATGCCCGTGAAAGACGTCCACGACCTCGCTAGCACGCCTGAGATATTCAAGGTGCGTGCGTTTTGCACTACCAAGGAATACGGCGTAATGGACGGTCGCACAGAAAACGCCTGAAATCTCGACCGCCATTGCGTCCTCGCTCGGGCCGTTGGTTGCAGATATCCATGGAAGCATCTACAGCCTCAATCGCGACTTCGAAATCACGAATAGTTGGATAGTGCATACAAACGGACGCGTGACACACATGGTCGAGCGCAAGGGCATCCTCATTACCCTCGGAGTGCGTCGCTCGCTACATATCCCTTGACTGTCCGTTCACGTTAGCGCAGGAGGAGGAATCCGCCAGGCATCCCTTCTTGAAGGTATGGAACCTCGAAGTCATAGACAAGAAGACCGGAGCGCCGGTGCTGCTGCGTTCGACGAAGCTTCAGAGTGGTAGTCGGCCTCATCCCGTAAGTCGCGCGAGGTCTGCGCATCGTTAGTCCTGAGATGTTGACGAAGAATAGGTCTCGACTATAGCCGTCACAGCCACCTTGTCCTACCTCGCAGTCGGCCTCGCAGACGGAACAGTGCTGCTCTATCGCCACCTCGACCAATCCATCTTCTCCGGGTCCACCTCCCTCACAGCCCTGCCCAAGCCACGCACAGTACACGAGTCTCCAGCCGAGCCCGTTACAGGTCTCGGCTTCCGTGAATCCGACGAAGAGACGCCGAATGTCTACTTGTTTATCGTCACTCTCAACCGTGTGCTTGCCTACCAGGCATCGGGCAAGGGTAGCGGCGCTGCTCCGACCGTCGTGAGTGAAGCTGGCTGTGGCTTGGGCTGCGCTACAATGGACCGCCATGCGAAGAACATGGTCGTGGCGAAGGACGAGGCAGTCTACATTTGCGGCACGGACAACCGTGGGTCGTCATATGCGTATGAAGGTTGGTCGTTCGACTTCCTGTCATGGCGATTAGCGCTGATGGACGTCGATAGGTCCCAAGGCTTCTATCCACACGCACAGGAACTACCTCGTCATCGTATCCCCTCCTATCGTTCCTACCGCCACCTCCGCCTCGGCGACTGTGCGGAACTTCGCCGCGAGGGCGAATCCCTCAGCCAATAAGGACATCACAAAGGTTGCTGTGTTCGACCTCGAGAACAAGTTCGTCGCCTTCAGCGGTACGTTCAACGAAGGCGTGCGAGAAGTGATTTCTGTATTCGACAAGGTCTTCGTCCTCTCCAATGATGGCGTGGTGAGTGCGCCTGTACACGTTCTGTGCGCCGAAAGAGCTGAAGGAGTTCCCGCAGCTGTCGTGCCTGGAGGAGAAGCCTACGTCGGTCAAATTGGATATGCTGTATCGCAAAGGTCTATACCCCACTGCCCTCAACCTTGCCAAGAGTCAACAGCTTGACGAGGCGAGTGTCGCGGACATACACCGCCAATACGGCGATCATCTCTATACCAAGGGCGACTACGATGGTGCGATGCAACAGTTCATCAAGACGATCGGTCATGTGCAGGCGAGCTATGTCATTCGGAAGGTGAGCTGAATGTCTGCCATCGCCCTTCGCGGCTGTTGAGCGCTCAACGTGCCGCGTAGTTCCTCGACGCCCAGCGGATACACAACCTCGTCACGTACCTGCAAGAGCTGCATGCGCAAGGGCGTGCCAACGCGGACCACACGACGCTTCTGCTAAACACGTACACGAAGCTCAAGGATGTCTCCAGACTCGACAGCTTCATCAAGCGCGAGGCGTCGCGCGAGACGGACGAGCTGCCGTTTGATCTAGACACTGCTATCCGTGTCTGCCGCCAAGCAGGCTACTTCGAGCACGCATCCTACCTTGCAAAGAAGTATGAGCGGCATGAAGATTACCTTCGGATCCAGATCGAAGATGCGGGGAAGCACAAGGATGCCCTGTTGTATCTCAGGAAGTTGGGGACCGAAGCTGTATGTGCTTCCGTAGGGATGGTGTCTACCCGCTTATTCCTCTTATTCAGGCGGAGGCGAACCTCGCGCGATACGGCCGTGCTATGCTCAACAGCTTACCTGAGGAGACGACACAATTGCTGATCGACATTTGCACGAGCCTTGTCCCTCTCACGTTCGACGAAGATGATGAGCGCGCGGTGCCGACTCGTCAAGCGAGCAGCAATGGACCGTCATATCTCTCCTATCTTGCTCTTAACCGGTCGTCAACACCAGCGCAGGCATCAGACAATGTCCCACCTTCGTCGGCATCAACCATGACCGCCAGACCGGCTGTAATCACTGGACGTGACTCCGCGCCGGAGACGTCGAGAGCGTCCACTCCCCCGCCTGCGACTACTACGACATCATCGGTCCCAAAGACGCGATCAACTGGAGTCAAGCGGCCCTCGCCGCAACTATACTTTGCTCACTTTATCGACCACAGAGACCACTTCGTGCGCTTCCTTGAATCCGTAGCTCTCAAGCGATGGGGGCAGGACGTGGATGTCACGGCCGCGTCCGTCTCGGTTGAAGTGGACCCGAGCGCAGATGAAGAGTCCGAGAAGCGAGACCAGCAGGCAGTGTGGAATACTCTGCTTGAGCTGTATCTGGGCCAGCCCGACGGTATTGACAAGGCGCTACGTATCCTACGCAGCCAGGACATCCCTTACGACCCGACGCATGCTCTCATACTTTGTTCGACGTGTTCATACGCCCCGGGACTGGTGCTTCTGTGGGAACGCGCCGGAATGCACGAAGATATCGTCCGACATTGGATAGATGCACACTACAAAGGCGATGCGACTGCCTCAGGTGAGGTCATCCGGGCGCTCGACAAGTATGGCAGCGAACACCCTGGGTTGTATCCGCTAGTCCTCCGCTTCCTGACGTCGTCACCGGAACTACTCTCGCGCCATACGGAAGATCTGCAAGGTGTGCTGCAGGTCGTGGAGGAGAATAATATCATACAACCCTTGAGCGTCGTGCAGGTGCTAAGTCGAAACGGCGTGACAAGCGTGGGCCTAGTCAAGGAATGGTTGATGTCGCGGATTCGACAAGCGCAAGAAGAGGTGCGAACGGTAAGTCGTGTCGCAATGAAGACTTGACCCGGCAGACACTGACTGTGATTACAGGATCAGCAGCTCATTGACTCGTACCGCGCAGAAACTCAAGCCAAGTTGCGCCAAGTTGAAGAATTATCTGATTCTGACCATCCTCGTGTATTTCACGTCACACAGTGTGCTGTGTGTCAAGGTCAACTCGACCTTCCAAGCGTGCATTTCATGTGCAATCACAGCTACCATCAGCGGTATGTTACTCAATTTCTGTTGTACGATCCTGAACTGATCGACGTTGTGCTTTCCTGCGCTGTTTTCCGTCGTCATAGCTGTCTGGGCGAACATGAGGCCGAATGTCCCAATTGCGCCCGCTCACATGGTATCATCAAGGAGATCAGACGAAACAATGAGCGGCTGGCGGATCAGCATGATTTATTCCTGCAGGAAGTTCGGGAGGGAGGGTTCTCTACGCTTGCGGCAGGTTTTGGGCGGGGCTCGCTCAACGCTGCGAGGCTTGAGGATGTCAGTGCGTAGGTTCCGGATATATCCCTGTACTCTATGCCTGCATCCAAGCTCCATTTCGCAATTGATCGCTGGTTGTTTTCTCGCGGGAGATTAGTGTGCAGACTCAGAACACACTAACAATTATTGTTCTTCCCAACCTCCAACGCCACGCCACGCCGGCCATTTCGACCAGGCAACGCATGTCAAGCGGGCCCGAACACAAGGTCGAGGTCAGCAGTGGCCCTTCTTCCGAAGTCGCGGTGGGTTGTCTATTTTGCTTCCGTCGTGGTTGATTCCGAGCTGATGCACGCGTCGATGCGCAGTGAGAGCAACGTGGGTGAGTGGCGGAGCAGATGGGCGAGTGGCGGTGAGCGGCTGGTGAGCCACTGCGTTGCTTTGTCCTCGATCACCGATCTTGCACGCGACGGGACAATCTCAGATCGCGCGGTGCCCTAGCAGCGGGCGCGAATGAGGGCAGACGGGACAAAGCACGTCGTCAAAGGCCGTCAATTGCTCGCGTTGTCTCTTTGTCCTACGCCCACTCTGCCATGTCCATACCCATAAAAGCCAGGCACGATGCGCCACTCGTCCGCCCCCAGCTCGCTGTCCTCCACTCCTCGTCCCGCCAACCGGTCTTCGAGGGTTTCCCTGCGCTCAGCACCCACTTGTGTTCGCGCACACTAAGACAACATCGCCTTCAGCATGGCCATATTCAGCCCCCGGAAGGGTCTTTCCCATCTCGTCGGCGCATACGCCTCGCACACACACCCTTCCAACGACTACCCTTCTGATGAACGCTCTTGTAGCGGCTCGGACCATCATGCCAGCGACGATGCCAGCGATTCGGACGACGACGTCGTCAACAACGCCAACGACGTGATCGATATAACCAACGATACGATCGACAATACCAACGACGAAGAGGTCAACGAAGTCCGTAGCAACAAAGAGACCGACAGCTGGACTTCCACAACCAACGGATCTGATGGAGGAGAGGTGAACGTGCAGCCTACAGGACCAGTCGCCGTAAACGCGAGCATTTCCTTGGGCTCTCGCCCGCGTTCGCGTTCTCGTTCAGGTGCACCGCAATCGCAGTCCAAGTCCAGCACAAGTTCGGTCTCGACCCGCCATGCTCGTAGGGCGTCGGGAACGAGTTCGAGGACACCGTCAAGATCAACATCGAGAGGAGTCTCTGACGCAGGCGTGGACGCGGACGCATCATCTGGCTCTGGATCGCGCTCGGGCTCAAGCTCGAGCTCTGAAGTCGACCCTGCTGAGCAGGACCAATGGGATACAAATGGCGAACAGGCGTGGTTGAAACCTGCTGGCAGGCGGTGCGTATTGACATAATTATCATACAGCATTCAACTTACATTTCTCACCAGTCAAGCTTCGCCTGTTGTCGACTCACCATACATCCCTCCCTCCCCTAACGCGTACAGTCGCCCTGTGGGCTCCTCAAGTCGCAAAATAACTCCAAAGCGCCGTTATTCCCCATACGAGAAGCCCCCATCTCCGGCGGCGCTTCGCTCCTCGCGCCATGATTCTCGGTCGTCGTCCGAATCTGCCCCTCTACGCTCCGCTCGCTTGCCCCGCCAGAGACGCACATCTGGTCGTCGCCCTTCAGCTCCTCGTCGTCCACCGCCCGTCGAACTCGTGCCAGAAGAGCCCATTCTTCCTCGCGCAAGCCGCATGCGCGCCGCAAAGACGCTACAAACATACCTCGAGCACGAGTCCTCGGTCGAGAGCGAGGGCAATGCAACGGATGACGAATTCGTGCCGTCACCCATTCAGACCACTCGTAGGTCGCGGTATCAGCCTTACCCTCGTTCGCCCGCGTCTGTTGCCCCCGTCGCACGCTTGCCTCAGCAAGCGCGCCACTCTCCTGCGCCCTCAGACTTCTCGGAGTCCAGCTTGTCGTCGGTCCCGTCCTCTGGTCCGCAGCGCCGTGGCGGAGCGCCCCGCGCTCGAAACCGGCAGATTAGGATCAGCGACGAAGAGTTCCGCCTCGCGGAGCAGCGATTCCTGAGCAGCACGTCGAGGGAATGCCCGGTTGGCTGCTCGTACGTGCAGAGGAAGCGACGGGTGCCAGACATGCGACGACATATGGAGTCCCACCGGTACAACGTTAGCCACGAGAAGTGGGTCTGCTGCGGTGTCCCAGAAGAGGATGTATGGAAGTACAAAATCAAGAATCTGGACACGGCGCCGAGGACAACGTTCAAGAGCAGCACGATGGTGGGCGGATGCTTCAAGGGCTTCAGCAGGCGTGACGCGTTGCTCAGGCACGTGAAGAACAAGAACAACCAGTGCGTGGGTGAGGGTGGCCTGTTACATTTACTCGGCATACCGAAGGAGGAGGAGGAGGAGGAGTAGTAGCAGTACTGTGGATTATAGGGCGATCAGGCCCTGGGCTATCTTCGCATCGTCTCCATCTTCTGGACTATTCTACCTGTCATCGTCTGCGTCAGATACCTGTATTAGCCTGTGTACCCATAGACGTGTTCATCTCACTTAATTGGCCTGTTATGAGCCGGACTGTTCCTGGCAGTACGTCCGGTTGCGATGTTACGAATAGTCAATGCGTATAATCGATTGGCCTGCGCTGTGTCTTGTCAATGCGGAGCTATCTTAGCAACACTGGCGCGGCAGTGTGCGGTAGACCGTAACATCGCGGACGGAAACATTCATACCAACGTCCTTTTGCGCAGGGCAGCTGTATGACTGATTTCGATGCGCCGCAAGAGGCGGTGCGATGCCTTTCGTACATTAGTTTGTACTTTACACTACATCTCGAGTTCTTTCTTGACCATACTTTCCCGCCCAGGACCCACGCCGATCCACTCTACTGGCACCCCAAGGAACTGCTCTATAAAGACCACGTACTTCTTGCAGTTGTCGGGAAGAGCGTCGTACGACGGTATCGAAGCGATCGATGTCTTCCAGCCAGGCAGCACCACGTAGACGACTTCGACCTTCGCGAGGAGCTCGAGATCCGCTGGGTTCGCAGTAAGCCAAGGCATAAGCAGCAATAGCCGCGAATAAGGGAGCGTACCTGGGAACCCGTCTAGTTCCTTTCCGTCGACGATGTACTTCACGGCAACCTTGATCTCCTCGAGGTCGTCCAGGACATCGAGCTTTGTGAGGTTCAAGCTGTCGTACCCGTTGATGAGACACGAATGCTTCATAACGATTAGGTCTAGCCATCCACAGCGCCGCCTTCGCCCTGTAGTCACGCCGAACTCGCGACCGACTTCCTGCAGGTGCACGCCTATGTCCTGTATACGATGTGTGAGCTCGACGCCATGTCGCCCGGTGTGCATGAGACGCACGTTCAGCTGCTCAGTAGGGAATGGCCCTCCGCCAACACGAGTGGTGTATGCCTTCATGACGCCGATGATTTTCCCTATCTTCTTCGGCGGGATACCGAGGCCGGTGCACACTCCGCCGACAGTAGTCGCAGACGATGTTACATACGGATATGTGCCGAAGTCGAGATCGAGCATAAGGGCATTGGCCCCTTCTACGAGGATCCGTTTGCCCTGCGCCAGTGCGCTGTGGACAAAGGTCACACTGTCGATAACGTACGGCCGTAACCGCTCCGCGAGTGCCTTCGGTGGAAGAACGAGTAAGTATGGGCGAATAGCGAGATTGGTGGGTCACGTACCCTATAACGAACGATCTCTCCCTCGGTATCATATTCAAAGTGGCCATACCGTTTGAATCGGCCCTCGACGATTTTGCGGAATTTCACGGCGAAAGTCTCGTGGTCAAACAAGTGGTGCACACGGAGTCCGGAGCGCGACGCTTTTCCAGAGTAGGCCGGACCAATGCCCCTCTTTGTAGTACCGATGCTAGCAAGCATGAAGTAACATGACTGGAAGCACTAGATCGTCAGACAGATGCTCACCTCTTGCCCCCCAACTCGACTTCCTTCAGCCCATCGACGATCTGATGAAAATCGAACACTAGATGTGCACGATCCGAGACGAACAACCGCCCAGTGCAGTCGAGTCCTGTGAAGTAGCGCTATGTACAGCTCATGGGCGCGATAAGAAGGGCGACGTACCCTGAGCCTGTAGTGCATCGAGCTCCTCGAAGAACGACGGTAGATGTACGACCACCCCGTTGCCGATTAAGCCAGTGCATGTTGGATTGACGAGGCCTTCAAGCGGTTCGTTTTCATACTTTTGCACTGCGGGAGGTATGGTACGCACCGCTGGGCAGCAAGTGAAAGGCGAAGTGGGTAGGGACCTTCTCTACACCGATTGGTGCGACGATCGTATGGCCAGCATTGTTCCCGCCCGCACAGCGCGCACAGATATCGGCATCGGCGGCCAGAATGTCGACGAGTTTCCCCTTCCCTTCATCGCCCCATTGCGTTCCGAGTACGACACTCACTGGACGAGTATTAGTGGCGAAATGACCAGGAACGAGCTTGTCACTAACCGCTCATCGTGGCAACTCAGCCTTGGCGAGGCACACGTTAGCACAGGCGTGACGAACGGAGTGAAGGTGTGATAGATAGCGGCGGATGGTAACAACGTAGTAACGTACAGACCGCACAGACGATGGAATAAATTATGGCTGAGGATCGCTCTGGCGCGCGTAGCGCCAGTCTCACCGCGCTCGAGTCAGGCACACTGGCGGGCGGCTCGGCCGAACATGACCTTCCCGTTTTGGTAAGTATGGCAACCCCGGCAACCTTCACAGCGGACAAGTCGGCTTTTAACAAATTGGAACATTGGACCTACATAGCAAGGGTCAGTAGTTTTCTAAGCGGCCATGTACGGTTACGTAACATGGCACTTAAATACGAAATGTTCACCACATGTAAGAAATTTCGTATTTGAGTGCCATGTTACGTAACTGTACATGGCCGCTTAGAAAACTACTGACCCTTGCTATGTAAGACCAATGTTCCAATTTGTTGAAAGCCGACTTGTCCGCTGTGCTTCGCTGCACCTTTTCAACAGACTTGTCTGATTCGCCGCTGCCACGCCCGGCAGGGTCCAATATGCACATTATCATTTTGTCTTATATAGACTTATTGACATCACTAAGTTTTATAAGTAATCTGTGAGCACAGCTCCTCATGCCCGCAGTGGCTTCACCACCTGGGCAATTTGGAGTTGTGTCTAAGAACTTGCAGAGTTCAAGCCTCATATCTTTGATGTCTGTGTTGGAATGCCATGAGTCTGAAGCCCACAACCACCTAGCAAGAGTTGTGAGGCAAATCAGCATTTCTGGCTGGAAAACCTTGGAAAACCCTTTCAGAGATGCTAATGACTAAGCATGAGTGTCCATATGATGGTGGTCACATTCTGCACAATTGGCAATTGTCTTGAAACTCCTTCCTAAAATAGTGATGAAAAAGCACAAGCCTCCATACAATGGAAAAGACCCAATATTAGCATATTTTCGAATATGTTCAGTTGCACATCAGTTGCACATCAAGTGACATTGTCAATGCACGCATGTTCTATCCAAATCAGTGTTACTCATTTGACTCCCTCAATCCCAGATGCATATGTATATGCAGATGTCCTTTACATGGCCAAGGCCAGAGGATCTCTCCTAGCCTTGTAGAAATCCTGTGATGATAAGTTAGTTCAGGGAGCAATGCAATAATCTTACCTCAGTAACAAAATACTGTAGGTTGTTCAATTACCAAATCCAGCCATGCTAAGATGTTCCTCCAATCCTTCACACCTCGATCTCCCACATGATCGACCTTATTAGCATCTGTTGCCCGATGTTACGGAACAGTTAGTCCTTTTGATGAAACAAGGAGTGTTGTGGCTAGCCTGAGGCAAGGCTACAAAAGAATACTACAGAAGCACAAAGAGCACTGTAGTAAAGGAGGACTTACAACAGATCTCTTAAGAGCTGAGAGGGAAGACTCAGAGGCGTTAAGACGAGAGGAGAGACCGTTACATTCTAGGGCGTATCCAGCCCAGTATATATACACATGAGAGAGCCATCACATGATTGTACAGTAAGCGTAACAGCGTAGAGTCATAACGGAGCGATATGGTGCAATGAGCGAATACACAAGGATGAGCGAATACACAAGGATGAGGTGATATTGCACCATGAATGGAATGTCATGGAAAGGACTGGAACAGCGATGTGCTCAATGATGCAATACGATGCAATCAAGGAATGTGCTGGAACATGATGGAAAGCGGTGGAATGTTCCATCAGGGTCTAGATCTAATCATGTGCTACAGGTCTGGATCAAATCCAAAAAGAATGTACGTAATATGTAGCATAGTAGAACATAAGTCCATAACGGGTAAGGATAAGTCCTATCCCGTGTGATAACACCTAAAACAGTTGAAGTTCAACACCTTTCGCATCTCATCAGTATGATCTGCATCATTCGTACCATCCTCATCACCCCATGCAGTGATTATCTATCTCGGGCGGCCACTTGTAGCCGTGGGCCGCCATCTGTACCATACGCTACCGGACACTGCCCCAGTGATTTGCTTACGTATCTCTCCGCGCTGATCGCACTATCTCTTGTAAACTCGTTGTACAGTAGTGGTCGAACTTCACGTTCGACCTGGTTAACTCCTGAATCCTATCTCCTTCGCTTGTCCACTTCCCCTACGCCCTAGCGGCAGGTGACGATCAAGCTCGGATAGGCCCGACCGACCAGGAGCCTTTGAGGAAGCCAGCACGGCTAGTCCTCTCGAACGCCCCGACGGATCCAGACTCTAGACGAGAGTAAGTCCTTGTTAAAGGCAGCGTCTTCAGTAGAAGTTTGTTCTTGAATTGGCTATCGCCTTCATCATTGTTCCGCTCCTACCCGTCGCGTAACATTAGGTCGAACGTACCCTCTGCCACCATTCTTCTGGTGTAGCTATCCCATCTCAAGACCTCGAGCGTCATTCCGCTATCCAATTGCTTAGGGTGAACAACGCCACTCGACGATAGGTCGATAGTTTCGCCAAGGTGGATACCTCGGACCTTCGCCAAATTGAACCCAGTATCTACGGACTCATCAGGAAAAACGTTCGTGTCTTAAGTGGTCTTGTGGAGAGCCAAAAGTGACATTATGTGTCACTATGTGCCACAAGAGCCTTAAGGTAAGTCGATTTCTTAAATTGTCTTACTTAAGTTCCATTAAGTAACCAAAGTAAACACTCATTCCAAGCAAGAATGATGTTTTTTCATCATTACTGGGGTGACTTCTCTCATGATTCTGCTGTGTTTGTGCATATGCTGTCATAACAGGCATCCCAGATGCAAAAATGTCGCCCAAAATAATCTGCCATTTCCCAGAATTGAACCCCTGACCTGCTAAACTAATTTCCCACACTCTCAGCACAAACTTGTGACCACTACACCATAGGTCCCTGTGCTTGTTCCCTTCTACAATAACCTATATTGACTATCTTTCTGGACTTAGAGAAATCTGCAATCGCTGCCCCCTGTTAGCCCAGCCCCTGTGCATCCCTGGGCTCTCAGACTGGCCTCATTTCTTCTTGGCACTATCTGTTGCCTTGCAGACCTTGTGTAGACTCATAATTTGCTCAAGGGCAGGCTTCTTGTCTCACTTTGCATGCTTAAGTGTTCTTTTGCTGTCTCTCAACCTTAACAGGTCAAATATGTCCAAATCCCTGACAATATGACTTTGACCACAGCATCTGTTGTAAATAGGGTAATATACTCATAATCACAGGGAAAAACAAATAATCTTTATTTGTACCCCATTACTGTTGCCAGATATAGTATGTGTTAACTTGTCAGGTGAAATCTTGGTGAAGTCTTCATATTGAGCAATCTGACATCTCATCATGCATATTTTCTAGTTAAGAGGTCATTTTCCAACTAATGTGTACTTATGTGTCTTAATCTGCAGAACTAAAGTTGCATATCTTCCAACTTGGGCACAAGACAAATTTCTCAAAGGTACTATAATTAACTTCAGCAGTCTTCATGCACATGGTGCACTTAATTGAGGAACACAAGTTGTGAAAGATTGAATAAGATCAGGTGTTCTTCATTCAAGACTGCTGAAGTTAGAAGTGTTTTTCCTGATGCTGCCTGCGCTAAAAGGCACTCTCCTCTGGGATCCTACCCTCCGAGTATTATACCCCCTTCACCTAAGTCCAGGGGGGGTCAGCGTGCCCTCAGCTTGCCTTATATGGTAATTCCTTTTTGGGCCATTACCATATAAGGCAAGTGCTGACTTCGGGCCGCACCTACATGTCTCAGGGGATCTCGCACGCCCGCGCGAGATCCCCCGCGCACCTCTCAACACCGGTTATGCGGACCGCGTCAAGCCCAACATCCAGTACTGAATGTCAGGGGTCTGTGCACTGGCGCGACATCCCCTGGGACATATGCCAGTACCATGTGTCATGCACGCACCACGCACCATGTGTTAGGGGATCCTGCGCACCCGCGCGAGATCCCCTGGAAAGGGTACGCACGCACGACACATCCATGTACTCAAACATTGTACACACACAGTCTCCCAGGGGATCCTGCGCACCCGCGCGAGATCCCCTAGAAAGGGTACGCGCGCACGACGCGTCCGTGTACTCAAACATAGTACACACAGTCTCCCAGGGGATCTCGCGCACGCGCGCGAGATCCCCTCAAGCACATGTCAGCATCGCGAACCATGGCTTAGGTTCCTCAAAGTAACCTATTGTCTCCGGTACTGCGCGCACCATGTAACAGGGGATCCCACCCTCCCGCGCAAGATCCCCTTGGAGGAGTACTGCGTTTTGTAGTATGCGCACATACATTATTGGGATTCACGCGAGTGCGCAGCAACACCTCACTTCCCAATGCTCGAGAACATAATGCACGCACATGGTCTCAGTGTGCATGCACATTGCAGCCGCAGCATCTGAGACACGATAACAAGCTGTCAGATCAATCTGATTGATTGTGTGTGACGAAGTGATCGGTTCTGAGCGCTACAGATGTCCGTACATAGACACACACAAGGCTATTGCTAATCTGGGAATTGCCGATCACACCCCGATGTCCCATGTACAAACGACAGATCCGCTCAAAAATAGACAGAGATACAGATACTAAGATGCCTAGGACATGAAACGATTCCAGTCCGCGTTCAATTCAATCTCTAACATGTCCACAAGGGCGATCGCTTCTGCCTCCCTTTTGTACAAGCCCATGTACTGGTCCATCACTGGCCATAACATATCCATGAGGTTCTGCTCACATACGATCGCGTCGAAGCGGGCGCGCCGCTCATCCAAGTAACGCTCCAGAGCCTTAGGGTCCCAAACTTGATCCACGTGTATCACGAGTTGAGTGTCAGCCTCATAGGTATACGCCATGCGCTTGCCCATGAGCTCTAGTACCCTACCCGCGTACGGAGCCGCGAATTTGATGAATTTGGCCATGAACTCGGCCGACATGTACTCGTGCGGGTTATTGTCAAACGCGGCACTCATCCTGTGCGGCCACGATGACTGCCGGTGCAGGCACAGTTAGTCTGAAGGTTACCCAGATACCGACATGATGGACACTCACCGCTACCGTGCACATTATTCCCAATCCGCGCGTCAAGCACTGCTCGCATGTCTCCAAGTTTGGACGTACGTCGCA